GAGTTCGCTCCCTGGTACCGCGCAACGAACATTCTTCCGGCCAGCGACGACAAGCGTGACATTCAAGCACCCGAGGAGAAGCGCACCGAGTTCGCGCCCTGGTACCGCGCGACCAACATTCTCCCCGCCAGTGACGACAAATAGATTCGGGAGAACTCTCGTCTTGGCCTGGACTCTCGCACGACTGGCTTGCTCATCATCAAGCGACCTGTCGGGTTTGCGGTGGTCAAGAAGCTCATGCAGCCTTCCATGGTTGTGAAGACACCGTCAGCATTGAGTTTTCGGTCTTGTCCGTGTAAGTTATCGCACATGTGAGCGTTCTCTGTCCAGGATCAATCCGAGCTTGCTCCTCATCTCTTTCTGGAAATACAACTAGCCACTCCTTTTGCACCTTCTGCTTTGCGCAATGTTGGTAAGAGTCGGGGGACAGGCTGAGGCCGACGATGGATGGAATGGTCCACATCACGTTAGTATGGCAATGATATATTAGCTTAGCTTCATCGAACCGAGTCCCAAAAAGACTTCAAGAATTGCCGATGTAAATTCAAGCATCAAGCGTGACTCGGCATCGTTAAGCCCCACAATACGTTATTGTGGTGGGCTTGCGCGAAGGATCCGCTTCCGGGGCCTACCATAATCTTGACAAATTGCGGGCAAGCTTGTGTATCCATGCGTTGTGCAAGCCTGATATGAATGTGAACACCGGTGATGCAGTATCGGATCCAAGTTTCAGGCACTCAAAGTGACCCAAGTCACTCAAGCTTAGCTGCCGGGATCCGTCTAGGCCTCGCCTTCAATCTGATGTCTGTACTCCACGAGAGGGCGGCCAAAGGCCGTGTTCGCAGTGCCAGGTTTCCCGTCCCCAAATGTCAATCTATTCAGAGGGGCAACTGGTACGTGTCCAGTGTATTGTTCCCGCGATAAGCGGTTCACCCTGAGTTGGAAGGATTGCGTGATTGGTGAGGGGTCGGTGTGCCTGCCGGAAGAACCGTTGTTGCCCACGCCGAAGCTGCCATCGCACATCTCAATGCCCGCATCGGATAACATAGACGAGATCCCCGACATACACCTGGGAGACTGAAAAATTGTCGTACACCGGAAGAGACATCGAGGAAGTTTTTGGAGATGTGGTGACGTCGGGACTTTCGGGTCCGTGCTGACCTCGGCAGGGAAATCGCATGACAGTGCGAACGAGATAGCGACCTTGAATATTCTCATTGTGCATCTATATCCTCATTCATGTCCGGCAACACCAACAGCGACATCTTGCTGGCCGGAGCGGTTGCAGCATTCACTGTGGATCTCCTTGTGTATCCGCTAGATACCCTGAAAACGCGATTACAGTCCCCCAACTATGCAAAACTATACACCAATGCCGCGACTCAAAAGCCAAATGCGGCCATGTTTCGTGGCCTATACCAAGGCGTGGGAAGTGTTATCATAGCGACCCTACCTTCGTGTAAGTCATCGCATTTGGATCAAGCTCCATTGAGGAATGAGATTTCATAGTTATTTGTGGCTGCTAACAGACGCGCAGCTGGAGCATTCTTTACGACATATGAGCGAACGAAGGTTTTCTTCAATCATATAAATCCCCCAACATCATCACATCCCAGTGGCTTCATTCCAACACCTATCGTGCATGCAGGTGCTTCTTCAATCGCAGAGTTGGTTTCCTGCGCAATCCTTACCCCGGCTGAGGTCATCAAGCAAAACGCGCAGATGGTCTCTGCAGGCTCGAAGACGAACGCCACTGTTCAGACTCTTGCAAAATTCAAGTCGAACCCACTGGCCTTGTGGAGGGGCTACACTGCGCTCGCGGGGAGAAACCTCCCTTTTACAGCTTTGCAATTCCCCTTGTTCGAGAAGATGAAAGAGACTATCAAGGATTACCGTGACCGCAAGGGTGTAAGAACTGGCACGATTGCCGAGAGTGCATGGATCACAGCCGTCAGTGCAGGTGCTGCAGGTGCTGTCGCCGCTGTCGTCACAACGCCGATTGATGTGGTTAAAACCAGAATCATGTTATCAGCCGTCGACGACGCGGCACACGAGGTTTCGTCTCAGCAGAAGAACGCCAAAGCGAGCTCGCAGGGTCTTGTGGATGCCCTTGGCAAGACTGTACAGTCTTCAAAGGATACAGCCAAGAGCGCTGTGAAGAACTTGAACCCCTTGATCAGTCCAGAACAGAAAGGTAAGGAGAGCGCGTGGAAGATCGGGCAAGAGATTGCCCACGAGAAAGGCTTCAAAGGACTGTGGAGAGGCGGTGCTTTAAGAGGAGTGTGGACCTTTATCGGAAGTGGGCTGTATCTAGGAGTTTATGAAAGCGGAAGAGTCTACCTGGCGGGGCGAAGAGGCGAAGAGGTGGACGAGGCGGATTTGACTTGAGGCAGAAATGTAAGTTGTTGCTACAGTTCTCCTGCAGACATTTCTTCTTGGCTCGTGACGACAAAATGTTCGTTTCCGGGTGCACTCGTTTTGCTGACGTTAATGGGCTACCAGACTGTACATACACAGCCTCACGCCAATGGTATGAGATGAATCCACGAATAGCAGCACCTACCATCTAATCTGATATAACAGCTACCTGATCTCTATGCGGCGATACATACGAGTGGGTGTAGGCTTTTCCTAGTCAACCGCTGGCAGTCCCCTCCTGGCGCGATTCGAAAGGCTTCCTTCACTTCGGCATGCGGTCCACGGCGTCTTCACCTGCTATCGCGCTGCAACGGCGGTCACCTAGAGAACAACGCCAAAAATGACGAGCGCGTTTGCAGCGCGTTTGTCACAACACAGCCTTACGTGTCTTGACCCTCCTCAATTCAACCTACGACTACATACTCACACCAGCTCAAATTGTAGTCACGCGCCGCATCCGCAATGGCTACGTACAATTCTAACAAGCATCACAGGTCCATACTGTTGCCACCGGGCTTAGCCATCTATCCACCGGGCGAGAAGGAACAAGATCACACAATGGAGGCATCGTGGGCGCAGGTGCTGGACGATATCCAAGGCTCTCCGGGCTACCAGCTTCTCTTCGGCCCAGGCGGCGCCGCCACCAGACCTCCCCGTCCCAACAGTGGCAACCCATCTACGAGTGCACCCGCGAGTCATCAATTTGGAACCGAGCACAGCGATATTCCAGCTACAAGTTCACCTACGGGTATTCAAGTCGCACCCGAGCGCAGTGTGAGCCCAGCAAGCTCACATGATTCAGATGCCACCATCAAGCCGGGAGGTGTCTTGGAGTCGGGCGGTATCGCACGCACGCCAACGCGAGCGGAGCCTCAACTAGATATGTCGACGTCCCAAGTTGAGAAAACGGATCGATCTTCGGTACCGCAACTCAGTGCCTATGGTCCCGCCTTCGAACCCGCCGCTCATCCAGCCAGTTTTGCAACCCAAGGCCTTCCGCGCACGCGCAAGGAAGACCGCATCGCATCTCACGCCGCTGTCTCGACCCCGCGATGGTACGCAGGGGCGCTTCGCTCCAAACCCGAGAATCACTTTGAGCCGTCCCCCTCGTACGCAGTTGGAGTCTCGGAGATGGGGTCTCCCCTCAAGAACTCGCCCGTGGGAGACACAATGTGCCGCTTCCACCTTGCTTCACCAGCTCAAAGCGTCGCCCAAACCACGCTGCCCACCCGAGGACCCATTCCCATCCACCAGCGTCGCGCATCCAGTAAATTCGCCTTCGTCCCGGTGCTTCCATCTCCCCTTGGGCCTGGCCACTACACAGACGACCTAGGCTCCGATGGCTCCGGGCTGGTGACTCCCGCACCGAAAACAGCGCCGCTTCCAACGACACGCAGCGCCGGACGAGGCAACATCACGGCCACTGCTCCAGCCCCACAAGCAGCAGTGCCGTTGGTGTGGGCTCAGAGCACCCCAGGCCCGGGTATGTACGCACCCTTCGACACGAGATCCGCCAGCGACCCGTTCGTCGAGCGAAGCGTCCCAGGCCCATCAACATCAGCTGGCTTCGCACCACTTCAACGCAGCGTTCCAGGCCCATCGACCCCCGCTGGCTTCGCAACCCTCCAACGCAACATCCCAGCACCAAACTCACCCGCCGGCTTTACTCCCCTGCGATCCAAAGCCATCACGGCAACGACGCCTTACTTCGCCCGCCCCTTGGCACACACCGACGCACTTCGACACCCCGTGACCGGCCTCTACCCCCACCAGACACCCGTTTCCATCCCACCCCCTTCTTTCGCTGCCAATCTCGGCGTCACCGCCCCGCAGCCTTCCTCCATGCGCCTCGCCGCACGGAAGGAATGGTTCGACCGCAACACCGCCCGCATGGTAGCCACAAGCCGCGCCTTCGCCCTTGCCAAGGAAAAGTACGAGGCCTCGGGCCACCCGTCTGACTACACCGCCATGCTCGCCGCGCAGCAGGCTATGTCTGATGCGTGGGATGGAGACAGGCTGCAGGAGGAGCGCAGGAACTTGACGATGCCGGAGGGCATGCGTGCAATGAGGGTCGAGCATGCGCGGGACGGCATGGGTGGCGAGAAGGGTAGGCTCCTGGGTGGCGGAATGGCGGTCTTGGAGAGGATTTGTGCGGAGGTTAGGGGCAGGGAGGGGCAGTATGAGATGAGAGCGGAGGAGTTGAGCAAGGAGGAGAAGAGGGCGGTGAGGCAGGCGGCTATGGAGGATGTGAAGAGGGGTGTTGAGCGGATGGCCGGTCGGGAGTAGGAACAGGGGGTGGATACGAGGGGAGATGAGATTGGATGAGATGAACTCTCTAGCTTAGCTACAAGCAACAACTGTTCAAAAGTGAAGACCATGTTTTACAGTTCATAAGGAGAAGGTGCTGTTGTCAGCGAGGCACATCTAAAACCACGCCATTCATTTGCGGTCAGCCTATTCAAGTTTACTCTCGCCACCTTGCACCCGTGAGTACACACACAAGTATCGTGTTCCGCAGTTTCCTAGGATGAAATGCTGTATTGAGCCAGGACAGTTCGAGACTGAACTGCACAGTTGCTTAGAATCGTGAGCTGTGTTCAGCCAGGTAATCACCCACGTTCCCGGTGCACTTCCCATCCCATGACGGTCCGTCCCAACTCTTTCTGGGAGATGGGTACGTCTTCACCAGCGCCAAAAATCTCGGGCCACACCTTTTCCCCGCTGCAGCAACAGGTTCCTCTCATACAGGAAGCAACCCTCTCATGACTCCCACAGAACGCCCACCAAACACAACAGCGATGTGTATCACACCCCGTAACCTACAAAAATGAAGCTGTGGCTGTGGGATTCAGTCGTTGCGTGCGGAGTTCGTGTTGCTCATACGACAATACTCGACACGCGCAGCGTCGATGAGCAACTGTCTGCGCGCGCTGCCTATGGAGGTGAACCTCAGAGTTTCGTGACTCATGGGGATTATTAAAGACGTAATCTTTCATGTTTCTTGAGCTCTTCCTCTTCATTCACACTTCTACTTGGGATTGTGATCCACTTCATTGACTTTATCGCGGACCTTGTTTGTACGCCGCTATCGCATTTCCGCGCGCTTATAGTCTTTCCACGAATCCGTCCAGCGAAGCTGCATACAGCACCTTGCATTTATCAAGAGGAATATCTTAGCTGGATGGGCTGCAACTGGTTTGTTCCCATTAAATCCAGAAAGGGTGCTCCGAGGAATTCAGAAACCACTACCTATGCTTACCGTTCCGGACGGCTCTCAAGTGCAGTCGTATCTGCTCTGCGAGACGAGGTACTGCAGACTCCGATAACCCCAGTAACGCCAAAGACAACAGAAGCTCTTGCATCGCTGTAGAACCTGATTGAGAAAGACACTCATAAACTTGATGGGATGAGCAAGCAACGCCTGCAGAAACGCGTACGGAAGATCGTGACTGCAGCTAAAATATCCTTTGCCGAGGGTAACTCCTACAGGATCAAAACCGCTTCCTATTCCAGGTAAATAACGCCAAAGCTCGTCGATCGACAAGATCGGTAGTCCTAGGGAAGGCAAAGGTGATGCGCTATCAAGAGCTAGAGGAGGCGCGAGCAAAGCGTGAGACTAAGGATCAAGCTGCTGCAGCTAAGGGAAAACGAGATCGGAAGCACATCGAAACAGAAGAGGATGCGGGTTCATCAGTGCCGAAGAGCAATGCCGTCGTACCGAAAGGAACCCAGCTAGCAAACACTAGGGAAGTGTCATGGAGGGCTCCGGTAGCGAAGATGTATTAGAAGTTAGAGCTGCTTTATAGAATTAGTTTGAACCTGGATAGATCGAGCCCTGAGTGTGTTATCTTGGTCGTTGATCGGACTGCACAAAGGTGCTCGCTAATCTACAGGCTTTGTCAGCATAGACTCGCTTGGAGGGGGCTTTCTCCACTTTAAACCCAACGTTGGCGCTGCAGCGCAGCGTTCAGCCGCAGCAGCCTTCTCAGCCTCGTTGCGTCAAGATGAGCGACAACTTCCTCGACACCGACGTTATGATCTTGCCGTCTTGCGATTCTACGCTACAACTTCTACAGAACTACAACGACTGTTGCCGCCCTGACCTCACGCCGTATCATGGATGGCCTTTCCGGAGCGGCAAGCGTGATTGCCGTCATCGACATATCCGCTAAGGTCGCGTCGCTCTGCTTCCAGTACTCAGTCGCCGCGAAGGACGCAAAGAGGGACATCGAACGCCTCCAACAAAAAGCGACCAATATCAAGAACGTCCTTGAAGAGCTTCAACAGCTTGTAGACAAGCAAGGATCGCAGCTCCCTTCTACACACAAGTTACTAGAGTTACTCAAGGAATGTCACCAGCAGTTGCAAGACCTTGAGGGTAGACTTCAGGCCAATCTCGAGCCTAGCGGACGCCGAAAGGCCATGAGCAAGCTCGGTTTTCGAGCCTTGAAATGGCCTTTCACGAGCAAGGAGGTAGAGAAGGCGGTTCAATATCTTGGGAACTATAGAAACACTTTTAGCCTTGCGCTTCAAGTTGATCAGACGTAAGTAGTGTGTGCTTTTAAAGTAAGCAAAGGCTGACAAAAAACATTCTAGGGCCCTCATTCTTCGCGTCGACCAGAAGACTGACACGCTGTCATTACCTACCGCCAAAGGCGCTTCCTTCGACTCGCACCTAGAAGAACATAACTCGACGTGCCTTCCGAACACCCGCACTGAGTTACTGCGCCACATACAAGATTGGGCGAACGACGAAAACGGTAAAGCAATATTTTGGCTGAATGGCGCGGCAGGAACAGGAAAGTCTACAATTGCTCGTACGGTGGCCCGGACCTTCGCCGACCAGCAACGACTAGGGGCCAGCTTCTTCTTTAAGAGGGGCGAGGGGGAGCGGGGGAACGCCACTCGATTCTTCACCACCATTGCTACACAACTGGCTCATCATGTATCGGGGTTAGAACCCGGAATCAAGAAGGCGATTGAAGCTGATCCAGCCATATCTGAGAAGACTCTGAAGGATCAATTCGAGAAGCTGATCCTCCATCCGCTCTCAGACATGGCACATCCACCAGCCTTGAAACTACTCGTCGTAATAGACGCTTTAGACGAATGCGAGACAGACAATAACATACGAGTGATCCTCCAGCTCCTTTCGCAAACAAGGAATCTTAAGTCGGTATCATTGCGTGTTTTCGTGACAAGCCGACCAGAACTGCACATCCGCCTAGGATTTAAACAATTGCCCAACGGTACATTCGAAGACTTCATCCTGCACGAAGTCGCAAAGCAAACAATTCAACACGACATACACGTCTATATCGAGATCGAGCTCACTAAGATAAGAGAAGAGCGGTGCCTTCCATTAGAATGGCCCGGAGAAAAGCGCATCCAGACACTGGTGAACATGGCAGTCCCTCTGTTCATTTTTGCAGCCACAATCTGTCGTTTCGTAGGAGAACTCACTGGAAATCCCCGAAGGCGTCTAGAGGACATCCTTAGCTACGAAACGGAAGATGTGAGCAAGCTTGGCATGACATACCTCCCTATTCTAGAGTCACTGTTTGCAACTCAGGATAAGAAGGAGAAAATGAAGCTCTCTAGAGAGTTCCAAGATATAGTTGGGAGCATCGTGGTTCTAGAGAGTCCTCTCTCTATCACTTCGCTTGCACACCTCCTAGGAAAGGCCAAGGATGATGTCAACTGCCGATTGGACTCCCTGCACTCTGTGCTCAACATACCAAACCACGATGATGCGCCCGTTCGACCTCTGCACTTGTCGTTCCGCGATTTCCTGGTCGATATGTCCAATCAGAAGAGTCTGTTTTGGGTAGACGAAAGAGCAAGACACAAGGAGCTAGCGTCTTATTGCCTTCAACTTATGTCGAAGCCAAACGGCCTACGACAGAACATGTGCGACTTACAGCCTGGGACTTTGAGAAGCGAGGTTGATGAAGAGAGGATTATACGCAATCTATCGCCTGAATTGCAGTACGCTTGCCGTTACTGGGTGTATCATCTCAAGCAGAGCCAGCGTCTTATTAATGATAACGCTACTGCAGATACGTTCCTCCGGAAACATTTCCTTCACTGGCTTGAAGCGATGAGTCTACTCGGAGAGACGAGTAAATGTGTCTCTTTGCTAGAAACACTTTCTACGCTAGTTGAAGTACAGCTCTTACTTTTTCTAACACGATATTACACTAACAAGTAATACAGGCATCAAATGGTGCACTTTCTGCGTTGCTCCATGACGCTCGACGATTTACTCTTCGATTCCGACATATACTCCAAGATGCACCTTTGCAAATATATTCGTCAGCGCTTATATTTGCCCCAGAAGCAAGTATAGTGCGGAAAGCTTTTGTAGACGAAATGCCAGAGTGGATTGAGCTATTGTCAAAAAGAGAAGAGGACTGGAATGCGTGCCGCAGCGTGCTCGAGGGCCATACCTCCGGCGTCAACGCCGTCGCCTTCTCGCCCGACGGCCAGCTGGTCGCGTCCGCCTCAGACGACAACACAGTGCGGGTGTGGGAAGCGGCGACGGGGTCGTGCCGCAGCGTGCTCGAGGGCCATACTGACGGCGTCACCGCCATCGCCTTCTCGCCCGACGGCCAGCTGGTCGCGTCCGCCTCTTGGGACAAGACGGTGCGGGTGTGGGAGGCGGCGACGGGGTCGTGCCGCAGCGTGCTTGAGGGCCATACCTCCTACGTCAACGCCGTCGCCTTCTCGCCCGACGGCCAGCTGGTCGCGTCCGCCTCAGACGACAAGACGGTGCGGGTGTGGGAGGCGGCGACGGGGTCGTGCTGCAGCGTGCTCGAGGACCATACCTCCTTCGTCGAGGCCATCGCCTTCTCGCCCGACAATCAGCTGGTCGCGTCCGCCTCTTGGGACAAGACGGTGCGGGTGTGGGAGGCGGCGACGGGATCGTGTCGCAGCGTGCTCGAGGCCCATACTGACGGCGTCAAAGCCGTCGCCTTCTCGCCCGACGGCCAGTATATCCAAACAAATTGCGGTGATATTTGCTTGCACTCTCCTACTACGCCATTGCTGTTGTCCCAAAGAGTGCAGCCGTCCCAGATCTTTGTGCAAGACCAGTGGATTTCTCTACACCAACAGCAGATGCTATGGCTTCCTTCTGAATATCGACCAACTTGCGCTGTAGTTCACAGAAGCGTAGTATTTTTAGGGCATTCTTCAGGTTGTAGTACGTTCCTCAAATTTGATGCACAGGTCTAGTACACACTCTTTTTATCTTATTATATATTTCTTTTCTAATCTCTATTTCATAGAGGGGGCTAGGTGTTACGGCGACCGCGCCGCAACTGAATTACGATAATGACAGTGTTAGCAGCGATGACCAATGGGAAGGTAATCACGATTACGGGTTAGATGCTGAGCATAATATGGCCACGTAACAGAGTCACGTGATTGGATCTATGGCTCTGTCGGAACAGGCTCTGTAGGCTCTACGGCGCAGAGCCCACGGAGTCACATCAGGTAGCAGTATATAGAGGTGATGGATTACCGTGGTAAACCATCATTGTTAATCCACGATATAGTCTACTACATCCAGTTTTCTCACGGAAGATTACTTGTGACGTTTTGGCAACACAACCTCACCATAGTGGTTGATTGACGCATCATGTCACGGTAACCCCAGGCTACCTGACAAGCATGGATATACTACTGGCAGTAGTATATCTCAGAAGTATCGCGCGCTGGCAGCCAGCCAATAGAACAGCATACGGGTGACCCGTCTACTAGCTAATTGGTCGAATCATGGCGCTAGCTACCCTTGGTACGAAGCGAGATGATAGATCCACGTTGACTAAGGGGAAGAGGACCTTTTCTCCTTATCCAACGTCTTGTACCTACACGTAGATACCGAACGCAGTAATATCAGTCTAGCCTACTAGGCTGTCGACGTCTCTACTCGTTGCTCTCGCGACCAAAAGAGGCTTTTCGCAAGACAGGCAAGAACGCTGTAAGCTGTGCGTAATTTTTAGCTAAAAGTATTTCAACGTGTGTAGAAATAGCTTAATATGAAAGGTAAGAGTACTTGCACAGTGTTAAGACGTGTGGTTGGAGATTTGAACTGCTTGAGATAGGTACCTCGCTTATTTCTCGACAAACAGTGATTTTCTACCAACAATGAGGGACGTTATGTGCTACTTGGTGTGATGAATTCGCTGCCAGTGATGCACACTGAGAGGTAATTATGTGGTGGGCGTGAGTCGTGACAGCCTCACCTATGCCGCAGCACCACACAGGTCGGAAAGCACATTGAGTAACCCTGGCATTATCCTTGGTCACAGTTGTTTGCAAAGCGTACATTCGAGCAGAGATGGCTGTTCGTATTACTAACTACTATGCATACCGCTTCCCCGTCCCCAGCTATCTTTAGTCGTAACTACACGTGGAGAACGGAAGATGTCGCTTCAAAGACTCAAGTCAAATACAATGCCCATACCCCAGCCGATCCCTCCCGTGCTGCCGATGAACGCCGAAGGGTATGCTAGGCGGTCGAGCGAGCGGTTGTGGAGGCCGGTGTGGTGTTGTGGGGCAGGCGTGGTGGTGGTACAGTACAGTAGGTTACAATGGCAGATAGGAGGCCGGTCGATCGATCATGGCGAGAAAGGCTGCTTTACTCGTTGATCTTGGCGAGCAGCTCGTGGTCGCGGAAGAGCGAGTACTCCTCCTCGCCGACCTTGAGGGGCGAGCCGCCAAACTGTTGCGCGTTAGCAATGGTTTCGCCGGCACGTCTAGGGTGCTATGCGAGGCAGGCAGAGCGGTCGCATCAGTCCCGAAAGATGGTTAACGGTTCGACAGCATAGACGTGTCTAGTCGATGGTGTTGGTGGGTATCATCATCGCGCCGCGCTGCCTTTCCTCGTCTTCAATGGCAACGTACCTGGGGAATCAAGACCTTGTCGCCGGGCTGGACGCTGACGGCAACGCGCTTGCCCTCCTTGTCGTAGGCGCCGGGGCCGACGGCGAGCACCTTGGCCTCGTTGAGCTCCTTGACGGCGCTGTCGGGCAGGAAGATGCCGGTTGCGGTCTTGGCCTCGGGCTTGATGCGCTGCACGAGGATGCGGTCGAGGAGCGGCGCGATGCTGCGGATGGACTTGATGGCAGACTGCGGCACGCGTTAGCCATGTGCAAGCTGCGGCAAGCGCGGGCGAGGTGAGGTGATGCATGCGGAGCGCATCGGGGGTGAAGGACGGGTGCTGCCGCTGCCCTCCATGGCAGGGAGTGTGCTTACCATTGTGAGAGAAGGCACGAGAGGTAGAATGGGGTATCTAGAAAGCTTGCTGGAAAAGGTGAATCGAAGGGACGAGGAGCTCTGGGATGGACGGGAGAGATGCTTTGGAGCTCTGGAAAATTCTAGACGGATGAGAAGCGTCGGGGCCCGTGCGCTTTCCGAAGCTCCTCAGACCTCGGAACCGCATCGCGCGTCTGTGGCTGCCATATCCTTGTACGCCATCTCGACTTCTGCGTCGCGCATCGTTGCTGCGCGGTCGATGCTGCCGCTCGGCTCACGTTTATGTGGACGCGGAATGCCGCCTGCCTGCGGAGCTGCTGCTCTGCTCTTGCCCGCGGTGGACGCGCGCGGCGAGCAGATGAGCCCAGAAGACGCGTTCGCGACGCCATTGCGTCCTCACATGCCGTCCTTCGACGGCATGCACATGCACACCATGGCCCGCTGAAGGCCGAGGGCGCCATTGGAGACGCTGAGTTTCTTGGAGCGCTGCGGCAGGTGCTGCCCGTGGAAAAGCTCCAGCCAACGTCGGCACCAGTTGGCCTTGCTGTCAGCGGAGGCGTCGATTCCATGGCCATTGCGACGCTGTATTCGAGATGCAAGCAGTCCCACCGCCTACCCGACCTGCATGGAATCATTGTCGACCACAAAGCGAGGCCGGGAAGTGGTCAAGAAGCGCAGTGGGTTGCAGAGCAGCTCGCGACCCGTAAGATATCTCCTCAACACCTTACCTGCGTCTCACGCTGCTGACTTGATGCAGTGGGCGTCAAGTCTACCATAATCCCAATGGTGTGGCCCGAGGGCTTTGACCTTCATACATCCACCAGATTCGAAGCTGAGGCACGTAAACGGCGATACGAAGCACTGGGGAAGACATGCAGAGACAAAGGCATCGGGTCGTTGATCATGGGCCAGCACAAAGACGACCAAGCAGAGACACTCTTGATGCGCTTGAGCTCGAACCGCCACAGGTCCGGGCTCGCGGCCACGACACGCATCGGATGGATCCCAGAGTGCTTCGGTGTCCATGGCGTGTACCACAGTGGCAGTCCTGCATCGGACAAGAGTTCTGTAGCTCCGTTCTTTGAGCATGGCGGCATGCAAGTTCTGCGACCGATGCTGGACTTTGAGAAGAGCAGGCTGATTGCGACGTGCGAGATGCACAGCACCCGTTGGGCAGAAGACGCGACGAACCACGACAGAACGCTCACGGCACGCAACGCTGTCCGTTATATCCTGCGAAATCATAAGCTTCCGGAGGCCCTCTCAAAAGACTCGGTCGTTTCGGTCGGCCAGAGTGTCCAATCCCGGCTCGAGAAGCACAAGGCCGCCGCCGCAGCGCTTTATAGCTCTTGTGACTTCAAGTTGGACATCCAGACCGGCTCCCTCGTCGTACGCTTTCCACCCGTAGAGGCCTTCTTCCCAGATTCAGATCCCGACCATGTTCCGTCGCCATCAGAGAAGCTGCAAGCCCGCGCCACAGCCCAATATCTTGTCGAAGCCTTCCTCAGACTTATTTCCCCCAGAGAACACCTCATCCTCGAAACTATCGCAAACTCCGTAACCTGGTTCTGGCCATCCCTCCACCCAGACAATCTCCCACCCCGCACATGCCAGTACAATTCCACCAACGACTGCCTCTTCTCCCACGTCTCCCACGTCTCCCAGAACCAGGACGACCCAAGCACCAAGCACCTCGGCCCATGGTGCGTCTCCCGCCAGCCTCCCTCAGGGCCAAACTTCGCAAACATCCGCGAGGTCTTCCCACCCAGCCAGACCTCAGACTGGCGCCTCTTCGACGGCCGCTACTGGATCCGCGTACACAACCACACAACCCGTCCTATTACCCTGCGTTTCCTCAAGGACACGAAGCTGGAAGCACTGATGCGGCTCGACCCCACCGTCAAGGGCTACCGCAACTTGCTCGACTCGGGCTTCGACGCGCGCGCCTCCGACCGAAGGAGGCACCTGCGCGCCGCCCTCGAGGCCATCAAACCGCACCGCCTCCGGCGCCACCTTCCTGCGCTCTTCCTCGAGCCAGAGCTCGAAGGCGGCGACCCTGAGCTCCTCGCGCTCCCCACGCTGCAAGCCAGCCCCGACCCCAACGACCCCAGCGACCACTGGGAGTGTCGCTGGGAAATCAGATACAAGAAAGTAGATCCCGGTGCAGGGCGGTGTCTGGACGACATCGCTACGCGCCCCGTGTTCCACCCGCTCGAATCCGACCCCCTGACGCTCGAGCAGGAAGCCACCAGAGCGCAGCTCGATGCGCTGGGGCTTCTCAACTCCATCCCCGAGCCCAGGGACCTAGCGCAGGAGAAGAGGGACAAGAAGAAGAGATATCGAGAGCGGAAGAAACTCCACAGAGAGCAAGGGAAAAAGGACAATGAGCACGCCACACATCAGCAGCTGGCGCACGACCAGGGCGTGCTCCTGACCCAGGACATGCGCGAGATGCTGCACATGTCTACTGCGGAGGAGAAGGGGAAGGGCAAGTCGAAATCGATCGCGTGGGGGGCGGACGTGGGGCTGGTGAAGGATCGCGACGAAAACGGCGAGCACATTGTGCGATGGAAGGGATTGCCGCCCCCGGTCGCGGTGAAGAGGCTGGTTCCGACGAAGGTGTGGCGGAGGACGTGGTGCAGCGATTAAGCAACCAACATGGGACTCGCTTTAGCCTCAGCGACAACGGTCATCAAGAGCTTGCTTTTGGCGCGGATGTGGAAACAGGATAAAGGGGTCATTGCCCTGGCTGCGCGCAGGCGAAGTCGCCAGGTGTTGTGCGGATTTTGTGCGATGAATTGTCCACGACTTCTCGCGTCATACATATTCTTGATATGTGTCTTCGTCATCCGAATGCAGGCACAGGAGCGTGCAATCGTCGAAAGAGACGGACGGAACGCGCCTCCCGAATATATACACCGAGAATTTCATATGAGGTGTATCAACGCCCTCACGCCCACGCACACCGTTCTTATCTCTCCCAGACCAAACCAAATTCAACACCGCGCCCACTCCCTACGTTGGCACACTGCCTACCAACTCTCTCCAAACCTCACACCTCTCCCCCCGTCCTCCTTCCCACCCCCACGCCCCCACAACCCCAAACTGATTCCGCACCCCGGGCTCCTCAAACTGCGTCACCTGCACGCCAAATTGCGTCGTCGCAGTATACGCCGTCCCACCCGTGGTGTTCAAATTCACCATCTGCGCCTCTCTACCTTCTTTCCACCTCGGCCAGCTGTCAAGCCCTGGTTCACCTGCCACCGAGGGATCGCCTCGCGTGACGAAGTTCCCCCAGATGTTGCGGAACGCACGGGAAAAAGAGGGGGGTTGTTGGGGTTGGTTGGGCCCAAAGTAGGCGTACACGTCTTCGAGGTGGGCGGCGAAGGGGACCGAGTACTGGTAGTGGAAGGATGGGCGGGAGGAGGCTGTGTAGGCCGTGGAGAGCCAGTAGGAGGGGCAGATGAAGGTTGCTTCGCCGATGATGGCCTGCACATTGCATCTTTGCGTCAGCGTTTGCTACAGGGGTGGTGTGCGGGAGAGGAGAGGAGAGGTTGGGCGGACAAGGGGGCGTACGTTCGCGCGCTGCAGATGCCCCGTGGCGACCTGGCTCATGTTTGTATTTGCTGCGCCCGTGAGCCCGTTGGTGGCGAACTTTGCTGCAGAGGGGTCGTCCGGGGCGTCGGTGTTGGGATACATGGCGAGTACCTTTTCTACGTCTTGCGCGCTGAAAAAGGGGTATTTGAGCGCCAGCCACGCCTTGAGATCCTCCAGCGTGCTGATTTCGTCCTGTGGGACGAACAGCGCGCCCTCGTTCGCGTTGGTGCCAACGAGGATCGCGCGGCCGTTTAGTTTGGTCCTGCTGCTGGAGAGCATCTTGCTAGGGAGGCCGGTGGTGAAAGTCCCGTCTGTCACGGGGTCGAAGGCCCACGTGCGGTATACCTTGCCTGAGGTCGTGACGTTGAAGTTCGCAAGCTGCAGGACAGCAGCGTCTTTGGCGCGGAGGCAGTCAAGCACCGGTCCTGAGGATCCGCAGCCCGCCTGTGCTGCAAATGAGTAGTACTTCTGTGTTGGGACGTCGCCATCGTAGGCGTGTTGGCCCGGCAGATACGGCGACGCAGCGATGCTCTGGAACTTTGACTTCAGACTCGGTGCAAGACTGAGAAGCAGCACGGCGCCTGCACCCGCGGACTCGCCGGACACGGTGATGCGGGTGTTGTCGCCGCCGAAGCGGTGGATGTGCTTTTCGATCCACTCCAGAGCGAAAGCGATGTCGAGGAGGCCCGCATTGGGGACGCCTTTGGCATTGACTTCGCTGGACGAGAGGAAGCCGTAGGGCCCGAGCTGGAGCGTGTCAGTGGCTTGTCATCACACGGGAACCATCTCCCGTACTCTATACTGAATGGACACGCCGATGAAGGCATTGTCGTTGTCGTTAATCATGGCACTCATGTCGGTCCGTCCGTCGCCCCAGCCATACCCGCCGCCGTGAATCCACATCAACACGGGAAGCTTCTTCGCGCGGGGGCCAGACGGCGCGTACACGTTCAAGAACAAGCAGTCTTCGTCACCTGAGCGAAATCAGCAAAATCACACTTCCACCGAGCTACCACGGTTTGCCCTTACCTTCTGGCATCGGCGGTGCGCCAGCGATCGCAGGATATGACTGGAAGCAAACGGAGCCATATTCGGAGGCGTCTTGGACACTGCGATCCGTCTCCGGTGTCTGCGGCGCTTTCCAGCGTAGTGCTCCGCGCGGCGGCGCAGCGTAGCGGATCCTGGAGTTGTGAGCTGACAGTGCACATGAGAGCTGCGGGTGAGTCTTCTCCGTACCCTAGCCAGACATTGAGGTCGGTGCCGGCGTCGTGGTACCCCTTGTACAGCGCATATCCCAAATCGACAAGGTGGTCGGGTGCGGCTAGGGACCTCTGTGCTGTTATACGCTCGACATTCAGGTCATCAGCTTTGGCCCCGAACAGTGTTGCCGCGAACAATGACAGCAGGATGGGCGTGTGCCACATGCCGATACCTATGGTAGTTGATGGAGTGCGGCTGTTCTCGAGAAGACGTTGCCAGTCTCTGGCCTCGCAAACATATATATATCCACATGGCAACGTTGCGGTATAGGGCTTGCTCTACGGCCGCAAAGGGAATACAATTCGAATCGCGTGTGTTGGATCCCGTTCAGATCCCCTGGGCGCGGCGCCCAAGGCCCACCGGCCATTGGCCGGAGCACGTAGCGCACACATGCTCGCCGGAATAGCCTCGTAGCATCTGCGATCTTGCCCGCCACATCTTCGTATCGCCCGTGCTCCAGTCTCGCTTGGTATCGATTTCTCGTTAGCATGCGCTACGCTTAGGATCGTTCGGGTTCCGATGGAGACGCCAAGGATAATGTAATGCGAAGGAAATACGAGGCACAAAAGGCGCCGACGTATTCTTTGTGACTTGGTGGGCGTGTCCAGGTCTGCGACGTCGTTCGAAAAATACTCGTACCGCGGCGTGGATGTGGAGGGAAAGTAAACTTCTCGCCCCCACGTGGCGTCCACCGGACGATTTGCCTGGGGTTTGGGGCGGTGCAAAGCAAGAATGATGGTTCTTCCAGGTGGGCGGAACTGCCTATAGCGTTGCCAGATATTAGGGGATTCTCCGTATGGCATTTCAAAACAAGGTGGAAATTATGGTGGTAGGGGTGCGACACGGTCAGCTGGGCTAAGCTATTCATTGTTAACATTCTTCCTACTTCTCGCATCTCTAGCGTCTACATGTCCTGACCCGCAACTTCGTGACATATGAACTGAATCGGCCGGCAGAAGGCTCACACTGATAAGTGTGCCAAGCTCACAAATCCCGCATTCGCAGCTTCAGACAAGTGCCGTAAATGATTCATTCAAGACCCCCGGGCTCGCGCCGTCTATATGGGCTGTCCCACTCGTTCCGTTCAGCAGCTTTTGGCAGAAACCCAGACCACCCCCAACGCCGGTCCCATGCCATGACGAAGAAAGCATTATCATCTCATCTCATCAAGTTACGCTAAACCGCCCTCTATGACTCCCCCGGCAGCAGGTTGTTCTTGACCGCAAACATCTTGGTGGTGACGCCCGCCGTGAAGCCGTCGACCTGGCGCGCGTACTGCTCGACCTGCCGCGAGTTGAGAAGCGTCTCCAGCCTGCTGGGCTCCTGCGGCAGCTTGAACAGCCTCTGCCACTCGTCCTCTGGGAGCAGCGGCTGCTTGGATGCCGTCCTTGCCGCGTTCTCGGCCTTGCGCTTCTGCTGCCACGCTGTGATCTTTGCTTGCTCACGTGCAAGCGAGCGCTGGTAGTACTGGTGGTTGTTGAGCTCCGTGTGGTGGTTCTCGATGCTCTCGAGCAGGAGATCGCACGTCTTCTCGAGGAAGGGGTCGATGGCGAGGTCGAGAGAGTCGTAGTTGGGGAAGAAGGGCGGTTCGGGAGTGTTGGGATCTTGCAGAAGGGCGGCAAGGTTGGGCGGGAACGAGAGCTCCTCTTTGGGAGCATCCGAGGGGAGCTGGTGGAGGAGCGAGGTGAGGAGGTGGGAGTTGTGGATGGTGACGGGGATCTCGACGAGGATGTCGTGGTAGCGGAGGCCGCTCTTTTGCAGGCTGCAGTTGTTAGCTTCGTTCCCGAACATGGGAGACGGTCCATACTTGTCGGTGGTGAATTTGCCCTCCTTGTACGCCGCAACGAAAGCGGGCGAGAGCCTGTAGGCGCGCAAGCTCAAGCTACCCTGCGAACTCCTGCTCACATCGTGCACCAGGGCGATGGCCTTCTCGTTGGGGTCTTTCTGGTAGAAGAACTGGTTCTCGATGGTGTTGAGGTTGATGAAGTTGCCCATGCTGGTGCTCGTGTACCAGCCGATGTTGTTGGCATCGACGTTGACCTCCCGCAGGAACTTGATCATCTCGTTCTGGTAGGCGAGGTTCGCCTTGGCGCGGGGTGCTGCCGCAGCGAGGTCCTTGTGGTTGTGGTTGTCGCGGTGGTCGTCGCTGGCGGGGACATCGACGTTGGGGAAAGGGAAGCATGAGGTGACTTCAAGGAGTCCGGGCTGGTCGAGCGACTCCATGCCCACGAGCGAGCCGGTCGCGACGGTAGGGAAGGTTTTGGCGGCATGATTGACGAGCTTCATCACAACCTGCGAAAGTCAGAGGGGCTGGTGGGGCACCGGTAGAGGGTGCGCGGGCGGCATACCAGGGCTTCAACCTGCACCGCCTTAATGGGCGAGTCCTTCAGAGCGTCGGCCATGTTGTCGGTCGTCGGGAAGGAGAGAGTCGTTGTGGTGGGGCTGCGCAGTTTGGGCGTGTTGGAGTCGTCGCGAATTTCGCTGCGTGCGAACAGTGTTGCCAAGATTTCTGGGACTGCACTAGACCAGGATCGTGATAGCTCCCAGCACTGAATCATTGGCTTTCAGCGCTCACTTTCACTGCCGCAATCGACACATTTCTTTTACTACCCAATTAGGAAGTTTGCCCCAGCCTCCCAAGGATGTAATCTGGTACACTTTCACTACCTCAATCGACATGACTTTTCAATTACTCAGTTGGGAAAGTTATGCATGCGTCCCAGAAAGAAGCCATCTACACTATCTGGCACAGCCTTTAGACCGATACATTCGAGCTAAACTTGATCTGAGCAGTATGACTGCAGATTTAGACACTACGTGAACAAGATGCTTTACTCGCATTCACGGAAAAAGGTCGCTGGCTATCTAGCTGACGCCCCCTCAAAAGACCCACAGGGTAACAAGACTGCCGTACCCCTTCAACGCCGCCCAATGCAATCGCTGATACACCAAAGCGCCATGAATGCCCCCCTAAATCACACAATCTCCTACCCCTGCTTCTGCTTCTTCACTGGCAGCGCAGGAACCTTGAAACCCCCGCTATCCACTTTCGCCGTGCTCGTCCCATTCAGCTGCGTGAACGTCCCGCCCTTGAACCACCTGTCCTCCTCGGCTTTTCGCTTTCGGTTCATCTCCTCCCTGATCTTTGGATCCACAAGCTCAAGCCCTTGCACAGGCGTGAACGCAATGGAGCTGGTTCCCGCACCGGGGAGCCCCACGCCGCCTGTCCGCAGACCCGAAGCGCGCAGACTGGTTGCCGTACCACCGGCACCGAAGCCCCTGAGCGACGTGTTTGCGCCGTTGAGCGAACTATCGCCGCCCCAGCCGGGGTTCTTCTTGGAAAGTTTGGCGCGCGTCTTTGGGTCTATTTGGTGCGCGCGGAGGCGGCCTGTATCTGTCGCGCCAATCATGCCCATGCCCTTTGTGGAGTCGCCTGCACCGTACCCGACCTCCTTTTCTTCTTTGCCGAACGCCATGCGGTTTTGTGCTTTGCGGATCTCCGTCATGGCGGTAGCTTCCTTGGCCTTCCTCGCGCGCCGTCCACCGCGTTTACGGGCGGGCTTATCATCTGGGGCGGGGAGCGCTCTTACGCCTTGATTTTTGGGTGGCTCAGTGAGCTTGTCGAGGCGGCGCTCGCACTCGTCTTTGAGTTCCCGACCGGTGGAGCCGTCTGGAGATTGATGCACCATGTCTACACGAGCGGCGAGGATGAGCTTCCCCGAGACGATGCGCATGGCTTGTTTTTTGAGGTCCTGGCGAACGGTTTGGAGTAGGGGGCTGTGGTAGAGGAAGCCTTGGTGGCGGATACCAACATTAGTTGCGAAGCCGAGGCCAGTGGCTTTGTTAGAGCCCAAAGGTGGGATGTTGCAGGCAGGAGTCTTGGCAAGACCAGCGAGACCTCCGGCGTAGTTGATAAGTTGAGCCGCGGTCAGGGAGCCGATAAGAATCGTGAGGTTGGGAGCGAAAGCAGCCATGCGGGACTGGACATACTCGATGAGGATGCCTTTGGCTTTGTCAAGATGAAGAAGCATCATGCAAGCATCCAAGATGGCTTGGAGCTCTGCGTCGTTAAGGTCTCGGCCTGCTGCTCGCGAAGCTTCAACGGTGACGACCATGAGTTGAGGGCCTTCCAAGATCGTCTTCAAAGGTACACCGACCAGATTATCCGTACTCTGAGCAATCTCTTTGATATTGTCCAGAGGTCCGTTCTTGATGATGGCGACGGTCTTTGCGTAGTCGATGGGGTTCTTAATGAGCTCTTCGAGGTACGGGAACCGCAACGAATAGTGGTCGCGAATGAACTTGTGCACAAGCATGATCTCGTCGTCAATCTGGGTTGAGTTCTCGTTGGCATCCTTGAGCAGCTGGTACTCGGGGTTGTCTTCGATCGACTCTCCGTCCATAACCTCCTCCATCTTGTCTTTGACCGCCTCAATCTGCTCCAGGATCGGCTTCAGCTTCGCAATCAGATTCGCAGCACCCCTGATATCCGCTGGCCCTTTTTGTTTCTTTTGCTTGGCCGCGTACTCGGCTTCCTCGTCTGCCATGTTCTCGTCTCCATCTTCGTCGGCCGACGCGCCGCCACCAAAGTCGTTCTCCAGGTCGGCCAGGTCGTCTCCGAAGTCCCCTCCCATGTCCACCTGCTCTTCATCAGACCCCACGTCCGCGAAATCCGCGAGAAGCTCCTGCTCCAAGGTCGCCATATCTGCGACACTTCTTTCTGAACCGTGAAATGTGGTGGCGCGCCCTGCTGCCTATACGTCGCAAAGATGGCGGCACAGACTACCGGCCGGAGGAAACCCTCCTAGTGAAAAGTGGTTGAGTGGGTGGTGTCGCAAAGCTGCAGCAGTAACGTACCTCTAGCGCGGTGTGGCCGCGGAAGTGAAGTCGGTCGCGTTGTTGTCTGGCGATGGAGAAAAGAGAAGTTGCGGCCGAGGTGACGGAGGGCTACTTTCTTAGTGTCCGCCATTCTGCCACGCGACACCGCCCAGCCCAGTGAATTTCGCGCCCCAGCTCCAACACCCATCCCTCCACTGACTTCGCAGCGCCACGAGCGCGTTGACGGCCACGCGTGTTTCCGCTCTCCCGAACACAATCTCCATACACCCCTCCGACAGATCCCACCATGGAGTCCTCCCGAGGCCCGCCGCGGGTCAAAAACAAGGCCGCAGCGCCCATCCAGATCAGCGCCGAACAACTCCTCCGCGAAGCTGTCGACCGCCAGGATGAGAAGCTCAAGGCGCCAACGCAGCGCTTCGCTGACATGGAGGAGCTGCACGAGTTCCAGGGCCGCAAGCGCAAGGAGTTTGAGGACTACGTCCGCCGCAACCGCATAAATATGAACAACTGGATGCGCTATGCCCAGTGGGAGCTCGAGCAGAAGGAGTTCCGCCGCGCGCGCAGCATCTTTGAGAGAGCGCTGGATGTGGACAGCACGAGTGTTGCGCTGTGGATACGGTACTGCGAGGCGGAGATGCGGAATAGGAATATCAACCATGCAAGAAACGTTTTTGATCGCGCGGTCACAATTCTCCCGCGCGTGGACAAGCTGTGGTACAAGTATGTATACATGGAAGAGACGCTGGGGAACATTGAGGGTGCAAGATCGGTGTTCGAGCGCTGGATGCAGTGGGAGCCCGAAGAGGCGGCGTGGTCGGCATACATCAAGCTGGAGAAGAGACACGGCGAGTTCGAAAAGGCACGCGCCATATTCGAGCGCTTCACCGTCGTGCACCCCGAGCCAAAGAACTGGATCAAATGGGCCAAATTCGAGGAAGAGAACGGCACAAGCGACCTCGTCCGCGATGTCTTCGGCACCGCCGTCGAGACGCTGGGCGACGAGTTCATGGACGAGAAGCTCTTCATGGCGTACGCCCGCTTCGAAGCCAAACTCAAGGAATTCGAACGCGCCCGCGCAATCTACAAATTCGCGCTCGACCGCATGCCCCGCTCCAAAGCCGCAACCCTCCACAAAGCATTCACTCAGTTTGAGAAGCAGTACGGCGACCGCGACGGCATCGAGGACGTCATCCTCTCCAAGCGCCGCGTCCACTACGAAGAGCAGATCAAAGAGAACCCCAAAAACTACGACGCGTGGATCGACTTTGCACGGCTCGAAGAAGCATCCGGCAACACCGACCGCGTGCGCGACGTCTACGAGCGCGCCATCGCGCAGATCCCGCCCACCCAGGAGAAGCGCCACTGGCGGCGCTACATCTACCTCTGGCTGTTCTACGCCATCTTCGAGGAAACCGTCTCCCGCGACGTCGAGCGGACCCGCCAGATCTACACGGAATGCATCAAACTCCTCCCCCACAAGCGCTTTACCTTCGCTAAAGTCTGGCTCATGGCCGCGCACTTTGAGCTCCGGCAAAACGCACTACCCAAAGCACGAAAACTACTCGGCCAGGCAATCGGCATGTGCCCCAAGGACAAGCTGTTCAAGGGGTACATTGAGCTCGAGATGAAGCTCTTCGAGTTCGGCCGCTGCCGCACCCTCTACGCAAAGTACATCGAGTTCAACGGCGCCAACACGTCGACGTGGATCAAATTCGCCGAGCTCGAGCGCGGCCTCGACGACCTCGCGCGCGCGCGCGCCATCTTCGAGCTCGCCGTCGACGAGCCCCTGCTCGACATGCCCGAGCTCCTTTGGAAGGCCTACATCGACTTCGAAGAAGGCGAGGCCGAATACGACCGCACGCGCGCGCTGTACAAGCGCCTCCTCGAAAAAACGGACCACGTCAAGGTGTGGACCTCGTGGGCGCAGTTCGAGCTCAGCGTGCCAGACGCCGACGCGCCACCGCCCGAGGACGATGCCCCGCCGTCCCCCACCGCCATCGCGCGCGCCCGCGCTGTCTTCGACGCAGCGCACACGCGCCTCAAGGAGCGCGAGCTCAAGGAGGAGCGCGTGGCGCTGCTCGCCGCGTGGAAGTCATTCGAGGACGAGGTCGGGACCCCCGACGACCGCGCGCGCATCGAGAAGCAGATGCCGCGCAAGGTCAAGAAGCGCAGGAAGCTCGACGACGACAGCTTCGAAGAGTACGTCGACTATGTGTTCCCCGCGGACGACCAGAGCGCGGCGAATATGGCGCGGCTGCTGGCGAATGCGGCGAGGTGGAAGAAGGAGAAGGAGGCGCAAGCGCAAGCGCAAGGACAGACGGCGGAGGAGTAGGAAGGACGGCTGGGAAGTGGGCAAAGATGTGTACTATACCATGTGGATATTGGAGAGTGGGCGCTATTTTGGGGTGGATTATACGTTTAAGGGGCGCAAATGCGTGACCTGCAATGAACAGCTATCGATACTGCTGGGTGGCGCTTTGTATCTGAGTGAAACGATACTGTTCAGCATCTGTGAAACCGACATCTACAGTCGATCGAGGGAGTGTTGGATGTACACAATACCCGCATTCCATAATGCGGTCAAAAGAAGGCAGACAAGGGAGGTGATAGCCATCCAGGCAACGAGCTGCGAGATTAGAGGTGTCAACCAGCTAGTATGGACACAGATCTACATGCGCCAACGAACGGTCGGCGAAAAAGCTGCTGCAGAAGTATTAGTCCATTGTAAACAGCAAGAAAGACATGCCTAGAAATGTTGTACGAGTTTCAGAAGGTGAGGAAGCGAGATGGTCAGACAAGATCTTAGAAATAGAGCTAAGATGGGGATCAGTAGTCTGCTGCTCTTTACCGTTGTGAAAGGTCATGCCCAACGGCGGCCATTCATGCAGGACAACGCCAGGATAAGTAAGTTGTAACGTGTCCAAATAGTCAATTGTATCGCAACGGTCCAAAAGCATCTACCAAAACGCCGTGTGTAAAGTCGACCAACAGAGTGGTATCATGAACGCAGATAATTCGAGCTTGACCAAATCCAAAAAACCGGAGCCGCAGGGGTGGTTCCGATTCCGAAATAACGTTATAACAAGAAGAAACCGCCATTGTGAGTTGCGGAGCGCAACTCCGAAGCAAGCTTTTCGTATCCAAAGAGAGAGTCCAATATGTACGCCCGGGAACGCCGATATAGTACAGCGAGGTTGCCCTGGGAGAGGCAACGCTCGGTGGTGGTATTATGCGAGGTGAAAGGTGATCCAAGTTCTGAGATGAGGCATGTAGGCCCAGGGTCAGAGGTATTGGGCGGATGGATGCCTGAATGCGTACGAGTGACCATCGGGCGTGGTGCTGAGAGATGGCGATTCGCTTGGTGGACGCAGTACCATCTGTGCTTCGACATCAGGTATTGTCCACTGCACATCCATCTTCCCCGCATGTCCACGCCCTGGTGATTGTCATCGGTCCGGTCTGCTGTATGAATATTCCTGTACAGGTGACCCTCGTGGTGAGCGTCGGAGTGGTGGCGATCGGTGAAGAGGAGACGTTCGAACGGCGTCCGAGGCGCGCACCGCAGCTGCGCTAGGCGATATGGGCGCCGACTTTCCTATTACTGGTGTGGTCTTCGCTGAGCCACTGCCATGCTGCTTCACAGTTCGCATAGTTGAAGGTGTCGCAGGAGACCGTCCTCCTTGTGGTGCACGTGGAGTCGTGCTCGCTCCGCTGTCGACACTGATATGCTTCGTGCGTGGTGTGGTATTCTGAGACGTACCACCTGTGAAACGTTGTGCATCAGAACGTGGCGTGCCCTCGTGGCTGCCACCTTCCTTGCGCCTCGACGTCTTGGTTGCAGAGTTTGATCGACTACGAACAGGAGCTGGTGGAACCTCTGTTACTGGATGGGCAGTGGAAGGTGCATCGACAGGTCTTCGCGTGGTTTGCGGGCTTCCTTGGCTAGGCAGATTGGACCTGTCGCTCCTCTGAACGCCATCACCACGTGGTTGTGCGCCTCCGGGAGTGACAGCCGATGCTGGTTCAGGGGTTGCCATACCTCCAACGCGTGGTGTAGCTTCCCAGCTCTTGCGCTTCATCATGCGACCTAATATGCCTACCAGTTCAGCCGCGTCCTCGAACTCGCTATCGTCCATTGCCTCTTGCGCGCGATACACATCTTTGATCGCACGTCTAGCTATGCGGCGAGACTCTTCGTGATCGTGCACGCAGTCCCACAGAAAGGCACTGTGTTCAAGAGCCACTGATAATCTTAATGGGTGTGATCCGGGAAGGTATTGTGTGGCGTAGCCGCTGGCTGTTGTAAAGTATCCCCCAGCAAGTGGAACAAAGTTCAAAGGTGGCAGAATGAACGACGATGGCTGAGGGATAGGGACATGATGAAAACCTGGAGGCGCGCCTGGAGGAGCAGGTGACGGTGTGCCGACCGGACCTCCTGTTGCATAGGGATTCGTGACGAAGGAGGTCTCTGAGACGATGGAGTCGATAGGCTCTCGCAGCATGGGTTGCTTTCCAGCGCGCTTCGACGAGGGCGAAAGGTTTGATGCGTCGCTGGGACGCTGTGCGTTACCGTTTCGCTCGGATAGGGGTAGCGAAGGCACGCCGAGTGTTCTAGGATCTGTAGTCGTCATATTTGTTTGCGTGACGGGCGGTTGATTGTGGAACAAGCAGAAGATGTGGTAGAAGCTCGCTCGCAGCTTGACGCTAAGGACTCTACACTCTGGTCCATGTTGGTTGTCCTGGGCATACGGTAGGACGCAAAGCTCTAGAATGGAGAGACCCTCGCGCGACAGCCAAAGGATGTGTTGGTAGAGGGCGAGAGATGGCGTGTCGCGACTGGTATCGAGCTTCCGTAGCTTTCTCGCTCGAACGAGTCGCCGTGCGAGGAGGACTGATAGGCCGAGAATCTGGTAGAGCGAAGCGGAGAGGAGCGGATGGCTGTCTGCTGTCTGCTTGGCGATCCGACCCAGGAATTTCTGGTCAAAGTCCAAGGTAGCCATTCTTCAGCAGCTGTCGGACACGTCAGCGTTTCCGATGGCGGAAATAATGATGCTAGGCGATGTTGTGGAGAGAAGGGTAGATACCGGGGTGGTTGGGAAGGCACGCTCTGAGCACCCTTTCCTCAGAGGATGGAGAATCTCTCACCCACTCTCACTATTCTCACACTTCTCTCCGGGAGCAAGACGAGATGGTTCCAATGATGCGGACGAGGGTGGAAGAGAGGGATTCTCGCATGTAACAAACAGAAAGGTGCGCTCACCATCAACGACTCGCCGGACCGCCGCGCCGTATCTCGAAACCGACACAGCGACTTGGCCCAAGCTGAACAAACGACTTTGATAGACGTTGCCGGAGAAAGGAGCGTCAAAGCTGGGCGCGATTGCAGCCAATTGACCCGTTTCAGGAGCGGCACCGTGCGCAGAAGTCGGCGGTGAATGGCGGTTCTCGTGACCAGTCTTTGTTCGACGTTGGATGTTGACGGGGTGATATCCGGCGATGGAGGGCGGATGTTGGACCTTCTCGGCGCCTTCCAAGTTCTGAATTAGGTGGTAACAATGGGATTGTTATGGTACACGGTGTGGGTATACTGATGCGGACGGGCCCAAGCTGGGCTGGTAATATACAGTCGGCCGTTGCAAGGGCAGAAATGTCCAGGGGGACTGCACAGCTGTCAGCACCGGGGCCGGAGAATGAAGCACTTCACTGCGTGCGTTGGGCGTACGGTACTCCAGATGACCCCAAACGGGACAAGGCAGAATGGTGTGGATGGTCGAGTGGGCAGCTCTCGTCCCATTCGACGAGCGGGATGACGTGGGAGCCAATGGGCGCGCGCTGCTGGTGAGGCGCGACTCGGGACGACGTGCGGCGGGCTCAGCAAGCGTCAATCATGAGGCGGGAGGTGCAGGAGGCTGGCAGGTCGGGTTCGAGAGCCTCAGACAGCGCATTGCGACGTCGTCTGGCCTCGTGGTCGCCCGCGCGAGGAGCTGCGACGGTATAAAAAGCGCGACGGTCGGCAGGCGGTGTGGAGCGGTCAATGCTCGTGTTTGAAAGCTATGCCCGCCGGAGGAGCGCTCGGCACACACAACCAGGGAACTCTGCAATTGCGGCGCGCCGCTCGCGGGCGCGTCCGTGTCTGGAGCCGCAGCGGGGCCTCCTCCGTCTCGCGACAGCAGGCTTGGTGTTGAGAACGAGTGCAAGCCACGCAGCAGGTGCGCGCAGCGACAATGGTACGAGCGGGAGAAACTGGCAGGGCGGCGCAGAGGCAATCGGTGCTACTATAATCCTCCATCTGCGCCCAGTCGAGCGGGACTCCGGAGTGCAGCTCCTGCGTCAATCTTGCAGCGGCGACAGCGCTGCGTTGGTTGACGTGTCAAGCGGCGACCTCTCCACTAACCGTCTCTGTCTCCTGCATCCCCGCTTGCCCTCAAAAGGTGCAAGAATGGGGCGTCGTTGCCAGCTGGCATGGAGGCGATGAAGCGCGATGCCAGCTTCTCCAGATCGCCGCCCATGGCGCCATACTTCCACGTCTTGCCAGCACGCAGTGGCAGGCCAGCTCCACCCCCATCCGAACCACAGCCACGCAACCCTGCAACGCTCGGCTGTCTGTATTTCTTTTCCCGAGGGCGTCGGTATGCTGGGCCATCAGAGGTCGTTAGCTAGGGCAGTCCGCGCCTGAGCAGCCACATGGCCAACACACCGACTGACATTGCAATGTGGCGATGGCTTCATTATCCGGACCCCACAGCGCGGCTATCGAATGCGGCTGACGGCATGTCTCAATTCCAGCGGACCTGAAGCATTATCAGGCAAGATGATTCTGTGCCAATGTCTCTGCTCAGTCGGTTTCCGCGCAGACGTTCACCGGATGCTCGGAGCATTCATCTCGCAGAGAAAAACGGACCTCCTGTCAAATCTGCCAGCGTGCAGCATTGCAGCGGTTCGCATCAGAAGTGTGCGTCGACCTCAAGCAGCGGTGAGAGGTCGCATGTGATTGGCCAAGCTACGGCACCAAGAGCTCGCAAACACACACTTGGATCTATTTTCCGACAGACCAAAGTACGTCCGCTCGTGCAGGTACGACGTGGCACAACAGGGCTGTTGCTGTCGTTCCGCCCATGGCCAACTTGCTAGCCGGAAGAAGACACCTTTGACGTGCGGCTACGTCATCCTTCTACAGTTACCAGCGAGGCAACTGAATAGTTGTGGGACTGAGCGGCTGTCAAGAACTCCCTCCCTCTCCATGACATATCCGAAGATCTTTCCTCTCGCCGAGCAACAATTTGGGTTAGAGGTGGTGGTGCGTACGTATTCTTGAGGTGACGCCATCCCGGACAATCTTCAATGACGAGGTTGGGGAAACTAAGATCTCAGGCGACTGGACTCACTAGCGGTCAATTCCATGCTCTTCTAACATTCATCGGCGGTGCGGTTGTTACTCGACGTCAAGATGCACATGCGGAATGTTCTGTCGCATGCCGACGGTGACGGGAACCTTAAGCAGGAGTGAAACTCACCACAGCACTGTATAGTCGGCAGCAGCTGAAAAAGAACAAACATCCCTAAACTCGCAATACTTGTTTTCGACTACCATTCTAGGATTGAGCGGGACTTACCTGCCAGTTAGGAATCCAGGTCCAGACCCACATGCGAGCTACCGAGCCACCACGCGATCGTGTCACTCGAGTGCCAGCGACGCGCATTGTACCTCGTAAACAAGCGCGCCGAAGCCGCGGTTTGCCATTGCATTCCTCCCCAATTAGGAAATGTCCAGAACAGCACAATCAGCCTTCTGCGGCACCGTAAGATTCGAAACGGAAAGCACATACCAGCGGGCCTTCAATTCAACGATTGCCTCAATAGCTCTGCTGCATCGCAGTAACGCAGACCCGCGACGAGCCTATCGCTGACAGTCATCGCGTGCAGTGCAATCAAACAAGCAAGAAGCTGGACTGAAGTGTCACCTGGAAGCAATGGTGGGCGTGGCATATAAGAAGCTGGTGTGAGATGAGGACCCCATCACACGACCAGAGCTGTACTCGGAGCGCCTCTCATCAGACTACCCTAAGGAGGAGGCCTCTCATCAGACTTCCAACGCGTGTCCGGGCCGCATCTGGCACGTCCACTACACACAGCGATTGACGCAGGTACGCTGCCACGTTTTACCCTTGCTCTCCCTACACATCGGTGGGATTCGCGGTCTCCTGACCACTTGATAGCTACCACACCGCTACCCCTAACCTGTGGAGCAATCCAATTCGTCCGAGTGGTTAGGGCTCACCGATCGCCCATCACCAATCTACAGGCCGAACCATTACCGATCGCCTAAGCAAAGCAGAATGTGCTTCTACCACGCCTACGCGCACCGCTGCGGCCACACAGAGATGATCTTCATCCAGATGTGTGCGGCGGCGCAAATGATACAGCGGAAGTGTCCGCGGGGTCAGGAGGGGGTGATACTGACGACCGTCAAGGTGGAACATCCGTGCAGTGGGTGTCCGAAGAAAGTAAGTTTGATATCTGCGCGAGATGATGCGGCAGAGGCTGACTGGGTGTAGTGACCCTCGCTATGTGGTGACGTAGGGGAAATTTGAAGGGAGGTTGCGTGTCAGAATGGGTAGGTAGACGACTCTGTGGGCCGGGTTGGACGATTTTTGGAGGGATAGAAGGCGGAGAAGTTTTCTCTTCATGTGCTTTCTTCGGCTTTATTTTGCGGTCTTGTATCGTGTTTTGACGTACTTGATCTTACGCTCTGTTCTTGGCCTTCTACCATTCTTACTTATTTTGTCCAACTTCTGGTTTTACTTCATGGACGCTTTGGCGCCTTCTCTTCTTATACCTTAATAGCGAATCTGCACAATTTGGTCCCTCAATCCATTCATTGGCGTATGCGATAGCTCCTCTACATAGCGTCTTGGATGGTGCCTGACTCGCGGATAAATCTCCGGGATCGGCCAGATCAACGGTCCTACGATACGGTATCTACCGCCACAGTAGAAATAGCTTCAACAAATCGCTGTAAAGTCGAGAAGATTCCGCATTGCTAGCGAAGTCTTCCACGTCTCGCCCACAATGAAACCACTATCCATCGCCGCACTGCTTACCGCCGGGGTTGGACTTGTCACAGCGACAACTTCACCATCTAGCAATGTGCTCGACGACATCATCGCACGAGGCTATCTCCGAGTGGGCACGACAGGAGACTACGCCCCCTTCACTCACGTCACCAAGCTCACCAACTCGACTACCGGAACCGACCTAATCGGCGCCGACATCGACATGGCGGAATCGCTTTCCAGCGCGCTCGGTCTCACATCGCCTCCCATCTTCGTCAAAACGGTCTGGGCCAATCTCGCCACCAACATCTCCACAGGCGCTTTCGACATCGGCATGGGCGGCATCAGCATCACGCTCGCCCGCGCACTGAAGGCCTTCTTCTCAACACCCGTCCTGCGCGTGGGAAAAGTAGCTTGTGTGCCGTGCAGCCGGGTCAGCGAGTTCTCCTCCCTCGCAGCCATCGACCGTGCGGGCATCAAAGTGGCGACGCCTGCCGGAGGCAGCAACGAGGCGTTTGACCGCGCGAACTTCCAGACGGCGGAGATCGTCGTGTATCCGGTCAATTCGGACATTTTCCGGGCGTTGCTGAACGAGACCGCTGATGTGGTCGTCACGGATCGAGTGGAGGCGGAGCTCTGGGCGGGCTTGTATCCGGATGTGTTGTGTGCTGTTCATGCTGAGACGCCGTACAGCTTCGAGGAGCTCGGGTACATAATGCCCCGGGATGTGGTCTGGCAGAACTTTGTGAATGAGTGGTTGAGGATTCAGCAGGGGAGTGGGGCGTGGAATTCCACTATGGCGGCGTGGATGAAATATGACTGGGGTCTTTGAGCGCGGGGATGAGTTTAATGAAGGTGTGGATACTAGAAACCATTTCTTGGCCTTTCATTGTACATGTGTGTTCACTCACTTATAATATCGTGCGGTCGGTGATTGAAGATACAAAATATGATGGATCACTCACTGAATGCGGGGGGAGAACTCTGGAAAATTCACATCTACGATATGAATTTCTCCTGTCAAGCATATTTGCGGGCGAGATTGACCCCGAAGCTCACGACATGGGCGGGGCCGAGTATGTTATGTTAGTTGAGGAGCAAGCTGAGCCATGGGCTGCGTTTGATGCAGCGTGGAACTGGTGTTGTGACGGAGACGGACAGTAGACCGCATTTTATATCACAGATATGCGCGATACCATGTATGAATGATAGACAGAAACCCTAATTACCCTACTCTATACTCTTTCACGATTAACCTCAACTTAAACATCAAATTCACTCCTCTTATTGGCTATAACATAAAGACTTCGCTCTTATACGCGAACAAACGCGCACGTGGCAGGGGAGGTAAGCTTGCTATACGGTGTATACGGCTTCCGTCCAAACCTCGGTTATACTTTCCGAACGCCAGCCGCCCCACTCACCTCACCCTTCGGAATCATTTTCCATTCGCTTGGGTATACTGTCGTGACCGCTTACTCCAAAGAGAAGCAGATAGTCGCTTTTCGCCAGTGTCGCGGTAGTGAGATTACGCTACTTTTGTGTTGCGCTTGAGCGGGATCAGCTGCGGGCCGTTTCAGCACAGCGGGATGGTGGGTGGTGGGGAAGACGTAGTTGATCTGGGGCGAAGAGGTGTGTTCCCCAGGTCTGGGTGGATGCGACAATCGCCTTGAGATAGGTGAAGTGGACTCTGTCGGCGTACCACCAGAAGCAGATTCAAGAACAGTATCTCCTTTTGGAACTCGTCGTCGTCAAAAGCTCGTGCTATTACCTTCCAGAAACCCTACAGTGCTGCGCAGCTATTTCCCAACTGAGCTGGACCCTGGCCCTAGCGGTTCGCCCAAACTGTGGGATCACCACCGCTCCTCCCTCTCATTGGACGGACTTCCCTTGCATCGATCATCTGCTAAGCAAAGCCCTCGGTAAGATGAGGTCCCGGGCATCGGTTGCAGGCCTCCTTCGAACGGGCCCTTCGCTGATGGTGTGCGGTGCGCGCGAGTTCACCTCGCGTGCGCGAGCGTGGTCTAGGACACAGGGGTTGTGTATGCGTGGCTACGGGAACGACACGGCTTTTAGGTCTGCGCCGCCCCTTTGCATTTTGCTCTTTACACACCCCTGGATTTTCGGTCTTCACGCTTTGCGATCGATACAGACGACTTTGGCGACGAACAGGACAGTGCAAATCTGGACTTGCTCTGCGCGAGACAGCGGGTGCTGGTCTGAGGTATTGGTTGCGCCTGTTTCGGACAGAAGTAACATTTTATCCGGATTGTCGTTTCTGCTGACGCGTTGTGTACCAGGTCGATGTAACAGCGCGTAGAGGAGCCATGGGCGTTCTAGAGACTGAGGCAAATCGGCGGTCCCTCGATACTGAAGGGGACAAACAGACAGTGGGTAATGAGAAGCAAACACTAGAGAAAGAGGATGTGCCGAATGGGAGGATAGGAGGTGAAGAGGAGGCTGAGGCGGAGACTGAGGCGACTCCTACTGCGAAGCGGTCGGAGGAGAGAGAAGCAACGGCAGAAACTGGGACTGCACAAGGAGAGAAATCGCCTGCACAAGCCGAAGCTGACGAAGTGCCAGAAGAGCCGGAAGACGAGTCGAAATACTTATCTGGTTTCAAACTCGGCGTTCTGTCTCTGGGTCTCTGTCTGACGACATTCGTCATCGCCCTAGACAACACCATTATCGCTACTGCTATCCCCAAGATCACCACCGTGTTCAATTCGCTCAACGACGTAGGCTGGTACGGATCCTCGTACTTGCTGACCACCTGCTCACTACAACCGAGCTTTGGAAAGATCTACACGTACTTCGACGTCAAGTACACCTACCTTTTCGCTCTGGTCCTGTTCGAAATCGGCTCGATTATATGTGCTGCAGCGACCAGCAGTCCGATGTTCATTGTTGGTAGGGCGATTGCTGGAGCTGGCGCCGCAGCGCTCTTCTCAGGAGGCATGACGATCATTGGCTATTCGGTACCTCTGCGCAAGCGTGCCATCTATATCGCAGCGTTGTCCTCCATGTTTGGAATTGCCAGCGTTGTGGGACCTCTTCTTGGGGGCGCGTTAACAGACAAGGTCTCGTGGAGATGGTGTTTCTGGATCAACCTACCCTTTGGAGGAATATCTCTTGCGGTAGTGTTCTTCTTCTTCTCTAACCCCGAGCGTCAATATAGCCACATGTCGTTCAAGCAGCGGATAAAGGAGGTCGACATCATCGGCGCGATCTTCCTCATTTGCGCCATAGTGTGCTTACTTCTCGCATTGCAATGGGGCGGACTCGTGTACCCTTGGAAGAACTCCAAAGTCTGGGGAAATCTCTTAGGCTTTGGACTGATCATCAGTGTGTTCATCGGCATCCAGATCTGGCAGAAAGACCGGGCAACCATTCCACTGCGCGTCATGAAGCAGCAGACCGTACTCGTGAGCTGCGCCTTCACGGCTTTCCTCTCCATGGCAATGTACACGTAAGTCCTCCCTCTCTTCGCTTCTAAGCAAGCACTAACTTCTCCGCAGCCACATCTTCTACCTCCCGTTCTACTTCCAAGCCTCGAAAGGCACCACAGCCGAGGGCTCCGGCATCCGCACAATCGCCTACTTATGCAGCCTCACGCTCTCGTCCATCATCAGTGGCGGCCTCATCACTGTCGTCGGCTGGTACGCGCCCTTCATGTGGGCAGGCAGCGCGCTCTTTGCTGTCGGCTCAGGCATGCTGTACACGCTCAAGATCAACTCCACGGCCTCGCAATGGATCGGCTACCAAGTCATCACTGGCTTCGGTGCCGGAGCCGCCGTTCAGATCCCCTTCGTCGCAGTTCAGGTCGTCACGACTACCAAAGACATGCCCGTGGCAAATGCGCTTGTCATGTTCTTCAACTCTCTCGGCGGCGCGATCGCTATCTCTATTGCGCAGAACATCTTCATCAACAGTCTGGCAAAGGAAATACCGAGGTATGCGCCGGAAGTGGATCCGAGAATTGTGATTAATGCAGGGGCGACGTATGTGAGGCAGGTGGTCCCGGTGGAGTATTTGCAGGGTGTACTGGAGGCTTATACGCGGGCTATCACGACCGCGCTGGTGTTGAGTATTGCGACGGCTTGTATAGCGGCGTTGGTAAGTTTTGGGATGGAGTGGAGGAGTATCAAGGGGAAGAAGATTATTCCGGCTGGTGGAGGGTAGGACGGGCCAAGGATGGATAGAAGATGTTGTGGTGTTGTTGTTGTTGTTGCTGTTGTTTAGCGTGGCATGTTGGTCTCTACGGCGTAACGTACCCGGCAAGCGAGCTGCGCAGGCAAGCGAGCTGCGCACCCCACCGACTTTTCGCGTCACGTCACCTTTCAATTACAATGGCTCAACCAACTACTTTACAATCGCCCTATAACGAAGGCGATATATCTCTAGCTATCTTAGCAATCAATCAAAACCAGGTTCAAAGTGGAAGACGCGCTGCAACAATATATAAAGTCCCTGAAAGTACGCTCCGTGGCCGACGCGCTGGAGTACTCCCACGACGCGATTCTGAGCCCAATTCAAAGAAGCTCAATAAGCTAGAAGAGGAGGTGATTACTAGGCATATCCTTGACCTAGATTCGCGAGGGTTTTCGCCAACCCTAGGTGCTGTTCGAGATATGGCGAATAGACTGCTCGCTGAGCGCGGCGCTGGCCAGGTAGGCGAGAAGTGGCCACGCAACTTTGTCAAGCGGACAGAAAGCCTTACCACACGTTTTAATCGACCATATGATCGACAGAGAGCTCTATGTGAGGATTCTGAGGCAATTAGGGCGTGGTTCAACCTTGTAGCGCGCACAAAAGCTACCTATGGGATCTGTGATGAAGATACCTACAACTTTGATGAGACTGGCTTTATGATGGGCAGGATATTAGCTCAGCTCGTTGTTACAGGCTCAGAACGACGAGGTAGGCCAAAAGCAATACAGCCAGGTGATCGTGAGTGGGTTACTGCAATTCATGGAATTAACGCCACTAGCTGGGCTATCCCACCCTTTATCATCTTTGCTGGCCAGTATCACCTCTCTACCTGGTACAAGGATAACGAGATACCACACGACTGGGCTTTCGCTGTCAGCGATAATGGCTGGACAACAAATGAGCTTGGAGTAGAGTGGCTAAGGCACTTTATCAAGCATACAGCAGAGCGTAGAGTAGGCGCACGCCAGCTATTCATACTTGATGGCCATAAGAGTCACAACTCACTCAAATTTCAAGCGCTTTGTAAGGAGAACAACATCTATACTCTCTATATGCCATCACATTCATCGCACCTCCTGCAGCCACTTGATGTTGGCTGCTTCTCGCCGTTGAAGCGCGCATACAGCCGCCAGATCGAGGGCCTAATTCGTGATTACATCAACCATATCACGAAGCTAGAGTTCCTGCCAGCCTTCTACGCAGCCTACAAGCAGTCTATTACAAAGGAGAATATCTGCGCAAGCTTTCAAGGCGCTGGCCTAGTACTATATGATCCTGATAGGGTGATAGCGAAGCTTAATGTGAAGCTTCGTACGCCAACGCCGCCTGCACTAGAGACTACCCTCTGGGAAGCGCGAACACCAAGCAACGCGCGTGAGCTAGAGGCTTAATCAACATTAATACGCGATAGGATACAGAGGCATGGAAGCTCATCACCTACATCTATTATTGAGAGACTTAATCAGCTTGAGAAAGGCTCTACAATGGCAATGCACGAAATAGCATTAATGCGCGATCGGATCAAGAGCCTTGAGAAAGCAAATGAGACTACTATAACGCGCAGAAGGCGCAAAAAGAAGCGTATCTAGCAGCGAGGCACCCTATCAAAGGCAGAGGCAGAGGAAATCATAGCTCAAAATGAGGTTGAGCAGCAGCTTGAGGGGGAAACGCGTCAAGGTAGGGCGCGATCAGGTATGAGTCGGCAGGCTTCAGCGCGCTGTAGGCGCTGTAGGGAGACTGGCCATAACTCGCGAACATGTAAGAAGGACACTAGAGATGCCACTTAATTTAGCATAGTAATTATATTCCATTATCTTATTGTGTTGTTGAGATATACCACTATAGAGGCATGAAAGTCGAGTGGGGTGCGCAGCTCGCTTGCCTGCGCAGCTCGCTTGCCGGGTACGTTAGTGTTCTCGCATTCAACGGGAATTCAATAGTTCCTACCCCAGTTTCAAGCGAACACCAGTGCCATCGTGAAGACGTGTACGAGTCAATCCGTTGTACTGGAAGCGTGGCATCCGTGGGTCGGCTGCTTAAACGGGTTCCCTGCACGTATACGCTTACAAGAACACAGTGATGTGAGCATTCATGCCACGGATTACCCGAGTCGACAAGTGCCTCAAGTCATGGGTTGCAGAGAAGACGTAATTGTGCAGGTCCATGTATGAGAACCTCTGGGAGTACCCCCGAAAAGGCCTAGCGTAGGTCGGAGGAGGCTGAATCTACCTCGATCTGCCCAATCACGATAAGCATAACGCCGATCGATGCCAGAGATAGAACCCTGAATGCGACTGCAGGTGGGCCAACAGATGCGGCCAGAACGCACGCCTCGACTACCGCTTATACACTTCCATCGTCGGGCTTGTTGCACTGCCGCGGTGTTGCAGTCGCACACACACATCAGCTGCTTCTCAAAATTGGCAATCGAGATCCCTCGTGAGGCTCTGCTCCACAGTGGGGGGTTTTCCGCCGCAACTCTCCGAATTTTCTTGGGTTTGTGGGGGTGTATCGAGGGCGTTGTGGATCGTAAACAGAGGCAGAGACGTTTCGTTCACGCACGTTACAATGCGGTCAATGCCCCTCCGTACCCCTCCTACGGCGTAGGATGGAGTCTAACCACAGGTAGAACGCCCCGCGCCAACAGCAATGAACTGTCGTAGGCGGTGAATCAGCCGCATACGGCGGCCTTGCAGCAGAGCCCCACTAGATCACTCCGAGCAGGCCAAAATTCGCGTTCTGAAGAGTTCCATCAGTGACGTCGACGTGCATCGTCTTGAGCTACCGTGGCATCGGCACCAATCACAACACCCAGCTCGCGCACCTTCCCCTGAAGTCCCTAGAAGTATCTCAGACGTCCCGCTATCGCACTATCCGCGGCCGAGTAGCGTGGGATTTTGGCTGCTGATGCCGTTGCTATCGTGAAAGAAAGTTGTTGAGTACGAACGTCGCTCGGTAAACGTTCACGATGTCATAGTAGCGGAGAAGGCCTAGGGCGGTGCAGGCCGTTCAAGTGCTGCTATAAAGAGCTGTGACCCAAATTTACCACGACGGTACTTACTACACACATAAACCACTACAGCGCACAGACTTCTTTCTTTCCTCGCACCCTTAAGGAGAATTCACAACAATCACCATGGCTCCTATCGCGATTACGCCTCCCGCCGTTGAGGCCAAGTCCCAGCCCGCCTTCCCAACTTCACAGGCCGCTCCTGTCGACCCCTCAAATATTGGCACTAAGCGGAAGATCATCTGCTTCTCAGGTACGGTGCAATTGATTCAATTTTTCACGTCAATCGCATAGGAGAATGAGCGCTGATCGTGGTCTAGATTTCGATGGAACAATCTTCATGCAAGACACCGGTCACATCCTCTTTAACGCCTTCGGTTGTGGAACCGAGCGACGACAACAGCTCGATGAGCAGATCCACAGTGGCGAGCGCTCTTTCCGTGATGTGTCGGAGGAGATGTGGGGCTCTCTCGATGTGCCCTTTGACGACGGCTTCGAAGTGATGAAGAAGGCGCTCGAAATTGATGTCGACTTCAAGACCTTCCACCAATTCTGCATCAACAACGAAATCCCCTTCAACGTCATCTCTGCTGGTCTTAAGCCAGTCCTCCGAAGGGTCCTCGACCACTTCCTCGGCGAGGAGAACTCCAAGCACATCGACATCGTCGCCAACGACGCCACCATCTCCTCCGACGGCAGCCAGTGGAAGCCCGTCTGGCTCCACGACACGGAGCTCGGCCACGACAAAGCCAAGTCCATCAACGACTTCAAGGACTCCGCCCGCCTCGAGAGCGATGACGGCACCATCCCCATGATCATCTTCATTGGCGACGGCGTCTCCGACCTCCCCGCCGCCCGCGAAGCTGACGTCCTCTTCGCCCGCCGCGGCCTACGCCTCGAGGAGTACTGCAAAGAGAACAGCCTGCCTTACATTCCCTTCGACACCTTCGCCGACATCCAGCGCGAGGTCATCAAGATTGCCAAGATCGACGACGAGAAGACGAAAGGAAAGGGCCTACCGTCGAACTTCAACCCTCGCGCGAACATGTGGCGCCGCGCTAGCAGCAAGAAGAACGTTCCTCTGTTTGCTGCTATGACTCCCAAGGAGGAGAAGGTGTTCATCTGGCCAGAGACATTTTCTGAGCTGAAGCCTGTCGCTGAGAATGTTCCTGTTGCGGCATGATGAGCTTTGCGGCCGGCTCCGCGCTTATACCTTCTTCTCTTATTGGCATTGCGATACTCTCTTCATCAGAGCTGCTTCACTTGTTTCCATTGCATATTGTAGGCGTCAGGACTTTCTATCGAATGCCAGGGCCCTTGTATTTTCTTTTTTTCTTTTTCTTTTTTTGTTCAAGGCATGGCTAAGGACGAAAACGATCGATCCATTTCGGTGTTCTGGGTTGATTTCACAAAGATCGACGAGGAACGCCTCCGATACAGATCAGAAGGCGTACTGGATAAGATATTAGCACTCGCTTGCATCTAGATTGCAAGTAGTAGGATAGAGAAGCAGTTAGAATGCTATGCATGTACGGAAGATTTAACACCATGACTATATTCGTATGCGACACATGTAGGATGCTTACTGTGGCTGAGGTTCTGGGCAAATAAGGATCTTACTGAAACACTGGACCAGCGAACCGACGAGGACTGAGTAAGACCAACGCGGCACGAACCCGAGTTCCCGTCAGTCATACGTAAGATTAGATGAAATCAAAAGCACCAAGTACCATCATTCTATTCAACCTGGGAAAGGGAACCGTTTATCATTTCTTTCGACTTGTCAGCCATTCTCTTACAACAGAGTACTTTTGCCATGAAAACGGTCCGTCTGACGCTCTTGCGCTCTAGCAGTCTTTTCTTGAGCATTCTGTCCTTAGCCATCTCTGCTGAGAGACTGCTCCCTCTGCCGAGCGGACCATATTCTGTACTCTACAATGCATTCGACATCGCCGACGCATCCCGTATCGATCCACTCGACCCCGACAATGGCACTCGCAGACTAATGTTCTCGTCTTTCTATCCCGTGGAGCGGTCAGCTTGCTCCCAGACTTGCACAATCCCATACATATCGCCAAATGCAGCGCCCTACATCTTCGCGATGGGAACGGAGCTCGGGATCTCAAGTGACGAGCTTGGCCAGATAGCGTTTCAGGTATGCTGCACGACGGCGCGCGAAGCGAGCAGGACTGTGAGCGACGTCCCGCTTGTCTTTCTCTTGCACGGTTTGGGAGGCACGCGACTTCTCCACAGTGCGCTCGCGCAAGAACTCGCGAGCGAGGGCTTCGCCGTTCTCACCATGGACCACACCTTCGAGTCCATTGCTGTCGAGTTCCCGGACGGGTCCGTCGTCCCTGGGCTCAACGCTTCAGACCCGACCATCACCGACCCCGAGCGGTTGGATCCCCTCCACCAAATCCGCATCGACGATGTGCGGTTTGCCGTCTCGCGACTTGCGAGCAAGGAGGTCGCAGCGAAAGTGGCGCCGGATGCCTCGTGTGGATTCAACACCTCTCGCGTCGTAGCGCTGGGACACTCATTCGGCGGCAGCGCGTCTATCCAGCTGCTCATGCTTGACTCGCGGTTTGTCGGAGGGCTCAATCTGGACGGCAACCAGCATGGAAACATCAGCGATGCGCAGCAGCCGGCCGTACTCGTGGGTGCCGCGGGCGCAACTGCGTATCCACACAACTCGACCACGGATCCTTCCTGGGCGGAAACCCTGCGGCATTTGAAGGGATGGAAGGCGGAGATCGGGGTGACTGATATGGCGCATATGGGCTTTACTGACTTGGCATACCTGAGCGGTATAGGGGCGCTGACGCTCGAGAAGGAGGTGGCGGATCCTCTGGTTGGATCGCTAGATGGAAGGAGGAGTTTTGAAATTGTGTCGACTTATGTGAAAGAGTTTTTGGGGTTTGTTCTCGATGGTAAGAACACGACGCTCTTTGATATGCCGAGTCCGGAGTTTCCTGAGGTCGTTGTGGTGTGAATATCGAAAAGTAGATCTGGTGAGTTTTTCCAGGCAAAGGGTTGTACGCATGTGCTTGCCACGGTGGCGTTCTTTCCGACGTTTGCTCTTTGGTGTAGCTGCCGATATATTCCTGCACTGCGGATGATAGCCCTGTCGCTGTTGTCAGTATTAGAAGGTGTGGTGCATGTGCACCGTAAGTAGGGCCTGGCATCGCCACTAGCCCATTATTGTAGCTCCGCTTCGCACCAGTGCACAGTCACTCCTGCATCTCAAGGTATTGCTCCATTCTCTCTGCACCTTTTCCAAGGCTGGTAATCTCTATCATGGTGAATTCGGGGTCACCAAATCATATCGTTGAGGACAAGAACGCATATGGACGCCTTGTGTACGGCTCTGAAATAAGACACAAATATACCTTCCATCAGCGCACACCTCGGACATGTTCAACCCGAAGCTTGATTTTGCTTAGCCATAGGCAAGCGAAGCTTATCTTAACTTGGCTTCGGCATGTTCGTATGATCCCAGTACCTATATGGTAGGTTGACGTCTTCGAGATCGCTGCAGCGCTGCATGTTTTGGAGCTAACTGCAGAATTTAACCGGATGAGCCGCATGGTATTCTTCAGCAAAGGAGCCGGTCAGAATTTTGCAGCCTCGGATCTCACTTCACGTTGGTGTCGCAGAGCTATTCATTTTTGTTCGACATGAAAGGGTTGTCAGATGAGAAAACTGGTCAAAAAAATCTCAAAATGTAGTCCATTCACGAGTGTATTGCGTGGAAGGAGTTTTGGCCGTTGGAGCTTGAAAGGCTTAATTCCAGATTAGGGTTGAGCCTTCTCCACAGCACCTGCACGCTTGTTTGTTCCCCTCACACTAGCCCGCAAACTCCACGCATCTTGCACGCTTGACGATCGATTTTCCCGCCAACCGAGGATCGTTATAGAGATACCAGGCTGAGTTGAATTGGATATGACGATCATGGCACAAAAGCCGATGTAACGCATGCGCTCGGAGTCGCCACGCTTCCTCGTCATGGCATGTCCACGCTACTCCCAGCTAACAGGTTAAATGGATGAGGGCGTAAGGGTGTATAAAGGTGAGAGCTTCACTTGCGCGAGGATACGCGTCAATCACGCTCTTCCGTACATCTCAGCGATAAGATGTTTTCCAAGGCTCTCTGGGCATCGGCGTTGGTGGCCACGACCCAAGCTGTTACTGTCAAGGTTGCTTCCTCGGGAGGCAATGCTACTAGTCCCTATCAGTATGGCATCATGTTTGAAGACATCAACAACTCTGGTGATGGCGGAGTGTACGCTGAGCTGATCCAGAATCGGGCTTTCCAAGGCAACACCGTAAGTGCGCTGTACATTATTTTATTTGCACGATTCCATGGTGCCAACCAATACTTCTCAGATCGATCCAAGCAACCTCAACTACTGGAACGCACTAGGAGGAGCTGACCTCAAACTTCGAAACCTCTCCAAGCCACTATCCTCAGCACTACCAACTTCGATGCAATTATCTGCTGGAAACGGCAACACCCGTAGCAGTACGATTGGCTTCTCGAATGTGGGCTTTTGGGGCTTTCCAGTCGTATCCTCGTGGGAGTATAAGGGGTCGTTCTACGTCTACGGCAGCCTGGATACCAATATCACTGTCTGCTTGACCTCCTTAAGCAACGAAGCGTACGCCGAGGCTCATGTTGAAGTGAAGTCAACCTCATCGGAATGGACCCAGTACCACTACACGTTCCAGCCAACTATCGATGCGCCCAACAGCAACGCGACACTCAACTTCACATTCCCTGTGTCAGATCTCAGCAGTCCGGTCAACTTCAATCTGCTCAGCCTTTTCCCGCCCACCTACAAGAGTCGCGAGAACGGCCTTCGCGTTGATCTCATGGAAGCCATGTCTGATCTCAAACCGAAATTCTTCCGTGCTCCAGGTGGCAACAATGTCGAGGGCAACTCTGCACCGTACTGGTGGAACTGGACTGAGACCATCGGTCCACTCACGAACCGTCCAGGTTTCCCTGGAACTTGGGGCTACGAAAACACCAATGGCCTCGGCCTGATTGAGTACATGCTTTGGGCTGAAGACCTGAAGATGGAGCCAGTTCTTGCAGTTTGGTCTGGCTTCTGGCTTTCAGGTCAAGCCGTGCCAGAAGACGAACTGAAAACCTACGTCAACTCCGCTCTGGACGAGCTTGAATTCTTGATGGGCGATGTGTCGACCAAATGGGGAGCTTACCGAGAGTCGCTGGGCTATGGTCCATTCCAGTACGTATGAATGAGACTGTAGATTACTTCAAGTCGGTGTACTGACTGTTTACTTGCAGAATCAACTTCGTCGAAGTCGGCAATGAGGATAGCTTGAATGGTGGTGCACCAACGTATGCTGCATATCGCTTCAACGCATTCTACGACGCGATCAAAGCCGCATATCCACATATGACCATCATTGCGTCCTTCTATGACGTGGATGGCGCAACTCCTCCATTTGACGCGGCAGGCGACTTCCACGAGTACGCCATTCCGAACCAGATGGCCAAACAGTTCGGTAAATTCGACAACTACACTTCCGAACACCCGCTCTTACTGGGCGAATATGCGGTGATAGAGTACAACCAGCCCCACACTACCGGACCTCAATGGACTCCCGGCGCTCCTCGTGCCTTCACACCGTTTTGGTACGGGTCGTGCGCCGAGGCCATTTTCCTCCTCGGTGCCGAGCGTAACTCGGACAAAATCATTGGGGCCTCGTACGCTCCTGGCTTCCAGAACTTCAACAGGTGGGAGTGGATTCCAGATCTGATCGAATTCGATGCCTACCCAGGTCACACCACTCTTTCGACATCTTATCATATGATTAAGCTGCTAGCAGGAACTCTCATCACGGAGAATCTGCCAATGACCATCAGCGACGGTGGCTTTGGCCCGGCTTTCTTTGTTGCTGGCCGAAACAGTGTCACCGGCTCCCACATCGTCAAGGCCGTCAACTACAACAGTACAGGAAGCACGCAATTCAGTTTCTCCTTTGAGGGCGTTGGTAAAGGTGCTACAGGTAACTTGACCTATCTCACTGCGCCGATGAACGCTTCCAACCCGATCGGTGGCAATGTCGTCCAAAGCCACGGGTCGTCTGTCACTGCTAGCCACGATGGGGTCTTTCATTTCAAACTGCCTGAGTACAGTATCGCTGTTCTTGAGATTGGAGCGGAGTCTGCGGGCGAGGGCTACAATTACAGCGACCCTGGTAAGAGGCAGGGGTGGAAAGGTTGGAAGAGCTGGGGTGGCCCCTTGGGGCACCACGGCAATTAGAGTCTTTGTAGGTGGGGAGGTAAAGCCCCTAATTATGCGATGACAGATATGTGATTTGCATAAGCCCATTTGTACAGAATACACGGCTTCAGGGCTTATCATGGTGTTGAGGTGCTTGTTGACAAAGTCGTACTCTCGGGGACGAAAGGGTTTGAGCTATTGTGAAGATTTTGTTGTCTTACTATGGATGATAGACTTTGAGTGGTTGGAATTAGTACGACGCACCTGCTATCTGTGTTCTTCGGGTCAAATTGCTCATTGGGCATGCGGCTACTCTTCTCGTCCGGCCCATGTAAAATTATGCAGAAACCCATATAGCGTGTGTATCACCAGGTATGCGCACATCACAACCAACTGATCATTTCCGCTGGTTTTCCTCCCTCGGCAGCTTGCTCGAGTTATCGTACGCCGCTTGTTTTACCGTCTATCCGCTTTAATAAGGAAGATGCGAGGACACTGGCCCAAATGTTCGAGGGGATGCACGCCCAGCGCATCAGCATTCTTCATATCGACCACGTTGAGACCTGTGGAGTACTCTCCCTTAAACCACAGTCGGCGCTGTGCGTAGCAAATCTCTCATGGACTGCATACCACCTCATATACATGAAGTTCACTCCCATGCAGAACTGCCCATACCAAGCCATCTCAGCCCAGTGCCAGCGCGCACGCACGGCTTGCGTCTGCAAGGCAAGCCAGTCCAGCCCGCCAAACGGCACCGTTTGCCAGCCAGTCTGAAACCTCACCCGTGATGCCCGCACCGCTCGGCACTCTCGGCAGGCCGTCGCGCCTCCTGCCGTGCCCGCCGAAACGACACCACTCGCCAGCGCCGTCCCCTCGCACAAGCACAGCCCCACGCCTCGCATCCCACACAGACCGCACGTTCGTGCGCGCCGAAACACCCGAGCGCGCCTTGCCGCAACACACATACGTAGACGGCCCTGCTGCCCTCGCTTCCACAACCGCCAGCCATGCTGCACACCATGCCGCTGCCAGCGTCGCACGCCCCGCCGCGCCCGTCGTCGCTTGATACCCTCCGCGCAACACAGGTGACGCGCGCGCGACCCGTCGATGCGGATATTCTCCGAACCTGGCTGTGGAACCGCGAGCAACCCAACCCGAGCCGGGGCTGCGACTTCCTTCCCGTTGCGGCGGGCATGAGTTTTCTCGGGTGGTGGGTTCGCCATGCTTGTGAAGGCCCTCAGCTTACTTCTAGGGGTGGAGATTGCGTGCGACGATGGAGGGGAGCGCGGTGAGGCTTGAGGTGGCACCGGAATGGCGGTGAGGTTGCGTGCGTGTTTGTATCTGGGGTGTTGGCGGGCTAGTTGCTGATGCGGTGGGTTGAGCGTGCTGGCCATTGGATGAGGAGCTGATCTAGCAGTGAGTTTGAATCCCGTTGTTTGATGTCTATTGAGCTCAGTTAGATTGGATCGCAGGTAGCTTGGTCGGCATTGCCAATAATCTAAGCTGCGCGTGCTTTAATTGAGTGAGGGTGACGGTTGACATGTTCCAGGACGGTTCACTGCATGACGGTGAAGCAAACGCGAAGATCGCAGCTGCCATTGAGCGAGCGGGCGGACGACCGACTGTTAAAAATTAGATTGCGTTCATTCTAGTCCCTTTTAAGTGCCTTCAAACCATGGCGGCTATCTGCCGCGACACAAACGCATCCAACACCATCGCTACATGCCCAAATCAATCAAGAAAGTGCGGTGGATTTCCACAACTAGAAAGTACAAAAGATGCTGATCACGAAAGTGATACAGCGTGGTATGTAAACAGACGGAACCGGGGATATCTTGCTGCCGTGCTCTCGTGACCCATGCAGAAGAGAAACTAGCGCAGACGAAGTAAGTCGGGGTTGAATTTTTGCTTTGAGAATCGAATAAAGGGTTTTCGAGCGAGAGACAAAGGCAGATCAGTCGAGATGGGCAAGGAGAGGGAACTTGTGAAATGATGCAGTGTCGGAAAACAACCATTCGATACTGTTACATAATCGGCTAGTCGAGTGGTGAGAAGCCGTCCTCGATTAGTCGCGGCGGTACGATCTAACCGGCCAGTCGGGTAGATATAAGCCATACTCAGTGGTGGCGGCGTGAGAATCCCTGTGTGTGTGCATCAGGGAGTATTGAAGGGTGTGAGAACGCCAGGCTATGAAGTTCTACTGACTCTCCAGGACAAGCAAGCCATGTCGCAAATGCGAGCAATGACCTGTTGAGTACCAGATCGGCATTCGTGACTGATGAACGACATCGCGACGGTGAGCTTGTTCACGTCATTTTCAGGGTCGTGCGTGTTGGGGTGGGCAACCGCATCAGGGAAGCCGCGGACGCGGTTGCCGATTTGTCGTGCCAGAGCAATCGAGTAAAGAGCATCGCGGACCTCTCGGGCCTTGAGAACATTCCGCATCCTGGTGAGCGCTACTTCAGCGTTCCCTTCTATCGCAGCGTCGGTACTTGCATGCACTACGAATTCTCCGACTGAATCCCAGAAAACGAACTTATCATTTTCTTCTTCCGAAAGCCCACCAGGGTACGAGAGTTGGCGTATTGGGTTCGCCTCCAAGGTTTGGTTGGTCAGAAGCGCTTCCAAAACTTCATATCGAGCTCGGGCTTCCTTCAGTGACAAATCGTCATGTTCAGGGTTGTTGACGTTGTCGTTAGCGCCATTCGATGGTATCCGACATGTGCCTAGCAGATGCCAGATGAGACGAGTCTCTTGGCTGAATATCTGGCTCACATCCGCAGCGCCGGTCTTGGTCCTGACCGTCTCGACGAAGAAGTGTGCCTCCTCGTGGAGACTTTGGTCACTCAGAACACGCGTTATGGCGTTGTTATTGGAGGAGAACCAATTCGTCTCCAACATGGCATCGAGTCCCATGCAGTAGTCCTTGCTAAATATGAAAGAGAACTCATCATCAAGTTCGCGAGGGAAGCCTCCGTGGCGCGGAGGGACCTCTGGTGGGTTGTACCCGCAAATGGAAAATATCTCTTCAATCCGCAGGGGTCGCCCTAAACAGATGGTCAATACTGGTGCCCGTAAAACTGCGCTGCAAGCCATAAGTCGGATGTCTCACCTTTGAGGAGTGGTGCTTCCGGTGCGGCCGACGAGTACGGACTGCCACGAAGCCCAGCCTGCAGCGCATGCGCGCCGTTGTAGGCTGGCTGCCCGTTCATCGCGGGGTCCGTGGCAGCGAGTGCAGGGTCAATGGCGGGGTTATTGAAGTTGTCGTGGTGCGAGGGCGTTGAGCTCGCCGTCGAAGCGGCCGGTGCGTAGCCGACGGTGGATGCGGGCGCGTACCCTTGGGGCACCTGTGGGCTGTACTGCGACGATGCGGAGGCCGGCGGAGAAGTTGCCGGCACGGAGGGCTGGTGCTGCGTCGTGTTGGGCGCGGGCTGGAGATTTGCGGGGCCTGGTTGTTGTTTGAAGATGGGGTCGTAGCCCATGCACTCGCGTTTGCTCTTCTGGCAGTTGCGACACACGGGGTGCGCTTCGTCGCACTGTGGGCAGCAAAGTCAGCTTAATGCGCGAAGAGGTGAGGTTGGATTAGAGGAGCGAAATAGTTTGGATCGCTCGCTTCATGGTGGCTCGGTTATAGACGACACCGCGGTCTCGAAGGTGCGTGCCCGCACCTCCTCCACGCTTCGCGCGCATCGCGGCGCGTCTTTGATCGCGCACCATGGCGCTCCATCCCACACGTACATACCTTTATCCGACGCTTGCGACACGTCAGGCAGCCTGTCTTTGTGCGCCGCTTGATCTCCTTCTTATGGCGCCCGCCCGACAGGATCCTCTGCTCCCCGGGCTGCGGCGGGAGCTGGTAGCGCATGGCAAGGTGCTGCGAACCCATTTGCATCTGGCCGGGCGGCGGGTGCCCTGGGTGCGCGTAGTACTGCGGCACGCCCTGGTGCTGCTGCGGGAGCGGCGAGCCCATGGGCGGGCCCTGCTGATGCTGCTGATGGGGCATGTGCTGCTGCTGCTGCTGGCCGTCGACACGTATCGGCGGCAGGTTGAGCGGCGGCAGATTCATGTTGGTGCCCTGCGGCGAGCGGTAGGGCTCCGCGCCCGGCTGGCCCTGGGGCGGGGGGTAGGTGTAGGCGGGCATCTGCGGTGAAGGATAGGAATGGCTGGGCGACGGGTAGGATGGATTTTGTCGCTGGTGGTGGTCGGCCATGTTATTGGACATGTTTGCGTGCGAGGGCGCCTGCGGGTAAGGCTGTGGAAAGGACATCGAAGTGCCACGGCTGCTGGGCAGGCACGACCCTGCGAAGCTGTGCTGCCTCTGCGAAAGGGCACAGCTCAAGCGAGAGTTAAGACTTCGGACGCCAACAGACGAGGCGTGATGGATTTGGCGAATCGAGCTAGGAGGCGAGGCCAGGGGGGTGCCTCGGTTGCGCGCCGGCGGCTGCAGGTGCTGTAGCACTGCGCGAGGAGGCTGGTGATGGATGGAGCGGCTTTGTGCTGGGGTAGCTTGGGGAGGAGAAAGGGCGGGCGCGCGTGAGAGAGAGACACGGCGCGCAGAGAGCAGCAGGCCTACCTATCTCTCGCGCAGGGACGTGAGGTGCCGTGGCGGTGCGCGAAAATGTGTGCTGCCGCCGCGGGCCAACCTTGCGCTACTGGGATGTGCCCTTAACTGTCGCTCGCTCGCTAGGCCTAGCAGGCGTGGTGGGCGGGTGCTTTGGCGTTCTGACGCGGCGCGCTGGCTGCACCGTCCCGGGCTCGTTCAGATCCAGGGCCGATCCAGATGCGGAGGGTGCTGTGCGGTGCTGTGAATCGAGGCGCGAGGACAGACGCTGCGCTGAGAGGAAATGAGCAATTACCTGCTGCCACCGTTGCGCTAGGCCCGAAAGCGCGCCCGTCACGTGCTGCACCCTCGTCCTCCCCTTCACTGGCCCAAAGCCCACTTCGAACCCACACCGCGGCCGCATCCTCTAGGAAGACCAACACAACCCTGGCGCGCACCCGCCGGACAGGCTAATGCCCTCGTCTGGGCCCGCGGCGGCTGTCGACTGCCCACCATGATACTGCGCGCCCTCATCAACCATGCCATGCCGCATTCGCTGGCAGTCCCGGGCGAGCCTCTGCGTGCATGCAGCGCCCTAGCCTGCTCAGCTCACGTCCGATATGCGTGCGCGCGCTATAACTGTCCTGCCCGCGTGGGTCTTGCGCCGGACACACGTCTTTCCAGCTGTCCCCAGACGCTGGGCGGGGAGCGGCCACGCTGCTACGCTACGCTTCGCTTCGCTCCTTAGGCGCGTCTGTCGATGCCTCCCGGATCACACATTCACCTCTTCCGCCGTGTCTGGATCTGCTCCCAGCGCGCACAGCAACATAGAGTGATTGGGCCCAGAGTCATCAGGCGCTTCGCAATCGCCTGTCGGCCCGCGCATCCCGTGCGGTGGACTTGGGAAATACCGACGCGGTGCTGGGACGCGCTGACAAGGCGTGTAAATTTCCGCTTGCGCATGCCATTTACCCGTCGATGCCTCTTCTGGAATCCGCCTTCTTTGACCAGCCGCGTGAGAATCGGCGAGCCGGCGCATGAGCGGACCACCCGTTGCATACTGGGGTGTACTCATCAGGCTGAGTGCTCAGAACGGCAGCCTGTTACAAGATGAACATAGCGTACAGTTGTTGCACCCGTTGCCTGATGGCCATGTGCGACATGCTCGCTGCAGCAGACAATTGCCTGGGTCTCGCTCAGCCGGCGGCACAAGGGAGATACGGCGAGAGTGTGTATGCATGCCTGGGAATCCGGCCGTCGATGCCGCCCTGCGCACGAAAGGCACCTAATCGATACATGCAGTACTGAACGTCGGCTGCAGGGGCTCAACACGTACGTGGCGACCTGCAAGCTTGACGTTGTCTGGTATCAAATAGGACGGTGACAGCCCTTCGGCGCAAGAGGCGCTCTGTTTCTCCACCTCTGTACCACGGCGACAGCCTGATGAGCAATCTATACAACCTCTGTTATGGCGGATGTGCCTGCTGGGACACCCTTGCTTACGCACGCGAATCCTAGAGGCACGGAAGAGTTCTGGAAGCAACCCGCGGCCAAGACCACTACCCATCACGACCTGACATTGATCTTCTAGAGCCACATTATTGTTCACAAAAACATGCATTGACAATTTGATTCTTGATGTGCCTATGTTCACGCGATAGCGCGTGTCGCACAACTACGTAGCAACACGACAACGGCCTAGTTGTTCGGGGCTGACCCATTCCCACATTATTGTCTCGTCATCATCACACGAGCTCACACCTGTGCTGGGTGCATGGAAGAGTTTCGCAAGCATTGCACGCCGAACATATGAAGAACTCCTAGACATGACCGATTGCGGTTGTCGTCAGCTAGCGGTCGCCTGACCGTTCCTACCCGTTGAGATCGGGGTCGCGAGAAATGCTCAATATGCACGACAGACTCCGGAGAGATCCTGAGCGTTGTGGCGGAGGCTCAACGATCCCTTTGCAAATCCACTGAAGTATTGCCCAATCGGCTACGTCTGCTATTTTTGCTTTCACACGGCACGTTCGCCAGTGCCGTGAATCCCTGTTGGGCGCCTAGCTAAATGGCGGTAGCATCAGACACTTTGGTACTGAGCACCTGCGAGAGTCCTCATCTTATTTCATTTTGGATGCATCTAACTACAAGCGCAGGTTAGACAGAAAAAGTGCGGCGCAGTCACTGTCACATGCTTCCTCTCTCTGGCGAACTACCCGTCAGCGTCCCGTCTTTCGACTTCCAAGACAAGCAATCCCAGTGAGAGACATCGATCAAGACGAAATACGAGACGCAAAACATCGACGACTGGTACTTAGCGTCGGCGCCGCGACTTTTAGACACAGCCTTCTCCACACGTCATTTGCTATGTGACTCGCTCCTTCTTGACTGGGATGTGCGGGTCGGATTGGGAAGGAGCAAAATGCAATCCCTCGAACCGTCCACTTCGCGTAGCCACCTGGTTGCATGAGCGCGAAGATCCATCATCCGTCAACATGTAGTACCAACGTACAGTCATCCTCGTGTAGCTGGCCCCTGAACACTGCATAGAAGCGCGGCCTCTGGATGGGGTCGGTCAGCAAGGCGAAAGGCTACTCTCGATACTGTACTGACGATGTCCACGTGGATAAACCGAACCACCCCAGGGCTTAATGTCCGTCCGGCAGTAACCGAGGGCGCAGCCACAAGCGGTTCATCGAATGCATGCAGCCTGGCCATTGACCAACAGCGTCAAGAAAACTACGTCGTCTTGCGAATCCTACTGCAATGTGGATGTTGTTACACAATTGCTTCTTTGTGAGGATCTCGATACTTTGTCGGACCGAGATATCAGCTGCACCGACTGTCAGACTCCCGGCTTCGTAACATGTGGAAGGTTTTACTAACAGCAATAAGGGAAAAGCTAGTCCCACACCACAGGGTAACAGTACCATCTTACATTTCTTGAACATGATCGATTTCTAGGCCGGTGCGACTCCCCTTTGCGCTGGTGGGACGTGTTGCGTGCAGCTCTTGAGGTCTACTTGCCATCAGATGAACATTAAGAACTTTGAACACATCGGCATACGGACGTACTCATCGCGACATTACCAACATCTGATTCCACTCATATCTTGAGAGCAATCCTTCACCGTGCCATGTCCCTTCTGTGATATGTGGTAGTTTTCGGTCTTATGGCCTCTAACAAAACATAACACGCCACATCGACATTTGGTACTAACCCATAGCCCTCTTGATTTTTCGTCTGGTGGAAACATGCACGAAATTCCAGGCTCCGACCAACCATTGCGGATGCAATGTTTTTTCCCCTTCAACACTCACTTTCCACTTCACGCTCGTTCTCAGCTCTCACACCGCTCTTACCGCGACACTGCCAGCGCATCCATCAAGTACACACGCGGTTCGTCGCTTGAGTGCGGCAAATGCAGGGATTGCGGTGTATTACCAGGATGGCGCGGAGCCTAGGTGGGTGCGTCGAGAGGCGAGCGAGGGCGCTTGAGTCGCTTAACGAGGCGAACGGGCGCGGACGACGAGGGTGCGAAAGTAGGATAGGCATACATATGAGTGATGGAAGGTAAGGTGTTGCAGGAAAGTAGAATGGTACTTGTGATTCGTGCGTGTAGCTGGATCGGATTGAGTCAATTATATCCTAGTGCATTTCTCGATAACAGCCAAGTCGCCATGAAGAAGCGTGCAGCACAACTGCTTCGCAACAGGGCAGAATGCGTCCTCCGTGCGCAGTGCAGCTGCTCAGGACATACCGTGCGACAGCTTCGATGTGAATGCCCATCTGGGTCGCCATCACTCGGTCATGACCTGGAGTACATCTCTGTTCGATGCGGCACGCACCCCTATGTCTCCCCACCGCATCACACCACCAACACTTCGCAGATATGACTAACGACCCCAACACTCTCAATGCACCCCGCCGAGCGAGCAGATGCACTACGCCTATACCAAGACCATCCAACCATGCGCGTCTCTGGGGGATGCAGCTCACCCCCCACTACATCCATCCGTCATGCCTGGACCGCACTCCCTCACTTCATCGATCTCAGAGCGCACACACCTGAAAGCCGCACCCTTCTCTCCAAACGTACTACCTACAGCTTACCCTCTTCCCCATTCGTACCAACCTTCCCCTTTTCCCTTTGCACCAAGACTTTGCACCAAGACTTTGCACCAAGACTTTGCACCAAGATCTTACTCCTCTCGACTACCAACTCGGCGCCGCGCTCCTCTACGGTTGCACAACCTCGCCTCGCACACACGTATACAGCGTTACATGTGCCGGGATGCGCATCCTCTCTGCAACTTAGTATCCTTGCGGTTTAGGGTCGCTGTTAGAGTGATTTGTCCTGCCACGGGGATGGGAGCTACATTAGTGTGTGGTTGTGATGGGCAGAAGTATGATGTCGTGTCCTACATGCTACGCGTAGGCTGGTAGATAGACAGTCGGTCTAGGCTGCTTGATGTAGACTGAGAGACGGGTCTACGCCGAGTGTTCTAGCTGCAAATGCAGTTACGTGGCGTGGAAAAGTGTACGTCAGTATACATTATGTACGGCGGGGCCCCAACATAGGTACGTAGCTAGCCGGGCTACATGACTTCTCTGCTTCCGACCACCCTCCCTCGTCTATAGCAGCCAAGACAGTCGCAACTCCCTCTACGGCAGTCCCCGCCCCGCATTCACTGCGTTCGCGACCTCGCTCGTCCCAGGCCGGTTCTCCGCATACCGCTCATAGCTATCCAAGTACAACTGGTCGTCACTCGTCGTCGCCCTCACACTCGGTTCCCGCTCTATTGCGTCGACCCACGCGCCCCACCGACTCCCCTCCTCCGGCTCCGGCCACCCGCGGTACGGTCCCAGCACTTTCCGCAGCCGCACCACCCACGGCGCTATCTGCGCGTCGACAAAGCCAAAGTCTTGACCGAGAAAGAACGGACCCTCGGGATCCGCGGCATCGACCAGCTTCCCGATCTGCTCGCGCAGCTCCTCAGCGTGCTTGACCTGGTCCTGCGGCTCCTGCGCCTGGATGAGGCGGTAGAATTCCGGCACGATGTGGCGATTTACATGGTCAGCCCAGAGACGGCACGTTGCGCGTGTTTGCGGGTGGGGAGGGAGGAGCGCTGGGCCCGCCTGCAGGTCTTCGAGGTACTCCATTATGACTGTAGACTCGTGCGTGGACCATGTCGGACCGTGGCGGAGGGCTGGGACGAGGCCGCGGGGGTTGACATCGAGCAGGGACTGCGGTTTCTTGTAGGGGTCTACTTCTATGTATTGGTAGGGGATCTTCTTGTGCTCGAGGGAGATCCAAACGCGTTGGACGAAGGGGCTGGGTGGGTCAGTGGGTGACGTCACATGATGTATTGATATGGAATGTAGGTGGATGTAGAAGTGATGAGAGGGCGTACCAGAAGCAGCTGCCGAAGAGCTTGAGATCCTCTTCTTTGGAGTGGTTCTTAACAGTAACAAGGGCGTTGCCAGTCGCCTTCTTGTGGTATGTCTTCTTGGTAGGATCGCCACCCTGATTGGCATCAGTCATCTTGTTACGAGCAGAAACACTAAAGTATCCTGGATGTGTAGAGATGAATGTTGAGGTTATTGGGAAATGCTTAGGTGGGAAGAGGGAATGTGTGCAAAAACAGTTTGCGAAAGGCGCGGTCCGTGCAAGTGCAGAGAGGACAGTGCGAGACATGACTGCAAGGAAGGAGCTACACAGATGACAGGATCCGACATCATGCTACAGGCGCCGTGCATGCGGGGAGTAGGCGAGAGGGTCCATGACGTGTTGGTCATGATTGGTAGTCGTTCGCGCGGGCGCCATGCAGTGCCTCAGCGCTGCTATAAAGCGCCTGCGTGTAACAGGGAACAGCCAAGCAGGGAGCTCTGCTGCACGACAACACAGAATAAGAAACATTGCCTGGAGAGTTGACGTACCTGCGCCTTTTTCTTCTCTCGCTCATTCTTCATCAGCCACCTCTGCACGCTGTTCTTCTTCACTCGATCACTCTCCTCGAGCGTGTGCTTGTGCGGACCTGCCACGCCGTCGCCTTTTCCGTTTCCGCCGTTACCATTTACCCGTTGTAGGGTGTAGAACTTTTTGGGTTGTCCATTCGCGTTCAGAGTAGGCGTGACAGGCCACGACATGCCGCCGTGGGGTTGACCAAAGAACTGACTTCCACTGCCAGAGGCGCCGAATGCTGTATGAGTCTCAGCAGGTGGCTGCAAACCCGTCTGCTCGGTAAGCTCAGCGCCATCGAAGTACTCTGTGATTTTGATCTTCACATCGCAGAGATCGCGCTCGCGAGCCACACGCTTCCGCTTCTTCTTCTCCGGGTCGGTGGACTTCTTGGTGCCAGGCGGTCGCCCCTTGAGCCTGCAGTCCCAGTAGTGTGAGACGAAACGTCGGCGCTTGTGGCGTTGAGTGGAGCGGTGCGAGTAGACATTGTCGACGTGCGGAAAATAGGTCTGGAATCTGCAGCACCCTGTTAGCGAAGAACATGGTGCAGATGGGTGCGGTGTGACATGCTCCTCCTCCGTCAGCGTGATAGTGTCGTCCACGTGGAACAACTTTTCCCTCCACGCGTCGAGGTCTGGCGGGTTGGCGATCAACCGCAAGCCTTCGATCTGGCCATGGTTCTGCACGGGCGCCTCGTCCAGGTCCGCGGGTGGCTCCTGCACAACAGGCTGTTCCTGAGTCTGCACAAAGGAGCCCCTGTGCTCCAGCTCTTGTAGTTGCGGCGGCGGTCGCTGTATGTGAGCAGCAGCTTGGACCCTCGGCGGCGGGGGCGGGGCCTGGATGTGGTGCTGTGGCGCTGGCGGAGCTGGGTTCGGCGCGTTTATGTCGAATCTCGCATAGCCGCCGGCGAAGCCCTCGAAGGGCGGCTGAGCCGTCTGTGGCAAGCCATGGAAGTGCAGCGCGTGCGGGTTGGCAGCTTGTGCCTGTGCCTGGGCCTGTAGCTGCTGCGCATATCGGTGCTGGAAAAAAGCATCGTTGGCCTGCGGCGAGAGCTCCTCGAGAGGCTGCAGGCCCGGCGGGATCTGGTGCAGCTGCAGTGCTTGGGGCGGCAGGTGGTGTAGCGGCAGCTGGGACGAGTTCATGTTTCCGGGGATGGTGTCGCGTGGGAAGACGCGCTCCGGTGCTTAAAGCAGCGCTGGAATAACGGCGTCGACAGCTTGGCGATGGAGCGGGTGATGCCGAACCATCCATGGATCTATGGGCCAATTCACCTCCGGCGCTAGCCTTTACTTCCGGCCACCACAGCCAGCCTTGCTTGCTTGTTCCCACATCTTCAAACCCGACATCCCACAGTGACGAGGTCTCTGCCATTCACTTTCATGAAACATGGTCGTTCACTGAGTCACTCATCAAGTCGCCTCCGTCGAGCAACCTTCCATTCCTGGGTGCCATGCTGGCTCGTGGCCGCAGTGCCTTCTGCCCATGAGCACAAGGCCCACTCTCTACAGATGCGCGCTGAGGCGAAGAGGAAGAGCCATGATCTGAACGCGAGATACGAAGCTTGCCACGCCTGATTGGCTGGCTCAAAAGTATGCCGAGGTTCCTTGGCCCTCAGCCTTCATGCATCGAGACTCAGCTGCCTCTCTTTCAACGACAAAGCAACACAAAATGCCATGTAGACACCACGACGTCCAGGTCTTTGATGGCCTGCGGTGCTGCCTAGCTTGTGGAGAGACTGTCTTCGATATTAAACCAGACCCAGAACAAGAATTACCCCGCTTACAGAACGAACCATACAGGTACGACAGCCTCGACTATTCGCTGGGACAAGAAATTCGACTGTGCGTGCTGTTCGCGGGACGAACTCAAGATGACGTGGTGGTGGATCTCGTGCACGTCGATATCCGAGACCAACCTCCATATGAAGCCATCAGCTATGCTTGGGCAACCGAGACCGGGGATGATAGGCTTTCTCAAAAGGTGTATTGTCGCGGCGGAACGATTTCAGTAACTCAAACATGCGAAGCAGCCCTCAGACGCCTTCGTTTCTCGGGACGCAACAGGTACCTCTGGGTGGATGCCGTCTGCATCGACCAAAGCAATGTCGAAGAACGGAATCATCAAGTCGGCTTCATGGGCACCATCTATGCGAAGGCTTCACAAGTACTAATCTATCTCGGTCCGGGAAACGCGTCCACCAACAGAGTGATTGATCTCCTGAAAGACGAAACGTACGCTTTTCCTGGAGCCAGACAAGGTTTCCGCAGTAGTATCGAAGACTTTTTGGGACATCGATGGTTCGATCGCGTATGGATTCTGCAGGAGATTGCCCTGGCAAGACTTGCGACTATGGTAGCTGGTGAAAGGACCGTTCATTGGACGTTTCACACCATCAATCGATTACTTGGGCTTTGCGCCAGTCTATCAATCGAACCACCAAGTGCATTGCGCTGGCTGCCTGCAAGTCAGCCAGAACAAGATGTGCTTTCTGTTCTCCACAGGTGTAGAAATTGCTCTTCGACTGACCCCCGGGACAAAGTCTTCGCAGTGCTTGGCCTGGTGCAGGCAGACTTCCAAAACTCTTTCCCGATAGATTATTCCCTGACCGCAGAAGAAGTCTACACTCAGCTCGTCACGCACTTGTTCTACGTCGAAAAGAATTTGCGATTCTTGAAGTACGCAAGTGGCCAAGGAGAAGCTTCATGGAGAAAGCACGACATATCCAGTTGGATTCCACAATGGGACGTGAAATCCGGCTATGACCCCCTGCCCTCGCAATTCAATGCTGACGAACTGGACGCTCTCACCTCAACCTGGTATAAGCTACCATTGCAGAATCGCCCGCCTGAGACGGACCTGTCGAAGGAGCTGCTGCAGGATTTTCTAAACGATCTTCCTAAGGACCAGGAGCCTTTGTCATCGAGCGCATGGCTGCAGTCATTCGACCGGTGGCTCGATTATACAGGGAAAACATTTCGAGCACGAGAAAGGCGGAGGTCGAATGTGGGGAAAACGCATATCGAAAGTATAGCACTATCTCTTACCCAGATCAAGTCTCCAGGTTTCCACTCTGCTATCATCCAGAGTGGCACGAGATTGCACATTTGGGACGAACATCTTTTTGGCACAATTCCATCGCCAAGAATCCCGTGCTTAAGAGTGCGCGCGCACCTGCTCGACATCATCTCCAAAATTATTGGTGTTCGCTCATACCATCACATCCATCATTTCGACAAGAATCTCCCGCACATACTCAACCGTCGGCGGCTCTGCGCTTCCTGCTCAGAACATTTCGTAGCAACACCCATCTGCCAACACACCCCTACCATATCACAAACCATGTCTGAAGAGTTCGATCGTGACATGAAAAGAGTCCTTGGCGATGGGAAGACCATGTTTGAGACTGAGAGATCAGTTGGCGTAGCGCGAGCAGATGTCCAGATGCACGACGAAATCTTCGCGCTAGATGGTGCTGATGTGCCATTCATTCTTCGACGAGTATGGCAACATTATGTGCTTGTGGGAGAATGCTTCTTATACAGGGCTTTACGGCAGACTTTGTGCACATGCTGTGGATATAAGACCGAGGAATGGCCCATCGTCACGCAAGTCATCGACATAATGTGACGAATGTCTCGATTTTCGAAGAAGTACATCTCGATACGATAACGCTGACGGCTTAGAGGTAACACACGGCGGTCTTTCACCGGCTCTGAATATCCCGATACCCCGACTCATCACCATTACCACAACCACGACGATCGTCAAACCACCCTTTTACTGCCCATACACCATCAAACTCTTCTCCAAATGCGTCTTCTCCTTCTCTCCCGGCACCTCCCCTACCACACCCCCAAACACCATCTGCGCCTTCAACCGCCAGCTCTTATCCACCCTGTACTTTTCTTGCAAATACGGCGTAATCCCCGGCTGGTAGTGCTGCAGATTCGCGCCTACGCCCTCAGCCGCCAGCGCCGTCCACACAATCAACTGATTCATACCCGAGGAATGCTCCTCCCAATCGGGATACAGCTTTGCGTGGGCTTGGAAGCGTGGGGGGAGGAGGGAATATGCAGAGGGATCATCGAAAAAGAGGACCTTTCGGGACATTAGCACAGCCCATTGTGTTCAAAGCTGAATTCGAAAGAAGTGGGAAACAAGGCTTACCGTCCCCTTGGCGGCCACGAAACCCTTGATCTTTGGTCCCAGGATTCCCATCGCAGCGGGGGTGCTCTCCTCCGTCACTTTGTACGCGTGCTCCCAGAGCGCCTCATGCTCAGCGCCAAACAGCACGATCGCGCGCGTGCTACGCACGTTGAAAGGCGAGGGCGCATGTTTGAGCGCTTCGGTGACGAGCTCGAGAATGCGTGTGTTAGGGATGGGCGTTTCTTTTGAAAGAGCGTAGACGGAGCGGCGAGAGGCGATGGCGGTAAGGAAGGGTGTTGAGGATGCCATTGTTTCTCTGTGTCAAGTAGAGTTTTGGTAGTTGTTGAACGGATGGGAGTCCGAAAATGAAGTTCTAGATGGTGATAGTAGACTAAATGCCTGGAGTCGTGATGCTTTCTTACTGCTTCAATCCCCCCTTCTTATATACTTCTACCCTACCCACAACTTTGGCCCCATTCCCACACCTCATATCGGCCCTACACCGCAGCACCGCCGACCGCGCGTAGGCAGCTATCAGCCTCGCATACGCACGTACGCATGTCTGAACGTTGAGTCTCGGTTCCGAGCGCTGATCGGGCCCGCTACGCCCCGCGTTTGGGCCCCCAATCGAAGGCCGCGGGTGCTCGGTAGGGAGTAGACTCCGAGGACCAGCGCAACTCGATTTACACGCAAGTTGTGCGCACAAGTCGCCCTTCAGATTGCTAGAGAGACAGGGAATTTCCGGTTTGAGGGCGGTGTCTTCTAAAAGTCACTGTCGCTGGATCGAAGTAAAGGCGATGGTACTGCTCGCGCTAGAACCGCACCGCTTTACCTCACCCTGGGCCCGGGAATACCAACCAATCGTGCCCGCGCATGCCCTATCTTCGGTCCCGTAGTGAGCCCTACGTATGCGCAACCAGGCCGCAGGCTTGTCGGTGCTTGTCTGTGCTTTTCGGTGCTTGTCGGTGCTTGTGGAAGCTTGGTACGTACGTCCGTATGCTAGGTCGGAGGATATTTCGGTGCGACGTCGCCCGCTTTGACGTTTCATATTGTCCAGAAGTAGTACGAGAGATTAGGGGCATGGATGGATCGTTTTGAAGGACAAAAGATTGGGCTGATGAACGAAATCATGCTTTAGGAGAGTGACATCACTTGTTGCTCAGTTTGCATGTCAAACACTACGAGGCAACATTTTAGACGTGCGGATCCGGCAGCAGAGCACCGGTCTGTGAATAATGGATTATGTGTTTCACTTTGAATTAGTTCTCACTGGAATTTCGGCCTGAGCATCCTGTTTGCTCAGGATGTACTCGCAGTGTTGGGAATGATCTTCTGCATCGGCTTCACCATGCTGTTAGGCAACGTGCATGAGATTGCAACGATTGGGATGAAAGAGACGCCGAACTCATCGCGTGATGATGGGCAAGATTTAAAGATGTGCCGATGAAAGATGCACGGTCATGAGAGTGGTGGACAGTTCATGGTAGCTGCCAGGTGTATATTCAACCGACGACGAGCTATTGCACGCGACATGTGCAGGTCAATTCACTGGGAAACAGACCTGTGCTTTCAATAGTGCGGACCTTTGCTGCCCAATGTCTCATAAACATAGTACCACTGCTCAGAAATCAACTTTGGGCGACCATTGTTGACCTCAAAACCTAAATCTGAATCAGTGACCGTGTCATCAACGAACCAGCCTCTCTTGCTTCCCCTGAATTACCTCAACACTTAACAGCAATGGCTCAAACATCTCTCCCTAACGTTGCCTTAGACCTATCCAAGGTGCCCATAGGACCATCCTCTCCACAACGAGCTCCAGCGCTGCGCCTCTAAGGGTGCCATGCGCATAAACGCCATGACAGAAAATATCAAGAACGCAGGTTGCTTCCTCAAGCCGCCGCTTGATTCGGCAGAGAGCAGGTTCACCTATTCGCCCGCATGGCAAGACTTGGCCCGATGGGGATACCAGTATTGCGACGCAACAACATTAGACGAATGGTACGGAGAATTCAGGCTCAACTGGGGTATTAACAAGGCCCTCCAGTCGAACGAGTTGTCAGAGGTTGACATTCGCTCTGCGCCACCCACTCGCGTCCGAGATCAGTTAAACCAGGAAGATGTTGTGTGTGATGATGGTCATTGGCGAGATGTTGAGGAGCTTGGGGAAGACCAGAACGCTGTTTTCTATGTGGCGCATTGCAATATGAACAAGAGGTTCAGTTCCCCATGTGAGCAGTCTTATGTCGTAGATGGAAAGAGGTACATGGTAAGTACGTCTCTCGCAAAATCCAAAGTTTGACTGAACAAGCCCTAGTATACCGGTGCGAGCTGCGCCGTGAGCATCGATCCAGATCAAGGCGTCATCATCTCTACGGACCGTATGAGCCCAACTCACATGGTGAAGTGCCACGATGGTCTCATGGCACCACCCGACCTCGTGCACACATCCGACATTATGTTCGCGCTGTGGAAAGACATTGCAGGTGCAGACCGCATCGCGAACTTCCTCTCGATCTGTATTGACAACGACATTTCCGAGCATGTCATCAAGGAAGTAATGCAAGGCAATATGCAGTCATACCCTGGCCTCATGTTCTCGACCAAAGACCCGGAAGGACAGGCTCTCCTGGGGACGCCGACAGCGGTTGCGATTGGGTATCTTTTGGCCCAGCACACGGGCGCTATGGGGGTCCGGTATGTGGATAGCGTTCGCGTCTTCAAGAGCGATTCGCAGAGTCGGTCTCCATGTCTGATGTTCTATATCTTCTCCGACGATGATGGTCAAAGTGAGGACGAAGAAGAACAGGAGAAAAAGAAAATGCAGCTGTTGTGAGCGAAGAGAAACAACGACGACACTGGGCGCGTCTTGGAACGGCGTCACTGCGCGACAGCCACATCAAGGGTCTCGAGATTCTTATTAGAGATCAAACACATGGAATTGTTTGCAGAATTAGACCTAGCGAACGTAGAAGTAAGAGCATCCCTTGTCTGAGTGCGACCAAAGCACCTCTATTTCGCATCGAATGAATCCTGAACTGGCAGCTTTAGTCAAAGTTGAAATATCATTCGCATACTTTGACGAGCAAGCTCAAGTGAGTAACATCAGCCGCGCTTGATGGCATCAGCGATCTTCTCAGCAAGCATATAGACCGTTGCCTGCGGGTGTCCCGGAATCGACAACGGTACAATGGAGAAGTCTACCACCCGTAACTTCTTCACCCCAAACACTCGTGCCTCTGAATCTACTACAGCGTTCTTGTCGTCGTTCTTTCCCATCGAACACGTCGAGCTGGGGTGCCATATCTGCTGAGCGTTTGCTTTGACATACTCCAGCAACTCTGCATCTGTACAAACACCTTCTCCGGGACGCACTTCAGCCCCCAGCGTGATATTTCGCGCGGTTTCAGACGCCCAGATTTGACGCAACCGTTTGATGCCAGCGATGAGTACATCGGTGTCAGCCGGGTTTGAGAGCCATCCAAGGTCGATGATGGGCTGATCCGAGATGTTCGCGCTTCGGATGGAAACGCTCCCCTTGGAAAAGGTGTTGCAGATAATTGCACTCATGGCTCCTTGCGAAGTTCCATTGGGAAGAGCGAACGCTCCAGCAATGAACGATAGTTCGGGTGAGTCAGGACTTAGTGCAGCTAGCTTCTCTTGAGTGCTCTGCGGGAGTGTGCTTCTCAGCTTGCTTGTCAGTCTCTCGTATGCTATCCATCCTGCGGCCGAGCTGTATGGACCTGCGGCTTCTTCTTCATACTGGCGGAGAGCTTCAGGCTCAGTGATAGGGTTGGATGTGATTGTTTGACTGCTAATTGTGTTAACGAGATGGCTGGTTCCGATGGAGATTGGGTCACGCAGGTTCTGGCCCACTCCGGGGAGGTCAGCGATTACTGGAATACCCAACTGATCGAGAGTGGCCTTGGGACCAATGCCTAAGAATTGTGAGTCTGTATCAATTTGACGGTTGTGTAGTAGCTGACCCGAAACCATCAGCAACTGCGGAGAGTGAAATGTTCCGGCGCTGACGATGACCTCCTTCCTCGCCGAAAGCTCATATGTCGTACCATTCGTCGCAACCTTAACTCCTCGCGCCGAATCCCCATCAAACAGGATCTTAGCAACAATGCTATGGGAATAAACCTTAAGTGATGTGTTCGCCAGTGCATATTGAAGGAAACTTGTCTCAGCAGATTCTCGTGTCGCACGTGCCGGATCGATAGTCGAAGGGACCCATGAGCCACCATTCAAGTTTCCAGCGCTCCAACCTTTTGGATTGATGTTCATGCCCACCGCTTGCATTGCCTTCGCCAGCCATGTGATCGACGGATCAACCCAGTTGTTCCACGACACGTCTAGTGGGCCGCCGTTCCCGTACACACTCGAATCATACTCTGGCGTAGCATTCAAAGCGTTTCGCTTCTGCAGATTTGGTGGCGTAAGGCGCACGGACTTTTTGAAGTGCGGGAGCAGCTTGTCAAACTTGTAGCTATCATCGTCAACAATGTTTGCCCATCGCTCATACGCAGCTGCCGAAGATCGAACATAAGACATGGTGTTGAGCGCTGAGGACCCACCAAGGGTCTTGCCCTGGGCATAGTGAATAGTGCGATTGTTGGCATTTACTTGTGGCACTGTAGTAAGCTCCCAATCGATCTCGGGCCTATGCGGGAAGTTTTCGGACGGGTCGATGACATCGATCTTAGTGAGCGAATAGAGTGGTACAACACTGGCATTGCCGTATTCAATCTCGTAGTAGCCGCCTGCCTCTACGACCGCGACTGAAGCGACTTCGGCGAGACGTGCAGCGATTGTCAGACCTCCGGTTCCGCCTCCTACTACTTCTCCGACGTTAACACTACCTGTTAAGAAGAGCATGCGTACACATGTACTTACTGACATAATCGAATGTCGCACCGCCGATGTTTCCGCCTTGCTCAGCCTTGATTACTCTGGTCCGAATTTGTGCTGCGGATGCAAGAGCACTTGATAGAGCAATGATGGTGCCGCGCATAATCATCATATTGATACTTCAATAATATCGAGTTCTCGAGCCATCGTTCGAAAATCAGCCAAGCAGATCGATCGTACTTGCTCACAGGCGAGGATCTTGGCATGCACTTTACCCGGCATGCGGGCTGACTATGAGCATGCTGACATGCCTCCTCATGGAACGTACTAACTAGATCAGACGCGGGACTGACCTTAGAGAAAGCTATACTGACGAATGAAGATAGATAAAAGTGTGAATTTAGTAGGAAGCATTCCGTCTGATTGGTACGTAGGACCGATTACAAATTGCGTCCAGTAGATTTTTACGAACGAACGAACGAACGAACGAACTTGAGTAGGAGACTGAGTCTGCGGAGAAATTCGGCACTCGATCTGCCCCAATGATATCTATCTGACATAGGACTTTTGGGCTGCTAATGTCGTGTTCTAAATCATTTGCACTTGAGAAAAGGGTTCATGACCAGGACATTCGTAATACCGGTGGACCTGGAATAATGCGGCCTGGTGCAATTGTGGGCATTGCAAACCGACCGGGACTTACGTGTACTATGAAATTTACAGACACTTGATAACACAACAAAACTCGGAAAAATGACGTATGAGTTTGCTTCGATACTCAGGACTTCGAGCACGCAGTCAAATAATCGTAATGTTTGGAAAGCTTATCTCGGCATACTCATTTTGTAGAGGGAGTATTTCCGGTGGCTGGAACTGATCATGGGATACTGGCAATATGGGACCAATGGCTTTGACAGAGAGGACCTTTTTGAGAAAGCTCCTTGGCAGGAAGCACTAGGCTCCGTCGGAAGGTGCGATACGTACGGGAACATCGACGTGTTTGTCACAAATTAGCTCATTGGAGAATGTGGTGACCTGTGTTGTCGAGAAGCATGTGGGGGCGTTGTTGGGTGGTGTCGGTTTTCATGCGCAAGATTCAGTCAGAACCTCCATGACTGGAGGGCTCATCTCTGCATCGCCGAGGAGAGTATAGCAACATTTCTCGGCGATCGTGGAGTCCAATGAGATAAATCCTACGATAATGTTAGCTGTTCATGTTCGCACACGTACCCCAACCGTTAGCCTCGACAGCCTGCAGGGCCCATAGTTGACGCGTCCAAGACTGACCAACTCAGCTCACGAGCGCCACCGAACCAGAAAGAATCCTATAGTCATCGGATGTCCGTTCCCTGGCCTCTAAACTCGTGCGACTCCGCTCCCAATATAGCTAGCCCCACTGCTGTATGCGCGCGATCGTCATCCGTACTACCCAATCTGCATGCCATTAAGCGAAAGTAGAATCCTCTCTGCAGTAATACGAAGCCCATATTAGCCTATGCATCCCAGTACACTCTGCCCCAGGCACGACCGGGAGTGAATGAGAATACCAAATTGCAAGTGCTTCGTATATCAGCTGTCAAGTTCGTGTCTGCACGTTGTCGGTCTTCTGCCGAGTCGCGTCCAAGCCGGTGGGTCAACCGGCACGTGTTGACAGCCGGAGCCCGTCGGGGAGACCAATGGCAGATTTTCTAGGTGTTAGAAAACCGGGTGTGTACGCGGGCGAAGCATTGAGGTATGCAGATACGAAGTGCCGTGCGTTTTAGGGTGGTGTTGATGCTCAAGAAGGAAGTGATATGACGTCTGTTGCAGCCTGATCTGGGGTACGTATTGTAGCCAAACTTGCATGGACTTTGAAAGAGTCGAGATCTTCTTCAGGAGCAGCTGGAAATAGGTCTTCACTACAAGAGCGTGCAGGTTAGCGAGAAAGGTGCTCACGGCATTGGTGCAATGTGACAGTTCCAAGCATCCGCCATCTCCAGGCCAAGAGCAGTCATGTATTGTGATATGCCGGAGTGTTCGTGTATTCGCTGGTACAGGAGACTACCCTTGAACAAAGTCTAGGACATACGTCATCTGGATAGAACAGTTGATATCGTAAGATTTGGAGAAGAATAAAGAGTGCTCACTTTCCCCAAGGATCGCACATGTTTTGTGCCATCGAACCTGTTTCCAATCGTCCGCGCACCGCGATGTTGTCCTATCTCATTCCCTCAGTCCTACTCGCGTTCGCTCGCATAGCCATAGCGGACACCTGCTCCTCTGTTGAGGCTCTCCGCTACATCAATGTGACCCGCTCACTCGACCTTGCGTACATCGAAGAGCAGACCCAATACTGGTCTACTTCATGCTCAGCACTTCTGCCTTCTTGCATCATCTTCCCTAAATCAGCAGAAGAAGTATCCACTGTAGTGAAGATCCTTGCGAACACGACTGAGAGGTTCGCCGTCAAGAGTGGCGGACACAACCCCAACAATGGCTTCTCCAGCGTGCAAGGTGGACCGCTGATAGTCACGGAGCACCTTGACCAGGCGAATTTGAACCAAGCCACTGGTGTCATTGACGTGGGGCCCGGTAATCGGTTGGACGGGATCGCAGCGAAACTGCAAGGTAGTGGATGGACGTTCGTTGGTGGTAGAATTGGTAACACCGGTGTCGGTGGCCTCGTGCTTGGCGGTGGATTGTCCTATATGTCTGCACAGTACGGTTGGGCAGCAAGCCAGGTCCTTGAGTACGAGATTGTGTTCGCCAATGGAACCATTGGCCACATCAACAAGGACAATTATCCCGATCTCTTCAAAGCCTTGAAGGGTGGGGGGAACAATTTCGGAATTGTCACGAACTACAGGTCAGTGTTATAATTATTGTAAGATAGCAAACATGGGCTTACTGCGTGTACAGACTGCAAGGACAACGCCAAGGAAACATATGGGGCGGCAATCTGGTATATTTGCGGACACCAGAGAAAGACAAGAAGCTGCTCAAAGCAGTCCGCGACTTTACCGAGTACAACGACGACCCCAAGGCTGCTGTCATCGTGACTGCTGAGCGAACAAATGTGAATGTCGTGGACTCGTGGATCATCTTCCTCTTCTATGATGGTCCTTCCCCTCCAGCAGGAAAGTTCGATAATTTTACGGACGTCAATCCACTGCTAGACACCACGCGAACACGCACATACGCCGACTTGATGGCCTTGAGTAACTGGGTCGTTCTGAAGGGCGAGGTGGTTGACATCGCGACAGAGACCATCCCAATTCCTTCAGCCGAGGACGAAGTAAAGGTCATGGAGAACCTGCACAACCACTGGAGGAATATTACTGATACCACGCTGCTTGAGGTCGGCATCGTCGCGTCCATCGCGTGGCAACCATTTCCGAAAGCCATCGCCAGGGAAGCCCGTGCCCGTAGCCCCGATTTGATTGACGCGGACGACTCAGTTGATCGAATCATCATCGAGATGAACTATGCGTGTACGTAAGCCCGGGGTACAAGTTCTAGATACTAGGCGCAAGCAATATCTGAATCTTGTCGGATATTACTTACACTCTAGCTAAGCTTAATCCCCTTATCTCCCTTCCCCAATCTTCCATCCATTAGTCAAATGTACCTATCACTAACTTGTACCTCCAACTTTAGTCACGCTTCAATCGAGCTACGACAGAATGGCCGACACGATGGAGGCGACCTACGGAGGCGTGCGAGAGAGGGTGTTAGGCTGGCAGGAGGACGGGACGCTTCCAGAAAGCTACAATCCGGTATTCATGAATTATGGATTCTTCCGCCAGGATTACTTTGGCAGGCTGAAGCCGGAGAACAGAGCGCTGGCGAGAAGGGTGCAGGAACAGGTGGACCCAGATGGTCTCTTCCGAGCCAGGACTGGGGGATGGAGGCCATAGTCGATTCTCGTTGTTGCAGTGTACATCTAGAGCAATTTCATTGAGTTTCGAAACAGCAGTCCATCAAGTTTGATCTTTGGAGGTACAGGGGGCGTCTGCGTTTCCCCAGGGACGCTATCGATAAGATGCTTGGCAGAGACCGTGGCCATCTCGCGACCTCCGTTATAGTGCCAACAACGCGCTCCACCAGCGTTCCGCCTCCTTGTAACGCCGATAATGGCGACAATTTCATGGTAAAGGTTGCGCCCTGGGACAGCTAAAGCGTACCGAGATGGCGGCGAAACGGAAGTCACGCGCGGAAGAGGGGCCCCCCGATGCCATCGGCGCGCGAAAGCAACCCCGACGAGAGTCAAGCCAACGTCCAAGCCAAGAGCAGCAACAACCAGCGCGCAAAAAGCTAACCCCAAAGGAACTTCGACAAGTCATGGAGAAGTACATTTACAATCCTGAGTGCGCTTCTGAGTGCACGCTATGTGCAACAGGAATGTGGCAACGACTTCTAATGTCGACCGCGGATGACGGAGGAAGCGCACTTCAAATGGCTCTGGACTTGGTGGAAGGGCCCTGGGAACTTACACCGATACGTATCGTACACCGTTTCAAAGGGTTTGCCTGCGATGATATCAAATGGATCATTCGGCATCTCTGGCAATTATGCTTTCGAACGAGCGGGGCCAATGAATTGTCATGGACAGAAGTCCTCGCAGTGTTGAAAATCTCGGCACAGAAAAACAAGACCACTCCTGGGACATGGTCACGGGAGGCGTTTATCGATGCGCAGAGTCAGGGAATCGACGAGGCAGTGGACAAGAAGAAGAAAAGCGCTGCCAAGAAAGCAAAGCGGACATCAGCAGACCACATCGAGCAGATCAAACCGAGGAGCAGCGGTCACGACACGGCCGTGCTCTCGCTCAGCTCCGCTCAGCGACTTGGAGGCACCAGAGGAACGATAGAATCGCCTCCATTTCCAGAAAGCCCGGCCAAACCTCCATCCGCATCCGCGGTTAGTCCAACGGCCAGACCCAGAGGCATCATAGACAACGGAAAGTCCCCACTTCCAACTACATTGCCAGGGAATACAGCTCCGCTCGGTCGCCGAGATGGTTCCGTTATGTTGCTGGATCGCGAGACTACACCACCTTCCATTTACACAGGCGAGACTAGGGTGCCACGCCGAAGAGTCTTGAGTGCACGAATCGAGCACTCCGACGACTTGAGGTCGGAGTCATACCAAAGTGCGTTGTCGGAGACAAACCAAAGTTCGTCGGGTGACTCAACTGCACCAATTGAATTGGAAGCTGACGCCCGACTGAGAGCCGCCGCCATTCTGGAGGAGTTCGAATCACGCGACCCTATAAGCACGGCCACTTTAAGGTATATGCTGGCGAAGCTTGGCCTGGCTCAAAGCAAAGTCGATCTTGGGGGTGTCAGAGTGCTTGATCTGGGTGATCTCATTCAGTCTTCAGTCGGACAGGTGGCGGGCCTTGCATCTGGAAAGTTGCATCCTGTTAGCGCTCGCGACATTGAAACATGGACCCCTTCTGATCTTGATTGTGATGGGATCAAGACGTTCGTACTTCCGTTCACGGGCCAGCCCGAGGTCCCCTCGGCCTTTTATGTCCTCAAAGATTCAATATGCCACGCCTACCTTACAACTCCTGCGCAAGAGAATATCATGCTCACGCAAACGTTGCCAGAAAAGCTTATCAGAGCTGTTGCTGGTCTGGAGGGTGCAAAAAATTGGAAGATGAAACTGTTGAAGATACAGGACTGCTATGATCGGTCACACAAAGATCATCCGAGGGAAGAAGACTGCGGTCTACAAGCGCTCGCAGTCTGCCTAGCTTGTTTAGACAATCTGTTTTTCCTCTTTAAAATGGATATAAGCTTCTGGCGAGCTGTACTTGCTACGGCTATTCACGAGTCTGCTGGCACTCGATTCTTCAATGATTGGCTGCAAGGGAAATGGTCGTCTCAACAATTTGAGTCTACGCCTGTTCGTGACAAGAATCACCACCCCTACTACGCCGGGGCTGTGAAAGCTCGCGAGGCAAGAAGCAAAGCGGAACGACGACAATCCAGGCTTGCGCGTGTGCTCAAAGATGATATCGGAGAATTGCGAGCGTGGATCCGATATGCGCAGCAGAAATTCATTGATGTCAAAAAGACGATGGCGGCTCAGCGCGAAGAGATAAGAATCAAAACAGGACCAGATTTCCAGGAGCTGAAGGAGAAAACGGAGTGGAATGCAAAGAGATATCTTGGAGCTGACGCGTTCAAACAGCTTGGTCCAGAGCAAGTTTATGGGCCGTATCTTTCGAGAATGAAGCTTCTGTACGAACAAAGGTCTAAGAAGGAGGAGGTTTTGCTGCAAGTCCAAGAGCACGCGGCCGAAGACGCACTGAAGTTTCATGATCAGCTGTTGGCTGCTCTTGAGGCAGGCGAAGGATTTGCACAAAGAATGAAGATCGAAGCAGAAGATGATGTCCAGAAAGCGAAGGACTTTCTACAGAGTGAACTTCACGTGGCAAAGGCGAAATTCGAGAAGGATAAAGCGAGGAGAGCAGAGGAGAAACGGAGAATAGCAGAGCAGCAACAGAGACTAGCAGAGGAGCAAGCGAGATTAGAGCTAGAGGAGAAGAGGGCGGAAGATGAATTCGAAGAAGAACTGGTGGACATCGACTGATCGAGTCGGAAACCATTACCGGCATCAACATCAGGCAGACGAGACCTCACCCATCGCTTGCGGGATGCTGTCGATTTGACTGGAGAGGAGGACTCGGCCGCGCTTTTGGAAAAATCCCAACTGTTCCAACCCACCCCCGCATCAACACCATGGCACGCGCAATCGCATACGGTAATTGGAAACAGCCCATCAAGGCTAGTACATTCGGTATCCAAGCCACATGGCAAGGAGAAGTACGCGTCCCTTTCGCATGACACACCCGCCGCCAATCAAATAAATGTGTCCATCCACCAGTTCGCCCGGCTACCTGTAGAGCTGCAAGAACGCGTCCTAGGATTTTGCGACAAGCCAGCACTCTTCTAACTCATGCAGACCTCGCATTTGATACATATTGAGGCGACGAAGCTCTTCTTTTCCGGTTCTGACGCCTAGTATTACGACAATGGGAAATTTCTGGAAGAGGGCGGCCATCCAAGGGATGATCTCCATGATACCAAACTCCTACATTGTTACAGCGATTGCATATCGTCTTCGTTTCGATTCTTCGGCCCGATGGACGTTGGAGAAGAACACTATGGCGAAGGGCCACCATTCATGAGTACGCTAACGAAATTCAAGAACTGGGTGAATGTCAAACTCATCCTGGACCAAGTATCATCGTGCCACATAAACCGTTCTGTGGGCAGTTGGGACATTCCACAACCTGTGAGTCAAGGCATTGCAAGCCAGTACAACGCGCTTCGAATTCTTCGCATTACGGTTATAGAACAACATCATTTTCGTGGAAAGCACGAGGCATTCGGATGCCCTGCTCCGTACTGCGATGCCTGGTTCGAGCGACCTGAAAATACACGACAAATCTGGCGAAGGGGGAACATGACGAAGATAGCTATGTCTTACCAGAACGTTGTCGTTCATTATTTGTGGATGGCGAGAGGAGACTGGAATGCTTATGGCAGAGCAAAGGTGAGATCGCCGAAACGTTCTCGATGCGGTGGGAAATTTATAGATCTGAGGAGCGAAAGGTTGCCGAGAAGGAATTGTATTGTGAGATGGAGCCTGATTCGTTACAGATTCAAGATGGGCTACTTTTCAAGCAAAGATGGTTGGATCCAATACGACTTTAGCACGGGAGGCGGAACCATGAACAGTTCATTGAAGCACATATACGGCAAAGCATGCAGGATCGGTGAACATTGCGGAATGCACTAAGAATCCGCAAATATCGGTTGGTCGACCAGGTTAGGGTCTCGGCCTCTTAGGCCCGCTGCATGGATTCTACGTTCGGGTCCCTACCACACTAAGAGATCCAGTTCACCCTAGTGTTATCTTGGGTGGCTAGCATATGTACTTCCTAGCCGAAGATGGTGGCAGAATCTTTGTCGTCAGCATAAACACAGGACAACAGCACCCCGCCCACGTGATGTGGGGCTACATTAGCACCTTCTGAACGTGATTGTTCATTGAAGCACCAAGTCCACCAGCACACAGCAACAGAACGACAACTTCTCACTATACTCTCTGTTCTTCTTCCACTATGGGTATTTCCTCAACACAAAAATCCTTCAACCTCGCCATAATAGGCGGAGGCATCTCTGGTCTCACCTGTGCAATTGCACTCCACAAACGCAATATTCCCGTCACAGTCTATGAGAGCGCGGCTTCTTTTGGTGAGATCGGTGCCGGCTTAGGCTTCCAACCGAACTTCGTGCACACCATGGAGTTGATTGCGCCTGGTATTAAAGAAGGATTTCTCCGCTGTGCCAACAACGAGGAAACCGATCCGCCGAAATGGTTCGATGTGCGAATAGGCGACACTCGAAAAGCCGACCGCGAAGGCTTTGTTCGCAAGAAAGATGGCAGGAAGATCAAGCTCGGTGAGCGTATCTTCATGATTCCTGCGAGACCGGGTCCAAGAGGAGGCGTCCATCGCGCACACTTCCTTGACGAACTCATCAAACTTCTCCCTGGGGGCATAGCTCAGTTCAAGAAAAGATTGCTTGACGTTACTAAGGCGGACAATGGCGATGCAGTGTTGCACTTTGCAGATGGCACGACGGCACAGCATAGTGCTGTTATTGGCTGTGACGGGATTAAATCGCGCACACGGGAAATAGTCCTCGGCAAGGAAGAAGCACGCCCGCTATTCTCAGGAAAGTATGCCTACAGGGCTATTCTTCCGATGCAGAAAGCGCTCGAGTTTCTGGATGACAAGCAAGCGACGATACCGCAGATGTATTGTGGCTACAAACGCCATGTTCTCACGTTTCCGATTGCCAATGGCACTATCTTCAACGGTATAACATTCGTCTAGTTCGAGCAAAAGTCCGAAGCTAACGGGACGCACAGTGGTGGCATTCAGCTCCCGAGACGAGTGGACCAACCCCGAGTGGGTAGTCAAAACATCGAGAGAAGACATGCTCGCAGACTACGCACATTGGGACGAGAAAGTCAAAACTATCATAGCGAACGTGAAGAATCCGGATATCTGGGCGCTCTACAATCATGCCCCAGCCCGCACATTCTATCAAAGCCACCCGCGTATATGCTTGCTTGGTGACGCGGCCCACGCTTCGACGCCACATCAGGGGTCTGGCGCAGGAATGTGCGTCGAGGACAGCTACGTACTTGCGGAATTGCTAGCCGAGATATCCGGGGCAGATGAACTCGAGACGGCGTTCCGGGCTTACGATGCGGTGAGGCGTCCAAGGGCACTGAAATTGGTTGAAACGAGTCGTCAAGCCGGGATGCTGTGGGAGCTTGAAGGCCCTGAGGGTGACGATCTCGATGCTTTTGAAAAAAACGCAAACACTAGGATGTCGTGGATATGGGATCACAAGATTGAGCAGGACCTCGAGAGGGCGCGGGAGCTGCTGCGTGTATAGCTGCAGCAGTCTCATTACAGCGCTGTTTACCTGACTAGAGTGGAAGACTGGTTTTCAGACCATCTGCCTAACAATATGAATACACTGAAGCTTTGTAGCTTCAATCACGAGTTACTTGGACATCCTTCGTCACCGTAATTCCCTCAAAAATCCGCTCCTGCGACTCACTCCGACTAACCAGACTAATCACTGCCTCACTCTTCACGTCCTTTCTCCCACTCTTTAGTGCGTCTAGATGAAAACTCCCAGCTTGCCCCTTCCCAAATGTGCCCCTGGACATCTTCCCACCTGTAGTGCTGTCCCCTCCATATCGCGCATAGTATCCCGCACTCGCACCCTTCGTACTGCGCCACCTCTGCGGCCAAAACCTCGATATCGTTCGCCGCAGGCTGATCAAGCATGCGCATATCACACCGACCGCAGCCTCGATGAAGGACCACAGGTTCGTAGGAGCGGACTCCCACGTTGGCTCTTTGAGCTTGAGCGTCTGAGGGAGTGTCGCCATGCGTAGCGTTGTGATGAGGCAAATAAAGAAGCCAATGCTGAAGAGGATGATGAGGCCGATGCGGTTGCCGAGGGACATGTTGAGTTTCATGATGAGGGGGAGTGGGAGGAAGAAGATTATGAGGTCAGTGACGAGGTTGGAGATGGCGTTCGTCCAGCTATTTACATACACACGTTAGAGTTGTTCTTCTGCAGGGATAAGATTGTAGCGTACCGATGCCATGCAAAGTTTATGCAGGTACCTGGAATCGTGCGATCGTAGACGCGTGCGACTGGATTACACTGGAAGATACCAACGATCAAATACGAGATGGTCCAGAGGCCGCTTATTCCCATCATGACATACAGGACTTTGCGAAAACCGGCAACTGGAAAGACGCGGTGGTAAAGCATGAGGAAAGCGAATTTGTTCATTCCGTTCGTAAGGATGTAGAACACAACTGTGAGATAGAAGTACTACAGGGCACTGCCTTTAGCTGACGCTCTCTTTCAGGTCGGGCCACTACATACCTTGAGTGCTTCGCGGACGTCACCTCCTGTCGCTTTGATGTCTGCTACGTGCTTCCCGAAGCCATAATGCGTGGATGCAAATACCATGGCTGCAAAAACAATGAGGAAAATCTGGTTGATCAGTGACCGTGTACATCGACTATTTGGACTGACTTACTGTAGAGGCAATGACAAACGCATCTTCGAGCCCAAACCATCCGCGGTTCTGCCATGTGGTCGTCAAACGCATCGTAAGCAATACCAGCGCAACCGCAGACAGCGAGATGGATACCCATCTCAGATCGCGCTGCTCATTTGCATAAGCCGAGAAAACGACAGTGCCCATTCTTGCACACTGGTTTCGCACCCGTACTAGATCGTACAAACAGACATAAACAAGGGGTCCCGCAACGTCGAGATCTCAGATCGTGAAGCTTGTGCAGTATAAGTAGTTTTGCAGAAGATCCCTCGATCTTTAGGATGATCCTTTACTGATGGGTGCTGGACAAGGGATGGACTGGGTGGCCCGAGTCCGTGGTCAGCACGTACTCTGAACGCGCGGGATACCCAGCTGTCACCAAGAGTGTGAAGGGGCCTCGTCGATCAGGGCCTGTCTTCTTGTCTGCCCGTAATGCACTGACGGCATGTTTTACCAACAAGCCGGTTTGACACCGGGTTACTATTATCGCTACATATGAGGGCTCAGCTGAACCAATCGGGGATGTTCCATTCCCTGCCTGGCTCCAATGATTCTGTCAAGGCGGACCGAATACTCAGACAAAACGGGTGACAGAATACGGTCTTCGGGATGTTTGGTAACGATGGATAGGATGAAGACCCTTAGTCGGTAGTGGGAAGAAGGTGGCTGGCTTCTTGTGATACTTGGCTCACAGCTGTGCCGTAACAAGGGAAACCATACTTGAGGGTTGAACTGGATTCCCGCGCTTTCCAACATCTATCGTGATCAAAGTGATACGATAAAGGAGGGCTAACGATACTCGAAATTGCGTTGGTCCGACAGTGACGGGTAGAGATACCTGATGAATAGGGCCGACAACGATGACCCTGCTTATGCATTGTTTCGGCGCAAAGACTAGGCGAATTATACCACGTTCCCTCTGCGCTCTCAACTCTCGAGTAACAACGTCGATCCTTGACCTTACGAAGAAGCTCAGCGAAATCCAACATCTCGTGCTTGGTTCTTCGAACACGACTGTCATCCTCGCAAATGTCAATGAGCCTCACGATGCTTTTGCGCGGTGTTATTGCGAAGTGCATACATATACGAGGAGCCTCGTGCTCCTCTTGCGTTGCTCTCGCATTACGGTGCCGCACTCAATCCTTCGAATAGGCGCCGGACGTACTTCCGACAAGGGAATCGGGGGGGTCGAAACGGCCCGTGGCTCGGGATATCGCTCCCGCGAGCGTTCGCTTCCTCCGCAGCAGGGGTTTTCGGACGGCTCATTGGCCTGCAACCGCTGCAACCGCTGTGAGTACCTCATATTCCTCCACCATGTCAAATTTTGGTACGTTGATGTCTAGTGCGTCATGAGTCAGGAAGGAAGCTTGCACGGGACGGCGCGAGGGTGGATACGATACACCTCTAGGCAAACTCTACGTAGAGACGACCCTGCCTCTCTTTTACTAACGCGCAAATTTTGCTTTTTGACAGCTACGATGATCCCCCACGATGCGGTAGAGCATCGTAATGCACAAACGGATCCATGCATGCATTCGATGATGCATTTTGATTTGCTAAGGGGATCAGAAGTCGTATTCGGCACGTCTGAAATCCTTCCGCGAAGACCCCAAGATAACACGCCATTCCACCACCACGGTACACTCGCCAGGCGAGGTTTTCGGCGCTTTTCCAGGGTCTAAAGGCCGCAAGTTTACGTGTATGCCGCGTCTAGACATGCAATGGATGCTCGGTGGCGGTCTGGATGCAAGGGGTCTTCTTGGCTGCAATGTCTCGTTTCCCGGGATCTGTTACCACCATGCTGCGGAAGTTGCGGTGAAAAATCATACAGTCCTTATTGTACGGCGGTTGATCCTTTCCTGGCGTAGTCTGGTGTCACCGAAGACATGCGCGCAGTACGATCGGCTCTTCTACGGAGGCGCGATGCATTGTAAGGATGTAGGTAGGGTCCATTTCATCCAAGCGAAGGGTGGGGTAGGAGATGATACACGATTCGGATTGAACTACTCATCTTGCGCGTGTTATACTTCGGAGTGTTTTCCCCGGCCGTATGATTCGGTCTGCACCAACTGTTGAGTTCCTTCTCAAAAGAGATTGGCCTTGTCTGCAGCAGACCTCGTAATCTTGTCACCCACTATCCTGGGTCGTCCTTCCATCTTTTGCCTTCGCGCAATCTGCTGACTTCATACTCTTTTCCCGAATTTTATGGAAATTTTGATTGTTACCTACCATTGCATTCCTTGTTCTACTTCTTTACCCTGTTTGTCGAGCTGCAGAAGCGGCATACATCTTCTGCGATTGGAGACTTCCGTCCTGTGTGACGAAAGGCCTCCTGAGAGCAATCATGGCGACAGAGACACACTCTCTGGAGAAACAAACCGTCCTTACGGATGCAGCTCCCTCTCCCAGTCTTGACTCCTCTCATGAGCGCCCCATTGATCGCGCTGCGGAGCGGCGCCTCGTCCGCAAGCTTGACCTTCGCATCATCCCCGTTCTCTGGATCCTCTACCTCTGCAACTTCATAGACAGGGCAAATGTAAGAACCCAAGCACAATTCCCATCGAAGTAGGCAATGGATTTTCAACCCAAACGTTGCTCCCCAACCCACCAGATCTCCCCCAACTCTAACACGCCACAGATCGGTAATGCCAAAATCGCCGGCATGGAAAAGGAGCTCAACCTCATCGGCCAACGCTTCAATATCTGTGTCTGGGTCTTCAACCTGGGCTACCTCGTCGCCGGTATCCCCTGCACCATCCTCTTCAAGAAATACGGCCCGAAGTCTCTCTGCGTGATGATGCTTCTCTGGGCCATCACCGTCATCGGCTGCGGCCTCGTGCGCACCTGGGAGCAGCTCGTCATCACCCGCCTGCTCGAGGGCATCTGCGAGTCCGCATTCATATCCGGCGCGGCCTACTTGATCGGCGCGTACTACACGACCGCCGAGTATCTGGGTCGCTATGTGATTTTCTTGACGGCGGGGATCATTGCGGGGGCGGTCAATGGCTTTATCTCGAGCTTGATTGCGAAAATGAACGGCGTTGCCGGTTACGGGGCCTGGCGCTGGTAAGTTTCTTCCCCGGCCCTTCTTATCAGTCTCCCTTTCCGGTCCGTCCCGTGAAACCCTTCTGACCCTCTCAACCAGGATTTTCATCGTCGAGGGTCTGCTGACTATTGTGATTGCGTTGGCATGCTGGTTCTTTGTGCCGCCGTTCCCAGAGCACTGCACGTTCCTGCAGGGAGAGGAGAAGGAATTGATGCTGAGGCGAGTGAAGGAAGGAGGGCATAATGCACATGACACGATAACCATTAAGGATGTGCTCAAGGAATTGGGTGATTGGAAGATTTGGGCTGGGTAAGTCCAGCTCGTTATGGTCTGAGGAGGATGTGGCATACTGACGTCGATGCAGTGTCGCCATGAATCTGGGCGTCACCGAAAACGCGAACTCGCTCGCCAATTTCCAGCCTACCATACTCAGAGGCCTTGGGTACACCGCGACTTCCGCCCAGGTACACACGATCCCCGTCTATCTCACTGGAGCCGCTGTGTCCGTTATCTTCTGTCTCATCTCCGAGCGTTTGAACCACCGCTATGGCTTTTACCTCCTAGGTTGTGTATGTCTTCCTTGTCTCTGCCTCCCTACCAGCTCCTAACCTCCAGCAGGCAATCCTCGCCGCCGGCCTCGCTATCGAGATCAATTATCCGCCCTCAGCTAGCACCCGCTACGCAGGTATGTTCCTCATCGCCTGCGGCGCCTACGTCTCTATGCCCATCAGCATCATCTGGGTCAGCGTCAACGCGGGCAGTGGGTACAAGCGCGCCATCGCCATCGCAGCCATAATCAACTTTGGCACCGCTGGCGCCTTCGTATCATCCAACGTGTTTCTCTTTAAGGAGACGCCTAGGTTCCATACGGGATTTAGCACGGGCCTAGGTCTCGTGTGTATGGGGGCAGCGGCGGCGACAGTGTACTTTGTGGGATGCTGGTGGACGAACAAGAAGAGGGATGAGAGTAGTAGCGTGATGGTTGAGCCGGTAACGGAGCAGAGTGAGATGGAGAAGTTGGGATGGGAGCATCCGGACTTTCGGTTTGTGTTGTAAGATGGGGAACTCGAAAGTGCAAGCAGAAGCAATGTAAATATGTAGCGGGAATGAGGACAGCGAATGAAATTGGCAGCAATTTGACTATTGTACTTTACATAATGCAGGAAGGTGCCGTTTACGACGCTTCGTATATGCTGCAGAAATCTAATTCGATGTGCATGAGTTTTGATATAGAAGCACGCCTGTACGCCGATGATCTGACATTGGTCGCTTATAGATACCTAAATCGGCTCGTCGCGCGGCTCGATGAGGATTTCATTCATGGCAACGTGATCTGGCTGCTTGAGAGCGTAGACAATGGCGTTCGCCACATCCTCGGGGTCGAGCACCTTGGCCCCTGTCGGCTCGCCGAACTTCTTCAGTGCCTCAGCATCAGTCGACATGCCAAGCAAATCCGTTGCTACGTTACCAGGCTGGAGACTCGAAACTCGGAGACCAGTGCCTGCTGTTTCAACTCGCAGAGCCTGGAGGGTAGCCTCAACAAAGAACTTGCTGGCAGAGTAGACACCGAGACCAGGGAAGACCTTGCGTCCTGCATCTGACGAGATCGCAACAAAGTGGCCCTTGCCACGAGAAAGCATAGAAGGAACCGTCGATGAGATGCAGTTGAGGAGACCCTTGCAATTGACATCAACGGTACGGTCCCACTCTTCAGTCTGCACATTCTTCATCATAGTGAAGTACATGACGCCCGATACGGAAATGAAAATGTCGATTGGGCCTAGCTTCTTCTCAGTTGCAGCAATGAGCGCCTGCACCTGCTCTCTGTCGGTGACATCTGTCTTCTGGCAAAAGACTTTTCCTTCACGCACAACGATGCGCTTCTTCAGGTCCTCAAGAGCGTCGATACGACGTGCAGCGAGCGCGACGTGGCACCCCTCGCGGGCCAGAGCTGTAGCAGTTGCGGCACCAATTCCTGACGAAGCACCCATGACAACAGCCACTTTGTTGTAAAGCGGACCCCTCTTAGGGAGCTGGCCGGTGCCGCCGGTTGCGTTTGAAGTAGCCGGCGGCTTAGGGAGCCATCCGCGGGCGTACCAATGACGGGTATAGGTCTCGAGTAGGGTCTCGTCTACCTTGGGCCGCTCTACAGCAGCGCGGAATGGCCTCGTCTTTGCGTTGTCAAGTACAACGATGTCGCGGAGGAACTCGACACTGGGCATACCACTGCGCAGGATATCGATGGTGAATGCACCGTCTCCGCCCTTAGCAGAGCCTCGCTTGTCGTCCCATAGCTCAACCCACTTGTCGAACTCGAGTGGCTGCGTAGGGTAACCGAGGTTGTTCAAGTTCTCGAAAACTGCGCTGGTGTCGACAGGTGTTGGGTCTCCAAGATGGAAGATAACTTGGTCCGCATCTAACTGGTTTCCAAGATGAACGATTGCTTTACTGACAAAATCGACCGGAGTCATCTCAGCTCGCCAGCCTTTGACATCAGGATAGTGACCGATACGAACAGATTCCACCAAAAGTGCTGTTAAAAGATCCCAGGCATTCGATGATCCGGATTGACTGTGGCCGCTAATCGTACCGCAACGGTGGACCTTCACTGGTAGACCACGTCGGCTCGCTTCTAGGACCAGTTGTTCAGCGACCCATTTGGTCTGGCCATATCCGTCTGCGAGCTTCTCTGGGACATCTTCAACTGGCAGCATTGCATCCTCCGGCCAGCCCGCTTCTCCGGATGCAGGAGGCAACACTCCGTTGGTGGAAACATACTGGACAGTAGCCCCGCCTTGGCAAGCCAAACGCAGGATTTCCTTCGTGCCGATGACGTTGGGCAGTCGCAGTGCAGCGTAGGGATAAACCAAGTTGACGGTAGCGGCGGCATGAACGATGACGTCCACGCGTTTAGCGATCTCTGCAAACGCATCAGGTGGCAGACCAAAGCGTCTCCGGGACAGATTTCCGGGAAGAATTTCCACGCGTTCCATGATAAGATCGCTCCACAGGCCGAAGTCGAGCAAATTTCGCCTGATTCTTGCGATACCAGCAGGAATTTCGTCCTGTGATGCATCGCTAAAACGCACAAGACATATGATCTTCGCAGAAGTGCTGTCGAGAAGATCGCGCAACAGGAAAGCACCCAAGAAGCCGGTCACGCCGGTAAGAAGAACAGTCTTTGCATCCTTCAGCGCGTTCATCTTGGTATTAGTAGGTTGGATTTCCTTGTCGAGCACGGAGTCAGCCCGCAGGACCGCAGGAAGGTCGGCTTGAACCGCAGCGGTCTGTCCATCGCGGACAGCGCGCACTGTGTCCAGATGGCCGTTGAGGGTGGCTGGATCAGCAAGTCTAGCTACAGGAATCTTCAATCCGAATCTATTCGAAAGCCGGGCAGCAAGGTCGGCGAGTAACAGAGAATGACCACCCAGGTCGAAGAAGTTATACTCGGGAGTGATGGAGCTTGGCTGAATACCAAGAATGGATGCCCACACAGAAGTAATTTGCCCAATGTCAATGGGATCCTGCTCGTATGCAGCTCGCTTTCCAGTTGGCGACTTTGTCCTTGTGTTCGGGGGCGGCAGTGCTTTGAGGTCGACTTTCCCGGATACTTCGTGCGTAGGCAAATCGTCCATTTCAACCCATAGGTGAGGGATCATGTAGTGCGCCAGATAAGGCTTGAGTACCTGCCTCGCGCTCATGCTACGCGCATCGCTATCGATTTCAATGTTGGGTCGCTCAGGAGAAGAAGCGTCTTTGTCACGGACAAAGTACGCAACCAATTGTTTGTCAATACCCTCGCCGTGAGCTACAACCGCACAGCGGCTGACAGAGAGATATTGAACGATGTCATTTTCGACTTTTCCAGGAACCACAGAGTAGCCGCGGAGCTTGATCATAGCCCCAACTCGTCCAGTGATCTCGAGCAGCCCAGATGGAAGCAGACGTGCCTTGTCACCGGTTCTGTACATTCGAGCACCAGACTTGGCACTGAAGGGATTCGGGGTGAATGCTTTCTCCGTCGTCTCGGGAAGATTGAGGTAGCCTCGAGCCAGGAGATGGCCGCCAACGAAAAGCTCGCCATTAGTGCCATCTTCAACCCTGTGACCACTTTCATTAAGAATGTAAATGTACTTCTTGTCGATCAAGGGAGGACCGACTGGGCAGTAGAGGGCTTTCGGATCGATTTTCTCAAGCATCTCTCGTATATCACCGCAGGCGACCTCATGAGTCTCACAAGCGCTGTAAACGTTGAGCAGGCGAGCGTTTGGTAAGATCTTGAGACCACGGCGGGCAAGATCTGTGGTCACCACTTCGCCGTTCAACCATATGGTTTTCAGGTTAGGCAGTCGGTTGCCCAAGTTAGGATGTCGGGAAAGTATAGCTGCAAATAAGGTCGGTGTGAACAGAGTTTCTGTGATCTTTTTCGAAGACAGCAAATCGACAAGCATGCGTGGATCATAGCTCGCCTCATCGGGAACAGCAACGACAGTCGCGCCGCGGAGGAGCGGCCGAATAATCTCCCAAACAAAGAAGACATTGCAAGCAACACGATCTCCTTGTTGCAAGTCAGATAGGCCGAAGCGAAGGTCATATGAGAGGACAGCCGCTCTGTGAGGGTTTGCAATGCCTTTGGGCTTGCCAGTAGTCCCACTCGAGTAAGCAACAAAGCTTAGCTTATCAAGGTCGGTCTCTGCGGGCAGCTGAGCAAGTTCGCTCTCCTGTACATGGCCATTGCTGTTGGAGGCTTCTTCGTCGAGGGTGATGAGGGGGACCCCTTGCTTGATCTTGTCGACTTCGGCACGCACCGTCACGACAACAACTGGGCGTGCATCGTCAATGACATCGGCCAGCAGATCCGGAGGATAAGCAAGCTCAAGGACCAGAAAAGCACCGCCGGCGCGCAATGCAGCCAGACAAGCGATTACATAGTCAGCGGACCGGGGTAGCAGTACGCCGACAAGGCCATCGCGACCGACGCCATGGGCTCGGAGGCGGTCGGCTAAAGCTGCAACCTTCTCGTGGAGCTCAGCATACGTGTAGCTGTGCTTGTCGTCTTCTAAAGCGACAGCATCTGGGGTCGCTCGTGCTTGTTGGGTGAAAAGCGCTGAGAGGTCTTTTGTCGTGTCGATGATGGGCATTGTTTTGCGGGGATCGTAGTGTGTAGTAGGTATGTGCCGAATGGGCATCTTTACGTATATAGCCCGCTTGTTGCCCCCCACCAAAGCAAGGAAGCTGGATGTCAAAAATTGGCTCGATGGCTTTACTGTTGAGACGCTTGACCAGTAATGTCGTTCGCTTATCGGGGCGGCTGCTGGACCTAGGTTTTGTTTGCTCTAGTGTGCTCTTTGCCGATGACGTTATTCGGCTGGCGTTGCGTCGGGCGGAGTGTGGACGCTGATTGAACCAGGAAAATCACGAGGTAGTGAAGGAATTGTAACCAGTTCGTAAGAGGTCTTGGATGCGTGGGAGGGACGACACGTCGTTGTGTGTAATGGAGCGGACTGGAGGCACGGCTTGGCGCCGCAGATAGCCGTCTTCTAGCGCAGCACCCCACAAGAAACAGGAACCATTGTGCTCTTCAAAGATACGAGGACCGTGAATGGACTATCTCGTCAGCATGTAGTCTTGCGAAACTCCCAAATCTTTCCGTGAGTGTGCATTGAATTGGTGTTGGCAACGGTGAAACCTGAAGCGGTATGCTTTGCCAACGCATCAAGAGAGATCCATGCGGTATGCTCTCCTTGGCCCGTGAGAATGCAAAGCAATGGTCGCAACAGGGTAGGTTTGCAATGGTACATGGTCGCGTGGGGTGGAAGGGCACCTGCATCGGAAGTCTCAATTGTCGTTCAAGTGCCACAGCATCCGTTGGTTCCGGATTGATTTGAACACCACATTTGCGCAAGGATCAACAATTTCGCTTGCACATAGTAATGTTCTGTGCTTTGAAGTTGATATAGACTTGGGAGAAAAGTAGTCTGCCACTGTGTCAGCAGGCACGTAGGCCAGCAGGATGCCAACCTGATTCAGCTTGCATCCTTTCTCCATACAAACATGCTCGCGGAACTTGTTGCGACAGCGGATGTATCCTGTAGAACAGTCTGTGCCAGTACGTGCGCAGAGCCGATTAGCAATCAATGTAGGTGCAATAGAGGAAGCCACTGTAGCAGGAGTATAGCGACGACTAGAGCTCCTCCCAGTAGCCAAATCGCATGCTAGAAAACTTGTAAGCTCGCACAGGTGCATAGTAAGTGTTGAGAGAGTGAAGTGACGGGAGACGGAGTGAGGTTCATTTTAGCTCTCCATGTCTCAACAGAACAGGGTCGCGTGTTGGCCGCCTGTTCCACTTTAACCCCGCACGTGCACTCCTTCCCCAGACTTGGTGGCCCCACGTGCCTGCGTCAGCACATCGACACGGTCGGACTTCGAGAAGTGAACCTAGTCTGAGGCTGCTAATAATTAAAGAATCCGAAGACTCCTACGCGTGGAATTTACACCGGTTAAAAGAGAAGAGAGACAGCTTCGAAATAACAAGACTGGCGGATGTATAACCTCTCGGCCGGGTGGCGCTCGGCTCGTCGGCGTCCCATCAAGATCCAAAGCGAATGCCATCCTCACGACCCTCAGGGTACTCGAAAATGTCAACTATACTAATTGCAAAGCGTAGGTACATCAAGAAACCGACTACGATCTTGGTGTTTCCCCCCTAGGTTCGCTACTGAATCTATCATCATCTTGCTTGATTAAATCGGCCCCCTTCTCCGCCACAGCATATGTACTACTCATGATGTTACCGCTCACATGACCCGGGAAGACACTTGCATCGATAACTCTCAAGCCTTTGATCACCTGGCCTTGCCCGTCAATCACCTGCAGTCGATCATTAACAACCTCGCCCATGGCTGCTGTGCCGATTAAGTGGTATTGTGTGGAGATGTGATTCTTCACGTACTCCACTCGCTGCTCTTCCGTCTCTAGAGAGTTCTCTGGGGGAGGCAGCACACGCTCGCCCAACGATTTTGCGACCAAAGGATGCTTCGATACCTCATCAAGCCATTTCAAGCCTGCTGCTAGTATCTTCGCATCCGTCTCGTGACGAAAGTACCCAGGATCGATGACCGGCGGCTTCGTTGGGTCCGATGAGGCGATGTGTACGCTGCCGCGAGACAGTGGATGTTCGAGGCATATGAGCAGAGAAAGTCGGTTCTTGCCATCTGGCGGGGCACTAAAGAATTCGATCTGGGAATGACCAGCGCTAACATCCAGTTGACACGGGATGCAGAATGTTTGCAGGTTCGCGAAGGTCGGGTCTGCTAACTGTTCGACAATGACCTACGAAGTTTAGTGCCGTTCTGATGAGGGATATGATCACGAATTACCCTCTCTTGCGCCTTCTCGAACTTGGTTTTTGCGTGGCTCTTCTTCTCGACCTCTTTGAGTGTTTCCTGGAGCTGATAATCGTTGACTATGCTCGCATAGCTGACGAAGCCCATCAGCATTCCTGGGCTGCCGTAGGGACCGTTGTGCGTCTTCTCGTAAATATCCAGCTGTGCTTTGGCATAGTCCTTACCATGCAACGAGTCCATGCTCTTGATCCCATCTTTCAGATCGAAAAGCATACCACCGAGAACATGGTCTTGGAAGTTAGCCCCGACAGACTTGTTCTCGATGGCGCATTTGACTCCAGCCTTCTGTAACACATCCGGATCTCCAATGCCCGACAGCTCCAGCAGTTGGGGAGTCTGAATGACACCAGCCGACAGAACAACCTCCTTAGTCGCCTTGACCGCGTGGACTTTTCCTGAGTGTGAGAACTCCACGCCTGCCGCAGCATGCTCGTCAAACAAGATCTTCGTGGCGTAAGCTTCCGTCAAGACGCGCAGATTCTTTCGCTGCAGATTTGGTCGAAGATACCCAGTCGCAGCGTACGACCGATTCCCAGGGTCTGATGAGCGGTCAATGGCTGCGAGAGAAGAATAGAACCCCATATGGTCGCCACTCCAGGCATCGCTCAAGGTGCTATCCTTCCCTCCAACCTCGTACGCGGCCTGGCAGAAGTCTTCCTCAAGCGGCATGTAGTGGTCGTTAAAGCTCGTGTGGATGGGTCCGTCGCTCCCGTGGTACTTCTCCCGCCCAGCAAACGGCATGAATTGCTTATTCGCGGGCAGCGACTTCTCGTCAGGTATATCGAGGTTCTGATGTTTGCGGAAATATGGCACAAGCTCATCCCAACCCCAGCCCTTATTACCTAGCTCCGCCCAACTATCGTAGTCTTTCCGCGATCCACGGACATACATGAGATAGTTGATTGCAGAGCTCCCACCCAGGACTTTACCTCTCGGCATGCTGTACGTCTTGTTCCCAGCCGAGGGCTGGGGTGTCGACTGCATGCACCAGTCATACTCGGGTCGGCCGATGAGCGTAGGGTACAAGGACGGAGTGGAGATTTGCTTGTCGTCCATGCGGTTTTGGCCTGCTTCAATGACACCAACCTTCACTGAAGGGTTCTCCGTGAGGCGCGCGGCTATCACGAGGCCGGCTGTGCCTCCGCCTATGACCACATAATCGTAGTCTCGAGAGATGAACTCATCAAGGGAGCACAAAACTGGTCCGGTATTCTGGGCCGCCATTGCTCAGTCGCGACTTCCTCGAATGCTCAGGTTGTTATAAATAAAATCAATGTCGCCTAGAACGAGTCAACACGCATCGTGAGCCTGGATACGAGTACTTGTAATCGGTGTTTCCCCGCATCTCAACTCCAAGATCCGCAGATCCGGCATCGAGACCAGCTTCATGGTCACGCATCCTTAAATCCGTCTGATTGTCGGAAGGCCGCCGGATATAGCCTACATAGATCGTGCGGGATGGCGCTGGCGCTGGCGTTGGTGGCCTGCAGATTGCGGGGGAGGCGAAGGGTCGGATCGCACGGCGTGCGGGGCCTGGCGAATGTAGTCGCAATAACAATCTCGCGATATGATACCAGTGTCGCGTATTGTGCCGGGTGCCGACCCCAGGCGTTCGATGGGAATATATTTGGGTTCGCTTGCCCGGCCTTGCGTTCGTCAAGATGCTTGTCGCTAACGTTAATTCAGACGTCTCCCGAATGGCCGCCACTCAGCCAGCCTCCTTTCAGGTTCCTCGTGTACAAAAACACAAAGTGATCAATTGAGACCGGACAGGAATGAACCTGCGAACACAAAAATCTTTGCAAGCCTTCTGAGTATGGAATCAATATGGCAGGAGCAATGCTAATGACGCAAAAGAAGGGGTCGAGTCTAGCTTCGATAATACAGGAGCGCATACTCGATGCTGTTGATGGTGTGCCTTTCAGCTCAGCATCAGAAACAGCAAGACCAATAACAAAATTCAAACAAGACCCTCTGGTCAGCCTCATCGATTTCGACCATTTGAAAATATCGGATGAAAACCTTTTGCGGGGTCTAGTGAAACTTTCAGATATTGGAAGTGACGGGCTGACGCGTCGCATCCACCTGAGCCGCCACCGTGCGAACAGCAGACGTACTCTGTACTTCGAGGACCACGGATTTTTTCGGTCTATTGCTATGGCGAGGGAACCGAAAGCACGACAATGCATTGCGGCATTTGATGCATTTGCCGTCGTGTCACCTGAATGGTCGTTTCTTTGGGCGCATTCATCGAACAACGGTGCATGAGGCTGGCCCCAAGACCAGACTGGCGTGAGCGTTGAGCATGGGTAAGGCTAACATCTCGATCTTCGGCAACAGTTCTTCTCACTCATGGAAGAATTTGAGGCTGGAACCGTTGCACATCCTCATCTCGTCAAAACACCACCCATGGCACTTTGGGCGATACGCGAGATACGAGCTCCGATCAATGCTCAATCAACGCATCTTGGTGGCGCGAAGTGGTAAACTTGATGCAATGCGAAAAACCTCCGAGCCGAACGTCGTCATGCCACAGCAAGTTGAAACATGAGTCGACAGCTCAAACAGCTTGGCGGAAAGACCCACTTATGCTCCACCTAGGTGAATCATTGGAGGAGAAACAGAACGTGTTGTTCGAAACCTTGCGTTACCAAGGATCAGGTAGTTCTATGGAACCTCCCGCCTCCCGATCCGAAGGCAGCCCCTGGTCAACACCACGGCTCGAGATGAGCAGGAGCGCTCCGCCCGGTACCAAGAGGCAAAGCTTCACAATGATGGCGGAAGGCCAAGAAAAACCAAGAAGACAGTGCGATCGCGGGTTTCAAGCACATAGCGCCGTAATCGTTCGAGTGGGGAAATCAGGGATCCCTATGGATATGCGCAACGTGTGATGGACACCACCGCAGCAGCGAGCTGTATAAAGACGATGCAGATGCCATGTTGGAGAGACCACTCTTCACCGAGCACACTCATTTCATTCATTCTTCAGACATTCACTTTGCTTGAAGCAATCCATTCTCTTCACCAACTTCTTGAACCGTTTTCGACTTCCAAACTTCTCCAGTCACCACTTCCACCTCTATCAAAATGAAGGCTTCTGTCGCTGCCGCCATCTTGGTTTTCACTGCCTCTGCTTCCGCGAAGAGCTTGTTCAACAAGCGCGCCGACTTCCCCATTCCTGCTTCGCAGGGCTCGGTCACGTACGATGCCGCCGAGGAGATCTCCGGTACTTTCGATGGTGGTCTGAAGACCTACGGTCGTGGCGTCTCCTGCACTGGTCAGGAGGAGGGTGACGATTCCGACGCTGTTTTCATCCTCAAAGATGGAGCTACGCTCAAGAACGCGATTATCGGTGCCGATCAGATCGAGGGTGTTCACTGCGAGGGCTCTTGCACCATTGAGAACGTTTGGTGGGAGGCTGTATGTGAGGGTAGGTTCATCAGCGCACCATTCATTCCACATACTGACGATTGTATAGATGCTCTCTCCCTCAAGGGCGACGGCGATGCCACTGTTACCGGCGGTGGTGCCACTGGCGCAGAGGACAAGGTCATCCAGCACAACGGTGCCGGAACCGTCACCATCGACGGCTTCACCGTCGTCGACTTCGGCAAGCTCTACCGCGCCTGCGGAAACTGCAAACAGAGTGCCGAGCGTCATGTCGTTATCAAGAACGTTGTTGCTGAGTCTGGCAAGCTTCTTGCTGGCATCAACAGCAACTTCGGTGACACTGCTACTATCTCCGGCACCTGCGCAACAGGTGTTAAGGCGATTTGCACTGAGTTCGAGGGTACCACCCCTGGTAACGAGCCGGAAGAGACCTCGTCCGGCCCTAGCAACGCTTGCATCTACACCGAATCTGAGATCGCTACGTGCTAGAGGGTGGTGCGAGTGGATGAGCATCTTCAAAGTGTTCTTTGGAATGCATCAAAAGGGGACTGGAAACCTTTGAACGGGTTCTTGTAAATATACATTCGAAGCATATGCGGTACATGTAAATATATCATATCACACCAAATACGACTCTTTCACGGCTTCGAAGGTGTTATCTACACCTGCGATTCTCGTGAGACGATATCAGCAATTCAATGTTGTTTCGAACTCTTCGCGCGCTCGACAGCGACGTTCGTACCCGCACGATGTCATCTTTTGGCAGTCCCAGCAGCTCGTTCAAAGTGTCCTTCGCATGCTCGAAGTCGCCACCACCGTCGGGAAGGAACACCCGGGTATACGTAACCTTTCCAAAGCCCGATCACTTCCCTTCTTTTATCCCCTTCTGCCCCGCATTGACCCTCTCTTGAGCACTCTTCTTCGTAATCATCCACTCTTCTCGCCTAGTCTCAGTCACTCACAGCACCGAAGCGCACATGTCTTCCTGATTGACGGTGAACGAACTGACCCACACTATCTTGTTCCTGAACTTGTCGAGACACGCCTCAGTCTCTGACTTGATTGGTAGACTAATCAAAGCAGCGACAGCGCGGCCGATCTTTTGGCGATCAGCTTCCACTTTCTCCCAACGCCAGGCAGGTCGTAAAAACCATACCTGCGCCCACGTCGAAAACGAGATCTTGGTCTGTCCCTCATCGACCATCGTAACAGTCCGTTTGTTTCGATCAAAACCGTACGTCCCTGGTGTCGCCAGCGCGTACTCGTACCAGAAGCACCGTTACAACTACCACGAACGAGCTTTGTCCCAGTTCTTCAATCAGTTTCCGTCTGGCGACTAGTCGTTCTTGTTAGCTGTGACTTGTACTTCAATCGCAAACATCATATCTCTCTTCTTTCGGCTGAAACATCAGCACATCCTTCACTAAGCCTTCATGCGCCGTATCCGGACTCCATTCATTTAGCAGAAACTATAGAACCTCTGCTTCTCTCGCCGCTCTGACGAGTCTCTCTTCAATTGCCTGTATACCTGCGTGTCCGCTTGGCGTGATGACGAGGGCATCGTGGCATTTGAGTGCGGAGACGAGGGAAGTGTGGTTGGAGTAGTCGTCTTTGGCGATGGTTACGTTGTCGGGGAGCTTGGATTGGCTGTCTGTTCGCGTGATTGCTGTGATGGTGTGCTTCCCAGTTTTGAGGAGCGCGGAGGTAATGAAGCGACCAACGTTGCCGTCTGCCTATTGCGAAGTGAGATGGGAGGGAGAAGGGGTGAGGGATGAAGGAAACCACACCAACTATTGCGACTCAGGTGATATGGTTTGTTAACATTTCGGAGACGCCAATGAAGATTTCGATGTTTCGAATATCGCGATGTTTTGAGTCTTCGGGGATGCACTGCACATGGCTCTATGTTTTGACGTTGTATTGTTTATTAATTTTCAAGTGATGTGGGTACCTAAAGTTAGCATTCACACAAACGGTGTGAACCCGGAATCACTGTGCATATCCCATGCCGTTCAGACGCTACCATTAGGACAATCGTGGCCAGCCCAACCACTCTAAACACGCATTTCACGTAACTCTCCGCCGTCTTTACATTACCCTCAGCCCCTACACTCTCAAATGCAGTTCGCGCGTGTAGAAACGCTTCCACGAGATAATCCACCACGATACCCCATTTGACAACTCGGCAGCTTATGAGAGAAGCGTCAAACCCACTTACGATAAATCGAAGCGCGATGAACATGTTCTAGATCCATTCCAGACCCTTGATTATGTTCTTTTCTGCCATATAGAGGCGCTCCAACAGCGATTGAGGATCGAATAGTAAGAGGCGGGGCACCTCGTGTGCAGGGTGCGTATACGTGTGATCCAGACCTTCACGCATACGCTCGAACTGTCCGACTTTTACGCCGTTGGGCGATCACATACGCACTTCAGCTTCTCCAATATCTTCCGTCTACTTAAAATGATAACTCTGCTGGTCATTCTGGCATCCTAGCATATGGTGTAGTCGCATGTGAAGCCCCAATATTTGTACTCTTCCGGAAGCCTGTCATCCGGCCGGGGGGGGGGGGGGGGGCCTCCCGTGGGTGGTATGCTACTAGAAGGTAACTTCTGTGTCAGCCTCGAGGTCTTGGGTCGCACGTACAATCACCTTGTCGTTCGATGAAGGAGCATCGGCCGTTATTGGTGCAACTGTGGTTGATACACGAGACCTGAGTCCATGTGCCGCATGACTTGTTGGACCGCATGGTTACCATCCAAAATTGCGTAATGTTGCAAGGCAGAGCAAAAGCCCTTGCATCGGGTTTACCCATAGTCCTGGAAATCTCATTCTACACCTACGGCACGGCATGAGCGGCCCCATAAGCGATGGTCTGTCCGACCAATACAACGCGAGCAGTCGCCTATAAACCCTGCCACGATGACCACTCAACCTTCGAATGGCTGGAACCGGTCCAACGGGAACGTTTGATAAGCGCCGCTTTGATCACTTGAGATACCCCTATATTCCAACGCTTGTCAAATAGATCGAGTGAAGCAGACGAACCCCTAAGATAGTGCCTTCTCATACTTACTAGAAGCCCACGCCTTCCCTAAGATCGTATCATAACATCTGAATCACGACAAACGATCTCTACCCAACTAAAACCTAAAGTTGTTCTCGACTTGTCATTTGCACTGGCCATATCTTCATTTCTCCCGACGCGTTGGCTATGGCTGTGATAAAATACCGAAATTCTGCCCACCCCCACACTCTTCACTCGCAAGTGGCCTGTGGGCACCCACGAGCGCGTCCCTATCGTCTTCCATAGTCCTGTAATCCCATATATCATCTAGGGCGCATGTAAATATTACGTGGCACCAGAAGATGCGAGCGCAGGTTCCACGAACAGATAACACAAGATGCATATATGCGGCGTATGCGACCAGAATCTATCACACGTGCGTGGGACGGCTGAATTCGAAACGAGGTTTGGCTGTCGCGTGCAAAATTAGCATTACTCCTTCCTTTTTAATACCTTTACCCACGGGCAGAGGCTAGTCAATGCGTGGCAGAATCTCAGGTGGATGGGGGCTGATAACAGCATCATAAATGATGGGCAAGGAGCGCCTCAACTCCTTCACGAAAATCCTGATAATTTGGCTCAGGTGTCTCCCAGCAATTTCATTCCCAGTAATCATGCCCACACTCGACCAAAGTCATAAATATGCACATATATCCGTCCTCCGAACCATCAATGAACAACTGATAGCTCCTGGAGCAGCTCTGGAAGTTCGCTTCCAGTGTCTCGGGTTCGCAGAAGGGTTGCAAAGACGATGCAGCGATTCAGCACAAGGTTTCCCTGCGCACCGGCCTGATATGATGAGAAAGACGCGCCAAGCCCTTGAAAAGGAAGAAGTATCTGCCGATGATTTTGTCACCATTGTGAGATCTATGTTCTGCGGCTATCACGATCGCTATCCAAAACACAATCCTAGTTGCAGAGATCATCTACGGCAACTTTGGACGACCGCAAATCCGGTGGCGAAGATGAACTTCAAAAACGCAATTTCAAGGGGCCACAATGATATCTTCAGATATTACGCAGGATTGCAGGGCTGTCATGTGGATGACGTTGAAGATGCGATCAAGACTGAAGGGCTCGTCCCTACGGCACACAAAGATAGCAACGATTCGCAAATTATTGTGTACGATGACACGCAGCACACTTTGCTAGCAAACATCCGCGAGGTAAGTTTTTCCGTTGCATTACTCAATTTACGTTGAGCTGAACGAACTCGTTACCAGCTAGTTGGATTGCAATCAATGTATTCGAAGAACCACCCAGACGATGGCGAGTCGTTCAGTGGAACAGGCGCAACTACTTCCGGCGTATCAGGACCAACAGTTTCAACGCCTTCACATGTGACTCCTGCGAGCCAAGGTAAGCTTCAGGGACTATAAGGAGAGGGTTTAGACGCTAATTAGCGAATAGGCTTCGATTTTAGCTTCCATTCGAGGGCATCTACAGCAAGTAGAAGTCCAGAACCTGGCGTAGAGAAGAGCAGAGCTTCTAAAAACTTAACTGGCCACACAAAATTCCCATTTTTCGAATCTTCGAAGGCAGGTCCGAATTCGCATCCAACGCCTTCTGTAAAACCTTCGAGAAGTTCGCCCATTCAAGATGACCTTGAACAAGCTGAGGGGGGCAGAAACACTCGGGGGCATACACCCGAAGGGACAAATATAGGATCCAAGCCGGGCAAAAGTTCTTCTGCGCAGGCATCAGCTGAAGACACACCGACCCTATTCACTAAGAAGACTGGGCAGTTTAGGAAGGAAGGGAGCCTGTTTCCAAAATTTTATGAACAGGGATCTCCTAGCCCTCCCCAACCATTTTCGAATCCCACAACGCCCAATCAATCCTCTGCTCGAGTAGAAAACGCAATGGACACAGGCACACCTATCAAACGCGGCTTATTCAGTTCAGGAATATCACGCAACGGGACACCAAGGCCAAAAAGTACAAGGGGCGTCGCCGAAGATATTAGGGACCTCCTGCGTAAGCCTATCAACGTTGATAACATAGGCTACATCTATGTTCTGAAAGCACCCCTCTTTTTCGATCAGTTTCCACCATCTCGAGATCAGGCAGAACCAGAGCACTGGGTTAAGATCGGGATCACTCAGAACCTCAACGAGCGCTTGGACAGTCTAATTAGTCAATGTGGAATGTTGGACTTGATTGAATGTGGTGACGACGATATGTATCAAGACCGGAAGCCAATGCCTATACTGCGTCGTGTGGAGGCACTGTGTCACAAGGAACTGGAACACTACAAGAGGCCCTTGAATTGCAACTTGATAACAAGTACTCCCTGCGGCACTACTCACAGGGAATGGTTCAATGTGACAGAGAGTGTTGCTGTCAGGACGGTAAAAAGGTGGCTCAGATTCGTTAGTATGAACCCATATACCGCGTCTGGCGTCTTGGATACAGGATTTTGGGATGACAGGGTATCGAACGGAGAGTATCTCAGGACTTCTAGGGATGAGGACGTTGATCGTGCTCATGAACGGTATCAATCGTGGCTTGATGCTAGTATTCAGCAATATGTGACGAAGATGACGGAGGAGAAGTTGAACAAACTGAGCGTAGGTAATGGTGTTCCATTCAAATAGTGGATGTCGTGAGTTCGAAAACCTTTCTACAATGTAGTTTGAATAAATGCCCCGGTAATTCTTCAGTCGCTACCACGGAAGACTTGAAAGAATCATCAGATACTCAAGCTAGTGTATCTTTACAACTCTCAACTGAACATAGAACAGTTCCCACACCTACGCGCAAATCCCCGAGCCTAGCCATATCGCCTCTTGCCCCTTGACCCTCAAGCCCCTTACCTATGCCATCCTCCACCCACTCCTCACCTTCTTAGCCCACCTTTGTCTCAGTCCCACAAACTCAACCTCTCCCCGATCTCAAGTATTATGCACCGTCACTCCCTCCCTCCCTCTATCCGCCCTCATCCCCAGCCAGCACAAAAACCCCAGCACCTCATACACCCGTCTCAAATCCCTCCTCAGTCCCACATCCACAATCCAGTTCATCTTCCACGAGCCCTCCGCCATCTGCGCCTCGCGCAAGCGCAGCGTAAGTGAATAAAGCAGTGGCGCAACGACCCAGATGGGACTGGTGCGGGCGTAGTTCAGGAAAAGACGTGAGCGCCTTCCGGGAACAGAGCCACGTGCACTCCGCGTCGAGGGTGAAGCGTAGATTTGGCGACGCGCGCATTACCCCCACCAGCGGGAGCAAGTCCAGACTCCGGCCTCGCGCACCATCCCATTTGGCGCCGACGGTACCGACGTAGGCGCGCACAACGTCTGGCGAGGTGGGCGGATAGAATATGGAGAGCAAGTCAGCGTAATTGCGCAGGTCCACGCGGAAGATGGCGCGGGCGAGGAAGTAGGGCCAGAACTCGGCGCGGAGCTGGCGGGAGGTGGAGGCGAGGGCGTGCGCCTCTTCGAAGAGAAGGTCGTTGACGGAGTGCGTGTCGAGGACGTGGGCGCAGATTCTGTTGCGGATTTCGCTGGGGAGGCGGAGGAGGGCAGAGGGCTGCTTTGGAGGGACGGGAGCGCGCGTGGCTGCGGAGTCGGAGGGGCTTGTGGAATCCATGGGTGAAGCCTGATGTATTGTGATAACGCGCGAAGAGCGTGGTCTCTGGGTTGATGCTTGGTTAGTGGCCTTTCACCGAAGTCTTTGGGGAGAAGAAAGGTTCGAGGTAGCGAGGGACACGGCGCTCGTTGACGAGTGAAAGCAAACTTTAGCATATACAATATGGGTATAACTTGAAAACGTGTCTAACTCGGGCCAATGCTACCCTACCTGATTCCCACATCCGGAAACAAGACCTGAATCATCTCATCCAAAAGCGTGAAAGCAAGATGCGTATTCAACCGCGGATTATTCACCGTCGCCTCCAGCTTCGTCGCCGCCATCTGCGCGTTCGATCGCCCTACCACGCTGGCCGCCAACTCCGGAACCAGTGTCGAAAGAACTACGCCCGCCTCCTTCCTGCTCTTTGCTCGGTCCTGCGGTGTACGTTCCACGCTTTGCTTCATTTTCCCATTGGGCCACATGCTGTCTTTAAGCGCATCGATGTACTTGGCGATGTTGTCTTCTGACATGACGCTGTTGAACGAATCCCTGATCTTGCGTTCAATTGTACCGCCTAGGAGCTGGTGCAGAACAACTACGACGGCACGACCGCGAAGCCAGTTGTTCTGTTGGTTGAGTTCGAAGGTCTCGAGGAAGATGTCGCAGATGGGCTTCACAAAGGGCTCAAGCTCCTTGTTCTCGAATGCGAGCAATTCAGCTTCGGCTTCTGCATCCGTATTTGGTTCACCTCCAAGAACGGCTCCAGGCGCGAGAGTGGCGGGAGTTCCGTTGCTGCTGGAGAGCTGAGTTGTGGCTGCTGAGATGAGATTTTGACCTGCCACGGAGAGCTGGTCTAAAACAGGGATGTTGCCCAAGAACTCTTCCATCCCATCCGCAACAGAGCTGTAGATTCGAGAAACGAAGTCGTTGGAGGCCTGTTGGTTTGCCGAGGGGTCGGTTGCGGAGATGGCAGCTTGGGAGAGGAAGGCCCGGAACTCTCGACTCCGACACACAGCTGGTATCAAGAGCAGGTCCTAGATGATAGTCAGAAAGTAAAGACGATTCGATATGGAATCATTACCCGGAGATACTTCTCCAAGCCTATTCGTCGCTTCTGTAGAAAGTCCTTTTGCAACTTCAACATCATCTGTCGCCGAGGAAAATCCAGGTTGCGCACTTGGGGGAACTTCGACCTCAGGCGCTTGTTGAGGTCGTGAAACTCGCTGTATCTTCGAGAGACTACCCATGCAGCTGCAGGCATTTGATCACCAGCGCGCCGCCGCACTTCAATAACATCTGGATATATACTCAGCAATGTCACTTGCACAATGTCATAGCACTTACACATTGCAAACTCCTTCCCGTCCGGCTCTGTTCCAACCATGATCGACTGAATGAAGACAGTCGCACGACCATACAAGCTGTTATCGCTCTCCTGGACAATATACTGTTGCCGTTGTAACTCTTTGCGATGGATCTCGCGCTGGAGACTGGACTTGGATTTTCGTAGAATGCGTAGCTCGGCAGCATTATTCGTGAGCTCGGCTTTGGAGGTCAACGAGTCGACGATAGATTCTTGAGTAACCAAACGCTCGATGTCTGCTGTCAGCGCATCGATGGCTTCGGCTAATCCCAGGTCACCAGGGGCTGCCTCATGGATTTCTTCCTCTTCATTTGCGCGATGCGGCTCCTCAATCTCATCTTCCAGGAATTTCTCTTCATCACCGAAAAGATCGTCGTTGAAGACACCGCGGGTCCTCGGCTCGCCTACGAGGCCCAAGGATGCTATGCTCGGCTTTAGCCTATCTTTGCCCTGCATGGCAAGAGGACCAGGAGAGAGAGCGCGCGGTAGCTCCAAAGAAGCCCTCATCGAGTCGTTATCCTGCGGAGAAGCGAGTGTGTTGGTCTCTGCAAAGAGCGAGCCTTCAGGCTCATCGCCCATTATGTCTGTCATTGCAGCTTGAAGCGCATCCACAGCTCTGGAATTGTCACTTGGCTGTCGTGAGGTGCCAAAATCCGAATCTAAGCTTGCTATAGAGTTGGCCATTGGGTCACTATCATAGTCATCGTCAAACAATGGTGCTCGAGCAGGCGCGCCACCGTCCAAGGACCGCCGTGGCGGTGGATCGAGGTCACGACCCTTGCCCAGAGTTTTGAGGTCAGACGACGAAGCAACAGCCCGTCGGAGGTCGGGAACATTCAGGTTGTTTTGTTGGGAAGATTGCGATCTGACCATTCGAGCAGACGCACCCGCTGAAGGATTGTCGAGGGTCTGTGCAACCATCTTCGTACTAACTGCACTTTTCTGGGAATTAGCAGCCTCGTCCATGGCCAGCCACTTGTAGTAGAGATTCGATCTTTTGAAGCGCCTGAAATGAGGCTCTTGCAGTCGATCGTAGGCAGCTGTTTGGGCGTGGAGTAGCGAACGTCGGGCATTGTGATACTGTTCAGGTGTTGCAGCTCGGCCTGATTTAAGGAAGGCAGTGACAGCTTGACGCGCCGTGGGCGAAATTTCAAGGTCCGGTTGCGAAAGATATCCTTCGTTGATCTGCGCCATGTCTGCTCTATCCGAATCCGTCCACGCGGAAAGTGAGCCGCTCAGCTCTACGGGTTCATCGGTATCTTGCTCAAGAGGATTCCGAATCCCGTCGACGACTATCCAGAATTGTACCAATCGCATCAAGCCAACTTGGTCCATATACTCCATGAAGCACGATAGACCCGCCGCATCATACAGTACATCGCGTAATGAAGCATTCTCAAATCGAGACGTTGTCCTCTTGTGCTTTGGCTTCTCTTGAGCTGCGGCTTTCTTGTCGCGCACCGATCCGCCAGCACTCAAATTGTTGATCTTCTGATCCAGAATCCTCCGTGCTGTCTCTAGTCGACGCAGGTGTAGCGGGTCCTGGCCTTCGATCATCGAGTCTTTGCGTAATTGTCCAGAGATCTCGCTCCGGAAACGACGAGCTTCAGCAAGCGTGTTCGTTTGTCTGATCGCTCGGACGAACCTCTCGAACTTGCGCTCATTATCACCGGGTGCGAGTTTCGGAAATTGTACATTCTTAGGTGTCTTCGGCGAAGGTGGCGCATGTTTGTCAAGTTCAGCACGCAACTTCCGAACAGTCTTTCGCTCTTGGAGTAGAGATCGACCCTGGGCATGTCAATTTTGCATTCTACGTATCATAGACAAGCTTACATATCCTTCCATCAGCTGATTCCACGTGTCTGGATCAGCAAGCATCTGCATCACAGGGGAGAGGACCGCACAGGCCACGATTTCCTTGATCAAGACGTTCACAGCGGGGCTCGTAGTCATGTTCTCTGGCATTATGCTTGGCAGCAGCCGAGCTACAATGCTCCGAAGGTGCTGTTGCTGGTTGAGCTTTGTGTTTGAGTATGCCAGAGACGCTGCAGGGTGCAGTCGACCGTCTTTGTACTTGGCTGCAATGGCCATGTCGAGTTCCTCCGACTCGGTCACGTTGCGGGAGAGCTTCTTGCCACGAACGACTCTTTCGGCTTCGTGTGCAGCTCTCAGATGGTCCGTGATCAGAGGGATCATTCGCGACACGACAGTCTCTACCATGTCCACCGCCAGCAGCCGGTCGCGTATCTCGCCCAGGGCTGCCCGCACCGCGCGATCCACCTCGTTCACAAACGTCGGACTTTTGCTGATGTTGCCGTACCAGCTCTTGACGAAGTCGCGTAGGATCAGCCCGAGGAGCACGTCTATGCTGTCAGACACGACAAACGAGGCGGGGTACACCGGCTCCATCATGTACGCGGAGCGCTTGGTGAGGGCTGCTTTCTCTGCCCTCCACTTGTCCGGCGCCAGGAAGGCGACATGGCGCGGTCCATAGTGTGCGTTTCCTCCGGTTCGTAGGTCTTTAGCCCACGCGGTGGTGAGGATCAGCCATGCCTGCAGAGCGACGGTCGCGACGACGCCCGCGACGAAGGCGTAGGGCAGGAAGCGGAGGGAGGGGCTGTAGTGGGTCAGGTAGCCCCAGGCGATGAAGACGGCGACGGCGGCGAGGACTACATCTCTGCGCTTCAGGGCCATAATCGAGCGGGCGGCGCCGCATGCATCTTGCGAGCTGGCCTGGTGTTGTGGCTCGGCGTGGGATGCTCTTTCCTCCGACCAAGTACGCACGGGCCTCACAGCATCGTCACTTCCGAGGGTGCCTGGGACCTACGCGGTCTCACTTTCGCTGCTGTTTCGACTGATACTGCGTGCAGCCGACGGCTTGCCATTTCCATGCTGCATGAGTGATGGCGTTGTTCTCGCTCATCGGTCTTCCGCGACCTGCGCTTGGCCGCGCACGCTATCTTCACCAGGTAAGAACGAAGCTTAGCCTTCAGCAACCCGAGTCACGGCCCAAGCGAACTCTCAGTGCAGAGGACTACAGCTTCTCGTGTCGGACAACATATTTACAGGTTACGGGGCGCGCCGACATCTGCGGTTCCAATCTCAATCCTGATACCCCTGCATCTGATAGCCGACGGCGGTGCAGATCCCCCACGGGATGGTACCCAGCAGGAGAGCATCACGCAAGGACGTTCAGGCACAGTGCTCAAAGACTGGGGTGAAGATAAAGACGTCTCGGCATGCTTGCTGTTCTGGCATTATTCCCGCATCGCCAGAGAACCTGCCGCTGCCTCCACGCCCTCCTTTCCCGTTCGGACCAAGATGTTCATGCTCGCCTAGGATACCCCATCCTACCATTGAGTTGAGATAACAGTGAGCCGCAACTCCGCCACCAAGCAAGCTCGTGGCAAGCTCGTGTCAACAGTTGAAACCCTTGAATCCGGAGTATCAATGTGAGACATCGTGGGGTAGCGTTCTTTATACGCGCGCTTCCGCCCGATGGCGAGTGTGGCGAGGCATGCGCGTTTGCAGCAATAGTGTTCCTACTGATCCGGAGATGTTGAATCTCGGGACCTTACCTTCAATGGAAAAATGTTGCACTCGATCCGGACACTCATGCGACTCCTGGATCATGATTCTTCTCCTGCAAGCGTTCACTTTGCAGACACGTCTCTGAGTTGCCCACCGTCGTTATGCTTGGGCCATGTTTTCTTTTTCCGCGGTGCCCAATTGGGGTGATAAGCATACGACCCAGCGCACCCTGCAAAACCGTATTCTCCAAGATACTTTTGCGGAATCCTGCTAAGTGACGCGGGTACATGATAACGCTCTCCTATTTCGTGAAGACCTGGTGCTTCCACAATGTCATCAGCAAACTCGAAATTCCTCTGTGAAGAGCTTTCATTGCCACAGCTACCACGATGGACACCAGTGACGTGAGCCAGTTCGCTAGAAGGGCTGTATTGTCGGCACCGGCATCTCCTCAACAAATACAGATCCTGAACCAAGTTATTCTAGCAGTGTCGGCTTTGAGTATAACGGGCGCAGGGTGGATCATTCTGAGCTTCTGTGTTAGTGGACGATCAGTACCGCAAAGGCCATCGCGACTCACGCTGATCAATGGTAGCTGTTCAAAGAAGTCAGGACGTTCCGGCACCAGTTGATCCTGGGGCTCGCAATATCGGACTTCTTTATGGCCGTTAATTTCTTGTCATCGTGCGCAGCGAATCTGAGTGGATACAGTATCGGAAAGCATCAAGCTTTCTGCAGCTTTAATGGATTCTTGACACAGTTCTTTGTGGTACAAAGTAAGTTCTATTATTGGGTCCAGAGGGTGAGCGCTGTATTGCTCCTCCTTGAACAGCATGGTGTACTCAGACTTTTCTCAAAGCATTGTACATCCAATTTACGAATGACCGCTGACTGATACAGCCGACTACTGGGTAATTACCATTGCAATATGCACATTCCTAATCCTCGCAAACTACAAGCACCAGGCGAGTTGGATACAGGAACATCGCATCCTTCTATGGTGCATACCATGGTGTCTTTCCATTCTATGGGCTGCCCTCGGTGTAGGCCTGGATGGCTACAGCAACATAGGAGCCTGTAAGTGAACACGATGTCGCGGGATTAGTATGCTTTACACTACTAAGATTTCATAGGGTGTTGGTTTGGCTCAGACAAGACTAGACTCCTCGTCAACTTCGTGCCTAGATGGGTCATAATCATCGCCATGCTCGGCCTCTACGTCCGCTTGTACCGCATCATCTACCGCGCACACGAGCAGTTCATTTCCTTTCAAGACGAGAGCTCATCGCATGGGATTCCTGGCATTTCATCGGAAACCGGGTCCTCGACACGTCGCATAGGCCGCCCGTCAACATCTATGCACATAACGAGTAAAGACGGTACAATAGAGGTGGAGCGACACGGAACTGGGGCAGTGACCAATGGGCAGACGCACTTGGGGCGTCCGAGCACTGTGCTGAAGAAGCTGGCCAAGCAGATGATGTATTATCCGCTTGCATATATGGTGATTTGGACCATTCCGACAACCATACGGATATACCAGAGTGTGACAGGCGTGCCAGCGCCTTTTGGCATTGCCACTGTCGACAAAGTCAGTGCTTGATGTGACACTGGAAGACTGAACGGCGCTAACGAAGGCACAGGCTTGTATCGTAGTTCAGGGCTTTGCCGATGCTATTATCTACGGCTTGAACGAGTCGTCGAAGAGCGTATGGCGCAACAAGTTTCGAAAAACATCGCCGACGGCTCCTGCACCCATGCATGTGAATGTCGAGCACGAGATCCGTGTCGAGCGTCTCTCGGTCATACAGACGGATAGTGGAAGGAGCTCGGTACACATTGTATGAAGTGCCTGTACGGTTGGGAGGCTTATCTGAGTTCACGTTCGAGTTGGGCGGAGGAATTGCTTTCTCTACGATTATGGCGAAAAGGAGGCATCAGTGCATTTTCAACTGCTCTGGTGGCAGTCATTTCGTGTGAATATGAACACTAGGACTGCAGTATGAGGTTGAGACGAGACGCGCGCATGGTACTTCAAGTCGTCCTACGGGTGACTGCCACTGATTCGACTGCGTGGTAGAGAACGTCCTGACTTCCGCCTGGGCTTCGCGTTGACCCAAAAGGCAACTGCTATGCAAGTGACGCAGAAGGAAGGTGGTGACTACGCCATGTTCTGTGACACCAGCAAGCCTCACGCGCATGCATGGCCCCAAGTAATGGTTGCCACAGGCCTCTGGAAGCGGTTAGCTGCCGCATCCAGCCACGCGCGGTGCACGCCCCACTGCGTTCCCCCACGTCGATTCACCGACAGTCGCGTCACAGCCACGGAACCCTGCATTCGAGCTCATCGAGGCTCTCCACACACGCCCTTCTTCACCGTGGAATGGGCCCGCCCAAATGCAGCCTTCAGTTGCGATAGTGCGCCATGACGTATTGGCCCATTTCCTCGCCCTCCGTGTTCGCGGCCACCAAGGAGACGAGAACGAGAGCCACTGCCGTGTCCCACGATGGCGCCGATGACGCGCCCGACAGCTCCGTGGCCGGCTCGGAAGAGCGCACGGAGAGCGAGATATCGGAAAGCGCAGAAGCAGGGGATGGGGTAGGAGAAACAGGCACTGAGGCGCAACCGCATCCACCAACGCCCACCGAAGGCGAGCATGTTGCTGAAGATGACATTACGGGCGATATACTGGCTATCAAAGTCACCAGGAGCGGTCACATGTTCGCGACCATCACGCGGTCCACGTTGACCATATGGCAGACCAAGGCACGTCCATGAACCCATGCAACCGCCCAGCTGCTAATGCGCGAACAGCCCACGGCCGTCCTCGCTTCCGTCCTTCGCTCTGATAACTCGTTGAGAACGTACGGTCCGAACGTGAACATTCTCCTCCGCCCCGACTCGCAGATCTTCGTTGTGCAGACCGCACTCGGCTATCTGATCACGTACTCGCTCGCGACAGACCCCTCCTCGCGCGTGTACAAGACTCAGTTCGCGCATACCAGTGTTGGGCATGCTCGCAACAAGAGCTCCGTTAGCGGCTTCAAGATACCCCGCCAGCACGACCAGAATGCGGGACCGGGCGAGGGCAGCGGCATCAAGGAGGCCAGTCTCAAGTTCCGCATGGTGATAAGAGTCGATGCCGGCATTGCGTGGGCACTCGCGCTCGACGACGAGCTCATCGTGGCTACGACCAAGCCTGCCGCCGTTCAGTGCATTAGATGGGCTCCCGATAGCAGCGGGACCCAGACGAGCACCGAACTTTTGAGCCGCATGCCGTGGCTCGACAAGAACGTTTCTGTGGGCGACATGATACATGACCGCCCCATGAACTTGTCTGCCTGGATCACACGAGACGGCAAGGCGTACGCTGTGCAAAGGCTTCCACCGAATACGCTGCAGGACGGAAAGTCGCATCCTAAGCTCTTTCGAGGCTATGCATTCCACTGCCCGGAGAAGGAGGAAGAACATGGCGTCAAAGCGGCCATTAATGCGCGCTTCTCGTTGTTAGCAATTGGGTGCGAGAACGGCGAGATTTACGTATATACAGCAAAGGACTACAAAGGCGACATTCCCCTCTCGCATAAGCTGAAGCCGAATGCAACGAGTACTGGGAAATTGACCGTGTTGGCATACTCTCCCGATGGGTACTGTCTCTTCGCAGGTTACGAGAACGGGTGGGCTATGTGGAGCGTGTATGGGAAACCGGGCGCTACGAGCTTCACCACCGATAGGACCCTGTCCGCAACCAACAGCGAGGGATGGCTGCTCGGCATCAAAGACGCTTTCTGGATTGGCGGCGGAGCAGAGCTGTTGCTTTTAGGGCACAACGACAACCGGCTCTTTCTGCTTGAAATGGCTCGTAGCGCAGTCACAGGGTGTTTCTCTTCAGCCAATGTATCGCGTTCCCTGATGCAGACTAGCACCGGCTTCATGATGTATCGTGGCTACGAACTGCCAGATCTCACGACTATATCTGCGGACGTATCACTGTGGCATCATGTCCAGGTCCCATCGCATTATCTCGTGGACCAGTGGCCGATCCGGTGCGCAGTCATTTCGAACGATGGCAGATACGTCGCAGTGGCAGGAAAGAGAGGACTTGCTCACTACAGTGTCAATAGCGGACGGTGGAAAACGTTCGACGATCCGTTCGTGGAGAATGAATTTACCGTCCGCGGAGGCATGTGCTGGTTCCAACACGTGCTCATCGCAGCCATTGAAGCCCAAGACTCACATCAGGTAAGATTCCCAGGTCGTGCTCACCACAGGGTCGACTAATGTGTTCTTTACAGATTCGCATCTACTCTCGCGAGCAGGCTCTCGACAACGACCACATAATGCACATTCAGCATCTACCCGCGCCAATCGTATTAATAGCCCCTTCAGGCGAGGATTCACTTCTAGTCTATACTTACGAAAACATTCTATATCACTATGTAATTGGCGTTACGAATGCTACAGTCACGTTGGTTCAGGTTGGCCAGATAGCATTGCATGGCATCATACGTGCACCGCCACGCGTGCGTGCGCTTAGTTGGATCTTGCCTGAGGAACAAATCCGTACGTCCATCCGAAATGCCCTCCAAACATAAGCTAACAAGGAGCAGACAACGGCGATCCATCGCAAGATGTGGCTGTGGCAACCATCCTTTTCGCTGTGGACGGTAAACTCGTCCTACTCCAACCAACGACGACCGAAGGCGGCGAACTCAAATACGAGATGCGCATCATTGCTCAAAACGTCGAAACCTACGCCCTCATGCGCGATCACCCTGCCTTCGCGCTAACCATGCAAGACGACTCCTTACCGCCTAGCCCCTCTGCAGGGCTCGCGATCGATAACGTACATGGCCACGATCTCCGCGACAGCCTCTGGTTCTTCGACGGCCACGACGTCAAAGTCTGGATCGACATCCAAGACGTCCTGCGCACCGCGTCCGCCGAGCTCGGCCGCGAGCTCCCCTCCCCCGTCGCCATCCCCGTCGACTTCTACCCGCTCGCCAGCCTCCTCAACAAAGCCATCATTTTCGGCGTCGAGCCCGACCTCGTCCAGCGCCGCGACACCTCCTTCGCGCACCTTCGCTTCGCCACGCGGACGCACCTCTTCCTCCCCGCGCTCCTGCGCCACCATCTCGCGCAGTTCAATCACCCAGCTGCGCTCCACCTGTCACACCACTACACGCCCCTCGCGTACTTCCCGCACGCCCTCGAGATTCTGCTGCACGAAGTCCTCGACGAGGAGGTAGATTCTCAGCCCGCGCCGGAACACGCACTCCTCCCCTCGGTCCTGTCCTTCCTCGCGTCATTCCCTAGTTACCTCGACATCGTGGTCCAGTGCACGCGCAAGACGGAACTCCGCTCCTGGCGCACGCTCTTCAGCCACCTGCCACCGCCCGAGGATCTCTTCGAGGAGTCCTTGCAGAAGGGGAGCCTCAAGACGGCAGGCGGGTATCTGCTCGTGCTGCACACGTTCGAGGAGCTGCGCTCCACGGGGGACCAGGTTGTGCGGCTGCTGCAGCGCGCGAAGGCCGAGGGGGATTGGGAGCTATGCAAGGAGCTCGCACGCTTCCTCATGGCGCTGGATCCCGAGGGCGCGACGCTGAGGAAGACGCTTGAAATGGTCGAACTGAAGTCCCCCACGGTAGAGGGGGGTCCGACAGCATTTTCGTTCGAGACGGCGAGGCTTGGTGTTCCTAGAAGAGGCCGCAGGGCCAATGGTGGGGGGTTGGGCATTGGGTTTGCGCTCGGGGAGGGGAGTAGTGAGGGGGAGAGCAGTCGGGAGAGGAGCCCGGGGAGTGCGGTGAGTCCGGGGGAGAGCGCGGGTGGTCGGGGGTATTTCGACCCTTGAACCGAATCGGCAGTAACATAGCTCTCGTCCAGTTGCGAAATGCAATTCCTGTGAAGTATTCTTCTGAATCACATCCATTGATACTGCCCCTTCCCATCGTATCTCAGTTGAGTTTGACCGTCGGGGTAGCCTTGCCCCTTGCCCTACCGTAGCAGCTGAGACGGCCCTCGTGTTGACTTCGTATGCCGTAGCACCTCCCGCAACGGTCCTTGCGTCTAGCTCCGGGTGATGTGATGCGAACAAAAACGCGCTCAGTCGGCCGAAAACCGCCATCTGCCGTGGCAGTCCTGCCGCGGTGCTCTTCCCAGCGGAGAAAAGTTCCGTCCAGCTGGTAGTCTTCCGATTGGGCTTTGTTTGTAGTTTCAGCTCTCACCGCGACTATCTACCAGGACAGGGTGGTATGTTAGGTGGGGGGTGTTCTTGGCACGCTTGAAAGCAGTGTGCTCTATACAGCTTCAAAGTCAGTGGCCTGATACAATATCGTACACAGATAGTGTATTGCAGATATACTCGGTACCATTAGGTGGCAGTGGCACATAGGCACGGAGCAACTTCGGTCGTATCGGCTCGTCGCGTGGAGCCAGCTCCTGTAATCTACTTCTTCCAAGACGTTCACACGAATACCAGACCACGACCGAAGTGTTTAGTGTCGTCTTTCCCTAGAGCGTGGGCAGTGGTCGGGCTGAGCACCTGTTCGACAAGGGTCACTGATAGGTTGAGTTAGCGATGTGTACAGGGCCTCCTGCACCGCTCTTCGGGACGCAGCTGGCGGTGTGGGACCCTGTGTGGCGTCTGCGATGGCTGCGTGTGGGCGATCGGGCGTCAGCACGTCACGTGTTATATGACAGGCACCGCGCTCGAAGAGTGTCCTCGGTGCAATCAGAGGATGGAATTGGAGCTGCATGTGCGACCGGCCCTGCGAAGCGTAGAAAAGAGAGATCGAGTGTACGAAATGACCGCACCCACGGTACCGAACGCGACACCAGTTCGGCTCTGCGCAAGCCACCAGATCCTCACTCTCACAAAAACACGCACGGTTCCTCGTTCCTGGCTCATTTCCCAATTCAAAAATGCACCTCGCAAGATTGAGTCTATGTGCTGCCTATCTGTGCTGCTCCCTTGCGATTAGAAGCCAGGTATGCGGAGGTGCAAGGGCCGCGACACTGCCACCCTCACCGTTACCATGCAAGCCCCAACAACGCACCGCGCCTCCTACCGTCTCTGCGCTATGCATGCATGACGCACGATGCGAGGCCTCGTATTCAGATCTGGCGGAGGCCGCTCCCGTGTATATATCAGGCAGCGAGACATTACATACGCAGTTCAGTGAACACGGTCTTGACAACACTTGGGACCCCAAATTCATTACCTCGCGGTATCAGCCTTGCCATCTTGTCCGCAGACTGGCATGCTAGGTAAAGTCCGGTAGAACGTGGGACTACCGATAGCCCATCGGACATTTCGCCTGCCATGACGGACGCCTCCTCCCATCTGCCCCTCTTCCGCCCTAGCGTGTATGCACCCGCATCCTTCTCGCCAGCCCTATCCGCCCCAAATCCGACATATACCTGGTCAACCGCGAGCAAAAAGCGTACGCACACTTCTCATAGCTTGTACATTTCCTTCATTCCTGTAACACTGATTGTGCAATCTTGTTCAATCGGACATGTGAAGACTAACACGCGCAGGTTCGCTGGCTCCTGGACCTCGGCACTCGATGTGTCCGCCAAATGCATCCAATGAACGACATGGAGCACCGGATGGGTTGCTGTTCATCACGGGGACGTCGCTGGAGGATTTCAAGTCCAGGAAGAATATGACTAGCGTGCGGAAGAAGGCGATGGGGAGTTATTTGAAGGAGAAGAAGCCGAAAGCGACGCAGAAAGAGCAGCAATGTACAGGAAGATCGAGCATTGACTCGGCCGGCTCGCGGGGGAGCATAGAGGGTGACCAGAACGATGTAATTTCGAATACCGAGGCGATTAAGCTTATGAATGGGGATGGGAGGAGGAGGAGGAAGTCGTCGCATAGTACGGCGGTCACGAGTAGTCCGGAGACTATACGACGGACACCAGAAGCGCAGGTCTCGCGGCTGCCAAGAATCACCATGGACTTTGTTCTGCCCAGTGGCCCCATCGTCGTCCCGTCCCGGACGGGGGTGCCTCTGCCGTACGACGAGACTTCGCCAAAGCCATTCCAGTCCATAGGCAAGCCGCTCGATCCGTTCCGCACCATGTTCCAGGCGAGCCATCCGCAGGTGTCGGTTGAAGAGCTGAAGTTCCACTGTTCACGGGCCTTCGGAACGAAGGCAATGGGCATGCACTGGATACCCACGCTGGTCAAGTCTCCGCACGCTTTCCTGAGCACGCTGTGTATTGCGTCAGCACATTACGACGCTATCCACGAGCGGGAGATTGAGAGCGTGCAGACACTTGCGCTGCGGCAGGAGGTTATGCATCTGATCAGTCAGAGTCTACTCAATCCAGAAACGCGCGGAGACGACTACAACGTCGTTGCACTCACGCAGTTGATTGCGAGCGAGATCATCGCAGGCGAAGACATGACGCTCAACTTCCACGAGACCGGAATTGAAGCCATGGTCCGGCAAAGAGGAGGATTAGGGAAACTTGGCGTGAATGGACGTTTAGCAACTACCCTATCCTGGGTATCCCTAGAATCCGCAATCCTCCGCGAAGCAACGCCGCGCCCACAGTACGTCGCGCACGCCTCAACAACATCCACACGAAGCTACCCCAACACCGCCACCATCCCAGAATCCCCGCTATACTGCCCGCGCAGTGAGTTCGAGACCATCAAGCGCTCATCACGGTGCTCGCCGCAGGCAATGGATCTGCTGAAGGACATGCGCATGATGATGGATCTGTTCCTGCACGAGACCAAGCAGAGCCGGCACAACTCCCTTTCCTTGAAAAATATTCACAGGAAGATCACAACGCAGTATCCGCCCGTCTCCGAGACTCAGAAAAATGTTGTCCTGACGCCGAACGACTGGAGATACGAAGCAATTCGTATAGGAGCGGTGTTAACGGCGAATGCGATATTGCAGCGCATGCCCCTGTCCGAAGCACTCGCGCATATCGGCGAGATCGAGCTCTCACGGACATTAGAAGACATTCCATCAACGACGCCCATTGAAAGCATCACACGACAAGACTCCCCCCTCGCCCTCGCTCACCCGCAAATAAACCCCTTCACCTTCTCACCCTCCACTCCCACCTACGTCCGCCGCCCCTCCAACCCTACAACCACCCTCCTCAAACATCTCCAAACCGCCCTTACCCACTCCAACCTCTCCGACTGCTGGGCCGACATGGCCGGCGTGCTTCTGTGGGTCGCGCTGACCGTCGGCGCCGCGAGTCGCAAGGCTGATAGCAAGGTGCTGCGGAAGTGGTTCAAGGCGCTGGCGCTGAGGGTGAGTATTATTCTGTGTTTTGAGCATCCGGAGGCGATGTGTGCTAGTTTGTTAAGGATGGGAGATTTGATATCCGCAATCGAAGAGGGGGGGAAGGGTGAGGACAGGGGAAAGAGGAGGAGAGGGTAGGGTCAGGTATGAGACGTTGTGGGACGATGCGCTTGATTTCTGCTTTGTTTTACTTGAGCTTGTGGGGGCGGGTTTGTGTTATGGTTGGCGTTGATCTGGGCAAGCACTCGTGGACTTTGGCCATTGCACTACATTTGGATACCTTGGGTGCGGTTTGGGCAGTCTTGTATAGTTGGAGTACTAGCTCTAGAAATCTTTGAACTCTCAGCTTCGAAGAGTCGGACACCACCATTGCCTTTCGAGCCCTGCAATCCTCTTTTGGGCTCCGATCACCCTGGTGGAGCACACGCTCCATATTCGGCCTACACTATTCAACGCACATCGGCTGTACCTCGACCAAGTTCCCATCCGGGTCCTCTGCAAACGCACTTTGTATCGCCCCCGTCTTCCTATCCCCATTGAACGCCTCTACAACAGCTTCCAACTCCCCCTCGTCCAACTCCCCAATAGCCTCCACCCTTAGTCCATACGCATTCGCCAACGCATCATCACTGATATCCACCTCTTTCCCCACGCGATTAACAATCCTGCCTCCAGCATCGCCAATCCTGCTCTCCGCCTTCTCCACATCCGGCACCACAATGCCGAAGTGCGAGAACGTGTTCGGGCGCCGCATCGTCGGGGGCGCCTTCCAAATGGATCAGCTCAAGCAGCCCCTTGGCCTCGTTTTCCTTGCAGCAAACTCCGCTCAGGAAGTAACATTCTACGTTTTTTGCCCTAGATATGCGATGTAGTAGCGCGGGATGGGTTTGTAAGTGAAGATGTGCGTGAGGCCGAGGGCGTGGGTGTAGAAGTGGAGGGCGCGGGTGAGGTTTGGGGTGACGAAGGAGAGATGGTACATGCTGTAGGGCAGCGAAGGGTAGGAGGTGGATAGCGTGCAGGTAGGGGGATAGGTGAAAGTATCGGAGGTGGGGATGGTGGTGTTTGAGACTTTTCGTGGGATCGCGTCGGCCGAGGCGAGGGTGGTGAAGGCGATCACGCTGATTAAAGTGGCGGAGAGCATTTCCATGTAGCGGTGAGAGGTTTTTTGCTCGATGCAACCTGTCCGAGAAGGAGGGAGAGCGCAAGTTGGTTTCAATGTTCCGAAAGGAAATGCTCGTCTGCTGTGGGATGGCTAAACTTCTACGGCGTAGCTTACGCCTTGCAGTAGAATATAGAATATACTTACAGTACTGGAAGGTAAGCAGCTGAACCTGCTCTACCTAGGTATACTTACGGTCATAAGTACCTCATAAAGACCCGATGTGGAAAGCTGACAGTGGGGGCTAGAACAGTAAAATTGTGACCGTCGTTTATGCTCACCTAGAAAGGGTGCTGTCATTAACAGAGTGCACAGGCTATGCCATGCATCTGCAAAATTGTTGATATCAAGCAGAGTATGCGGAAGACTCAAATCTATAGTGCCTTAGAGGATGAGGTCTCAACAAATTACCCCTTCCAGCCTAGCCCGCCCAGCTGCGAATTTTCATTCGCTCACCATCATTTGCAGGCATATCTCACCACTCTACCCATGCATATCCCATCGTCCACATGCTCTTCTCCCCCTCGGTCAATAACGTCAAGCCAGATATGGGCCATAGAAGCCGTCACGCCGGCGGGAGTCAATGAAGTCGTGACCTTCATCAACAACGCACGCCATGATATGTTTCCCACGCTGCACACGCAGCTCACGGACGACGTCGCGCGCTGGGTCCGAAGCGGCACGTTCCTCGCTGCAAAAGACACTGCATCCCACAAACTAATCGCCACGATCGGTTTCGTGCCGTATGATCATCGCTTTCCCAGTCTTGACTATCAGGACGTGCACACTGTCGAGGTCGTAAGATTGTATGTCTTGCCGCGGTACAGAAGGGGTGGGCTTGGTGCGAGGTTGTTCGAGGAGCTGAGGGGGAGGGCCGAGGAGCAGGGGGTGCGCAGGTTGTATTTGCACACGCATCCCTTTTTGCCCGGGGCGGTGGGGTTTTGGGAGAAGAGGGGGTTTGGGGTTGCCGGGGTCGAGGAGGATGAGGTGTGGAGGACGACGCATATGGAGATGGTAGTGGGGCGGGGGAAGTGCTGATGGAGGTTCAGAGGCGATTCTAGGTTGGTCTCAGGCGGAGGTCATGGCTGTTGATAACAGGTTGGGCACTTGGCCGGTCTGTAGTATGTGTATTCAACATTGAGATGAACACAGCTAAACGTCTTCTAGTCTTTACCTTGCCGTTGCTTCCGAATCTGGAAAGCACGCTGGGTGAGTGAGGTTTCACTCGCCAACAAACCAACGCGCACACCCAACCTTTCAACCACACGAATAGACGCCATAAAATCATATACCTATATATGAGCGCTAGAGTAAAACACTTTCATCATTCGACGGTCTCAGGAGAGCTCCAAAGTGCTTACATGAAGCCCACGGGCTAATGATCTCCGCTTCCTGCGTTGATGTCTTGTTAACAGTGCACCGATTCGAACCCCCGAATCAAAGAAAAACCTATTCGATTAGGTTCTTTGGGCCTGGACCCCCAAGGGATTGGCTTTAAGTTTTGTCAGTTTTTGGCAGACAGGTGAGAAGAGTATGGAAGTCTTAGGGCTAGTGGGGGAGATGACTTCTTAGGTTTTTTGCACCTGATTAAAGGTTATTGTTCACTTCTGCGTTGATATAGGTAGGCGTGCTATTCATTCACCGGGCAACAAACGGCGCAAGCGTCTCGACATGAGCACCCGTAGCAACATTCTAATCTTATTTAGGAACATGAAAGTTTATACGCCTATGTAAGAAGGTGAAATAGAACGATTGACATCCTTTGGCTGACACATAAAGTTGCTTAGCGTCTGCTTTAAAGAGACATCGAGTTAACGTTGATAGTACACCGATTAGAAGCCAAGTTAAAATCATGTTTTGAGTCGGGGCCTGCGGGGAAATTGGCTTTCTGCAGTCATTTACCTTTGGCTTGCACGCGCGTTGTTCGCTTTCGTTTGCCAACACTGCGAGAAGTACGGGAAGTATCGAAACTGTAAGGCTGAAGGCGTGGGAGAAGCCTGCCATAGAGCAGAGCCAGTGCTGGCTGGAGCGAATCTTCCGCAGCAAGCGTTATTCACCACAGCCGTCATCTCCTCCCCGCACGAATCTCTGCCCTCACCCTCTCATACTCCCCCGCCACCCTTTCGGCCAATGCATGCCCCTCAACCATCTCTTCCTCCCCATCCTCCGTCCTCCTCGTCAGAACCATCCTCCCAACCATGATAGACGAAGAGAGCTTGTTTGATGACGGCCCGTGGGGGAATCTGACCAGCACGTCAGGCACCAGCCGGAGCCTAACAAGCCGCGACTTGGTATATGTGGCCTCCTCCCTTCCCCCACTCTCCAGCAAAACCCCATACTCCGTCCTCCCCTCCTCATCCACACTGGCCCACTCCACCCAATGCTCTACCCATGCCCTCCTCACGCTCTCAAGCACCACGTCCCACGCCGCTGCGTTCACACCCCGCCCCAATGCCCTACACGTCTCGACCGTCTGCACAAGAACTCTGATGGCTGAGGTGTCGAGTCCGGCGTCAGCGACGCACCACTCCCCCACGACAACCTCGTTCGCGAACCGCACCAAAGATTCCCTCTTCTTCTCCTTGTCATCGCCCTCGTCATCACCGAGGTCTTTCTTATTGAAGTGCCGGGATGGATGTCTAACGACCGGCCTCCAAACCTCCCAGTGCGCTTGGTACTCGGCTTTGCAGGACGCCAGCAGGCGGACGAAGAGATCGGGGTCGAGGCCGAGGGCTTGCGCCTCGCGTGCTTGCATGATGGTCCGGAGGCGCGTCTTGGAGTGGTGGCTGAGCTTGGGGCTGTTGTAGGGGTAGCAGAGGAGGGCGATTTCGAGGGCGAGGAGGCGGAGGGAGGTCGTCGCGCTCGAGGTGTGGGTTAGGGTGGTAAGTGGGAGGGCGTTGGCCATCAGGGTAGTGGTGTGTTGTAGAGTTACCCGGCACTGAGGACTTTCGGCGAGGAGTATTGCGTTTTTGATTGACCTGTGCTGTCGTCGTGTGGTGGGTGCCGGGTGTCTCTCAAGTGATCTGGATGGCGAGTGCTAGCTAAGGTGTACAAGACCGGGATTCCAAAGGATTGTATTGCAAAGCGGAAGAAACCGAACCTGCGTTTTGTTTCTTGCGTGAGTGGAAAACTGAGGCGAGTGAATTTATTTGTGAGAAACATGGGCTGGGAAGTTATTGCGTTCAGCGGTGACTGGATTTGTCACGTTTGCTCACGCCTTCACGGCGCGGAGCGTGTGCGCCATCTAGCAAGCCTTTGAGTGTGATAAAGAGGTTCAATCAATTCTCGAAAGGCGCGACTAGCCTTCACTCATGGCAAGTAATGCAGTTCGGTGGAGAGAGGGTTATTGAACATACAGTACGGTCACATTACACGTCTAGATCTACGACTCCGACGGGGCCGCTCGCTCAAGCGCTGGCCCGTTTAGCTTCTATAATACCAAAAACGCCGCCCAATGCTCATCCTTCTTCTATTCCAGCTCGATCCCAATCAATGGACTTTGAGGAGGTTCATGCTCTTCGCCATCTTCGGCTCGATGAACAGCGCCTCCGCCTCCGTGACAACAACCGGCTTCTCCCCCTTGCTCTCATCCACAAGCGTCTCCAACCGCCCCTTAACCCACGCCTTACGCCCCTCCACCCGCGTCGTCTCGGCCCGCAACACAAGCACCTGCCCCGCCATCGCCGGTGCCTTGTAGTCCACCTTCAGACTCGCCGTCACCGCAACGCGATTCGGCAGCGCAGGGAAGCAGCACCGGGCGAGCCCCTCATCTAGCAGCGTCGCAAGCAGCCCGCCGTGAATGATGCCAGGGTGCCCGCAGAGAGCATTGCCAATGTACTGGAACGACACAAACGAGGACCCGTCCTCAGTCCCGAACTGCAGCGGCGGCACCTCGATCTTGTCCTCGCCCATGAGTGTGCCGCCCGTCAGGCTCTGCGCGCGCAGCTGCGCGGGGATCTTCAGGTGCGGTCGGCTGGCGATGTACTTTTCGTCCTGCATCAGCGAGCGGGTGAGCGGGTGCTCGAAGATGGCCTTCTCGATTGCGGCGGCTTGCTCGGTGGCAGGCGCGAAGAGAGACATTGTTTCCTCGTCGGTGGGCGGGGCGGCGAGGTTGGCGAGGGCCGGGGCAGCGGGGGCGGCTGCCATGGTGAAGCCGAGGGTGAATGTGAGGAGGGAGAGCGCGATGGTGAGGGGAAGGCGGAGGTAGATTGGGCGCTTTGCTTTGAGGAGGGGTTCTGCGGTGGTATTTGGCGTGCTTTGGGATGCTGAATCTCGCGTTAGCTATGCGAATTGCTGATAGAGATAGTCATGTCTGAGGCATGGACATGGACAGAACATAACATACCTTCGGATATAGTACTCTGCCACCTCACACGTGCGTTTCTGACAGTGACGTCCCCCACCCTAGGCGCCGTATTTATATTCGGGAAAAACTTTCGGACCGGCGCCACAGATGCACCCTGGCTCCGGCGGCCACAAAAGGCGGCGTGCCTGCAAGCGGCAGACCTTGCGGACGAATACATGGTGCTCCACATCCAAGAGGCGCTAGATGGTGCTGGACGCGCGCTGCGGTATGCGATGATGTTGCGGTCAGTGAATGGCGCTTGGGCCCGTCCGAGAAGATCGAATTGCCGAGGCACAGGGTCTAGTTCCGAGGTCGGAAGGCGCGATCCGTTGGTTGAGAGCAGGGTGCTAGAGATAGTGAACGGAGACGAAACTTTCTGAACTTCTAGTCTCGAAATGCCAGATCTGTAATCGCTCGGCCGAAGCGTAGACGGAGGATCGATGAGCCGAGACGTAATGCTTTTGTTGTATGTACTTGAAAGTCAGCAGTCAGGCATCACGATGTCGTCTTGACCAGCCATAGCGTCGCAATCATTGTGCACCAATCTACCTTCCAAATTAGGACTTTATACCACTATGACGACCACTACTGATAAGATATGAGTATGCCATCCTTCTGGCCGAATACCCTGAACTTTATATGATCGAAAGTAAAAACCATCTCAACGACAGCTACCTCCATGTAGCCCAGGGACCAGACAGTATCTACAAGCCTTTCAGAAAACACCCATAGCATGTCATTACTCACGAAGAACACTTCAACCCCCAACATCTGATTTCTTTTCTTTCGTCTCCGCATCTCCCGTCTGCTTGCACTTTCCTCCCCCATACCTTTGTTTTTCCTTTCGTATTGTCTCAATCACCTCCTACCTCCTTTCGATTCTATCCCCCACATCCACATGCTCTACTTCGCGACAGCCAAACACTTGCAAATACTCCAGCGCATACTCTGCATAACCATCTTTGTTCTCCCTCAGCCTCCTCTCGCAGAAAGCCGGCTCAGCCCGCGTAGTCAGCCCTTTTCGTTCTTGTACGTAATCGTAGGCTTCTCCTGGTGCAACAAACCTTGATACTCCCTTGATGTGGAACCCCGAGTGGTACTGCAGGGTGGCGATTCCGGTCGCCATGGAGTTGGAGCACACTGTGGTTGACGATTGGAGTCAGCGATGAGGTCGTGCGTGTGTCATCGTGGACTTCATCCGAAGCTGACGAAATGTTTGGATCCGGATTTGCATGTTGCGGTGCAACGGATGGTTTTGCAAGGATAGCGGCATGCTCTTGAGGGTGGTTGACGGACATTGCTTACCGGTTAGCTAAAAGTGTATGACTTGGAGTGGGCTCTGCAGGAGATATAAGAGTGACAGGAGCTTATATATCAGCAATAGTCTGTTCGATAGGGAGAACTTGCGGATCGAGCTCCAGATACCTTGTGATCATCTACAAGCTTTGCTTGATGTTTAAGCTTCCATCAGCGCGATCGATAACTCGTTCCAAGGGTGTTTGCCTTCACTGCGAGGATATGTCTAGACGCGACCGAACACAAAGAACTTGCACAGCACCACATGTGGTATCATCTCATTCAGCTTATCCACCGGACGTCCCAATCCCATCCCACCCCATCCTCGCTACATATACATTCTCCCTCCATCTCATATCCTAATCAACACACCGCCTCATCTTCCAAACACACATAGTATAATATACAAGCATCAGAGTGGGGAAGTGTATCGTAGCCTCGTCGTGCCACTTCCAATCTAGCTCAACCTGAGCACATGCGAAAACAGCAGAGAAAAAAATTACAGTAACATGAACGAACCCCGTGATACGGGAGAAGTAACGAGTAGAAAGACAAGACCAGTCGAAAAGGACCTTTTGAGAGACAGCAGACGCCTGAAGATGCCGTAAGACCGCCGGTGCCAGATGGGACGGGGCAGATGGAAAACGATGCCGGAAAGGGGTACATGTTTTGGTACAAAGCGAGGTTAGAACGTGGGATACAGCGAGCGCCTCAGTAGTAGTCCCTCGCGCTCTTCTGCAGCTCAATGAACCTCCAGCCGCGGGTCTCGGGGTTGCTGACGTCTTCTGGTATCCTCGTCACGCCGATGGCGTATGTGACCTGTTGGACCTTGTCGTCCATGCCGGCTGCGAGCTCGCCGGTCTTCTTGTTCCTGTAGGTGTGCACTTCTTGCGTCCTGCAGGTAAGAATGAACACGGGGATCTCTCCTGGCTCTAGCAATTTGGCGTTGAGGATGTCGACGCCGCGGATGTCAACAATCTTGCCGTCCGACTTTAGACCTGCGGTCGTGTATTGCTGCATGAGGGCTGCGTATACAGAGTACTGCGCTGCAGAGAGCCACAGCTTCAGCGTTTCAACATCGCCCTTGACGTATGCGTCCAAGACTTCGGGAAGGATGTACTCCCGCATTTCGGTCAGGAAGGGCTCGAGCTGGAAGGTTGGCTCCATTTCGCGGAATTTCTTGATGACCATGGCCGTCTCGTTTTCAGCGAAGAACCCGGTGATGCGGTCGGTGATGCTGCGTGCGGTCGATATAAGAGGGTTTTCTGATTCGTTATACACGTCCTTCATGCCGGAGAATCGTCGCATAATCGGGGAGTTGTCCTTGAAGTCTCGCCAGACCTCCTTGTATTTTGCATCCTTGTGCAGAGTAACGTTGGTACCGGCTCTAGAAGGGTGTTAGTGATGAAGTATACTGCGTCGCGGACAACTCTTACTCTGGATCTTCCTCCATTGGCTCCAATGGCTTGCCGCCAGTTCTCTGAAGTTCGTTGAGTTCCCTCAATTCCCTCCGCTTTCTGCGCTCCTCCTTCTCGACCCAACCACCGTATCTCGATGAGCTGCCGTCATCCACGGTCTCTTTAACAGCTTGGAACGCCTTGGACTGGCGCACTGGGCGCGTGACATATTCAAGACCAGTTCCGGTCACATTCGCGACCTTGCGAACGCCCTTGACCGGCATAGTATCCCACGTCCATGCCGCGCCATGACCAATGGCCTTTCCGGTCGTCTTCAGCGCTTCGGCGGTTGTAGTCTTGGCCGCGCCGGTGACTTTGGTGTATGTCTCGGTAGCCTTCTGCACACGAGGGTTCTGCGTGAAGTCGTGTACACTACCCGACAGCTGCTTTGTGCCCTCGTTCCACTCCTTCGACGCCTGGAACTCAGTCTTCAGGGTCTCCGTAAAAACCTGCCATGGCGTCTTGTCACCGTGGGGTGGTGGCGGAGGCTTGTCATCCTTCTTCTCTTTCTTGCCCTCCTCGCCCTCCTTCTGCTCGCCGGCTTCCTCCTCTCCAGCCTTCTTCTCTCCAGCTTGCTCCTTGCCCTGCTCGCCTGCTGCCTCTTCCGCGGTGCCCTCCGATGTCGCAGACTGCTTGGGTTGCGATTTCGGATCGTTCACTTCAGGCTCAGGCTGCTTCTGTGCTTGCTGAAACTGCGCCGAGCGGGAGGAGAATTGACGGGCGTATGTAGAGGTGGTCTGGAAGAGGACGTCCTGAGGAAGGAAGTTGCTTCTGAGGAAGAAGAGCGGGGAGGTGGAGGAGCCGGCAGACTTCTGGGAAGTCGCCAATGACCGCGCAGTCAGAGGCGTGGTGGATATCCGTCTATACGCGGCAGCTCGTCCGGTGATGCTTGCGGGAGAGGGTTGGGCGCTCCATCGTGCCCTAGCCAATGTGTTTGCAGCTGACGGTCGCATCCTATGTAGAACCAGATGATGTGGCGGCACAATAAAACAGAATATCGAACTGCCTGGACGATGAAGAGTGCACAATGAGGGGATGGAGACGGCTGATGGGGAGGAGCGCAGGCGGCGAGATGTTTTTTCGGAAGGGTCGACCCTATGCTCGGCGCTTGGGCCCTTCCGCAACTTTCTTCTACGAACTTCGACCGCACCGGCATCGCTCCCCAGCTGGCACCCCATTGAAAGTATCCAGCATGGCCAACTCCACCGCGTTGCGCGCCTTCCGCTCCGTCTGCGCGTCATGTCGCACCTCGCTCTCTACCAAGACCCCTGCGCTCGCGCGACCCCTCTCCCAGAGCCATGCGCTCGCCGCTCTCAAAGGAGAATCCCTCATGGACAAGAACCTCGCCGCCATCGACCAGAACATGTTCAGCCGTGCGAACTCGCTAGGAAGCGTGATCCCGAACAATCCCAACGCAGAGTTCGGTAATCTGGCCAAGGGGGAGTGGGAAGAGGACAACCGACACCACCTCCACATCTACGCGCACAAACACAACACACACATCACACTTACCGATCCGTCGCGCAACCCCATGGTCTCGGTCTCGTGTGGAAACATTGGGTTCAAGAAGGCTGGACGCGGCACCTACGACGCAGCATATCAGCTTGCAGCTTTCGTCATGTTGAGAATAAAGGACATGGGCTGGCTGCCAAAGATCAAGAAGATTGAGCTGGCGTACCGTGGCTTCGGCAAAGGACGAGAGGCTGTGACAAAGGCGATATTGGGAAGCGAAGGAAAGGATATACGGCCGCTGATCAACAAGCTCTCCGACTCCACGCGGTTGAAGTTTGGTGGAACGAGGAGCAAGAAGCCGAGGAGATTGGGTTAAGCCGGAGAGGATGGGAAACACTTGTATATTGGCCTGGGCGGTTTTCAGCCATGTCACTCGTGGTGGAGGATACCTGTACTATATCGCATCACTGGAGTACAGGCACATTGTAGCATATGAACATTGTATCAACAGCCGGGCACATGAAGCAAGCAGATGCCCACAGATGGTCATGTTATTCTTCTGGGGAGCGGCGCTCTCTCAGCAGCAGGTATCGCCCTATTCTCAGTGTCTTTGACAATTCTGGGTGCATGATCTGCGGACGAATACCGAGGATGTCCTCTTGGGCCTCTTTGGTCACTTCCACCGCTAGCGCCAGATATCCTCTCCGTCTGCGCGTCCTCCCAGTCCTGCGCGTCGTCCTCGGTCGCCCGCAGCCGCCGTCTCCGTTCGTCGTGTCGCAGCATAGACGATCTTTCGTCTTCGAAGTCCTCGTCAAGGAGCTCTCCATCCGCAGTATCATGATCCGGTGGCGATATCCATTCCCGTGGTACGACTGTTTCGTCAGATGTTGTTATGATTAGAGTGACAGGGTGAATACAAACCGCATGGCAGGGCTACGCCTATGCTAGCGGCGCGATTCAGCCAGCTCGGCGCGGAGCGACCGGTGAGTTTGTCGCAGAGGTAGGAGGTGAAATGGTTGCAGTTCTTGGTGAGGAGGTTGTACGAGGTTCCCATGAATTGTTGAGAGGCCTGTCGCCGTTAGCGGAGGTTTTGTTTGAAGAGCAGCATGAAGTTGCTACCTCGTGTATTATGGCGTCCAGCTCTTCCTGCGGTCGGAAGGAGAAGCCATGTAGAAGCGCTTGTCGAAAGGTTCCGCCCGGTGGTTCTTGACCGGGCTTTGTGTAGTAGACTCCACTGAGGCCGCGCTGGTCGTGCCCACCATAGGCATACTCCCTATCGCCAATAACGACGCCTGAGTGCAGGAGAGAGCTACCGATAGCCCATAGCATGGTCGAAACCTTGCCGGGGGGGAGCAGGTCGTATATGTGTATCTTGATCTCCGTCTTCTGAAGTGAGAGCGTGTTGCGGTGGTTCGAGGAGCTCTTGCGGGTCGGTTTGGGGCGTGTGGAGGAAGACATGTCGTGTGGGATGATGTATTGTGTCAGGTTATGGCTTCGCTACTATGTACGGCGTGATCTGCTAGACTATGTTCGTTTGCTCAGCTCACACGAGCACCTATCAGGCAACGGGAGGCATGAATGTCAATTGAAGGGACAAACGCCGGGCTGGTGAATAGGGATATGAAGAGGAGGATAGTGGGAAGGGCGCAGGACGGGACCAGCCCTTCAGGAGAGGAGTGTGATCAAGTATGCGGGGATGAGAGACAGCGCCGCTCTTGGAGAGGTTGAGCTCGCGCCAGCTGCTGCACCCAACCAGTTAGCGCCTTCCTCAAAAACTGACTTTCCTTTAAGTCACATTACGAAAATGCTGCCCCTCCTTTCATCCACCACGACGCGCCCACGGTACATCCTCTTTTCTTTTTCTTCTGTGATACCCACCCTTACCCGACCGGCAGCAAGCACTGCCATCGCCTCTTCTGCCGCGCTTAATTTTTCATCCACCCTTCGCGTCAGCTTCACCTCCTCAGCCCGCACTCTCGCGCGCGGTGCGTCAAAGCCAAAGAAGATGCCTCCCAAGAAGAACGTCGTAGAGGAGAAGGTGCTCCTCGGCCGGCCCGGCAACTCGCTGAAGAGCGGCATCGTGAGTAGGAGCCCTCGCGTCGTGGTTGTCTCGTTCTCACGTTAACAGTAGACGCCAGGTCGGGCTTGCGAACGTCGGTAAATCGACGCTGTTCCAGGCCATCACAAAGTGCCACCTTGGCAATCCTGCCGTAAGTCGCACCTTTTGCTCCAGTCGTCGCCGCGCATTGACCCGCGCAGAACTTTCCATACGCCACAATCGACCCCGAAGAGGCGCGTGTCATCGTCCCTGATGAACGCTTCGACTGGCTCGTCGAGCACTACAAGCCTAAGTCGGTCGTGCCTGCCAATTTGACCGTGTACGATATCGCCGGTCTGACCAAGGGCGCATCAACTGGTGCCGGTCTTGGAAACGCCTTCTTGTCGCACATCCGCGCTGTCGATGCCATCTTCCAGGTTGTGAGGTGTTTCGACGACGCCGAGATCATCCACGTCGAGGGGGATGTCGACCCTGTTCGTGACCTGAACATCATCAGCGAGGAGCTTCGTCTCAAGGACATTGAGTTCGTTGAGAAATCGCTGGAGAAGCTCGTCAAGGAGACGCGGAGAGGCGGCCAGAGCTTGGAGATGAAGAAACTCAAGGAGGAGCAGGCTACCGTAGAGGAGGTCCTGCAGATGCTCAAGGACGGCATCGACGTCCGCCGAAAGAACTGGAGCCCCAAGCAGGTACGTCGCAAAATTTTCTCTCCACCTACATTTCCCCGAAAGATGAAAAAGAGCGATTGCTCTATAATCCCAGCTCTTTGATGCCCTAGTAACGCCAGGGCTTTATGAGATGACGTCCGATTCTGACTACCTACTCACCCATTTATTAATGTACAAGCTCGTGAGAGTTCTGCGCTAATTACTCAAAGGTTGAACACATCAACCCGCTCTTCCTCCTCTCCGCAAAGCCTGTCGTCTACCTCGTCAACCTGAGCGAGAAGGACTACATCCGCCAGAAGAACAAGAATCTCCCCAAGATCGCCCAATGGGTGAAGGAGAACACAAACGGCGACCCAGTCATCCCCGTGTCTGTCTCGCTAGAAGAGCGCCTCGGTGCGATGACCGAGGAGGAGGCCGCCAAGGAGTGTGAGGCTATCGGAACCAAGTCGGCGCTCCCCAAGATCGTTGTTACTATGCGCAAGGCTCTCAACCTCGGCAGCTTCTTCACAACAGGTACAGATGAGGTCAGGCAATGGACTCTCAGGAACGGCACAAAGGCGCCACAGGCTGCTGGTGTCATTCACGGTGACTTTGAGAAGACGTTCATCCAGGCCGTCGTGTACAACTACAAGGTCCTGAGGGAGGAGGGTGACGAAGCGTCGGTCAAGGCCAAGGGCAAGATCATGACCAAGGGCAAGGACTACGTTGTCGAGGACGGCGATATTCTGCTCATCAAGGCTGGTGCTGCCAAGGGATAGATGTGAAGTCTCCAGTAGTTGCGAGTTTTGATGCTTCTGCACCTGGTAGTTTTGTAGCGGGTTGTCTGGTCTCACGAGGAAGCGCTCCTGATGAGCGTGTGACGAAGCCAAAAAGTCAAATAGAAATGTCCGTATTTGAACGCAACACACATGGAGTGTCTGCTCCTACTACCCATACTCAAGAAATGTGCTCTGTGAACCCCGATTCGCTATTGCCTTTGCTAGGAAATATACCATAGTGCTGGAGAGGTATAGCATCTACTCAACTCTTCTTCTCCGGCGCAAGCATCCAGCTATTCCCACACACACAGTGCTTCGCAACGCCCATCAACCAGCTCACATGCGTCGGTGCATACCCGGGCAGCCCCATCGTCACATCCTCCATGTACGCCCCACACCTCACACACTTCCTGAGCTGCTTCCTCCTCTTCGGGTCCTCGGTCCCCGCAACGCTCTGGATGCTATCGCTGCGGCCACGCCCGTTCTGCGCGTCCCGCCCCACAAGCGGGTGCGTGTGCGCCCCCGTCCCGCGGATCACCATCTTCTGGCACACGTCCACGACGTGGCTGTCGAACCAGTGGGCGGCGCGCTTGGAGGTCGTCAGGCCGAGCCAGGTGGTGTCGAAGAAGAGGATCTTCGCCATGTCGACCTTGTCCGCGAGACAGGTGCCCTGCGCCGAGGGCTCCGCGAACAGCGTGTCGGTAACCAGCCTGCGGGCTGCAGGGAACAGGATGGGCGGGATGCGGCCGAGGAGGAGCTCGCGTTCGACTTGGTCACGGTCCTCGGCGGACGCGTTGGCCTGCTTGTAGCAGCTCCGCACGAGGTGCTGGGCCTCGCTGATGAGCGCCTCGAAGTGGCGCCAGTCGAGCGGCGCCTCGGTGAGCGCCATGTGCAGCGGGTAGTACAGCTTGCGCATCTCCGGTGACGCGTTTGCGTTTTGGACATACCCGTACGCGGTGCGCTGGACCCACTGGATAGGGTTGGCCCAGAGCTTCATCATCATGCGGGGGAAGCTGCTGAGCAGGAGCAATAAGGCGGGCTTGTTCATCGCGGCGAGTTTCTGTTGGAGAAGCTGCGGGGTGAGCGAGGAGGATGGGACGGACTGGAAGGCCTGCCCGATCTGGAGCAGCTCGTCGATGAGGTACACCATGAAATGCATGATCCAGCGGCAGATGCCGACGAATTGTGGAACAACTTCGGGGCGAACAGCGTTCTTGTCGATGTTGCCGTGCATGCGGGCGATTGTGGTTAGGATCTGTGTGACGTATTTGATGTTGAGGACCATCCACGCCATTTTGCTGGTGAGTGCTCGGTCGACGCTGCCTTGGAGACCGAGGAGGTGCAGTGCTGAGAGTGTCTTGACGAAAAATGGGGAGCGGCCGAGCAGGATGAGATGGTTCTGGTTTGTACCATCGTCGACGATGCCGCAGTCGATCTTCACGTTGAGGGCTTGAAACATCAAAAGGATGAAAATACGCTTGCGTTCTTCGCTGAGCGGGCCCATCACGGAGAAGATATCGTCGCTGCAGAAGTATTGGTTGGCTGCGGTGGTATGCTGGAGGACAAGGGCGGCTAATGCGGCCGAGGCGGACTGATCTTGGTCGTTGTCGTCTGTTGCGAGAGAGCCGTAGTTGTATTGTGTAGGATGTAACTTTATCTTGCAGTCTGCTTGCATGCACGCTGCAATGCAGTGATTCGGTGACAAAGCGACGTTGAGTGCCGAGTCCAGCGTGGGAAACGTGTACCCAGCCTGGGCCATTGAAGAAACGACCTCAGTGTTGTAGTCTGGCGTAATGGTTTCTTGAGTCTTGCGCTTCTTCAATTCGATGGTACCGTCACTGTAGCAAAAAGCGAGGATCATGTTATACCACAGTGGAATGCACGACAAGATGACTTGGTTCATATGGGTCATGGTGTCCGGCTGTCTCCTTAGTTGCCAAATAGTGCGCGCAGACACGGAGCCCACACTCTTCTTCTTAGAAGTGACTTTGTCGAGACTGGGATGCAACTGGTTTTGCTCAGTCTGGTGCACCTCCCACTTGGCCACTATGCTTGAAGGACTTGGTTGCGGATGTGTCTGGTCAACAGCGACTATGTTTGGTGGGGTTACGAAAATGGCTTGAATGGTAGGCACGGACCCGTCGCCATCTTCTGGCGTGATGGGGAGAAAATCGAGATGCGTTAATTGAGCGGAGACTGGGACCTTGGATTCCGAGCCGCCTGGCAGCCCGCTGCTGTCGATCATGGCGGGATGGCAGTTGTCTTCGGTTGTGATTTCGGTCACTTGAAGTTCGGGCTTCTCGTAGACCTTCAATTGCGTTCGATCAGGCAGTTGCGGAATGTTCCACACAGCTTCTATTCTATAAAGATGTAGACGACGAGACACGTCGTAGGTGGCCATCAAAAGCTTATTATCTGTATATATTAGATGGAATACCTGGTGAGAAGGAGTAACATACCATTGTTGGAAGCGAAGGCGGCGTGCGTGAATGTGTCATTCGTGTGTAGAATGGCTCTCAAGGATACGGACACCTCTGACCAGCTGCTATCCGGTTGCTGAAAGCGGAGCTTGAGGTCACCCTTCCTCATCAAGTAAACCAAGCACGCTTTTTGGTCGACGGCGTGATGCATGTCCCTGAACATCTGCGAAGTGATATTGAAGTTCCATTTATCACCACTCTTATGCGCAGACCATGCAATGTGATTCTACACTTGTTAGCGTCATTCCTTGCGTGAGAATCTTCATTGGTTCACCTTCTGCTCGTAAGGGTAGATTGCAAGCCAATGCATGCCCACTACGGCGTCAATCTCGTTATCTGGTTGAGACAGCTCTGTCCGCGTGAAGTTCATGCGGTCCAGAACCATGGCGCAGGAGAAAATCATCACGTGGCCAGCCGCGTTGACGACGGCAAGATCATTGCCCAGATGACTCCAGGAAAGGTGCACCAGAGGGAACTCATCGCTCTGATGCGGTATATCAAGTTGAACGTCTGTACCAAGGTCCCATTTCTCAGTCGAACCAGTCCGGGAAAAGACTCTCAGGTTTACGCCGAGGCCATCTGGGACGATGTATGCGATACAACCATTTTTAGACCATGCTATTCTCCTGTAGCAAGATCAGCCTAAGCCTTGCAAGTTGGTAACATGCCAGAGGAGAAGTATAATTAAAGCATTTTCAATTGAACGCAAAGGCGTGCGGTAATATATTTGACTTACGAGCAGCATCCGCTGGTGGCTAGCTCATCGAGCCTCTTTGCAAGACCCTTCACGGGCGGGGAGGCAGACATGTTCATCGACGGCAAGGTGACCTGCTCTGAGTCCCCAAACAGATCGTCCACATCCATGCTATCATAGGTTTGGTCTTCCATGGTAGCCGACAGGGGATCCGAGGCGAGGCAGAGAAAACAATGTGAAGACTACGGTAAATGAAACAGAGGCGCTCTCGATTGCAGAGCAAACGGCATCAGATCGAACTCCACGTGGCGAAGAGCGCCGGGTATCACGAAAACGGATGGTGAGAATTGGTAGGCAGAAATAGAGGATGTCGAAGCCTCGTAGCGAGATGTGAAGGTTGACGATGCGAACGACTGATTGGTTCGACTCTTAGCGCAGAGCTAAGGCGGCTAGTGTCATCTCTAGCCTCACCTGTGGCGGTGCGTTTCTCTTTCGCGACACTCGCGTGTGATGCACGCATCTCCACGCATCTCCACGGCTCGCACCCTGAGGCTGCATCAGCTTCAGCACGGCAGGTGAAGTGACATACACTAGTCGGCTCGTGGTTTGAGTAAAGTGCTCCGACCCGCAGCCGCGCTTGACCTGCTGCCCGCTCCTTGGCCGGAGGCTTGCCGTCGTTGGATCGGAAGACAGCATCCTCGAGTCGAGTCAATGGCTTCCAATCTGCCACTGCGGCACGGTGGACCTCCAGTCGTGCTCGACCGGACCACCTCATGTCAAGGCAAAGACCAGTTCACGGCGCAACGTGTCAGCGCAGTTGGGCATCGCACAATCGCCATGGCCTTTGCCGCCCGCGCCAACACGACGAAACGTGGAAGCTGCAAACAGAGAACAGAAGTGCCATGATGCGCCTTGATTTATCCTGCAGTGCAATATGCACAATTGGGAGCTAAAAGAGCCGGTGGAGCAGGACGTGGGACCGGAGGTGTAAACAAAAGGCGCCCGGACCTTTCCAACATTGCGTCTAGCGACTCCCCCCCGTCATCCCTCTGCGGCAGCTGCGACCCAACCTCCTCCCTTCCACACGCCCGCACCCTCCCCTCCACGCGCGCTGCAACGCGCGCCTGATGCACAGCTGTCGCGCTAGCTGCGCGCTCTCATGAAATAGCAAGCGAAGCCCAAGTTCCGGCGCTCGACGACAGCGCAGCCCCTCGGACGGCGCCTGCCGCTTGCTTTCACGACCTCTGCAAGCCGCTGAATTCGCTTCACCTCACCAGACAGCCGCCCCGACCGTGCGCCCGGCCCCTCAGGCTACTGCTGTGCCCCATCGTATCTACTGTACCATTGTCCGGGCCGCGCCTTCGCTGCTGCTCGCCATGGACTGGCTCACCACGCAGGCGCCAAGCTCACCATTGAGCAGCGTGCCTTCGTCCGCACCTTCCCCTGCCGCCTCCGACTCGAGCCTCTCTGATCTTTCCGACTCCGAGCTCTCAGAGATGTCGCGCGCGCTCGCTGGCCGCCGCTCGCGGTACCCCTCCCCATCTTCCTCCAACCGGTCCTCCGCCAAGGCGTCGCCCGCTCCCGAGACCATGCCGTCACCTCCCTCCAGCAACGACGACGACGACCGGCCCCACAAGAAGCGGAAGCTAGAGGATCCGAAGGAGCGCAGCACTGAGCGTCTCGACCTCCGCCGTGATTTGACAGACAAGGACAAGCCGCAGCTTGACCGCCTCTTGAAAACGCTGCACAAGAAGCGCAAAATCGTCGTGATTGCAGGTGCTGGCATCTCAGTCTCGGCTGGCATCCCCGACTTCCGATCTTCCACCGGCCTGTTCAAGTCGCTGCGCGACGAGCGCAAGCGTATCTCTTCGGGCAAGGAGCTCTTTGATGCGTCCGTCTACCAGAATGATTCTTCCACCTCAAATTTTCACGAGATGGTGCGCACATTGTCGCAGCAGACAAAAAACGCCGCGCCGACGGCTTTCCACCATCTTCTTGCAACCCTCGCCCACGAGGGCAGGCTACTTCGCCTATATACCCAAAATGTCGACGGCATCGATACCTCTCTTCCCCCTCTGAAGACACAAATCCCTCTCCCTAAGAAGAACCCATGGCCCAAGACTGTACAGCTGCACGGTAGCCTGGAGTACATGGTCTGCTCCAAATGCCACACGGTTTCCGAGTTCGACCCGGAACTCTTCGATGGACCGGCTCCACCTGCCTGTCCCAGCTGCCAATCCGACGATCTAGCAAGGCAAGCTGTTGACAAGAGAAGCCACGGTGTCGGGCGCCTCCGACCGCGCATGGTGTTGTACAATGAGCACAACCCGGACGACGAAGCCATCGGTGCCTGCTCTAAAGCTGATCTGCGGACGAGGCCTGACGCTGTCATCGTGGTGGGCACGACTTTGAAGGTTCCTGGGGTGCGACGAATTGTACGAGAGATGTGTGCGACCGTGCGCGACCGGAAAGACGGCATGACTATTTGGATCAACAACGAGCCTGAACCTAAATGCAAAGAGCTGGAGAACATTTGGGATCTGGTGGTCCAGGGCCCCTGCGACGAGGTCGCGCGACATGCCGCCATGCAAAAGTGGGACGATCCCGTTCACAAGCAGGTTACCGAGGACGAGCTACCGAAGCATAAACCTTGCGTGGTCATAAGAACGCCCAAGAAGGTCCTCAAGGTCCAAGGAATGCCTACGCCCGCTCAGAGCCCGCGCATTGGCCCACAGTCGCAGGCTTTGCCGGGAGAGCCAGAGACGCCTTCCAAGACTGCAAGAGGAACGAAGAGGGCTACTCAGGTCGTTGCAAAGGTCAACGCATTCGACCAAATGACCGGAAAGCCCGAAGCCAAACCCGCAACCAAACGAGCAAAGGCTCAGCCGAAGAAGTCGGCAGGCGCGAAGAGCAAGGCTACGAAGGTGAAGCAGGAGACCAACGTGGCAATCACGCAGACCTTCAAACAGAAGAAGAGTACCGCAAAGGTCGTCCCTCCGAAGCTCAAGGGCCAGCTGGCTGCAGTGCCCAGAGATGAGAACGCAGACTCGATCCAATTCCCGAAAAGATCGCCCTTGACCCCACGAAAGTGTGGAGCCAAAGTCACTGCGTTCAAGCTCGTATCGGATTTTGATTTTCGCTATAACAACTTCCCAGAGGATCAGCGTCCTCCAATGGAACCGTTCAGCAGCCCAGTCAAGCCACGGACGCCAAGTGAACAGATAAGACAAGAGAATGACTTCTTCCATGCGGCACAAGCGACAAGCGAGTCGCGTCCTTCGACTGCGGACTCGACCTCTTCGCGAATGAGTATTGGGAATCTACTCAATCCACAACCTATCTCATCATAGACCTTTGCATTTCCAGGCGTTATTGATCGTGGATGATTCATCTCTTTTGCATTGGGAAGGATGACTACAAGTGTCGAATGGGTTATCGTCAGTCAGTGGCATACATGGCGTTATGAACGCAGAAGGATTCTGCTCCTGTAGTATAGGAATGGTGGGTTTATCACGTTGTTCCTTCATCTTTCAGTTGCACGATACCCGGTATATATATCGGTCAGTTTTGAGACAGAGGAGGGCTTTGGCTAGGAGAGTAAGCTGTGGGTCGCAGCGCATTTTGTGGCTACTGTTTGAATCAATGCGACCAGTCCTCTGAATGATACCTTGCGATTGAGACATCTGCGTCAATGTGTGAACGCAACAGTCTGAAATGCTAGAACAGGGCCTTTACTGCCTTCTTTCTCGGCAAGAGCAAGGGTTAACAAGATAAGTCGTGACCGAGGTCTCATTGAGGATCCTTAATGCGCAGCTAGACGGGCTTGGCAGACGCGTACCTCTCATCATCCTCCATCAGTACAATCGGCTCAATCCTCGACACTGGAAGATAATCTTCGCTCTCCCACCATCACCATCCTTAGACTAAGGTATCACGATCTTTTTTGTTACACTGTGAATTTCTGGGGGGAGTCCTGAACGCGAGGCTCTCGCAAATTCTGCAGAGCAGCCCCAAGCATACAGCACTGAACCGACCGCTCTTTGGAAGACATCGTCTCGTCTATCGTAACGAGACTTCTCTCTTTGAATGGCACCGCCGCTGACGGTCCGAAATCTCACGGCAGCTACCATCACTTTGAAGAGCTTGGAACGCTTCGAGGACCCTAACACGAAACAATCCAAAGCTACAGCTTTTCCGTCAGCACTGAAGAATGCTCAAGCGATAGCACCGTCGGCGCCTGAATTGGGCTTGCATGTCCAGTCATTCAAGCGCCAGGATGTCGATGTCGAGCTTGCACCATTTGAGTCATATACGCTCCAATTTCAAGCTCTTGAGCAGCCCGATGCCAAACCAGCTTCATCGCCAACGAGCACCACCCTAAGACTAACATTAGAGGATGAGGGAAAACAGCGCTTTCGCATCGACACCAACCCCACATACACACAAAAAGGCTCTCGCATATTAACGCCCCTGACACCCAATCCCTCAACCAGCTACACTGCTCTATATCACCCGACGACACCCATAGCCCACCTGACTATTCACACACACCACCTCCCCAACTATGCAAGATGGATGCAGAATCTTCCTGATAATCTTCCCCTTTCTGCCATCAGCATCCCCGGAACGCACAACTCGCACACGCACTACCGAGCCTTACCATCTGTCCGCTGCCAAGTCGTCGAAGTCAAAACGCAGCTTGAAAACGGCATCCGGTTCCTTGACATCCGAGTCCAGCCCGCCAGCGCAACAGACACCTCGAAACGCGACCTATATCTCGTGCACGGTGCATTTCCCATCAGTCTGACCGGCGCCAAGTACCTCGATCCTGTACTCAATGCATGCTACGCCTTCCTTTCGGCAAATCCCAGCGAAACAATCCTCGTTTCGCTAAAGCGCGAAGGCGTGGGCAGCGCTACAGACGCCCATCTTGCCGCCATACTCGAGAAGCACTACTTCGCCCCCAACGCATCCAAATGGTATGTGGACGAGGCGATACCATACCTGGGCGCAGCCCGCGGCAAGCTCGTCCTCGTGCGGCGCTACAAACTGACCACGTCCGCCTCACCCGGCCCAGACACCGACACCGACACCGACGAAGCCGCCCCCGGCCTCGGCCTCGACGCAACCGCCTGGCCAAACAACGCCACGCACGCCCTCCACGGCCCCTTCTGCATCCAAGACTTCTGCGAGATCATGCACCCGTCTTTCATCCCTCATAAGCTGACGCACGCCAACGCGCACCTCGTCCGCGCCGCCTCGACCACGCATTTCATCCCCGGCGTGAACACCGATGCGACGAATCCCGTCCCGCCGGGTCCCTTGTATCTGAACTTCCTGTCTGGCAGTAATTTCTTCAACAGGGGCACGTGGCCGGAGAAGATTGCGAGGGTGGTAAATAGGGGCGTCGAGGAGTGGATTTGCACGGGGCATCATCTTGCGACACCGGTTGGGGATCCGCAGACGCCGGGGCATGCGAGTGTTGAAGGGGTGGAGGGTGTGAGAGGCGTGGGCGAGGGGGACGGGGGTGCGGGGGTGGTGGTTATGGATATGGTTGGAGACGGTGGGAATTGGGATTTGGTGCGATTGGTTGTGGGGCTGAATATGGGCCTTCTAGAGACGGTGAGATGTGCGATGTGAGATTGTGTGGAAGTGTCAAGAGTATGTGTTGCAGTGTCTTGTGCATCCGTATTTGGGCCTCAAGGACTTGCCAGCCTGTTCCACAACGCCAACCCGCTTATTCTTTTCCATCCTCCACCCGCTCACGCGATACCTCCCTCGTACACGCGTGTCCAGAGTAGGCAAATTGAGGTCCTGCGCCATGTGCCGGAGAACACGAACGACCGCGGTGCCATAGTGTTCACCAAGCGTGACTCAACACCGCCTTTCGCGCCGCAATCGCTCATGCTCGCCGGGATATCATACCCAACCAAGCAATCACAACTCAATTCTTCTTGCCATCAGCGCACAGCGAACACCAGGTATGGGGGGTTCCCCTATCCGAAAAGCGCTACACCTGAGAATCAGCATCCACCGCAAGACTCGACGTAGTTGAACAACTTCACGCCCAGGAACCATGTTTCTTCCTCCGTCGCCACGCCACCACGAGAGCCGCCACACCCGCAGCCGCACGCCCGATACCCAGCAGCTGCGGGCGGCCAGCCATCTCCATACCCCTGCCAAGGCAAAGCAAGGCAGAACGCGTGCAAAGTGCGGGACGCAGCTGGGCCGGGAAAAAGCGCAGATGGGAAAGCAACCGCGGGTCTAAGTCGTCAAAGCCGCCCCTCCCGCCAGCGACAGAAAATAGGACCGGACGCCCAGGGGCTCGAACCTCGAGCTCGGACAAGAAGCCAGGCGCGGCGCCTATCGCCCCGACGACGTCGTTCCGTCTGCCGTGGACCGTCCAAAGCGTGTTCCCGATGGCGACGGGAAGCGCGCCTTTGCCTAGGTACCGCTGGGCCACGCGTCCGCTCCGTCTTCTGGTTATCACAGTGGTCTAGTGTAGGGTACCTAGTAACGAGAGAAATGAGTGGACGTGTAATCAATCCTACCTACCAATTCTAACCTCTTCGCGGGCTCACTGCAAACCTGGTACAGGGACTAATTATTGGGATGCCAGAACACGAGTATGAGCCCACGAAGCGACAGCATTAGGTGACCCGCTCATGTGCATCGTAGCACACGCTCCCACCCACCCACCAGCTCGCCGATACCCATCGACTACACTACGCGAAGGCAACAGCACGCAAGGCCGAAGTCAGATAGTGCAACGCCACGTCCTGAAATCGCACGCTTATTGTCTATCGCACTTCGCCTCCCTACACTTTCCCTCCCTATTCCATCCCAGCCCATCCCAGCCCATCCCATCCCTTTTAAGCCCCCGCCCCATCCCATCCCACTCCCACAACATACCCCAACCCATCTACCCAAACGCATCCCGCATCCTCACCACCTCAGGATAAAATTACAACGCCATACTTTCAAGAAGTGGAAGTAAGTGAGCGAACCAACAATAAAAGACACAGACGGACAGACAGACATTCTAGAGCACCGTGCAACATGCATTACCTCGCGTCGACAAGAAGAATGGCAAAGCTTAACGCTTGGACAGAAACCCATGGGTATCGGAGGGAACAAAGCATCCTTACGCGAAATCGGCCGAGTAGGAGAAGCCTCGGAATTCTTCTTGCATGGCTTGGGAGAGTACTGCGAGAGACGTTAGCAAACATTCTCAATCGACGGAGGGCACAATGAGACGTACCAGACTGCACCGGCGTAAGCACGGGCGTCACACTCGTGAACTCGGTATCGAAGTTGCTCGTATCGGTGGCGCTGGTGATCTGCGGAATGAAGGGGGCCGGGATCCTCTTGTGGTACACGTCGTCCCAGTTAATATTCCTGAAGAAGGCGTGGCTCATGATCTCTTGAGCGTCGGTCGGACCGGAACCTAGTCGCAGCTCAGGTTCTCTGGTGAGCAGCTTCTGTAGGATCGATACCGAGTCCCTAGGCATGTGAATCGGGTACAGAGGCTCGTCTGCGAGGATAGCGTCGTAGATCTCGTCTTCATCCTCACCACGGAACGGTGACTGCTGCAGGAGCATTTGATAGATGAGAACACCGAATGCCCACCAATCGACAGCGCGGCCGTATTTCTTGTCTAGTAGAATCTTGCAGGATGTCAGTGGGTTTTGCTACGGATAGAGCAAGCAGCTTACCTCTGGAGCCATGAATTCGGGGGTACCACAGAACGTGCTGGTCGTTGAACCATACCACATCTCTTCCTTGCACAGACCGTAATCTGCAATCTTGATGTGGCCGTCGAGAGTTAGAAGAATGTTGTCGAGCTTCAAATCCCTGTAGATGACACCATTTTCATGGAAGTACTTCAGAGCAAGGCACACCTCGGCGGCATAGAACTGGGCTCGTTTGGTACCGAACTGTCCTCTCTGAATGTGCAACATTAGATCACCACCACTAATGTACTCCATAACGAAGTAGACTCTCGTCTCCGTCTGGAAGCATGCGTGCAAGCTCAGAAGGAATGGATGTCGCTCCTTGTTCGCAATCAGGAACACTCGCTTTTCGGACCTTGTGCTTTCGACCTCATCGTTCTCGATGATGAACTCCTTCTTCAGAACCTTGATAGCATAGAGCTGTTTGGTGCTCTTGGTCTCAGCCAACATGACTTTGCCGAAATTACCCTTTCCAAGGACAGCGAGGAAGTTGAAGTGATCCAGGCCAATTCTCCTTCCGGTCCCCTGGGTGTTCGCTGGTGGGGTGACTTTGTCGCTGGGAGCCTTCGTCATCGCAGAGACAGGCTGTGCTTGCTGGGTAGATGGCTGTTGAGGCCTAACTTCGACCTGATGCGGAGGCGGTTGCGGTTGATGTTGAGGAGATTGGGGGCCAGGCTGAGGGTGCGCGTATGACTGCTTTTGCTGCGGGTACGGAGCTTGCGCAGGCTGTGGTGGAGCCGTGGGGTAAGTGGGAATGTTCGCATAGTCCTGTGGGTTGTATCCTACCTGTGGCGGTCCCTGCTGTTGAGGAACCCTTTGTTCCTGTGGATAACCACCACCAGACGTGCGTGGTCCTTGCGGTGGATAGTCGGACTGCGCGCGGCCATAAGTTGGAGCTGCGCTCTTGCCCATCGCTGCTGCAGCAGCGGCACCAGCTGCAGATTGTTGCGACTGTGAACGAGGGCCTGACGAAGGGCGCTGGGATGTTGGTGATGTGGGCGTGGGCGTGGAGCCTGAGCCGTATGATGTTCGTGCCGCCTCGAGAGATGTAGTTGACGGCGCGTAAGACTGTTGCCCAGGCGGATATTGCGGTCGCGGTTCTTTGCCGTACGAGTATCGGTCTGGCTGTGCCGGCTGTTCCTGGCCTGGTGGAGGCTGGAATTGGGTTTGGGGTCCTGGGAGGCTTGCAGCTGGAGCTGGTCGTGCGGGGTTTTTGCGAAGTGTTTTGTCACTGAGTCCACCAGGAGTTGTCGCCGACTGCGTTCTTTTCGCTTTCTTGATCTCCTTGAGAATCTCGTTTGCCTTTCGCATGGACATGCCACAGAAGTCGGGAACGAAGTGGACACAGCCGACGTGGCATGTCAAGCCACACTCTGAGCACTTTTGAGCCTGCTTCCGGCCCAGTGGTAAGACGTACCCGCAGTGACAGCACCAGTTCGCGCCCATGTTGGAGAAGTGCGTGAAGCGATGCGGAATGCGATGGTTCAGCTTTGCCTCGTCTGGATCCGTTTCCGCGTTCGACTGCGTGATGCACTTCGTCACCACATCTGGGTAACACTTCTTGTGGCAAGTGTATTTGCAGTCCGAGCACTGCATGCCAGCAGCATACTTGAGGAACTCGCCACAAAGCGCACAACGCATGATGTTGTAGAATTGTTGTTGCACGAACTTGTGACCGTATTGCTCGATGATCTCTTCTTTCCGTTGACGAATAGCACCCTTTCGTCCAAGCGCAGCGTCGAAGGGCTGCTTGTTTCTCGTGTGTTTCACTACACCTTATTAGCATCGAATTTCCCCAATGGAAGGAACAGAGCGCACCAAAAGACATGGTCAAATGCACACGTCCTACAGGCTCAAGAGAGAACCAATCGTCGATAAAAATCTGGCTTATCTGTGGTTGGGGTGCACCAGGGGCTGTTGCGCCAGATGGCGGCATGCCAGCCCCTCCAGGGCCGCTAGCACTCGCAAAGTTCTGGCCTGGAGGGGGTTGAAATTGTAGATCGGGTTGCGGGCCGGAGCTGCCTCCCATCTTGTCGGCGGACACCCAACCCGAGTTCTGCAGCTCCGTTTCGACCTTCTTACGGCGCATTTCCTCAGCAATGTCGGATATCCGCACCCAGAGCAAGCCAATGGGCAATGGATGATCGGTCGTCTTATCGTAGACTGTAACCTCGATCTCGTTGGCCTTGTCAATATCAAACTCGTGAATCTCGTCCAGCCAACGGTCGTTCCTGGAGGGTTTCGTGCGGCCCTTGATGCTGTCTTCAACTTTGATATTGACAAAAGTTTCTGGACCGCGGCTAAAGCGACCAGTGGCCGCGTGGTCAACGTCAGCCACTGCGTGTATGCGTAGAGACAAATGCCCGCTCAGGGGCTTCCGCTGGCTCGGCACACTCAGGCTGTCATCTGTGCATTGTCAGTAACTGCACATTCCAATCTTGAGGGGCCATAGCTACCGTCCCGGTCGTCGGCAGTCTCAAAGTCCACGTGAAGGTCCTGATACCGCTTCAAAGACTGCTTCAGAAGCTGGATCTTCTGGTTACTCTCGATGCGCTTGGCCTCGGCATCGGCCTTGCTCTTGCGATCGCCCTCCATTTGGTACAGGCGCACCATCTTCTCGATACCATCTTTGTACTGCTTTTCAACGCTGAGCTTGAACTCAAGCTGTGACAACATGAGCTGAATGCGGGGACCAAGATGCGGGGTATCATATTTGATCAAGTCTGGGAAAAGCGTCAGTAGCGTTATCGTTTGGGTCTGCTTCCCGGCACATACCAAGCTTGCTGTAGTTGGGGCGCTGGGGGCGCGAGCCAGGCCCCTGGGGAGCGTATGGTGCTCGCGGTGGCATGAGTCCCTGACCGCCACTGAGGTTGCTGTAGCCTCCAGGCGGGTCTCCGTATCCGCCCTGGTCTGAGCCGACGTACCCATTCCACCCATCCTTAGGGGGCGGGGTGACGGGGTTCTGGCCTTTCGAGGAGGTTCCCGGCTGCAGACTCATGTTGTCGATGCCGGTCTGCGTGCGCTGCATCTCAATGTCGCGCAGCTTGGACTCGAAGTACTCGATGTGGCGGCGTCCGTCGCGTATCTGGCCATCGAGACGCGACAGCACGGCGGGGTTGTTGGTCGACTGGCGCATGGTGTTGGCGGCGTTGATGAGGGCCTTCTCCTTGTCGATCTTCTTCTGCACCTCGCGGACGGTCTCGTCGGTGGGAGCCATGGCGGCGGCGGGGGCCCGGTGGGGGCGTGTTTTGTTTGTGGTGGTAGTAGTAGTAGCCTGGCAGTCGCAGGCTGCGCGGAGCGGCGTGGGTGCCCAAGCGGGCCGTGGGGAGGTGAGCCCAGCGGCGGTGCAACAAAAGAATAGGCTGCGGGCTGCGGGCTGCAGAGGCCGTGGGAGCGAGTAGCAATGCCGGGGGCGTCAGCGCAGGAAGACAGATAGAAGAGAGGCGTGTCGTCGGCAAACGCTGCTCTGCACACGGGATGCGTGCTGTGCGCCCCGTAGTCCAACGGTTAGCGGAAGGTGCACTCGAGGCACGCGAGGCTCACGTGCAAGGCGCGGGAGCTCGTCGTGCGGGTCGGGCGAGGACGACGGCGGGCGTGAGTGGGATCGTGATTATGACGAGGGCGATGATGAGAGCAGTGCGAGTGTCGCGGGGTGGGCGCTAGGCGGGGCGCACAACAATCACGCTCTGACCGGCTGTGGCGCATGAATACGATGTGGGCGTGCATACACAGTGGACAACACCACCAGACTGCCCCGGGGCCGTCTACGACGCTTCGTCTGGGCTCCGGCTGCTCTTGCTACCCTTGACAGCTGCCAGACCCACCGCGAGTGGCTGTAGTGCCATTGTTGGGCAACGCGCGTTGCATGACACCTGGGCAGGTTGGACCGACGCTTGAAAACACGCTACGTTTTCCAGCAGGACATTGCCGGATTCGAGCCATGTAAGTCTTGCATCTGATCTCGACTCCGTCGATCCTGGAGCTGCTTAGAACCTGGGCGCCTTGGAGGAGGTTCTGACAGATGAATCTGGAATCACATCGAAGCCTGAACCTCGGTGATATATCTGGCTGTAGAAGTCGGGGCTCGGCCGAGAGTTCGCGACGGCGAATTCGGGACTGGGGAGCAGGGAATAAGCATCATGCTCCGAGGAAGACATTCACGCTACGCAACAATCATGCAGTAGTCGTGCCTTACGATAAAATATCAACGCAGCTGTCAGCAGCTGTGTCGTGTGCTGAGTTACCCCAGGATACATCACGCAAGCTACAACTGTCAAAAATATAATGTACCGAGACTAGGCACGAACGCTCATGTAACACTCCCTAGGTATCTATCATAACATCTAGCAACAACTCACGTTCGGACGTCGACCCGAATCTCGGTACCCACGCCCAATACCCCCTACTGCCACCTACTCCATCGCCATCGCCGGAGAGTGTCCCTGCGCCATCTCTTCAATCCTCCCAACCTTCGTCTTCAACTCTACCTCCACCGCCTCCCTTAAGCTCTCTTCGAAATCCTCTACCTTCGGGATCCACCCAAGTACTTTCCTGGCCCTGCTTGCCCGACACCTCGAATTCATCCCCGCAGCCATCCCAAAGAACGGATCGATCTTTCCTGCCTCCTCCGCGCTCAGCGCGTCCACCTCAGCCGAACCTAAAGCCCCAGCCTCGTGCAGCAACGCTGCAACCGTCTTGGTCAACGCACCCCACTCCAGCTCACCAGCCTCGGCGAAGTAATACGCCTCCAGTCCCCAGTCAGCATTCCCGCCGCCAGCGGCCGCAGCTTCGGTCAGGCGGAAGTAAACATCTGACAAGTCGTGGATGTGCACGAAGTTCCACGTCGCCTCCCCCTTACCGAGCTGGAACGCCTTCCCGCGCTTCCTGCTCAGCTCGACCAACATGGGGACCTGAATCGTGCGCGTGTTTCCTGGGCCGCGGCCTATGCCAATGATGGCTGGTGGACAAACGACGGCAGTTTTGATGTTCGGGTACTTGATGCTGGCCTCGAGGACGGCTTTGTCGACGGGTCGGTGGAAGACGGCGTCTGGGAAGGAAGTAATGGTCGTGATGTCCCCCAGGTCGTCGTAGACCTTGTTACTTTTGTTGCCGACGCTACCATTTACAAAGTCGTCGTAGAGGAGGTTGGCGGTACCGCTGGTGTGGATGAGGAATCGTGTCTTCGAGTCGGAACCAAGGCCCTCGAGAATAGCACGCATAGCGGGTGCATCGTCGGAACTGGCGAAGTGCAGGACGATGTCGGCGGCAGCAGCTTCGCTCTTGAGAAGCTCAATTTTGCTGAGATCGCCTACGACTACACGGATTGAGGGGTATTCGTTGGCGATTGAGCCGAGGCGGGTGCGGTCCCGCACAAGGAATGAGTATTGCCAGTCGGGGTGGGCTTGAAGAATGGTGTGAAGTGCGTCACCGCCCACATAACCGGTGACGCCTGTGGCGAAGACTTTGATGCTCATGGTGGTGGTTTCTCGACGGATAAAGGTGAATCGAATGGATAGCAATAGTGCGTACCTGCATGACTCTTATACGTTTGACTGCGATGAGCATTGCATCCTGCTTCGTGGCTTAAAAAAGAGCAGCATACAAACATTCGAACGGTTATCAATGGCATTCATGCGTCAGCAGCTGAGTGATATGGCGGAAGATGCAGCTTCCGTTGAGGGTATACGCGCTTGACCTTCAGACGACGTGCTGCGGACGAACCCCGGATGAGGTCTGCGCGAAGAACCATCGTTGCCTGAACAGCTCGACTCGCGAGACCAGCTAAAATGTCTGGGCATCGGGCGGACTCTACATGCTTGGAATCGTCGGGTCTGTGTGACTATAGATGTGATGGTTTTACTGTATATGTGGTAGTGTCACTATAGGTGTGGTTCCAAGAGGTCGGCTGTTCTGCAATAGGTCTAGCAAGCCGTACAACATGCGCATCCAATCTCTGTCGTCCTTTGTAACACACTGTCAGATGGTTACTCTTGCTCGTGGACTGACACATCATTCTAGCAGATCCCGATTTTGAAGTGCCTGGGGATATTCTCGTGCTTGCTGGAAGTTACACAGGAGGACAGCCGCAATAGGAAATTAAGACGAGCACATATATCGGTGAAGAAGATTGCGGGAGCCCCAGTATAAGAGCACGCCATGACGTCCAGGGTGGGTGCTCTGAAGAGTGGTCCATGCTTAGAGTTGTGTGATGTGGTACACCGTGTTACGCGGGACGAGTAATACGAAGGCCAATCTGCGTGCCGTACAATGCGATCAAGTGTTCGACTACGGAGAGTTTTCTAGAGTAGCCAGTGGATAATGTACGCACTATCCTCGACGTGCCGTCGCCAGTGAACGAGGCCACCATTCCTGAAAAGAGGTTTGTATAAGCTCGACAGCGCTGCCTTGGGGGGAAAGGCATAGAGTTTACGGTTTCAACGGATTAGCTAACCCAATAATAGATGGTCTGTTTGCATCGCTCGAGCGAACCCTAATTATTACATTTAGCTCGAGTCTGGTGAACCTGAGATGGTTGAGATTGCGTGATCGGCATGTTCCAGGACAGAGCATCTCAAGAGCAATCCGAAGCGGGTCTCAGGTCAGGCTCAGACCCAAGCTGGGGCACGGTACCCCGGGTTGTACCGAAACGCACACCTATGTCAGCAGAAACTTGACCAGCGAGCAGGCAAGGCTCTCAAAATAAAAGAAAAACTTGACCTTGGGCGTAGGACAAGGATTGGCGGATGTGTGCAGTCACTGGATGGCGATGCAGCCCTATGCTTACCACGTTCCATGACAGAAACGGCGCGACCAATCGCGATGAGCGTTGGAGATGCGAGATGCTGTGCAGCGAGCGTGGCATCAGTCAGTCGAGGTCTTGTAGCCATTCGCTGAGATGGGCGGATAGCAACAGTGACTAACGGGAACGAGCTGGGCCATGGTATGCATGCCGCAACGTTGGCCTCGCAGGATGGCAGGTCTTCCGACAGGGCGGATGCTGATGGTATACTCATTGCGGACAGGGCTACACAACGCCGCCAAGACGGTCGGAAGGTCGAGCAGCTTCACCGTTCAGATAGCGGCGCAAGGCGGCTTGTCGGTGAGCAGTTGAAGAGGCGCGGTTTGCACGCTGACGAACCGTGGGTGTGCACTGTGCGGGAAGAGAGGGCGGAGGCAGCGAATGGAGGCGCACGGCTGGGGAAGCTACGACGGATAATTGCCGACGAGGTGAGCTGTAACCGACTCGAAACGGCACGTCTTCGCCCGACTTGCATGTGGCGCTGGATGCATGCAGCGCTGCTGCAGGCCGACGGATCGGTGCCACGCGCAATAACAGCGAGGGCATCACGCCAGCGACAACATGTGTCGCTGGCCCGGCGCGTCCGGACACGCCCGCACGATGGCCGAAGCGGGCGTCGGGCCGTCCGCGTTCGACTTGAGGAGCTAGAAGCGCTAGAGACGAGTAGCGGTCGGGTATCTCGGAGTATCGACGGCAGCGAGCGCGTCGTGTGCGATGCCAGAAGACGGCGACAGCAGGGCAGCGGGGCGGGCAGCAAACGGTGAGGGCGGGCACACGCGGCTGAGAGACGCAGCATACGGCGGCGCGCGCGGTGATATGTACTCTCCAGGCGGAGCGGCAGAAGTCGAGGTCATATGCAAGCCGCCTGGGGCAGCGCCAGCGCACGGCGCGCAGGCCCAATGCCAATGGCCGCTGTTCCGGCCCTCGGTGGCTGAACGGCCTGCTGGTGTATTTGAGCGCGACGTCCCGAAAGCCTCGAGCACGCCGAACATCTGCGTCTGCAACAGCACCAGCACGCAGCCCTTGCCCTCAAGCCAATCGACGCCGCGCTGACCGCGACCACCTGCACGGCCCCGTTCTGTGCACCTGGCCGCCACGCACCCTTCCGTGCGCCCTGGTGCTGTCGCGACTGCTGCTGGGCTCCCGGACGAGGCTCCTGCGCATTGGCTAACCACCAGCTCATGACGGCCGACGCCGCAGCGCCGCCATTGCGCAGTGCACCCTCTCCACCACGGCAGCCTGCAGCACCAGATCTGCCTCTGCCTTGCCCGACCATGCACCCGCCCACCTCTCCCTCCACAGTCCAGGCATCGCCCTCGGCGACGCCACATCCCGCCTCTTTCCCACATGGCGGTGCAAGGCACGTGAGGGCCAACGATGCACCAAAGGCCCGCGCCCGCCTGGCTTGCTACCACTGTCGCAAGAGCAAGGTGCGATGTGGGCCCAGCACCGGCGAGATTGTCAGGCCTTGTCCTCAGTGTGTCAAGGGTTGCAAGACTTGCTTGTGGCCAGACGATAACAACCCTTCTCCCAATCCCGTGGTCAAGAGGACCGACCCTGCTGCCCACGAGGCCTCGCCCGACCACCGCCCATCTGAATCCAGGAAGCGCAGGAAGCCCCCGATCACTTCTTTTGAAAAACTCTCCATGGCAGATGGCGACTTGATCGATCCCAACCGGATCGAAGACGCCATGTGGGACGAGCTGTACACCATATTCAGGCACCACTTCGCTACCGAACTTCCCTTTCTCCACGAAATCACCTTCTTGAGGGACGTCAAACTAAAGGACAACCAGAAGCCGTCTCATCGCTTTGATGCGTTGCGCTATGCATTTCTGGCCCTCACAGTACCTTTCTACGAGGGCGTTGGACGCCAGTTGTTCCAGGACTCGCCCCGGACTGCTCGAAAATGCGCCGAGGCGGCCGAGCGTCACATCAACTTCTACGCTCTGTCCTCGCCTTCCATAGAAATTCCACAGGCTCTTCTGATGTAAGTCATGTGATGGCCAACGCGACGTGCGGCTGCTGATTGCTCCACAAAGGCTGAGTCTTCGTGCACATGGCGAAGGTCAAGGATCAAGGAGCTTCATGATGCTTGGGATGGCGGTCAAGACCATGCAGCTCCTCAACTGTCAATTTGATCACGAACTCGTCGACAAGGAGATTGACGACAAGAAGCGTTCCAGTACTAAACAAGCGGCGCGAGACGAGAGTGGGCAACGTTTTGTCATGGAAGAGATCAGACGCCGCACTTTTTGGAGCTGTTTCATAGTCGATCGATACATCAGTTCCGGCGACTACAAACCACGTAACATATCACTGGAGGACCCCTTGGTCTTGGTCCAATTACCTTGCAGCGAGGATAATTTTGATATTGGCACCAAGACCAAGACAAGAAAGTTGCGAGAATCGGACGAAGATTTCAAGAGACGCGAAAAGAAATATCCCCACGACCATCCAGAGGATGCAAACGTTGCCTGGGAAGACGAAGATAAACAGAGTCCACTGGTCTGGTTCATCAAGGCGTTGGATCTCTTTGGAGACGTCATGAGATACACGTGCACTGTGACGAGAAGGTATGTTTAGGACGCTTGGGCCGCCCCCAGTAGGTGCTAACGTGCGCAGGGCTGAACGCAAATGGCCCTGGGACGAAAAGTCTGAGCACTGTAGACTCGACCAGAGAGTAGACGACCTCACAAGAAAGCTGCCAGCCGTTCTCAAGCTTACCCCGACGGTGAGGGATGTTGCCATGTCGCCTCCATACCGTCGGCGAGCCACACCATACATCCTCCTGCATTCGACGTTGCTTATGTGTAAGATAGCACTGCACCGAGAATATCTCCCATACATCACGCATCCGAAATCCACCCCTCAAGGTCCTACCGACGGACCCAATTGTGAGGCACTTCAGAAAGCTTGTGAACGCGAGGACCCAGATTTCTTCAAGGACAGTGCGAGGACCTTTTTTCAAGCTACGAAAAACGGTCTCGACCTCTTCACGTCTAGCAAAAAAGCCGGAACCTTGGTTGAATCACCCTTGACTGCGTTCGTCAGTCATTCCGTTACTTTCAACAGTATGTCGCCCTACTTTCACACGCAGCTCCGATGCCGAGACACTAATGTTATTGTAGTCATGTGGTTAGCGTTCTTTCCCAACTTCGATCAAGACGGCGTTCTATGTCAAGGACATGGTCGTCCGGACAACCTGGTCGTCGACAACTTCAAGGATGCCTTTGCGATCCTGCATCATTTGCAAGGGCGACTGATCTTGGCACGTTCTTTCGGCAAACGACTGAAGAACCTGTTCAATGATCTCCTGAAGTGCAAGTCTCTGTGTACCATCCCCGAGTCTCCAACGGAGATGAAGGTTTCCCATGGTCTCAAAGCGTACCTAGAGATGGAGAACGACCACAAGGAATTCGGCGACGAAGTCACAGAAACCGATAATGTGGCTTTCGAAGAAGCCCCTGATATTGGGATTCTTGTCAAAGAGTATCAAAAAGTGTATCAATCCGGAAACTCGACAGACAGCCACTATAGCCCTAATGCCACGAAGAGCGAAGTAAAGAACGAAGTCGAGACCCCTGTTGAGCGAGTACCAGAGCCACGCTCTACGCCTGCAGCCTCTCCCACTTTCACGTCCGTGAATCAGGGATATGGCGTTTCCAGTCACACCTCTGTTCCTTATCAGCAATACTCGCCCAGCTACCAACCACCATATCAATCGGCCGACCGGCCGTCATCCATTAGGGCAGCCCCTGAGCTTCAATCGCACAGAGCTACGTACAGCCATCCACCAGCTGTCACAGATTCGATCGCCCCCAGCACAGTGGATCTTCATCCCGGAGGGACTGCTTCCGTGAACAACTCCCTAGAACTTTACCCAGAACTACGTACCAACGGGGATTATACTCAAGGCCACGTTCTAGTAACCGATATTGGGTCTTGGACAGCAAACACCTTCTTGGACGAATACTCTGCCCCACAACCAATCTACTGGTCTACTTGGGGAGATGCAGGTCAGGGCTCGTAGTGACTCCCCCTTATATGGTCGCCGTGGGACGGGACGCCTACTATCATGTCGTGCGATTCTAGGCCAGAAGGCTTTGACAGCCTCGCAACCTTACCAGGGAACCACCCACCCACGAGGATACCATGCTCTGCACATTTGTATTACTATCTAGTTGTCGCTGCGAGTTTACTGACGGTTCGACCGTCCTTGCTCACATGATTGCGCAAGCACGGTCCTTGTGCCTGCCCCACGCCGGCACGACTCTGAATGACATCACCAAGAAGACCCAGGAAGTCGAATCCAAGTTCGTGAACGCTTGCACCCAGGATTTCCTCCCCCTGGGATCCTGCGGTCGAAAGGACAGAGTCGCGCCTCTGAGAGTGAGATCGATATGGACGAAGTATTACGGCCACTTTTCGGTTACGAGTGACGTCTGCCATGCACATGGAAGGTTTTTGAACATATTGGTTGATTCATAGGGATCGAATCTTATTCCCAGCTCAACAGTTGAGCACTTGCCCGTTCGTGGCGAGCATAATATTTCAAATCCCCCTGATGCTTCTTTGCACCTTCCCTCTTTGTCGATACCGCGCTGTCACAGCCGCGCAAATACGCACATGCCGTGCGGTCGAATGAGACATGTACGTGATGCGTGCTTGGAGGCGTCCGGGGTAGAGTGAGACATATGGGGCAGAACTCATTTCCCGCGTCGCGTGCAGGGCTGGTGTGCGCACGCGCAACGCCCCTGCCGTCGTCCCAGCCCGAGGCGGTTTAGCCGATGTGCGCGCATCTGGGCCCGCCTTACCTTATTCGACACGCCGTTGACGCATCGTCATTCTCCCAACACCACTCCCATCTCGCCCTCGCGCAGACCCAAACATGCACACCGCTTCGGTGCTGGACGCTGTTGACCCCGGCAGGCAAAAAAGCATCACGCAGGCGGCGGCTCCCCGGCGCGACCATGGACGTTAATTTAACAGTCCCAGCCAGCGATCACAAGTACCCTACGCGCGGCAAGGATGTCAGGCATTAGCTCTTGGTCGACAGCGCTTGACCGTAAGATTTCCTGGTTCCCATCCCGGGCCATCTCCTCCCGGAATCCTAGCACACGCGCAGTATCCGGCGCCGTTGCATCTAGGGGCGTGATATGCCCCGCGATAAGTGGAAATGCCCTGGGTGCGGCAACGCTCGATGTGCTTTGGCGCCGCTCCGAACCCCAGATCTGTAGTCCACGCGCGTACTTTGCACGCTGCACCTTCCCAAAGACGATGCGAGCCGCCATGATCTCGTGCCGGGCGGTTGCGGGTGTCTTGCCGTTGGAGGACGGTGAGCATGGAGTACGAGGTCGCGAGATGCTGCCACGAGGTGGGCTTAAGCCATCATAGTGGCATTAGTTTGGCAGGGACATGGTACCGGGTTGAGTTGGGGCGGTTATGTGGAGAGTGAGATCTAGGGGTATATTTACCGCAGCGTAGGGCCGGGTGTTGAGAGGTACGCGGTCTCTGAACTGCTTTCAAGGCTTCTGGGGTTTGTCACGATGAAGCACTTCCTTAATGGTGTCAGTGCGGCTGCGCTGGCTTGCTTGACTATTGCTGCAAATGCCAGGGCTGTTGGGTATCGATCGCCCACGGACTTCATTGTACCGTACAAGAGACAAGCGCTGCAAGATATTGTGAGTGTGAGCTGGTGGTGGGATATCAGGTTAAGATTGATTAGTTGTAGGTCACTTGGGACAAGGACACGATCTTCATCAATGGCGAGAGGCTCTTCCTCTACAGCGGAGAGGTTCATCCTTATAGGTACATTACTATCAACCTACATCAGATACTCAGCTTACTGATTCACCTTCAGACTTCCGGTCCCAGATCTATACATCGACATATTCCAGAAAATCAAGGCTCTGGGATATAATGGTGTCTCATTCTATGTCGACTGGGCATTGCTCGAGGGCAAGCCTGGCGAGTACCGTGAGGAAGGTGTATTTGATCTGAAGCCTTTCTTCGATGCTGCAAGCGAGGCAGGCATCTATCTGATTGCGCGCCCCGGGCCGTACATCAATGCGGAAGTCTCAGGCGGAGGCTACCCAGGATGGATTCAGCGCGTCAAGGGTATCTTGCGAACGCGCGCGGAGGACTACCTCAATGCAACTGACAAGTATGTAAAGTATTATTACCGAGGCAGCATGTACGTGCTAATCGCGTCCAGCTACATGGCAAACGTCGGCAAGACCCTGGCCGCAGCCCAGATCACCAACGGCGGGCCAATCATCCTGGTCCAGCCCGAAAACGAGTACACAAACTCCAAGGAAAAGCCGTTCCCAGATGGCTACTACATGCAATATGTCGAGGACCAGATCCGCAATGCAGGCGTCGTGGTACCTCTGATTAGCAACGATGCTAATAACGGAGGCCACAATGTGCCCGGGTCTGGCGAAGGTGCTGTGGATATCTATGGCCACGATGGATACCCGCTTGGCTTTGACTGCTCGAATCCAGAGGTTTGGGGCGATCAACAACTTGTCACGGACTGGTATAGTGTGCACCTACAGCAGAGCCCGAATACGCCCTACTCGATTATGGAGTTCCAGGGCGGCTCGTATGATCCGTGGGGTGGGCCTGGTTTTGATAAGTGCCTCCAGCTTGTCAACGCAGCGTTCGAGCGCGTCTTCTACAAGAACATCTACACGTTCGGGGTGAGTTTAGAAAGACGACAGAATTCATTCAGATTCACTAACTGTTCTAGGTAACCATTTTCAACATCTATATGACATTCGGTGGGACCAATTGGGGCAATCTTGGCCACCCGGGAGGATACACTTCGTACGACTATGCCGCGCCCATTGCAGAGGATCGCCAGGTCAACCGCGAGAAGTACTCCGAGCAGAAGCTCCAAGCGAACTTCTTCAAGGTCTCACCCGCGTATCTGACTGCTTCTCGGGGCGCCCGTTCGACGACGCAATGGACGAACAACCCGGCCATCACGGTCACGGATGCGACAAATAACAGCACGAAGTTCTACTTTGTACGCCACACCACCTACAACACCTTAGACTCGGCAACCTACAAGCTCACCATCCCGACATCTGCTTTCGGCAACACTACAATTCCGCAGTACAATGGGACTAGTCTTACTCTTAACGGCAGGGACTCCAAGATCCACGTCAGCGACTACGATATGGGCGGCACAACACTCGTCTACTCTACTGCGGAGATCTTCACTTGGCACAAGTACGATGACCGGACAGTCCTCGTCGTGTACGGTGGTCCGGGCGAGACGCACGAACTTGTCATTGGAGCGACAGGTCTAGATGTGCTTGAGGGCGACATCAAGTCTACTTCCACGAAGGGCTACACGCTGCTCAATTTCCAGGCTGATGGCACGAGGAAGGTTGCCAAGGTTGGAGTAGACAAGAACTTCATCTACGTATACATGCTCGGTAGGCCCGCTCCAGATTGACGATCGATCTCATGATGCTGACCAACACAGACCGCAACTCTGCCTACAACTACTGGTCCATCGACCAAGACCCTCATTCCAATGCGGACGCCATCATCCTCAAAGCCGGCTACCTGGTTCGCACCGCGTCCGTCGACGGCTCCACGCTCGCCCTCACCGGCGATCTAAATGCCACCACCTCCCTCGAGATCCTCGGCGGCGCGCCCTCCCCCCTCTCCAAACTCACCTTCAACGGCGCCGAGCTCGACTTCGATACCACAGACGAGGGCGTCGTCACCACCACCCTTGGCTTCACTGCCCCATCCCTCAGCCTCCCCGACCTCAGCAAGCTCTCCTGGAAGTACATCGACTCGCTCCCCGAAATCCAATCCGCGTACGACGACTCCGCGTGGAAAGCTGCCGATCTGAAGGAAACGTACAACTCCCACCGCGCGCTCAACACGCCGACCTCGCTGTACGGCTCCGACTATGGCTTCCACACGGGGACCCTCGTGTACCGGGGCCACTTCACCGCCTCAGGCGCCGAGACATCTTTCTTCATCATCACGCAGGGCGGCGCCGCGTACGCCGCGTCCGTGTGGCTCGACGCTACCTTCCTGGGTTCCTACCGGGGCGCAAAAGGCGTTGATTTTGCAAGCTCCAACTTCAGCATCCCGTCCACCCTGGCTGGCAACACTACACACGTTCTGACGGTGCTGGTGGACAACCAGGGACTGGACGAGAACTGGACCGTCGGCGACGAGACGACCAAGAACCCCCGCGGCATCATGGACTTTGCTCTCTCGGGGCGCGCGAAGAGCGACGTGGCGTGGAAAATCACCGGAAACCTCGGCGGCGAGGCGTACGTCGACAAATCGCGCGGCCCGCTCAACGAGGGCGGGCTCTTCGCCGAGCGCCACGGCCTCCACCTCCCCGGCGCGCTCTCCGCCTCCGCCGCGGCGTGGACCAACTCCAAGGGGCCCGTGGCAGACGGGCTCAGCAGGCCCGGCGTCGGCTTCTTCGGCGCCGAGTTCGACCTCGACATCCCTGGCGGCTGGGACGTGCCGCTGTCATTCACCTTCACCAACACGACGGGGAATGCGCACCGCGTGCTGCTGTACGTGAATGGGTGGCAGTACGGCAAGTATGTGAGTAACATCGGCCCGCAGACCAAGTTCCCTGTGCCGCAGGGGATTTTAAATCACGCGGGGACGAATTACCTGGGGGTGGCGGTGTGGGCGCTGGAAGGCGGGGAGACGAAGCTGGGGGGGTTGAGCTTGGGCGCGGATGCGGTTATTGCTACGGGGCTGGGGAAGGTGGGTAATGTAGATGGGGACACGTACGAGGCGAGGAAGGGGGCGTACTGATGATTTCGTTTCACACTGTACATATATCTACATCTGCAAATTATCGTTCATCGGCATAGGTATCCAGCCAACGTCTCTCTCTTCACCTCCCCAACTCCTCCCCGAAACTGGCCGCCCTCCTCCTCCTCCTCTCACTCTCAACCACCTCCCCCCTACTCCCGCTCTTCCTCAATCTCTCCCCGCCCACCAGCACACTAGACCCGCCCTCGGTGGGACTGTTCCACTCGCCCTGCCGCCCCGTCTTCCGCCGCCGCCGCACAAGCTGGTACCCCCTGTCGAGCTCGACCTCGACCGCACAACGCACCTTGAGCGCGCCGACCGCAGGCCACACGCTCTTTTCACCCCTCCGTATCCAATAGTCCAATGCCTCCTTCGTCGGGTTCTCCAGCAGCCTGAAAAAGTCGCCCGGCGTGAGCTCCGGGACCAGCGTCAGACTGGGGCCGGGAATATTCTCGTCGAGCAGGAAGCGGCGTATGCTGTGTGGTAGGACGCCGAGCTCGTTGAGCTGGGCGAGGCGGTGCTGGATCTCCATGACGACGAGGCGCAGGACGGGCATGCTGAGCTGGTAGCGCCTCCCATCCTGGCGGGGGTTCGGGTGGTGCAGGTCCGAGCGCAGGAAGGGGGCGAGATAGGGCCGGGCCTGGGAGACGATGAAGTGGTTTACGTTGAAGAGCTCTGCGATGCGGTGGAGGGGGGACTCGCGGGCGTTGGTGGCGTAGGCGGCGTGGGTCCAGGGGCGGAACTGCGTGGCGAGGCTGGGCGACCAGGGCGCGATGGTGCCGGCGTCGTCTTTGCTGAGGAGCGTGACGTGCTTGTAGAGGGGAGAGGAGGAGGCATTGGAGGCGAGGGCTGCGGACCAGATGAGCACGTTGGGCGCCGTAAGGTAGTTCAGGAGATCGGGGACGCCGCCGCCGCCTGTGGTAGAGACGGTGATATTGAGGACGCGCTTGGTCTTGAGGTAGGCTTCTTCGAAGGTGAGGTCGGAGACGTTGGCGCGGACGACTTGCTCTAGGACGGTGACGTCGAGGAAGTAGCCGTCACGGATAAAGCGCCGGATGCGCCGCATGAGGGTCTGGTACCAGGTACTCTGGCTCGATGCCTCGACTTTCTTGGTGAAGGCTGAGAGATCGATGCTCTCACCTTTGAGAAAGTCGAGCAGCTCATCCTCGGTGTGGACGCCGACGAGGGCTGCGATCAACGCGCCGGTTGCAGTCCCAGAGACGATACGAGGTAGGAGGCCCCGCAGATGGAGTGCTTTCACAACGCCCAGGTGGCAGAGACCGAAGATGGCGCCGCCCTGGAGCACCAGGACTGAGCGTCCGAAAGCCTGGCGCGTGTCGTGCAGTACATCCAGCTTATTCTGGGTCGTGAGGCCAGAGTCTGCGGTCACCGGATAGCTCGTAACATAGTCCACTGCGAGCGCGACTTGCGTGATGTAGTCCTCGATCAGCAGCTTCGTGCCCGCATATGCTCTGTTGAACAGCCGCGAGGCCGTTATATTTCCCAGATTCCGCACCAGGCCGCTGCGCAGCAGCGACACAAGCCCCAGGATATCATCATCCTCGCGAGCGGTGATGATGGCCTGCAGCCGCTGGTATATAAGGCGGTAGTCGTAGTACTTGGAGGTCGGATTCTGGCGCCAGAGGTCGTAGCCGAGGACCTCGTCGAGCTGGAACGCTGCGGCCTCGTACTCCTCGTAGAGATTCGAGGCGGCGAGCGCTTCAAAGAGGACGTCGCGCGGATTCTTCTGGGACCACCATGACGAGAGTTTCTTGAGCGCCGGTATTAGCATCGCCAGAGGGAGGCGGCGCGCAGAGACAGACGTACCAGCTGCCAGAACAGGAACACGTCGAGGAGACAGGCCCATACGGTGCCTACCATGGCGGATAGGTTAGCCCGCCCCGGCTTTGACGACATGCTTGCCCGTGGCCGTAATCAGCGCTGGCCGCATGATTTGTTGTGGTTGCGGAGGATTGCCTCTTGGAGCCATGATGTGAGGACGTCTTTCACATGTCACGCACGGGCCACCGTCTCACATGCCTGCATCATCCACAACACGAAAGCTACCAACGCCTGGCGGTTCTGTCACTCCGTACTAGAGATTATCGTAATTTCATCAATAGAAGAAGACTTGATGAAGTGGAGCTGAAAGAGCCGCCTCGTTCACTTCCTATGAACAGTTACAACCACACTTAGCGCCAAATGCTATGTCTAGATACTCCTACCCGAGGCAGTTGTTTCTACAAAGGAGATTTTATCTGCATGATTTTCATCAAGAAATTTTCGAGAAATGGTTTGACTTGCCCCGGATTTCTACCTTCTCGATCATCTCTTAGGGTCAGCTGCTCCAATGCTCACTTCTCGATAAAGGCTGTACCTATGGTAACATGATAGAGGCGTTGGTCCTGGGCACCTTGTGCACCGAATGTCGATCCATGTTTCAGACGGAAGTCTGAATGCTATCAGACGTTGTATCGCCTATAATGTGGCGACACAGTATCCAAACTCTCGACCGAACGCCATAGTCAGCGACTAGCTATGTAGCCTCATGGGTCGCCTGTTTTCCCCATGACCATGTCAAAATAGCAGCTGAGAAGTAGCGACACCATGAACTCCAGGTCAATGTACCGAACAAAGAAGGCACGAGCTCAGCATGGCTCTTGCCTAAATGCAAACGTAAGCTCGGTCTAAGTCGTCGTGCCTCACATAAATTCCTGAGTGGGGTCTAAACTCTCGGATGGTTGAGCCAACCCTTGACATCTGTATGCTTGGCGCGTCTCGACCAAACAAGGCACCAAAGCAAATCACCTCTTATACCAAGTGCGAAGACGGGCCGCGCCAGCATGGAGAAATTCTCCTACGATATACGACCCCGAGGCTAATATCAACCTCTTCCAACTAACATTGACATTGTCACCAGTAAAGCAAGACATCAGCATCCATAGTATACTACAAGTGGAGTGTATGTACGCGCCATATTACGCCCTCGATCAAATTGATGCAACAACTCAGCCAGTTTGAGTTACATTGCCAATCCAGGAGCTAGCACTCCCTGTGCATCCCAAATGCAGGGCTCTCGCGTAGCAAAGCGACAGTGGGTATTTCCTGTTCCATGTTCTCCGATCTATCCCATAAACTCTTCTTCCAGACCCATAAAAGAGCCGCGGTAACTCATCCGCCTGTGCATCCAAGTGCCGTGAGGTGCCTCAGCATAATTGAGGCACTACTCCTTCTGAGCGCCAAAATCGGTATGCGGGGGTCCTACAGAATCCCAGCCCATGTTCATATGTTGCAACAAATCGTTCCAGGCGCCTTCGGACATGGGAGTCATGCCTGTGCCTGTCGCGCCCCCGCTCAAATGTCCCATATCCCAGTCGTTGCCCAGAATACCCATGTTGAAATCAACGTCTCCGCCTACGGAAGGTATCCCGCCAGTTGTAGTGCCATAAGCGAAGTTCGCGTTCATCATGTCGTTGCTCGTGGAATAGAAGATATTGTTCAGTGTAGAGGTGGCTTGGTTTGGTTGATTAGGTATTCGGTTCGTCATTCGTGGTGAAGGGCGGTAGGGGATTTGATCGGTGTTTTGCACAGGGGAATATGACGAATGGGAGCCGCCACCGCCGCCGCCAGAATGTGAGAGAGACTGTGACCGAGGGTTTGAAGTTGTTGTTGCAGGGCTGGCCTGCTCGGCGTTGCTATCGGGCGTGATTTCCATGTCGGAGTTGTCGAGTGTGACTGTGTTGTCCATTGGAAGACCGTAACTGTCTCTCGACATTGGCACGAATCGCGTGTTTTGCGAATCTGCGGCAATGGATGACACGCTAGAGAGATGGAAAGGCTGTCCCGCAACACCTGGGTTCAGATCTGGTCTAGGAGGACCTCCGTTTCCATATTGGTTGATGCTATGGCTGGGATTCTGCGTATCACGAATTTCGAATAGAGGACTACAGCCGACCGGGTCAGAATTCACTGGAATCACGCCGTCCTGGAAAGTGTTAGGGTTTGACTTACTCTATGTGATGCTCCTGGAAAGGGTACGTCTTTTCTATGTTGGGAGGCTGCATGGTTTCACTTACTGTGCCACCTGTCTGTGGTGGTCGATATGGCTTCTGCCCCAGACCAAGAACACCGGCACTCTCAAGGTCAAGGTCAAGTTGAACAAGAAACGATTCCGTGAGGGGGTTCTTTCGTCGAAGCGCTTGCATAGCTGTGAGGAGGAATTGCAGAGAAGCATGCATCTGCTGGTCTTTGGGGCGGGTCTTAAGATACTGTACGAACACTCGAGCCGCAACATACACACAAAATGATATGAAAGGGTTCATCTACTTCATATTAGCATTTGCCTAGCAGAAATCGTGTTTCACATACGGCGGCCAAATCCAAGTGGCTAATCATTCGCATGATGGAAGCAATTTCAGCGGCAGCAGTGACACATCGAATCTTGCTTTCATTGCTGACATTGGTCGGTAGACGATACTTATCCGCCTTGAATATCGCGGCTTGGTGGAGGCAAATTGTCGATGTGTGAATGCACATGTGCATAAAGACCGTGTTCGGATCCGCTGATCCGCTAGGTAATCGTAAGTGGTCGGGAAGGCCGAGCGAGGTCTGGAGCAGCATCCCTTCAATGGACCTGTGTCGTGTCCAAAATCCACCGTTCAGGTCGTCATCATTGTCATCAGGCCCAGGCCGATGTAGGTGGAGCAAGTTCTGACCGAAGAGGGCTGCCGTCAGTACTACACCGCCGAATGACTGTAAATTGCTAGCTCCATTGGCTGCTAATGCTTGCTCCAGAGAGCCAGTGGCCATCGGTTTGCTCTTTTCAAAAGCATCGTCGCTGGCAGGCAAATTGGTGAGAATCTGTCTCCGGGTCAGTGACCGACGCAATGTGTGTGTGTAAAGGCAACTTACGTCGCGTTGATCAAAGGTCATCGGCCAACCAGTTCCTATGCTAGCATAGCGATCAATATTAAACGCCATCCAGAATGTTCGTCTCCTTTCCTCTCGCTCTGTCCAATCCTTCGGAGGTGGGAGGCATTGCTTCACGTCCAGTCCGACGCCATCCAGACGATGTAGCTGCATCATTTGTGCCAAGCGCGTCGCTCGACCCGACGACATCCAAGCTCGTGGAAAATACATCTGTTTGAATTCGTATGTCGATATCAAGGCCCATGCCTGACAATGTGCCAGCGTTATGGTCCCCTCGCCATGGCCTTTCATCTCGTCTGATTGAGCGTACTTCCTTGCCCGCTGGTAGAAGTGCTCCTGCAGTGCATCGTATTTGTCGGCCACAGAAGCCGCGTGCGTCCACATAGCGTATCGTAAGCAGACTGGCGGTCGCATGTGAGGCGCCAGGTTCATAGCAGCCATAAAGCGCGGTCTGTGAATGATGGGCAACGATGGTTGAATCTTCGTAAAGTATATTTGGTAGCTAAGATTGTCAGTCCCGGGCCTTCTGGAATTGCTTCCAACTTACAGCTCATCTTGTACATCTTGAGGTGGAAGCGGCTCATCCAAGCCCAAGCCAATCATTTCCCACTGAAACTCGCCCTCTGGCGACGTTGCGTTGTTCGAAAAGGCATCGGGCCCAGGCGATATGCTGAGCCTTGCATCTGAGGCTCCTAAGAATTCGTTCGAGTTGGGCAGCGGCTGCTGTACCGTACTCGCGACATATGCGGTAGTCGCGTCCGGGCGCGCGGGTTCTCTGGTCTGTTCGGTGGATTCCTGACTCTTGAGAAGAGTTTCGACCTGCTCTAGATGCCAGCCTGTCAGCCATGTCGCGGAGAGTATCACCGTTTCTACACGTACGTAGGCGGGCCTCCAAGAGCTTCACGTATCCCCGCTTCGGCCCACTCTTCTTGCGCACCTCATCATATGTGCAGGCGTGCGACAGACGTTTGCAGGTTCCGCATGTCGGTCTGGTCCCGTCGCATCGTAGCTTCCTTTTGCGACATAGCACGCAGGCTATGCGCTTCTGTTTGCTTGCCGCATCGTCCTTGCGGCCCCCCGGCGCATCTGTGGTCGCGTTGTTCTCGTTCGAATCTGGTCCCTGCTGCGACAGGTCGTTGAAAAAGCTCTCGTCCGGCGATTCTGAGTCCGCTGAGGGCATGATCGAACGTTTGGCGGCGCCCGTTTTCTTGTGTGTATCGCAGCTCCTTTGGAAGATGCAGGTGGCCCGCGTCAGCAGCGGTTGGGGGCGGGGAGGTTTGGTCTCCGCGGGCTGCGGCGAATGGGAGGCGATGGGCGTTGCTGAGCAGTCTGTACTGGGCAGGCTTTCTGGTTTGAAAGACAGTCGCGGACGGTTAGCTAAGATCTAAGCGTCGGGGTGGAATGTCACCCGATGTGCGAGTTTAGGCATGGCTTGAACCGCAGATGATGCGGTGAGTTGGTACAGCACAAAGGGGGCGTAGCATCGAAGTAGGAACATCAAGGTTAGCACGGAAAATACGAGGACGCGTGCTGACGTCTTGGACATATGTAGGGCTTGAGAGCTGAGAAAACGCCCTGCATACCCAGGCATCGTAGTATACGCGCATTTCCCATCGTTGGCTGCCTAGGACGAATAATCTCGGACGCGCCGATCCTGGGCCACATGCTAGTAGGCGCGCCCGTCGCACAGCAGCTCGGGTACTACTCCAACTTTTGAAAGTAGCAAGCATCTTTGCGCACTTCGGTCGCCCACACCTCTGCGAGAGTCTAGAGTTTGAGGTTCAAGACTGCCCTTGTTCATGGGTGGTTGCGGGGCGGGCCCGTGTTGGCTTTAAACATGTCCGCTAAATTCAGGACCTAGAATCCCTGTCCTACTCAGCCTACGCCGCAGTCTGGGGTTAGCTACGAAGCTGGTGGAGGTAAGCCTACGAACCGTATGTACAATCGTCCCTGCTCAACGCCTAGGGGTGGGTAATTCTTAGTAAGGCCTAACAGGGGGAAGATTGAGCTATCACCCTTCATTGAGCTGTGTGGACTATCACTTTCACTAAGCTATATGATATCACCTTCAGTAGGCTATATGATATCATCTTCACTAGGCTATGTGCTGTCACCTTCACTAAGCTATATGCTATCACATTCACTGAGTTATATAGGCTATCACTCTTTACTGAGCTATGTGACTCACTACTCTTCGCTGAGATATGCGATTTATCACCCTGAGCTGAGCTGTGGAGTATCAACTAACGCATCTCTGTCCTTTTGACATGGCAAGATGATGGGACAAAGATGATGGGACAAAGATGATGTACGGTGGAGAATCCTATAGCTAAGCTCGTGGCCGCATGAATTGTTATGGTACAGATGGACAACAGGTGATATGATACAGGAGACAACCCTTCTCTACCTAGGTCTACGCTTGCCTTGGTTTCGTGGCCGGTCTTGAACAAGGAACGTGTGCTTATTTCTCTTGTGCCTCGTCTTGAAACCACCTTTTGCCTGTGTACGAGTGAGTGACGAACATTTGTCGCAACATAGCGTAGACTTACCGGTGTGCCCCACGGACTGACGGGATGGACGTTACCCTTCGATTTACCACGACCACCACCGTGAGGATGATCAGCTGCAGATTATTAGCGACGTGAGACTTCACGGTGTCTCACTCCCTTCACTCACCGGCGTTCATAGCCAAACCACGAACTTCTGGTCTCCTTCCTAGCCATCGTGATCGACCAGCTTTACCCAAAGACCTGAAGTGGTTCTGTGGGTTGCTCGCTACTCCGATAGTGCAGCAGGCGTCCGGGCTGATTTTTCGCAGCTCGCCACTCTGCAAGCGAACGGTGACGCTCTTGATTTCCACGCCCTTTGACTTCTCCACCTCTTCTTTGGTAACGACAATTGCATATGTTCCAGCACTCCGACAGAAGACACCGCCACCCTGGGACTTGGAGCCTACGTTGAAGACTTGGGAACCCAGCGGAACCATGTGGATTGGCAGGCAGTTGCCTCGGGCTGCCGTCTTCGCTGCAAGCATACCAGGATCGATGACGCCACCCATATCAGCGATCAGATCTTTCGGAATGCCGCTTCTGTAGCTCTCGACCTCATCACCTTCTCGCATTCCATCTGCTGCAACAATGTATGTCTTCTCGCCAGTCGCTACACGGGTGACGAGGGCAAGATGGGCGCTGCGGTTCGGGTCGTATTCAATCCGATCTACGATGTGCTTGCCGGGGAGGTACCGCTTGTAGTCCACAATCCGGATACGCCTCTTGTGACCACCACCTCGATGTCTCACGGTGACACGGCCAGTGTTGTTCCTTCCTCCCAAGTGCTGGCCCTTCCGAGCAATCGTGAGCTGGATGTGCGGCCGCCCCTTCCACAGATGATCGTTGACGGGTCGCTTCAGGTGTCGCAGACCGGGCGTGCGTGGCTTGTAGGTTCGCAGGGGGATGAATTTGTCCCGCCGCGGCTCTCTGGACTGGACGACGCCGCCGTCGGCCTGGACAGTGGGCTCAAAGGCGGGCGACGGTGCGTGTTCGACGGCAGTGGCATAACTGCGCGCAGGCTGGAGTAGCGCCCGGCCAATGCGCGAGGCCTGCAGGCTGCATATCCGGGGCTGCAGCATGGTTCGAAGATGGCCTCGATGGCCTCGGGACAGGACGGACGGCGCAATGGGGTCGCGGTACGGTGGTATGTGGTTGATAGGTGAAGCTCCCGAAATTCTCAGGCATGTCCCGGAATGGCTAGTCTCGAGGCACCCCTGCCAGTCGCACGGCGCGACGACCGGGCAACAACGACCGAGCGCTACGTGCCTGCCTGGCGCCTTTACCTCTTGCGCGCTCTCCACTGCTATAAACCAACTCTGCGAACCCCAAGAGAGCTGCAGCGCGCCATTGCCTCCCAGGATCTCCAGCAGCAAGCCCTCTCGGTGCCTGCGCGTCGGACGTGGCCGTTTTCTGTGGTGAGTGACGATACGCGTTCTTCATTGGCTCCACACCCCAGCCTCGTTCACGTCGGGTTCTTCGCGCGTTGTTGGCGCATAGCCGCTTACCTAACCCTCAAGCCTGCACACCAAAACAAACCGCCCTCGACATCTACCCTCATCAACACACCTCAGGTGCAGCACTTCTCCGCCCTCCGCCCGACAACACAGCACCATTGGAGCTGGACTTCGACTTGTCCCTTCGACGTCGCCGGCGCCATATTCTCACGCGGCATTCTCCCATCCCACACGTCATTTCACCATCGCTGTCGCATCCCATTAAAGCGTGTCTGGTACGTCCATATCCGCGAACCCAACACCAGACTCCGTCGACCACGTCAATGCGTGCCTACTCGCGTCCCGGACGTTCTCCCTATGCCAACTTGCGCCCGTTCTCTGGCTGTTACGCGTTCTTCCTGGGCTGCTGCTGACACTTTGCAGTGCATCATAACAAGACCTGTATACACTCCACGCCCTAGTACATAGATACAATATCCCGGCCTCTACTCTAGCCTTGCTCAGTATATCTAATATTGCTCGCCATGCCTCCAGCAGTACGTATGCTCGCGTCTGTTCAACCCACGTCGTCGCGGCGCGGTGCGTCGGGCCGTTGATCTTTGCAATATGGGTTACTAATGCTGCAACGTAGGCTCGTAACCTCCGGCAGCGTGCCGTCACCAACGAGAACGATGAGAACGTAGGCACACAGCGGTTGACGCGTGCAAAGTCAGCCGCCATGGACTCAGTTGGTGACGTGCCCAAAAAGACGCAGGCTTTGACCACCAAGAAGTCCCAATCTGCACTCGCACCCGCCGGTCAGGCTCGGAAGCGTGTAGCACTGGGTGACCGGACCAACTCGATCAAGACCGAGGGCGTCGGCGCTGGCGCAAAGGACGCGAAGGATAACAAGAAGCCCTCTGTGGCCAAGAGCGCACTGGCACAAGCAGCACACCCGACCAAGGTCACCAAGAGCTCTCAGACCAAGCAAGCGCGTTCCGTACTCGCTCCTAAAGAGAAGAACGTCAACTCCTCCGGCTCAAAGCGCCCAGCACCTGGCTCTGGCATTGCTGGCCCGACCAAGAAGCGCCAGCACATCGCGCCCGACTCTGTGAAGGAAGACCCTGAAGAAGAGGAGAACATTGAGCCTCCCACGAATGTCAAGACTGAGGAAAGCAAGGCCGCCCCAAAGACAAAGGAAGTTCCCGTTGCTGTCCCGGAGCCCGTCGTTGAGCCGGAAGAAAAGATTCCAGATCTCGATATTGAGGATGTCGATGACCCGCTCATGGTCTCGGAGTACGTCGGTGAGATCTTCGAGTACCTGAAGGAGCTTGAGATCTCCACCATGGCCAACCCCGACTACATGGACAACCAGAACGAGCTCGAGTGGAAGATGCGCGGTATTCTCGTCGACTGGTTGCTTGAAGTCCATACCCGCTTCCGTCTCCTGCCAGAGACGCTCTTCCTCGCCGTCAACATCATCGACCGCTTCTTGTCTACCAAGATTGTTCAGCTGGACCGTCTCCAGCTCGTTGGAGTCACCGCCATGTTCATCGCGTCCAAGTACGAGGAGGTCCTGTCGCCACATGTGCAGAACTTCCGACATGTTGCAGACGATGGCTTTACGGAGGAGGAGATCCTGAGTGCGGAGCGCTTCGTCCTTTCAGCCCTCGACTACGACCTGAGCTATCCCAACCCGATGAACTTCCTCCGTCGGATATCAAAGGCAGACAACTACGACATCCAGACCCGTACTCTTGGCAAGTACTTGCTCGAGATTGGATGCTTGGACCACCGTTTCATTGCCCACCCCCCTAGCCAGGTCGCCGCCGCCGCCATGTACCTCTCGCGACTCGTACTTGACCGCGGCCCATGGGATGCGACTCTATCGTATTACGCTGGCTACACCGAGGAGGAGATCCAGCCCGTCCTCGAGCTCATGATCGACTACCTGTCCGGTCCCGTTCTCCACGAGGCCTTCTTTAAGAAGTACGCTAGCAAGAAGTTCATGAAGGGTAAGTCAAGCGATGTTTTGATGCATGTATTCATACTGACAATAATAGCCTCTATTGTACTGCGCTCATGGTGTAAGAAGTATGTTGCCCAGTACGGCAACGCCCTGCAAGACAGCTCCTCGAAGGCATGAGCCACCGCTGAGCTCGTGTGGGCATGCTAGTCGTCCCGCATGATCCAGCATGTTGCAGCACCCGGTATACCTTCGCACCTCTTCGGCCCTAGGAAGCTTCACTACAACCAACCGGCATTGTGCTGTGGTTGCACCGCTCCCTACCATGCTTGCATTTTGGCCATCTCTTACGGATCGGCGTTAATAAAAGGGACGCAATTGGTTAGCTTCAAGGGTTTGAATGTCGCTTTTGTTTTGATGCCAAATTTTTACTGTGGAGTTCGATGGCGTCTTCATGTCTGTTTCTTTCTCATGATGGCGCATACGGGTTTTCTCAGTCTCATCGCAGCATCTCCTAACTTCATTCCTGAGAGAGGCTGGCTCCGAGACGCATTCGTAGGGGGATTTGGTAGCATGGGCATGGGAGGGTAGGGAGGGTTACACATTGCTTTGGCTGGATGTGTGTATGAGTAGGCAATGCGAGCCTCGTCTGTCTGTGAGCCAGCCGTGCTTCGAGAGCGTTTGATGTTGTTTCCTGTTCTATATCACCTGAGCGTTGCATTGTACGTATGACGGCTTCTTGGTAAACAACACGAACACGCTTCAAAAATTCGAATGCTCTCCGATGCAGTGTCACACAGGCTGCAGCTAATACCCGATGCACAAGTTGCATCCTAGCTAGACGATCGATGAAGGCAGCTGCGTGCGTCCCACGCGTTCTCCTCGCGCGTGCTGCCTTGATTGCAGCCGCGCTTGGGGCAGCCAGCATACGGTGCTCGATGCGTCTCGGTCGCGATGACGATGACGCGATGCATCAACACGCCATGCCACGGCACGTACACGGTCGCGGTCTCGACGTGAGCGTGGACGTGGACCTCGGCAGCGCCCGCGCGGCTAGCCTAGTCGGTGCTGCATTCACAACCGTCGATCGATCGAGCACTTCGGTTCGTCTGCCCGTCCACCAGGTGCGCGTGCAGGCTTGCTTGTCGGAAAACAAAACGCTGTTCGGACTTGTTTGTACGTTCTGTCAAGGGCTGTGCTACGGCTACACGTTCCCAACTACTACACATCGATCGTCTATCATTACATCGTCTCTCGACGAGCTCGACATGCACAGCTAGCCCCGGACGCTGCCACGCACCACCATGAACGAGCTGGACCTGCACTACCCAGCAGACACCTGCCCCTTCTGCACCATCGCCGCCGCGTATCCCCCCTCCTCTTCACCCCTCTGGTCTTCAAAACAGGAGGACTTACTATCCTGCGTGCCGTCTGGAGATGTGGACCCAGAGAGGACTACCCCAGGGAGCTTCGTGGTCCTCGCGAGCAAGGATGTCGTAGCGTTTCTGGACATCTTGCCGATGGTTGGGGGACATTTGCTTGTTGCGACGAGGGGGCATCGGGTCAAGGTTGGGGATATGGGGGGAACGGAAGGGAGGGAGATTGGTGAGTAGACCACGAGGGCGGGTCATGTGATTTGAAGGACGGAGCTGATGGGCGTGACAGGGTTCTGGCTTCCCGTGCTGTCGCGGGTTGTGAGCCGGGTGGCGGGCGTGACGGATTGGAACATTGTGCAGAACAACGGTGGGTTTTTGACATTCCCTTTTCCAGGCGCTCTTGTGAGCTTGTTGGGCACTTGGGCGTTCCACTTTGATCTCCCACAGTTGTCAGATTAAGGGTAAGGATTGTATTGACTATGGACAGGCGCGAGAGCAGCACAGGTGGTACCGCATGTGCACTTCCACATTATTCCGAGGCCAGAGTCAAGACCGGAGATCAAGAGCAAAAGTTGGACTATGTTTGGGCGGGGGCAGAGAGACGAGCTGGACGACGAAGAAGGCGTGCGCATGGCGGGCGAGATGAGGAGGGTGCTGAGAGAGGAGATTGCGAAGATGAACGAGCGGCCGAAGTTATAGACATGGACGGATGTCGTGTGGAATACGTCTCTCGTTGATGCCTCGATATGGGTCCCCGGCTTGGGAGCTCGGGCGCATCTTCTGCTTCAACAAACCGCGATGTATTATACATACAACAAAGACTCGTGTCTCTATCCGTACTACTACGACACATGTACAATATCTATACATAATCCGTTCCCAATGCTTATACAAGATTTTCGAACCAGAACCGCTACTCGGCCGGCTTGTCGCCCTTCTCTTTCTCCTCCATGTCCATTCTCCTGCCCTCGACGGTCAGGTAGAGACTCCTGCTGGCGCCTTCCAGAGCACCTGTGAGCTGGCCACCAACACCTTGCAGCATGTGGACAAGCTGTGCCCTCAGTCCGTCGATACCGCCGTCAATGCCGCCGACCCACTTCGTGCCTTCTGTGTCGAACACCTTGCCCTCTACTCGGGCACCCAGGAGCATGAGCTTCTGCAGTCCGGACTGCACTTCGGGCTCAAAGTATGAGGGGTTTGCTTTGCGCTTGGGCGCAGGGAAATCGGGCGGCGAGGGCGCAACGATGGAGAGCACAGTTTTGAGGTACTGTGGCGATACATCTGGGAAGGTGAGGATAGCCAGGGGCCCTGAGAGAAGCGGCTCAAGCTCGCTCTTGAGCTTGCGGTTCGAGGCCACTTCCCACGCTCTCCTGCTCAGACCGTGCTTGAAGGCCTCGTCTTCTGGCGAGTTCGTCGTCTGCGGGATCTGCGCGCTCGTCGCTGACCGTGGGTCCGTGGGTTGCTGCACATGGTCCATCGTGTTCTCCTCCGGCTTGAAGAACTCCACCACGCGCAGTGCACTGGCGAAGATGCTCGTGGTTATGACCTGGAACTTGATCTGGTCTCCGATCAAGCCTTCGTGGCCGTTCTTCGCTCTCTCAGCGTCCACTTTCCGCAGCGCGATTGCAAGCTCCCTCCGTATGCTCATCCATTCTACCGCTTTGACGTTGTTGTGTTGGAACAGCAGGATCAAGGGCGACGACTTGAGGACGGACTGGTATGTTCGGTGCAACTGCGTCTTGCGGACTTCCGGCGGCTTGTGCGAGGGCGGTTGCGTAGGCGGGTATCTGAGTATCGGGGCAGCAGCCTGCGTTGGGTCAATTGCCGGCGCTGGGGTAGTTGCTGTTGTGAGCGAGGCATAGGATGCACAGAGGGGGTTGTTGAGCGGTGCGGCGTTGCGGAGACGCAGAGCGCATGGTCGGAGCCGTATTCGGGGCGGCATCCTGGTGGTCTATCAGCTCTGGATACAGACTGCTGGTCTTGGAGGCGGAGCCCTACGTGATGTGTGGTCGACGCGCAATGGAGATGGAGATGCTGGTCTGGAAATCTTTCGGCCGTCACTCGAGAAACTTGGCGCTCGGGCCACCCGCGGCCTTCATCTCGCGAGCAACTGCGATTCATCAATTCCAACAGAAGTGCATTCTTTCTTCTTCTTTCTTTTTTCTGTACAGTAATATATGCTCCGCATAATACCGTTTTGCACAGTCGATTGAACTCCACAAAAACTGCGCGCCAATGAGAGCGCATATCTGGAGGAACGCGCATCGAGCGAGTCTAGCAACAAGACCAAACTACAATGCTCGATTCTTGACAGTGAGATATCTCTCTGATAATCTGTGTGGTAGCGCATCTTGCTTACTTCTTTGCCTAGACAGATTCCAGAGGTCGATTGTCTAAATTCTGGGCACCAACAGGAGGCATATCTCCTCAAGATGGAGAGCAAGGTCGGCACATCATCATATCCATTGAATATTTCACTCACATCGGCACAGATGATTCCCACGCACTTCTTCTCAAGGGTGGATTTCTCCGACAGGTATGCCTTTCCGGCCAGCTACGACTGGCCATTGGTTACCACAAACTCATCACGTGCAGGCTCACTCCGGAGTTTTCCATCTACTACCTCTAGGTCTCCGCGTACAGAATAAGCTCGAAAGTCTAATAGACAAGCACATGTCCTCAATCGGTGCCTCCAAAGTCTCATTGTCGCACATAAGTACAGAAGAGCTCTGGAAACAAACAGGCCGATACTCCAGCAACTCAGAGCTCCTCCGCATCAATGACCGCAGAGAATCTGGATTCCTCCTTGCACCCACGCATGAAGAGGAAATCACAGCTCTCGTAGCGAACATGGTACACTCGTACAAAGACCTCCCCCTGCGTCTCTACCAGACCGGACGGAAATACAGAGACGAGAAGAGACCGCGACAAGGCCTCCTCCGGGCAAAAGAATTCATGATGAAGGACCTCTACACGTTCGACTCATCGCACGAGACCGCACTCAAAACATACGACGAAGTCCGCCAGGCCTATACCAACCTCTTCAACGAACTCAAGCTGCCCTATCTAGTAGCCGACGCAGATTCCGGCAACATGGGCGGCAAGCTCAGCCACGAGTACCACTTCGTCTCTCCGAAAGGCGAAGACAACGTCTGGTCCTGCAGCTCCTGCAATTACGTCGCGAACGAAGAGCTCGTGGAGAAGCCCACACCGCAAACCGACCTCGATGCGATCGCCGCACCAGCAGAACCTTCGCCACCGCTCGTCTTCACGGGTATCTCCATGGACCGGAAGACAGCGGTCCGTATCGTCATTGCTCGACCGTCTGACATGCCCACCGAAGCCCAACCACCCTGGGATACCATATCCTCCGTCGTCAATCTGCACGCCGTGAAGCGCGTCTATCCCGACCTCGACACCGGCATCGAACCCGCCACCCTCGCGAAGCTCCTCCCCGCCACCGAAACCCAGCAAACACTGTACTCCCCGTCCCTCGCGTACCTCCAGAAAACCACATCTCTCCCCGACGCCGACGCCAGGACCACACCCACGACAAACGAAGCCCCAGCCTCAGCCGAAGCAGACATCTCCCTGACCCGCCCCGGCGACCCCTGCCCCCGCTGCCCGACCGGGCACCTCGCCGTGCAAAAAGCCATAGAAGTAGCCCACACCTTCCACCTGGGGACACGCTACTCGGCCCCGCTCTCCGCGCTCGTCGCCGTGCCCCATGCCACGCAGAAAGAAGCGATCCACATGGGCTGCCACGGCATCGGCGTCTCGCGGCTGCTCGGCGCCATTGCGTCGCAGCTCGCCGACTCGGCGGGCCTGAACTGGCCGCGTGCCGTCGCGCCGTTCGAAGTCGTCGTTGTTACGGCGCCCAAGGTTGACGATGCGGATGCCGTGTGCGTATATGATGCGCTGGAGGGGATTGACGCGGTTATCGATGATCGGGCGGGCAAGAGTCTCGGGTGGAAGCTGAGAGATGCGGATCTGATTGGGTATCCGGTTGTTGTGGTGTTAGGGAAGTCGTGGAAGTCGGGGCAGGTGGAGGTGCAATGCCGGAGGCTGGGGGTCAAGAAGGTTGTTGAGCGAGGTAGGTTGAAGGGGGAGGTCGAGCGGTTTCTGGGGCAGCTCTAGGCGTTCCGAGACTGCGTGTGGGTTGCTCTAAGTTGTAAGATTTTGGTCAAGTCGGACTGCTATGTTTGACTTGGCTACTGTTCTATTACATGTACTTCTATCTGTTGTCAATATGCTACGCATGTTCAAGCAGGGGAAGCCTAATCTTACCTTTGTCTATTGACTACCTTGTACAGTACCTGTAAAATTTGTCATCCCACTTATGGAGTCAAAGTCACATTAAATAGATGCATAGAACTACATGCTAGGACATTTTCTCTTGCAAATTTGCCATTACACCTTTTCCGTCTTGGTATGGCATTAATGAGATAAGAACTGGTAGTTCCTACGAGCGAATTAGTAATTTACAGTAGAGGAAAAACATGTACAACTTTTCATTGCATGAACTTCGAATTTCAGTCCTCGGAAGTCCAAACTACCAGGCCCTAGGTAGTAATATCTCCTACCGGCTCCCATGTCGTCTCTCCATCCATCAAATTACTGATCTCTATAAGAATCCTCGGCAGATAGTTCTGACGAGGATGGCTTCAACAAGTTGTCGCCAGCTGCCGGGTTGCAGAGCCAGTGAATTTCGTATGAGAACCAGAGGCAGGGTTTTTGGTGGTGCCTAAAACACTTTGTATGCGAGAGGAGAAGCCCCTGAGGTTTCTTGCCACGTTCACTTCAGATCAAGCTCTCCTGGGAAAGCGTAGAGACACGGGGCGAGGGAGCGATTGCCGGGTAGTCCGGTACCTTCACCCGGCCGGACTGGTGAATCACCTGCGAGAGCTCCATGAGCTTCGTCGTCAGGAGTCGAACACCGTCGCCGGGAAGCGGTTTGCCAGTGTGATCGGCCTTCGACGGTTGTTCGGGTGCGTTCGGTTCACAGAAGAGTCCATCGTCAGGGAGAAATGTGCCTAGAGTGTTTGCCCATACACCACGTTCACCTTGTCGCAATTGCTCTGTGGTAGCGAGGAGAGATCGCCAGTCGCCGTGGTAGACGTTGAGGCCCCAGCAAGGCACTTTCGCGCCCGGGTACCACATTGAAGTGAGGTTGACTTTATATCCCGTCTTCTTGATGTCGAAAGTATATAATTTGTCCAGGCGGCCGGTTAGGAGTCTCAGCGAGGGGCCAGCAGTGAAGTCTACGAAGGGCTGCTTCCATCCGGTGTCGTCCTTTGGCTTGATCTGAGTCCCATCGGCAAAGCGGCGAATGGCGGTCGGGACCAGTGCCATCTTGCACGGGATCATAGACGTGAGACTGAATTGCCAACCTTTGCTCCTACAACAATCGTTAGCGCATGCTCCCTTGCGCGGTAAAACTGCGTAGGAAGAGCCTTCGGAACATTTATCTAGAGCACTTTTGCTTGACTGTCTTGCCAAATAGGTACGATTTCACATTCCGTGCCCAACACAGTCTCAGTGACTTACTCTCCGAGCTCCACGAGTTTTATGTCCATGTTCTCTTTTGGCGCAGTGCGTCCTGTCTCAAGGCGATAATATTTCGTGTGCTCTGTACGCTTCTCATAAAAACCGTCCTCGTCGACCATCCAGAGAATTTGAACGACGTAGGGTGATGAGGTAAACTGAGAAGCATTAGGGTCCTGAAAGACCCAGGTGCCGCGAAGTATTGGAAACCAATTCTCCGCACCATCGGCATCGGAAAGTGCAAGCAGATGGTTGGCAGAAATAAGGCGCGCAAGGAGCTCTTCGCCATCTTTGTCCTCGTAGAGCCTACGCACATCTTAATTGAGTTGAGGAAGAGATCAGAGGCACATACCAATGCTTGACTACGAAGTCCAAATTTTTCTTGGTTGTGACACCAGTCAAGAACTTCTCCAGGTCAGGTTTCGTACCGGTGTCTGATACTGGCTGTTTCATGGCAAGGCAACCGAGGCGAATCGAGAGGTCATATGTGCCCATTTCGTATCGGGCAACGTCAAGAGCTCGCTGAATCTCCTTCTGTATTTCGTTGTGCTGCGCAGGCTGAAGGTCCTGCCAGTAATCGCCAGGTTCGCTGCTCGTCATAGCACAACGTAAGAGGCGAGGTACGATGGGATGTGTTGTATGATTTGGCCACCATGTCTCAGCTTTCTCGTATAGCACACCTTCTCCTGAGTCTTCTCGCGTGTCCAGAATCAAGTATTTCGGGAACACCATTTTTTTATTGATTGTGAGCTTGACCTTCTCGATGAGGACCTTGATATGCTGTTCGGCTGATCGAGCATTCTTGATGTCGGCTCCATGTATTTCGAGCTGATTCAATCCCACTGCCCATTGTCAATACCAGCCGCGCCTGTACTCAGGCGGCGAAGGGACTAATACGTACCACCCTTAATGAATACTTCGTCGTCCATCCTAATCGGATCTAGCTTTCCGAGGCCAGCACCGAAGGCGTCTTTCATCGTAAATTCTGAACCGCGGAGATCCTGGGGCCAATCGACGGTGACCTGCAAACAGGTCAGTATTCATAAGATCACCCAAACGACACTCTTTACCAAGCTCTTATAGGTCATGACCTCATCCTCTCCCATGTCTCTCAAGAACTTCTTTCTCCTCTCGTTTTGCTCCCGCCGCATATGTTCGTGATACCAATCTTTTGGGATGTGCGCCGGGAGCTTGACCCATTTAGTAGTCTCTGAGGTCTTTGTGACAGAATAGCGAATCCATTCCTCAATCTTCTGGGTAGCCTTGTCTAGTTTCTCGGTCGTGCCGAACAGTTCGAACTTGACAATGACTCCCGCTGATCGACCGGAGCCGTCTTCGGACAAGAGTTGGGGCAGAACTTCGCATCCTGTCTCGTTCTTCCAGGTGGTGATGATTCTCATACGCTCTGAGCTCTTCGTTTCGCGCCGGTATTCCGCGGGCACAAGAATGACACGATTAGGCGCACGCCTGTTATCACTGTTGTTTCCATTCGACTGACCGCGGCCGCGATAGGCTCCCCTCATACCGCCATGTGCGCGCATGTTGCTTAGATGCTTGATTGTCCTGCGGGGTGTCAATTATAACCAGAAGATTGCCAGCCATGCATTCACAACTAAGGACCTTTGACTTTGACAGGTTTGCTTGTACAAAGTATCGAAATCGGGACCAGAGCTTTGAGCTGTTCAATGTTGAAGTTGACGCAAATAGGAAGGTGCGACGGTGCTCTAGAAAAGATTCCACCTTTCATTGACGGTTACTGTAGGCTCAACCTAAAGAATTGTCGGCGTAGCGTTATAAGGGCATCTGCTCATTTAAGCGGCCTGACGTGGCTGAACGTGCGAACGACGAACGGCAAAAGGCCCACTTGCACGGCGTGTAACAACACCTCCGCGGTAATACGAAAACTGGTACGTAAGCTTAACGTTGCAAAGCTCATGGCAATGACAGTTACGATACCGGCTGCTGTGTGTTGTAATCTTGTGCGCCCGTAGGCTACAAAGACAGCATTAACGAAGGTTATGAAGCCGCGTGGCAATCGCTCTGAGAGTGCACGAGGAAGTAAAAGTGTAGTCGTGGTGTTCTGGTATGTTGTCACAGAGACCGAGAGTCCTTCTGGCGGAAATCACGAGTGAAGCAGCGCGACTACCTCCAGCGCCGCCGTTGTCACCAGACACAGAAGGAGCGTCCATACGAACACGCATCGTAGTCTGGAACTGCAGATTATTATCGCTTGTTGAAGCACTGCACATGCAATGACACTGTAATCCAAATGCTTTTTTAATGCGCTTTTGTGACCACATGGTGCTGGATTATAAGAGCCAAGCGAGAAGAACTTGTCCAACCTGTGGGCAGTATCAAGACCACCTATTGGCCACTGTTCCTGCCTTATAATCCATTTGAAATATCTCTTATCTGCGGTTTTCCTACAATAGCGAATCAGTTGCAACCAACATGGTCGTCTGGAGACGAGAACTGAAACGCTGTGTAGAAATGGTGGGAAAGAGCAAGCAATGGTGGAAGTCAAATGCCCAAAAATTATATGTGGAAGCTGAAAATTTGAATGAAAAGTTCCAGGCAATTGAAATGGTGAGTTCAGTCACGCTCAATCTTCCTACTGCTGTCCACATGCAGGCTCCAAAGCTCCGCTGACTGTGCAGGAGCCTTAGGTGGCATCGTGATTGCCAGGAATGGATGGAGAACGATGTCCTCGCTGCTGGCCATCAATCCCAGATTGAGAAAGAAGCTCTGTTGGCTAAAACTGTCATGGTGAGCATAGGTCGTCAAACGCGTCGAGATGAGCCTCAAGGGGCTGAGTCAGCTGAATGCGCGGAGGTGCACGAGCCATGCGGCCGATTTTCTGAGAACCATCATCGCGTCAACGTTCAAGTATCTCACGCCCCACGGACCCTTCATTGGCGTGCAGACATCCCGACCAGTCAATTGAGCGTCGCATACGTTCACCCCCGGACCTAGACAGCAATCTCCTCCGTCGAATCCCTGGGCGCATAGCCCGCCCTCGCCCAAGATGTCGCTCGCTCCCGTTTCCAAGAAGATTGTCGCCTTCGGCAGCAACCAGGTCTTCATGTACGTCTCTACCACTCGTTTCTATCGCAATTGCTCATCCAAACTCAGGCCCAAGTTCACCGTCGCCCTGATCCGCACACCCAACCTCTCCCCTTACCAAGCCAAGTTCCGCGTTCCGCTCAACTTCTCCAAGTACGACCTCCGCGACTACCTTTACCACGCCTACAACGTCAAGGTCCACAGCATCCGCTCCCTCGTCAAGCAGCTGCCCGTGCGCGACACGATCAAGCAGCCCCGCCACTGGTTTCGCCCTGAGAACGAGAAGTACATGACCGTAGAGATGGAGAAGCCGTTTGTGTGGCCAGAGGACCCGGAGAGCTGGCAGCCGTGGGGTCGCAAGGAGCGGGATGCTAGTATCCTGCAGAACCGGGCTGCCCAGGGCCTAAAGTCTCCTCACGATCTTAGAGTCGATGCGAGGAAGTTAAGGCTGCAGGCTCTGGAGCTGCTGAATAAGGGTCCGGAGCAAAGCGTAAAGAAATGGGAGAAGCGAAGAACGCCGCAGATGCTGCATAATGAACTGTTGCCCTCAGAGAACTTCTCCAGCCTGTGGAACAACAAACCCAAACTCAAAGAAGGCGAGGAGAAGTCGGCAACGCTATCCCCGACTCAAAGTTGAGGTGGACCATACGGATTTAAACTCAAGACAGCCGCGTACTGGGACACTGGGACTTGTACATTCGATTGTAATATATTGTTGGAAGTAGACGGCAAGGAGACGTGTGTAGGATTGACTACAATCACACTTGAACATGTGAAGTATTTCAGTAACAGCCATTCCCACGCGTTTGTGAATTTGCAACGAATGCGTGCGGCTGCGAACCCTATGCATCGCGAATGGATGGGCTAGACTGATCCACAGCACTATTCTTTCTTGAATGTATCAAAAAGCCTCACTCCACCCCTCGCGTAGCTTCCTCTCTTCTGCTCTCCGGGCCCCGCCCATCCAAGCTTCTCCAGACCAAGGTGTTGGTCCAAGAGGGAAGACCAATGGACATAGCTGCCCAGATGCTCTGTATATGGATCCCTCTCACCCTAGATCCAGCCTCAGTCCATGCTCCCTGATGAAATAACTCGGCATGGCTCCGCCACACCCGACTTTCATTTTCACGAGGGATCGACCAAACGCAGCTCTGCACTGGCAGTGGCGCAGGCACCTAGTTAGGGAAGCGCCTACCAGTTCGCAACTTGAAACGGAAGCATCGTCAGTCTCTCAACTGATGGCATCGGCCTTTCTCTTTGCATTGCTGGCCGGTGAAGAGGTGCCATCATCGTCTTTAGCGCGCTCTGGCCCTTCAGGGACTCTATTATCGGCATGTAACTTCTCTTTGGTCCCGTCTGATACATCAGACAGTTTGTTCTCGAGACTGGACTTTTCTTTGGGCTTGAGCCACCCGTCTAGCTTATTCTTCTGACGTCCTGCTCTTTCCTTCATGCTCAGCGCTTCAATCTTCTTCTTCGTCGGTGCAGGTTCTTGCGTCTTTGTATATGTGCCACCACACTCAGATTGATGTTTGGCCCACCACGAATCATACTCCCCTGGCGGACGGTTCATGCTGCGTTTGACAAGACCAAAGTAAGGGGGTTGGGCTTTGCACGGTCCAGAGCACTGCCACACGTGCGTTCTGTAGCTGTCCTATTATCTAGCATGAGTTTGTGTTGATGGATATGTTCCGTCAGATGCTGCTTACCACTTCATCGTGGAAGGAGTGAAAGATGGTGACCTCGTAGCTGCCGTGAGAGTTGATAGCGTCGGCGAGTAGCCGAAAGCCCTCGCCATGGCCGGTCCCATCGTTTCCACGGGTGTGCCGCCACGAGGTCGTAATGAAGAAGTACGCGTGTATGGCCTCGTGCAGCAGCGTGTTGATGGTGTCGGACCGGGGTCGGTACTGCAGCAGGGGCGTGCTCATCTTCAGTCTGATCCTCGTGAATTTCCTTGTTGCTGGATCCCTGGAAAGCTCGCATATGCCTGCGCATCTAATGCGGGTCAGGAAGATGGCCAGGAAACACCAAAAATTGCACGTTATGCATGAAAGAGAAAGTAAGCTGCAGGCACAGCCACGCAGGTACAGCCGCGTAGCCTTGTCTATGTTTTGTTCGCTTACAGAGTCAAACGAGGCGACCACAACACCTCGACCCGGGGAAGTAGAAGCTTCCGGAAATACAACACATTATAGTGGCCAAAGAGTTCATGGATGTCGACAAAGGGCTCTCCATCGCCCAATATCGCGTTGATGGCGTCCAGTGCCTGCTGCTGCTCGGCGGAGAGATTGTCAAGGGTGCCGATGGCCTCGAGGGCGGCGTCCTCGTCTGTAACAACGGGCATGCCGCGAACCTGGTAGTGTCATTCAGGGGTTTCTCGGGGATCGAAGATGGAAAGTTGCGGATCGGGACGAGTGAATGGCGGGCAACGGGAGACAGGGGTGGTAGCCCTACGTAGCGTCAGATTGCAGGAGGCGAGGCGTGGTCGGCGGGCACCTGGGCAGCAATGCGCCCACGTTGTTTCGCAGCCACGGGAGAAGACGACCCCTTGGCTGCCCTTGCTTTGACAAACGTAGTCCCCAGCACTTGCGCGATCTGTTTGCACCCCCCCGTTTCTGCACACTCTGCGCTGCGCTGGATCCTCTTGGAAGCGCAACGAAGCTGATTAGACATTTGGCGATCATTGCTCATGACGCATGTTGCTCCACATGCACAACATTCCACGCCCGCACAATTCGACCGCGCCGCGCAGCCCTAACAACACCACAACCGCCCACGCACGTGTAGGATCTCCCACTCGCCGCCGAATGCGGACGTTCGCCGACGAATTCGACTGAGATGGCGGCGTCCGAAACCCTGGGCGCAGTTGATCTCGTGCGCACCTCCTCGCAGAACTCGCACGTCTCCAACGGCAGGAGGAGCGGCACGGTACGCGTCAGGCCCCTCAAACGCGCCTCGAATACTTCGCTGGGGCGCACCCCGTCGCCTGCCGCCGACGACAAGAGCCTGACGTCGTTCCCCTCGCTGTCGCCCACCCCCGACTCGTCGCCCGTCCAGTCGCGTGTCAATGGCTGGTTCCGCTCTGCCGTGGGCGCGGGCGAGCCTGGCGACAAGCAGCCCGAGAACATTCCCAGAAGCTCTCCAGATACCGTCATAGTCCCCTCCCCGTCGCCGGAGCCAAACAAAACCCCCGCCCCGGCCCCGCCGTCGACGGTCAGGAAGGTCACCAAGTCCACGCAGCAGATTGTGGGCAGCCTGGTGCAGAGAACAGGCTCCGTGCGAGACCGTTCTGCATTGTTCGACGACACACCGCCCGATGCGAGCAAGGTCCCCGGAAATGTTCACTATTCCAGCGACCAGAACATCCAAGACATGATCGGCCAGACGGGCGCGGTCGCCTTGGTGCGCCAGATGGCCGGGGACCTGGCACAGCGCGATGCGCAAATCACCGCTTTGCGAAGAAGAGCAGAGGAGCGCGAGAGGATCCTTCGCAAGATGCTACAAGAGTGCGAGGTTTCGAATATGGACATCGAGAACAGGCTGAGGGAGTTGGAACGAGGCCGCGAACACGCTCAGAACAACGGACTCGCAGGTGCCAGAAAACGAGACAGCGAGAGCAATTTGCCTGGATTACACCCCGACGACCCCATGGACCAGCGCATCGCTCGAGCCATGGAAGACGAGATTGTCGAGCACCCTGATGCTCTGGGCTTCGATTCGGGCAACAACGCTTTGGAGCAGGATAGCGCGTCGATCAGTTCGGTATCAGAGGCACCCAAGGAGCCTCGTGGCAACTGGAGGAGTTTGCTCTTCAGTGGAGCGAGTAGGAAGAGCAGCAGAGCCCCATCAGTGGCGAGCTTGATTGACAGAGATGCAGAGAGCATGTCTGCCCACACGCGATCCCGAGCCTCCAGTGGGGCGAAGACGACTCGCAAACCCATCAGTAACAACCTATTTGTACCACCCGGCTCAGATCAAGGCGCCATACCCACGCTGCGTCGGCTACAGAGTCAGGACCCCATTCAGTCTGACCAGTCTTCTCGGCGGTCGTCAGGTTCGATCATGAACTGGACATTGAAGATGGTCGCGGGAAATAATCAGACACGCGTATCAGACAAAGGAAATGCTGTACGGGGTCGCAAAAGTGCTACATCCGACCCCGCGGACAGAACGCCTTCCATCGACTCTGCCAGGACAACGCAATCAGCCAAGTCCGGCCCGCCAGCTGCTCAGCGTCGTGCAGGTCGTGTCCTCGGTCCCAACGGAACCATCAAAAGCATTACGGGCGACATCCCAAAGAGCGGATCAGTCAATCCCAGCCCTCAGCCTCCGGGTCGTGGTCTCAGCAACCTAGGACCTGTAGAGATGGACAGAATCTTGCCTGAAGATTCGCGGCCCCCAACATTGGTCCAAAATCACAACAGATTCATGACAAACAATGAATATCTTACCGATAGATTCGGATTCATCTACGACCAGCGCAGGAAAAAGAGGCAGAGTGAAGCAGCCGCTGCACTGACCAAGCAAAAGCGCAGCAGCAACGTAGAGTCTCTGGGTCATCATCGATCTGCGCTGCACAACATGGGCTTGGAAGATGATGAGGATGAGACCACTCTTCAGCGGACTCGCACCAATGACTCGCCTTCGCCGTCACGCCCTGCGAGTAGTGGCTCGGAAGACCAACTGAACAGGGTTCCTACCAAGACCTGGGCCGACTATCTCAAGCTCGCTACCCATCCCACGGAGCTTCTATCACATACCCCTGCAACAGGTCCCATTACAAGAGTCGAAGCGGCCGAAGCCGAAGTATTGGCTCCAAAGCTTAGTCAGGTCGTAGTTGCCAAGCGAGGGTCTATGCCTTCTGCCAGTGCGAACCCGGAACCATCACCTTCACGGATCGTTTCTGCTAGAGGAGAATTCTCCATCTCTGCGCCTTCTGGCCCAACGTCTCCCGTCAGTCCTCTTCCACCGCAAATCGACCCTGTCAAGGCGCTCCTTGAGCAGCTCACTGAGCTCCATGATAATTTACAGAAAGAGAAGACAATCAAATGGAACGAGTTCCTGCGCAAGGTCCGCGCTGAGCGGAAACGACAAGGCGAAGCAGTGGGTGTCGAGGGTAGAGGCAAAGGGCTTGATATGCCGGAATCTCAGCTGGCCGATGGTGAGATCGTTGGTGTGGCTGGTCTCGGTAACAAGGGCAAGGTTGGGCGCGCAAAGTGGCAGGAGTTCCGTCGACTCGTGCTCGGAGGCATTCCTGTCACGTATCGAGCGAAGATCTGGGCTGAGTGCAGCGGGGCTTCTGCCTTGCGCATTCCCGGCTACTACGAGGATCTCATTAACAACGGGGAGGACAACCCGAGCATTGTTACGCAGATTCAGATGGACATTACGCGGACGCTCACAGACAACATTTTCTTCCGTAAGGGCCCTGGAGTGCATAAGCTGAACGAAGTGCTTCTCGCCTACTCGCGCCGCAATCCTGAAGTTGGCTACTGCCAAGGCATGAACCTCATCACCGCCTGCCTCCTGCTGATCATGCCCACCGCCGAAGACGCATTCTGGGTCCTCGCCACGATGATTGAGAATATCCTCCCGCAAAACTACTACGACCAGCACCTCCTCACCTCCCGAGCCGACCAGTCCGTGCTCCGCGAGTACGTCGTCGAACTGCTCCCCAAACTCTCCAACCATCTTGAGCTCCTCGAAATCGAGCTCGAAGCCCTCACCTTCCAATGGTTTCTCTCCGTCTTCACCGACTGCCTCTCCGCCGAGGCCCTCTATCGTGTGTGGGACGTCGTTCTCTGCATGCAGGATGGCTCAACCTTCCTCTTCCAAGTCGCCCTTGCCCTGCTCAAGCTTAACGAAAAGCAGCTCCTCCAGTGCGATACACCGGCCGCGATATATCACTACATCAACCACCAGATGACCAACCACGCCATATCCATCGACGGCCTCATCCAGGCGAGCGACGCGCTCAACAAGGAGGTCAAGCGCAAGGATGTCGAGGAGCGCCGCGCGCGCGCCGTCGCGCACGAGATAGAGCTCATGCGGCAGCGCGAGGAAGCGCGGACAGAGCGGGCCCGCAGACGCGCGTCCAAGATCTCGGAGGAGGCGGCGCCCGGGCTGGACGCGGCGCTCGCGCAGAGGGAGCCGTCCCTCTCGGCGAGTCTGGATGCCGAGCTCTCACTGCAGACGAGCCCGATGCGCACGCCGCTATCGAGCGCGACTCGTCGGAGCGAGGAGGAGGACGCCGAGCTGCTGAATCAGAGCTTGGACAGTTTGGCTGCGAGGACGCCGATGCCGATTGAGGAAGAGAGTTTGTGGCGCGCTTGAGGGGGGCGGATCGTACGGACGTATTAACACACAGGACCGGCCAGCTTTGGGTACGGTGGTGTCTTGTGTACTGTGGTGTTCTATACCTGTTCCCCCTTTTCTAACTTGATTTCTTTCCCCTCAGTCTCATTTCAGCAACATACACACTCGTTTTTTTTTTCTCGCATAGTGGATGGATGGTGGGAGGACGCTTTTCCCTGTGATACCCCATGACATACCCCAGCTCAGGTCGCTCGTTTGACAAGTTCCATACTTTTCTTGTTCGCATTTCTGCATTGGCGGCGCAAGGCACGGAAACATAGCATAGCATACATATACCCCCAGAATGCGCGGCGGTTGGCGTCTCTTCGAGTTGGTGCGGGCTTCGGCCTGGTTCTTGTAGTGAAGTTGTATTTGAATTTAGACATTAAGTACCAGTATGGTCTACATGATGGAGAGTTTCTTTGTATGCTAGCAGCTCTCGAATGCGAAGCCATGCAAAGACCTCCCGTCTCCAACACCGCCCATGCTCGAAAAACCTCATAGAAACGCAGCATGCAATACCCCATCGAACACAGCCCAGAACATCGTCTCAACACGGATCATACTCCTCCCCGATCCCATTCCCCCACCTTACCACCCCAAACACCCCCTCATCTCCTCAGGCGCCAAGCTCCCCCGACTAGCCTTCCTGCTATGCGAAGGAACAATGGGTATACTCCCCAAGCTTCCTCTGCTCGCCGACCTCTCATGCGGCGACACCAGCGGCGACCCCGACAGACTCGAAAACGAGCCATACGAGCGCTGCGAATGTGTGTCTTTCACCACCGGAAACGCGCTGTCCACGCGGCGCAGCCAGCGCGCCGTCTCGGTGTCGTGGCTACCCAGCGAGCCGGAGTGCGCGTCGCGGTCGTGGAGGTAGGATGTGATAGCGGAGGCGATATATGTGTAGAAGACTACGAAGGGGAAGAGGAGAGGCTTCAGACGAGAGGTTGCTTCGGTCTCGGTCTCGCCGTCGGACTCCCGGTGTGTTGCAGTGTGCCCATCGTCTTCCTCTCCCAGCGCTTCTGCGGACGTAGCTCGGACGCCCACGAGCAGCGGCGTCTCTTCATCTGCCTCGGGCTCCTCACCCGCTTCGTCCTGTGCTGAACTCGCGTCCTGCGCCAGCGGCGACCGCGGTCTCCGCGCTCCGGAGCCTGGCTGGTTCCCCGGGCTCCACCTCCTGAGCACGCACGCCGTGAGCTCCGCTTCGGGCGTCCGCCAGCAGTCTCTCAAGTCGATGAACGACGCGTGGCGTTGCAGGCGCGGCTTGTGGCCGGCGGTGTGGCTGGGGCCAGCGAAGGGCTGGTAGGGCGAGCCTTTGTAGGTGCCCAGGAGGTTTTCGGGGGCGGGCTGGAGCATCAGACCGCAGTGGATTTGGAGGGGCTGGAGGGGCTGGAGGGGCTGAAGGGGCTGGTTGGGTTCGGTGGACTCGACGGCGGGTCTTTTTCCGACTTCCTTTTGAGAGGGCCTGGATGAGAGAGCTTCCAGCTGTTGTCCTTTGGATGGCCGTGATAACTGCTTTGATGGTACTGGCGTTGGTGGCAGGACGTTCACTGACGGCGCTCCGCCGAGCTGAGGGAACGATTGACGCGCTTCAGGTGTTGGAGGAAGTATATGTATCTGTGGGGCTTTGGAAGGGGTCGTGGGTATTTGCGAAGCTTCCGGGGTGGGAGGCAGGCTGCTGATACGCGGGGTTGGCTGCGGAAGGGACGATGGAGGACATTCTGGCTGCCATGGGGAAGCCTCCACTAATGCTCCCGTGCTCTTTCTGCGCCCCAATTGAAATCGCTTCGATCTTTGACGACGGGCCTTGTACGGGTTTGACTTAGAACTATTAGGTCGAGGAGGTGAAGCCTCCGAGAGAAGTGTTGAGAGGCTGGAGCTGGACTCCCCACATTCAGGAGCTGCGACTTTCATGGCGGCTCTGTAGCTAGAATAGTCTGAATATGCAGGCGTAACGGCATGAGCGAGGCTATCGCGATACGCGTCGGGGATGCAAAAAGTCGAGTGTGGGTGCCTGAGAGGGCATTTGTGGTTAAACACTGTGAATCTGTGGGCACGTTCTGCCTCAATCGATGACTCCCTATACTGTTGATGGCCAGGATTGTGTTGAGCATGATTCTGCGGGTGATGGTCTTGCACCGGGGGCATGCGGACGCAGTAAAGACATACTCAACCGGGATTGTCAGTCCAGTGTGAGGCCAAGAGATAAGATAGCTAAACGTTCACCCTGGAATGGCACAAGTGCCTGAAGGAAATCTTGCGCAGCGAAAGAATTGCAATGTTCTCATCGACCTCACTATGCTGGTGTCAGCGTCGTCCCAGCTATCTGGGTCAGGATCGATGACGAACCACGGAGCATGTAAGGCCTTTCGGGTACACCACATTGGTTACCAGTCAATAATTAAACCTGGGGTGAACCTCTCTGGGGAACAGCTCAACGGAAAAGGGCCATTTCGCCGCACCTATCGATGTGGCTGCTTACTTATTGGAAGGGAGGGTGTCCGCCGTGAAACTGGTCGAGCGCCAGCGCCAATCCAGGTTGGAGCCTCCACGTACAGAAAAGGCACATTCTTCTCCTTTTTCGCGTCGAGTCTTTCGAGGCTGAATACGCGAAACGGTGTTCGGCCACCGTTGGAGCCAAGAGAACCCGCCATCGTCCGATAACTTGTGATACATCAAAACACATTCCTTCCCACATCAACGACCTTGAAGTCAAGGCTCAATAGTCGACACGCATGTATGTAATGCTTTGAAGTAATGCATGGCTTAAAGCAACATTGTGGAATGGAAAAACGTCGATAAAGCTGTGCAAACATGGCGATCAAATAGTAGCAATAGTGAGACAAAAGAAAACCTCAAAATAAAAGTTCTTCATCAAGATGCGCCAGTCGCAGCTGCCTTGTTCTGGAGGAGCAGAAGCGAAGAAGAGTAAAAAGTGAAGTTTTCCGTTACCGGGAATCGCTAGTAGGAATTAGTGCCGTGATCAACTGGAAGATCGAACTGGCGCAACTTACAACCCGGCTCTCGTCGGAGGCTGACATTGGCTCAAGAGCTGATGAAAGCGACGGATGCTAGCCGATCTGAGGCGAATTAGGACATGCCTGACTGAATGTAGGTTGCAGTCAACACTTACACACCATAACGGATGTTCGTTATCTGATTGGATGGCAAATTCTCAAAAATATTCATATATATATATACCCCTTCCAAGAAAAAAGAACAGTACGTTAGGAAGGTAGCAATTTAGTCTTGCGCCATACGGAAATACAAGATCATGGAGTGGGGTTGTGGGTGGCGCAAGTGTCGCTCGCTTATAAGGTTCGCGGTGCCCCCTCCGTTGGCTCGGCTCAAGTGCTTTGATGGAAGACAGCAACGAAAGTAGCGATCGAATGTCGCTCGCACATGCCGCACACAGTTGACACGACTAGAAAATTCCGACATAGCGTCAAATAAGTATGATCTCCACAAATGGTCTACGAATGGCTGGCCCATCTCTATGCAACATGGTCTAACGAACATGCATGTGCGTGTAAGAGTGACAGTGCTACCGACTGTTTCCAGCGAAACATCTTAAAGAGAGAATACACTCAAATCAAACTGTATCTCCCTACACCACTCGTCACTTACTTCAAACATGCAAGTATGTACCCGTCTGATGATGTTACTATTCACTAGAAAACGAGTCTCGAGGAGTTCGCGTCTGTGTCAAGTGTTAAGTGTGTGCTAGATTTGAGGTTAAATTGTACAGCACTCAAGCGACGAGACAATTTTGATACATGGTTAGTAGGACCAAGCCGAATGCGACGAGGGCTATCGTTCTTCTCATGGCTGGCGTTCGAAATCCTCCTAGATTCATACTCGCAGAAAGATTAATGGGCCACGGATGTCCGTCTAAAATATGATTTTTTTTATTGCATGCATCGAAGTGAATTAGTCTGATGAACAGCGCCGTTAGACCCCATACCAGCGGACAATCCAAAGCAGATTAGGCGCCGCTTCTACATACGCCCAAAGCGTGATAAAATTCCTGAGCGAAATCCGGCTACAACGTGGACACGGTGCAGCATCGGAGTGATACCTCATGATTATCTCAGATTCCATATGCTTCCATGGACATGCTTGAGAAATTGTTCACGTGTCTCGGGCTCAGGTCGACCGTCGAACATAACGCCGCTTTTCGATCCCATCGAGAATAGAGCAACTCCGACTTTTGATGTGCCAAGAAATAAGCACGATACAGCTCAGAGAGCAACGGAGGAGGTTATCAGCTGGTAGCATGCAAGCGTTCTGGAGGTATGATTGAACAATCTGGTTTTTCCTTCCTTGAAGCAACATTCGAACGAACACTTTTCCGCTCGACAGAAGGGTCTGGTGAAGCTCACAGCTGACCTCCATCCCATTACTATATAAAGATGTCTCTCGTTGCTCGCAGTCAAACAAGAAGCCAGCGCCATCAGGATCAGCGTCTCATGCGTCCGGGTGACGATGCCTGCTGGAACCGACGCACAAGACCAAGCCAAATGATTCCTACTTACAGGGGATCTCTTCGGGGTCGCTCAGTGCAAATAGCTGGAGTACCCAACAGAGGCGAATGTGAGCAAAGCGGAGGGCACTCATGGCAACGACAGTGGTACCCAGCATCATACATAACGTGCCAGGGCAGGATCCATCAAGAGGGGGCATTGTGCAGATATGCTGTTGCTTAAACCAGGCGGCAACCCGGTACGAACTATCTCAGCAACACTAGGCATCGCGATGGTGTGGGTTGAGGGGTTGGAGCACGTGCAGAAGGCACGGGTACATTGCGATTGCGCTTGAGATACACCGGCCTGGAGGTAAGATGACAGTGGGTGGCTTTAGCTTGAGTGAGAGAAAGGGGCATTTCATTGGACATACTCGTCTGTTGTGGGATAATGGGGCGTCGTAACCTACTTTCAGGAGAGACTAATGGGCATCGACTAGAAATGAACGTCAGAAAATAACTGATGTTGGATACCCAGATTGAGAGACGCGAGTATGGCTCGCCCATGCGTCGCTGTCCGTGAGTCAAATACGCCTGCTACAGTCCGCTGCTCCTACGCGATACTCCAGGCTCGTGTTGACAGAAAAGGGCCTGCTGTATGTATCTTAGTCCAGAGCAGTGCAGCCGTCTTCAAGATTAAGACTTGAATGGCTTCATGAATCGATCGATGAGCATGAGAATTACAAGTCTCAGGTTGTTGACAAGCACCATAGAGTAGCGCCCACAAAGTGATACAAAGAGAAGAAGAGCTGCTGACCAGCAATCATAAAACGAAGGGTTATGTGTTGACTGCAGCACAGCGTATGATCTTCTGATTGAACTAAGGCATGCGTCCGAAACCACTCACGTCAAAAGCAAAGCTTTTTCTATGTTGACTAGTCAACGCATTAGTAACCTCCACACTCACGCTTCTACACACAATTGTGTTGTCCCACATACCGTTACCATGGCGTTAGTTCGTGAAGTGGTTGAACCCCGCGATGCGCGGTGCGATCGATCGACAGGGCAATTACCGGCAGACCTTCCTTCCCGCCCCCCAAGCCCATCGTCTAGCGCACCATGACGTACTCGGAAGCAACGGAACCGGCACGCGCAGCACCCGCCCGGCGACAGAACCAAGGTACACATCGCAGAACCAATAGGTAGGACTGAAATTCTGCAGTGACTTTGGCAAAGGGTTCACGAGAGGTGCAAGTATGAATTCCACGATTAGGATTGATCATTAAGTAGGACTCGCGTAGTCGTCGCAAGAACGCTGCAGAGCGTATGTATGCGTAGGTAGCGATTGTATGCAGCCGAACCTCCCGTTATGCCGGATATGCTGCGGAGTTCCATATGTAAACGCCAGTGTACGCCAAACGCCCGTGAAGCAAGACCCTGAAAGGCTGCTTGTGCCAGTGCGATGCGATGTAATACCAATCGCACCGCAGATGCCCGATATCAACATGTCAAGTGGGTATCTAACGTGCCTCAACAGCCTCAGCCGTGGGCGGCTGCGGGGTCGAGGGTTTGGGCATGCTCTTCATCTCAGATCCTTGACCACCACTCTGTGCCCGCTTGCGCCCAGTGAAGGAGAAGTGGTGACTGGCGGGCTTGTCTTCCTTTGCGGCGTCGACATCATGATTGTCGCCAAAGCGTGCGAAGATGCCGCGTTTTTTCGGCTGTGGCTTCGGCTCGTCGTTCAGCCCAACGTCCTCAAAGCCTCCTTCCTCGGGCACGCCCTCGTGTGCGCTGCTGGCGGGGCGGTGTTCCTGTAACGACGCCCTCGGCGGGGCCCGCGAGCGGCGCACGTCGAGCGAGCGCCGCGTATCGAGTGACCTGCGGGCATCGAGAGATTGGCGCGTCCGTGGGTCGAGACAGTCTGGGATGGGAGAACGTGCGGAGATGTCCTGTGCTACCATGAGTATTATGTGCGGAGGACGCAAGCTTGGCGCAGACGTACGAATGATCTCCGGTAAGAGTCGAAGCTCTCCCGCGAGATGCTGAAGGGCTCGTTCTCATTTAGGAGACTCCTGTGGTTGGAAGAAGTGGTGGAGACGTTGGACTTGGAGTGCCAGAAGGTGGGCTTCTCGGTTGGGGATGGCTGCAGCGCGTGTCAGAGCAGGCGGCACTCGAGGTACAGACATATTGCAGTCGAGGTTGGGAGCGGTGGCAATCTTACAGGCAAGTATACTCCGCTGTCATTGATCTCTGGAAGCTGTCAGCATCTCAAACCAGACGTTGCGAGACACGGCGCCCAGCGCAAGACATACCGCTCAGCTTGTATTCTGCGGGTTCTTTAATCTGGAGAGGCTTGGTGGCAGTGCCGTCGGCGCTTTTCACCTCGTCGACGACCTCAGCGCCCGGAGTGCGTCGGAACGGATTGCGGATAGGCATGGCGCAAACGGCAACGGCGATAACAGAGTGTGGAGAGGTGGGGTGGTTTTGGAGGGGCGGTCGTGCACCGAGTTGTGAAAGACGTAGTGGCTTGGGCTACGGTGGCTTGGAACTGATCTTGATGTCGGTAGGTGACGCATCCATTGCCGAATGAGGGCAGAGCATCGCTGCTCGGCGCTCGGATGCCCCGGCCTCATCAAGAGCGAAGATAATTTTTGCTCGCTGCAGACTTTGGCTCCAGGGTGCGATACCAAAATGGCATTGCGGCGTTCCTCTCGGCTGAGTTGCTCGGACCGCCCTCATTGCGTCTTCAGGTACCGCTCTTGAAACATGGTCCGCGCAGCCTCACACGTTCCTGTTGCCGGTCCCTGCATGAAACGAAAACTGGTGCGCCGCGAAAACCTTCCTCAGCCTCAACTTCCGCTCACATAGTGTTCGCACATGCTCCTTTTTACCAATGAAGCTGTCGTGCTTCCGCATCTGGGTGGACCCATCGCCACACCATGCTCCGACGGGCATGGCAGCGCGTGGCATGAAGATCTGTGGAAGCGCCCAGTTCGACATCACATGGCCAACCCACGCGGTTTTGCAACCACGTCACGGATCACATACCTGTTGGCGAGGGCTCGCCGCAACATGCAAAACCCGGCCTGCCATCCCGCGTATGCAGTTATAGCCAAGCTCGTATACACACACTATGCTGGGATCCCGGTCGAGCCCCGGCTTTCAATAGTGACTCTTGACCACGCCTTCCCGGCTGACTAGCATTCGGCACAGCGATGCCCAAATGGATAATCGACGCTGGTTCCAGAACCTCAGAAATTGCAACTTGAAGGAAAGCGAGCAGTTCACGTTTTTAGATCCCAGCTCGAAGGTATCGCTGCTGCACAACAGCTCGCTCACCGACACGCTGGACTTGCATGCCTACGCTATTGTCTATCGCCACCGGAGATGTACCAAAAGTAGTGAATTTATCCACTTCTTGGCTACGCTTTCGCCCTGCTCGTCAACAACGATGTCGTGGAGAATGAATATGGTGCCCATGAGCTGGAATATTGTGTGCATGCTGCTCTGCTGGCCAATGTTGTACGAACCATTATGCAGGCTCTGACCGACGCTCGCTTCCACCGCTCCACATAATATATACTTTCCGATGTTGGGAGATTCTCGCTCAGCTCGAGAAGGTTGTAAAGTAGGAGATTCCGATGAGAAACACATATTGTTTCTTTTTCACAGGCCACAGACTATTCCCGGGTTGATACCATGTACATGGGTAGTCGTCGTTCTCGGTAGCGGTCAGCATGGAACAAGGCTGTAACGGGGGCTTTTCATGTCATGTTCCTGTGGAAAGTGGTATGGCTGTCAGGGTAGACCCTTTTCGAAGCCCTGTAAAGATCTGAGACATGCCAGCAGTCTCAAGGCAATTCAGGCACAAGCGAGCTTTGATCCACGATGATTGAATTGCATGACCATCAGCCACAGGCTGGTTGTGATCTGTCGCTTGCCTCTCGAATGGTCGCGGCCAACGCACTCGGCAAAGGAGCTTATTTGTGGTTTGTATTGACCTGACAGCTTAGTGCACGTTTCCATGCGAATCCAGCGCAAGACCAGAGTTCGAGAGCTTTCCCAGCTCACAGGATGGAATTGGCCTCATAGCGATGCACTGTACGATGCCCACAATGATCTTCATATTCAGGCGCCAATGCATTGGTCTGAAGGATCCTGAATCCATCGCGGGTATGGACGTCGACAGGCTGGCAGAGCGAGGCGTACACTAGTGATTTGGGCATCGCTAGACTGCATACAGTTGTGGACCTCTCGCGTTCGCCAATCGATACGGTGCAGTCACGTCGCTAATATTGGAAGTATGCAAGATGTATAACCTTGACTCGCACCAGGATTCATGGACGATCCAAGACCACGGCTCTAAGTCTGCTCCTTCATGGTTACGTGCAGGAAGCGGTGAGAGCTGTTCGGGTTGCAGTGACACAAGGCGGTGCGGCGCAAATCAATAGGTACTTTGACGCTGTACTCCCGGCGTCGTCCAAGGCCAGTGAGGGTACTCTGCTCCAATAGTGAGCAGACTCTGATGGCGGCTCGGCGTCGTCATCCGCCAGGTACAGACGGAAGCCGGACAGACCAGCAGAGGTAGCATTGCACTAGCCCTCCAACAGATCGTGGTAGAACGGGCACACTAGGTGTGACGAAAGGCAAACGGCGCCATGTCAAGCAAAGCAGGTGTCAAATGTGCCTGAGACTGGCCATGACACAAATTGCATGCTTGTTGAGAAGCAGCCCCGCATGCGGATGGAGGGAAACGCTGCAGATGTTCCAGTTGACCCAAGCGGGACAGGCAAATGCCCACGGGCAGGTCACTTGCGTCACGAACGCGCATTCTGCGAGCAGGTAGCGGAGATGCAGCAGATCAGGGCACGAGAGACGTTGCAGTCGTGTGCGGCGGCGTGCAGCCGTGGCCGTTGCTCGGCGCCACACCTGCAGCGAACGTGGTCGGCACGTCCAAAAGCCAGGAGGTTAGGCGGCGTTGCTGAGCCGGAGTGTCTCCGTAAGATGCTGGTGGTCGCTTTTGAAATGGCAGCGAAAGAGGCAGGACAACGTCCATCCTCAACTTGCGACCTGCTCGTCCTGGAGGGGGCGAAGAGGCGCAACGTTCCGGCTACAGCATGTCCAAGACAGAGGGTGGGGCGCTCGCTTCTGCACCGTGCTCCGCGCCACGGCACCCAGGATGGTCTCGCGATTCCCTCTTGGGTCGAGGAATAGAGTGCGGCACGCGTGTGCGCGGTCACACAGCCTGTGCTAAGCAGAGCAGCGAGGACACGCCGCGCTGACCTCTTCCTCCCGCATCGCAGCGCGTCGCCTCACGGGCCTGCCAGCGGGCGATGCCTGACGACCAACGTTTGGGATCTCGCAGATCACTTCGTCTATTTCGAGAGGACTGGTGTACCGGCGGGTTAACGCCCAGCCGCCGTCCCCGTGCGGTTGGCGCGCCGACGCAAGCGTGGTTCACGGTTCAAGGTTCAAGGCTGGCAATGGCGTGCATGGAAGCCACTTGGAGCAGACCAGGGGGCGGGCATGTCATGATTGCAACAGGCTCCGTTGTTTCCTGCAGAGTGGATGCTGGTAGCCAACTGGTGCTGCGTAGTGCTCAAGCAGCCCGTCTCCTGATGCCTCCCATAAAGTCTACTCCTGCCCCATGTCCCCTCTGCCCGCCATCCAACCCCCGCCCCAGGAAACGCACCGTGAAACAGCCTCCCTAGAGCACGAGGCCGGCACGCTACCAGAGAGCATATCTTGGACCTGCCTACACATGCTGGTCTGAATCACAGCCTGTGCCACCCTTCCCCTCGCTGCTCCCTCCCTCGCCCTCACACTCGTTTCCTCCACGTTCGCTCGCCCTCTCTCACCGCCTTGCTGGCACTGGAACGCCAACCTGCACTCGTCCCTCGCTGCTCTATCTTCGTGGACGTCCAATTGTCAAATCACGGGGTTCCTGCTGGTCACCATCCTAGCTTCCTGTTCAAGACATCCAGCAACCACTCCAGCGGCGCGTGGCCCGAGATTGATTAGCCCTCGCCCACCCTCGTCTATTGTGCGTCTACTGCTGCCGGGCAGCTCACTATCACTTCTCCAACCCTGCTGCTAGTCTTTAATACCCGTCGTCTCCTCACCTGCCGCCCTGACATCGGTTCTGTTTGTCGTGCGGGACTGATCTGGCCTGCGCCTTCCTACATTCTTCGTCTCCGACCCACCACCCCGCTTGTCACTACTCCGTCGAACCCTGGAAGCTACTCGGCCTCTACCTCCGCAACCATGGGCAAAGAATTCTTCACCGGCTGGGAGCTGTGGCAGAAGATGACTTTCGTACGTTGACTAGCGCATTGAACGTGGACTATTTACTAACGCGCCGTTAGGTTCTCGCCTGTGGTATTGTATGACTCGTCCCAAATACTCTCTTGTCGACCTCGCTGACTCTCCCAGGTTGTGACCGTCTTCATAGGTCTTATCAAACTGCAATATGATCGCTATCGCATCAAGAAGTACACCGCGGTCGAGAAGGGCAAACAGGCCGCGCCAACGCCCGAGATGCTGGAAGCACAGCGCGAAGAAACCAAAGACGACGTGCCGTTTGGCATCCGCGCCATCGAGAGCGGTATCGAGATTGACGGTGTTTGGATCTCCCGCAGCAACACGCCCGTTGGTAGCAGCCGCTCATCCATGACCGATTTCAAGCTGCCGCGCAGCTACAACAGTTCTCAGCTTGAGCTTCCCCAAGCGCTTCCCCCGAGCAACTCTAGCTCCAAGGCACCCAGCTCCTTCGACATGGCTGTCGGCGCTGAACGTATACCCACGAATGAGTCTCGTTCGACGTCGCCCGGTCGCGGCCGACCACCAGTTTCAATGAACAGATACAGTCAGCATGTCAATAGGACCTTGAACGCACTCGAGGGAGGACCTTCTTCTGGACCCTCTTCTTGTAAGTCTCAACATCCGTGGCCCTACTTTGCGTCAATACTAATGCGTTCGCCAGCGCGCCGCGAACCTATCAGTGACCAGCCCAGCTCTAGCAGCTCCCGCGAAAACTCTGGCAAATCGAGCCGTCGGACGAGCGACGAGTCCGAATACCCTGATGGCCGACCATACGAACCCGCATACATCAACCCCAAGCAGCAATCGCACTACATGCCCGTTGACCCGCGCACTGATCTGGATCTGCTTCAAAGCCACCGCATGTCTCACGTTGCCGAGACTGGACAGCTTACCCCACGGCCACGGTTCAGACCAGGTAATAGCGGAGAATGGGCCAGCATCGCGGACACTCCGAAGCTCCCTGAGGAGATTGGAACGGTCAATGGTGTTGACTATTTTGTGCCTCAACAGAAATCTCATTCGCCTCCTGCAGCTCAGGCTGCTACTCCCCAAGACGTCTCGCCAGCCACGGAGAGCCCTTCCGCCAATCAAACCAAGCAAGCCGTTCCTCTACTTGAAAGCTATGCACCACGGCCGTTCTACCTCCCCGATGTCTATCAGCCAAAAGGCCCACAGCATCAATTCTCGTACGATGAGATGCCGATCCAGGTGAACACTTCGCAGAATGAACAACGCGACGCGAACGGCCAGGTCCTCCGCAAGGTCAACTCTGGCTTCGAGATCCTCCGACCGGGGACACTACCGACCCCAGAGGAAGAACAGCCTGCGCCTGTCGAGAAACGCCAGTCGAAGCGCCTTCAAAAGAAGCGACGAACCTCTAGCTCCGGTTCAAGAACCTCTCACTTTGTTGAGCAAGTCTAGGATGACGACTTCCTTGCCTACGACTTGCCGATCGCATTTTCCAGGCCAGCGGTTTACACGCGCGGAACCTGAAGCCTGGGAACTCCTTACTTTCTCGTACCACATTACAGCATCATGGGCTGGCGTTACATCGGAAACCTTCATCAAACAGCATGCAAGGTCGCGTGCCAACGGAATTGGCTTTGCCAACTGGCACCTATCACATTCTTCTGCACGGCGTTTTTGGAGCGAATTTACACGCGAGCATATCGGATTGCATGTCTTGGTTTGGTTTAGTCTTTGGGTCCTTTCTGGAATGCATTTTCAGGAAGGCTGGTGGACATCAGTCCTCAAAAGTGTATATTACGAGCGCGGCTCTTCCTGTCATCCGGCAGCATTAACGAACCTGTGCATAGCCAGTATATGTCCCATCACATCTCGCATCATAATACATCATATTGCATATGCACTTGATCCGTCGTACCCATGGTTTGTGCACCGCCTCTTATTTCACGATCAACGCTGATCGTTCATGAGAACAAAATACACTCGTGTGACGAGCGATGTTAGTGTGAACTGCAATTAGACTTTTAAAAGCCTGGTAACAAAACGGCACGCCTTGTCAGCACTTTACTGTGGCGCACGGCTCGTGCATGGCACGCCACACGCATCACGATTCCCGAGCACTAGGTAGCAATTTCGGGTGCGGATGATCTACGCGAGAAATTTCGCATCCGACTTGCCAGCCGTGAACGTCAGAAAAGCGGGCGCAGATACGCTTGCCCTTTCTGCATACGTTGGGAAAACGCCGTGAGTGCGGTTCAGGTAGCGAGCGCTGAGGTGAGGTCGCTCGTGGGCGGGCGTTGGCTTCGAACGGGCGCGCGAAACCGCGAGGAACTCCTGACAACCGCGTATCCTTGCCCTTCGCCTTTGCTCTCTAGGGCTTCCCGGCCGCCACCCCATTGCTGTAACATCCGGCCAACGCTAGACACAACTACTGCCTGTGGGCCTCTCCTCTTCTTCTTCAACTTGGGCGGGCTTCGCTGCCGAGGACCCGCGTAGCGATCGGAGGACCGCGTGAGCTAGCTCGCGCTACAGTGCAGAAAGCGACGACCGCGTTTGCGCTGTGCTGCCGCGAGGTTAAGGGCTAAGAGGCTGCAAATTTCGTGTGTTTACGAGGGATGCGGTTCTAGCTGCTTGGACTCGTGAAGTAGTGCCCGCGGAGGGCTGTCCGGCGGATTTCGCGCGTTGCGAGTCGTGAGGCAGGACGGGGGGACTATTGGATGCATCTTGGGTGTGGGGTGCGGTGTTTGGGGGTACGAGGTGGGTGTGTTTGAGTGGGTTTGGGCAGGTGGTCGTGAGGTCTATGATGGTGAGAGATCTGGAAGGGGTGCAAGCCCCTGAAGTGGATCGCCGAGTGGCTCATGCGATGGGGGCCTCCTTACAAGTGGCTTGGAAGAGCGATTTGGAATCGACGGATTTGAGAGTGTGGTTGCGGCTTGTACTATCGTTCGGTGGAAGAATGACAAGCCAGACAATCTCTGAATTTCTCCTTTCCAAGACCTACTTTCCTGGTCACGATACTCGAGTTTCATTTCTATATCCACCGGGTCTTTCCCTCAGGCGGGCCAGGCGTAAGTTCCTTTGTCTCACACATGCGGCCTGAACAGATATGACATTGTCCTAACGCAAGGGATGGCCCTGCAAGATGTTTGTAGTCAAATGGTTTTTGCTCACCTCGATGATGGACAGAGGCCAGAAAGTGGCTTTGGCCATGTTGTCTATACGATGGCCCACAGCATGATCGAAAACCCGATAACCTTCTACCATCTCTTGTCACATACTCTGCCCGTGCACAGTTTCTTAGAAAGAACTACTTGACCCAAAAGGTCAACCAATTTCTACAACCCAAGGACTACGATTTCCGTAAGATAGTTCACGATACCGATAGCATTTGTGCTGTTAGACATGTCCTTACAGTTTATTTGCCCAGCCGGAACACCCCAATCTTAAGTATGTTCCGAGATCATCTATGGCAGCTTCATGTGTTTCGTAGTACGCCGTGTGATTTGAGTGTCGTTTTGTTCTGGGAAACGTTCATCACTGCCACTTGGGGCGAGTACTACTACGGTGGAACAACGACATTCAATTTCAAAAGTAGTCGATATTCAACATCTTAGCTTTTAGTCTCCTTCCACGATCGATGTATATGCTGGCTATCCGCGTGCATATGTGAGATAGTTGCAAATGCAATGCTGCGGGTAGTGGTCAAGCGGTTCTGCACTTGTACGAGTGTGAGTATTTGAGATGTTGAGATGTATTTCAGAGTGGCCCAAGAACACCTCAGACGCGTGTAGACGATGTCTACGGTGCAGGCTTCCAGGTTCAGCCTAATTTGTTCCACAAGGGTGCGAAAGATAGAAGGTAAGCCTACCATAGGTACCTTGCGAGATTCGTTCATGCTGAAGACGCGCCGTCCAATATCTTGAGGTTCATCAGCAATGGCCAATTTAAACATCTGCAAAGTACATACATACGAATGACGTGCGTGTAACAGGTGACCAGGCAGACGAGGGAGCTGGGGTGCACTCGGTCATGTGATAACGCGTCGCACGCTAACGCCGCGTTGACAATCCAACGCGTTAGTTTGCCACTCTTCCATGCTTCCTCTCCTCACGATCTCCCAGCAAACCTCTCACTACTCCCAACGTTTTCTCCACACGCGCCACAACAATGAGCAACGAAGAAGAACAATATGAGGATGGTACAATGGGTGCGCCCGGCGCGCCCACACCAGTCTCCGCGCTCGAGGTACGTATCGACATACCAACACGGCGGCAAGCACAAAACTGATTCATTCGTAGGGCGTCAATGGGCTGACCGCGCGAGACATCAAACTGGTCATGGAGGGAGGGTACAACACTGTAGAGGCAATTGCATATACGTACGAGAATATACCCCGCACCGAAGCCCTGTAACTAATTCGAGCATTAGACCAAAGCGCAATCTCGAGCAGATAAAAGGCATATCAGAACAAAAGGCAGCCAAGCTTCTGCAAGAAGCCTGCAAGCTAGTACCGATGGGCTTCACCACCGCCACAGAGATGCACCAGCGCCGAAGTGACCTCATCTCGATAACGACTGGGTCGAAACAGCTTGATACCTTGCTTGCGGGAGGTATCGAAACCGGGTCTATAACTGAGCTTTTCGGCGAATTCAGGACGGGAAAGAGTCAGATATGTCACACGCTCGCGGTGACTTGCCAGCTGCCGTTTGACATGGGTGGTGGCGAGGGGAAGTGCCTGTACATTGACACTGAGGGCACGTTCCGGCCAGTTCGTCTACTCGCAGTCGCTAACAGGTACGGCCTTTCCGGAGAGGAAGTACTCGACAACGTCGCGTATGCCCGCGCCTATAACTCCGACCACCAGTTGGAACTTCTCAACCAGGCTGCGCAGATGATGACCGAGACGCGTTTCTCATTGCTTGTTGTCGATTCCGCCACTTCGCTGTACCGAACGGATTTCTCTGGTCGTGGAGAGCTTTCAAGTCGTCAGACACACTTGGCAAAGTTCATGCGCACACTGCAACGGCTTGCCGACGAGTTTGGTATCGCGGTCGTCATCACGAATCAGGTCGTCGCCCAAGTGGACGGAGGACCAAGTGCAATGTTCAATCCGGACCCGAAGAAGCCTATTGGCGGCAACATTATCGCTCACGCAAGTACGACACGTCTGAGCTTGAGGAAAGGTCGAGGAGAGACGCGAGTGTGCAAGATATATGATAGTCCCTGTCTCCCCGAGAGCGACTGTCTGTTTGCCATCAACGAGGATGGCATTGGGGACCCCAAGGAGAAGGACCTCGAGAACCACTAGTCACATATCTGGACACAGGGAGTTGTAAAGCGAAAGGGCGATCTCTGTCGTAATGCATGGGTGGCGTAGACGGCGGCACAGTTGGTTAGTTGGCTTTCTGGCAGGGCGTTTGTTGTTTGATTGTAATGTTACGTTGATATGCCCATGCGCAGGTATCCTAGCGAGTATATGATTTTTGAAGCAAGTCAAGATCTTTGCCAAATCATTGCCAAAGGGACGTCCCCATACCATCTGAAGAGTGAACGCGATAGAGAACGCGGTGAAGTGATTGTGGATCATGGATTGCAATGGCTCGTGCGCGCAGCGATGGCCCAAGCTCTCAGGTGCGCTACGAAGCTCCGATTTTGTTTGGATATGCGCGACCGAACCTCGAGCGTAACTTCCACTACCCGCGCACTCCTCGACAAGCACCGACAGAGCACCACAAATCCATCGCATGGGATCGCGATGGTGAGGAACGCAGGCACCTGCCTCTACAAGGAGGCGCGACTGAACATTGAGCCCGCGTTCCCTGGATCGACTATCTCGATTACGCTCCCCGCGAAAAGCGCAAACGCGATCGGCTTCTCGACCCGGCCAAAGCGCACCGTATACGACGAGCAGGACATTGGGATTGACGATGACGCATTCACCAAGAGACATTTGGCTACCGATGGTTCAGTATATTTCCGACGGCGTAACACATACCCGCGCAGCTTTCTCTGGCGCGTGCTAGATGAGAGAAAGACACTCGAGATCCAGGCGGTGGACCTAGAACACGATGAGCGCAGCACGCATGAAGCGAACCTAACTCTCCTTCTGCACTTCAGCGCTCCCATTCGCCCTTTCTGCGTCGCATTCGCCGAACCGGACAACGACCAGAACTCCATTACCGTCTTCGCGATCACGAACACCAATGAGCTGTACACGATAGCCATACCCTGCTCGTTCTTCAGTAAAGAGGTGGCATCGGAGGTGGATGTTGAGCATTGGTGCAAACGGAGCACGCCTGCCTTACTCCATGCAAACATCCCATACCGCCTTGTCGCAGTCAGTACCGATCAACTGTTGGTGTCGCTGGACAACGGAAGCATACTACGTCTCTTACGGGATAACAAAGACGACATACTATGGACGGAAGCCACTTTCCAGCACAGCAATTGGTCGCTTACGTTGCGCGGCGTATTGCCTTGGGGAGGGCAACAGACGGTCCGCTTTGGAAACACAGATCTGGCAGCATCTACTGCGGCAAACATGTCACTTTCACCTGACGGGACCCATATAATATCCGTGTGCTTGGACCATACTCTTCGGATATTCAATCTGCAGTCTGGCAAACTGACAAGGCAGCAAGACTTACTAGATGTTGCAGACGGCGCGCAGGACCGAAATCAATCACACCTTCTTGGACCATCGCAACCCAAGTTGATGCAAATAGTAGAGGCTCTCGGTGTTGCGCATATCTCGTACTTCGTGGTCATTTACTCCCCAATCCAACACGAGTTCAAATTCTATGGTGTCAGGTCGGATGACCTGGCGGACCCCGGAGCCTTTGCCGATATTCAGCCCGACTTTAGCTTCGTCCCTCCCATAGACGATCTTATGAATGCGACCGTGTGGACATTGGAAGAATTTTATATTGTCCCATCGGCCTCAGCTTGGAAGGGATCCCAGCTATGGCTTCGCGCGCGGTCAGGCCCAAGCAGCAGAGTCTTTCAGATTGCCTTCGATCCTTCTGACGACGTCGAGCGACTATCACGCGTCTGGAAGAACGACTGGACTTCTGTGGATTCCGGTCCACTTACCATCGAAGGACTGAGGAAAGAGCCAACCAACCCTGCGGAACAAGAATGGGATGCTTCGGAGCTTTTTGAATTGGGCATCACAGAAAGCTGGCTAAAGTTCCTCTTTCTTCCCGAACGGTTCACAATTGCTACACTCGAGACTGCACTCTTCATATTGCAGAAAGGGATTGAAGGCGATCGCTCTTCGACTAGGGCGAAAGGGTCTTTGAAAGATCGATTATGCGTGACAATTGCGAAAGCAGCACGGAGACATACTTCGGAAGACACACCGGTTGATTACGAACGGTCAATTGCCGAACAATGGGAAGCATATTACGGGTTGGTCAAGGACTTGCACAAACGGAGAGGAGAATCCCTCTCTTTGGCATACGACCCTGTGTCCGATCAGCCTTGGGTGGTTTTGAGCGACTACTTGTCTGCTGTCCGCAAGTGTAGCGAGCCGGAGGCTATTTTGAGTAACGCAGATGTCTTAACGAACAGACATTTACCGAGCGGACCTCTACGCAAAGCACTTCAAAAGCCGGATGCACAGTCTCCAGAAGTACGTCGGTTACTGAGCGCAGCTGCTTCATTCCGACGACGACTACCTTCATCGTTCCAGCACGACTTGAAGCGCTATCTCCACGCAGACCTACTACAAAGTCGCTCGATCACTGTAATTGACCGAATGGAACAGATGGAAGCTGACTGCGACCTCTCGACGACAATGAGCGATGATGACCTAGCCTCTCTCATTGAAGATCTTGGCGATGGTGTCAATCGCTTGAGCACTGAAGTTTTCCAGAGCGCTCTGCGGACCCTTAAATTCGAGAAGAAAGGTGGACAACCTAGGTCAACGCAGTCTGCTCGATACGGGCTCAAGGCCTTGCTCAGGATAGCATCAGAGACTCTGGCCTTCAACTACGAGACTTTGCTGGATCTACTCGTCTTGATCCTGTTCATGCAGTTCGAGGAGGACATATCAGATGATTTCGACGCGTCGGCAGTCTTTTTCGACCTCATGAACGAGTTCAAGGATTGGATTGTATTGGATTGGATCGCGACAACTGTCTGGTCGCATCAAACACCCACGGGTCGAAGCTCGACACGCTGGATGAAAGAGTTTGATGATGTCTCGAAAACATCGTCAAGGTTTCCCATCACTCAAACTGCCCTTGAAGGCATGTATGGCTATGGTGCAACCTCGATTCCGGTATCAAGTAGTCTCAAGACGGAGTATCTCACCTATTGGAGCCAGGCCTGGCTCGCATCCATTTTTGCGCCGCAGGACCAGACATTTGATTCGATCGTGGAGGATATGATGGGCAAACTCCTGTTCCAGAAAGAATACGAGCTTGCAAAAGATTTCTCCAAATTCTTACCCGAGAGCAGCTGGGCCAGCTATTTGAAAGGTCGGATGCATATCGCACTCGGAGAGAACCAATTGGCATCCCTATGCTTTCAAAAGCCAGCCTACAATCTCGGTAAGTGTCCCAAATTACATTGGGGGGTTTTCCATTGCTAACTTTGCCAGCCCTTGGAATTGGATTTTCCGTGGATATGGCGGACACGGCACGACTGGTTCCAGAAACGGAGCAGGACTTGTTCTCCGACGGCCTGCCGAAATACTACAATCATGTGCTAGGCTTGTTTGAGAAGGCGAAGGTGTACTCTTTTGCGGCCGATTATGCTCGACTAGGTCTGAACTCGATGATGGGGTTCGAAGATGAGAATCTGAGGACCGAACTTCTGCAGCGGCTTTTCACAGCTTCCATACAAACATCACGATTTGAAGAAGCATACACTGCGATGATCAGGCACACCGATATCGCGTTGTAAGTATAACTGTCCTCCGTCCGCCTGCTTTTACTAAACTGTGTCTAGGAAGCACTCCTCGCTCAAAAGCCTTGTCACGTCCATGGTTGCGCAAGCACAGACGGCAGCGCTTCTCAAGTTCCCTCTTGTCGGCCTGGTGGAGGAGATGGACACGATTCTTTCGGATCTATGTCAGAAGACGCTAAACATCGGATCAGGACCACCTTACCATCAGATTCTCTATGCTTTCCGGATCTCTCGCAGCAACTTCCGGGGCGCAGCAACGATTCTTTACGAGCGGCTACAGCGTCTCAAAACTACATCGTCCCAAGTGCACGATCCGGCCGACGAGTCTCTGATACAGTGCTATCTGATGATTATCAACGCACTGTCGTCAGTGAGCCCCGAGGATGCGTATATCCTCGCAGATCAGCGCATTGATGAAGGAATACCCCAGTTCTTGCACGGGCCAATCGGCACGGCGAAAAAACTGCTCAAGCGGCATATCGTGACGCTGGATACGCTGAGGAAGGAGTATCAGGCAGAGCTCGATCGTGTGGCGGCCATCGAGCATGGGCATTTTGCTTTCATGGACCCGGCTGATGAGATGGATATCCTGTAAGAGTATTTGGTGATTTAGCCTGGCGTTTCTTATGATTTGGAGGCCTTGAGCATCTGGGGGAATCATGCACGGCATCGATACGCTTAGCGACACGGCTATAGCCTGGCAAGATGTATGACATAGTAATGCTACTCGCGTGGCATCTACACAGTTGCGTTGAGGTGCAGTGCCGATTGAACCAAGCGCGAACGAAGCGCGCTAGTTGCGGGGCGCGTGCAACGCGCCTTCCCGCCGCCTTGGGCGCGGACACCCACTTCGTGAGCTTTGTCCTCGGCGGTGCGCCCTCCAAGGTTCTTCCCCAGCCGTTGCTTGTTGACGGGTTGTTCCGCCTCATGCTTTGCCTCGTTGCCGCAACCTTCTTCCTAATTTAATAGCGCTCTCAACCCTTTGCATTGCATCTGATAACATGGTAAACAACGCTCCGCGGTGGCCGCCTCCTGCACAACGCATCATAGCTTACACTGCACCTCGCAGAACTCGAAATCGCTGCGCCGTCTCGCCGCTGACCATGGCTCGCTGCACACTGCCGGTCTGCCGCCCAACTATCTCTTCCCGCCCTCCCTAGCAGGAGAGCTCCCCTCAGACCTTACTTCCCTCGATATTCTGCTCGCAGGCCCCGTCGGCACTCCCTATGCGCACGGCGTCTGGCGGTTGCATCTCGATATTCCCCCTACATACCCTACAGCACCTCCTACAGCCACTTTCCGCACGCGCTTATGGCATCCGAACATCGACGAGGCAACAGGCGCAGTGTGCGTGGAGACGCTGAAGCGCGACTGGAGCAGCACCCTCAAGCTACGCGATGTCCTAGTCACCATATCATGCTTGCTCATACAACCGAATCCGGCGAGTGCGCTCAATGAGGCTGCGGGGAAGCTGGCAAGCGAGGACTGGGACAGCTTCTGCCGTAGAGCAAAGCTCATGACGGAGATACACGCTGCCATTCCTAGCAACATCGTCGACCAAGTCAAAGAAGCTCAGAGCAGAGGCGACGAGAAAGAGGTCGTGGTAGAGTCCAAAGCAACGGAGGCTAAGCTCAATGGTTTAGGCAAGGCCAAGACGACGCCCACGGCAACGAAAGCCCGCCCATCTAGTAACGAAGACGAGGAAAATCTGCGACAAGGGGATACAAATTCAAAGCCAGACAGCGATCCGGAGGACGATTGGATACCAGGGCCTACCAAATCGCTTGAGACACCTCGTGTTGGACGCAGCAACGTCTTTGGCATCCAAGGCCTGAACAATGGCATGCAACTTGATTCGCCCGAGAAGTCCAGGGTCACGCGTAGCTTTCCGCAGATTGACGACTCCAGCTTGTTAGAGGATAAGGAGAATGATGATTCAGACCCGTTCATTCAAGATCCCTGGAAACGTATCGCTCAGCAGTCTTTCAGCCTCCGCCTTCCTGCCGAGCCAAAGTCCGCCCCCGAGGTGGCAGACACTCCCGAACTCCTCAAGTTTGCCGGCAAGAACCCCTTCTCCGTGATCCAGCCGAACAATCAGAGACACCCTCTCCTGAGAGAGTTTTCATGGACGTGGGAGGAGTCTGAGATCATGCATGAGACGGGCACCATTGAGAACGGCGAGTCTAAACCGAACATGCGGAAGAGACTGGCCTCTGATGAATTTGAGAAGAAGCACAGGTGGGAGATCAAGAAGTTCAAAAAGGCGGGATATGACTTGAAGAAGTACAATCGCGGTGACTTCGGTCCAAGAACGGGCATCCGCAGATTGTGATTGTCATTCCCGCTAAACGTGAAAAAGACGAGCATTGGCTTAGGCTACTCTTCACGATACTGGGTTCCATGACGAGGGATGTAATATTTTCTAGAATCGCTGGAGTCTGAGGCTTCTACCACGGCTTTGCTTTGGCGTGCAACCTGCTGGCGCTTTCTTCCTGCATTTGAGCATTTCAATGGCGTTGTATACCTTGGAAGAATATTTGCATGGTGGTACGGCGCATTGGGAGGCCTTCAACTTAAGGTAGATTAGCCTTCCTGTCAATGGAGTTACTATCATATTTTGCTACATAAACCAATTCGATACTTGTAGAGGAAATCTCATGCCGCGGAATGTCACTCGCTTGATGGCAATGGGTAACGCATGTCACATATTGTAGTTGAGACTGAGATGCGTCAAATACACATGGGATCCTGTCCAAGAATCAGGCAATGTTGACTGCGTGCTATCCTACTCTTCCCTCCTGCGCTGCTACGTTTGACCACTACATCTACATCCCTCCGAACCGTTCATAAATGCTCCTCCGGTTACGCGCGCGGTATTTAATTACAATCATCTTTCTTCGACCCCTCTTGATGTCTGAGTGGAGCACCGTGTTCTGCCGCTCGTCGCGCGTCGCAGGTTAGGCGCCGCGCCACAGAACAAACAGGACAAAGATCGACAATTGGCCGACGTTCCTCAGCCAGCGCTTTGACACCTTTGTACCCCTTGTCTGCTGCTCGCCAATCTCTTCCTTAATTTAGGTCAGGGAGGTGACACCCTGGACAGCGATGATGTCGTTGCTGAGGCTGTGCGCTGGAGTGTGTTTCCTAGTCAAGGCCTGACTTTCACTTTCATTTTCACTTTTACACTTGCTTTGGGCTTGCCAGTTCGACTTACCCGACACACACTCTTTCCTGCTGCGATTTAGCGCGTTCGCTGAGATTTAAGAGATATATCGTCTGCGATCAACAGGGAGAGCTTGCTTTGGGGGGCATACTACGGTAGTGGGAGAACCTTGCGGAAACCCAGGATACACTTTCACAGCGGCCAAATCCGCGTCTCACTCGAATTCAAACGACCACCATGGCGAGCAACAGCACAACAAGTTGCTCCGTCGTGCCCGCGACGACCCCGACTGACGCTGGCGTCGCGGGCGCAGGCACCCTCCTCTCCTTCATCATCACCAACTTCCTCTCGCTCTTCCTCAGCGCGGCCATCATCCTGCTCGGCCTGCGAAAATCCACGTCCGCGCCACTATGCAGGAAACTCCTCCTCTCCTTCAGCGATCAGCAAATCATCACGGGCATCGGCATCCAAAGCATCGCCCTCGCAAAGATGGAGTCCATGGTGCCCTACCACTTCTTCATAGTCTGGCTGCTCTCCCTGCTCTCCACGGCCACAAACCTCGCGACCCTGCTCGCCCTCGTGAACGACTTCCGCCGCGACTGGGTGCTGCGCTGGATGCGCCAGTTTTTCATGCTGGTCAACATGCTGCTGGGCGTGCTCAGCGGGATCTTCATCCTGCAGACCGTCATGAAGGACATGCAGCCGCGGCTCCCCATCGCCTGCGTCTGGGAGGTGGAAGGTCGCGGGACCTCGTCCAACGCCGCACTCAGTATTGTCGGCACGATTGCTGTCATCGCGGGCCAGGTCGTCGTTTTCGTATTTTCCACGCTGTATCTGCACACCCGGACGAACCCGACGTGGCTCAAATCCGTGCAGGTCGCGGGCCTCGCCATATGCACCGCCATGGGCGTCGGCGCCACCGTGCGCGTTATCATGGTCAGCCAGGCGTTTGGGAGCGCGCCGGATGGCGTGAACCTTGTGGGGAGTAGCGAGAAGGACTGGAGCTACGGGCAGCTGCTGCCGCTGTTGCTGCTGATGCTGCCGCTGATTAGTATGTTGGAGGTGGTTAGGGGCGAGATTAGGACGCCGCCCAGTAAGGTGGATGATGAGACTGAGGGGTTACTTGGGGAGATGGAGTTGCAGTATCAGCCGAATCCTATTTGGGGAAAGAGATAGGGGGGCCTTGAGCGAGGCTGAGGGTTTTTTCTTATGTTTAGACTTGCTTCTGAATCAATCCCAGAATATCTCACAAGCTATGGTTTAGCATCTGCCAAAGACGTTGTGACTGTAGGATCAGGCTTTTGCATGTCTGGTTCCCAAGTCATGCTGATCAAGGATGCGGGGCAGCAAGGCTGAGGAACAGAGTTCAGTGCCACGTTCGCTCTCCCATGAAGCTCCAAGCATCCCTTCTTAACACCCAGATACATCATCCCAACCCATGGAACCACACTACGGCGTCGCCATCATCGGCCTTGGCGCCATGGGTGCCTCCACCCACTACCAACTCTCCAATCGCGGCGTCCGCGCCTGCGGCATCGACCGCTTCTCTCCTCCCAAGTCCAAAGCTCCAGCCACGGCGCATCCAGCATCACGCGCCTCTTCGTTGGCGAAGGCCCCGCCTACGTCTCGCTATTCGAGTAGTGCGGCGTGCTCGTCATGACGTCTACGGATGACCCGGGCGAGAGCGACTTCACGCAGAGCACGATTGAGATAGCGAAGGAGTATGAGATTCCGCACGAGGTCCTGAATGAGAGAGAATTTGGAGAGCGATTCCCACAGTTCACGCCTCTCCGGGGTGATGGTGTGGGGTATCTCGAGCCCAGCGGCGGGTATGTGCGGCCGGAGGCGTGTATCGATGCGCAGTTGACACTGGCGGGGCGTCTGGGAACAGAATTGAAGCCCATGAGGACAAACTCAATTTTTTTCTCGGTCCCTCTCAATCATGACGACGTATCAGCTTATTTCTCACATACCCGAAGCTTTTCGTACGCCGGGCGTGCAATAACAAGACGTGTGGCATGCTTCAGTAAACACAACATACACACAATGGCTATGATAATCAAGGTTTGATGTATTTGAGACGTGCCCGAACTTTTCCTCGCGAGATCAGCGGTCACGCCCAATATGCAATGCTATATGACTCCCCAATGTAAATGGCGACGCTAAGTCGCATACTCTACAAACCAAAAGGTAGCAGTCATCTACACATGAGACGCTGAAAAGATCACTGTTCCCCCCACAGTCCAAATGAGACGCTAAAGTCCGGATGCCTTCACCTTTGGAGCATTGTAGCACGAGGCCATCTCCCCGCTGTTCGCTGAGAAGAGTGTAAGGCTTTCGCGTTGCTTTTCTCAAGAGCCTCAAGCCGTCGGGAAATCTTTCTTGATGGCTTCGGCAACGGGGCCAGGTAACGGCTCCTTCAGGTTGTTGACTATTACCGTCAGTAGCGATCCTTGAGGTCAAACCAATGACTGTTACTCACGATGTTCACGGAGAGCGGCGGCATTCTCCTTCGCTCCAGCGTTCTCAGGGTCGAGCTCCTGAGCAGCGCGCAGACACTTTAGAGCAAGCAAAAGCTTGTCTGTGGATATTGTCAGTCGAATTTCCAGAGGTCGGGAGATGATGGTCGACATACTTCTCCTGAGGTACACCTTGAAACCTATGTTCTGTGCGTCAACATTGCGGGGACTGAGCTCAAGCATTGGTTTGAGGAACCGTAGTGCCACTTCCAGAGGCTCCTTAGTCTGAAGGAGCGTCTCGCCGTTGGGGTCTGTATCCTCTTTCTTAACCTCGCCATCGTCGCCCTTCGCAGTCGCCTTGGCTTGGGCGGCCTGTTTCCTGTCCGCCTCTGCCTTCTTCTTCTTTTCCTCCTCCTTCTGTATCTTTTTCAATGCCTTCTTTCGCTCTGAAGGATCGAGGTTAGCTAGGTCCGGCTTGCCATTGTTGGCTAGATCCGGGTTGTCATTGAGCTTGATGTATAGCTCTATGGCAGACAGCGCAGCTTGTGTGAAGAAGGGGTGGTTTCGAAGATGGTCCTCCCATCTGATCATGTCGATGTAAGCCCGGATCTGTCCTTTTCGCAGCGAGAAGCTGTGGAAATCGAACTGGTCCTCGTGCCAGACCTCGAAGATATCCGCGATAGCGGTGAAACGCTTGAGCGCAAGACCGAGCTTGTTCTGTCGCAAGTATGATTCGCCGTCCTCCAATAGGTACCACATGCATTGCATGTCATGTAGATCTCCCAACGGCCCCCCGACGGTTTCGTTGCGCGTGAACTTGCTCATAGTCTCAAGTGCCTTCTCGTTCTCGTCATTCCTTAGCTGGTACTTGGCGCACTTGGTGTTAATGTAACGATCCTTCAAGTCGCATTCCCGCGCGAAGTTGATGAGGTCGGCTGCTTTTTGTGTGTCGCCCTTGTGCTTCCAAATCCTGGCTTTCAGCTGGTTATAGTCCACGTTCTTAGGCTCCAGCTCGATCAAGCGGTCTACATACTCCATTGCCTTGTCGAGATCGCGACTGAGCGCATAATCGTAGTGCTTAGCTAGGAAAAGTAGCACAGACTTGTCGAAGACGTCTGAAGCGGCTCCGTTTGTCGTGCCATTGGCTGAGCCGTTCTGCTTCTTCTCTTCTGAGGCGTACCCAAGTACAAGTTCCTCGATGACTGCCTTCTTCGCGGAGTCCACATATAACGCTTTGACGTTTGCGTGGGTAGAGGGGACGCCCTTCGTCAGTTTTTGCCTGAGGTACTCGTCCGCAGCCGTCTTGAAGGTATCTCCTGACAGATTGTTAGTTGAGAGAATCCTCTTGTTTTTGAACATCTTACCCTTCAAGAAGTCCAGTGGTATCCGACGTGCGGCATCGTTTCGCTTGTTCTGACTCGCATATACCTCGTAGAGCTCGGTTAATTTCTCCAAAGACGCGCTGTCCGACCTATCCAATTTGAGGGCCTTCTCAAGTCCTTCAAAGTATGCTCGATACTCGCTGTTTCGATCCAAAAGCGTCCTGTACACCGTGGCGGCTTCCTCATATCTCTCTAGTTGCAGCAGGTATTTCGCCTTAAGCTCCAGTACGGCCGTGCGGTCCAGATTATTCTTAAGGATCGTTTCCAGATGTTCCAAAGCGCGTTCGATGTCTCCTGATTCTGCTATTATCGTGTTCTTGTACAGAGAGGCTTCTGAGTGCTCGAGGTCTGACTTCGGAGGCGCCTGTTTTAGTGTCCCCTCGTATGTGGTCAGGATGTGCTCTGCTTCCTTGTAATTTCCGGCAAGATGGTATGCTATAGCCAACCCTGTCCAATTCTGTCGCAGTTGTGATCGGTCGCTCAACATCTTCTGTCTGCTCTCAATGTAGCCGTCGTAGTCGCGAATCTGGCATTGGAGATGGGCAAGGTCGCGTAGGATGTTTTGTGACTCGGGCGCCAGTCGCAGGGCCATCTTGTATGCTTTGATAGCCTCTTCATAATTTTTCTTCGACCGCCAGAGCAGGCCGTAGACGTGCCAGCAGATGTTGGATTTCATGTCGTTCTTCAACGCGAGCTTTCCGAGCGCGAATGCCTCGTCGCCGTGGCCTTGCGAGTTTAGGATGAGGGCTTTCATCGCCTGTGTGTCGCCATGGTCGGCGACCTTCTTGAGGATCGCATCTGCAGCTTTGATGCCTTTTGCACGTCAGTGTACAGTCTTGTTGACCACATGCAACATACCCTTCTTGTACTGCTTTGCCTCGTAGTTCTTGACGAGCTGTCGGAACAGCGAGGCCTCTTTCGAGGGCAGTGGTTGAGGCATTGTGGCGGTCGCGTCGGTCGTGTGCGGAGTGCAACGGTGGAAGTTGCGACAGTGCGCTACACGAGACTCGAAATAAGTACGCTGGTCGGGGTTGGCGCCGGTCGAATTGGAGATGGAAAGGAAGCTGGGATCGCCGGTTACGCAAACAAAAGCATTTCGCGCCGGCAAGCGGTCAATGTGGGCAGTGAGTGGTTGGGGCTCACTCTCGGTGGAGTGGTGGGGGAGCTCGAATTTCAGACTTGCGGTTGCGGGCCAGCAACGTCCGACTGCAAGCTTAGCGCCCGCGGCACGTGCCGAATGCGGCACCTGGAAGCACACATGCATTCGTACCGACGCGCCTGCCCTTGGTGACGTTCCAGAGGGATGCTTCGAGAATATGGAGAACTTGCACATTCTGCTATTACAGCTTTATCCCTACGTCACCTCGGGATACTATGGCTTCTTGGTCCTACAGGTTCAATTTTTATTCAAAGGACCTGGAGCCGTCTACTGAACAGACTTAGGTTGCTCGTCAAGTCGACCCGACATACGCCTACGCTTGTTCATTCGCAATAGACAGCTATGCAGTTTTATGTTGACAATTCGGCTTTTCTTATACAGGGCGTGATTACCTCGGCACCCACACGCCAGTCGTGCGAAGGTCCCTCTACAATATGTATCTAAGTACGTCTGCAATATGTATCTAAAGACGTCTGCAATCCTGATTATCCCGCCGAATAGTACCTAAGGTGGGTTTTTACTGGTAGCGAGGTGGCTTTGAGAGTTACGCCACATTCCACCTCGCCGTCAACCTGGTCCGCCCGGGTGCAATCGTCGACATCTTCTGCTTTTTCGCCCGAGGCGCCTCCTCATCCTCCTCATCTTCCTGCTTAACGTCCTCGGCTACCTTTCCACTGCCCCGCTTGGTATGCACAGGCAGCTTCTCCACTGTATCTTCCTCCTCGTCTCCGACTTGTGGGTCTGCAGCCTTGCGCCCTCGTCCGCGTTTAGTGCTCACCGGTAGTATCTCTTCCGACTCCTCGCTATCCTCATTTTCCTTCTTGGCCTTTGTCTTTCGTTTGGCAGCTCTCTTCGGCTTGGGTTCTTCGTTATCGTTTTCTTCATTGTCCATATCCTCTGAAACATCACCCATTACAGGGCCTGTCTTCTTTTGCACACTGGGTACGACAGCTGATGTCCGTCCACCAACTTTGAGGAACGTAATCTTTGCTCCGTTCGGCAACTTTTGTCCGTCCTTTTTGCCTTTTCCCCACCGGTGCTTCATTAGCCAATCCTCGGGGAACTTGTCAGATTCGGCGAGCGTATCAACCGCCGTATTGCAGACATACATCATGGCTTTGTGCAGTTCTGCGACTTGAGCATCGCTGAAAGTGTTGCTGTACTGCTCCGGATGCAATTTAGCCTGATACATGATCTCATCGCCAACCCAATTGCCAATGCCGCTGATGTTTGCTTGATCCAACAGCAGCGCCTTGATGGGTACTTTCTTGCTCCTGAGTTTGTTCGATAGCCACTCAACAGTCAAGATCTCCGGGTCGATCACAGGATCAGGCCCATTCTCCTTGAGTGGACTTGTCTTGCGCATATCTTCTGCCTTTGCATCGATGAGCCTGATCCTCGCCAATCGGCGGGCGTCGACAAATGCGATCTGGCAATCCGGCTCTCCCTCCAGCTCCAGGGCAAACTTCCAATATTTCGGCGGCCACTCTGGCTCTTCAACCTTCGTAGGACGGTAGTGCGCAGTGTCGTCATTGCTGAACTTCATCCAGCCAGACATGCCAAAGTGCATGAGCGGATGAGGTGGTGAGTCCATCTCGAGCCAGAAGTATTTGCCCTGCTGTTTCGCGTCGACAATCTTCTTGCCGGTCATCGCCCTCTGGAATTCGGAGGCTGAGGTTCCGACTTTACCATAAACGATTGTATCTTCCTGCGTCTGGACAGCGTTGATGACCCTTCCTGCTGCATACTTCTTGAGGAAGTGCACTATGCGTGCGATTTCTGCGATCTGGAAAACGTCAGTTAGGTTATTGGTCGCAAAGTAGGGCAAAAGTCTGAGCACAGCCTATTCCCCCAGGACAGGCAGTACGTAGGCCGATCGTACTCGGACTGTGCTGTAAAGAATGCGTGAACATTGGACATGTCGCGTACCTCGGGCATGGCGAATATGTGTGCGTGTGGGCAGTGGGATATAGAGATGAATGCACGATTTATGGATTATTGGAAGAAGCACACGCGCGACGGTGTAGAGAAAATGTTCCAGAATGGCCGATGACGTGGTACGTTGCGACGCGACCTGTCTATTGAAGGCGACGCGAAATCACGGGATCGTCAAAGCTTCTGCAACAATGCCATTGGCCAGAGGCTTTACTCTTCGCGGCGTTGTCGCTTTCGCACAACGTGGCGCTCCTGTTGCATCTTTTATCGCCATAGACGCCGTGTTCCGGCTAGAGCTTCCAAGTATGGGTCCACGCGAGCCTGGAGCTTCCCCTCCCCCGCTATCGGCATTGAGCTTCAGTCGGCACTCGGAGCTCGATTATGGACGTGGGGTGTTATATAACGCGCCTTTGGGCAATTCAATGTAGCTGCCTAGCTCATTGACAACCTCCGTTCCGTACAATCAAGATGTGGCTTCCACCAGCTGTCGCTGCTTTGTTCTATGCTATTGCGCTTGGTCACTCCACGCACCACGTAGAGCAAGACTTCTCGCCAGAGCGTTTGAGCAAACTGCAGGAGAAATGGGGTACTGATGTGAGTGAACAATTACACTTGAAAGCTTTCTACACATGCTAATATATATAAGTGGGGATTCTCTGGAGTCTCAACCTACGCACACCTCCCACACACACGTTGCTTGACACACCCCGAAACTGCATTCGACATCGGAATCATAGGAGCTCCCTTTGACACGGCAGTATCCTACAGACCAGGCGCCAGATTCGGTCCTCGAGCAATCCGCGCAGGCTCTGCCCGCCAAACATCTTTCCGTGGATTCAATCCGCGCGCCAACCTCAATCCGTACACATCGTGGGCCAAAATCGTGGATTGTGGGGACATCCCAGTCACCCCTTTCGACAATGCCTTGGCCTTGAAGCAGATGAGCGAGGCTTTCGTTGAGTTGGGCACCAGGCCATCATCCGAAAAGTCGCAAGCTAGCGAGTCGACATACCTACATAAACCGAAGCTTCTCACGCTGGGAGGAGATCACAGCATTGCTCTTCCAGCTTTGAGGGCCTTGAAGCAGGCATATGGACAACCCGTTGCGGTGGTCCATTTCGACGCCCATTTGGATACATGGCATCCGGCGAAATATCCGTCAGCATGGATAGATCCCGATGATGAAGCTCCCCAATCTTTCTTCAACCATGGTAGCATGTTCTGGCTCGCAGCCACGGAGGGTCTGATTGCCAATGGCTCGTCTGTTCACGCTGGACTACGAACACGTCTCTCCGGTGATGACACTACAGACTACGACGATGACTCCCAGCAGGGCTGGATCCGCATCGCCACGGACGACATTGACGAAATAGGTGTCAAGGGCATCATCAAATCCATCTTGGACCGCGTAGGGACAGAGACACCGGTATATCTCAGTATCGATATCGATGTGATTGACCCGGGTATGGCTCCGGCCACGGGCACTCCGGAGCCAGGAGGCTGGACTACTAGGGAACTCATTCGGATACTCAGAGGTATTGAGACCATGAATGTCATCGGAGCCGACATCGTTGAGGTCTCTCCAGCATATGACAGTGCAGCCGAGACGACTGGTCTGGCTGCCGCTCAAGTCGCGTACGAGATCATTACCAGCATTGTTAGGAAGGGCTTGATTGAACAGGAGAAGGCTGGAGAGAAGACTGCCAACACCCGAGATGAGTTGTAAGTCTTGTCTCGGTAATATTTGAGAAGCAGTGACACAATTTCGATTTGAACACGGTGAGGACTAGCATGGAAAATGTCACTGGTACGCCAAATAATGGCGGGGCCACATCCAAGAAGTAGAAGAGAGAGTAAATATGTCTCGCGATGGATTATCTTCATTGTGCCAAGACACTTTGCACCTACGTCATGACTGCACTACGTCTTTGAGTGAGCAATCTGCTGGCAGCTACCGCGATAGAACATACCATGGATTATCTCAAGCATTTTTCATAGAGTTTTACATCACTTAGTCCAGTCTAAATGGCACCAAGAAAAGTGTGAGTTGGTGAACGCATGTGTATGTAACTCTGAGCTGCTCTAAACACCGTCATACTGGAACATCAACACGACATCAATATTCGCTGGGCAACTACCACAAGTTTCTTTCAACATGGATCAATTTGCTCCCCACCCAACATCTTGCTTCGAAGGCTGGTACTCCAAGTTCGACCTACCATCAGGCTCGTACATCACACTCGTCATATGCACCGTCCCAAAAGCCACCACGCTCCCTCCCCACATGGTCTCGTTTACCTATTATCCCGCGTCCGGCACGCCCATATTCCAGCGGGAGCACTGGGTCTCGCACATCGAGTGCGTTACCACCGGCCCAAACAACGCGTTCGAGCTCAGAACAGATTTCGGCAGCATGCGCGTCGCCGCCAACGGAGACACAACCTACTCTCTCTCAGCCCCAGAATGGAGTCTGAATGCCACCGCAACATCCCGGACACCCTGGTTCCCCTCGCAGAACACCTCGACGCCCGAGGGCTGGCTCGTCCACCTCCCGCTCCCGCTCCACTGGCACGTCCACAGTCTCTCCTCACGTGCAGAGTACCACCTCAAGATTCCATCGGAGAACGTGGACGAGAAGGACACCGCACCACTCCACCAAGAGAAGAACTGGGCAAACAGCTTCCCCTGGCGCACACCTGGGTGCAGGCCCGCGAACCCGACACCGCCCGCGGCATCTGCCTCGCAGGCGGCAAGATCCTCGGCATGCACGCGTTCCTCCTGGGATACCGTTCGCCAAAGCTGAATCTTGACTTTGCTCCTCCGTTTGCGCTCGCGGTTCCGATACCCATCCCTTTGCTCTCGTGGCTGATATCCCCGTTCATGACGCATGTTATTGACTATGCTTCGCGCAGCATCTCTCTGACGGTTCGCAACCTTTTCTACAAGATCGAGGTTAGTGCAAGGGCACCGAAAGAGGTTGGCTGGTTTGGGCTAGGCAGCCCGTTTCCTGAAGGCCATCGGAAGAACTTTTGCTCTGAGAGCTTCCTGGCGACGGTGGACGTGGTGGTGTCGGAGAGGAGCATGTGGGGATGGACATGGAGAGAGGTTGAGAGGGCAATTTTTGAAGGCGCTAGTCTAGAATTTGCGGGTGAGTATTTTCCAGGGACGGGGGAGAAGGGGAAGTAAGAATGTCTGCATATGGCTGTGCATAGCACCCAAAGACGTTCACATTCGCAAGCAGAAGTTGAGCGCAGAGTTTTGGTGGTGTTCAGATGGATGGACCATCTTTTCATGTTTTCATTTCAGTTCAGTTGCCACCAACGGGGCTCATAATCATCCCATGCCTAGGTATCCATCCCAACCGTCATAACTCATAAGATCTGCCATCCTATAATCCAGAAATGTCTAAAGAGGGGCTGCAGACAACGTCTACAATTTCTGCATGGCAATAATGTCGGTGGACTGGACGTGGTCCTCGTCCTCCTCGATCTGCTGCTGGAGCTCGTCTAGAGAGACCTTCTCGTCCTCAACAACCAAGTTGATCTGCAGCTTCTTGATACCGAAGCCGACGGCGACGAACTGGCTGGCACCCCAGACAAGACCGTCCTTCTCGATGGCGAGAACGTTGGCCTTAAGCTCATCAAGGTTGGTCTCGTCGTCTGCAATAAGTTAGCATGCGTCCGAAACTATCGTTTCGAGGGAGCTTACCCCATGGCTTCACGTCCATAGTGACGATGGACTTGGCAGCAGGCTTAACCTTGCCGGCCTTCTTCTTGTTGTACTCGGCCAGACGCTCGGCCTTGAGCTTCTCGGCCTCCTCATCGACCTCATCATCGGAGCCGAACAAGTCGACCTCGTCATCGTCCTCCTCAGCGGCAGCTTCAGGGGCCTTAGCGGGGTTGACAGGGAGCTCGGTTTGCTCAGGGCCGTAGGCAGTGTGGTCCTTGGTGGGGTCGCCGGGGAGCGAAGAGAACTCAGACTCCCAGGTGAGGATGTGGTTGTACCAGCGCCATGCGAAGGGGTACTTCTCGGGGGCGGGAACAGTCTTCAGCTGCTGGAAGACCTTGACATCGGCCTGCGACGGGGTGTAGCTGGGGCAATGTTAGCTCTCGCGCCGACAACAAGCCTAACAAAAGCTGCAGAAAAAGATGACAGTCAGAAGTGCGCAAGCGCGAGGTTTTGTATTCAGATAGCGGGGTCTTAAGCCGCCTCATTAACACGGACCAATTGGTTTCATCACAAAGTCGGGAATGGGAACAAAGGAATACACGGCGAGGGTGTTACAAATTGGGATGGCGGGGCACTTACCCAACGATGTAGCTGCGAGTCTTCACCCAGTTGTTAAGGATGGTGAGGCCGGCATCGGAGACAAGATCGGAGAAACCCATGATTGCGAGTGTTTGGTGTGAAGTCGGAGAAGCTGGAAGGAGTGGACGTGGAGGGGAAGAGAGGGAGGGAGAGTGCTTAAATTGGGAGGTTCATAAGATTTTTCCGCAGTGACTCCGGCCGCTAGGCGCACGGGCCACATTATCCCGCCTGCTCAAGTCAGAGCTGCCGCATATTGCGAATGACATTATTTTGTACAGCTGCATAGTCGGCCAGCCGCGCATTCTTCCTCCTGCGCCTATACGAGCTCAGTATATTTTGAGATATAGTAGTCGAGTTGTAGTCAATCTGCCGTAGCAGACGAGGCAGCTCTACGCGAAGCTGCCACCTCGAGCTCGGAGCTCCTAGAAAGCGCTCGAATCGTCGCATCATTCGACCATAAATCATAGCGCCACTCCATGCAGATATAGCCATGGCCTTTCCTTGAGCCAGTCGCATCTCCATTGATACCCGTTGACTTCATCGTTGACACCAAGATGCTAACCACCAAAGCGCGGACAATTGTAAGGCGCGTACCACGATCGAGCGCTGGACGCCTCCCACCCCGAATCACACCCATTTCTAATTCTCTCGTACGCGCAAGTCAATTCCACCTTAATCGTTTCTCTCTTCCGATCGTTGCGACTCGTCATTATGCCAACGGACGACCGCATCCGCCGGGCGGCACGCACCGCATGAACTTGGGCGGCGAGCCTGAGAAGCCAGCCCTGGAACAATACGGTGTCGATCTGACCACACGAGCGAAGGACGGAAAGCTAGATCCTGTTATTGGAAGAGACGGCGAGATACACAGAGCCATCCAGATCTTAGCGAGAAGGACAAAGAACAATCCAGTCCTTATCGGTGCCGCTGGCACAGGCAAGACGGCTATTGCCGAGGCGCTTGCCCAGCGGATAGTCCAGGGAGATGTTCCAGAGTCGATCAAGGAGAAACGTGTTATATCGCTTGACCTCGGTCAACTCATTGCTGGCGCAAAGTTTCGAGGTGACTTCGAAGAACGTCTAAAAAAAGTCCTGAAGGAAGTAGAGGAAGCAAAAGGGGGGGTCATCCTGTTCATCGATGAGTTACATACTCTTCTGGGTTTGGGCAAGGCCGAAGGTAGCATCGATGCGAGCAACCTCATCAAACCCGCTTTGTCGCGGGGCGAGTTGCAGTGCTTCGGAGCAACCACCTTGAACGAGTACAGGCAGATCGAGAAGGATGTTGCTTTGGCACGTCGATTCCAGCCTATCATTGTTTCCGAGCCGAGCGTACCTGATACGATCTCTATATTAAGAGGCATCAAAGAGCGATACGAGACACACCACGGTGTGAGAATTACAGATGGCGCTCTTGTCGCCGCTGCTACGTACAGCAACCGCTATATCACAGACCGTTTCCTTCCCGATAAAGCTATCGATCTAGTCGACGAAGCTGCAAGCGCTCTGCGGCTGCAGCAGGAAAGCAAGCCAGATCCCATACAGCAACTCGATCGCCAAATCATGACCATCCAAATCGAGCTTGAGTCACTGCGCAAGGAAACAGATGTTGCGAGCAAAGAGCGGCGAGAGCGGCTAGAAGAGACCCTAAGGAAAAAACAGGACGAGGTCAATGTCCTGATGGACAAGTGGGAACAAGAACGTGGGGAACTGCAGAAGATCAAGAACGTCCAGGAGGAGTTGGAAAAAGCGAAATTCGAGCTGGAGTTGGCACAACGGGAAGGGAATTTCGCCAAAGCCAGTGAGCTTCGCTATTCGAAGATCCCGGAGCTCGAGCAGCAGCTACCGAAAGAAGAGGAGACTACAACGGGGAAAAGCCCTGATTCACTATTACACGACTCGGTCACTGCCGACGACATTGCCTCCGTTGTATCGCGAACCACCGGTATCCCTGTCTCCAAGTTGATGCGCGGGGAAAGCGAAAAGTTGATCCGCATGGAGGACGCGTTGCGTTCACATGTTCGCGGACAAGATGAAGCTCTCACCGCCGTCGCCAATGCCATCCGACTGCAGAGAGCTGGACTATCGGGTGACAACCGACCCATCGCATCTTTCATGATGCTTGGACCTACTGGAGTTGGCAAAACTGAAGTCTGCAAGCGGTTGGCTGAATTCCTTTTCTCGACACAGCAGGCTGTTATTCGTTTCGATATGAGTGAGTTCTCTGAGAAGCATACAGTCTCGCGGTTGATCGGTTCACCCGCTGGGTACGTTGGCTACGAAGACGCAGGGCAACTCACGGAAGCTGTGAGACGAAAACCTTACGCGGTCTTACTGTTCGATGAATGGGAGAAAGCGCACAGAGATATCTCGACGCTGCTGCTCCAAGTCCTCGACGAGGGTTTCCTGACCGACAGTCAAGGGCACAAGGTGGATTTCAGGAATACCATCATCGTGATGACCTCGAACTTGGGAGCGGATATCATAGTTGGCGATGACGCACTCAGTCAGGCCAGTGATTCTGGGGAGATCTCGCCAGATGTTCGCAACTCTGTGATGGACGTTGTCTCCGCATCGTATCCGCCCGAATTCCTAAACCGTATTGACGAGTTCATACTATTCCGACGACTTTCCCGCGAAGCTTTGAGGGATATCGTCGACATCCGATTGAAGGAGTTGCAAGAGCGTCTCGACGAGCGACGCATCGCTTTGGCCGTATCGGATGAAGCGAAACAATGGCTCTGCGATCGTGGCTACGATCCTCGATTCGGTGCACGCCCGCTGAACAGGCTGATAGCGAAGCAAATCGGCAACGGGCTGGCCGACAAGATCATCAGAGGTGAACTAAAATCTGGTGACACAGCCATGGTCACTATCAAAGAAGACAAGAGTGGATTGGACATTAAGATCTCGGCGTAATATGTTATTGGATGGAGAAATTATTGTGGGCTGGTCGCACCTCTTCCATTGCGTTCATGATGTACAATATCGTGTGTGTAAATATCGCCGCTCACTGTAAATAGTCAATACCCGCGAGCGCTGTACATGAGATTGTACGAGTACTATGTTCCGAACATTTGGAGAGGTTTCAATCTCCATAACACGTACTTGATAGATAAGCTAACTCTTTGCTCTATTTTTGCATACCCGTGAGTACACTTTGTAGTGCCTATCTTACGTTGCTGAGCGCGTCGCCGTCAGACCCGTGATTAGCAGGTACGCGTACCTCCCAAGTGCCGCTCCTTCCTCAAGTATGGCATCCATCCCACTTCTCTGCGAGCCCTGTTGAGTCTCCCCACCACTTCCTTCACAGCTCTACCAAATATTTTCGGTATGCCAGCTGGGCCCAAATCAAGGCTGTCATTTCGCAGCAAAGGCAGACGTGGCGGTAGCGCAAGCTCTACGAGTCAAAGCAGCAGCAGAAGGATTTCCGCACCTTCCCATCACGCATCGTCGTGCTCGTCAATTGGAGCTTCAAGAACATCACGATCTGCGCGCCAGATACGCGCTTTCACACCAATGCCTAGGAATGATGACGATAGTGAATCGCAGCTTCCTAGGGCTTCATCCCATGAGAGCCATCGCCTAGAGCCCGAACTAGACGACACACTGAGCGAAGTCGTCATGGCCATCGATTTACAGCAAAAAGACACCGTGGGTTGCTGCTACTACGTAGCGCGGGAGGAGAGGCTCTATTTCACGGAAGACATAAAGCTCGGAGGACTCGCCGTCATCGACGCTCGTCCGTAATCCCTTCCCAGATCTATCTTCTCAAGCTTATCAAGTACAGTAAGAGTCTATATTGACCCGACAGTTGTTCTTGTGTCAACCAAGATAGACGATACTGTCATTGAGACGCTTGAAAATCTCGCAGAGGATCGATTCTCACTTCCGTTTCTTTTGGAAGTCCGTCCACCCAGCGAATTCTCTTTCGATGCTGCAAAGGGAAAGCTGGCTACGTTGAGGATTGAAGATGACGTCGTGCCGCAAATGAACTTCGTGGTACCGGGAGATATGAATTTACTGGGCGAAGGAAGCTTAGAGAATGCATCCGGTCACCAAGGCAGGCTCCTCCGTCTTGCCGGCTTGGTCGATATGGATAGTCGGTTAACGGTATGTTGATTGATACACCCTCGTATGTCCACATGATTGATTATGTATAGGTTGGCTGTGCCGGTGCGCTGCTATCTTACCTGCAACGGCGGTGTGCGGCTGCTTATCTTCCTGGAGATGAAGCAGCGCATGAAATGTTCCGCATCTCATCGCTAGAGATGTTCACTCTGAAGGAAACCATGTGAGAACTTTGTCTGAGGTCTCTGGCAGCATTAACATGAGCAGGCTCATCAACGCTGACACTCTTAACTCGCTCCAAATCATGGAAAATGAGTCTCATCCCAACACGCATAATCAAGGTCCCAGTAAGGCACCGTCAGGATCCAAAGAAGGTTTAACAATCTTTGGTCTGTTCCACCATCTGGCTCATACACCGCAAGGGAAACACCTCTTACGACAATCCTTCCTACGTCCCTGCTTGAATCTCAATACAATCCGTGAGCGACATGATACGATACAAACGTTCCTACGTCCTGAGAATTCGGCTCCTTTTGATACGATTGTTACCAGCCTCAAGTCCACTGGAAACATGCGTACGACTCTAATTAGCCTAAGGAAGGGGATCTCTGCTAGAAGTGGGAAGAACGGCAAGGGTACTTCGAGCAGTCTCTGGCTAAGCATCCGACGGTTTGTGTTCCATGCGCTCAAAATCAAGGAGTCCTTTCAAGATGTGCTCGGTGGTGAACGGCTGGCCATCAAAGACAAGCTGCTCGAGAAGTTTGAAGGATACCACCTGGCACAGATTGGCAGAAAGATCAACGACATAGTAGACTTTGATAAGTCTGCTGAGGAATCTCGGACTGTCATATTGGAAGGGGTAGACGAGGAACTCGATAACGTGAAGCGTACGTTTGCGGGTCTGGATGATCTACTCGGTCAGATTGCACGTAATTTGTCCGAGAAACTTCCTGCAAACTTCCAAGGCTCGCTGAATGTTCTTTACTTCCCCCAGATTGGTTTCCTCATCACTGTCCCACTCGACCCAACAACAGGCGAAGCTGTATACGATGGTAGCTTTGACAATCCTTGGGAACGTATGTTCTCAACCGAAGATCAAATCTACTTCAAGAACAGCCAAATGCGAGAAATGGATGGACATTTTGGCGATCTGTACGGCATTATATCAGACCGGGAAATTGAGATCAGTCACGAACTCGCACAGTACGTGCTAGAATACGAGAAACTACTTATGGCCGCATCAGACATTTGTGGTGAGTTGGATTGCGTGCTCGCTCTGTCACAAGGGGCTCGACTGTACAATTTGTGTCGTCCCAGAGTCTCGAACGACAACGCCATTTCCATTGAAGGTGGTCGACACATGCTCCAAGAGCTTAGTGTCTCGTCATTTGTACCCAACAATACCAGCCTGGTTGGGGCTACCAATTTTGATACAGTGGATGATGACAGCATGTTTGATAGCTCGCCTGAGCATCACGCACACGCTCGCCAGTCGGGACCAAGTATGCTGATTCTTACCGGTCCCAACTACTCTGGGAAGAGCGTTTACCTGAAGCAGGTGGCGTTGATAGTGTACATGGCTCACATTGGCAGCTATGTTCCAGCGGAAAGTGCAAAGATCGGCCTAACAGACAAAGTACTTTGCCGCGTTACAACTCGCGAATCCGTATCCCGAGCACAGAGCACTTTCATGATTGACCTTCAACAGATTTCGCAAGCATTGAGTCTAGCTACACCGAGGAGCCTTTTAATTATTGACGAATTCGGGAAAGGGACGGACACAAGTGACGGTGCCGGATTAGCTTGTGCTGTGTTCAACCACCTCGTCGGTTTAGGCAGGAATAGGCCGAAAGTCATTGCAGCTACTCATTTTCATGGTACGTTGTGAATCTTGCATATTGAAGAGGTCATAAGTAAGCCAAGTACTAAATTTCAATAGAGATCTTTGAGAACGGGCTGCTTAAAGCAAGCCCATCGCTCGCGCTCGCGCACATGCAGGTGCAGATCGACGAACAGACCTCTGAGCTAGACGATCAAATCACGTACCTATACAAGTAAGTCTCTCTAGATCGGCTGTGCAAGCCTGAATTGATCTTTCTCAGTTGCTGTGAGGGCCGGAGCAATTCCAGTTTCGGTACTTGGTAGCCATGACCCACACAATCTCTTCACCGTCATCTTGATCACTTACGTCCTACAGTTGTGCTGCCATGAACGGTGTTCCAAAGGAGATCATTGAGCGTGCAGATCAGCTGATAGAGATGACTCTAAAGGGGCAAGACCTGATTGCCGCCTGCTCAATCATGCCGCAATCCGAAGCTTTAGAGCTAGAGGAAGCAGTGAGTTGCCTTGAAGGATCAAGAATAGATCTGATGCCGCTTTAGGAACATATTGCACGAGACTTTTTGGAGGCAGACATCTTCACTGATCCCAAAAGGGCATTAAGCGACATACTTACCGTGTCTGGTACAACCGAGTCTCCGGCTTCAAACAGACAGTAATGCCGAAGAGGTCTTGGAGAGCGACGAAGCCCAATAAATGCGCAAGTGGGTATTAAATCGAACCTAAACAACATGATTCACAACAATGCGTCGTCATGCCCGGCGAATAAGAGCGGGCGCGGTGTTTGGGTGGACTACCCGGAGTCGGAGTTCCCATGCGGCCTGGAAGTGGTGTCCTATGTATGCGTCTTCGTGTACCAAGAGTCCATTATCATTAACAACGATTTAATTAAGAATTTTCAGTTAGAACTTGTATCGAATCGTCGATCCGACCCGTTATTCGAAAAAGGGTCGCACAGATAGTAGCCGTCGAAGCCTCGCGGCCCGACGGTACGCGCCTCGGGTTGCGAACGGCAACTTCGAATATAAGGGCGGTCTCTATTAGCAAGATCAAAGGATACTTTAGTTGCCATCTGCCTCTCGATCCAAGGAGGAGCGCCCCGGGGGTTGACAGTGAGTTACTAGCATCTAATGAACGCAGCGACGAAGATCACACACTAAGGCAAATGCGCACAATGACGCACGATCGATGTCTGATGGACAATTTTAGAGCGTAAGACCGTCTCTACCCCGCTCCCATCGAAAGATGCACGCTGCCGGCATCAGCAAACCGGACGAAGCTTATTTCGACCTCCTCATGGCTCTACTGCGGTTGTGACTGGCTCGTGTCTACTCCCTCCTGCAGATATCCCTCGAATCCTACCTCTAAACCGTCTACGGTACTTCAGGTGGGGGTGAGATTCGTCCAGTGACGGCTCTCGATTCTTCGCAAGGGCCTCCACCCGCGAGGCCTCCACATTGGATGTACGAGCGCCTCGGTCTTTAACCGTTATGGGCCATTGTGCTAGTAGCTAATACTGCGCATGGTTCTTATTTCCCAGACGTCAGCATTAGAACCACTTGTGCTCCATCACAAGAGCGGTGAGAGCAACATCGCCTGGCTTTCATGAACCAAACCACTAACTCCACTGACAAATAGCTGGCTCACATTTCAGTTCAAGCCGAACTACCCTGTAAGCTGAACGTCTACTCCGGGCTAAAATCCCCGGCTCCATAGGTCGGCCTATGAACCGGCGAACGAGAGACGGAGAACTTACAGCGATATGCGAAGGACAATGCGGCTCACTACTCACAATCGTAGAGACATATCCATGGATGTTCTGCAAAGACCAACGCCGCGCGTTGGGTTTTAGCTCTTTGCCACGGAAGCATCCGATAAGTAGGGCTGCTGCTGGTTCACTGTCGCTGATTACGACGGGATTCGAAAATGCGCAGCGCCAACTAGATTGATCTAAAGAGCTCTCCCAGCAAGTCGCACAGACCAGCCACACTATCATCGGCACGTCCTTCTAGTAAAGGAAGTTCTGACGAGCTCTGTTGGCGGCCTAGGATCTGATCCCGCAGAGCCGCACATTAGCTTCAGAGTGACTGCAGCAGGATTTGGCCGCGCAACATTCTCGTATACACACCGCATGCATGTTCATCGAGGGCTCATGGCGGCTGCGGCGGAATGATAGAGTTGGTCCGACACAGGATAAATTCAGCTTGAGGGAGCCGTGAGCTTCTTTCATTATCGGACATTGCTAGGGCAAGAGGAGCCACTGGACGGCATGACGCAAGTACGCCAAAGCGCAACAATGCACGATATCGACAGCGCTAAAGGTCAGAAAGCCACACCAGCGCATTGGCCACCGCAGAAAGAGGGCGCCGCGCGCACCGATCCTGCTGAAGCCATGACCAACGAATGTTGTTGTAGACTTGACATCAGGCGAGTTAGCCGCCGGTTAGAGTTCCGTTCGGAACCCGAACGGACGGCTGTAGGAGCCGTCGCATTTCAGAGGCCGAGAACCAGGCCATGGACCGGCTACTGCAAGTTAGACATTGACTTTTCGATCTCGATCGCCCAGAATTCCATCCTATGTGGTCGGCCTTTGCTGGCAATCTCGGATTGCTTCGTTGGGAGCCGCCCTACTCGGGCCGTTTTACGTTCCACTTCACGCGCCACCTCCACCAACACCGAGCCCTGTAACCAGTGCCTTCCAGGCGGTTCGTTACTGTCGACAATTTGTTCGGCGGACAACTGAAGATGCATATTCTCCAGCAAGCGTCTAGCTGGACCCCGCATCACGCACTATCCAACCTAACCGCTGCCGCGACTGAAGCAAGAGAAATGGAGCTGAGCTAACGACAAGCGGAGCCATGTGCGCGATTGAGAGACAACTTGTGCGTCCTAGGATTAGCGGCTGCATTATGAGCAGAGATAAGTTCACAAACATGCTACAGAATCATGTATGCTTGCCATCGCCGATCAACAGTCGAGAGGAACTCACTCAGGGTCTCAACATGGCAGACGCGAACAAATGGAGCTTACCATGAGTGCCACGCAGGGTCCGACTGCATGATTGAAGATCGCTCGTTTCTGGGGAACTAGGACAGCAGCATGCTGAGTGCTTCACTCCTCCTTTCCTGTGTCATACTTCTCGTGCGGTTTCGAGCCAGTATCGTTTACATCCAAGAGGATTGCACCCCAATGTTGAGTGCCAGAAGATACGCCTTACCGACGGCACTTGCCCAACGAATACCTGATCAGAGAACGAACATGGCGAAAAGCGACAGGTTTTGCAAAATTGATTGGCTGACACAAGCTACACATCTACCAACTGGACTTGCGTGCATTATGCAGTCGCGTGTGCACTGGTCGGAAGTCCGGTCGCTATCCACAGTCGGATGTACAGAATACGCGCAAGGCAGAAGAATTAACGTTGATCCGCCGCAGGCGACCAGGAGCGCCGACCCCAGTTTTGATGGACTGGATGTGGCTAGCGCAAGGCGGGAGAGCAGCACGTTCCTGCACCACAGTTCAGGGTCATCTTACCGTCTCTGCAGGGTCAGAATCAGCGCTCCGACTCCGACATCTTGGACATGGTGGCTCATTGTTGGACCAGTCGTGTAACCGCTACACGACGCGTATACGGCATTCTGACGGGAACAGTGGATACGCAATCTCGCAAGGCAATGCTGGCAACGCTGCGTACACAGGCGCGAGAAGCGTATGTGAGACTGGATCAGGAGCATCCGGCCGTTACCGGACGTGTTGCTTTTGGGACTCAGCCGAGCCAACCAGTCGTGATGCTGAGGCACGGCCACATGTTTCAGAGTTCGATTGATGAGAGTTTGTGCGCGCTGGCGCCTTTGGTACACGATGTGACGGTTCGTGCCGTTGCGACTTCGGGAGGCTGTCTGAAAGTTATCATGCGTTTCGGAGCTGCCATGGTCACTGTTGCTTATAGTCGAGGCAGGGACTGTCTGTACGAAGCACTGGTACTGAGCTGGTCGCCGCGTCGTTCGTTGAAGGTTCATCAGATGTTCAGCACGTTCCCATTCTAGTAGCCATGGTGTGTCTAGACAGCGGATGCACTATGACGCTGAACCCGTTAGCCAAGCTTTTCCATGGATCCAAACCGCTCGTCTGTGCGCGACGAGCGCTGCAATTCCCACAACAGCCGCCGCGTATGATTCGGACCGTCTGCCACTGCGCACTTGCCGCTGCACTGTGACAACTCAATAATCCTGTGCGTCTGGTAAACGCTGAACTAGAGCATGCTTTGCTCCCTTCAGAGCCTATTTACGGCGCCTTGTGGGCGGCGAAGCGGCACCCGCAGCGTAGCCGAAAGCGCTCACGGCGGGGCGGAGCAACAAGCAGATGTGGTGAACCCGGGGCGGAAAGGACCGATCGTCGATCATAGCCATGTTGGGCGAAAGCATCTCGAGGTGTACACGCATTAGACAGGACTGCCTGTTGCGAGAACACGCGCCCTGCATTCGGAGCAAACAATCCCATACTGGAGAATGGCCTCTCAGCATCAGCAGACTGACAGCCTGTTGGTCAGACACCCGCTAATGATGCGCACCTGTCTCGAGGATAGGACCAATGAACTCTTTTCCTGCCAGCTCACCGGCACCCTGCCGAGCACACCAGGCCAAGGTGCGAAGACGGCGTGGCTGCACTGTATCACGCAAGGCTGCTGGATGAGAACGAGACGACCCTCATGGATGTTGCCCTTCCTTGCATGTGGCAGCACTCCTGTGGGCGCAGCAGATGAAGTACATGTTTGAACATTTCTGTCAAGGGTGTGCTGCATCTCTGTGGTGGACACACGTATTATTTTTGTGAATGAGGACTCGATTGGGCAGTCAGCGCTAATACGACAGCATCACCAGTCCTCCATACCGGAGGGCAAGCTGGGGAAAACATGACGCTCTGCGAGCTGACTAACTTGCGTACCTGTCATTACTCCGACCGCAGCAAGAGCTATTGAGCACAGGTAATGACTTTCAACTCGTGAAACCAAGATGCCTCAGGCCGGCACTGCGACATGGCCTGTAGTCCGCCTCGCACGTGTGGTCGAGCTCGAAATCAACCGCATGGCACCTACAGGTTGCCAATGCCGTATTGTGGCCGGCGACCAGACGCTGCCGAATTGCATAGCTTTCGGCAACACGATCCTGCCCTCAAGCCAGCCTGGGGCAGATAAGATAGCAACGCACAGGACAACGGCGGCAACAGCTCTAGCCAAGTGCTCAACTCGAGATGCGGGCCAGCGTGAACGCACGCTAGGCCGCATGGAGCACACAGTGGCCTGTAAGATCTCAGCCCCGGTCGAGTAGGCCAACAACGCCAGCCCTGCACCCACCCTGGTCTTGCAGGCCCCAGCGTCAGCTTTGACGCCCCTTCGGAGACCACCCTGGTACATTTTGGCTTCCTTCGAGATCGCTGCCAACTCCAGCTTAGTGGCTTTGGGGCTGCAGCTATGTGCAGGCCTGTCTGGCCCTCCTCGTATATAACTCTTACGCTGCTCCGTCTAGAAAAGAGCACCATCCCCAAGCTCTCCCAGACGGAAAATCAGACGCAATGTTCCAAGCTGCCCAGCAGTCTTATACCTCCCAGCCTTCAAGTGCTCCTACCATTGACGCCATGGCCACCGTGCCCCCTCAAAGCACCATGCTCACCGGCCCTAACGGTGAGCAGAAGCCTCGCAAGCTGCGAGCTTCCTGCGACGCCTGCTCCCGTGCCAAAGTCAAGTGCGACAAAGTCAGGCCAACCTGTCACAGGTGTGGTAATATGGGAATCTGCTGCAACTACTCCCCCTCGATGAGGTTAGCCATACCATCTCTATGCTGCAGCCCCTAGACTCACAAAACGTAGATTGGGCAAGCCCCGCAAGAACAGGAACCCGGATGGTACCATTATGCGCGACGTATCACCGGCTAGCTCATGCGGTCCGTTGAACTTGAACCAGCGTCCCGACATGATTCCCCGCACTGCTTCCTACACTACAGAGAGCTCCCCAGAGCCCTCAGATCCATTCTTCTTCGGCCCCGCGACTCCAGAGTACCATTTCCAGGATGCTTACTTGCCAAATGCGTTCGAAGGCGGTCATTCACCTTTCTCTGAGACCAGCTCCTTCATTAATGGCTGGTCTAACGATGACCACCTGATGTTCACAACTCCAACCGAGATGTTTACCAGCATGCCTCAACTCTCCACATCTCCATATGCAAGCCACGTGCGAACTTCGAGCATGCACAGCCAACCCGAGATGTTCTCCCCAATGGAGGGTCTAAACTCGCCCTTGGCTAGCCCAACTTTCTTTGGGATGTCGGACCAGCAGAACCTCCCCATGTTCGCCCATGATAAGACGACGGTGACTTCACCGGCTATGTCTCGGTCTCCTCTGCCCACTCCTCCTGCTTCCACGACCACTTCAAACCACGACTGCACTCAGTTCGCTTTCCAGACGCTCAACAGCCTTTACTCACCGCCCACTTCGCCACCGTCTGCCGGAGCCTTTAACGGCTCATCCCACGGTCTACCCACCCTTGAGACAGTCATCTCTACCAACAAGTCCGCTGTTGACAAGCTCTTCGTGCTATTGGGCTGCTCATGCTCTTCCAACCCGCACTTCTCCACGACTATTGCATTCACCATTGTGAAGATCCTCTCATGGTACCAAGCAATCTCTGGTGCAAGCTCTGAGGGTGACTCTATTATGAACACTCAGATGGAGGTTTTCTCGCAGTCTCCCGCCTCTATGGGCGATTACAGCCCTATGAGCGACAACGAGGATTCCTTCCGGGCCCAGCTTGTTCTGACCGAGCTTCGCAAGGTCGAGAAGCTCATTGACAAGTTCTCTGAGCGCTACACCAAGAACACCAACCACGCCGAGACCGGCATCGACGGCGGTGTCTACAGCGCCTTGGAGTCTCTGCTCCGGACCCGCGTGCGCGACACTTTCAAGGTGACCATGCGGAACGCACCCGATGACATCAAGCGACAGGTCGCTTCGCGATCGCATCAGCGCTCACGTACGCACACTCTCTGATCTGGCTTGCTCCTGCGACTTAGCGACTGTACATTCTTATCTCTTCGCTTCCTGTCTATGCTTTGTCTTTCCAATACACCGTCACGATTGCGCATTATAGACTTTGGGCTTTACGGCCACCGGAAGGGGCTTTCCGTTTCCTGTACGATGCCTCGCTTGCCTGCCTTTTGCCTGGTTTGGGGGGAAATAGACTTCGCTTCTTGTGTACATATTTTTGGAAAGAAGAAGACAGGCAAGGGGCAGTGTAGCATGCTGCGTGCTGCGTGCTGCGTCCGCGTCACACGCAGCACGCAATATACGCTTGCAGGGGCAGCGTGTCCGCGAGGCAGCGGCTTCCACGACGAACGCTCAGGCCACACTAGGTGCGCTTGCAGCCAAATGAATGAAATGAATATCCTCACAAGCACATGCACGCTTCTTCGATATTGGGTTCAACCGCTCGCATTGTCTGGTGCTTGGGGGCGGTCCCACAAGGCTTCACATCCGCCCTTGATTGGAACCCCAGTCTCACTCTGACGGCAGCAGCGCAGGGCTGTCATCTTTGCTACCTTCCCAGCCTGCGTCCTCCATAGGCCACGCCTGCCCCGAGTGGGGATGCGTGCTACCACACGCTCACCCAGCTAGGCAGAGGGACATGTGATGTGCGCGTCCGCAGCCCCGGCGTCGTTGCAACCACTACCATCATCATCATCACTTGCCATGCCCGAATGCAGAAACAACTCCAGACGCAAACCTCTCACCAGAGGGCATTGCGCGCTGCGGGGGCTCCCATTTAGCCAGACTCGAGGGTGACGCATGCTGAGCAGGCATACCACGCGCGTCCGCCCCCAAACACCAGGTCCTCGATACGCCGCGCTGCGAGGGCTCATATCACGCATGAGCGGTGCCTCCCAGTACCCTGGCTGGGGCAGACTGACTCACCAGCTGCTGGGCTGGCCAGTCCGGGTGGATGGCGCGCGGGCAGTGATCGTCTGTCTGTGCCGCGGAGGCAGACAGACAGTCAGTGAGACGGCGCGTTGCACATACTGGGCGTATGGACCTGACGGGTCGCGGATGGAAAGCGGATATTCTGACCAGAAGGCTGCCCGCAGTCTCCACGGCTTTCATGCTGCTGTCGCGCGCGTCCACGCAATCGCCGTCTCGCGGGCGCATGTCCGCCAGCGCCTGGGGCTGCTAGCAATGCGATGCTGCAGTGGGATAGCGGCGCTCGTTGCAGGTGCGCGGTACGGGCAGGACGAGTGGTGGAAACGCAGCATGCTGGCGGCGCAAGCGTGCGGCGCCGTTGAGCGGGAGCCTAAGCAAGGAACGGAAGGAGGGACTGGAGATCGGGACGGGCGGCCAGGGTCCGACGGTGCCCGCGTGGAGATCGCGCCGTGCTAGGTCAGCCCTTTCGATAGCGTACCGGCGCGAGAGGGCTTTGTGTGGAAATTGTGAATCGCTTCTGTGATTACCTGATATGTGTGGCTGATAGCTTGTGAACATGCGTCCTGGGACGACGAGGTGGGTTTCCTAAAGGTCGTCATGTCTTGGACGAGGAGGCAGCGTGGTTCGCGGCACTTGGGAGGGTAAGCGTGCCACACCGAGTGCAGCGGAAGGCTCGAGCCGCTGCAGTATGCCTCCGAGAAGACAGCGCGCTTTCGCATGACAAGACTGCAGTGCACATCGTTTGATTCGGGCCAATGTAGACTGCATTGCTGTCTACCAGGGTCCTCGTAATTTGTTTCAAAGAGCTCTCCCCCTTCCACCGTTGCCGCCACACATCCACTGTCCTGCGCGGGTTCTACGGGCCTTGCATGCGGTCCGGCTGCACGCCGGGTAGATCTGTCAGAGGCGCCAGAATCAGGCTTACGCGCGCTCGTGATGGGACCGCATGGGGCAACAAGGCTTTGTGCTTCAGCCGATTGCAGTCGGAGGGACATACAGGCATGCAGGGGCGCAATTGGCCGGAGCACAACGGTCCGCTGATGTCGGCAGCCATTGTGAGCGCTTACCGTTCCCATTGGCGGCGTTGCCCTAGTGGGTATGGTGATGGAGGGCATGGGAATCTTGCATGCAGCATGCTCTGCCACAAACGCCGCCCCAAATCTGCGCGTTGCACGTCGTGAAGTGGTTATTCTGGGCGAGGGGCACGGGTCGAACGATCGTCGTTTGCCGCAGTCGTTGAGTCCGCCTCAGGGTGGGGAAGTCGACCTGAACACAACTTCACATGCTTACTTTACGTCCATCGTCCGCCAAGTCACAGCCTCCACGGTGCGACGGAGGATTCAGTCAGCCCTATGCGTGCAGAACATAACATGCCCGTTCGGTATCGCGTGCAGGGCGCCGCTCGTCCAAGGAAAGCATGTTGACATGTCGGACGTCTGTAAGGTTTTTCGGTGTCATTAAGGTTTGCGGATACCAGATGGGATCGATAGTGCCCGCAATGGATCCAAGGTTCGAAGTGCCATCTGGCCGCAGACCCACTGAATGGTCGTTAGCCTACAGTTCAAAACTTTGGTGCCTTTGTCGACCATGACTACGCCTCTGTACCTCGTCCATCAAACTCACCGTAGTGTTGAGGCAGGTCACAATAACAAGACGTCATCGAAGGGTGGGCCTGAGGCAGTCATCTCACGTGGCTTGGGTAGGTGTGATAACCGAGTCGAGGCTCTTGAGCGCTGAACGATCTCAGGGCCTCGCTGGACCCTGAGAATCGCTGGAAATGCAGGGAGAAAGGATGGCTTTTTCAGATCGACGATCCGAACACGTGTGTGGCCTCTGCCTTGATTATATGTTCACAGAAATCAACTGCAGCGCACAGCAACAGTGGAAGCCAACACTCGCCTACGATAGTGCAACTCGGCGCCGACATGCTTCGTATCTAACGCGATCCGAGCTTGCAGGCCGAGAAAACGCAACTGCATGCTTGCACCCTGTAGCTTGGGCGATCCGGCCTCCGGCACACTAGCACTAGCACCAACAAGCTCACCGTTTGCACACACTGGTGCAGAAACACCAGATCCTATCGCGAAGACCTAGCTGTTGGCGGCTTGACGATAGTCGCCACTGCATGCTCGCTAGCTGCGTCGACGGAGCGACCGGCTTGTGGAGACGATCGGAACCCCGTCGCTTTTGGCTGTCGCCTGTCGCCTAACGTCCAACCTCCCCTACCCAGCGGGACGACTGCGCGTGTGGCAGCACGCCCCTGCCATTCGCCAAACTCTGTTACCAACTGCTTTATGATCGTATTTTGCGAATGTGATGGTTGCAACATTCCGATGTCGTCAGCACTACAGAGACATGCCAAATGCAAGTTCGCAACGCCATAGCCGCGATTATCTGGAACTTGCAAAGTGCATCATTTGGAGAGAAGACCTTGTATTGTCCCACCGAGATTGGCCGGATACGGTACCTCCTCATGCGACACTTAGACAGTCACTCTGCATGAGGGAAGAGCCTTGATCTGGCGGGCTAAGCGGCAAGAACAGCATTCGTATGCGCTTACAAAAGGATAAACATCAGCCGGAGAGGACGCGAGCTGACGTCGACATCGGCTTCCAGCGCTTTCCCCCATATGCCCAAGAGTGCAGGGCACTACCACTCTGCTGGTAACTTCTCGAGCAATAATCTCGCTTCGACATACTCACCAGCACGTCACGAGGAAGAATCACGCCAGCGCCGATAGTCCCGCTACCTAGGTCTTACTCTCGCCGGCGTCCAATTCTGCCTGCTGTGCCTCCCGACTGCCTCGTTCCCACAGCCAGGAAATACGCGCACAGACAGCCTCCGTGGCACATGTTATACATCGCACCAATCGCGCTGCAACCCCACAATCCGTCACAGTCCCGCTGCATATTCCCTCGTCCGCTGGGCAATCAGCAACAGTGTGCGTGTGTGTGACCAGTCCTGCGCGCGCCTGGGATCGTGCTTCCCCGTGCTAGCCTGCTGCAGTCAGCACGGATTCCGACCCACATTCTGTAATCTTCCTAGAAGGTCTCTAGAAGGCTGCTAGAAGGTCGGCACATGACGCTTGGGCGCGTGCGGCTGCGGTTGCCAGCCACCATAGATCGGCGATCGTGGACCTGGAGATGGGCCTGGCGTGTCAATGTCCGATGACGGAGTGGAGCGGATTGTGCGCCGGTGAAGGGATTGGGAAAATGCTCGCGTACCGCGGCAGAACGGGATTCTTGGTACGATTGTGCGAGGCTACGGATTGATTCACTTTTGTCATGGGTGCAAGTCTTACAGGGTGTTTGCAGACGCCGCGGCGTTTAGAGGAAACCCCTACTTCGGTAGACTTAGTCTCTGTGAACAGATCGGTAGCACAATGACTGCCTCCACTATCCAAGGCAGACTTGAATGCACGCACATTTCTGAGCTCAAAGACTTTTTCCCTGAGAACAGTGGATCAGAGGACGAGATGGCTGGCAATGTAGACTCAGCGACAATGATAGCGCAGGAAATATGATTGAGACTCTTTCCCTGCTTCGACTACTCAACCCTTACTTTATTGCATATTTGTTCTCAAACCCTCAATGTCTTTGTCGATCGCAAATGTTGTGCGTACAAGCTCGATTATCAAGTCCGATATCCGCAATCTACCCTTTTCTTGCATGGTTTAACATGCAACTCAAGGTCATGAGGCGCAGCAGTGAGCCTCAACTCCTCCGCAGTAGATCGTGTGAAAGTATTGCATGAACCCTCATAATCAGCAACAACCTTTATCACAACACACGAAGACCGGGAAGTGCTGTGCCACAGAACAATGGGGCGAGGCTCACGCAGGGACGTTCGTTGCATAAAACGCCAGTATCGTCATCTTTGCTGGAGATTCTGACCGCCTTTCCAACGCCCAACTTGTTTTTGTGAGAAGAATCTTTCGTCGCTACGGCACCACTGCCATGTCCCTTGAACCCCAGTCCAACGTCTTTGGTACAAACTACTCCATGTCTCTGCCATACTCATTCGAAGCACTATATCCCACTGAGATCATAGAGACCTGCAGAGTGGAGGACCCAGCGGTTGAAGCGCAAGAGTCATGTGCTGACGGACTGGTAAGCCTACGAACGTACCCCTTGTTTTATTAAACATAATAAGATAGTCCTCCCGATTGCTCTAAAGACTAATATCATCAACGTAGTACTTGTGAGCTTTGCTGTTATCGTTACAACGGAAGATCACCAATAGTCACGAATGCGGTAGCATTGATACTACTTGTGCCAGTCTCGTAGGGAATGGGTGTGGAACTATGTATGCTTAGATTTTCCGTGGGCTCTGGATCTTCCGCAAATGCAATCTAGTCCGCAGTATTGAGCTCCTTGAAACAATCAAGAACAGAACTACCATTGTGTCTAGCGAGTCTGGCATGTGAAGGCGTGAGACCGCGTACCATCACGTTGCAATGCTATGTCGGGCTTACAGAGCGCATATTAACGAAGTACCTAGGCCTATCCATGCTGCGCTGTAGTACTTACGGCATCACACAACTTTATGTAGTGACGACTCTGAGGCTATTTCTCCAGTACCTTAGGCTTTCTGGATTGGAAGATCCGCTGCCTAATATTGTTCAGTCAATGCAGTGAGCGGCTGAACACATATGGCTCAAACGCTGCACCTGGACCTGTCTGTATGAATAGAAGGATCTTGCCATTCACTTGAAAGATCACGATTGAGTCAGCTTGTACCAATGTTGGCTTTGCTTCCCGTTGCTGGTCGATGCTTCAAAGTATTGTTTTCTATTCTCTAAAGAGAATGTCTCCCAGCCCATCTACTATAATCACCAAGTTCTCGAAGCTACCTATCCAACCCGAAACAAGTATTCGTCTCTCAAGTCACGATCACAGGCGACACAAAGATGGAATTTCCTCATATCTCCACTTTTGACCTTTTGTATATCTTCCTTGCACTTAGACCCTACAATGTCACAGCAATGAACATGACGACGAAATATGCTACAAGAGACTAGTTAGATGTAGCGGAATGGGAAATAGAGTAGCTGATGAAATCAACGCTGTGTGTGTCGGTAAAGCGTCCGGAATGCGCCAGCCACTGTACGAGAGGTTTGGGTACGAGCTGCGCGAATCGGTGTCTCTTAAGGATGACGCAAGATTCAATGATAGAATGAGGGAATGATCCATCGCTTCATGATGAGACGGAGGCAATTGGATTATCAGCCTTCACAGTCAATGGCCAATGCATCTCAAAGCTGCCTGGTAAAGGGCTCATTTATCAGGATCATTGCCACCGTGACAAGTAGCATTTGTATCCTTGAAATTTCCTTGAGTGAAAACAGAAGCAAGTGGCATCAAGATTGAGGATCGGGTGGGCGGCGAACGGTGTATCATATTCAGACCGAAGGCGTTACGTGCCATGCAAGCTATGCGTTACTGGCAGTTCAAAAGCCACTCAAACCATCATATAACGACAGACAACTATCCCCATCCGAACCCTCCATCCCACTTTCCTCAATTCGCTCCACCAATGACCCAGATCTCATTCGTCGTATCACTACTGAGAAACAACTTCCCACTCGGACTCCAAGCCAATCCTGCCGGCCTAAAGCACCTATTCGGACACCCTGCATTGTTGTTTGCATTCACCATGATGTTTTCTGCTGCACCCGCGCCACTCGTCACATTGGCAACCGGCTGACCAGTCTGAGGATTCCACGCTACTCTGCTCAACCTGTAACCATCTGGCGGATTCCTGTTCCAGCTTCCGTGGAATGTAACGTAGGCGGCGCTTCCCGCGGCATTGAATTTGAGGTCTAGCGGAGCGGTGTGGGCGGGGAAGCAAAGCTTGGGTGCGACTCGTGTGCATGCAGCACTCGAGGCACCGTTGGTGATCGTGTCACCGACTTTGAATTGAGTGTTGAATGGAGATGGAAGCACTGAAGGATCGAAGATGGAATGGCAGGTGGGGTAGCCGTAGGATTTCCCACGCTCAGCAGAGGAGGTGTCGTTGATCCTTCCGTGGTAGTTCAGCTCCTCGCAAGGGTTCGTGTTGTGGACGTCTTTTCCGCTGACAGTCATGTCGTCCATACCGTTGTTGACAGAGAACTATTGTATGTAAGTCTTGTTTTGAAGCTTCTTTTGTGGTGCGGTGCCGGGAAGAAGGCTTGAGCATAACAGCTTAGTCGCACAGTACCCAAACCGTGAGGGTAAATTGCAAAACGAAATGTAGACTTACGATTCCACCATGAGGGTCCTCAGCGATACCTACGTTGTTCCTAATGCCGTACCCTAGAATTTCGCCCGTTGTGTATGCCTTTGGACCGGCATCGATATCGGCTAGCTTGAATATCCGGATTTGACTTCTGCCGCTCGAAGGTTGGGCAGCACCCGTGTCGAGGTTGCCATTCGAGCCGACTTGTACGAGAAGAATATTGGGCTGGCTTTTTGGCACTAAGAGGGTCCTAGCTGTCACTGTTGTGAGCTTTTCTAGGAAGCCTACTGTTTTGTGCTGATCGTGTACTTACTCGCGTGTCCGCTAGTGCTCATCCCCGTAATGACCGTTTTCTTATTACTCACAGTTCCTGTACTGCCGTCATAGTCCCAGCTGTATACAGTGGATTTTGATGATGCAAACAACTTCTTCCCATTAGCCGAAAGCGCAATGCCGTGGTTGAGCGAACTGTCTGCGATGAGTTGCTTCTGTGACTTCACGCAGATATTCGTGCCGCCGTTATCGGTGAGCTGGATGTAACGGACACCGTAGGCAGACTGCTCGGACGTGAGTAGGTTGCCCTGAATGTCGAAGATAAGACCGCGAGGGCCTGTCGTAAGTTAGTGTCTAAGGTGCTAATGCATTCCAAAGTCACACTCACCCTTGAGCCCATTAACAACCACGCGTCCCTCGTACCCAGGAGCAAAAGTGGCAGCATTGACGGGTGCAATATTAGTGCATGTCTGGCCAAGAGCTGATGGTATCAAGGGCAGCAAAGCCACGACGGCTGAGTGAATAGCGACCATGATGAAGTTCCTGTGTGCGTCCTCCAGGCAAGGCAGCGTGCAGACAGCCAGAGTAAGGGACCAGGTGCTTGACGTCTTATATCCAATCTTATTTCCGCGATGATTCACCCACATGCCACCGGGCGTTCGCTCTCTTCCATCACTCGGTTGCACATGGCATCATTGTAAACCTTGGGCCACCAATCAGGTGATGGCGAGTTCATTAAATAACCTAAATCGGACCTTTTGTGCACCAATGCTCAGTCATTTTTAAATCGTGTCCAAGAGTTTCGAAGGAGCGACTAACCTCCCATGGTTGCAGGTAGAAAGAAGGCGCACAGTTTCGCCAAGTAAAGACCAGGTCGACTGATGTGATAAGGAAGGGGACTCATGGCGGATTGGTGCGAGCAGCAAGAGCCAAGAGCGCGGTCCAATACACTTGCCGATCGACGTTAATGAAACATGGGATCTTTAAGTGTTTTTGGCGGGGTTACCAGGATCAAAAGTGCCCAGAAACCTGGGGAAAATATGCTTGTTGGCAGTTCAGCGACAAGTAATGGTATGTGTCCCCGAAACGTGTTGCGGATCGGTCGATAAATCCGATGTTTGTGTATCGCGAAAGGAAGGTGAGAGTCGTGGAATGCCAACCTTGTACCGGGATCAATATGAGACGATGCTATGACTAGGTAGGTAAGCATTGTCTAGCGCTGGCAAGCAATGGCAGCAAGGGACAGGATGGCCTCATATCCGCCCGAGGAAGTAGTAAAAGCATTGATGTACAATGACAGGTAGAGCCTGGATGGCATGAACATGGGCTGTTCTGGACAAGACAACTTGATGTACCGTACTTGTTGTGGCGACACGGTGAATATTAGGTACTAAATTCTACGCGAGTACGGCGACAAAAATGTCCGCTATGCTTCGTATCTGCAACGATCAGCTAGTACATGGCTCGTCGCAGATTGCCAGATGCTCAGATCGCTGCTTGATGGGATAGATAGACAGGTCGCCGCGATAGTCGATTTCAAGGACAATTCCGCTAGGGTAGTACCGATCTACATCGCAACAGTGGGAATGTGTCCAGGGCGGTGTTGCTCCACAAGAAGGCGCAACCTCGGGAAGCGTCCGGCACGTGCCGTGTGGCGAGCTGATTTGGTCTACCTTGATTGATCGCATTCGGCTACAGTCTGCGCGGTGAGCACTTGAAGCCAGCACTACACTCAAAATCTTTCAAAAAGAACCTGGCAAACGGTGATACTACTGATAAAAGAAAAAAGCAAATTTATGGAGTCTACAAAGGCTAGTGTGAGGATCGAACCCTCGCAAGAAGTGGGGAGCCAGAAAATACCAAAAATAGAACTCATAGCTGAGCTACGTTTCGATCGTAGGTCCTCCGGGCTGGTTGACTGTTAGTATATATATTTCAAGAGCCGGCAGTTGGTCCAACTTACTTATGAGCCCGGCGCGCTTCCGCTGCGCCACTCAGCTTTTCTTGAGTGTCGATGGTAATTTTCGGTGTAGTCAAATACTTATACCTGGCAAAATATGCGGCGTTGCTAATGGAACCGAGATTTACATCTTTTGGGCGGTAGTGGGGTAGTGGGTGGTACTAACGGGTGGGTTCAAAGAGATTTCGTGGTTGTGAGTCATAGAGAGGGGAGAGAAGCGGCACAAGATACCGATGAGCAGACATTAAGCGAGAAAGGAATTCAGTTGAGGACGAAAACTCGAGTTTCAATAGCTATTCAGATGGACTGAGTCTCCTAGGAAATGATGACTGCTTGAGAGGAAATATAGTAAAGTTGAACAAACGCAAATTCCACAGACAAGCCCTAGCCTTCTCCAACGCGACATCTCTGGATCAGCAGCAGTACTGTGGAAATTGCGACATGCTATGCAGATCAGCACTTGAATGGAATGCTGGGGTATATCTTCAGTGCTTCCTCTTCCTTCTCTGCTCTTCCGCAGCCTCCTACACGCCCTTTGCCTCAAACAGATGCCCGTTCTTACTCAACACCGTCCCCATCCCCTTGTGAATCTCAACCTGGAACGGCTCGAACGGAATTCTCTCCCCATCAACACTGATATAGCCTTCCTTTTGGTTCTTGGGTATAATTCTATACGCGCTAATCTTCTGATAATCGACATGCGGCAGATCAAAGAACTTGTGCTGCTCTATGGCGAGTAGAGTGGCAATCGATTTTGTGCGTGGCAATGTGCCCTTGATGCGAACCAAGTCGAGACAGCCGTCGTCAGGTAGAGCGGCGGGAAAGAAGTTGGCATCTGACGACATATAGGCAAGGTTGCCTGCATAGAAGTTGCCGAGTTGGTCGTGCGGAACCAGCTCCCAACCGTCTGGCAATGGATCATTGATAGTCCCGTACTTGAGCGGCGGAATGGCACATGGTTCGCCCGGGGCTGGTAGCGTGCGCTCATCCTGAGTACGTGGGGGTTTTGCTGCCTCTGCGCGATAGGCTGCCCGGACAGCCTCTTTGTTGCCATGTTCGACCTTGATAGCTATGTCCGCAGGGTAGACGGTTTTCTTTAACAGACGTACAAGAAAGCCGTACGTGAAGCGGGCGCTACCCATCCAGCGCAGGTGCTCGGTTGCAAGATCGGTTTCAGCGACGATACCAGCGGACTGAGAGAGGAAGGAGAGAAGACGGCGGTCACCCTGAGTCACAGAAGCGAGGCCCAGCGGCGTACGGAGACCCTTCACGACGGCCAGAGCGGCAAGACTCGGGCTGTCAGTACCGGTATGGTTCAAACACAGGGCGTTCCCGGAGCCGCAGGGAAGTTGGGCGACAGCAATCTTGACTAGAGCTCGCTGCGCGTCCTCCCTCTTCCCAAATCCATTCCAGACCTCGTGCGGGATGCCGTCGCCGGAGCAGCAAGCCACCACGTCAAACTTCTCTATGTCCAGGTTCTGCGCTATCTCAACACCGTGGCCGTTGTGCGTGGTCGATTCCACGTCGAGCTCACAACGCGCGGCTGCCAGTATGGGCGCGATATGCTTGTGGTACATCTGCGTGGCCTTGCCCTGGCCGCCGAAAGGATTGATCAGCACCTTGATGCGCTTCTGACGCTGCGATGCACCGTATGCCTTCTCCAGCAACCGCTCCACCCATGCCGCCGCCAGGTCGCTGTCTGGCTTCTCGAGCTTGTAGCTGATGATCTGCCGCCGGACGACCTGCTTGGACACGGCGTGCGCGTAGTGGATGATGACCTCGCCGTCGTCTGCGGTTTCGGCCCAGAGGACGTTGTAGAAGGGGATCGAGCGCGTCGTCTTGTTGTCTGCTTAGTGTCAATGGCTGGCTACGCGCCGCGTGTGGCATGTTGCTCACTGCCTCCTCCCAGGGACATGCCGCAGCAGCCCGCGCCTTTGCTTTCCAGGAGCTCATCTGCAGCCTGTCAGCGCGCGTCTTGATCCCTCTTCGAACTGGCTGTACGTACCGAGAACGATCAAGGCATCCGTCCCCAAGGTCAGCGAGGCATTCCTGCCCACAGCGAGCGTGGCGGGCACGTCGGCGCGAGGAGTATTTGGCGTGTTGCCTGCCATCGACGGGTCCCTGAAGGGGTCAATTGCATCTTCACCAACGCCGTGCGCCATGTTTACGATAAGGAGTGTATGCACACGTCGGCATGGCGCAGGAACAGCCAAAGGAGGAACAATCACGCGTCAGCACAGTCCCCGGGGCCCGTGAAGCGCGGGATGACCGGGAGGGAGACCCTGGCGTTAATCTTTCACGAGCGGGTGAGGAAGTGGGCCCTGGTTGAGCCGAGGCTCCAGATCCCTACCACCACCAGGTTGCGCCTGTCTGCTCATACATCTTTAGTCGACCAATGCCACCTGCAACTCGGAATTGTATCGCTGACCATACTAATTTCTATGTTGCTGAAAAGAATTGCAGCTACCCAACACCAGTGTTCCACTCAACGTCCCGAACCCTCGGGACTTGATTAAGATTTCGGACCATTGTAAACATATAGAATGACCCCATCTTTTGAGTCTCCCGTGTCCAAGCAAACACGACCTAGACAACTCTGAAGGAGCCATGCAAAGATGAAAGAGAACACACTCGCATTCTCCACATACGGCATTCACTTCATCCGCACAGCGGCCAATATCCACAAGAAACACCACAACTGAGTTGCCCACCGGACCCGGACAAGGACCCGGCAAAATCCATCATAAGCACCAGCCTGCACCACGATCTTACCAAAGGTCTGAGCATGGAACTCATTGCAAACGTGAGTGAAGGCAGGGCGTGTAAAGAAGGCAAACCGGCATTATGGCCCCCCATAATCCGTCCTGGTCACAATGCCTGAATGGTCAACTTCCCATCACTCATATCTAGATTTGCGTACCGTATAGTATCGTGTGACCAACCACAAGCATGGCAAACGAAAACATAGGAGCATTAACCACAGCCTTTGTGCCGCCTTCAGCCTGCCTATACACGGCGTGTCAACTCTCCCAGCATCGCACCGAAAACAAGAACAACTGCTAAAGACCACATAAGCAACATCTGGCAGCTCCACACCACCTAAATAGATGGCCCCATCACAGATCACCGCTTCGAGCTCTTCGGCGCGCTTCTTGACGCATCTCCAGACTGTTACCCCAAAGACTACAACCCATCCAAGTACTACTCGCCCGGCGTATGTCCGTCAGGCTGCACCGTCGCGACGGCCGAGACGTATGGAGGCAGCAGCAGTACTAATAGAGAGGCAGAGCCATACCAATAAACCTCCAAACGCGGCCCATCCCAACCCCGACTTCCCCTTCCTCGATACGCTCCGCTATGAATCTACATATACCACCGAAGGCATATGAAGACAGACGAGCAGCGAGGAGGGTCGGGAGCCCACGCCCGCGGTGGCCAGGGTGCGATTAATGCGTACCCTGTGGTTGTCCGGTTTCAGGCGACGGTTTCGCGGTAGGTTTGGCTGAGGAGAGCGAATGTGAGGAACAAAGCTAATGTGTTGGTGTAGACCAAGACCTCGTCGTCTTCGTCATCGGGCTCTTTTTCTTTGGGCACGACTTCCTCGCCGCCGTTTCCGAGTAGTACCGACACCTCCAAGGGCTCGGGTCTGTCAACGGGTGCGAGTGTCGGTATAGGTGTAGGGGCAGTCTGGTTCGTTCTAGGTTCACGAAAGAGGAAATGTAGTAATGCATGCAGTGATGACCGGCCGGTGTACTGTGCCAAGCCTCCCGTGAATGTATATGCGAACGAAACAAGCGGTAGGATCGCGCCACAGGAGCTGGGGGTAACGGTCGCAACGGGAAGTGCATAGAGATCGAGCGAGTTGGAGGGGTAGTAGTGGCATGGGTAGGGTTGTAAGTATAGATACGATAGTGCGAGGGGATATTAGAGCAAATGCCGAAGCCTTTATGCCTTGAATATCAAGTTACCTCAACACTACAAACATCTCAATACTCTCTACATCCACGATGGTTGTGGATTTGCACTCGACCATGCACCTCAGCGTACAGTGTACGCGACGCATCTAAATCCTTATTTCGTAAACTCTCTTCACTGGAACCTCTGCATGTGAGCCACAGCAGCTCACTTATTCAACCCCTTCAAGCTGCCCAAGCTAAGCGCCAAACCCTGGCTTCTCGACCGAATCCTCACGAAACCTGTAATCGGTCCGTTACTGCCCTCCTGTTCGATGCTCAAGTTGGCCAGCGCATCCTCACCTGTTTTGAATCAGTATGAATGCTTTCTTTTGCCCGTGGGTTGAAGACTCACCGAACACACTCCTGGCATACAAGTTCGCAGACAAAAACTGGCAGTCCCCCTTCATACTTGCCTCTGGTGTCAGGCAAGACATGTTGGTTGATGCCATTAGCTGCTTAAGGAAGTCGCGTAGTGTTTTCGCCTTAGAGTTGATGTTAACCTTGTTCTCCCACTCGAACTCAGTCCACATTGTGCGGAATTGAGTTTCCGTGCAGTAGGCCGGCTTGATGTAGTCCATGATGTCGATGTGCACGTCATTGAGGATGACGACGTTGGAGTCGACGCCCTTCTCACTACAGGTTGTTAGCATTGGCGCACTACATGAGATGAAGCGAACTTGCCCTTCGTATATTATGTTACCAAAGATGACGCCAGTGTCTGTCGAAGAGACCTTGATGGTAGCTTGGAGATTGATAAAGTCGTGCGGGCCAACGTTTTGCGTGGGCGGTCGTTCGACAACCTTGAGGTCGCCAAGGGTAGCGAACTCCACGGTAAGGTTCTGGAGAGTTTCGGTTGTTTGGTTGACTAGCAGTACGTCCAGGACAATGTCGAACTGGTGTACCTTGATATAGGCTTCCGCATACACCGGATCCGAAAAGCCAGTGAGCTGCTGCACCCGGCTAAGCTTCGATGTGAGATCTTCTGTAGCTGTGTCACCGCCAGTCGCTCTTTCAAGATCTTCTGCGACCTCGTCCAAGCCTTCTGCATCTTTCTTTTTAAGCTGTCTTATCGAGAAAGAGTCATCGACATTAATCGCAGACTTCGCCTTCTCGGATGCTTCCTTCGCTGCCCGCTTCTTTTCCTCCGCTTGGACCATGATCCTGAAAGACTTCCGCGTATCTTCGAGGTAGACGGCCTCAAGCTCTTTCTTTTGCGCGAACTCGGAAAGTGACCTCACGCAAGACATGATACGGTCAACGGAGTCCTCATCAATGAGCGTCTTCACGAACTGAGATTGACCGACACGAATGATGGATATCATGATGAGCATAGCCTCTGCTCTTAGACGATTAGTCTGTGCAGTGTCCTGTGAGATCTCTGAAATGCGCATGACGAGCTTAGTAAGGGTGCTAGATAGCACAGCCGCAAGGTAGTAGTCGCCGTCGAGGATAAGCTGGCGGAGCGGTGGCTTCTGGGAGTTTTTGACGGCTTCGAGTTTCGCCTTGGCAGCAGCAGAAGATGTAAGGGCACTTTCCGTCGCGTACGTGCCGTCTGCAAGCACTTTGCGAGACCCTGAGGGTGCGGCAGGTTTTGCGTGTCCGTTGACCTGCTCGGCAGGCTCCTTGCCTTCCGAGGCCTCGTCCAGCAGCCTCTGCTCGGAACTCAGGATAGGAATCTCACCGAGTGATGCTCGAATACCTCGCCATGCGTCACGGATATCCTTGGCTTCCAGCGAGAACTCTCCGATAATCCAAAGAACACCCCGGTAGACCTTTCCTGCGCGGACTTCGCCCAGAGTTGTGACGAGTCGCTGGACAATGGAGGCCCTGAGATCTGGGAAACGCTCTACGACTTCTTTTACGAAGGAAATAACATCCACGGCTGATGCATTGCTGCTAACATCGGAGATGAAATCCATGAGTGAGCCGACCACGCTCGCAGCAACCTCGGGGAACTTGATAGCGGACTGGTGAATGGCGGAGATGAGCAGTGAGCGATATTCGGTGTTCTTCTCGTATTGTTCGTCGACAGTCTTCACCAGTTCCTTCTTGAGCAACAGGACCACCTCTTCGACATTGCGGCTTGTGACCATTTCCAATGCAATGTGGAGCGCCTTTTTCCGGACATCCAAGTCTGGGCTTGACAAGACACGGAGAATTTCCATGGTGAGATCGTCTAGCACACCCTCGTTCTTCTGGCGGAGTTGGTCCACGCGCTCCAGAACGATAAGCTTCACGTTGTTATCAGGCTCCCTGACTGCCAATTCCACGAACTTTCCTGCGGCTGCCTTTACGGCCACGGGATTGGAAGTGAGAGTGGTGAGCGCGTGCGCAGCTTCGTAGATGACTGTGGATACGCTGGACTCGAGCAAATCGAAGATCAATCGCAGATACCGCGCCTTGTTCGATGGGTTGGTGAGGGCGTCTTTCCGAATGAATTCCAACTCGGCGAGCAAAACCAGCTCATCGTGGTTGGGGATCGAGTCGAAGACCGTGCTCAAGTACTCCAAAGCCTTTTCGTGGCTGATGGAAACGAGAGCGGCGAAAGCGTTGCGCTTGCAGGTCGCGTCGTTCTCGTCATCGAGGAATGTGACGAGAAGATCAGGAGCATCTGGAAGAAGCTCGGGTAGATGTGTGAAGATGGATGCGATCGCGAAAGTTGCGTTCTTTCGCACGTACGCGTGTCTATGCGTGAGACATTGCCGGACGGGCTCTAGAAGTGTTGTAAGCACCCTGAATATGCAAATGGACCGAGTTGCCTACGAAGAAGTGGTTCTACAAGCTCGGCATCCCGCAATTTCGTCCTGTGTATTGTCAGCAGCATACCAACCCGCTGAGTTGGGTCCATACACAAAACGCAATGTGTTTCCCCGCACGTATTCGTTAGGTGCTTGCAAGTCGAATCGGATGGCATTGCTGTCGCCGGTCAGTGTATTCCTTCTGGTATCAATGTCCTCGTGTGCGCCCACCAGACCAAGATCCATTCCTGACGCAGCTTCCCCTGGGCGTCATATTTCGGGCACACTTCGAAGAAGAAGTACATGAGCTTCTTCAAGGGCTTCGACTTGGAGGGCATGACAAATCGTATTATGTGCATGAGCAAGCCAGTCTGGGGGTCGCCATTGAGCATGATGGAGAGGATCTTCTTCTGTAGGCTTATTAGCGGAATACTGCAACGCGGGGTATCGTGGACGGCAAGGCAGGCGTACCATGGTCTCAATCTTCTGCTCGTCCGAGCCCTTCTCCAAGGAGTTCTTGAGGTCATTTTGAGAAGGAACGTCGGCGGCGTTGTCCTGGTGGACCTGTTGACCCCTCGTCAGCGGGGAGCTTCACCACCATCACCAGCTGTAGACCGTACCAAGCTGTATGCACTCTCTAGGAAGGTCGCCATGTTGCCAGCTTAGCAGCTTCGCCTGCTACACGTCTGCGCAGTCTCTCGTTGTTGTGCCGCAATGGCTCCGGGCGACAGCAGTGCGCTCAATGCTCTCGGTGCTGTGTATGGGCGGACTGCTACGTGGAAGGAACGGCGGCCGCGGCGGTGAAAATCGGAGTGCGGCAAGGCAGGAGGAGGCGGAGAGGGTTGAGTAGGGTCAAAGGCTTGCCGGGCGCCAGTAGGTGGCTTCGGGAATTCGGGCGCGATCCGCAATGTAGATGCCTTCTACTATTCAATGTCCAGGTGTCTGCTTGAGAATAGTGGTCCAAGGGCGCTTGGCGGAGCTCGCTAAACCGGCCAGGGTCTGTCGACGATCGTGAACTGCTACAAAACATATCAGGCTGCGCCCGCCCGCAACAACGCGCTTGCACCGGTCCACCGAGCAGCAAACCGCATCGCCCGCCATGGCCTCTGAAAACAAGGTCAACAACGAGCCTTTCTACCTGCGCTATTAGTGTGTTCCCCCCCCGTGAAAGCACGTGTTCATGCTAACCATCACAGCTCCGGTCACCAAGGACGATTCGGCCACGAGTTCCTAGGTTCGTAGCTGTCTGCCGGGCGACTGTACACGGCTGACCTTTGTAGAGTTTGACTTTCGCGTGCTGGGAGACGGCCGCAGTGCATCTACACGATATGCGAACAACTCCAACTACCGCAATGATTCATTGATTCGCAAAGAGAGTAAGAGACGCTGTACCCAACCCTCGTAGCATTGGTTAATCAGTTATTTAGTGTGCGTGAGCCACGCAGTGGTCAACGAGATCAGGCAGATCGTCAAGGACAGCGAGATCATGAAGTAGGTTGAAGGTGGATGATATTCGACTGGATGCCCTCTAACATATCCGCAGGGAAGATGACACCAAATGGCCACAGAAGAACAAGGACGGCCGACAAGAGCTGGAAATCAGGCTGGGCAACGAGCACATTTCTTTCGAGGTACGCACTCACCAGCATCTCAGGACTGCTCGTTCCCCTGCGTTGGCAACATCCAAAGCATACCTCGAAGACCGTCTCCCACGTTGTTGGTGGTGCTATTCGATCCATGCGAAGCAAACAGTGTTCTCATTACTAACCTTTTTCAGACGGCAAAGATCGGTTCCCTCCAGGATGTCTCTGAGTCCTCCGACCCCGAGGGCCTCCGCGTATTCTACTACCTCGTGCAGGACCTCAAGGCCTTGGTGTTCTCACTGATCAACTTGCACTTCAAGGTACGGTCATCATCACCATTCGTCCAGTGTGCATGCTTACGAGCCCCGCAGATCAAGCCAATCTGAGCCAGACCTGAAAGTTCGGGGGAATGCCGGATTTGCTTTTGCTGCGAGCGAATAAACCAGGGTAGAAGAGCAGGCGAATACGGCGCGGTACCACCTGTTTGCGGGCCGCAAGGCGTCTGGAGTCTAGAATCATCAATGACCCATAGCTATCAGCAGCGCATGGCAGCTGTTGTCGAGAGTAGCTGGAGCGCGCTCACAGAGCCGGCAGACAAAATGGAATGGATTGCAATGCACGGTTCGGCCCATATCCGCAGCGTGTTCGCGCCGTGATGCAAGACAGTTCAGCCAGCGTCGCCAAGCTCGTTCGCCACTCGGCTGGGTCCGCGTCTGCGCCGACCGACTCTTTCAGATGTCACGCCAGGTGGGAGCAGCTGGCAGACAAACTGAGACGCTCTATTGCATCGGAACTGGCAGCAGCGGCGTCGGCATGGACGTGCTCATGATTGTGCCGGGCTCCACGCAGGGCCGCAACCGTGAGCCGTGGCAGTGTGTGACGACCCATCCACCCTTGTCCCACACGACAGCACGCGAGCTAGCCCCGGCTCCTTCCCCCCGCAATAGGCGCACGAGTAAGCCCCCAGCAAGCCCAGCCGTCACTCCAGATGTCGAGTCCGCATAAACATGACATCCCACCGCCTCTGACCCTGGATCTCCATTCCGCTAGAATCGCGCTGTCCATTCCCCTTCCATCTTATGATTTTGTAGTTTCATTGTTCGTAGTCCGCCCTCTTCCCGCCGGCCATGCCCATCGACGACATCGCGACCGTGCTCACGCCGCCAGTTGACGAGCATGAGAGCATCCTGGCCGGTCGCTCCACATGTCCACTGGAGGAACTGCGCATTCACGCAGCGCACACTGCCAACGCCGCGCCCTCTTCACGCGATACCCTCAGTGACGATGGCCCGATACACGCCCCAGCACAGCAGCCAACGCCGCCTCCTACCGATGACCCAGCATCGCCTGCGCGTACACACTCGTCGTCAGAAACGCACCCGAAACCCATAGAAACGTCTGTCGAAGGCCCTCTCAGAGACATACCCACACCAATGAGCACGGTGGACGATGGTGCTGAAGAACCACGGCACGCGCATGCCTCACCGCTTTCAGCAACGGCACCAACGACCGCCGCCTGGTCGCAACAGAGATACCCCACACCGCCGTACTCAGCTCACAGAGTATGTTGCAACATGCTGTCCCCGCAAGACGTGTTGCATTGGTCGTTGCTCATTGCCTTTAGTTTCTTCCAAACTCCTCGTCATCGCTGCTTCGCCCCGGCAGTCGCTTCAGAGGAAACCAAACCTCCGATCGGCAGCAATACGAGGTAGAAGTCGAGATCAAATATGTAGACATGCGCGACTCGTTCCTATGCGGATATTTGCGCATCAAAGGTGTGCCCTCGTCACAGTCCCAGTCTCACCACTAGCACGCAACTAACAGAACCTAGGCCTGACGGAAGACCACCCAAGCTTGACCACATACTTTGAAGGCGAAATCATTGGCAGCAAATATACCTTCATTACACAGCATCCCGAGTGGGGCTCGAATGAGAAAGTCGACCGGCAACACTGGGGTAGATTCTCTGCCTACAAGCCGCTCTCCAAATACTCGTCGCGGCCAGAGTTGGTTTCAAAAGACTGGATGCAGAAGGAACATCTCTTCATGCGCTGGAAGGAGTATTTTCTGGTTCCGGATCACCGCGTCAAAACCATAAACGGGGCGAGCTTTGAGGGGTTCTACTACATCTGCTTCAACCAGGTCTCTGGCAGCATCGAAGGAATATACTTCCACGCTAAGAGCGAGAAGTGAGTAATGTCTGTTTCATCCATTCAAAACTCGATACTAATGCGCGGACCAGATTCCAGAAGTTGCAGCTGGAACACGTTGAGGACCATGGGTGTCAGGGCGCAATCGAATTTAGATGACTTTGACGACTTCTCTTGTTCATGAACGGCGAAGAAAGGAGCATGTAAATGAAATTTGGGGCACAAACGGTACACAGCATTCTTGGGTGGGCACGCAAGCGTTTTCGGTCCTCCTTCTATCTACGACCTTTGAGACTTTCCTGTACAGATTCCACTTTTGTCTACTACCATTTTTAATGCGGCTGCCTTCTCAGCAGTGCGCCAAGAAGGCTAGCTTGCATATCCATTCATACTATTCTTCGAAGCTGAGCGCTGGTATTCAACGTTCAGGTGAATGCGTTGCGTTAGGTCTGTTACGTCATTCCACGCGGCGGCCGGATTGCCTTCTCCGCAGTTGTGAATCGTGGTTTCGAGGCTCTGGGACCTAGCGAAAAGCTTGACCCGCAACAGCCTTCATTCGCTTCGCTTCTATCGACCTAGCCGCTGGCCAACCACAACCGTACGACCTTGGGCGCTCACCTCCAGCAACACTCCAGATCTACGATGGCTGCAGAACCCCCCAAACGCCAGAAGCGCGAAGAATACAAGAGGTCCCTTGCAGCTGACGATGGGGCTCTGCCAAAGAAGAAGTTCTTCAGGCAGCGCGCTCACGCCAATCCATTTTCAGACCATGCGTTGACTTAGTACGACTTGCTTTGCTATACCTACTTGCTGAGAAGAGACGGCATTGACTAACAACGTATAGCCCAAAGAGCCCAGCTGAGATGGATTGGGCGAGCTTGTACCCTGCATTTGCTGTCAAGAAGCCGGCGCAAGGCGAGGATGGGAAAGAGATCGATGAGTCACGTGCAGACGGCCAGGCTGCGCACGAGGAAGAGCAGAGGGAAGCAAGAGCTATCACGAAGGACGTCGAGATCGCAGACATAGGTTGTGGTTTTGGCGGACTCCTCTTCGCGCTCTCCACCACGTTCCCGGACACACTTTCTCTCGGTACGACCGTCCCACATTCATTCTCTATTTGCTCCCTTTGAATTGTGGAGCCCCGACCACTCTGCTAACATTGAGAGGAATACAGGCATGGAGATCCGCATTTCAGTAACCGAGTACGTGCAAGAGAAAATCCGTGCACTCCGATCACAGAATGCAGAGAACCAAGGCTACCAAAACATCGGCTGCCTGCGCGCCAACACGATGAAATTTCTACCCAACTTCTTCCGCAAACACCAACTCCGCGCTATCTTCCTGTGCTTCCCTGACCCGCATTTCAAGCAGCGCAAGCACAAGGCGCGCATTGTCTCTAGCACACTGTGCTCAGAGTATGCCTACGTAGTGAGGCCTGGTGGGTACGTGTATACGATTACGGACGTCAGGGATTTACATGAGTGGATGGTGGGGCACTTTGCGGGGCATGCAAGCTGGGCGAGGGTGGAGGGGAGTGAGTTGGAGGAGGGAGTGGTTGGACAGTGTGTAGCGACCATGTCCACGGAGACAGAAGAGAGCAAGAAGGTAACGAGAAACAACGGCGAGAAGTTTGTGGCTGTCTTCAGGCGGATCGAGGATCCGGCTTGGCCGGGAGAGCATTGAGAGGCGTGATGATACCACGACGAGTAAAATGATACAACTAATAGGGAATGGAGGACACTCCATTTGATCAGTTCAGAGTAAATGCCCCCAGAGCCTGGTATCTAGACTTTTCCGAACCCTGATATGCATGCAAATGCAAGATATACGCCCCCAAACGCCGCGCTTGAATGACTTCTATGCCCTCCTTTCCAGCACCACACCCGTTCAATCCTCAATCCCACCCCACTCCTCTTCCTCGTCATCCTCCATATCCGCATCCTCCTTCCCCCCCTCCGCCACCAGCCCTCTCCACGCCCTCAGCCTCTCATCACCAAGGGTCTCCTTCGCCGCATTCCTCACAACCTTCAGCCTCCCCTCCTTCGCCAGCGTCTCCACGGGTGCACACAGCTGCTCCAACACCCCCCTCTTCTCAACACGCCACTCCCCCTCCACCTTCTCCAGCTCATCAACCCACACGTCCAGCACATGAAATCTCAGCCCATTCGGGATCTTCGTGTCCTGCGCACTCAGTGGGAACTCCGCCATGATCTCGCCATGCTGCTTTATCCCCTCCTCATTCCCCCAGCTGTTGGCCGCGAGAAACCGGAACGACGCATTGACGTACTGGCGGATGAGGTAGAGGTATTTATCCAGGCGGAGGGCCTCGATGTTCGTCCACTCGCGGGCGATGGTGGCCCAGAAGGCGCGGAGGAAGGGGAGCACGACGGGTGCCTTTAAGCTTGAGGGGAGGCTGGCGAGGGAGCGGGAGAGGGCTTGTTGCTGCGCGGGCTTGTCTTGCATCCACAAGCCTGGTTTGATCTCGTCAGCGGGAGTGAAACAGCATGGGGGTTTTGAGGGGTGTTGTGTGCGTACAGTAGAATAAACCCTTCCACAGCTTGAGCAGGTCGAGCTCTGAGATTTCGGAGCGGGACGAGAGGAATGCGCGGAGCGAGGCGAGGGCGGAGTCGCGCGTGCGCTTGTCGCTCGAGGCAAGGTGCTTGATGAAGGGGCTGCTTTGCGCGTCGTCTGCCATTGTGTGTGGATTTGTTTCCGTGCCTGGGGTGCTTGAGGAGTGGGCTTTGCGATCGGGCTGGCTGCAAGAGTTGCGCGGGACGGGACGCGATCCAAAAATTTAAGGTTATCGATAAGCAAGTTCACTCGTAGAACGCCCCAGGGCTCGACGATCTGCATGTGCTTGCGTGTTGGACCAAGCTATCAGATTCCAGGATGCTTTATTATCTCGAACTACTTATACAATTTCCTTGTGTGCGGCCGCTGGCGTGCAAGTGAATGAATATCCTTACACTTTCTCACGCTGCTTCAACGTTGAGCAGGCCACACGCCGATCGCAGACTGCGCGTCATATAATACCCCCTGATTAACGCGTACACGTGGCTTATATGATCAAATATCACGGCTAAGCCCTCTCTCCCACTACCCAGGCCTTCTCTTACCACTCTCGTGAATGGTTATGCGCCTCGCTGTCGTGAAGTACGACTCAGCATGACTTCTCGCGCATCATGGCCTCCCTCGCGACCGCTCTGCAGAACGTCCCGTACCGCAGCATCGAGCATGTAGGAAGCACGTTGATTCCAGACCTAGCTGAGAAGCCCATCATCGACATCGGCATCGTGATCGATCCAAAGTACTGCCCGATGGCTGCATCAGCACTGTCCTACAACGGCTACGGATTAACACCCGAGCCGACCGGCAACCGCACGTCGTTTCGGTAATCGGCCCACGCTTTTGATTCTAACGCAAGCAAGCTATAGGAGACGGCGATCTTCGGCGCGCTCTATATCTTGATATGCTTACTGCTTCGTCCAATTGGAATATATCACGGTGGGGAAAGCGTTTCTAGATCACCCCGAGCTCTTGAGAGAGTACGCAGAAGTGAAGCAGGAGCTTGGAAGGCGGGGGTTTGGGGATAGTCAATAGTATGCGGGTGCAAAGAGCCAGATATTGCAAAAGATCTTCGCTATAAGTGGACTAGATGAAGATACAATCAATGATGTTACCGCGCCGAATGGATGGGCGTTGAAGAAAGAGTAGGTAAGTTTGTGAAGAGACATCGATTGAGTAGGAAACGGACTCCATACGTTGAAGAAGACTCACGGTTATCGATAAGGAAGTTCAGGTTGGGAAACTTTGATGATCTGCACGTGCTAACGCGTGGAACACTGTGCGTATGTAGTGTAATCTTTGGCCAAACCCGTGAATGAAATCACTGTTGTGTGAGACTTGCATTTTAATGTATATAGACTCAAGATTCCGTTTAGATTGCCACCTCTCTTACACTGACTTGGTTGGTTTGTTCGGCAAAGCTCACCGCATATTCGTGCAGCAAGTAACGATGGCTGAGCCTTCAGCAAGTTCTTCTGTCGCAGGAATGATAGCTTTCTAGTTTGATCGTATCCAATATAACTGTCGGACGTAAGACGTAAGCTTAAAGGGAGTAAATGGTAATGAGATGATCTTTGCATCAATTAAAGCAACAGGTTATCTTTCACTTAAATCTAGTATTTCAGCGAGGACTGTATTAAATGACCTGGCCCGTGCACTAGCTCATCGCGCTAGACACTTGCGCTCAACAACACGGGAACAAACTACCTAGAAATTCGCATAAGCTTCTTAAAAGAGGAAAACCTGTTGTGAGTATATATTGATACTGTTTAGATATTCTGACTAATACTTTAAGGTTTGATTCATCATTCTAGGCCGCTACTAGTCAGCCTAGGTTGTCTTCCAACTGTTTAGTACGTGCCGTCCACATATACCCACTATATACGGATGCAGCGTTACTTAAAAGTACCGAAAACTACCGCGGCATCCTAGTATCCTTCAATGGAAGTCGCTGACCAGTGGCGCACAGGGCTCAATGCCCTCGATGGTCGTAATCCCTACCATTGGCGGACCAGCGACTCGACGCGTTCGGGTAGACAAGGTGTGTAGTTCTTGCACGTTCTGGGCATCACCGCAGAACAGCAGGTATCTAACCTATATTTAGATTCACTCGATCGTGAGCAACCGCATAGAGGACCGGGTGGGTACCTTATGTTCTCTGTAGGGGATTGTGCAAGCTAATTCGGATGTAGGAAGAGCAATTCCTCGTGAGGTGGAAGTCAGACTCGACCGCACCTCCGTTGAGCTGGCACGGTATCCGAGAACTGGCGAGATGCTTAGAACTCGTGCAGGACTATATCACCATTCGAGAAAAGTAAGAAAACCCGGTAGATGCTCTTCAGACCCAACACTAACCTCACGTCCAGTGCGAAAGCTCCCTCAAAGAAGCGGAAGTCACCAGACCTCGGACTAGAACATGAGAGGCGAGCTTCACCGTACGACCGTCGCCTTAGACTTGAGAGCAGAACACGGTCGGCTTCCCGCTCACCTTCCAACTCGTCAGTGTCAACCGGACCGACATCTGGTGCGACCGTTAATGTCTATAATGGAGTGCTGGATACGGACGAGAACGGATTCATCTTCTGTCGAAGCGTAAGCACCACATTTACTTGATTGTGTGCCTAAGTGCCGCGCGTTGACAGCAAGTAGGCTCATAGCCATGGCATCGCTTTCCTAGACGTCCAGAGCCTCCCAACTGACGACATGCTACGCGTCGCGAGGATGTCTAAGATTGAGACCGCGAATATACTCATCCGCGCAGAGTATATACGGCGGTTGTCCAAGGTTGCTGGCAAGAAGATCCACCTGGTCAACGTCCACGATTACACCACGCCTTCACTTCGTTTCCAATACATCCCTGAGTACGTCCTACGTGAAGGGGTCTTTAGAGCAGACTCAGCTACTCAAGAAGGTTGCCAACAGTGCTCACCGCACATGGGGCGGAATATAGGTTGTGAATACACGAAGAAGTGTGGCTGCCTCGAGTACGCGGCTGTAGATGTGAACCGCATAACAACAGCGGAGATGAAGCAGAAATATGAAAACGCCCTCGCAACTGGCGGATCCACACTCGGCTTCCCGAAAAAATTTCCCTACTTCACAGACGGCACAAAGCGACAGCGAACCGGCACCCTAGTGCCCTTCTACCTCGACTCTCGCCACCCAATCTACGAATGCAACGACAACTGCCGGTGCGGGCCTTACTGCCGCAACAAAAACGTGCAATTCGGGCGACAAGTCGAGCTCGAGATCTTCAAGACAGGCAGCGGCCGCGGCTGGGGTCTGCGCTGCAAAGAAGACCTCTTCGTGGGCCAGTTCATAGACACGTACCGCGGCGAAGTCATCACCGACGCCGAAGCCACACGCCGCGAGCAAGCCGGCGGGCAGCTCAAAGCCTCGTACCTGTACAGCCTAGACAAGCACCAGGAGTCCGAGGGCCTGGCCCAGGAAGAAATCTACGTCGTCGATGGCGAATTCATGGGCGGCCCGTCAAAGTTCATGAACCACAGCTGCGCGCCGAATTGCAGGCAATACACCGTCTCCTACAATAAGCACGACAACCGCATCTACGACCTCGCGTTCTTCGCGATCCGCGATGTCCCTGCGGGGGAGGAGCTGACGTTTGATTATCTGGACAAAGAGGAGGGTGAGGGTGAGGGGGAGGGGGAGGAGGAGGAGCCGCCAGATGGCGCGGTGCCGTGTCTGTGCGGCGCGGAGAAATGTCGTAGGTGGTTGTGGCAGTAGGCTTGCATGTATAAGAAGCAGGCCAGTTGTTATCGTGGCTCACGGATGCCAATCGGCATATTCGAGATGGCTCAAGCATTTCCGTTCTTCAGGCCTTCCACCACGGGGGCTGAGAATTGCATCTCTGCATATTTGATGTTGGCACGGACGCTGGGAACTTTATATCAGAAGACATGGGCGAGCTCGAAGAGTCATTCTCGGCTAGGCGGGAAGCCAGTTTACGGGTTTCGCACTGCAGCATGTCGACATTCGAACCTAGCATTGGACTCGTCGATTGACTCCATTCTCTACATAGATACACGAAGCGTACTTCTAGCGTCACTCTCGCACCTCTACATCTTCTGCAACTACTCCTACCATCTGCAGCCGTTCGCTAAACAGCGGTGACCCTTTGCAAGCCTCAGTCGCCCCTACATGTCGCATGTAGAGGGGTTGCATACGGACAGCGCCGCCTCAGCCTGTGCATTAGGATAACGCGCAGTACAGGCGGTCAAAGGTCACGTAAGTATCAACTTGTCTGAAGTTTTACAATATCTCTTTGCAGTGTAAGTCCTGGTACTGCTGGCGTCGCGGTATAAAAGCGCTGTATATGTGATTGTAGGGCGGGCTGTAGATATTCCTTGATATGCCTTGTTAGCTAGCCCAGGTTGATTGCTGTGCACTTCGAATTGCAGCCAGAGAGATGTGTCGATGATGATGGTTGGGCAAACGTCTCTTCTCCATCCGCAATCGGCACACTCCTTGTACACGCACTCCACGTCTCCCAACGTTTTCCCTCATGCGCGAGCCTGTATTTGGACCAAATGGATTGAAGTGCAAGCACAGAAACCAGGTCATAAATTGGGCGGGTGTGCAAGAGAATAAGCGAGTGTGATGGATACGCGATGGATAGAAAGCCATGGATCCCACCAAGGTATCCCCTCTAGTCCAGAAACCGCCATATGCTAATACCAACAAGTACCATACATTCGCGTGCATATTTCCCACGCGCCCATCACGGTAGATGTACTTTAGTATTTGCTGCTCACCAGATCCCGATACATCTTCTTCACATCCTTCAGGTCCTCCTCCAGCTCATCCACCCTCTCCGACTTCTCGCCCAGCATCTCGAGACACTTCTCGTACCGCTCGTTCATCTCCTGCATTTCCTTTTCCAGGCGCTCGACCTTTTCGCCTTGTTCGCGCTTCTCGTCGAGCTCTCGCATGAACGTGACGACTTCTTCTCTGGCTTCGTCGCGCTGGCTGATGAGGCGCGCCATTTCTTCCTTGTTGGTGGCTTTCTCGGATTCCAGGCGGCGCACAGCGGTGGAGAGGCGCTCGACGAGCTGGACGCTGGGACCGGCGCCGACGGTGCTAACGGAGATCATGTCGTTGATTGTGCGATGGGGTGAGGAATTTGCGTCGAAGCCGGCATCGTCGAAGGACGGTGTGTGGATGGATGGGGTGTTGGACACACTGTGCCCATTGCTCATCAGGTTGGACGAGATGGAAGGGAATGAGTCCTGCCGTTGCGGCGACCCAATCTCAGGCGTCCTTGGATGAGTCGAGGTTGACTTTTGTCGAGAGGAAGACGGTCGGCGTGCCTCTTCGAGCATGCGATCTATGGGTGTTTCCATACCATGGGATATCGAGCGTGGGAGTACGTTTCGGCGATTCGTGCCATATATGCCTAAAGGATCTGGGGAGTGCCTTCGCAAGCTTGGTCCAGGAGAGTCAGTCCTAAGATGGTTTTCGGAGAGTGTTGCCTGGGACTGCATCTCCATCCTCCATTTGTTCTTCTCTTCCTCCAGCCGTTGCGAGAAGTCTGCTTCCATGATCTTCTTCTCGCGTTCAAAGTCGGCACGTGCATCCTGCGCCACAGTTTCTGCTTGCGTCAAACGTGCTTGAAGCTTCTGTGCTGAGTTGCGCTGTTCGGTGAGGTCCTGCTCCAGTGTTCGCGCACGATCGTTGATGCTCTCCAATTCATCCTCCAATCGACGTGCTTTGGAATTGACCTCTCGAGCTTTTCGGCGAACGTCGGTTTCACGCTTTGCTGTTTCGTCCCGGTCCTTCTCTAGGGCTGCAACACGGGAGGTGAGGGTTCCCTCGATACCCTGCCAATTTTCGGAAGCGAGGGCGTACTGGGTTTGGAGGGTTTCGATCTGGCGGAGCAGCTTGGCCTGAGAATCGCCGGATGCCGAAGACGAGACTTCCTCGGAGCGGCTTCGGAGGAGTTCGAGTTTGGACTCGAGGTTCTGCAGAGAATGTCAGTTTGGATGAAATCAAACCGATCTGATCAAGGCCTACAGCAATTTCACCACGCAGCTCCAATTCAGAGACGTTAGCCCTTTCCTGTTGCCTCGTCGCTTCGTCTCTCGCCTCTTGCAGGTCTTTCTTGGCGCGGTCCTCTGCGAGCTTCTTCTCGATGCGCAGGTTCTCGATATCTTCCTGCAACGATGCTGTAGCTCGCTTCTCGGCTTCCAAAGCTCCGGTCTGAGCGCGCTTTTCTGCATCCTCGGCCCTCGCCAATGCGTCGTTTAGCTGTCTCCTCAACTCCGCTATGGTGAGACCAGCCTCTTCGCGTTCCGACCGTATCAACTCAATGTCTTTCTCGATCTTGGCCACCACTTTGAGCTTGTCCTGCGCTGCCTTCTCAGCAGCCTCGGCGCGCTTGGCCCTGTCCGTCTGCTCCGCAATTGCCCTTTCAGCTTTGGACAGTCGCTGTTTGAGATTTGTCATATCCTTGTCTGTTTCTAATGCTTTCGCTCGCATCTTCTTAATGGTCGTCATGTGCTTCATTTCCGTCTTGGACAGCTTCTGCCCCTCTTCCATGAGCGCCGCTATCTGTGCATCCTTCTCCGCCAGTTTCTTGTCCGCCGGCGTGGCTCCGGAGTCCGAGGCTTTGGCAGAGGAGGCGAGCTGTTGCGACAGATAGGTGAGCTTCGATTGCAGGGCGTCGATGCGTTCCAGGTGGGCATTGAGCTCTTCACGATGCTCGCGGAGCATCTCATCATGCGCGGTTTGCAGCGCAGACAACTCGACCTGGAGCGTTTCGGGGTCTTGAGACGCTGCAGTGGGTTCTGCGGGGGTTGGTATCTCGATGGAGGGGCGGGACCGCGAGCTGTCGACGGATTGGCGGGGAGACGAGGCCTGCGGAGTCAGAATCGCAGGTATGGCCATGGTGGGGGCGGGTGTCGACGGGGGCTGCTCGGAGACGACCGACGACGCTCGAGGAGAGACGGGCGTCGTGTCGACCGAGGGCCGCGGCGACGGGCCGGCCGCTGGGTGGTCGACTTTTGGGAGCTCAGGCTTGCTGTCGAGCGGGATCTCTGGTGGCACAGCCTCGGATGTCCTCGAGTCTAAGCTCGTCCTGGGTGCGTCGATGGAGGGGTTCTTCAGGGCAGGGCTCTCTGGGCGCGATCCCAGGTCCGACGACGGCCGCGAGTCGGCGCCTTCTTTGCCCTTGTTGACGGCCTTTGCGAGGCGGTCCTGCAGCCGCGAGTTGGGCCGGCTCCGTGAGGAGCTACGGGACACTTGTGCGGTCAGCATCTGCTCCCCGCCACGGTGCCATGCGCTCTCTCCACGTACCTTGGTCGACCTGCAAGCGCTGCTTCTCGGCCGCCTCCAGCTTGGCCGCCGCCTCGGCTGCCCTCGACTTCGCGCTTGCCTGGTCGTCGTCGGTGAGGATGCTGTCCAGCCGCGACTCGAGGCCCGACACGGCGCTGCCCAGGAACGAGCCCCAGCCTCCCTTGCGCTGCGCCATCGGCCTGTCTTCTTTGTGTGTGCGGTCGTCGCAGACGAGTGTACGTGTTCAGAGGCCTTAGCAGCAATCACCAGCGGGGCGTCTTTCGCCTGGGGCCATTCATCGTTCGGGCGCGCGAGAGGCCAGATCGGGAGCGTCGTGTAGTTGCACCTGGGAACGCGAGGGTGCAGTGGGGTTGCGGTGCTGCGTCGTGTACGCGTACGCACTGTCGTCCTTCGGGCTTGTACGTCGCCCGGTCCGCTAATCTGGATGCGGCGGCACAATTGGGGCGATCAGCTGAGAGATGCGGTGGGTTGTGTACGAGGCGCAGGCGCAGTGGGCTGCAAGGCGTCTCTGGCCAGGTGGAAACAATGTTGCTGATCCGCCGACGCGGGTCTGAGCTACGAACTGCCAGGGTCTTGGACCACCGCATTGCGGAACCAGCTTCCGGCTTCCGTTGCTGGGAAGCGGGAGACGAATTGTTCCATCTTAACTGGGTGCCTGCATCTATGCTTCCTCCATAACTGTACGCTCCAGGAGAAACACAGTTGTCATGGTGCGCGACGCAGATGACCGATTAGGTTAGTCGGCGTTTGGTACTCCATCACGCCGTGGATCCCCAGTAGTTCACCCCAGCTTGTACTCACCACACGCGACACATCCGGACCGCCGCACCTGGCCATATGAGGCTAGCCAAGATGCCTCTAGCAGTGAGTTACGAACCATGCTTTCCTCTGTGGTATCACTCTTTGCTCCAGAGGCCGTCTCATCCTGCATCACCATTGGCATCAAAGCACTTGAGCCGAGTATTTATTCCGAGTCTGTCATCTTGACTTGTTTTCATAAATTTGCCTCGTTTTCCATGTCTTCTACTTAGTTGGAATGCATATGCACTCTGAATGTCTCCATACGATCAGGTAATGATGTCGTTGTCCCTTCCGGCGTGACGGAGGCATTCAATCGGGGTGACTTCGCACACTCTTAGGACAGTCATCGCTCACTGACTTCCATCTTACTCTAAGTTATTTTGAACTACTGTTCCTCTGATTACGTCTTTTCACCCACGTTCATTTCAATGCTGGACCTTCCTCTTATGCCCTTCCTACCAAAAGGATCCGCAACCCCAAATACAAATGCATACTAACACGCCCCCAGGCAATCGGCCAAATCTGCTCCACAGCCTCCATGACACACAACCTGTCCCAATGCACTTCTCTCATTCGCCGCGCCTCCGCCGCCGGCGCCGCGGCCCTCTTCCTCCCCGAAGCAGCCGACTACATAGCTTCGTCCGCCTCCGAGACCGTCTCACTAGCCCGGTCCGTCGAGACCTCCCCCTTCGTCCTGGGCCTCCGCGCGGCAGCAAAATCGCACCGCCTCCCCCTCTCCGTCGGCATCCACGAGCCCAGCACTTCCGGCGACAAAGTAAAAAACACGTTGCTCTGGATCGACGGCGACGGCGAGATAGCGCACCGCTACCAGAAGCTCCACCTCTTTGACGTGGAAATCAAGGACGGACCGATCCTGAAGGAATCGAACAGCGTGGAGCGCGGGCCCAGAATCGAGGACCCCGTTGACACGCCCCTGGGCAAGGTAGGCATGCTCATCTGCTTCGACCTGCGGTTCCCCGAGCCCAGCCTCGCGCTGCGGCACCGCGGCGCCCACATCTTGACGTACCCCTCCGCCTTCACCGTGCCGACGGGGAAAGCGCACTGGGAAACTCTCCTCCGGGCGCGCGCAATCGAGACGCAGAGCTACGTCGTGGCGGCGGCGCAGGTGGGCTTTCACAACGAAGAGAAGACGAGGCGGAGCTATGGGCATGGGATGATTGTGGATCCGTGGGGGAGGGTCGTTGCGGAGCTCGGGGGCGAGGACGACGACAAAGGGAGGGGGCTGGATGAGGGGGAGGTGAGTTATTTGATGTGGGTTTGGGCGACGGAGTGCTGACAGTGTTAGATTGCGTTGGCGGAGATTGATCTCGAGTATTTGGAGAAGACGAGGAGGGAGGTGCCGCTGTTGAGGAGGACGGATGTGTATCCGGAGATTGCGTGAGAATGGATAGTCGGGGAAGGGAATTGGTAAATTTGTGTATGAAGGAAGATCAACAACACTAGGTGGGTGGCGCCCTGCTACCCAACGCACCCGACTCGCTGTACATGAAGAAATATCTGCATCTCGACCTCCGTCTTCTCCAGCGGCCGACTCTCTACTCCGACATCCGCCCCGTCGTATGCACATCTCGTGAAGCGCAAACAAACAGCGTTACCGCGCCATCTCAGACCTACCCACCCTGCAAAACGCCGTCCGCCAACCGAACGACTCACGCCTCCACAAGCCTAGGCACAACATCCTCCCCCTTCATCAACGCCGCTTTCCCCTCCAGGTCCAGCCAAGCCAACCCATGATTATGCGGCGCCGCATCCTCCTCAACCGCCCCCCTCACATTCTCCAGCGGACACTCCATGAGCCCAGCCACGCGCTCCAACAACGTCGTCCAAAGACTCTTTTCCTTGGTCCCCTTCCTCGGGCCCTGCGTGATGGGCAGCATGCCGATGCCCTCCATGCCCTCCAGCACAGATTCCAAGAACCAGTCGTGGATCGCGTGGTCGTGGTAGAAGTTGAGGAGTGTAACTTCTGCGGACAGGGAGGTGGCTGGCGGATCCGTTGGGAGGAGAGAAGACTGGATGAAGGCAGGTCCGAGTTGCAGACTGGCTTCCGCGAAGCAGAACTCGATGTCTGAGCGGAGGGCGATGGTATTGGCGTCCATGAAGCGGCCGTACGTGCGCTGGTGGATGATGCCTTCGCCGTGGTAACGGGCGGTCAGGGTGGCGTGGTGCACGGCGAGGTACATTGCCGTTAGCGGGTCTTTTGGTAGAGTCTTTAAGAAGGCGAGCTTTGCGGGGTGTGATTCTAAACGTGCTTAGCAGCTTCTACAAATGAAGGCTGTATAAAGCGTTGAAAAGCGAGCTTACCGAATGATTGAAGGTGATACAGTAGGAGCAGTCCGGTGTTGACCAAGCCCATGTTGTGCTTGCGCACGGGGAACACGTTGTGCTCGCTGACAAGCATCGCCATGAGATCGTCTACACAGTCGTAGCGCTTGACGCAGCTCTGCATCCACCTGAATCCTTGCTGCTTGGTCGGAAAGTCGACAGGAGCGTGCCTGAGCTCCTTGCGCGCAAAGCTGTACGCAAGAGACTGTTCGTACGAGGAGAGGATGGTTTGAAGTCTTGAATGCGTTCTGGCTAGGTTGGAGACTGTGCTGCCGTCTCCGAAGGGTAGTCGCTCGATAATCTCGAGGATCAGCTCAGCTGGGAATAATATGAGTTTGGAGGTAGCGCCCATCGTAGGTATGGTGTGCTGAATGGGCCCCTTGCTCTTTACTGTGGATCACTATACTGTAAAGTACTGTTCAGCGTATAGATTGAGCCCACAGGAGTCAGAACGCTCGTATAAAAGAAGATGGGATTGAGTTGGAAGCTGCAGTGTAGCTTGGTCTGTGTCGGGCAGTTGCGCACGCGCTGTCGTCCGTCTCAAATGTTGCAGCAGCCTAACTTGTGCGACGAAGTCTCGAATCTATAATGTGTGCTGTCGGCCGGGCGTCGATGTTTCGAATGAATTGCGGACCGAATTCGAATTCGTTGTTCCAGTTCCCCGATGTGAATATATACGAAGCCGACCAACGGAGCACCATGTTGGCGAACCACGCCGGATGGTCCACACCTGACGTTTGGAAAGAAAGCAATGTACTCAACTGAGGTCACGTTATCAAATTCACGTACGGGAGGCTTATCCATATTCGTTGGCAGGCTGACAGTGACATGTGCATGTCAAGGATGGTGGCGAGGGGGAGCCGTAGAGTAAAAGTGTTGGTTGTTGCGCTCGTTGCATTGAATGTCGGCCATACTATGCGCATATAACGAAATCGGGAGTCTTAGTTGATAGGCGCTGGCAAATATTCCAAAAAGAGGCGATGGCACTGTGAATGATTTCCAGGCATGGAGGTGGTTGAGAGAAGAGGGGTGGAAGGTTCAGAGTTCGTCGCACGGTTGAGTCAATCATGGCGTGGGTTGCTGTTGGCCAGCCCACCGCCCTTCCTTTCCCCTCGGCAAGCACGAGCCTCACAATCGAATGCGATGCGAGCCCAAATTACATTGTGTAGCTTTGAGGAGGGGTACGCCTGTAGCCAACCTCCCAACTGGTCTGCGCGTCTCACGTCTACATCACGCCAAAGCACGCATTTAGAGAGCGACTTCCATTTTACTACCTGCTAAACGTTACTCAAAACCACCCCGACAAAATCATTATGAGGACAAGGACCGACAGAAAGAATCCTCCAAGAAAAGTAGATTTGACTTTTTATGCCGCGAGGCGCTTGTCTTTGGTATAAAGTATGATCGAAGGCCGTGTTGATATCCCGAAAAATGCCGATGGTATCCAATTTGAGGTAGGTGAGATGGAGATGACATGTAGTGCTGCGTTGGGAGAGAGCGTGAGGGTGCGAGGACTGACAGAAAATATCTGTAGTGAGAGGTGTTTCAGAGAGCGGTACCATTCAGCGCGAGCCAAGGAGACAAGGGATTATGTAGGAAAGAAAGCTGAATGGCAAGAATTTACATTGTATAGAAGTGAAATGTTTCGTCCATCTCTTCGTCCTCCTCCGTTCTTCTTGCAGCGTGGCCGCTGACGTGCTCCCGATGATCCTTCTGCTCTTGCTCCAAGCCACCATATGCACAATGCTCTGCTCCTTCTGTGGAATAAAATACTCAAAATGCGAAGAAAAATGCAGAGCTAAAAACATGCCAAAGCAACAAACAGGCTAATATAGACAACCACTTGTGCCGCCCTCCCGGGTGCGCCCGGGAAGATGAAGAGGTATGGTGGTAGAAGCAAAGGGTATCCGAAGTTTCCGCCGCGAAGCGCATGGAATGAATCCAATTCAAGTCTTTAAAGTGTTCAGAGTCGCTCAGATGAGTCGCTCTTGAAACAAGACAACAATGTGATGAAGACAACCCGCTAATGATACTGACAATGTAAAAAATGCTACGCTTCAAACAGTAAATGTGATTTGGAATGATGGTTTTGAAGGCATGATGCGAAATGGTCATAACGTCGTCGCGGAGATTATATGTAGATGGTGAGATCGAAGCAGTAAGTAGCTGCTCAAATCATGGGGGTCTCCGGCTGGTATACACCCGCTTGAAGCGTATCAGGGGGCATGTTGGCTCGGATTTCCTTGGGATGCTTGTATCCCGAGAATGGGTTATGTGGGCCCTCAATCGGAGAGACGATCTGCTCCATAGGCTGGGGTGGTGGAGGTGGAGGTGGAAGTGAGAAGTTGCCAAAGTATTCGCTGCCATGTCCATCAACAGGAGATCGCGCGCTAGAGCTTCTTGGGAAAGAGTACTCGGGGACACTTTCGTAAGGAGGAATCTCTGCGCGCATCGGTGGTGACTTGTTGCGAGAGCGGCTAGTACTGCGCATCCTCTCAGTGACTCGCTTGAAGGTCATGCCGATGTTCTCGCTGACGCTTCCCCGGCCGCGTCGGTGCGACTGCGGTGAGGCAGCCACTGGAGAGACAGCCTCCTGCGCCTTCTCCACAGGGTTTTCATCGATGGCCATTGTGATTAGCATACTGCTCTTTGGGCTGGAGTTCAGTTGAAGAGGCGCAGGAGGTGGAGGTGGTGGTCCTGCCAGGTGTTGTAGCTCCGCGAGTAGTGGGGGGGCAGCAGGGTCGGTTTCGAGAATAACAACCTGATTCTCGTGGATGGTCTCATCGATACTGGCTGTAATTGGCGGAGGGCTAACGCGCTTGTAGTTCGGTCCGGTAACGCCGTCGGATGAGGTGTTTCTTGAGTGACCACGGTTGCCGCCCAACGAGCCACGTCTACCCAGAGGATAAGTAGGTGAGATTCTGGGAGCCATGTTGACTGGTGAGAGGTCCTCCGGAGGTGCGGAAGCCGAGCGAGCCAGAGTTGGCTGGCCGAATGTAGTGGCAGGTAGGAGTGGGCCCAGATCATCTTGAGCATCCTGGCTTTGCTGAGCGCCTGCAACCATAGTATCCGGAATCGTTGGAACAGCCGGAATGCCTTCCCTTTCATGAGGGTCAGCACTCATGTACCGAGGGTGACGCATCGCTCGTGGAGTGGCTGGGAGGCCGATTGGTACAGACATCGTCGAGGTAGCACCCATGTGCATTCTATTGGTTGGTGAGTACTTCTTAGAGATCTCAGGGTCGGCAGTCTGGCTACGCTGGATGGGGTCCCGGTGCATGGATATAGTAGCGAACGATTCCGAGTCATCTGTATGAGAGCGCTCGACAGTCACAGGCCGGTGAGCCAGATCGCCAGGGTGGGGAATGATTGGCGCAGAGGGTCGTCGAGCTAGGGACAGTCGACGTGCTTCCAGCTCCTGAGCGGCCAACTCCTTCCTAGAAAGCGTAGTAGGACGACGCTGTCCAGAGCGACCAGAGAGGTTGGAGTGTCGTGAAGCTGGTCGACTCTCGGTAGGTAATTCTGGCACGCGGTCTGGCGAAGCATCTCGAATGGCGGCACGCGGTCGACTCGTCTCTCGCAGAGCAGCAACTGCTTTCCGACTCATTGACCGGTCGCGAGGCAAGCGGCGATCCGGTGACATTTCCCTTCGTGAACTTTGTGCACGCTCACCAGGGCGACGGCTCGTGCTTCGCTGACGGGGACGGACTGGCTCATACGATTCGGTGCCGGCTGCATCGTCGCGATACATTGGCTTGGGCGAACCGGGAGAGCGCCTCGCGGAGCTCTCATCACGAGTGGAGCTACGACCGCGATCGTCCTTGCGACGCTTGCTCGAGGTGCGACTGACACCCCTACTCTTAACGGGTGGTACGGCTTCTGGTGACTCTGCACGACGTGCAGTCTTGGATGACGACCTGGCTTTACTTGCGCCAGTTCTTGCGCGACTCCTATGAGTTCGGCTACTACCGATCGACTCAGTGGCAATGGGTGAGCCAACATCAACCTTATAGTAGCGTTCGTCCTGGAAGCTGTCCGTGTTGGTTGCAGCCTCTTTACTCGTCCGGGCGTATATGCCAGCATCTTCAGGAGACATTGGCACCGGCGACGAAGGGGAGCGCTTAGCAGGGCGGATGTAACGAGCACCGGAGCGGCCTCGAGATTCTGAGACGTCGCGGGTTCGGCTTCGAGTTCTGGCTGTTCGACTGTCTGGACGAGGTTCGGTGCGTGAACCCGGACGAGGCTCAGGCTTGGAGTCACCACGGTTTCGAGAATAGTAATTAGCCTCTTCCAAGCTGCTGATGTACTGGTCAATGCCGCGGGCTTTTGCACTCTTGACGCTGGCTCCCGTCAGCGGTGGACTCAAATTGATGTAGCCAGTATCAGGGCCGTTCTCCATGATAGTCTCTACCACTTCAAGGTGCAAGTCTTGTACGTTGCGGCTGCGAGAATGGCTACGTGGGTCATCATCTCTACTGATGAGGTTGTCGAAGACACCTGCAGCAGGAGACGGCAGGTGCTCCTTGGGCTTAGCCGGATCATAGGTCGCAGCAGTCAAGACAATCTCCTTCTCGCTGGCACCAGTCGATGCTGCGCGGCGGCTTGAGAACGGTAGCGTTTCTGCCTCGCGTCCGATGTTGTCGATTGCAGTACGAGGAATCTCGTCACGTTGTCCGCGATTTGGTACAGCAAGAGATGCAAGGTACTCGTTGTTTGTTGTGGACCGTTCTGTGCCCGACTGAGAGGGAAGACGCTTGCGGTTGTATGAGCCGGGTGTGGCAGTCCTGGCCGACGATGGCTCACGGGATCCGTCACGAGCACGGGCTGATCTTAGGCTTGCGCCGAGCCACGGGTTTCTGCCACCAGTGGGGCTCATGGCGGACTCTGCGATAGGTGTAGCGCCAACGTGCATGGGAGTCTGTTCGTCGTCTTCGGGGATCATCTGTTGCGGTTGGGGTCCTTGACCAAAATTGGTGACAAGTTTGAGGGAAGACATCTTTGCAGTGATTCGACTTCCTCCAGCGCTTGGAGGTGAAAGAGGCGGACTAAGTTGCGAGCCTAGAAGGTGCTGCTTTTGAGCAGAGAACACTGCGTCCTGAGCACGCGGAGAAAACCAAGGCTCGGAAGACTCTAGACCCATGCAAGAGAAGCATTTGACAGCGAGCTCTGCTTGGCCTCGAGAGACTGCGGCCTCGCCCCACTTCCTGACAAGGAATGATTGTCGTTGCCAGTCAGTCGGGAACATGAGACATGTAAGTAGGATGGCCTCCATGAAGTATTTACGAGACACATATACTTCGACGGCATCGTTGTGCTCACCTAAGCCGAGTAAGATAGCAACGGCAGGGTGGATGTCGCCCTTCTCAAGAAGACGCTGGACGAAAGTTTCCCCAACTTTCTTCTGAGTACCCTGGCCCATGGAGCTGAGAGCAAGAAGCATCCAGTCCGAGGAGGTCATGGACTCAGACCCGACCATGGACGCCATGAGGTCGGCACCAGCATCGCCAAGCCACTTCGAAAGTAGAACGGCCGCGGCTGACCCATGAGGATGGCGGGCAACTAGGATTATTAGGATCCGACTGCGTCAAAAGAGCGGTTTACTTACGTTCGTCACGAATGAGTTCTTCGATATCATTCTCCCAACCGAACACTACGCGAAGCATGTTCTGGCGGAGGTCATCTGGGGACCTCTCCGGACCGAGTTGAGAATTCCGGTATGGAACATCACCAAGCCTAGCCTTGGTGAAGGGAAACAGGTCCATGTGCTTGGTACGATGGCTCTCATCGGGGCTCCGGAGTACTTCCTTGCGAAGATGAGAAGAAGTGAAGCGCGAAGACGTAGCCGACGAGGTGGACTTTATAGAGATGCTCTCGCGAGAAGCACCCATCATGGACGAGGTGCCTGATGAGAAAACAGTACCCCCTGAGCTCTTCGACGACCTAGTGTTGGCAGGCTTGTCGTATCGGTAACGCGGTCCACGTCCGCTCCCAGAGGACCTAGAGCTTTGGGAACCCCGACTGGAGACAGGACTAAGAGGGCCGACACGGTCACGGCGCTCCTCCTCCAGCTGGTCCATCTCTTGGGCGATCTTCTGTAGCGGTGAGAGTACAGCCTGGCCCTCACCTTCACTACTTTCAGACTCGATCAGCACATGTGCCACTGACTTGGGTTGTTGGGCAGTCAGTGGAGTCTTGCTAGACTTTTCATGTTGTTCATCGAGGGAGTGAGGAGGAGAAGGGGGAGTGTTAGCGGGAGGATGCTGGACATTTTGAACAATCGTTGGCGTCCCACTAGGATTCAAGTCATATTGCTGCACACCGTAGTTACGACTCATGGTGAAGAGGGTAGCAGTGGGGCCGTAGTTGCAAATGGCAGCAACATTGTCGACCGTGGGCACACTCTCATACGAGACTCGCTTGGTGCGCACATCCCAGGAGGCTGTTTGACTATTGGGCGATGAGTGGTCAGCATGAATTTCGTTAAGCGCCGGGCGCCCGCACTATGCAGGGCAGCCCCGTGTGAGCGATCTGGAATACGCACCCTTCCGTGTATTGGACGATTCGGCCATTTTTCGACCACGCGAACCAACAGGGGCCGGGTTCTCTTTGATCCGATTTGTTGAGGATGCGGATCACACAAGGGGTGTCGCCACCGTGAGCAACCTTGGGGATACTCCACACTCTGAGATCACCATCTGAAGTCTGAGCAGCTAACATTTCAGACTTTTGCTTCGAGGACGATCCATGCCAGGCAAGCCCTGCAATAGGAGAAGGGGCTCTAGGCGTTGTGAGTGTGTGGAGAATAGTAAATGACGGCTGCAGCGTCGCAATCAGAATCGAGCCATTCAGGTATCTGGAGTCGCTTAGCATGAATGTTTCTGGCACGTGGGTATTGTGTCAAACACGTACCCAATCGCAAACGTCCTGCAGTCTGCCGCAGGAGCCAGTGCCGTAATGGGGTCGAATATGGTCCTCGCAGAAATGTGCTCGGAGGTTGAGGGTTCAAAGAGGATGATGTTGCCTTGCGCATTGCCTGTTTCCTAGTTAGCAAGATGCGGACGAAGCAACTGAAGCGGGTTCCCCTCACCAAACGCAACATTGCCGTTCCTCATCCACGAGGCAACCCGAATCTGGTCATACGATGCGAAACGAGCCACCTCATCGCCCGTGAGAAGATCCCACACAATTGCGGTGCTCCCCGCATCGTAGCTCACTATCAGACGGCCCGCTCCGCGCTCACTGACGGTGTCGGCAGAGATCCACGAAACATCTTCGCGATGCCGGGTAAATCTTCTTTCCACGGCCAGGGTGTCATGGTGAAGGCACAGAATGACATTGCGCTGGGCGTAGAGCAGGAAGGAAGCTGTGGCAGCGCATGGTTCAAAGGCAAATTCGTCGCTTCCTGGAGTGATGCTGGGTGTCGGCGGCTTGTGCTGGACATCTGAGCGCACAGAAGAGCCTCGCGACGCCGAGCGCTGTCTGGCGAGTCCGGACGACATGGTGCGCGGGCCTGGGGAGTGGCTGTCAGTCAGTGGTGTTGAAGCTACGAGACGCCCACACGGCGCATAGCGAGGGCAGACAGAATCGATAAAGACTTGGGGAGCACAATCAGGGGCTTCCAGAAGGGCGTGGATGAAACTGAGAAGACAGGGCCGGAGAATTGAGACTCACAGCAACGTGCGCGCTAAAGAGCAGTGCAGCTGTTCCCAAGCTCCACGGCGTTTAGAGGGCGGTATAGTTTAGCCCCGCCCTGGCTGACTGGGGTTGCAAGTGGGCGGTAGACGAATCTGCATGCGCCCGTTCTCTAGGAGGGCAGTATCACGACCAACGTGCAGCTGGAGGGACAGACGGCAGGCAGAAGAGACAGAAGGGGTGAGGAGAAGAGCAGCAGAAGCGCGGGCGAACGAGCGAGAGTTGATGCAGTAGCTGGCCTGGGCCTATCAAGGGCCGGCGCTTAAGATGGGCAGGACGGATTGATTCCTGCTCAGAACAGGACGAGCAATCGGAGCAGCAGAGTCAGGGCAAGCCTCGAACGCACACGCTTGCGCTTAACGAGGACAGGAACCGGGGACAGTGAGGCGTCTAACGGCTGGGGTCGCGCGCCGCTTCATCCATTTGCTGGCGTCTGCGGTCGCTCGAGATGGACGTCGGACTCGACGAACCAGCGAGATGCAGGGCGCGGCGGGCGCGCTGGCAGCATGCTGGTCGCCAAGCTGGCCGCCCCAGTAACACGACGGCATCGTTGGCCAAGTTTCGCGCTGCAGAAACCGCGGTGCCTGCATGGGACGAGCAGCGCAGCCTCTCAACGGTGGCGATGGCACAGGGACGAAGAGGTCGTCGACGGGGGTTCAGGATGAGGAGGGCAGCGCGTCAGGTGATTGGGTGCGCCGACGTGACAGAGGCAAGCCTAATCACGCTGGCGACCCTATCACGATGCGCAGCCGGGAGCCTCTGGTAGGTACGGGCCGCCGCGGCATGGATCATCCTTCACGCCATGCCCAAGCAGTGCAACCCCATCGCGACGGGCACCCACCGCATATATCAGACCGCAATGCGCTGCCGCGACGGCCTCGCTCCACCGACACCTGCACTGCTGTCGACATGGCGTGGCCGCCGCACCACCAAGCTGCCAGCCCCCAGCGGCCTCGACGACGACCGTTGGGGGCTGCGGGGGCCGTCTGCACGCCGCGGCCCCTACGCCGCGCGGGACCCTCCCTTTGCTCGGAAACGGCCATGATGTCTCGTGGAACGGCATCGTGTGCTCCTCCGCTCCCGAAATGCAACACGAGCGAACTGCTTCCTAGCACGCATCCGCAGTCGCGCAGGGCTCCAGTGCAGCGGTCAACCCGACCCATACTGGGACCCGACAGCGTGTTATCGCAAGGCACAGCACTGCAAACGGGAATACGGATCCGTCCACGCATACATATGCTGCTCGCCCCTTGACCCAGGTACCCCTCTGACGAACACACGCCTCCTGGCACCTGCTTCAGAGGTACATGGACACACGCTGTTGCTGTCCGCCGAGCGCTCGTTCGGCTGGAGCTGTGCCGCAAGCCCTTCCGTCGTCCCGCAGTGACTTACAGCTGTCCGAGCTTCGTCGATCCGCGAGCGAACTTGCACAGTGCTGTATGCACGCTGGTCCAAACGCAACCGCATATTGGCTCTCATCTTGATTGACCCCGCCCCAGCCTCCTCAATTCTCTAGCAGCATGAACCAGTGGCCCGGCCGGGCGTCTTATCGTGCTGGCAATATTCTCTGCTGCCATTGACGAGCCAGTGCGCGGCACGCTCTAGATCTCGCTCCAGCAAGACGTTCACAATGCGGCGCGCAAGCTACTAAGCGCCCGCACTAGCAGCTGGAGCTTGACCCTGTCGTGCAGCAGCCACTTGGCCCTCCCCAACCCCACGTTCCTCACCGCAGACGAGACGGTGATGCGAGCGTTCCTTACTGCAACGCAGCACACTTTTCCAGAACGTCCCGGCAGTTCACTCTGAGACGGGACAAGCTCCTGGGTCCGCGCTGAGACTCGGTGTAACGCAGAGCATGCGTCGGGAGCCGGAAGAGACGTTTCTTTCCCAGCAGAGTCACCACCGCAAGCACGATTCGCTTAGATCCGCATGGCCGCTTACCACAACCGGGTGTGTGCATTATTTTTGGACTCGTGCAAGGTCACGGGTCTGCCAAATCTCGTGGCGAGCGTACCTGGGTACGTTTCTTGAGCGAGTCACAGCCGTGCTATTCGTTCGCGGTCGCATGTGGTAGCTTTTACCATGTCCAGTCGCCATCGCAGCCGTGGGCCCGTATGCCTTGCACACCGGTTTGATGCCCAACAATTCCAGTGAAGGATCCAGCTCGTGATCTGCTTCGGCACAAAGGATTGTGAAGCGCAGCGGTAACTCTATCCAAACCGCCAATGGCAATCTTCGTCACCATACGGGAGATGAACGTCACATTGCGATGTTATGCGCGCGAAGCATGCGAACGCGCTATCGAGGCATTTTGGACCCATCCAATTGATACCTCGACGAATAAGCATAATGAGGCTGAGCCTAAGATTGCCGTGCGAGCCCGAGATCATACTGTGTAGGACCTTGGGGGCATGGAAGAGCCGATAGAGTAAAGCCGGTGTTAGATCTTCGCATTCACCGCCAGATCCAGTAGCTCCTCAGTGCCGACAACCTGGAGACGAGCCTCACAAGGTCAGCACATCAAATCGTAAAGAGGTAATGCCGCGACACATCACAGAATAACAAGCTCGAGTACGAAGTCAATAATAACTAATATTCGCTGGGTATCTGATGGAATGGGTATCAATGAGGAAAGGCGCGACCGCCATCACAGCCCAATACGCTGTGCGGCAGCTCGCGCATGAAGAATCATCCCGTTCCCAGTCGCTATGTTCCGTTTGTCGGAGGGGTATCAAATGCAAATCCCGCGAATCCCAAAACGCCTGCAAATGCCAAAGACTCATCACACCCCAACACCCAATGTGAGGCGAGCGCTCGCTCAACCTCCAACTTCCATCGCTTGAATCCACAATACTGCGGCTGCGGTCCGACAGTACCGGCCTGCAGATCATTCCATCTAATCCTGGCAACACGAAGGCGGCCAGGGCAGGTCAGGCCCAGGCGTGGAGAGACGTCGCACGCCAGCACGACTGCGTCAGACGGCATGTGAAGTGCGACACAATGCTGCGATGGTATGTGCACCCCGCAGCCCCATACTCCTGTCATGCTCAGGGTCCTGTCATGTTTAAGAGGTACCGAAGGCCTGTCGGGTTCCGGGTGCTGAGTAGTCGTTGTCGTTGTCCGGAACCGGTCAGGGTGCGAAGCGGAATGCATCGCACGATGAGTCTGGACCAGACTCATCCGCACACACGAGAGGAACTCTGCATCGATCAGACGATCGAAGAAGAAAAGGCTCCGAGATTGAAATGCTGATGGCCGAATGAGAATGCGGCGCTAAAATGATAGTGCGCTGACGTCATGCCGTTGATGTTGTAGACAACGGAAAGATGACTGGACCCCTCGTTAGCGGCTTTTTCTGCAAGCATGCAGGTTTGAACTTACATGAGGTAAACAAAATCAAGATGCTCGTTCAGTCGCGTTGGGCCTCAGGTGACTCGGAGATGGGAGTCATGGGCTTACTGGAGCGGCGAGGCTTGCGGCCACTGCTGCGCCTGCGTTGCTGCTTCTTCGGCTTCTCTGAGGCGAATAGTGGCGGCAAGATGGGGAAAGCCTGGGCCATCGGGGGTTGGCGTGGCGGTGCAGGTGCTTCCTGCAGGTAGGGGCACGAGAAGTCGTCGTCCAGGTCCTCGCCGAAGAGGTCGGCGTCGCTGATGTAGGAGCTGGGTGTGCTGCGGTACCCGAGTGCACTACCTGTTGGCCAGGAAGGGTATGCACATGACGAACCGCGGCTGGAGGTCGACGATTCGATGGAGCAGTTGCTGTAAAGGGAATCCGTCGGTGAAGACATGGTCTTGATGGAGATGGGGAGCGACTTGGATGGCGAAGAACCTGGGGAAGTTTCGAAATGCATCGCGGCTGTTGTGGGGCTCGGGATGTTATATCTTGTTGGCGGGCGTATTCGGCTGAGAAAGCCCTGATGTGCTCCCGGACGCGCTTTTTCGCGTGGTCGCCGTTCAGCTAGCGCGGGAGTAGTGTGAAGGAGGTCTACCGAGGCGGAAAGGGTCCGAGTGTATGACGGCGTGGCAGAGCGGGAACCAGATCCGAAGGGTTAGAAGACGGCAAAGCAAGCCGATGTTTGGGCGGCGCGCGAAATCTGTTGTGGGGATGTTGTCGAGTCCAAGTCAGGATGAGCGAGGGCTGAGGTGGATGTAAATAGGCAGCGGGAATGAGGGATCAGGAGGCCGAGTCAGAAGCAATGTGACTTTGCCCACGCAGAGTGTCTCGAACCGGAATCAGATGCTCTGGATGCGGGATGCTGGCCCTTGCGGCGTTATATCTTCCGTCGCAAATTCCAACACTGGGCTACGGCTCGCGACGCATGAAACGAAAACGCGCTGTCGGATCCTGATTTGCTTCTTCCGACTTACGGTGAGTTACCGCCTTTTTGACTCGCCGCCACTAGGATTGGCCCATACTTGACCGCCGGATGCGGCCTGCAAGCCCCCATGCCCACTCCGCTGCGCAACCCCGGCCTGCGCGACCGCCATTCCCCATGCGAAAATCGCAGCCTGGATGCTCTCGAGATGACTCGTCGCGGCCTGCGCAGCAACGCAGCGACAGTCATGCTGAGCTGTGTTGTGCTGTGTGCTGGCTCAGCACCCTGTTGGCAGCGCGTGAGTCAGGCCGCCACCTGGCATGGACTCGTGGCGCCCTCCTCATCGTGACCCTGAATCACAAGGCAAAATCTCCACGACTCCACTGATGCTTCGTGGGCACAGTCCATGCCCCCACGAGGCTTTGCGGAAAAACGGGGGTGTCTTCCAGTCTCGCCCACTCCTCCGGACGACGCCCTAGCTCCTGTGCTGCGCTTCCTCCCACAGTCAGCCTAGGGGCGATCACTTCGGTAGAGCTCCTCCCTCATTCATCCGGCCGTTTACATTGCCAAATGGGGATGCTCAGCGTGCGCCTGCGGGTTGCTATCCGCCGATCCGCCATGTGAGCTCCTCACAAACACAGGCTTGCGACGCTGAGCACACGCCAACACGAGCAGTGACTGCTCCGCGCGTCGTCGCAGCGGCCCCCAGCCTTTCGCCTCCACTGGCTCGCCACGCTGCCAAACGAAACACTTCCCCAAACTTTCCTGAAGCCTGAAGCCTGAAGAACTCCGTGGTCTGACTCCGCATCCCACCTGGGAAGCGCTTTCCGAACTCTCTGTGTCTTGTCTTTAGCCGAGTCGTAACCTGGGGTACATTAGCCTCGACACGACGATCTAAGGGTCCTGTCTCCGTACTATATTCTAGCCTCTGCGACTGCTCTCCACTACTCTAGAGTCTAGGTAAAGCTTTCATCCGAAGGCCACGGTGATTGACATGGCAACCATCCTCACGAGCGGCCGGACGATCAGTCCACACCAACACCCTCATGCGATGGCAAGCTTCAAGGCGGTCAGCTCCCCAACGCCGTGCCGCTCTGACGGACCCAGTGCTCCCATTCTTGCGTGCGGACGGGCGTCTGGTGCGACCTCAGGTTTGCATTTTTGGTTCACAAGGCTGAGCACGCCGGTAATGACGGGTCATCTCTGCAGTCAGCGCTCCCGTCATCTTCACCCACACCCGCCTACCGGAGCTCCCGCATGCGCCGGGCAGTTACACAGATTGCAATGCTACCAGAAATAAACACCGCCCTTACTGTACTCCCATCACGAGTTGACACAGCCTTGCCAAATGTTAAATCAGCCAAAATGGGTGCGGCTCTGTGCTGTTTGCAATCTCGGCCCTCGATAGCCACGTTGAGTTCAGGCTTCAATGGTAAATTGCAACTTTCTTAACCGGGACTCTGGAAGGCGCTTGGGCACCTAGTGGATGCTGATCCTTGGTCTGGTCGATGTCGCGATATTGGAAGACGCGCTAGAAGGAGCGAAGAAGGTTTTTCCAGCCTTCTGCCTCGGGACGAGGGCACTTCTGCCGAAGATCCACTTTGCAGTCAAACCCTGTATCTGGAAAATCTTCACGAAGAGCACGCGAAGAAGGTTGCTCGAAGGCTAATGCGCGTGGCCGATATGCAGAAATGGAAACACTGTCAACTCCAAGCTTTCCACATCTATTCTTGCAAAGTCTGCGCGTCGGCTGTGGGAACGTCCGTTGTTTGCAAACACATGCGGAACGCCTCCCGTGCGAGGCTCGCGGCAGAACTTCCGCGACTCCTGTGCGAGTCGTGCAACCAAGCGAGCAGCCGTTGAAGATTCAAGGTTTCCGTCCGCTTCCGCGAACGCTGTGACCCCTTCCCAAACACGACTCGAAGCGGCAGCCTTCCAAAGTTCCCCGCGAGATGTCCAATTTCGCTTTCGACGCCTCACGCTTGCAACCCACGAGAGCTTCCCTATCCGTCACTGCTCACCGAGCCGCTGTTGCACGCGAAAATGACAGATAGCGCTGCAACGGCTCCGCGCTTGTCATCCAGACTTCCTATTTCAGAGTGCTTTCCAGCGGGCGCTCTCACCCTCCCTCGGTGGTCGACCGAGGAGCTTGGAGCGCGCGCGACCTGTGCTTCCACGTGTGAACATCGCAGCTCGGGGAGGCTAGGGTAGCCTACCAAATGCAATGTCTGGTTGCCACGAGGGGGAGCGCTTCCGACGCCACCACCCTGGTGAGGATAAACCTCGGGCCAGAATACCGAGGTGGAAGGAAGAAATCCCGAGGCGGAGAAACTGCCTACGTGCGGTTGCTTGTCGCTCTCGCAACGGAGTGATGGCCACCACCGCAGGGAGGCGCTTCTTCCGCCACCGCATTCCCATGTGACAACAGAAGATTAACTGTTGGTGGGAAATGATATCGGCTTCAAATCGACCATACACGTGGGTCTTGGTGCCGGTAGGACAGGTAGAGTGTTGGCGAAGGAACATGACCGTCCAACTTGGGCTTGCAGACAGCAGTTGGTGGAGTCTCCGTGAAGGAATTGCCCTGCAGCGGCAAGATGGCGGACAGCTCCGCTACACTGCAAATTACTGCTGTCCACGCGGATGTCGCGCTGGGGAGCTCACCCATGCGGCAACAGCGGGCAGCTCTAGATGCATGTCGTGCTTTGGGCGGACGGGTACACGGTCGATCTCTTGCTCCAGGCCAACACCAACACCATCTGGACTCTGACACGGTGTTACTGTCCTCTATACTCCAGACCAGCTCTGCGCAGGCCTGGGTGTCTATTGCGTTTCGGTATCCGCGTTACCCACCCCTCCGCATAGGCACCGTGCTCTGGACTTCGGATCCATCCCCACACGCATCGATAAGCAACCGATGTCGCGATACGGGTTACATATCGATATGCCAGCGCTCGGACAGCGGTGCAGCGAGACCTCAACGCGGGGTACATGTATGCGATGCCACCTCCGCTGCCCGCTCGCTTGCGGTGTCGCGACCCAGGCCTCAGATCTACAATGTACTGCGCAGTCTCAGCCTGGGACATGCATCGGACTTGATGTACCCAATTTCCATTTCCCACTTCGAGCAACGACACGTTGTTTCTGGATATGACAGATGCGAAATGCGGACGGTGATTGGGGCTTACGAGGCGGATTCTCACGGTCACATTCTGGTGAGCGGCGCCCCGAATGTGCTTCTGCGGAGCAAGACAGTCCGCTGCGCAGGCGGGAGCGGGCGTGGAGATCGATTCCGTGGGGGCGACAGTCCCGCGGCGCGGAGTGCGTCTTCGCGTTTCTGCCCTAGACAATTACTCACTTGCAACGCATGCACTCTTACTGTCAGCGTTCCATTTCACAGACGCAGCCCCAGCATTTGCATTCCATTGTCTTCAGGGTTGATGACAGTATCACGGAACTTACTATGCTATTCCACCCCCCAACAAAAGCATCCCCATGGCGGTGAGGCCTCATGAGCTGTCTCAGCCCAATGCCCGGTATCGCGCCCGCCTATCGCGCTGTGCGACAGCCGCTCGCCCCTAGGGATCCCAAGTTTCCAAGTTCACGCCAGCAAAGGCGATGACTCAACCTCACCAAAATAAACAAGCGCTGGAGCAGCGCATATCAACTCACCCACTGCGTCTGCCGTCATCGACTGCGCGTGGTAAGCTTAGAAGGCCCGAGTCAATCAAGGTCAATCAAGATCAAAGTCACGATGCGATGACGCCTCTCGTCTGTCCGGTCGACTGGCACGGCAGATCGCCACAGAGTCATCGGACCGTCGAATTGACGTGTCGATCTCACCGGACCGCAGGCGCGCATGGCACAGCAAGCCGCTGATGCAAATGTGAACTCTGGACGTTGGACCGCGAGACCGGCGCAATCGGCGATCCAGAGCGTCTCTCCGGTCGCCGAGGAGGGGTAGAAAGCGCTGGTGTCCTAGACCAAGTCCAAGGGAAAAACAGACGCGCTGCGCTGCTGCGCGGGGCAATGAGCTCTGCCGACACAGACGCTCCATTCACATGCCGTCTGCAGTCTCGCATCACAGCCTCATGCTTTCCTGTCGCGTCACGCGGGACCACGGCTCCCGCGCGTGCAATCATGTGTTATTATTTCATTCTTGCTTTCAGCAGTAAACCTGACTACACAGATACGAGCGCTGCAAGCGCCCGCCGCCCCACGCGTCCCCCACGAATCCTTTCCCTTACATGTGCCTTCCCCACTCTCTGCCTGTCATCCCAAGTCAAGTGGGGTGCCGGCGCTTCGTCGATCGAGACCCTGCATATGCGTGGGCTCTGCCTGCGAGTGCAACTACGTTGTGGGGAACCACCGCATGCACAGTAGGCTGTGTGTAGGAGCGCTTGGCAGTGAGACGGTTGCGCGTTTTCTCGTGCGCATGTCTGGAGCGTGTGTGCGGAGCGTGAGGGCGGCTCGTGAGGGTGAGGGGTTCGGGTGATGGATGGGTAGTTTCGGGAGAGGACGGAAGGGGGAGCGGCATCGTGAGAAGGCTAAGGGGGAGCGGCATCGTGAGAAAGCTAAGGGGGAGCGGGACGGAAGTTGTAGGAAAGTTAGTTTTGGCTTGTCTTTTGGTGGATGAGTCCGCGGGCGAGAGGTTCAAGGTCTCAAGCCGGATTACGATTAATTCTCTAAGTTGCTTTCACTGGTGTTTCGGTAGGAGAACGTTTTGCCTCGGATGCTCAGCTGTGAACTTCGCGTTGGTATGCCGCTCTGACTTTCGCCCATGATAGAGTCATCCAACAGAATGCACACTTATCACTTCTCCCGCTCTGTCCGATTGATGATAGAAGCCTTTCTCCGTCTTGTCTTCAATCCGGTCACCTAGCTTTTGCGGTCGCAGCTGTATCCATCTGCCTTGCCCCAAGTCTTTCTCAATGACTTAAAATACCTTTGCTGCATTGCTCGAATCCCTGCTGAATCTTGTTGATATGGTGTTTCACTTCATCGAACCTGTGCTGATACTCTTCCCAATCGTAACAATGTTTGTTCATGTCGTTTTCGTCGCAGTGTTACTCTCTCTCGAGGCTAGAGACAGCGTTTTCGAAATCCGACAGATTCTCTTTGCTTCTGATGTATCTGTACTTCAGTATTTCTAATTCGAACTTAGTCTGACTTCGATGGCCTATGTCTAAAAGGATCACTAGGGGAAGTGTCTCTATGAAGAAACCCTTCGTGACAGTGTCATTTTCTTTTGCAAAGTTGCTGGAGGCGGATTTTGGCAATCAGTACCGTAATGGGTTGCTCGCCGTAAAAGCAACCGTACCGTAGTAACTTTAACACCGTAATACGGTTGTTATTGTCCCAATTAGGAAGGAGGCGTGAGCGGAGCTTTGAGCGCGACGTGCCTCTGTACGGGCACTATAGGCAAATATAATACCTACAAGCCGGCGTCGCCTTTGCCATGGAGAAGCTCATCTCGTATTTTATACGCCTCGTGATGGATCCCAATCCATTAATCTACTGCGTGGCAACAGCGCTCCACCCACGCCTGCGTCTCTGCTGGTTTCAAACACACTGGTCTCGTTACCCATAGTGTATTCGGAAGGCTAGAAAGTCGCTTGACATTATCTTTGCCACTTACTTGGCCGCAGAACAATCACCAGACGATGATATCCTAGACGACGTAGACCCCACGCGTAAGATCCTAGGTGCGTATAAATTAAGCACTCATTGACAACGTACAATGTTGGTGGATCCCATGCTCCTCACTAATATGAAATCACGCAAGCGCCAGAAATAGAGCTCCTAGATAGAGGATTACTTTGACAGCCTACTTGAGAATCTACAACTTGCCGACGAACGCATGTCAAAGCTCCTCGACGACCCACACCTTTGGTAGGTAGAAATCGGCCAAATAAAGTATCCTATACTATACAAGATGGCGATATATTACCTTATAGTGCTAGCGACGTCGTGTGACTACGAGAGGTATGTCTCGCCCGCCAAACGTACAGTCACGTGTAATCATAACTCACTATCGTTAGTGGTAATAGATGCTTGCTAGCTTCAAAAAAACTGGCTAAGGAGAAACACCGTCCTGAGTTACCTCAAGGACCTCACGGAGTATATAGATGGACGAGATCTCTCGTTTTGGCAGTCGACGAAGCTCCGGACGACGACCTAGACGCTCAACCCACATCACCTTCCTAATTAGGAAATCTATATATTATTTTCGACCATATTTTCGCCGTACAAGGCTCAAATTGCTTATTACGGCTCACTCACGGTACCGTAGAGGTCTCTCCGCCGTAACGTCGCGTACGGTAATCACTGGCAACCGTAACGTAACCGTAACCAGGTCTCACCAGCCGTATTATCTCTCGTTGCAAGCGCTGAATGTCGGAGACGGTTCGAGCATAGCGAACAGTTCGGCCTGCGGCTCACCGGTCATGCAAGTAGAAAGACTGCTGCAAATACCGTCCGCGGATGGTATCAAGTGAAGGGGATCATATCACAAATGTGTTCAATGAGACTGGCAGCAGCGGCTGAGAGGTGTTCAAGTGTAGAGGTAACGTCGATGTTCGTTTGTCCGTTTGCTGCCCGATGCGGAATGCACGTTGCAGAGGAAGGAGCACTCCACCAGCGAGGGACCTCGTCGTCAAAGTGAGTCGCTTTTATGCATTGTTCAGGTATCAAATGAAGCGTAGGCCATTTCCGGCAGTAGTCTATCCATCCTCTTCTTTTCATCGATGGGCTCTTTCTTCTCCAGATATTCGTCTGGATAGAACCAGAGAGCAGGAGGCATCTCAACAACCATGATGCTGTAGTAGTCCTGACGAAGTAATGGATTATCATGAGAGTGATATATGGCTCTCATGATAATCTGATGCTCAACCTCAACTTAGTGCCCAATACCTATCCCAGTTGTACTTGATGACCTCGTTGCCCCAAGATGTCCATCCAACGACCAAATGTCGCGAAAAGACTTCCAGCGCGCTATACTTTCTCGCATCTGGCATGTACGGCTCAAGCAACTCCTTCAGACAGGGCTTGCGAGAGTGCACATCAGGCACAGCCGCAATGATCTTCCTTTTCGTCACACGCGCATGTGACATGGTCGTCCACGCGTTTGGCGCCGCTCTGCCCAACAGCAGCACCTCGTACGGTTTCCGTAGCGCACTGTCAATGTCAAACATCGGCTCGCCTGAGGTGGTGACCTTCACCCAAATCCACTCCTCTACCAGACCCACGTTCCATGTTTCGAACAGGCCTCCAGGGCCGAGCACCTGTGTGCGCATCGCCTCCTTGTTGGTGATCCACACACCCACTAACGCGTTGTGCTCCAGATAACTATCGATGTCCATGCCCAAGAGCACCTTCTTCATGTGCCGCATGCCACCCGCCTGCTCGTACGCGCCCTTCCGCTTCGCCGATCGATTTGGCCACGGCGGGTCGAGCAGCACCAAGTCGAAATGCCGCGGGAGTACGTAGTCATCCGTGAGTTGGCGGAACGAAGCACGGAACATGTCTGAGTGTGTTGAATCGCCAAGGAAGAAGGTCGCGTGCGGGGGTATCGTGAAACGATACGCGGGCGCCTCGCGGCCAGCTTGTGTCACGCCTTCTCGCACGTGAATGTCAAGCGGGTGGTCCTCCGGGTTGTGAAAGGAGGATTTCCATGGCTCCGACGCCTGGTTCGATTGTATCTGTGCGTCGTCGCGTGGAGGTGTGTACGACATTAGCCATTTGTGTGAAACGGCTTCAATGTCGGTTGCATTTGGGTCAGGTGTCGCACTGATGGAGGCCATCATCTTCTGGAAATCGAAGTGCGTGTCCTCCTCCTTGCTTTCTGCGAGTGCGGACCACTCATGCAGCCGGCTTTCGATTTCCTTTTCTGGGTCGTCGAGTTGCATCTCCCCGTGCTTTGGTAGCTGCGTCATGAGCTTGCGCGGTAGGCACCATGGCCCAGATGTGTGACTTCGGATCTCGGCGAGAGCTGCATGGATCGTACTCCTGTACTCGATGTGCAGATCGGTGAAGTGAGATGAGTGATTCTTCTTGGCTTGCGATGTCTTGGGTTCTTCGTGCAGTTGATAAGGCGCTTCTAGTGGGGCGGTGGAGAGGAGAGTGTCCGAGCGACCCTGTGCCATCGCAATGGACTTGGGTATGTCAATGAGCGTGACATCGCGGTCTGCGTTTTGAAAGAGTATCGCTGTGTTAGGCTGCATCTCATCTTTCAAGCCCTGCATGATGTCTTCTCACGGCGCCAGTCGCTACTTTGCAAGAACATGACAAAGAGACTGCGAATTTGGTTGGACGTGAGTCGAGATGGGCTAGAAGCGGGCGCGAGAGGGGACCTTGAAGGTGCAATTGACATGAAAAAAGTGAAAAGGTCTACTCGTGTGATGGCCCGATCTGGGCAGCTACGCCATCCGTAGTCGCGGCGAAGTTGATAGTACACTTAGCAGCAGCGAGAGTATACCCATATTCCTCTTCAAAAAGGACTCGACTCCGCGACACTGCTGCGATGCCCGTTTTGGTGTTGCGGAAACCCGCCGCTCGTAGCTCGCTTTTCATCGGCAGCGGTCTGGCGTCCGCCCAGGTCTTCCGGCCCCGGCAACTCTCAATCGACCCTCGGCAAACAACGTCACCCAGCATCCTCCACATCGCGCGCCCGCTTTTCTAAGCAGCAACACACGACCACCTCGAACCGCCGCTTACGCACAGAATACTACCCCCGCACAGTCGCCTTTCATGTTACAGTCACGATAATACCGCATTGCCACCCAGGGAGCACCACCAGGGAAACGGTGGGATGTCGGAGCACATTCTTCGCCATGAAGCAGATCCACGTCCACGCATCATGACAGACCCTGCCCAGCCGAGCGCGCCGCCCATGAAGCTCCAGAGGGCACCACCGCTGTCCGCGACCGATGACGAGGCACATGTCCCTGTGACAGAGAGGAAGAGGAGTCGGAGCCCGTCGCGGGAAAGGAAAGTGAACAGGCAGAGCCCAGAGTATATCTGGAAGAGCGGACTGGCGGGGGGCCTAGCAGGATGCGCTGTAAGTCCAAACTCATCAGCCCTCGATTTTACGACTTTATCACAGTAGAGCCATGGTTAACAAAAACAACCCAGGCCAAAACCGTAGTCGGCCCGCTCGACCGCGTCAAAATACTCCTCCAAACCCGCAATCCCGCTTTCGTAAAATACGCCGGCCACTGGTCAGGGCTGCACCTCGCGCTGCGCGACATCCACCGCGAAAACGGCATCCGCGGCCTCTTCAAAGGCCACTCCGCCACCCTCCTCCGCATCTTCCCCTACGCCGGCATAAAGTTCCTCGCCTACGACCAAATCCGCGCCGTCTTCATAAAAACTCAGGCCCAGGAGACCCCCGGCCGCCGCTTCCTCAGCGGCAGTCTCGCGGGCATGTTCTCCGTCTTCTTCACATACCCGCTGGAGGTCATACGCGTGCGTCTCGCCTTCGAGACCTCCGCGCAGAAGCGCAGCACCCTCAGGAGCATTTGCGCAAAGATCTACAACGAGCAGAGCGCGCCGACGACGCACCACCCCACGAACCCGCTCTCCGCGGCTGCAGCCACGGTCGTGGAGAAGGGCGTTCCGCAGACCGGCCTGGCGAATTTCTTCCGCGGCTTCACCCCCACCCTGCTCGGCATGATTCCTTATGCCGGCGCATCTTTCCTCGCGCACGACACCATGAGCGATCTCCTCCGGCACCCGGTCCTCGCCCCCTGGACTACCCTCCCACACACTTCCCGTACCGAGTCGGAGACGACAACGTACAAGCCTGCGCAGCTGCAAGGCTGGGCTGAACTCAGCACCGGTGGTTTCGCGGGCTTCTTTTCGCAAACAGTATCCTATCCGCTCGAGGTTATACGGAGGAGAATGCAGGTTGGAGGCGTGGTGGGCGACGGTCACAGACTGGGCATCGCAGAGGTGGCCAAAAGAATATTCCTGGAAAAAGGGTGGAGAGGTTTCTTTGTGGGCTTGACCATTGGATATGTAAAGGTCATCCCCATGTCAGCGACGAGTTTCCTGGTGTGGGAGCGCGGGAAGTACTACCTTGGGATATAAGGAGCTGCGAGCATGGAAGCGTGCACGAAGCATAGGCGTTCTGGCGTTCTGGAAGAGACTTTGAGCATACCACAGTACGTACCGGTGCATCTGGGAACGAGTTGTCAAGAATTGCATTTGGTCTTGACATATAGAAGGTTCGATATACACGTGTGAGCTTCATATAGCCAAATTATTGACATTGAACTACTCTTCGGTAAAGTTACCCCACGAGCCTTGGAATAGCTAGCAACTGTCTCTCAATTACCATGACATGCTGATATCCAACCTCATAGCACACCCGTCCTCAATCGCGCCCCGGATGCCTGTTAGCATGGGCCGTAATGCCGCAGGTTGCCTGTCAGCTTCATGATCCTAGGAGCAATGGCAAGAATGCTGGCGAAGGCAATATTCTATTTTGGTTGGATATCCGATGATCCATACAATCGGTGTCCGAGTGGGTCGGACGACGTTCCGTGAAGCGTAGGGCTAGTGAACACTGTTCATCAGCTCGTGTTGTAGTGGTAGCTAATACGTGATGGAATGATAGCTGAGTTCGATCCGTGGGTGAGAGCGTGCCAACATGTACTGCTCTCGTAGGTACGCTGGCCATCAGTTGGGTAGTTGGTGGTGATTTATCTTCCGTGGAACTTTGTTGTCCATCACGTTGCAACATCAGCTGTAGGGGCAGCAATTGGCGCCTGAGCTGGAACAGCGCCAGGTGGAGGGGCAGGGTGACCTCCCCTCGTACCGCCACGACCGCCACGACCACGCGGTCCGAAACCGCCACGGCCCGGTGCGGGCCTAGGAGGTTGGGGGCGGGGTGCCGGAAAGCCCCGGGGGACCTGATGCTTCTCCTTTCTTTCCAGGACCTGAACGGCACCCTGTGCAACTTTGACTGTGCCCGCAGCGACTGCGTTTCGTAATCCCTCTGGATCGACAAAATCAACATAGGCAAAGCCCTTGCGTTTGTCAATCTCGACTTTCTCGATTGCTCCGAATGCCTTCATGGCTTCTTCAATCAGAGGCTCCGTGATGCCTTGAGACGCGTTGGCGTGTTTTAGGAAAGCCTGCTTGCCCATTGGAGCTGGACCTGGGCCTGCGGCGGCGTGCGCAGGTGTAGGATTAGCTGGACGCGGAATGGGGCTGGCTTCAGCCTTCAATGGCGTGGCCTGAGTTACTGTGTTGGTATTTCGAGCGGCGGCAGGTCCCGTAGGAGGAACACGTGCAGTAGCAGGACCTTTAGGTGGCGCAGTAGGCTGAGTCTGTGGGGTTTGCGGCTTCTTGAGGATTATGGGCGCTGGCGTGGTGCCTTGCTTCGCCGAAGCTTTGGAGCTCTCCCCTTCCGTTTTAGTGTTCGTCTTATCGGCCATCGACGCTTTGAAAGCTCTACGTTCGGCGCGCGATGGCCTCTCCTTCTTCGGCGAAGCTGGAGCCGCTTTCTCTGCAGCGATAACAGCGGCAGCAGGTGCGCTGACAGGCTCCTTGCCTTTCGACTTAGGGACGGCGTTCTCCTCCTGTTTGGGATTGCTTTCCTGTGTGGCGGATGAGATTTCGCGCTTCGTTCCTCGTCGACGATTCGGTGCAGGTCCAAGACCCAGGTCACGCTGAAGTATGCCTTTGGCGATATTAACGTTTCCGCGCTTGCGTTCTGAGGTCGCTGATGAAGGGCCTGCAGCACCCTTGTCAACCGCGACATTCTCTTTCTGAGCAGCTTCCTTGTTCAGAGCTTTGGCAGCTTCTTTCTGTGCCCTCTCTTTCTCAGCCCTGGTGGGCTTGCGATTCTTGTCTCCCGGAGCGTTCTCCTTCCCAGGTTTGGCCAGGATCTTCTTCTCACCAGCATCGTCTTTGTGCTCGCCACGGCCCTTCTTCTGTGGCTTCTCCTTATTGGCCTTCCTCTCCCTGAGTGCTTCGATCAGCGGTGTCGTCTTCACCTTCTCTTCCTTTGCTGGTTCGCCCTCTGGTGCAGCAGGTTTCGTGATGGGGGCAGTCAAGCTCTCTAAGAACTCCTTGAACTCGGAGTCTTGGTCGATGGTGCCTTGGCGAGCATCGTTCCTGCGTCTATTTGCTGGCAGCTTCATATAAGGGGCGTACTCGAGAACTGGAGGCCCGATCAGGGCGCTGTCCTGGAAAGACTTGGCGGCATCGTGGAATGTAATCTCGCGGACGCGGTCGCCAAGGGCGGAAACGAAAGGCTGCTGCGTGACGTGGATGTAGGCGCGAGAGGGTTTGGAGGGTTTGGCTAGGCTGAGAGAAAGTCAGTGTGTGCTTTACAATGGATGAGGTGGGGCATACTCTTTGGAAACCTTGCCCTTCCGGTAATTAAGCCAGTCGACCCGGCCAGCGCCGACTTTCCACTCCTCTCCGAGGAAAGTTTCGAACTCGGTCCGAGTCAGACCAGGGGGTAGTCGTCGACATATGAGCTTCAGACGCGGCGCTGGGATTTTGGGTCCGCGGGGTGCTGAAGCGGGGGCGTTCTTCTGCAGTGCCGTCACGGGCAGGACGCCATTAACGCCAGCCTGGGGCGCCATTTCGCCTCAAAGGATCAGACGTAGCTAGCAGAGTGCTGTGGCACCGGGGCAATATAATCGGGTTATGAGGCGGGAGCGAAATCCAAGAGGTGGGTGGCAGGGTGTTTAAGAGGCGCAAACATTGGAACCGTGGAATCCAAGCTCAACAAACAGCGTGCCTCGACGTGAAGGCAGGCGCACTGGTCAAGTATAGCAGGAGCTTCTTGTAGGCGCGTGTGACTGGTAAGTGGCAGTGGTGAAGGACTGACGCCAGTCGATGGCGCTTGCCGAAGCGGGTCCCCAGGGCAGGTGCGCTTTGGCCAAGCAGCTGCCACCGCCGCACCTCGACGACGGCCCACGCTTCCACCTCATCATGCATGTCCAGCGCCAGGCTCGCTACTGAAATTCGCTTGCTCTGCCCTCATTCCTACGCTGCTTCTCGCTCTCTTCCCCCCGCAGATGTTGCCCGAGAGCCTCGCTACGTCACGCTTGATAGTCATCGCCGCCCCCCTCACACGACTGTCCTATTCCTCGCCATTGCTGCGTTGAATAATCTGAGAGGCGCATCTAGAGGTCTTCCTGGTTCCTGACAGCTGCAATATATCGTAAACATGGGGAGAGACAGCGACGTTCCGCAACCCGGACCCGCGCGCCTTTCGAAAGGCGCGGGGCCGGACGAGTGGTTAGAGCAGGCCAAGCAGTGCAAATACCTGCCAGAGGCCGAGATGAAGCGCCTCTGCGAAATCGTCAAGGAATGCCTCATGGAGGGTGAGTTCTAGTCCCTGCGTTGCGACAGACAGCAAGCACCCCCCTCACTGTATCCGCTCGTAGTGGGGTTCCATGCACTGACCCACTTCTCTAGAATCCAACATCCAGCCTGTCCGGACACCCGTAACAGTCTGCGGTGATATACATGGCCAGTTCTATGACCTTCTCGAGTTGTTCCGCGTCGCTGGGGGTATGCCTAGCGATGCCCCAACCGCCCCACTTGCTCCCACCATACCCCCAACCATAAAGCCAGAGGATATTGAGCCGCCAACCACGATCAAGGATCCCAGAGCGAAAAGGAAAATGAAGCGGAGATTCCAGAGCGACGAGAGATATACCGGTCCAAGCAGTCCTAACGAGGGTGGAGATTTGGAGGAAGAGGAAGAGGAGGAAGAAGAACGCGGTCGGAGTAGGAGCATCACAGGCCGAAGAAGCACGGAAGAAGAATCAGCTACGCGCAATATCCCCGCGGGCAACGGGCAACAGAACTTCATTTTCCTGGGTGATTTTGTAGACCGAGGCTATTTCAGTTTGGAGACGTTCACGCTGCTGATGTGCTTGAAAGCCAAGTGAGTCATGTTCCCATTGTCAGATAGGTTGGTCACTGACCTGGCAGGTTCCCCGACCGAGTTACGCTTGTCCGCGGAAATCACGAGTCCAGACAGATTACCCAGGTATACGGTTTCTACGAGGAGTGTCAGACCAAATACGGCAATGCGTCCGTATGGAAAGCCTGCTGCCAGGTTTTTGATTTCCTTGCGCTGGCAGCAATTGTAGATGGCAAAGTTCTCTGCGTCCATGGTGGACTCAGTCCTGAGATCCGAACACTGGATCAAATCCGTGTTGTTGCGAGAGCGCAGGAGATCCCACACGAGGGTGCCTTTTGCGATCTGGTCTGGAGTGACCCGGAAGAAGTCGATACATGGGCCGTCTCCCCAAGAGGTGCCGGATGGCTATTCGGCGACAAGGTGTCATCAGAGGTCCGTTCAGTCCAAGCTCGATGTACATGTGTGCGGCTAACGTGTTCTAGTTCAACCATGTCAACGGATTGCAACTCATCGCTCGAGCGCATCAGCTTGTGAACGAAGGCTACAAGGTACTTCAACTACTAGAAATCTCTTCACAACATGCTGACCACATGTAGTACCACTTCAAAGACAAAGATGTTGTCACCGTCTGGTCTGCGCCAAACTACTGCTACCGCTGCGGCAATGTTGCTTCCATTATGAACCTCGGAGAGGATCTCAAGCCCGAATTCCAGATCTTCAGCGCCGTGCCCGACCACCGACGCGCTGTACCAGCAGGACGGGGTACCCGTGGTGAATACTTCCTTTAGTTGTCCTATGTGTACGTACATATTTTGGGTGCTTTGGACAAGATACCTTGTATAGCATGGCAGGCGATAGACCTGGTGGAGGTATCGAAAGCATGGCGCACTGCATTGCTATGATGAATGGAGGTGAAACAATACCCCGGAGTTGGAATGGACTAGCAATGAAGGCTTTGTATCATAATAGAGTGGCCGCAGCACTCGTAGCTGTAGGAATAGCAGCGACGTTGATGGAGCCATGTGTGTCAGACTCGTGATGTCGGCCTGGCTGACCAATGTATCGCCTTACAAACAAGAAAGAATACAGGCAGCTTCCCTGTCCGTGACACGTAGCGCACAAAACGCAAAAATCACGCCTGTCCTGTGAGAGTTCCCAGGTTGATCAAAAAGCAAAAATCAGTGGAACAGCCACCTCGCTCACACTTCCCAACCCTAGTTAGAGTAATCCAGCGCCGCCGTCCAATGGTGAATACCCGACTGCAGAATTGCTTCCCTCGTCTGATTGTATTCATTGCTTAGGGCCGCTCAGCATCGCTGGTTACCCAAGCGAGTGAGAAAACGACCACCACCGGACTCGAACTGGGCTCCTATTAGAGTAAGATGCTTGGGAGGCGCATGTGAGATTACGGCCTATCTTCTGAAATTTGGACCCGTTACAGGTAACCATTTCCTCCGAAATTGCAGTATATATAGCAGGATAACTGAGACAGGGAGAAGGTGGAGGCGGTTGTGAGGTGTGTGAGGGCCAAAAATTGTCGAATGGGCCAGAGCGCGTCTCGCTAGATTTTGTGGGTTAGTGGTGCGGGGCTCGTCCGCCCCGTTGCGGTTTTCCCCAAGCAACGTCGAACGCTTTCGGCTTTCCTGGACATCTACAATATAGACAAACTCCCCGACTCGACCTCGTAATGTCATTAAGAGAGATCATAGGGGTCCAAAGATCTCAGTATTACAAAATGTTTCACGCAGACTGGAATGCTCTTCTGGGGCCTGCAGTTGAGCACATTTAGTCTAAAGTCATACCAGTCGTTTCATGCGATTACAGTATGTCAGATTACAACATAGAAACAAAAATACAAGTCGCAACGTACTAATACAACAAAGGTGAACCTAGTCTTGGACGTACAGCAAACCTTACTCAGAACGACTCAAGAACCACACGCGCGATCCCATCACATTCCCACTCCCTCATCACTACGAATCCGCACCCTTCGCGCACTGCTCCGGACACAACAGCGCGGGATGCCCCTCATCGGCCCAGTGCTCCAAATTCTGACACGTGCACACCTCGACGGTCCCAAACCCAACACCCCCCTCATCCTTCTTCGGCACCCACGCCTCCCACGGCTGCCCATCCTCAATGTCATGCGTGAAGCTCCCCAGGCTCTCCGTCTCGCAGCCATCATTGAGCCCCTGCTTCTGCATGTGTCCACTCACTTTGACGCCCCACGGGTAGTATATCGCGCTGCAGTGCCACGGGCCATCAGGACACTCTGCGTCGGAGGCTTCCGCGATCGAGTCCGTGACTTGCTCGGCGACGCTGAAGCCTGCGGCCGCGCCCAGGCTGACGGGTGTCCCCGCCGAGAGCCCGATTTCGCCGCCGATTTGCCACTGGTAGCCGGTTGAGTGGCTGGATTCGAAGGACACGGCTGGATTTGGGGTTAGCAGGTGCGTGGGAGAGGGTAAAAGGGTGGACGTACCACCTCCGCCGTCGACGCTGCGGCCGGTTTGCCAGCTGGGCCCGTTGGTTTCTTCGGTCTTGTCGACGACGGCGCAGTAGCGCGTCTCGGGGGGCGGGCTGAAGATTTGGGGGTTGGGAAGCGCGAAGGTGGCGGGCAGAGCTGCGAGGGCGAGGATTTGGGTGTAAACCATTTTGACTGGATATGGTGGTTCTGCGAGTGCGGTGTAAGGCCTTGTGGTTGTTGGCTGTGTATTGCTGGGAGGACTGCTGATGTGGTGGGAGAACACCAGGAGACGACGAAGTCTTTATATGCGGCCAAATCGTCTGTACGATCCTTTTCCTTCGCACTGCCATCTTCTCACGACGATCGCGCGTTCAGACATCTTGGCTTGAACGGGGCTCAGGTACCTTCGCACGCTCAAAATGCTCCAAGCTTGCAAGACGCACACATAGATCCAAACTTGGCGTCGTCATCGCGGTGACTTTGCTCCTGGGCAGTACTACCAAAAGCTTCGCCTTTTTCCCATAAGTACGACCCCGGGATTCCGGAGGCTGAGAAGGATACGAAGGGGCAGTATTTCCCCGACCTACGTTTTTGATCGACAAACCCACGCGCGCAATCATAAGGCGCCGATTCACATGGGGACCGCAGACTTGACGTCATGCTGCTATACAAAGAAAGTTGAGGCTGAGTAGGAGCGCCGATTCGTATACCCCGTTGCGGTGCAGGATTCTTCACGGACCGCGCAAGGGTCAGAGTGTTTGGTGTCGGGGGCGATCACAACTTAGCCCCCACCACTCACTCCAATCGTTTGTGGTGAGTACTCGTGTCGATCAGCCCGATGTGGGCATACGAAGTCAGACGCTTGCTCGTATAGGATTCTAATCACTGAGATTCTGGTGCCTGTGCTCGTCTCATGGTGGGGTCGCGATACTCTGGCCCGCAAGCCACTGACGAGATTGAATCATTTTCAACAATCGATGGACGATTTCACTCACTTGCGTAGTAGAATTCGCGGACTCGGTGTCAGCAACTTTGAATAGCTTATTTGCGCTACTAAGTAATATCCTTCACACTACGCACTCCACTGCGTGACCGTCATTATCATGCTCGTGCATCGACCGGTCAAATGAAACACCAAACTCCATGGCCATGCACAAAGCACACGCCAGTCTTCTTAGCACGCAGAAAACCACAATATCGACAAAGAACCAAAGCCAACTCGTCCCATCATCGTCACCTTAGCATACCGCCAACCACTCCCAGCGCTACACCAGCTCCTACACCATACCTCCCTACACCGCACCTGCCTGCGCTGCTACCATCTCCTGGCCCGTATGTCGAACAGGCCTGGACATTCCAGTCGCCCGAGCACGCAGCCTGGCTCAGACTGCTGCAGATGGAATTCGCAGCGGCAGTTCCCACGCTCGGCACAGCTGTGATGGTGACGCCGCCATTAGGCGCAGAGACGGTGACGCCAAAGTTCTGGCCACCGGCTAGAGCAGCCGTGCAGCGCGCAGCATCCGACTGGCAGCGCGAATAAGCGGATGAGCAGGCGGCTGCGGATCTGTAAGTCGTGGGGAGGTAGGCGAAGGGGAAGAAGGTGTTTGGTACCCAGCTTGTTGCGCCTGCGGAGCCTTGGACGAAGTCGGTGCTCGTGCCTGGCGTCACCGTGATTGTTGTTGTGGCTCCGGTAGGCGTGGTAGTCTGGGTGCCGGTGCTCGTGGGCGAGGTTCCTTGGGTGATGGGCGCGATGGTGCCGGTGCAGGCACTGCCGTTCGGGCAGCACGCTGGGTGGCCCGCGCCGTCGATGGAGCAGACCTCAGTAGTCCTGCAGCATAGGCCTGGCTGGTTGATGTTTGTGCAGGCCCGGTAGCCCGAAGCGCATTCGTTGGAGCCAGTTTGGCGCTTCAGCAGGTCCAATGCGGCATCGTCGACGAGCGTGTCGTTACTTTGCGCGGGCGACTGCTGTAGCTGGGCGGGTTGGAACGGGGAAGTAAAGTCCGGCGCAGCAAACGCAATCGCGGGGAGGAACAGCAACGCGGTTCGCATTCTCATGGATGAATTGGTCGGCCCACAGTCGACGCAGAGACGAGGAATGCGCCGTGGCGCGAGGGATGTTTTTCGGTAGCGTTTCGCGTGGCGCGGTGTAAACAGACTGCGGGATTGGGAAGTGTAGGCGAACGGTGAGATGGACGTGGCCACTAGCGATTGGGGAACGCACGAGGCAGATGTCTTCTGTTCTGATTTCGGCGCGAATGGCAAAGACGTCACGACGCTGGAGGCTGGGATGCCGTCGAGGCTTGGTGGACTCGACCGTGTGCCCAGACCAGCTGGTGTGTTGTCCAAGGAACCCGCACGTGCAGAGCGGTGAGCCACTGCCATGATTGGAGAGCGCAAGTCCCCCGCCCTGTGGCTTTGCCGAGCCGCCCGCAGTGGGGACTCTGGTAGTGGGATGCGGATAGCTCGAGCGTACCAACGGCTGCTCCCTCATCAACGAACCAGCGCACCGGAGTCGCCATGGACGACGCGAGACTCAAATTTGCGATTCACGAGGCCTGTCGCGAAGGCCAAAGTATGCCTCTGCCGCCCGCTTGTCCTCCGCTGTCGCTGACCCGCCGTCGCAGCTTCCAAAGTCGAGTCGCTTCTCTCTGCAAACCCCAAACTCGCCTCCCTCCGCGACGATGACGATCGCCTGCCAATCCACTGGGCCGTATCTTACAACCACCTTCCCATAGTACAGCTGCTCGTCCAATCCAAGTCCTTCGACCCTGATGTCGTCGACGGCTCAGGCTGGACGCCGCTCATGATGGCGTGCTCGCGCAAGGAAGCCGATGCCATCGTCTCGCTCCTCATCTCCAAAGACGCCGACGTCAACGCGAAGAACAGCAACGGCCAGACAGCCTTGCATTTTTGTGCCAGCAAGAACCATCTCGACCTTGCGAGGACCTTGTTGAAAGAGAAGGCGACCGCAAGGGTCAAGGACAAGCGGGGCCAGCTGCCACTGCACAGGGCGGCAGCTATAGGCAGTGTGCCTATGATCAAAGAACTGTTAGGCCCTGGCAAGAGCCCGCTGAACGCCACGGATGCGGATGGCTGGACGGCACTGCATCATGCCATTGCCGAAGGCCATGGTGATGCGGCCTTGCTCTTGCTTACTGGTGGCGCCGAGTTCGACAAGAAGAACTCGAGTGATCAGGTAGCGCTGGACCTGGTGCCTGATGAGAAGACACGGAAGTTCATATTGCAGGCCGCGGAGAGGGAGGGCATCGATCTGATATGAGGGCGAGGAAGGAGGAAAGCGGCCGTCATTGCATGATACCCTGGAGTCTTTGGTTTTGACATGAGATAGGCACATCCAGTCGGCATTAACATTTTCTCTACTACAGCTCAAAGCAGACCAAGTAGCGAGCTTGCTCTCACAACTCACGATGAACCAAATCGGGTGAGAGTCGGCACTCGAATATCGGCGCCCGGTCTGGTCAACGAAACTGGTTCACTGACATGCACCTACGTATTAATTAAGATTTTTGGAGAAGACTCTAATGTTGCTTTTGCAGCAGATTTTAGTGTTCATGGTCTTTTTTATCTCTACATCGTGGTCAGACAGCGTTGTGGCGCGCTTATACGCACGGCGCTCTTCCAAAACCAGCTTCTTTTCGACCCCTCGTCACACCAAGCCCAAAACGTTCCTTTCGCTATGTTATAGGTCCAAGTATGTGTAAGCTATTTCAACGGATTTAAGGATAGTCCCGCCTTGAATGACGTAATCCATTACAATCGTAGGAGGAACATACTAATAAACAATGCTACGACTCTACAAAGAGGTAGGCTACTCAATCCAATTGCACAGCTCTTCAAATAGATCCTAGATCTGTCACCGGCACAGCCCCTTCAATCAACTTCGGCAATCACACCAGATCACTCCATCCATCCACAATGCGCATCTTCATCACAGGCTCCTCCGATGGCCTCGGATCTCTCGCCGCCAAATCCCTAGTCAAGCGCGGACACAACGTCACTCTCCACGCGCGCAACTCCCAGCGCGCCGAAGACGCCAAAGCCGCCTGTCCCGGCGCCGACGGCGTCCTCATTGCCGACCTCTCCTCAACCCAAGCCACAAAGTCCCTCGCCGACGACCTCAACTCCAAAGGCCCCTGGGACGCCATCATCCACAATGCGGGCGTGATGCGCATTTCCTCGTCCTCAAGAGGTCCCGAGGGTCTCCCAACCCTCTTCGCGACAAACACCCTTGCGCCCTACATGCTTACCTGCCTCGTGCAGCCGCCTCCCAAGAACCTTATTTTCTTATCGTCGTCGATGCACAACAGCGGCGACGCGACGCTGAGAGATATCAAAGCCGCCAGCTACAGCGACAGCAAGATGCACAACACGATGCTGGCGTTCTGGTTCGCGCAGCAGCCCGCGTTCCAGAAGACGGTTGTAAGTTCGCTGGATCCGGGGTGGGTGAAGACGAAGATGGGCGGCGCGGGCGCGGGGGATGATATTGGGGCTGCGGTGGAGGACTATGTGAAGCTTGCTGAAGGGGCGTTGGGGGCGTCGGGGAAGCATTGGTATCATTCGAGGGAGAGGTCGGTCCATCGGGGGGCAGCGGACAAGGGGGCGCAGGAGAAGTTGGTCAAGGAGTTGACGGAGATATCTGGTGTGAGATTGCTAGAGTAATTGGTGTTGCTGGAGGGCTTGCATCCAAACATAATATATATCGCTCATTATTTGTTCATTGTCTGATGGGCACATACTTCCCTTACCATACAATGAAAAACCCAGATGTACTGTGGTTCTTGTTATCCCATCTTTCAATATGCTCTATAATTCTAGGCCATGATCTCCGTGCACTTCGTTCACGCCACTAATTACTTCTTGGAGCGGAATGGTCTTATTTGGGAATAACCAAGTCCATCATGGCACGGATTCAAGGCAACCGGCGCGCTATCGATGGGGTTGGGAAGATCCTATACAAGTTCACTGCCACTGCGTGCAGCAAAGACTTCCAGCAGATCACTTTCATACCCAAATCCGCCTTCCTCACACCCGCGAAATGCGTTTCTGCAGAAAGAAGACTTCTCAAAGACCTGCTTATGGGTTGCCGTGATTCTTCGCTATATATTCCAACAAGGCGTCGATGACATCGAAAACACAATCGATGAGGACGATCGTGATTCCAACGAGACAACACATTTTAGCAACATGGAGGTCAGTCTGGTAACGTGGAGGCTAATACGGCGTCACTTGTTGGCCATGACTAGTATAGTGGCTGCTGCGACAATGTATTCCCTGACCATCTAAATGGAACAGCTCTAGATTCCAGCCGTGAAGGTTACTGGACCTGGATTACGAACGAAACCCACGGCGAGTGGGTCGAGTGAAGTTCATTTCACTACATCCCACGACTGTGTACGTCCTCAAATCCACATCAAAGGTTTCATCATGCAGGGCTTTTTTAGGCGTTGTCAGTGTATCAGCGACCCTGTCTCAATGAAGGCGTTGAGAATTTCTCTCCAGTGCGACTTGGGGCGTCATTAGGATCGAAAAGATCTAACAGAGTGGAAATGTCTTGAATCAGGAAACGGCCAAGATCACTCCCCTTACATAAATTAAGTTTGATTGTACTTGGTATATCGCAAATGCAGTAGCAGCGATCCAGGAAGCCATTCCAGGACAACACGTTACTGTCGTAGCAGTCAGTTCAAATCTTGCAAATGACCAGATGGAATCTCAATACCTCGCCCGGCTCTACGAGTGCGCCGTTGGTGCTTTGATAAATCCGGCCCCCAGACTCAAAATCGCCGCCTTCAGTCCTACCAGCGTGCCTATCCCAACCAACTTGGCCTCCTCAGCCCCATGCTCCCCACCCTTCATCATCTCCGCGTACCCATGATTTAGATCAGCCTGGTCGAATTTCACGGGCGGTCTCCACCCCTCTGCATAAGGTAGCCGTTCCTGTTCTAAACCCCATTAGCAAAGCCTCACTCCCTTCTCCAATCACTTCCAACTTACCAAAGAAGATCCTGACCCATTTCAACGGCGCAACGCCATCCTTCCCCAGCAAGTTCAGATACAACGACGTCTCCCCATAACTCATAATCGCCTCCTTAATTCCGTAGATCCATGTCTTCTCCGCGACGTCATGTTTCTCCTTACTCGCCAGCACCCGGGCCCACCGCGCATGCCCCGCCGTAACCCAGTCCGTCGCAATGTCCTCGTCGCTCTTCCCCGGATGCGCCTCGCGGTACGTCTTCAGCACCATGTCAAACGCAGCCTGGTCGAACTTTTCGCCGCCGCCAAAGGCAGCGTCGTCGCGGGACAGCGAGGCGTCGTGCTCGATGTAGTTGTGCTTGGTCACCATGTTCAGATCAAAGGTGGTTGCATCGTGGTGTGGGTTCGCGAAGATGCCGGAGGCCGCGAAGACATTTGCGATCTTGGGATCGATGTTGAAAGCTTTGGTGAGGGCTTCGACGGCCATGGCTTTGGTGATGTTTTTACCGCTGTGCGGCAAGATGTTGTGGTTTGCAAGTGAGTTGATAGCTGGGCAGGGGGAGCGGACTGGGGGGGTTAGTGTGATTGATTCATGGATAGTTGGATGGATGCCTGGGCTGGGGAAGGGTCGCTGTACCATCTTTTTCTCCTGGGCGCGACCAATTATCCCATTTTACCTCGACGGTATGCGTCGCTGTTGTTTGAGGCTGCTGTTTCTCCTCCGCGGAGGACTTCGTTCGCTTGCCGAAGAGTCGCGAGAACATGATGCTCGAACTACTAAGAAATTATTATGGTATGGTATCTGCGCGGTGAATTAGAGGTTAAAGTTTTAGTCTGCAAGGTCAATCGCATCCTATTATATACGTTGCTGATGCCTTCAGCTGCTTCCTTACCGCCTCGGTTTTCAGCTGGTTCGTCGGCGAGTCCGGATTGGGGCAGCAGCGGGACGGATCGGTACTACGGTGAACGCCCATTGAACAGCCTCGCGTGCGCGGAGAGGGGGTGGCAAGGGTTCCATCATCCCTTTGATAGCACTAATCGTCACGCTAGCCCATGGTGTTTGATCTGGTGGTTCGTCCCTTCGCTGGTCAACTTGGTCAAGGGTCGCGCGTAAAACTTCTACTCGAGGCAGATCTTGATATCTATTTTAACGCACATTTTACGCCAGCAAAAGGGATTTTCTGTCAACTCAGTAGCATTATGAGACTGCGTATGTACAACCTGAGGCGATGATCGTCGTCACAAGGTTTTGGTTAAGACGTTGGCGGCACACGCAACTAACCTCTGGACTTCACATATCTTGCACGCAATTGTGCCGCTGACGTTTCCAGAAGCACAAAGGAAACTCTCTATATTCGCGCAAATGGAAGATTCCACATGCTCCATAAATACATGTCGCTTCAGCCTCGTTCTGTACGGATGCGATAACAACAAAATCTCCGTGGGGATATCGGCGGTCATGTGGTTCAAAGATAGAAGACAAAAACCAAAGCAGAACAACCTTCTCCAACACAAGAGCAGACGGGATTCTCGGGATAAAAACTGTCCGTTCGCGGGAACCACTTCGGGATATGAAGTCTGAAGTCACATCTTGATCAGTAATTATGCTTGTACGTGTTCCCGGACTTACGCACCGGAGGATCCCATTCTGTTTGCCTGTCCCCCAATACGTGTCAGAAGACACAGTCATTGAAGACGTTAACCGGCCCCAACTTGTCTTATCCTACGTACATGGGATGTTCGATTCAATCTGGACTGTACTTTTGCGCGGCTAGAGGTGTATTCAATAGATATGCGCGAAGGTCGGATTAGGCTGAGCAAGCCGAACGACAACGCGCCCACAGCAACAAGGCAGGCTGAGCCATATTATAAGGCGTGTAGATCAGCGTCTGAGAAGGCGGCCTATATTGCCCCGAATCGTGGAATGTGTGGAGGCTTTGGCTGTGGATGGTTATTCGACCGCGCGCACGCCCCCAATGGGGGCCAGCCTTATTGGGGCGGAAAGATCAACAGTGTATGCATGCTGATGCAGAATATCGAAATGAGGCATAAGATTGATGGATTATCATAGGTAGGCGGAGCTGCATGAATACGGTTAGGGCGCACCTTCCGCACAGCTGTACGACACCTTCCGTACGCCAGAGAAGACTTCTAACAGAAGCACCCCACGAATCACTTCCACGCTCTGTTCTCTCTGCGGGCCGCACACGGACACTCCTGGGCCCCTTAATATGGCCTTCTTTAGTTCCAGAATCCCGAGGTGTACCCCAGTACTACATCTACTCTTTACTCATGCACCGAATATCTCTACAAGACCTTTATCATGCTTTCGAAAACCCCGCACGAACATAGCAGATTCAGCCCGATTCATTTCCCATTCATACTCTCCCACACATCCATCCCTACATTGCAGCACATCGCATGATAACCCTCCCATCGAGACGATCGACATACGGCACCTTCCTCTGTGGAATCACATCATCCACACCTTCAGCTCTACGCACCTTGGAAGAAACCGCCTCATCAAACGCCTTCTTGATCTCATCTGCCGCACAGACTCATCAGCTTTCCCCTACACACCCAGTTCCGAAGCTACTTACATACCCTCATGCTCAATAACGTACACGGCGAGCTCCTCAAGCAGCCCCTCCAGCGCCTCGAGCACATCGCCGCTCCCGGTGCGCGTCTTGATGATGATCTTGAATCCATCATCGGTGAACATGACGAGGCTGGCGAAGAACTTGGATCTGTATTGTTGGAAGGCGGTCTGTGTGATGATTTCGAAGCGAGCGCCTGGGCATGTAGGCCAGAGGCGGCCGTGGCCCATGGCTGCAGAGTAGTTAGAAAAACGCAGCTGTTGGGAAGAGGTAGGGGAGTAATCAAACCGAGGATTTGTTCCTTGAGCTCGCCGGCTTCCGTGATCTGGCGGATGCGGCGGACTTCGTAGGCTCTGTAGGCGACGCAGCCGACAAGGGCGAGGAGTGTGAGATCGAAACCGGAACCCATGGTGGGAATAATGGACAGGGACAGGTGTGAGAAATGTTTGTCAGAATGCAGTTAGGGGCTAAGTTGATGTGGCTGTCGAACGTTGAGGTCCGAGTTGAAGCGTGGAGGATTATATGCTGCCTTGAAAGAGGGTGAGGTGCTCATATATGGAAGGGCTTTGGAATGATTGTTCCGGGGCAGTCGATCATAGCAATGTCCTTGGATACACGTGAGCACATGTCACGACAGAGGCCTTGCGGCGGTGAGACGCCAAGAATGAAAGTTTGCTTCGCGCTTGAAACAGCTTTGAGCAACTTCGGCTGTCCACGAGGTCTCCAACGTCTCTTTCTCAAAAAAACATGTAGTTCGGTATCGTCAAGAGTCCTGAGAAATGCTTCATTCAACGTTCTTTGACACTGGAAAGCACGAAGCTTCGACGATGATGAAAACTCATCTATTGCTACAGAGAGACCGGTCTCATAATACGTTCCCTGACTGAATGAATTCGCTATCCACATGCAATCAGCACTCGTACACGGGCTATACAATCTCAAATTCGTAGTACACATAAGGCGAGTACTCAGCATCGCCCAAGTGGCCCTGCGCTTGCATTTCACTGGTAAGGGCGGAATCGTCCTTTTTGGGCCGGCCTTTGTTGTCACGGTTGAACGCATTGCCGCCGAGATACGAGTAGTTTGCATCGAGGTTGGTCTTTGCTTTCTTCGCAGCCTTTGCGTTTGTCTGTCTCAAATTAGCCTTCCAGATCACGAGCGTCTGAAACGAATTCAGCTTACTTGCACCAGCCCGCATATGAAGTCTAATGGCAAGCCATATCGAAGCACCGTCTCAACGAACACGCGCAGAGCCAGCACGTGGACCCAGATCATGGCGCTTTCGCTGTACCCTGTGCGTCCTAGTCTTAACGCCTCTCCCCACAGCTTCTTCGCATCCTGCTCCAGCTGGCTCGCCTCCTTGGCTTCCTCTTCCTTGCCGCCCTCCTTGTACTTGTAGTCACGGGGTGTCCACCGCTTTTCTCTGCACTTGTGTATGAAGTCGGTGGAGGTCTTCTTGAAGGTCACAACGGCGAACAGCGTAAATTCGTCATCCTTTGCGACTTCAACGGCAGAGCGGGGCACGACCTTTTCGGATATGGTCTCGTAGGATTTGTAGAAGTCCTTTACCTGCAGGTTGGGGACAGCGATGAGGTGGGTATCGAGGTATTCGGAGTCTTGGATGATGAGGCGGGGGTTTACTACGGTGGCGAGGGATTTTGTGGACAGGTTGCCGGTTCGTTTCCGTTCTGCGGCCGCGAGGCTGGTCTTGGTTTGGTTGTACTGGGAGAACTTGGCCTTGACGTCGTTGTCGATGCCTGCTATCTCCTGCGCAAGGTATTAGAATTTTGGGAATCGGGCAGGGAGAGCCGGTCGCACCTTCTGCAGCGAGTCTATCAGGTCGGCGATGGGTTTATCTGCCCGGTATTTGATCTTGTTCCACTGGAAGGACCGCAGGTACTGGTCAACAGGCTCTGTACAGCATGTTAGCCCGCCCGCACCAATGTTTCCCCCGCGAACAAGCATCTACGCACTGTCGTTGATGGTCTTGTGCTGCTGCACGCGGTCCTCGTCCCCGTCGAGGATGGTCTTCAAGCTGTCCCCCACCTTGGCGACGACCTGCTCGCACGAGTTGTTGAGCTTGGCCAGGTCGTCTGCCTGCTGCACCAGCGCATCCAGGGTGCCGATCTTGAAGTTGGGTATCGCAAAAGGGTACGTCTGGCCATTGTCGCCGCCGATGGTGCTGCGCAGGGCGTCGAGGGCTTCGTCATGGTGGTTCGAGGGCGTTATTGACGAGGGGAGTGACACCAGCAGGTACTTGGTGCCCTTGGACATGTTGGGCGGGTGGAATAGCAGGCACAGGGCGCGGCTGCAGGGGTCTCTGCTGGTGATGCGGTGGTGGAGGTGAGCTTGGTGGGCTTGCCGTTGAGCTCCAAAGCTTGGGGTGCCAGACGGCTCTAGCGGCCTGTCGTCACTCACAGCCCGAGCATCTGGAGGGACAGCTCCGCCTACAGCGGCACACGGGGTCTCGGGCAGCACCGTCTTCGCTCGCACTCCCTGAACAGCATCTCGGCACAGCTGCCGGCGTTGATCTGGAGTTGCAGCGATGGCGCAGGCCTGCGACGGGATGCCATGTCCCAAAGCGGAAAGGAAAGAGTGGTGGTCGGGGCATTACAGGTTGGGCCGTTTGTATCCGTCGGCCAACATGCGTGATTCCTCCCTCCTGCACGACACAAAATGGCTTCCAAACGGGCAGCTCAGCTGCTGCGACCGGCCGTCAATGGCTTCAAGGCATCGTCGGTGAGCCTCCAGCATGCCGTACAACACCAGACCACCATCAGAAGCCTCGCGACACGCGCGGGCCGCGCCCGCAAGCCCGCCCGGGTTTCAACCACCGCCGTGCGCTTCGCCTCGACTGCAACTCCTACCTCTGACGGCCAATTGGGCAGGACGGGCCTTTATGAGCTTCATGCCAAGCATGGAGCAAAGTTCGTGCCTTTTGGCGGCTATGAGATGCCTGTCCAGTACAGCGATCTGAGCATTGTTGATTCGCACCACTGGACGCGCCAGAAGGCGAGCTTGTTCGATGTCGGCCATATGTGAGAGTCTCTACGATTTGCATCAAACTTTGATCTAACAGTCGCGAAGGGTGCAGCATGACTTCTCTGGCCCTGGCGCCCAAGCTTTCCTGGAGCGCCTGACGCCGTCTTCCCTCTCGTCGCTATCTGAGAACCACTCCACCCTTTCTACTCTCCTCCACCCCGACACAGGTGGCATTGTCGACGACACCGTCATTACCCGCCTTGCCAACAGCTTCTACGTCGTTACCAATGCCGGCTGCAGAGAGAAGGATCTGGCATACCTCACCGAGCAACTGGAAACTTGGAGGAAGGACAACCCCGACAAGACCGTAGAATGGAAGCTACGAACCAACCAGGGTCTCGTTGCCCTCCAAGGGCCTCTCGCAGCAACCATCCTCGAGCGGGCGTTGAGCGAGCAATCGGCTTCTGCTCTCAAGTCTTTGTACTTTGGCCAGTGCATGCCGGGTACTATCAAGGGTACTGATGTGGAGGTCTTGATTAGCCGTGGTGGCTATACCGGCGAGGACGGATTTGAGATCAGCATTCCCCCTCCTGCCACCGAAGCCGTCACGCAATTCCTGCTAGACTCAGCCAAGGACGAGCTCCGCCTTGCGGGTCTGGGAGCGCGTGACACCCTGCGCCTTGAGGCTGGCATGTGCCTCTACGGCCACGATCTCGATGACACCACCACGCCCGTCGAGGCCGGTCTCTCGTGGATCATTGGCAAAGACCGCCGCGCAAACGGTGGTTTTCACGGAGATTCTGTCATCCTGCAGCAGCTTAAGAAGAAGTCTGAGGGCGGCGGCGTCACCCGTAGACGTGTCGGCTTGATTATTGAGGGGTCGCCTGCCCGCGAAGGCGCTGAGATTGTGGACGAGGCTGGTGAGAAGATCGGCAACATCACATCCGGATGCCCCTCACCCACAGCGAAGAAGAACATCTCTATGGGCTACATCAAAGATGGCATGCACAAGAGCGGAACTCAAGTGCAGGTTATAGTCAGAGGCAAGAAGAGGAAGGCAACTGTCACGAAGATGCCGTTCATCGGCAGCAAGTACTATAAGGCGCCAGCACCGGATCCAAAATAGATTGTAATCGTGTTATTGTGCCTGGGCTAGATTCAACTCTGCGCAGCTCACTACAACCTTGACTTTTTCGTCTTGATGCTTTCCCAATCCTCTTTCCCGTACGGTACATACCGGTCACTGCCCTGTGGTAGCCAGTACATCCGATCTTCACCAGTAATCAAGTCTGGATCCACACCCTCCCTCTTCAGTCGCCCCTTCTGAATCTTCAACGTGCCCGTGTATTCCAATGCCGGTGTGACCCTCAAGAACAGCGGAACTGCATACCCCGGGAGCATAGCTCTAGCATGCTCCGCCAGCCCCTTAAATTCGAAATTCGATAGCGTGACGCCGTCAGCCAACACAATAGAGGCCGTGCCCGCCCGTCCATCATACCCAGGGACGCTGACGCCGTAGACGTTGGACTCGGCGACTTGGGGATGCCGTCCTATCGCATCGGCAACCTCGTTGGTAGACACATTTTCCGACTTCCAGCGGAAGGTGTCACCAAGGCGGTCGACGAAGTAGACGCGGCCAGACTCATCCTGTCGCATCATATCCCCAGACTTGAACCACCTACAGCACATCCATCAGCGTGACTTCACTTACCGCGGCTCAGCAGACTTAGACTTACATATCGCCCTTGCGAAACACATCCCTAATCCTCCTCTTCTCCGTCGCAGCATCGTTATTATAGTACCCCGGATGCATCGGCGCCCCAGGATCCAACCTATGCAGAACCTGTCCCGGCTCGTCTGTCCCACACACAACCGCAAACCCCTCCGCGTCCCGCAGTATCTCCTCGGTATCTACATCCATCCTGACCCTGACCTCCTCCCCGCCGAACCGCCAGTTCCAAAGCGCGCCCCGCACCCCGAGCGCATGCTGAGTAAACGGGCCCTCGTTCCGGTTGAAAATCGCACCCAGCCCGTCCGTCGCGGCGTACAGCTCGTTGATGACGGGGATCCCGAACCGCGCCCGGAAAGGCTCCCACACATCCGGCCGCATCCCGTTGCCCCACGCCACCTTCACGCAGTGCTTGCGCTCATACTCGTTCACCGGCCCGTTGAGCAAGTACCGACACAGCTCACCTACGTACTGGATGATCGTCGCGCGGGAGGTGGCGACTTCGGGCCAGAACCGCGCGTGGCTGAACTTGCGGCCTAAGACGACGGTGCTGCCGGCGTGGATTGCAGGTGTCATACACAGGCTGTGCGCGGCGCCGTGGTACAGGGGCATGCAGGTGTAGAAGCGGTCTCGAGGGGTCAGGCACAAGTAGCGTGCGGTGGTGCGACCGACGATGAGTTCTTTTGCGGTGGGGGCGACGACGCCTTTCGGATGACCCGTAGTCCCCGAGGTGTAAATCAGGGTCTTGGTGGTCTCGGGGGTAATGTGAGAGTGAAGAGATGGGGAGAGCGGAGTGGAGTCGGCCAGACTGGAGAGGAAAGACGGCGAGTAGTACTTTATTTGCACGTTTGTGCTCTCGAGGTCTGGGCGGATGGGTTCCACGTTTTGGCGGACATCGGTATCGGCGATGAGGTAGCGCGATTCACAGAGCTGGGAGAGGTCAGTGTCTGTTTCTCTGACGATGGATCGAAGATGTTGATAATGCCGAGAAATCGGGTGTGTCCTCCAGGACTTAGATCAAAGAAGTCGAACCCACCTTAATGCAATGAATCAATCCCTCACCACTCAGGTTGTTGTTGATGAACGATATCACACAGCCAACAGCATCGATAGCCAGCCACAGCATCACATGCTCCGGGCTGTTGCCCCCATCCAAAGCCACGACCTCGCCGGGCTTGATCGCCATGTCTTTGATCAACCAATTCGCCACCTTCACGACACACTCGAGAAACTCTGCATATGTCCATTGCTTGCCCTCAAATATAAGGAAGGGGTGATTGGGTTGGTTCTGCGCTTGTTCCTCAAAGATGTGATAGGTTAAAATCCTGCTGCCACGCGAGGCTGTCCAGTCGAGATCGGCTTGTGTGGGAATGATGCCACCCCTGCCATTTCCTATGCGAGTAGACGTCAGTATAGCTCAGGACAGATACTCCTTCGGTGTCGCACGTGTAATTGGGCAGTGCACGGTGGAAGTATGTAGCCCAGGACAGGGTACGCGGATACGTATATGTCTCTCCACGGACGAGATGTATCCCTCCGGGTCTACTTACGAAGATCATGAGCAATATGGTACTTGGCGTTCAAGTACGCTGCAAGCGCTGCAGTACCAGCTGCGCCGGCAAGGACTGGTACTTTCAAATGTCAGTGGGCTCTCATTTGTAAGCCGAGGTCGTTCAATAACGAAAAGCGGCTTACAGGCCATTTCGCGTTTCAGCTCTTTCTCTCGCGTATGGGCGACCAGTATCGTATCTCCTGCTGATAGTGGCACGTTCTCCGGGGACTCGCTACACGCTAATGTGCCTCGTTAGACTTTCGATTCAATGCAGAAGCGTACGGAGTTCGCAGCCCTGTGGTGGCATGAATAAGTCTCCTTGGCCCAGACGAAGGACAATTGACATGACGTTCGACGCGTCGGCATCCTGCGAGAGTACATTTCTCGATTGAGGGGTTTGTATCCGTGCCATGGCGACAGACCGAGGTTTGACGAGTAGGCGAGTAAGCGGAGAGGACGTCCGACGAACCTACCCCGCATCACTTCAAACACCACCCCCACGAAACGGTGGTCGAAGATCTGGGTCACATGACGTGTAGACCTTCTGAGGCAAGTATGTTGTCCGTTGCTGCATGCAGGAACAATTGCGAAGGCGTATGGAAGACGAGCCTAGACCGTTGGCGCAACCGCAGTTCTCATGTCCCGAAGCTCGGAGATGCCACTGACTCGCTCTTTCGCAAGACGTGCCATGCCGTGCACGTGCCTTTCCACGTGTCAAACCCCTAGACTTGGGAAGGAAATCGGTCGACCCTGTCGGCGATCCTCCCTTTTCAGTAATTGATACGCGTTGCGCAACAGCTCTCCCAGTCTATTGGTTCCCCTGTGGCATTCGCGATAACCACTCGAGACGCTCCAAACGTGCACACCTTCCAGGCCCACCAGCTAACGGAACCTTTGCGCTCGCCTGTTCGTTGCCGCCCGAGCTCAACCCACTTGCCGGCTCTCTAGTGCGTAGAAAATGAGTGTTCTCATCCGGATGCCGGCTGTCAGTGGATTTGACAAAGTAGTGCCGCAGTTGGGCCGCCAATGATCGTGCTACAATGGGGCATTCTACCACGATTTTAGAGTTCGCTCTTGCGCAAGGTACCCATACTTGGCAGATCAATGCAGGGTCGGCCCCAGGGATCCGAACGCGGAAGACCCAAGGGCACGCGGAGCGGGCTCAACAAAAGTCGCTGAACCTGCCGATGTCTGGGGAGTATTTCGCAACAGAATTTTGCTTACTTGACGTCTGCATCCCCCTGGACGGACAATCCCACTCCTTCGTCTGCAGCGGGTGGGCAACCTTGAGAAGCCAACATGTCGGGCGTATTAGCGGAGATGTGGGCGTGGTTCGGATTGACGGTGGTGGTTGTCGGTGCGCGGTTGTAAGTCTACCACTCCCGCAGATCGAGGTTGCGCACCTAAAAGCGCTGATCCCAAACTAGTCTGTCTCGACGAATGCTCTTCAAGACTTTCAAGGCGCTACAGGCGGACGATTGGCTGATGTTGTTCTTGATGGTGAGTGCGACAGTTCGATGCATTGTAGCAGTGCTAACGAGAAGTACAGCTCGTGTATACAGCGTTGCTAGGAGTCATCCACATCCAAACATATACACCCACAAATTTAATAGATCCGGAGGACACCGCTACCATCGCAAGCCTTACAGCCGAAGACATCAAGAAACGAGAGTATGGTTCGAAACTTGTGCTGGTGACCGAGCATCTTCAGATGATTGTTATCTGGAGTGTGAAAGGTTGCTTGTTGATATTGTATTCTCGTTTGACGTAAGTTATTCACCAAAACACCCTTATTCGCTTCACTGACACAACGACCAGTATGAGTTTGCGGCATAATATCTTTGTCAAGTTCGTGGCCTGGTACGTTGTCCTCAGCTTCATCCTGATGGAGATTCTGTGGTTCATCTGGTGTCGACCTTTCCACTTCTACTGGAAGGTCCCTGCGCCAAGCCGTGAGTGCACAACTTACTCCTATGTTACCAACATCTACTGATACAAAGCAATAGTGAACTGCTCGGCAGAAACGAACCACATGATCACGAACGCTGTGTTCAACTTATCTTCGGACGTAATGATCATCGCGCTTCCTATGCCCGTCCTCATCGGCTCGCAGCTCCCTTGGCAGCGCAAGCTCACACTCTGCTGTGTCTTCGCGCTCGGTATCTTTACAATATTGGCGGCCATCCTGAGTAAGTACTACTCTTTGGGCACGCCTTATGGCATCGAGTGGATCTACTGGTAAGCAACATGTCTTCATTGACTCTGATCTCGGCTGACCTCGTGCCAGGTACATCCGCGAAGTATCGACCGCCATCATCGCTGCGAACCTGCCCCTTACGTGGACGCTTCTACAACGAATCTTCGGCATGAGCAACTTCTATTCGCGCAACAAGTCTTCGGACCCACGATCCGGAAGGGTGACTGGTCAGAGTAAATTCCGCTCTACGTATGGGAACCTCACGAGCCGGACAAGAGATACGGGCGATAGAAAACCGAAGGACCCACACCCTATCGACATAAGTCCTTCTGAGAGCCAGGAACAAATCAATGGAGAGCTCGGCTACCCATTGAAGATTTGGCACCAGCAGGAAGTACAGGTAACATCTGAGGAGGTGGATCCCAACGATCGTTCCTCGCTATCCGACAAGTCGGAGAAGTCAGTGCCTGTACCTTCGAGCGGAGACCCACAGGTTCGCAACGGGGACATGGGCATCGTGACTAAGGTTTCCCATGCTATGTAAAATGTATTGCAAACAGTATGTATACCAGATAAATGTTAATGTCTAACGTGCCAATGTTTAGTACTAAATGCTCGTCAGACCTCATCGCGAGGATGTTCCCTCTATGGCTCTGCAGGCTGCACACAAATCCACCACGGTCCGATAGGACAAAGGTAGAGTACATTTCGCTATTAAAAGGATTCGCGGCGCCACCGTTTTCGTGTGGCGATTCATATCCGTCAGTGCTTTGGATATGAAACGGGAGACTAACGTCAACTGGTCGAATTTACCCATCTCTGCCGTTATAAATTAAACATCCACTCATATCCGAACGTCCGAACAACAAGCGCACCGCCGATTAAAAAATGCACATTAAGCGGGTGTCCCACATGGTGGAGGCATGGAAACAACGCTGAGAATCCACTAATCACCTCGATGAAAGGCTTGTTGCCTCGGCGATCCTCCCCACACGCGACCAGGGTATTTCCCCCAGTTTTCGCTCCGCGTAACTTGACATCTAGAATTGATTACCGAGTGACGAAGTTCATTATCCGCTGGTCATGCGAGAGCACCAGAATAGCAACCACAACCCACAATGCCAAATCCACTCTGCGCCTCTCTAGTCTTCATCTGTGCGGCAGCCTATAAATGCTACACGGCCTGTCACTACCTGCCAAGATAGGAACTTCCTCCCTATACATCCCAAACTCCATACCAGCTACCAGAAGACCTCTACGAGATGAAGTTTCTCTCTATTCTCTCGGCCGCTGGCCTCGCCACATTGGGCAGCGCGCAAGCTCCCACCAAGGTCAATGACTTCAACCTCGGCCCCACCAAGCTTGGGATGTACGTCTACGTACCGTCCAACGTTAAGAAGCCTGCTCCCATCGTCGTTGCAATCCACCACTGCCAGGGTTCCGCTACAGGATATTCATCTGAGACGAAGTACCAGCCGCTGGCCAACTCCAAAGGCTTCATCATCATCTATCCGAACTCCAAGTCGGGTGGTGGTTGCTTCGATGTTGCTTCTACGGCCTGTAAGAAGTCTTGCATTACGATGAGCAAGAACATATCTAATCAATACCATAGCGCTCACTCACAACGGCGGTGGTGACTCCCAAACCATTGCTAACATGGTCAAGTACGCCGTTGACAAGTACGGTGGTGACTCGGAGAAGGTTTTCGTCACTGGATCTTCTTCTGGAGCTATGATGACCCAGGTTATGGCTGGTGCTTACCCCGATGTGTTCAAGGCCGCATCTGCGTACAGCGGCGTGCCCGATGGTTGCTTCTTCGTCCAGGGCGCGACGGCGACGCAGGATCCCCCGGGCTGGAACAACGCCTGCGCAAACGGCCAGACCACCAAGACTGCGCAGCAGTGGGGCGATGCTACCAGGGGATACTTCCCTGGATACAACGGAACTAGGCCCAGGATGCTCATGTACGTTCACATTGAACGTTTTATATCACTGAGTAATTTTTGCTAATTTTTGGGATCAGCTGGCACGGTACCGCGGACAACACTCTCCGCTACCCCAACTGTAAGTTCTTTCCACGAGTACGATTGACACGTAGCTCTATGCTGACAGATACGTTCCAGACCAGGAATCGCTCAAGCAGTGGTCCAACGTCCTGGGTCTCACGACCTCGAAGACTGCGTCTAACACGCCCCAGAGCGGATACACGCAGACCATCTACGGCGACGGCGACTCGAACACTGCGAAGCTTGTCGGCTACAGCGGCCAAGGTGTAGGCCACACCGTCCCAGTCCACGAGTCTGCTGATATTGCTTTCTTTGGTATCTAAAAGTGACGCTCGGGCATAGAGATTCGCCGGAGAGTAGGGACAAACTCTAGAAAGGACAATCAGTCGTTGAGGCAATCAAAACTTCTTAAGAACAGTAATACGTGCTACAACTGAACACTGGGAATCTGATACGAAGGTCTCATCGCCCTGCGTTACGTTTCGTGATTTTCGAAACCCGAGCTTGAGTAATCGCATGGCGGAGACCGAGGGTATTTTGTACTGTCGTTCAGCCAGTGTCTCGTCCGTTCTTGTATACAGAAGTCTCGTTCCAAAAAGGGTAAGGATCTACTATGCTAATCTGCTCTCAATCGTACAATTTAACAGCTTGACAAACCTCTATCAGCCTTTGAACTCCGCTATCATCGTACAATGAGAGGGGTGGTTCGAGGGCATTTATCAGCAAACAATGACCTGATTGGAGCGATATCGGTCGCACGTCAGGTAGGCCCAGTTGACGTGCTTGCAGCTGCAGCTGTCGACATCAACCTTGTCTCGTGAACCCCTCTATAAAGAGGTACAGCTGCAAATATAATGGCGATAGAAATATTTACGTGCGACCATCGCAAACATGCCTGTCGAGTTCATCAGTCTCGCATTTCCCAATGCCTCAACGGAGCTGGATCCCATCCCGGGAGCACCCATCGACCCAGACTACCTCAAGCGCTACGCTCGGAACCTAGATGATTACGGGTTCAACTACACCCTTCAACCATATGACTCGGGAGGTTTCGATCCCTTCACCACGGGCGCCACTATTGCTGCAGCCACAAACCAACTCAAAGTCATCATCGCCTTGCGCCCAAACACACTCTATCCAACGGTCGCAGCAAAGGCCCTGGCGTCGCTGGACCAGCTAAGCAAAGGCCGCGCAGTGGTGCATTTCATCGCAGGTGGCAGCGATGTCGAACAGGCTCGTGAAGGCGATTTCCTGTCCAAGGACGAGCGCTACGGCCGTCTCGAAGAGTACATCAAGATCTTAAAACGCGCATGGGAATCAGCCGAGCCATTCGACTGGGATGGAAAATACTTTCAGTTCAAGGGATTCAGCAACCGCGTGCGGCCGGTGAACGGGAAAAGCATCCCCATATCTGTCGGTGGAAGCAGCGATGAAGCTTACCGCGTTGGCGGATCGCTAGCCGATATTTTCGGCCTTTGGGGCGAGCCGCTGAAAGAGACGAAGCAGCAGATTGACCGCATCTACGCTGAGGCGGAGAAGGCTGGGCGTACGGATCGGCCTCGCATCTGGGTCACTTTCCGCCCGATCGTTGCTGAGACGGAGGAGCTGGCGTGGCAGAAAGCGCACAAGACGTTGGATGCTTTGCAGGGAAACAAGGGCGCTGGGCTCGGTAGGGGGCTGCCCAACGCGGGTGAGCCGCAGAACGCTGGAAGTCAAAGACTGCTTGAGATCGCGAAGAAGGGTGACGTGCAAGACCGGGCTTTGTGGTATCCGACTGTGACTGCGACCAACGCGAGAGGCGCGAGTACCGCGCTGGTGGGCAGCTACCAGACTGTGATTGACTCAATTCTGGATTACGTTGATCTGGGATGTGATTTGATCTCCATCCGCGGATATGACAACCTCAACGATGCTATCGATTATGGCAGGTACATCCTTCCAGGTGTCAGGAAGGAGTTGGAGAAGAAGACTGGCGCGAAGAATGAAGGTATTGTGGATAAAGTGACCCAGGCGGTCGAGAATGTCACCGTCCGTGATGGTTAGTGACACGTCTATCGTAGCAGAATAGCAATATGAAAAGATTCTGAGGCAGGTTGTGTGAGAAGATCCTGTAAAGAGCCATGTGCAGCCACTTCTATAGCCTTATGTTTCTTCCCCAGACCAAGGCAGCCATAGAGCAAGGCTTGAGAAATGTGTGCATACACCGATACAAGAGCAGCTGTGGTGCCATTAAACGACCAGAGATGCGCATTCACGCACTATTCTGTTCTCGAATCGAACCAGATCTTCGGGTCACCATGACCTCCGGGAATGACCCGTAACTGTGTTGATCGGGCACTTGATTGTAGCTCCTGAGGTTACTCGCACTTGTGTGATCGTTCACCACCTCTCCGGTGTCCATGCTTACCCCAGAGCCAACCCCTTGCAACTGATAATAGAAGTGGCGTGTTCTAGACCCTACCTGGCCATTGAAAGAGGCGGCCTGAAGCGATCCTGAGTAGCGTCAACGCTAATTGCGATGCAGCAGCCGGTAATTACATACGTTCGGGTAGATCCGCTCATTGCGCTTGAGACTCAAAAACCTCGGTTGTTCGTGTTGTCAGTGCAAAGCTCTCTAAAGGGTAGCAGTGCATACCAAACTGCGCCTAGGACAGCACAACCATTGGAGTCTATTGTCGCAAAACTTGCTTGTGTTATCGATTGACTGGACACTTGACTAAGAAGATGATCAAGTGCGGGATTCGATGAGCCATTGATGATTGCTTCAATCCTTGCTATTGTACGGATGTAACCCTAAGAATGCACAAGAGTGCTCACCGCGGCACAAGTCCGTGCAGATCGCGGGATCAGAGCCCCACCTCAAAGAGCTTATTCCGGCTTGTGGACCCCATCGCTCACACTCATTCGTCCAGGAAAGCTGGAAAGTGGCGCAAGCACATAGACAAGCTTCCTTGGCCAATAGCGAAGCTTCCCCAACCGAGAAGTAAGCTTTCCTTGCTGCGACCCCTGTCCAAGTGCCCCCAGATACGTCAATAGTGGTCTGGCGTTGGAGGGGCAGTTCATGCGGTGTGCCCCGCGTGGCATTCAAAAGCCCCTGAGTGTCCCTTTGCTCCTCCTTCCGCGCTGAACTTTCTCAAGACAGGAAGAAAAGAAGCACAAATCACCATTACGTGACCGAGCACCAACATGTCTGACAACTGGGACCGAGACAACAACGGCGACTACGACGAGAACTTCGCTCGCAATGCAGGCTATGCCGCGGGCGCCGTCGGTGAGCAGCTCCGGTTACCGGCAATGTGTTCACTGCTGACTCCATCGTAGAGGGCGAATACAACCGCGCAGACCAAGCCTACGACCGCGAACGGGACGACGTCCGTCGCGATGAGCAAAACGTAGAAAACGACTTCCAGCAGGGCGAGCAAAACTTCGAGAACCGCGTGCGTCGCGACGAGCAGGCTGTTGAGGACGCACCTGAGAACGCGGCACGCTGGGCTGAGCAGGGCGTCGACAACACGGTTCAAGGGATTGAGGATATCCCTTCTGATATTGGGAGTGGGATCAACAAGGTGGCTGGATGGATCGGGGATAAGATTGGGGGTGTGGAAAGGGCAGGGAGGGATGCGGAACAGGATGTTGATCGGTTTGGACAGGGAGTTGAGAATGACTATAACCAGGGAAGGCAGGATGTGGATAGGTTCGATCAGGGAGTCGAGAACTCCTACGATCAGGGTGAGAATGAAGGGAGGCGAGATGGTTGGTAGCATGTACAGTCTTGTCTGTATGACTTTAGCTCAGGAATCTACTCCACAATAACGACAAAGAAGTATCCTACGAACAACAATGACCACGGAAGAGACGCCCACACTGCTTCCGCACGGTGTTATTAGCGGCTCTTACAGCTTCGCCGCTTTTTTCGGCACCATCCCGTCCAACTCTTGTACAAATCTATCGGGAAGTATGCTCCGCTCTATGCCTTTCTTCTGTCCCCACTCAGCTGCGGTTCTCTTTTCACCATCCCAGAACCTTCCCATTTCTTTCCCAACCCAGCTCGCCACATGCAATGCACTCTCTTCGACCTTCTCCATGGGAATCAAATGGCCCGCTCCCTCGACCATTACATTTGCGACCCTACCCTCCTTTGCGCCGCCACTGCCTCCAGGTCCAGAGCCTGTCCGCTCCATCTTCTCGTCAATTTGCGTCTTATCGAGCGTCAGGAAACTGAGACTACCAAAGATGTACAAAAGTGAGGGGCGTAAGAAGGGCAACTGTTGGAAGACAATCATAGACTCGCCCCGGTAGAATGGCGTTTGGGGTGTCGGAGAGAGGACTAGATCGGGGTGCGTGCGGCGGTTGATGGCGGTTGGGTTTGCTTCCGAAAACTCAGCTGATGAAGGCTCAGAATCGAGGCCAGGGCGAGAAGCAAAGTTAGGTCGCAGGAATGTCATGACTTCCTGATGTTTAGTGGTCTTCAATGTCACTTCTCTGGGCTGGGAAGCTGTTGGTGTCAAGCTTGGGTCGGTGGACACAGCGGCGGGCAGTGGTCCGGGCGTGGCACTGGAGTTAGTGTATAGCGAGGTGGGTAGCTCGCGGAGACCATGCTCGATCCAGCGGTCGAAGACGCGTTTGTCCCAAGCTTGATAGAATTTACTGCGCAGCATGCTTTTTGCGGCGTCCTCGCGGGAGGGCCATCGATCCCTTCGTCTTGCGGATGCATGCGCGGGCCCTACGTTTCCAGATACGGAGACCATACGCTGGATGACTGGGTCGAACAAGACTAGAGTCTCGAAAAGACGAGGGTGAATGAGGGAGAGATTTGCGAGCTGACAGCCACCCATACTGTGGCCGATGCCTATAAGAGGACGGGGCATCTTATCCCGGAAAGTGTTGACCATGTGCAGAAGATCGCGGCTGTGATCGAGCCACGCCGCTGGTTTTATTAGCACATCTTTGAAGATACATTTGGCAGACCAAGGAAGAACTCACGATCATTTCCTAGCTTATCTTCATTCAGAACGCTGCTTTGGCCTTGGTGAACAACGTCTGCTATCCAGATGCCGCGAATCTTGAACGAATGCTGTTGTGAGATTTTTAGTAGTTCGTCCCAGAGTGGTTCGTAGAGTTCCTTAGGAAATGCATTCGCATGTGCCGAGATGATGGTGATGTCGCCAGGCTGAGGATTGGGATTGTTCAATGGTGTGTACTGCTTGATAGCCAACTTTAAGACTTCATTTTGGTGCGTAGACGTGGTACGAGGGAAGCCACGGATATGTGAAGCGTCAAGTACATGCTCATCAATGCGGAAGTATTCCGACGACATGATGGAGGTCTATGAGAAGCACAGCCGGTGGGTTGGTGAGGGCTACTGAAGGGAGATGTTTTCTGAGACCGGCACTGGCTTGCTGCGGAGGACGAATATGTACAATCTCGAAATTAAAAATGAAGGTGGAGGGATAGAGCGCGAAGGTGGACAATGTGTGAGGCTCCTTGAAGAGGCGGAGTGACTGCCGTGCTGTGAAGCGACGGGCCGAGGTAAATCCACACCCTGGGCGTGTTCGACGGTCCTGTTCAATGAAATCATGAACTCGGCTGTTTGCAACTCAAAACAAGCCACTGAACATGACTAACAGTAGCGACAGCACTGTCCGCAGAAGACTCTTCTAATTTGACCAACGCTGAGCGAAAAGCAATGGCAGCTTGCATTCGACGAGAGAGACTGGATGATTGTCGCATTGGCCGAAGCATTTGGTGGGGGGTCACGTGAAATGGCAAGCGCCCGCGGGCGCGACGCGCGACGGCAAGCGCGACTCAGGTCAAGCTAAGAACGCGCCTGCGCATCGTTCAAAGATCAACAGCACCCGCTGCACCACCACGCCGACACCTGTGCCCTGGCCGAAGCCGGCACCATGGATGATACAACTATGATGGACGCGTCGCAGCCATTGTTCGAAGGCTCTACCTTCACAATTATCCCCACAACGCTCACTCAAGACCGCGTGATCGAGGTGCGTTGGACGCGTTTCCCAGATTCAATTGTAGGGGCTGACCTTTTCTACAGATCTCTGACAGCATAGAAGAATGCGGTGGTAAAGTGAAACCGTTCGACATCGACGTTGGACGCATACAAGGCCTCGAACAGCTCGATTACATCGTTTCCGCAACGACCGACTTCCCCGACTACTATCGCGCGCTCGATATCATGATACATGTGGTCAAACCAGCGTGGGTGGAAGACTCCCTGAAGATCAACAAGATCAAGAATCCCAGGACCTACAGCCCCGATCCTGCGCTGTTCTTGTCCGATGTTGTTGTATGCTGCGGCGACGGCATACCCGAAGGCGACAAGGAAGCAATCTTTGGTGGAGTGCTAGCGATGGGAGGCCAGTACGGCGCTCAGCTAACAAAGCTGACGACACATCTCATTGCGCTCAGCATGGAAGACGCGCGATGCGAGATGGCTGTGAAGAAGCGGCTGAATATTAAGATTGTGCTCCCGCATTGGTTCAATGACTGTTTGAAGGTGGGCTGGCGAGTGAAGGAGCGACCATACTTACTACCCGACCCTGAAATCATGAACGTGGAAGCCGGGGCCATGCCACCTACTACGACGAGCCCGGGTATCAAAGATGCGACGAACCCTGAACCAGCCGGCCCTCCGGCATCGCCTACTCCCGCACACCGAGCGCAACCACGCGCGATCAGGGCCTTCGATGGCAGGAAAGTCATGCTCGGCGAAGACCTGAATCTTAATAGGGATTTGAAAGAGGTTCTTACGGGAATGATCAAGGCAGGCGGAGGCACTATGACCAACAACATTCAACAAGCGAACATCTACGTGTGCAACTACCGCAAGGGCGATGATTATGTCAAGGCTTCACAAAATAACAAAGACGTGGGTAACTTGAGCTGGCTGTACTTCATGATTACCCATGATAAGTGGACAAACCCAATGCGTCGGATGATGCATTATCCGCGACCGCCACCGCCTGGGATCGGAAACTTCCAAGACTACAAGATCAGTATCTCGAGCTACACAGGAGAAGCACGCGTCTATCTCGAGAACCTGATCAAAGCGCTCGGCGCAGAATTTACGAGAACGTTCAAGCAAGATAATACGCATCTAATCACAGCACACAGGAATAGCGAAAAGTGCGAAGCAGCGGAAGAGTGGGGTGTCAACATCGTCAACCATCTTTGGCTGGAAGACAGCTATGCGGAGTGCAAAGAGAAGAGCCTTACGAGCGAACGTTACACGTACTTTCCCCCGCGCATGAACATGGGAGAGATACTTGGTGCCACAGAGATCAATCGGGACGCCGTGAGGAAGATGTTTTTTGCAAAGAGCAAAAAGAAGGAAGCAGAAGCCTTGTCAAACACAACTGCGGGCGGCAGTCGATCACATACCGATGGCGAGGCACACACTCCCCTGGCTGCGAAGGCTTCTCGGCGAACGAAGACGGCTGACGACGTGGCAACGCCCGCTCGAAGTCGCCTTGACGGAAAGGAGAACGAGACACCAGGCACCACAGGTAGTCGCGGAGCCAAAGACCGAGCTTTGTCAAATCTCCACAATGTTATGGAAGATGTCAATCAATACCAGAAGGAGGCAAAACGGAAAGGAGGAGTGGTTCACGGCGGCCGACGGCGGAAGGAAGATGAGATCGTAGACAAAGAAACGCGGAAAGGTGGTCGAGACTCAATCGCAAGCAAGCGCTCCATCGAGGAAGTCGAAGCGGACGATGCCAGTACGGAAGACGAAACGGAGCAAACTGCACAGAAGAGCAAGAAGGCCCGCAAAGGACCAATGACCCAGATTAAACATCGCATGCTCGTCTCGGGCGACAAGCGATGGCAAGGTGACGGCGACAAGGAATCGAAGGATAAGGCGCGCCTCCGCGAGCTCGGCCTTTACATTCTGGATGAGCCAAAACGAGTTGACTTCCTCTGCGCGCCGAAGGTTGTGCGTACCCTCAAGTTTGTTGCGGCACTTGCGGATGGTCCTCAGCTTGTTGGTAGCGAATATCTTGACTACGCTATCAAGCACAACAAGTTGCCTGATGCAAAGAAGTATCCACTCGACTACAGTGAATTCAGGAAGCAACATGACATCGACCTTTCGGACGCTATCACCCGCGCAAAACAAAACAAACATCGGCTTCTGAAGGACTTCACAATCTTTTGCACACAGAAGGCGAAGTTCGACGTCTACAAGGATATCGTCGCCGCGAATGGGGGCAAATGTCTGAAATGGGACAATCGTACGACAGCCGTCACAGCGTCAAAGCGCAAGATCGATTCACAACCCAAAGAAGTCTCGCAGAACCTGGAAGAGGATGAAGGTGATGTTTTGTATCTCATCTCGGAACCCCACAAGGACGAGCTCAAGCTATGGACCAAGTTTCGGGAGCTAGCAGAAAAACACGATATGGTGCCACGCATTGTTTCAAATGAGTGGCTACTCGGCGTTGCCATGGCGCAGAAGATCCACTGGAAGCCGGAATGGGAGCTCAAGGAGGAAGACATCAAAGGTGCGGCAAAGAAGTAGGATTCCGTGGAATTTTGGCTGGCGGTGGTGGCCTCTCCTTGACTTTTTATGACATGATGATTGGACCAAGCGTCCGGCGTTGATACATGGGCCTATAGACGCCACTGATTCCCAACATGTTTGCTGGGCGACACACTTGCACCGTCTGTATCGGCGTACTGCCATATGCATCTCACCGTAATGATCCGTGTCCATGTAAGGGTATTTTTCGCGGGTCGGTTTCGGCTTGCTATCTTTGGGATTGAAGGGCTTACTGTACAGCATTAGCGAGAGTTCGTATTGTTCAATGCATAATTTGATACCTTTGAAGTAGCTCTTTTCAAGTGTGCATCGACCAGTTCACCCCACCCACAATCTCTCCAAGAACCAGTAGGTATATCCACAGAGTACTCGCACGTCACTCTCAGAAGAACTTGACACCCTCGCTCCCCTCAGCCCCAAAGATCTGCGCCTTCCCCCTCTTCACGCACAGCTGCAGACTCTTTGTCAACAGCTCCCCATCAATCCCGTGAAACTCCTCCCGCTTCGTCGCATCGCTCTCCCCAATCTCATACAGCGTGATCACGGTTCCCCGCTGCCCCGTCCGCTCGACCCACTCTTCCAAGCTCGCCGCCCACTCCTCCGGCCTCTTCCAGTATACCCAGCACCGCCCGGTCTCCTCGCCCTTCGCGGCCCTCCCGTTCCCGCTTGCGGTGATCCACTCCGCGCGGTGCCCGCCTTCGGGGGACGCCATCCAGTTTATGACGGTGCGCGCGTCCTTGATGGTGAGTTTGCGTCCGGTGGTGGGGTTCGCGAAGAGCGGAGAGGAGAGGGCGTCGACGAGGGTCAGGGTGAAGAGGCGGTGGGCGCGGCAGTAGGATTGGATGAGCGTGGACCAGGAGAGGAGCTGGGAGGAGAGGGTGGTGGGGTTGGGCTGGAGGGTGAAGAAGGGGGGGAAAGCGTAAATAGGGGGGAAGGTGAAGGCGTCGTCGGAGGCGGAGGCCTTGGTCGTGGTGGAGGGTGTGGATGAGGTGACGGCGGTTGTAGCGGTTGAGAGTGGGGTCTGCGAGGGTTCGGGGCGCGATGCGAGGGTCGCCATTGTGGTGAAGGAGGAAGGAGGTTGCTGGGGAGATGTGTGCTTGATGGCGGGTCGGAGGACGCGGTAGTGATGAGGTCTTGGGGAGAGAAGGTGAATGCACATGGGAGCGTTATGTCGAGCGTGGGGCAGCTGGAGCTTAGCTTGGGGTTTGGGCGAGCTTTGGCGGGGTCAGTCGGCTCAGCCCTACGCATCTTTGACGCATCTTGGCACATCTCATACAGTGTATAAACACACGCGAGTTCAACATGGGTCGATGATCATCTTTACGGAATTTACATACGTCTTCTCGTTGTTTAAATTGCTGCTCCTGGATTCTTAGCCCCTTATCGAAGTCGAATAAGCATCGACTCGACGTCCTCTAGATAGCCCTTCACAACCTCCGCACACCTCGCTGCCGTTGCGCCGTCAACAACCCTGTGATCAGCGCTCCAGCTAAACGTGCACTCCTCCTTCTTAACCAACCCTCCATCTTTCCCGAACGCAGGCACCGTCTTTGCCCTCCCTATACCTATGATCGCAACTTGTGGTGACACTATGACAGGCGCTACGACGCCCCCGCCAATACTACCAATGTTGCTCACGGTGATTGTTGCGTCTTTCAGGTCGGCCGTGGTGATCTTCCCCGCGCGTGCGAGGTCGCTCAGGCGAATTATTTCTGTGGCAATCTGCTCGATCGAGAGAGTCTGCACGTCGCGAATGACAGGGACAAGAAGGCCCGTAGGCGAATCCACTGCGATACCAATGTTATGGGAGCCCTGATAGACTAATTGCGGCTTTCCAGGGTTCGTCTCTGTGTCCAAGCGGGCGTTCAGCAGGGGGTATTGTTGCAATGCGAGAGAAAGAGCTTTTATGATGAAAGGAAATGTAGTGAGGCGTTGCGACTTTTCTCTGGCAGCGTTGTACTTCTTGCGAATGCTGTTGAGGGATGTAAAATCTACGCCGTCTGTATACAGGAAATGTGGTATTGAAAGCGAGATTGCCATCTTCTTGAACATGGCAGACTGTATTGGCGTGAGCGGTTGGATCCGGTCTTCTAGTTGTTGCGTGGGCGCAGGTTGTGGTGCTGTAGTGCCTGCTCCAGTCTTCGCTGCCTGGGTGTGTCTTTGTACGTCGTCCTTGAGAACGCGACCATCTCTGCCCGTTCCCTCTATTTCTTCAATTTTTAGGTTTGCGGCCTTGATCATGTGGCGTACTGCCGGCGTGGCCAAGGAGGCGTGCTTGCCCGGCGGTTTTCGAGATTGTGACTCCTCTTGCACGGGTTCAGCTGGTAGAGATGGCGCTGACTGTGTAGGTACGTCTCCGGTAGCCTCAGCAGTGTCATTCCTCCCTACTTCTATTTTTTGTGTATTCGATTCTGACTTGTTCGGTACTTCCTCCGTTTTGTTCTCTACGGCACCGTCAAGGACCGCTGCATCGGCTTCGGAGATCTCGCTTTGGATATCGATGTCTACCAGAGGCTTCTCACATTAGTATATTACATAAAGTAACGTGTATGATTGTGTGCATACCCTGCCCACCTTGGCCATGTCGTCTGGCTCGTAGTATAGCTTCTTGATCACACCATCGAACCGAGAAGTAATCTACCCCGCGTTAAATGCTTCCTGATGTTGATGAATAACCACATACCTCCACAGACGCTTTATCTGACTGTACCTCGCAGATAGGATCGAATTGCTCGACGCGCGCCCCAGGCTTGACAAACCACTGAATAACCTGGCACTCCGTGATACCTACTCACGTTAGCTCTAGTCAAACTCCGCAGCACGCAGCGCTCACCTTCTCCGATATCCGCCAAAATATATGGCTTAACAACCTTCAAGCTATTCGTCGCAGCGAATCCTCTGCTCTGACCCCACCGCCTTCTTTGAATCACGTCCAGTCTGCATGCCTTGGTGCGGGTAGGAATTGGCGTCCTCCCCACGAGCGCGGAACGACAGAGGAAACGAGCGGCTTCTCGCGACATGGCGGGCTTTACGGTGATTGAGGAGGGAAGCGAGAAAGGCACATCGCCAACAGCAGAAGTTGGTTCATAAGCCGTCGGGATTCTTGGATTGTTTGTGAATACGCCCGAGGGTAGCCGTTGGCTCGGTATAACGGGTAACAGGTCTGGGGTAGGCGTGGGCGCTAGCCGGATGCGGCGGGATGGAATGTGAAGAGCGACTCTTGAAAGGCCATGTATAGAGCTGGATCGATGTAAAATGTGGTTTGCTCCTCAGATATTTTCTCGCTTGGGAATTTTGGTGTTAAAGATTATACGTGCTGATGGTGTTGGATGTATTCGTACATTGCATTGCGATCTCACATTTGCTTAAGCCGAACCTGGGGAAGACGCTACCGTGTATCCCCACACCCACATCGCTCAGACACGGTATAGCGGTACAGGTGCTGCTGTGAATTTTTTCGCCGGTGTTGCCCGTTTGTTTACTTGGCTCCGAGGTACAGATAGAGCAGCGTTGCTCTACCTTATCGCATGCTCTAGACGTCGCGAAGGTAATTTTGGCGTGCATCAATCTGGTCAGTCCGCGCGCTACCTACCCACAGTAGCACATGTCTTTTACTCCCACTCCTCCATCGTTCACTAACCTGAGTCGTTGCTTCAAAACACAAGGCATGCACGCTTAGAATAGAGGGGCCATACCACTGCTCTCGCCACGATGCGACACTCACGTCGTGTGTATGGTGTTCATTCAGGAAGCTTGACACAATGTTGGGGAGTTGCACTTAATGCATTTGTGATTCACTAGGATACCTAATATCGGTCGTAATAGCTGCCACCGATACAACGAAATCCTCCGCCAATATCTCCGGAAGATAGATGTCCGGTCTAGGAACGGCCCCTCTCGACCACTGTAGCCGAAATCCCTGTCGCAGGGGTATAAACAACATCTTATTGCGCCATTTCTCCGCCAAACCCATTTGCCGATGCCCGATATGCTCAACGCTTGGAAACCCTCCGCAGTTGGAATGCGGCCAAGACTGAAAGAAAGAGAAAGGAAAGTCTGAACCAGTTCCGTGATTGTCATGAGCTGATGTCGAGTGCCTTGTCCACGGCAGCGGTCACGAGCTTCTCAACCTCTTCGGGTGATCCGGATACGTCGATAATGTCCACATCATGGAGCTTTCTGGTTTCGTCCTCGCCTGGCTCCTCGAGTGCCGCAAGCTGGCTCAAGACCATCGTATCTTTCATGTAATGGCCTTGGCGTCCTCCGACCCGTTGCAACAAGACTTCCTTGCTTGCCTTGAGGTATACGAAGCGCACGTTGGCGTTGGGATCCTCATCGTAGAGACGCGCCGTGCGGATGACGTCTCGGTATTTCTTCTTCAGGGCGCTACAAGTAATGACGACTCCATGGGCCCCTGATTTCAACTGGTTCAGGGCTTGGTCGCGAAGCGTGATGAGCCAGTCCCAGCGATCTTCATCAGTCAGGGGGATGTTTTTGGACATTTTCTCGATGTTCGCGGGAGGATGGAACTGCGTCATTGTTAGCAGGGCCCAGATCAAGCTTTCGTTGCCAACATACATCGTCTCCCTCAATGTAATGGAACCCATACCGCTCGGCAAGGTACTTGGCGACGGTGCTCTTGCCGCAACCCGCGGGCCCGGTTACGATGAGAATATTGTGCTGGGGCTTGATCGACATGTTGGTCGCTGGCTTTGCGTTGGCAGTTGACAGAGCTTTTGGAGGAGCTGCTGCGGTGGATGTAGGAGGTGTGGGAGCAGTGGCAGCATAGTGGATCGGGGTTGTTTGCGCGGGTTCAAAAGTTTGCAACATGATGAATGAAGGTATCGTGTGTTTGCTTGACAAGCCGCCAAGGGAAGCAAGAGGTACTGGGCAATCTGGAGGGACAACAAAGAAGGCACTCCAAGCCAAACTTATACAGGGAGGGTTGTCTAGTGTTGGGAATGCAATATGCTAGGGCTGAGGGCTGGATATGAAAGGGATCGAAAACGACAGACCACATTGCCGGGCCTCGTGCAGACTTTAAAACGTTAAGATGCGGGAGGCCATGACGGCACGGACGGGACCCACCGGCGCAAGACAATGAAAGCCCAGTCATTTTCCACAACACGAATCAGCAGGGCCGCAGGGGAAGCCGGGGCGGTGGCCCGGGAGGCCTGGAGTGCGCGAGTTGGGTGAATCGGCATCTTCGTCGGCGTCTGGAAATTGGGCACAGCGTCGACTAGTGCGGGATGGCGCGGTTGGCTCCCCGCACACGCTTGGTGCAAGGATCCTCGTCATCGTCAGGTACGCTGCACTGATTGCTGCCAGCACATCTTCCCCTCGTTTGCGGGCGCGCGCGTGTCACGCTGCAGATGGCAGGTCACTGGATGCTCGTCTCCGTCTGGTGGGATGCGAGACGCAGCCGGACCGGTCAAGAGGATGATTTTTGTCGCAAAACGCAGCGCACAAGTATTGGCTAATGGCGCGTGGGGGGCACGCGAGCTAAGCAAAAGCCGATGAGTTGCCACAGGTTTGTCAATTTGGGGGGACCGGCGAAGGGTTTCCATGTCGTCTCAGCAGGGTTAGCAAAAAATAGAGCAGGCTCCACTGCATGCGTGCAGCGGAGGAACGGGGAAGTCGGAAAGTGAAGCAGTCCACAGATGCATGGTCTCGCATGCACACCGCCTGCGACCTGTCGCCTGCAAGGCGCTGCTGCGAGTGAGCCCATCTCCGTCCAAGAAGCCTGCGCAAACAGATGCAGGTGGTCCTGTGACCTTTCTGTGCTCGTCTCGGGGCGACGTGCGCAAGGAAAACGCCGATGCTGCGAACAGTGAACAGAGCGAAGACTAGCGACGAGTGCCCCGTCAGTGATGCAATCGTGCTGCCGTTCAGCCTCACGCCGGAATATGTGGGGAGCTCGGATGACTAAGCGGCCCAGCGCACCTGCCGCGCATGCTGGGGTACCAACTACACACCATCATTGAGAACCGGTCCACTGCGCAACCGCCGCCGCCCATCGACTCCGCGTGCCGCGCGCCGAACAATCGCCCGCCATGTCCTACTTCTTCTCCACGCCCGTGGACATCGATATTGTCCTCGAGGACTCGGACGACCGCCAGACTGTCGACGTCAAGCTTGATAAGAACCGCAAGGAGAAGGTGCCGCTATACCTCGATGGAGAGTCTGTCAAGGGACAGGTTACCATCAGGCCGAAAGATGGCAAGCGACTGGAACACACGGGCATCAAGGTGCAATTCATCGGGACAATCGGTGCGTCTGCCTGGCCTCCCCACGCCGCGACCGACGCACGCCGGTACTAATGAGCGCGCGCATGTAGAGATGTTCTTCGATCGCGGTAACCACCACGAGTTTCTTTCTCTTGGCCAGGAACTGGCAGCACCGGGCGAACTCCAACATCCTCAGACCTTCGATTTCAACTTCAAGAACGTCGAGAAGCAGTACGAATCCTACAACGGCATCAACGTCAAGCTACGCTACTTTATGCGCGTCACGGTTTCGCGCCGGATGGCTGATGTGGTCCGGGAGAAGGATCTTTGGGTATACTCATACCGGATACCGCCCGAAACAAACAGCTCCATCAAGATGGACGTCGGTATCGAGGACTGCCTGCACATCGAATTTGAATACTCAAAGTCGAAATACCACCTGAAAGATGTAATCGTCGGCAGGATATATTTCTTGTTGGTACGGTTAAAGATCAAGCACATGGAGCTTTCCATCATCCGGAGGGAGACCACGGGAGCGGCACCCAACCAGTACAACGAGAGCGAGACCCTAGTGCGCTTCGAGATCATGGATGGCTCGCCATCGAGGGGTGGGTTGTGATCGACCGAGGTCTTGCACCAATGCTAACAACGAGTCAGGCGAAACAATTCCGATACGGCTGTTCCTGGGCGGGTTTGATCTGACCCCCACATTCCGAGAGGTCAACAAGAAGTATTCCACGCGATACTATCTCAGCTTAGTCCTTATCGACGAAGGTACGTGCTTGCATGCCCGATTAGCAATAATCCAGCTGACTTTGTACAGATGCGCGACGATACTTCAAGCAGTCGGAGATTGTGCTCTTCCGACAAGCTCCCGAGGGATTGACCCTAGCGCAAGAGCAAAACAAGTTGATGGCTGTATCTTGAGGTAGGCGCAAAACCCCAGATGGGATTCTGAGACAGAACGCGCCGGGCAACATCTCTTGGTTGACCCTAAGGCTTGGTGGATAGCACAAGCTACGTCATGTGCCGATGCATCCCAAGTATTGGTTTGTACCCGACCTGGTGGCTGACTGCTCGATGTTGGTTCCAACATAGGTAGTGCGGGGTTATATACTCGATTCGGCAAGCAGAAACTGAACGCCACTTCTGAAAAGTGGTAAACTCTCCCGAATGAATATATTTATAATGTTATTGCTATGAGCTTGACTGGAGATGAGATGTTTCAATCTTGTACCGTTGCTCCCATGCTCACTAGCGGTGTTAAGAATAGCACTTGCTTCGGTCGTTGGTCTGCTCTACACGCCGAGAACACCCTCTGGAAGACACATGATAGATGCTACCCATTCTCACCAAACCTCCATACCCTCCTATCCTCTCGCATAGATCCAATCCTTATACCCTGCGATGAGTGGTGCCGGCAGCAACGAACCCGACACAAAATGGGCTTGGATTACTCCGCTCGTTTGGTTTTTGCATCCGACGTCAATCTCCAAGATCATTCAAATTCGCGCACCGACTTGCTCCTCGCGATGAATCACCCGCCTGAGTTGCGCAGTCTCGAGGTGAGCACTAGAGCCACGAAACAAGAACCAAGAAACAACGGGGCATGGCGAACTTTGTACGAATTCGGTGAAGGGGTGAAATCGTGTCACGGAATGGCGAGATTGGATCTTTGGCGATACGCGATCATCACCAGCGAAAATAAGGTGAATACGCGAGATACAAGATCGAGTTGACACTGAGAAAAGGAAAGTGCAGCATCTGGATCGTTGACCTGAAGAGATGCGGGAAGGGAAACGGGTGGGTAGAGGCGAGGGAACAAGTGGACGCACTGTATGCGGGATGTTTGATGGGAATTACCACGCTTCCGCTGCTTTCGTCCGCAATATCGTACTCGTCCCTACATCCGAGAGAACTGGATCGTCTTCCACATCTACTGATCTCCGATGCTACGCAGGGCAGGATTTACATCCTCGATACGAATACTGGCCGCGGTGCCGTCTAGTCCGCGCACCAGAGCATATTGCCTCCTCTTGCACAAACGAAGCCAAGTTTCGACCAGCCGGCCCTCGGAATTACTGCTCTCACCTGCTACCATGGCACGGTCTATTAACTGAACACGCGTCTGCAGGGACCATACACTGTCTTGGGATTCAATCTAGCAACTTACTGCCATGGGAAGCTACTCCCTCAACTTTGATGCGTATTGACCTTAAGCATCGTAGTCTTCTCGGTATCACGAAGTTGCCGCCTTGTACAGATTTCCTCGTCCGAGGCACGCATGGGCCCGAGGTACTCTTAGCCAATCCAACAGTTGGTATTGTGTGCGCACATTGGCACTATAGGTAGATTAGGCACGTAGGAGCGCATTGGTACTTCCACACGATGAGGCGTAAACTCCCCAGCACGTCGAGATCCAACATCACGTCAATTGCGATTGACGAGAGCGCGCGCAATCCTTGGGTGGTTGCTTGTACCAAGCTGTGGGTTGGTACCGCGAGCAAGCCTCGGCGAGGTAAAAAGGAGCCACTGGGCGGAAAGGTCATTTGCATCAAAGGGATGGTCCACGGTATTATCTGACTAAACCTGTGTTGAGGAGAAGTAGAGAATTGTACCTATTGTTAGACCTGGAGCGTTGGAACATTGGCACGAGTCTCACTTGTCTACAATGCACAGGACTGAATACATGGATCAAGTTGTCGAATTCTCCGGGCTTTACTCAGGCCCCACTGGCCTGCATGATCCCGTGTGTGCAGCGGAAGGGCAGTCGGCGGTGCTCTCATCCCTAGATCGTCGGGAACGTTGCTCTTCCGCGCGTGATTGGAGCCCGCCACTCAGCGGGCTACCTTGCATCAAGACGACTCCGAAACTACCGAACACATCTTCCCCAGAGGTCCGACCACCTGTTTCGACACCACACATCATCGCTGCATCGCCTTCCACATCGCCCGTGTTTGCGCAAGCCGAGAGAGAGAGTCATTCACGCCGTACAGATCGCGATAAAGGGTAACGTGCCGAGATAAGCACGGGCCCGCATCAATCGAACGTCATTGAAACTGGGGCTTTTGCGCGACGAACCCAGTACAGCATCCACCATGATTGAAGGCACTCGACGTCGCTTCCTATACCACCTGAACTCGCGCTGGATCTACGGCAAAGTTGTGAGTCGCACGAACCGCCACCCGCCTGCGCCCAAACTGACCCTCCGTGCAGCCACTCCTTCACGCCGCCGTATTCCTCCTCCAGATGGCTGCCGTTTCCCTCTTGACGAGGAAGTTCAACTCCTACTATGCCCAGCGACCAGGTAAGAGACAACGCTCTTTCACGCTGACGCTCGTTCTGACAAGTGTGCTAGTACTCACCACTATGATCACCAACGCTGTATGCTGCCCTTCCCCATGCACTTGCCGTAGCGTACACCATCGATGCCTCTCACCCTATTCACATACGCGCGAACCGATCTGGCTTCATATATCTTGTTGTTCGTCATAGGCATGACAAGGACGGTCGCTGACATATCTGCAGGTGTTGGGTGGCATAGCGGACACTGTGGCGCAGACGTTGACCGCAGTGCGACAACGTGCAGTGCGCAAGGGCGATAAAGATGATTTCCTAGCCATCGAAATCCACGAAATCGACAGGCGCAACCCCTTCTCCGAACGCGATCTCATCCCCGATTCGAAACTACTACCTCCTCCATTCGACTTTGAGCGGTTGACACGGTTCATGTCGTACGGATTCTTGATGGCACCCGTACAGCACAAGTGGTTTGGCTTCCTTACGAGGACTTTCCCAATGAGCAAGACTTCTGCCATGGTGCCCGCGCTGAAGCGCATGGCTTTGGACCAACTCATGTTTTCCCCAGTTGGTATGTCGAATCTGGGCCTCGTATTGAGAGACTTGCTGACAATACCGCCAGGTCTGGCTTGCTTCTTCACCTTCATGACCGTTGCTGAGGGCGGTGGTAAGCGCGCCGTTGCCCGCAAATTCCAGGACATCTATATCCCGGCCCTCAAAGCGAACTACTTGGTTTGGCCGGCAGTACAGATTATCAACTTCCGTCTCCTGCCCATTCAGCTCCAGATTGTACGTCAAGGCTTCATACTTACCCTTCCCTTATTGAGTACTCACCTTGTGCTAGCCCTTCGTCTCCACCATCGGTATTGCTTGGACCGCTTACCTGTCCCTCACCAACTCGGCTGAAGAGGCGTAAAGTCTCGATGACAGCCTACGAATCTCTTTGACGGCCTATTTCAACTGTGTAAAATACGCGGAGGCCTAATCGGCCGCGAGCCAAGCATACTGGAGTTACGAAATGAGTTTCATGCGCCGAGCGCGCACTTGCATATCAGGTTGGTAGCCACTTGGCGTTTGGGAATGGGCGGCGTATTCGATAGATTGGATTCCCGACCTCCATGTCCATGCTTCTTATTTAGGTGATAATGGCGTATTTCTAATATCAGAATTTGAGGTTTCTTGTGATGCTGAAAAGGCTTTTGTGGATTCCGTGACTGCGCTCTCGGCCGCGCATCCGGCTGCAAAACATCGAAAAGTGGACCATTATGCGACACTGGCATCTGCGCATACTCTGGACAGCTCCGTGGGATAATTCTAAACAGCTACAAGCTATGTGACGCTGCAGTCTTGTATCTGGCGCAGAGGTCGGGCAATGAATATGCAACCTATGAATCGACTGCTTTCACAGTAACACTACGTCGTCACCCACGCCAGATAACCAAGAGAGCTGTTGCTGTAAAATATGACATTATCTTGAACAATTCACAAGGTTTTCGGACCCTGCTGCCCATTGCTTTTCCATATGTTCCGATAAGGAGCCAAACAGCAGTTGTTTTGCGTGAAGGTGGGCTGAAGCTCTGCCCCACCATCCGGCCTCTAGCCCCGCGCATGACATAGATCGATTCAACAACAAACCCTGCGTTTGCGCCAGCTTCGCTGCTTTCGACGTAAGTAGCCTGCTAGCCCCGTCAATCCTCCCGGCATCCAAATCAGACTTAATTCCCGCTCTACATAACCCTAGCTTTTCTCTCGATTGACATACTGTTTAACCTTCTCTCCAACATAGTACCCGACTCACACCACCATGTCTCTCTCCAACAAGCTCTCTATTTCCGACGTCGACGTCAAGGGCAAGCGCGTGCTCGTCCGCGTAAGTCACTCATCCATTACCCTGCAATCCCGAAGCAATTGAGCCCTGATCCCTCCCGCAGGTTGACTTCAACGTCCCCCTCGACGGTGACAAGATCACCAACAACCAGCGCATCGTCGGCGCCCTGCCCACCATCAAGTACGCCATCGAAAATGGCGCCAAAGCCGTCATCCTCATGTCCCATCTCGGCCGCCCAGACGGAAAGCCCAACCCGAAGTACAGTCTCAAGCCGGTAGTTCCCGAGCTCGAGAAGCTATTGGGCAAGAAGGTCACCTTCACCGAGGACTGCGTCGGCAAGCAGGTCGAGGACACGGTTAATGGCGCAAGCGACGGTCAGGTGATTCTTTTGGAGAACTTGCGATTCCACGCTGAGGAGGAGGGTAGCAGCAAGGATGCGGAGGGCAAGAAGGTCAAGGCCGATAAGGCGAAGGTCGACGAGTTCAGGAAGGGCTTGACGGCGTTGGGAGATGTTTACATCAGTGAGTGCATTCACATGCAACGCGAAGGGAGAATGAATGAAGGCTAATCAAGAGCAGACGACGCGTTTGGTACCGCCCACCGTGCCCACAGCTCCATGGTCGGCGTCGACCTCCCCCAAAAGGCTTCTGGCTTCCTCGTGAAGAAGGAACTCGAGTATTTCGCCAAAGCGCTCGAGAACCCCGCGCGCCCCTTCCTCGCCATCCTCGGTGGCGCCAAGGTCTCCGACAAGATCCAGCTCATCGACAACCTCCTCGAAAAGGTGGACACGCTCATCATCTGCGGCGGCATGTCCTTCACCTTCAAGAAGACGCTCGAGAACGTGAAGATCGGAGACAGCTTGTTCGACGAGAACGGCGCCAAGACAGTCGGCGACCTTGTCGAGAAGGCGAAGAAGAACAACGTTAAGATTGTGCTGCCCGTTGACTACATCACCGCGGACAAGTTCAGCAAGGACGCGCAGACCGGTTACGCCGAGGACAAGGACGGCATTCCCGATGGCTGGATGGGTCTGGACTGCGGCGAGAAATCGGTCAAGCTGTACAAGGAGGCCATCGACGAGGCGAAGACCATCCTCTGGAACGGTCCCGCAGGTGTCTTCGAATTTGAGAAGTTCGCCAACGGCACCAAGGCTACCTTGGACGCTGCCGTCGCCGCAGCACAGAGCGGCAAGATTGTCATCATTGGCGGTGGTGACACTGCCACCGTCGCGGCCAAGTACGGTGTAGAGGACAAGCTGTCGCACGTGTCGACTGGCGGTGGTGCGTCGCTCGAGCTCCTCGAGGGCAAGGACCTACCTGGTGTGTCGGCACTGAGCAGTAAGTAAAGATCATGCTTGCTATGGAAGTGGATAGGCTCAAAATAGATCGCAAAGGGGTTTCTTCGAAGTTATGATATATGGTTCTGGCTCTTCTCAAGCTCGATACAAGCGACTAGTACTTTTGACGTAGTCGATGCATGTTCATCATCGTGTGGGAGTGTTCAGCCCCGCTCCGATCTATGTCTTTCGCGGTCACATTTCATCCTGTCTCGTTCACACATTTGATATCATATGCCCCAGCCTCGAAGCTGCCTAGTGACGTCCGCGCTGGTTCTGTCCCTCATTTCGTCTGCCCCAGTTTCTTGAGTTCTTCCCTACGACCCAGATGTCAGCTTAATTCTAATATCCATAGCTGCGCACCCATTCACCTCAGCTGCACCGCAAACTCATCGCTCGTGTCATCATCGTCCCAGCTCTCCTCCCAGAGATGTGTGTTTCCTCCGGGGATCTGCGTGTCCTCCTCCGTCCAGTCTGCATTGGTCAGCGTACCATTCCCAACACCGTTCACCATTGCCTCCCAGCTGATTCCGGGGCGTATGTACCTTCGGCAGGGAAGTCCTCGAACTCGTCGTCCTCCTCCAGCTGTGCGGCGGGCTTCTTCTCGGCAGCGGGCTCGCCGTTCTTCGACTTGTCATCGGTGACGGCCTTGGTGGTGGCGGCGGAACCTTGCGCGGCTCCAGACATGGTGACGATGGTGGAAAATATTTCAGGGCGTGCAGATACGGGTCGTGCGGGGGTTGAGTGAGCTTGGTGTTGATGCGATGCGGCTCCAATGGCGGCGGCGATCAACGCGGTCGCTGGCTGATAGCTTGGCGGGGTCACGTGCGGCACAGGGTCCCGATAGCCTATTGAGCTTAGGCACCCTTACTACGGGAGATATCCACTGGCCAACATTGAGCACCCTATGCAGATCGGTCTTGAAGCTAATAGCCCAAGAAGACCGATTCGATTTTTGAGCTTTGTGCTTGGTGAACCCCCATTTGGCTGCCATTTTGCAAGCCATCCTCTTCGGGCGAGTAGTTGATCGCCCGCCACTCCCGTCGCCTAGTTAGTCCGTGCTTCCCACGCTGCAGTGACGTACGCATAATGTTTCGGCGCAAGCCAGCGGAAGATCCGGTGAGCGTGGAGGCGGTATGTAAGCGTGGGAGAAGGCCCACCAAGCCTTGTAGTTCTGTCGTGTACGTTAGCTTTGTTCGGTCTCCAATACCATCCCCTTCCAACGCAATCTCACTCCGCCCTCTCGTGCCCCTCGCCGTGCCCCTCGGACAGGAACGAGCGCGAGCAAGATGCTCAAGGTCGGCGGATGGCTGGGCGGCGCGAAGAATAAGATTACCCAGGGCCAGACGAGGAGCCTGAATGCTCTCGATGAGCTTACGCAGAGTGAGTGGTCCTGGGTTCACTGTCGCGTGCGCGTTTAGCTGACCACCGCAGTCGAGGATGCGATGTCCGGTATGAACATAGACCGCATCGCAAACGACAATAGTTAACAGCATGCGATCACAGCGGTCACCTATATCATGAATGACGATGTCGACGCCGCAGAAGCACATCTCAGTAAAGGCAGCTCGCCCTTCCACCAGGTACAGCACGCTTCAGGCTGCGACGCGGTTTTCCTTTGATTGAGCCGAAACTCACACAGGTGTAGCTCGGGAAAGGCGTCGTGACATTCATGAGGGCTACTCTAGGCTTCGAGCAGGAGATTATGCGAGAAGGTCTGCCTCTAGCTTTCGAGGTCGCCTATACGAGGCTGACATCTTGCCCCAGCTTCCGAGCAACTGTCCAATGCAGAAGCCTCCGCATACGAGAATCAGCGGCGCGCTCACCGCAACTCCAGCGCGTACCAGTCGCCCATATACCCTGCTGGAACTGAATACGCGGTGTGCCTCGCTGAGGCGCAGCTGATGAGCGCAATCGTAGGCGTGATGAATGAGAGCTTGACGGAGGCCATCAAGAGCTTTTATAAGCTGCGGAAGGCATATCTCACGTTGGAGAGTGTCTTGGATGCGGAGAAGAAGTTCTTAAAGGAGAGGAGTACGAGTAGTCTGGGTTCGACGAGCTCGACGAGCTTGGCTGGGTCGTCAAGACCTGCTTCTAAGGCATCCTCAAAAACTGGGAGTCCATTTGTCGGAGCATCTCTTGCACCGGAGACAACTGCTGCTGGTGTTTCGGGGATGGAGGGTCCTGTCCAGGACAAGGAGATTATCGAACCTGTAGCAATACCAGCGGAGAAGGGGAAGGGCAAAACAGGCCAGGATGACGATGACGACGATTTTGACTTCGTGAGTAGACCACCGAGTACAAATTTTATGTCTCCTTGGCTGAGACATGTGTCACCCTGTCTTAACTCACACTGACTTTGTATCCCCGTCTTAGGTGGATGCGGATGAAGAGCACGCAGACTTGGAAACCCCAATGGAGTATATGGGTCATCTGAATGTGCCAGCAGAGAAAGGACAGACAGTAGAGCTGAACAATACCGAAAAAGAAGTGAATCTTGGGGCAAGCTCAGCAAAGAATCTTCCCTCTGCGGACGAGAAACTAGACACATCTGTCCCAGATGCTGTCGAAGACTTTGAACAGCTGACCTTGTCGGAGACTGTGAAGGCAAACGAAGACGTTTCGCTCTTTGGCGACCACCCCGTTGATCTCTTCATCATCTCTGGATCAAATTTCTGTTTCGGTATGAGCTACTACTCCACCTAACAACGCAGACTAACATGTTCTAGGCATCTTACTTCTAATGATTTCCATGGTTCCACCAGTGTTTTCGACCCTCCTGAAGATCGTCGGCTTTAAAGGCGACCGAGAACGTGGCATTCAGATGCTATGGCAAGCGACCAAGTTCCACAATATCCACGGTGCCATGGCCGGTCTTGTGTTATTCATGTACTACCAAGGTATCATCGGCTTCTGCGATGTGATCCCACGGACAGGCGAGGGCTCGTACCCACGCGAGCGATGCAAGGCGTTGCTGGCCGAGATGCGGAAACGCTATCCCCAAAGCCACCTCTGGCTCCTAGAAGAAGCACGCATGCTCGCCTCGGAAAAGGAGCTCGAGGAATCCGTGGCCTTCGCCGCCAACACGAAGTCCTCCAAGCTCCAGCAGCTCGAGGCCCTAGGCTGGTTCGAACGCGCGCTGCACACCATGTACCTGCACGACTACGAAGCCACCTCCGCTGCCTTCCTCACATGCATCACCCTCAACAATTGGAGCCACGGGCTCTACTACTACATCTGCGGCGCGTGCCACGTCGAACTCTACCGGCGCGACAAAAACGCCCGCCCGCACGCTGCCAAAGTTCACGCCGCCAAAGCCGTCGAGCACTTCCAGCGCGTCGCCGCCAACACGGGCAAGAAGCGCTTCATGGCGCGCCAACTCCCCTTCGACGTCTTCGTCAACCGCAAGATCGCCAAGTGGGAAGACCGCGCGAAGGAATGGAAGTGCGACTTCATCGACGCGATTGGCGTCTCACCTCTCGAGGAGACTATCTACTTCTGGAACGGCTACAAGCGCATGCGGGACGACCACCTCGATGCCTCCCTCGCGAATCTCGCCTGGAGTGAGAGCGAGCAGAACCCGCACTGGGCGCGGGAATCTCTCGACGAGAAAGCCATCCTCGCACTGCTTCGCGCAGCGTGTCTGCGGAGCAAGGGCGAGACGGATGCCGCGAAGGAGATCCTGACCAGGGATATCATCGCGCATGACCGGACGCTCTTCCGGGGTGCTGGCAAAGACTCGTGGACGGCGCCGTGCGCGCGGTACGAGATGGCTGCTAGTATCTGGCGGGAGGCGGATGCGGATGGGCGTCCGGAGACGCGTAGAGAGATATTAGAGGAGTGCAAGAAGTATTTGATTGAGGTCAGTGGGTGGGAGAGCTATGATTTGGATGCTAGGTAAGTCCATCAATCGGTGAGAAGAGCGGGGTGAGGCTTTTGTTGCTAATGGAGCTGCAGGATTGGGATGAAGGTTACGACCGCGAAGAACACGTTGAGGAGGTACGGCATTGAGCTGTAGGAGACTCGATGCGTGCTCCTGATTCATTGGAAGAGCTAGCATCGTATGCCAGTGCAGTGCGGTACATCTATGGGTGGGTGCTCCGGGCAAGCGGTCATGTAGAGGCATTGTCCGTGGCCAGGGGGTGTTCCAATGCACGATAAATGACGTCTCCGGTGTATATCAAGACATCTATCGGATCACGAGCAGACCTAGTGTTCCATTCTGATCATTGTGAAGATAAATGGAACAGCTATCGCCATGCATCCAATTCACCCACACGTACTCCCACACAGTAGCTGGCACAGAACCCTGACGTCTTGAATACCTTTTCCTGTAGGAACTCACTACATGATACGGTTGGGAAAGTCTAGTTTGATAGCCTATCCTGAAATTCCATAGCCCCAGCCAGTTCTCATTGCCACCCACTGTTCCCTTCCAAAGTTGGCCCTCGGCCACGTGAACACGCCTCTGCTCAGCTGATCCACTAACACCATCCCATGTCCGCCCTTCCCCAGTCCAGACCACGAGGCTTACCACGCACCTCCCCGCATCCCAAAATAGCAAATAGCCCTGCAGTGGCATCCGCATATTGCTGCGGATCTGGGGTATACCTCGCATATTGCTGCGGGCTGCCGCAACAGGGAGTTGTTAGTGTGCTTGTGACGGGCCAGACGTTGTCGACGGGAGAAATTAGCCAGGCACATATGGCAGGGTTTGGAGGGGTTTGGATAGGGATGGTCACGGAAATGCGTATAGTTGGAAAGAGTGTTTGGTGGCGTAAGTGTGCTGCAGGAGACTAGAGGTTTTGAGGACGGTGAGGGCAGAGGGTGCTGGTCGCGGTGGTGTCGACTGCGTTGTGAACGTTTGGTGTACTGTATAGTGACACTGTAGCACATAGCTGCAGAACGATGCAGCGCCAGGCCAAGAGCTTGAGTGCAGCGTGTTACCCGAGAGTCTAAGCGAGCCGATTCTACCCATATCTTTAACTTGGTACTCACCTAATGAGATTGCCGTGAGCATTCCGCGGAGTAAAATTACGTCAGTCCTTGGTCGAAAAGGTGCTCGAACGCTTCCTTGGTATATTTGGGTGGCATGCCCCTTGGCAATATATCCGATCAGATTGCATAGTGCCTGTTTGTGTAGTCGACGGCTCAAGATCAGAAGTTGGCCAGGGAAGTCTAAGTGGTGGAAAGTTCGTGTAACCCATTTACGTCTTAACGTTGTGCGGCAGCGCGCTGTATTTATCCAGGGTGACCGTCAATGACGGAAAGGTAGCACAATCTCCGAAAGTCGTTGAGGCGACGAAATAGATATAGTATTCACATGATTAGAAGGTCGGTGATGTATGATCTATATCCGCCGGCTTCGCGGGAGTCTATTCTTGGATGCGCCCGTTGGCAGATCAGGACGAAACAACGTGCATCTTGCATTTCATTTTACCGGATACGCATCCACCCGTTCCGAGCGATGTTTTAACGTCCAAATTGGGGTTAAGGATTGTTTCTCTAAGTAACTCGCTCAATTGAATAGACCGACAGTCACGAGCCGTGAGATGAAGGTGCTACTCGCTGGCTTGAATTTGAAACTTTCGAAATTGCAGCTGTCGAGTGAGATTGGAAGTGTATTCAAGCGGCGCCGAATTGAATTGGGAGGCATTTGCTCTTGCCTCCTCTTGAGGTGTACCAAGACTGTTCATGTCCGAGCCACCGAGTACCATTCCAAAACGGAAAGACCATTGCCAGGTCGAGGTTGGAAACTGGCAGGAGCAACCGAGCGTCGAACCACAACAACATGGTGCATTCCACGGAATTGCACTTGGTAAGGACGTGGAGGCCAGAGACACATCGGTGCAAGACAGACGTCAAGACTCTGTGACACGCATTCTTCAAGCAAACATGCAAAAGCTACCTATGGTCTGTTGTCCGCGGGAATGGCTCGGCGTATGCATAGTGAGGCTGTTAACGACCCTGGAGGCGAAACTGCCCACGTTTAACGGTGGGCCCTAAGCGATGCCGATCAACCAGTGGAGCTGCCCTGTGATGCAGCTTCGACGAAGGGGCGACGTGCAGCAGGCGTGGATGGGATCCAGGATCGCTGTGGGCTGTTTGCTGTGGACAGACACGCAGGAACACGGAGCAGATGCACGTCAGCCAACAACAGGCGAGGAAGCCCGTTTACCGACAGTAGCTGACGACTCGGATGTCTCTGGGGGTTGGTTTGACATGGCACGGAGCGACACGGCGATTGGAGATTGTGGGTTGGCCGTGCTCGTGCTGGCACCAGGTGCGTGAACGTGCTGCACTATAGAATGTGCCGAGGATGGGGAGGCCTCGCAAGCTTCAATCAATAACGATAGACGGATATGCAGCAGCCCACGAGGTCGGCTGCGACCGGGACTGGCCGACACGGACGGATTCCATCATAGTGCCAGAGCAGGGGGGCGCGGGAGAGTCCCGGGTGTGCAATTGACGCAGCGCGAGGCGCCGCTGATGCATCTGGCACCCGCACACATGGTTGTGTTGGGCCGAGGAGGACACCAGGGCCTCCGTGAAAGACTGTACTGTGACCTTCCAAGGGGGATGGAGCCTGGCATCGACCGTGGAGCTGGCGAGCGGCGTCGCTGTGACGGGCAAGTGGATGGGCATGTGCATGGCCTCGCGCGGAACAACGGGCGCCAGGCACACTGAGCAAGCACTATCGGTTTAGCACGCAGGGCAGAGCCTTTTATTTTTCAAGCACCCAGCGGCTCCCTCGGCGACGGTGGGACCGCAGCCGACCGACTACGGCGGTCACTACGGCGGTCATTGCTCGGGTGTCTAGAGGCACTTCAGAAATTTCTCGCTCCCCTCTCTCGTCGTGTGCACTTGCTATTCTCCGCCCACACTGCACGTCCAAAATACACGGCGACCCTCGACGACGCCTGTTCCTGCGCCCGCTCGAGCCGTTTCTTCGTCGTCGTCTTCCCCGCTGCCTGTCAGCCCGCTGTTTGGACCAGCCCAATTGCTGTGCCCTCACCTGCGTGCCTGCGCCTGTACACGCACACGGCCGTTTTTTATATCCCTCGGTAGCAGCCCGCCCAGCGCTCTGCAGCGACACGCACTTGCCTGCTGCCTGCCGTCAGCTCGAGCTCCGCATCCGTGCCAGCACTCCTCCAGGTCAGTTCCCGCCGCATCATCGCCGCCGCTGGCGCACGCCTGCTGCCTCGCCCACCACCACCTTCAAGTCCAGCGCCGCCCAACTGTGACGCCCAGCTGCGGCGCTGACTTTGCACACGTACAACTGCACCACCCGCTTTGTCCATACGTCACGGCTTTAGCTCCCACACTGCTGCAAGTCACGCAGCGTGGAGCATATCGTCTGCGGCTTGCTTTCTTTTTGACTATTTCATGAGCACCTTCGTGGAGCCCCGCGGGTCGCGAGCATATCTTTTCTACCCTGAACTTGACCCGCTGACTGTCGAACAGCTCTGTGCAGCTCCGTCTCGCATAGTCCGGATATCCTGCCTACTTCCAGGCTTCTCTCGCACGTAGAACCCCGACCGGAAAGACTCGCTCAGCACGACACGTCGATTGCGCCGCGTCGCCGCACTACCCGTCTACCGCTTGACCATCGAGCAGAAGGCCTTGGTGAATCATCGAATCAGGACGTACGGAGAGGTGAAGCATTGAACCTCTCCGGACATAAAGGCGCCCGCATCTGTACTGGCCGTCCTTGCAGTGCTCCCGCCAGGGACTACGAGCGCGAACACATCCTCGAGCGATTCTCAAGACACCCACAGTTCTCATCAGAACGCCATGGCAACTACTGCAAATTCTCGCACGAACAGCGACGCTGCCTCAGTGCCATTTTCTTACGCACAAGCCGCCAAAGGTCTGGTGGCCGCACCAGGCTCATCTGCCAGCAAAGCCTCCTCATCAGGTGCTGTCACACCTGCAAAAGACCCACAGTCAGCGAGCACGTCTGCCGCAGCAGTCATGAGCTGGGCCGAAGATGCCGAAGGCAACGAGTCCCGCCCCGAGAACACCTCGGGCTCAAGCGAGTCACGTAACAAGGACACAAAATCTGCGGCAGCGCCCAGTGAATTGACGGCGGCCGCATTAGCATCTCCCGAGATTGGAGCATCGACTGCCTCAACTGTCACCAAAGACGACGATGTCTCATCGATACCGAACACGTCTTCAGATTCAACGTGGGAGAACAAGTCGCAGGCTTCAACCTCGGTTGACAAATCGACCGAGCCCAGCGAGAAGTCATCACAGAAGGGCAAAGGAAAGAAGCGAGAGCAGGCACCCGCGAAACCCCTTCAAGAAGCCCCTCTGCCCGCTGTCAACATCTGGCAGCAACGAGCTGAGCTACGAAAGCCGGCGAAGCAAGCTACTGCGGCTGCATCCTCAAACGGTTCTGTGAATGGAACCTCTGCACCCAAGCACTCGAAGGATGTAGAAAACAGAGTCGCTGCAAACGAGGTCAAGATGCGGGGCGCTGAGGAAGAACGAACCAACCCGGTTCGACAAGAATCAAAGGAGGTCGATTCGGATAAGGCTAGGAAGAACACGAGGGCTCGACCCCAAGAGAGGGATGCGAGGGAAGCACCCGGCGTAGTTTCGCTGCCACCCGAGCGTGATCAGGAGTCCTGGCCGACAATGGACGCCGCGACCGCAATCGATGAAGACCGCAAGAAGGCCCCGGAGAAGACCGAGAAATCGGACAAGGAGCGCAAGGAGAGTACTGGGGCCAAGACCAAGGGACAGTGGGTGAAAGTCCCCTTCGTCCCGAGCGTCAATTTCAACACGCCTCTGCCCAGCAGCGGAGCGCGTAGAGGTGGACGAGGTCCAGCGCGGGGTGGAGCACAGAACGGCGGTCGTGCTGGTCTCAGCACAAGTGGTCCTGAAAAGGATACCTCATCGCCTGCCGCCACCGCCAACGGTGATCAACCGAGGCGTGGTCGGCCAGATGTGCCAATCCGCGAGACTTCTCCCAAGGCCAAGCGAACTGCTAGCGCCAGCTCTCCTGCTACCAAAGATAAGGCTGCCCAGCTCAACGGGGAAAAGCCAAAGTCTACGCCGGCCGAGATTGATTCTCAGTCGAAAGAAAATGGCGTGTTGTCTGAGTCACAGAACAACGTCTCTGGACCAAATGGGCACAACACCTTCCCGCGTCAATACCCCTCCAACCGACCCAGCAAAGGCAAGAGGACCGAGTGGTCGGGCCCAGACAGGAGAAGGGAGGGTGATTCAGGCGCCTCTCCCAAGGAGAACGGCGTGCCGAACGATCGCGCTTCTGCAGCAGCCCAAACAGATGGCCCAGAGGACGCAGAGCGTCGAACGTTCCAGGAAGGTCAGGCACCTTTCCAATCGAAGCGGGGAGCGGGGGACCGATATGGTTCCTACAACAGCCGCGAACGCCGCGGCGGCCGTGGTGGTGGTCGGGGAGGCAACTTCTCGAATGGACACCAGTTCGCAAATGGCCACATGAAGTCCTCTTCTACTTTCCCTGGACCAATGTCTCCTACCGCTTTCAACCCGGAACAGAGCCCTTACTTCCCGCAGTCGAGATATAGAAACGGCCCGCGCTCGCAATCCGTCACAAATGAGAACATCTACCGTATGCCCGGCCAGTTCGGTGGTCCTCAACAAATGCCTCCCATCAACACATTCATGGGCGGAAACGCTTATGACTACCCGATGATGCAGCCCATGAGCGCCGCACCTTTTGGCCAGTTCGGGATGGATCACTTTGCGATGTTTTCCATGGTCACCACTCAGCTGTAAGTCCGGTCCGCACCTTTTCTAATTGCCTACTAATCTGTTCAGCGAGTACTACTTCTCGTTGGACAATCTGTGCAAAGACATGTACCTACGAAAGCACATGGACTCGAAAGGTTTTGTCTTCTTGAGCTTTATCTCCGATTTCAACCGGATAAAGCATTTGACGACTGACCTGGAGCTGATAAAGCTTGTTTGTTACCAATCGCGTGCGATTGAGTTCCGCGTTGGTCACGACGGAAAGGATAGGCTACGTGCTCGTGAGAACTGGCAGCAGTGGGTGTTGCCGGTCGAGGAGCGAGACTCTTCGGCGCAGAACGAGGGCCCGGAGGAGTTATACAACCCACCCATTCCTCACCCGAATGGGTTCGATCCCAATGGCAACCCGAGGTATCCTGACATGTCTACACCGCCGCCATCAGCCCCGGGCGCGTACGGCACCGAAGGACCTCATCCCACTGCGAATGGATTTCACCCTGGAGCCCCGCAACATGTTACAAGCGAGAGCGTGCCCAACGGTGTGAACGCTGAGCATGTCAACGGCAACGCCATTGCGAATGGCCAACCCACCGACGATTCCACAAAGGCTGTGAGTGGCGAACCCGATTCTTTTTCCAATGAGCAGGTCGAATCTTTGACCGTCATCGTCCGAAAGCGAGACGATTCCCAGATGCCAGCTTTGCCCCCTCCGTCCAACTGTTCATTTTCTAATACGTTACACAGTAGGAACGACGTGGGGGTTGAGTCTGAAGAACGAGTCGGTCGCCGCGCCATTCGTACGCCGAATGGCGTTGATTCGTCGTCGAGGTAGGCATAAGTCATCAAGGTTAGGACTTCGAGAGTGTGTACTAACGTGCGGTAGCGTTGATAGCGAAGTTCGAGACCAGTATCCACGAACTCCGAGCCCCTTTGCATCGACCTCCCCGATGGCTTGTTCTCAGTACTGGGTGAAAGACAACGATGCACCTGTCGATGTTGCTCCACCTGGTTGTTTCCACGAATCCTATGCTGTCCTTCGATCGAAAGCGCTCTACCAGCGCCAACAATCCGCTCCCGGTGGCTGCTCGTATGATATGAGCGTGCTCTACCAATTTTGGTCTCATTTCCTCGTCCGTAACTTTAACAAAATCATGTACGACGAATTTCGCACTCTCGCACTTTCGGATTCGCACAACAAGTTGTCGGAAGTCGGCGTTTCCAACCTGATCAAGTTTTACGGAGAGTCTCTACTGTCAGGTCAAAACATCGTCCGTAACGCTGTTGCCCACGACTTTGTAGACTTGATACGGTCGGAAACCCAACCCAATCGTCCAGCTTTCCAACAGCTACGATTGGCCTTACATAACGACAATATGAACGCTCGGAACCGGGTACGTATTAATGAACTCCTGGATGACGAGCTGAAAGACTCACTGCGATGATCGCTTTTTCGAACGTACAATGTCAGGACGGGTGATGGCAACGTCGCGTTACCCTACAACAGGGAATCCCAAGGCCGACTGTGCTCTAATCTTGTTCTCTGGCCTTGTCTATTCTGGCCTTCTGCTTCGTTGTGGCTGTCCACCGTCTTCGGCCAACTCTTCGTTCGACGATTCCATCACACGGCCACTTCTTGCGTTGAACAAACAGGCGTTTCACTTTCTCTCCGATAAAAGTTTCCGATTCGGCGTTAAAATCCGAGCATGGGTCTGCAATGTTTTTCTCTTTCCTTTATCCTGTGGGAGGAACACCACTGAAAACCGTGTCCTCTCTTCCAGACGAGAGATCTGAGATACCTAAGCCCTTTCTTTGGAAATTCCCATTCCTGGCAATTGAATTGTGTTCTTTCATTCGCTGGAGCGGGGACGCGTGGGGAACGGCACTATGGCAGGCGTCCTTCTCTCTCTTCCCCGTCTTCTACCTCCAAACATGCATAGCGCCATCACTGTGGTTAATCTCTTCAACGTTCCGAGGAAGTCTCCCCTTCTGCTTTGTCGTTACAGGGAAGAACATCCCGACCGGGGATATAATGCCCCCTAGGTAGATAAAAGCTGTTTGCTCAGTGCATTGTTCGGGTCTGGTTCATGGTATTGATTGTAGCATACAAAGAACTAAAACAGTTGTTGGCTGTGGTCTGGGACCTTCGACGATTGAGCGTACCCGTGATATGTTTGATATTTGTGGTCTGAAGATGAGGGCAACCTGGATGTACAAGGGCTTCCTATATCCTCAATGTGTTGAGCAAAAGATTAATGGAAGCTGATCGGAAGGACGACGTCATTCCAAGTCCACAAAATAATCGCCTTTGCAGACGCTGTGTCAAGGTTTAGGTTCTGGATGCTTAGCCTTAGGGTTGGCGATCCGTAGGTTGATTGTACTTCTGATATTCCAAAGTTGCGAGATTCCAGCCCTAGAGCCCTGATCCCTGACGAGAGTATGCACGTGATAGTCACAGAGCGCGGTGCCTCCCGCGGTCCCGACGGTGCACCGCCACACGGGCTTTTCCGGAGATAGTGAGTGGCGATATTGGTCTCCCTCCATCACGGCTCTCCATCACACCTACGATCCTCCCGTATACTGGTAATTCACACCCAACATGGCGCCTGCATTGGCGCGAATACATCAGCTGGTGGCCAAGAATGCGAAAGTATTCAAGTGAGTACAGTCAAAATGCCAACTTAGTCCCAACATGACTCTGACATCACCAGGGCCGCCTGGAAGCATACTGCGAAACTCGTTCAAGACCAGCTTCCGGCGTCTATTCGACCGACCCGCGCTGAACTCCAGCCTATTCTTGTCAGAACTGGACCGAAGCATCCAATCCACCGTATTGCTCTGTTGAAGCAGAGCAAAGGTCGATGGTACTCGACTCATAGCACGATCTCCGCAACCGTCCGCCACTTTACCTCCGCCGCACGATCGGGGCCCAAATTCGATCGAGCATCGCTCCCGAAGTCCAGGACCGGAGATGCAGTCTATAGACAAACCGGTCGCGCACCCTTTGCGTCGACACTGAGGCCCAACCTGACCGGCGGTACGCTTGGCCGAACAGCCGGCGGTTACGGATGGGGCTCAGGACGTGCTGGAGGTGCTCGATACTTCTCGCATGGTCCTGCAGCACCAGCTCAGGTCATCAACAACGTATCACAGGCTGTCCGAGCTTTCATGCTCGGAGGGCAGAAAGCACAGTTCGATGGTGTTGATCCTCGTACGGGTGAGAAGCGCTTCCGGTCCGTCTCTGCGCTTCAAGACAAGGTCAACCGTACCCTCAACAAGGCCCCAAAGACCACGCCAGGCTCCTACGTCAGCTTTAGCATCAACCCTACCGTCACCGCCCTCAGCCCTCTCACCGCTGTTAAGGGCTTTTCCTCGTCGTTCGCCGAAGAGCAGAACTCACTCAATAAGGATGGCTTCCTAGACATTCTTTCTATTGATTTCTCTCGAGCAGTCAAGGAACTTGCAGGTACTCTCAAAGACCTTCAACGCCTATCAGCCTTGGGTGATTTACCTATAACATATGAACATTCCACGCTTAAGATACACTTTCCAGGATGTGACGCCGGCACCGTGGAGAAGATCTGCGATGAGTTCGGTGTTCAACGTGGCGTAGTATCCCAAGACGACGACTTTGACTCCTTTGTCGGTACCGAGATCGCCCTCCTTTTCCCATTGGCATCGAGTCGCACCCCCTCCGAGTGCTCCTTCTATGAGAAAGACGTTGCCCAGCGCCAGTTTCCTATCGACTGGCGGCCAATGATGGCTTCATCTATACTGAGCTCGGACTCCGACGATTACTCCACACAATCCGAAGTCGACCTGGATTTTGAAGATGTGCTCCAAGACAACCCGTGGGCGATCTCAGATGAAGAGGGATATGAGAGTCTTCATACCAGTGACGTGGACGAATTCGACGCACACTCGCCATTGGAGTATCAGGGTATCCAAGGCATTTATAGGTTTATGGAGCAGTGTGAGCCTAGCTCGCGATAGAGAGTTCGAGGCGGCACTTCAGAGAGAGAGAGAGAGAGAGAGAGAGAGAGAGGATTCTAGTGATACCATTCGGCTTTAGATTGCCTGACTTGTGTTTGTGTGTATGCTCTTGGGTCGCTCTTTAGTGCCTTCTCTTATGTAGGAAATCATATGGTTTAAGTTGAATTCACGCGTTTCTCTTGCAACGAAGACTAGATGGTCGATTTGAATACTGAGCGAACGCAAGCTTTCTTAATGGACCTACTTCAACGCCCAAAGATTGGTATCGGTTATTGATATCTAGTCTCTGGTCATAGTGGAGTCTTCTGTTGTTGCACTTTCCATACCCCCACTATGGTATCGATAGCGCAATCCACTCCGAATCAACTCCGACCCACCCCGCCCATAGGATCGTCCTCTTACACGACCTACTGCGACGACACACGAGGATTGGAATAACGTTCACAACAGGTGTGCGATTCGAGTTTCTAAGATGACTTCGGCGATTCCAAACAATGAAACAACGCACACTTCCGCCCCTGCGGAGGATGCGTTCACCAATTACGTCTCATATCTGGACCTCGAGACAGAGAGTCCTCGTATCGGCCACTACGACCTCAGCAACGACAACATACAACCCTTGAGCTTCCTGTCTGGGACCGCCATCTCGAACTTGTATCAGATCATAGAAGCACAGTCGTCCCATGCCAACAGAGCAGGTTCCCAAATCATCAAGTCAGGCGACACGTACCCTGCCACTTCAGTCAAGATTCTACCTCCTTTGACCGGGCGCGATGTCCTCTGTGTAGGGAAGAATTATGCTGAGCATGCTGTCGAATTCAATTCTAGTGGATTTGACAGCAGCGACAAGGTAGATCAACCGTCGCACCCAGTCATCTTTACTAAGAGATATACGTCTATTATCGCCCACGGAGAGGAGATCTTACTCCACCCTGAGTTCACGAATACGGCGGACTATGAGGGTGAGATTGGGGTCATTATCGGGAAACCAGGGTTCCGCATAGACGAGAAAGATGCATTGGACCATGTATGGGGATACACAATTATCAACGATGTGACTGCTAGAGAGCGTCAGAGGGATCACAAGCAGTTTTATATAGGGAAGAGCCCGGATACGTTCTGCCCTATGGTACGTCTTCGTATTCTGTACTATCACCAAATACTAACTATCTTGCCTTAGGGACCGATCGCTGTGCCGGCTTCTAAACTCGAGAAGGTATTAAGCGTACAGACACACGTCAATGGAGAGCTGCGCCAGAATGCTACTACGAAGGACCTCATCTTTTCGATACCGTTCTTGATCAAGACTATGTCGGAAGGACAAACACTGATGCCAGGTGACGTGCTTGCTACTGGGACGGTGAGTCCTCTATGTCTCGCGTGCAACATGATCTTTGCTGATCGACAGTCTAGCCCGCTGGTGTTGGCTTCGGGCAGAAACCACCTGTCTATCTACAGCCTGGAGATGAGATCGACGTGTCCGTCAGTGGTCTAGGAACCCTCACAAATCGAGTCGCATCACTATCAGCACCGAATCGGACATTGGAGCGCTTCCAGGCAAATACGTCTTCTTTCCCACTTGTCACCACTTCGAAACTTCCGCAATTGAAAGGATTGACTACAATAAATGGAAAACCGATATACTATAAAGTGTCTGGTAAAGCTGATGGCCCACCAATTGTATTCGTACACGGCCTCGGCGCAACTAGCGAGTACTTCAGCCCTTTGATTAGCACAATGAATCTCAATCAGAAGTACAAGGTACACCTCTACGACTTTGAAGGCCACGGCCTATCGCCGACCCATCCTCTCAGTATACTGAGTATCAGATCATTAGCTGCAGATCTGAACTGCATCTTCGAGCACGCAAACATTTCCGCCAACGCTACGATTGTAGCTGACTCGATGGGCGGCTACATCGCACTCCAGTTCGTTCTTTCGCACCCAGGCAAGGTCTCTAGACTCATCCTGCTATCGCCCCCGCCGTCTCCGCTACCAGAAGCACTGGGTAAGCGGCTCTATAGGATTGCAGATATCGCAAGAAGCTACGGGATGTCGGCGGTAGTCGACTCTGCTGCTAGTTCCACAGAGCCAGACTCTGTGACGATGCTGAAGCCGCTTGCACTCGCTGCCAGGCGTATCTCACTGCTGGGTCAGGACCCTGAGGGATACGCGAAAGCTTGTGTGGCTTTCGGCAGGGCGACGGAGACATTAGGTAGTGACGATAAGGTCCAGCCAGGTGTCGCATATTTGGCGAAAAATGTCAAGGTGTTGACTATCGGAGAGAGTCGACAAGACAGGCCTGAGTTTGACTTAAATAGCGTCTATGGAGATACGTTGAGCGATGGAGAGTGGACCAGGATCTTGGACGTGGGAGGGCATTGGTCTGTCTTTCAGGACCTTGATGGGGTGGTTAAGGTGCTGGATGGTTTTTTGCATGAGTAGAATGAGCTTCATGGGGTCCCATGGCCTTTACGCTGCGATCAACTAGCGGATCTCCCTTGAGACTGAGCAGCAATTCGTGCCATTGTGGTGAGAAATCACGACATGACATTGATGCATCAAGAGGGGCGCTGTCGCTAATGCTTTCAAATGGAGAACTTGCGCAAGCTGGTTCCAGCCCGTCAATATCCGTATAGGAGCTGTATACTGTATACGATATGCCCGCCTAAAGTAGTCTATATGGTATACCCCTCCCCGCCTCGCTCGGTCAGCGAAGACAGCGGTGTGGGACTCCTGGTGTGAATAGCTATTTGTTTCACGATGGCCTTTGGTCTCTCGCGCGCAAGTTAGCTTCCGACAAACCCATAGAACCATTCAATTCCGCGTAGTACACGCCAGGCGGAGCGCACGCGATGGATGACCGCACCATCTCCGCATTATCCACATGCCTCTTGCTCCACATCGTCATACCGCGACGGGATGCGGTGCGCTGCCGGCCAATCACAGCGCAGACCCTGCCCGCCCTATCGCGTAAAAGTTTGGTTATTCCCGAGGCATGGAGGACTAGCGCTGCGCTCCTACCCGCATATATAGATGTCGAACGCCTAGCTTTTTTTTTTTTTGTAACCCATCTTTGACAATCGAGGATAATGGCTGCGGTGCACGAACGAAGATAACATCTCAGCACAAGGGACAGGCTTTTGTTGGCAAGTGGGAAAGATTCATGGACGCGTGAAGGACGGGCTTATTTCCAGAACGATGACGGAGGTTTCCAGGGGCGTGAAAAAGGCGGATGAAGAACTACGGAGTCGCGATTGTGCGTCGAGTGAGATTAGTGTCGCGAACGAGGGAGTGCCGGCCAATGGAGGTGCGAGAGGGGAAGAGCTGAGCGATGAGAAGATGGAAGATGTTCCACCGAATGGAGGGTATGGCTGGGTTTGCGTTGCGTGTGTGGCTATCATCAATGCTGTAAGTTCACTTCTGTCCCGTCGAGCATCAAGCAATTTACGGTGCCTGGCCGAAAGCCTTATAACGCCGTGTTACCCAAGGCGGAGCACAGCACTCCAAATTTCTGCCATATTGCTTTATGTTGTTGATCTGGACGGGGACAATGACCTCATGTTCAGTAGTAAGGGCTGACAGAAGACCAGCACACCTGGGGACTGAACAGTTCGTACGCCGTTTTCCTGGCCCACTATCTCGCCAACAACGTCTTTCCCGGCGCCACCCCCCTTATGTATGCCTTTATCGGCGGGTTGTCCATCTCCATGGCGCTTGTAGTCTCCCCCGTCGCAACCCTGACGACACGCCTTTACGGCACACGAACCACCCTCCTAATCGGCGTCGTATTCGAAGCCGCTTCCTTCATCGCCGCCTCGTTCGCCTCCAAGATCTGGCACCTCTTCCTCTCCCAAGGCATCTGCTTCGGCTGGGGTATGGGCTTCCAATTCGTGGGCAGCGTCGTCATCGCACCACAGTGGTTCACCACGCGCCGCAGTCTCGCGAACGGCTTCGCAGCTGCCGGATCCGGGATCGGCGGCCTCGTGTACTCGCTCTCCACGCAAGCAATGATCAAGAGCATCGGGCTACCCTGGGCGTTCCGCACCCTCGGCATCATCGCCTTCGTCGTCAACACAACCTGCTCTCTGCTCGTCCGCGACCGCAACAAGCAGATTGGCAGTACGCAGCTCTCCTTCGACTACCGGCTGTTCAAGCGCCCGCAGTTCCTGGGGCTGCTGGCATTTGGCTTCCTCTCTATGCTTGGCTATGTAGTGCTGCTGTTCTCGCTGCCGAATTACGCAAGGACTGTCGGAATGACGGCGTCCCAGGGCTCCATCATCGGCGCGGTGCTCAATCTCGGACAGGCAATGGGACGACCGCCCATAGGCTACTTTTCTGACTCGCTAGGACGACTGAATATGGCAGCTTCCATGACCGGTCTGTGCGGCGTCCTATGCCTCGTCGTGTGGAACTTTGCGAAGAGCTTCGGCGTGTTGATCTTTTTCGCTATCTTTGGAGGCGCGGTCGCTGGAACGTACTGGGCCGTCGTTGCTCCTATCACGACGGAAGTCATGGGTATTGTCGACTTGTCGAGCGCACTTTCAATCACGTGGCTGGTGTTGGCACTGCCGACAACGTTTTCGGAGCCGATTGGGCTCGAGATTGTGGCCTTCAATGGTAACTACACAGGGGCGATCATGTTCACGGGTTTTATGTATCTCGGGGCTGCGATTATATTGTGGCTCGTACGGGCCTGGAAGATTGGAGAGGAGGAGGAGAACGAGGCAAAAGTTGGCTCGGGAGTGGTTGTCAGTCCGGTACCTCGTGCTGATAGCGACGGGCATTTGTCTGGGATATTAGCAAAGTCGCCATTCTTGAAAAGACTGATCATGTGGCGGAAAGTGTAGATATAACAGAAGCATCAGGGCTCACTAAGAATACAGGCCTAAAGGTGATTATACAGCCACATCTTATAGAGAAAATGGCGTCTCTGTACAGGGTACCTAGTTTTTTAAACATGGAACATAATCCAGAGACCCTATGGCTAGGACCAGCCTTGAGTTGAATGGAACGCCACCGTAGCGCCCGCCCACTAGCAGCTAGCCCGTCACCCTGAGGTCCCTTGAACTGCGTCATCCCTGGCCGACATGCCATCAATTGCTCTTTTCGAAGCACATTATCGATGCTCAATTGGATCGCACGAACTGTCAAGTGGATATGTTCATTGGCCGAGAGCCAATGGCTGCCTTTAGCCGAAACATTTGGCACTTGACGTGGCAGTCCAACAGACGCATCGGCGGCCAACAGCCCCGTTTCGAGGGGAGTTGTTGGTCATAGACGGACGCAAACCTGAGCGGAAAGGCACTCTGCGTGCTGCGTGCGGTGGTGTTTCGCAAGTCACGGCTGTTGCCAATCAATTGGCTCTCTGTGGCCACGGCAGCGCTGAGCTTCTCTTCAGATGCATCTTCGAAGACGACAAGACGGTCCTTCCGGTTGCCAGCAGCGCTCGCCAAGCTTAGCGCACACGAAAATGCAGCGCGTGGTCGCATTGACTCGAGGCAAATGAGGGCTGCCCTATGCTAACGTTAGGGGCGGCGTGCACTCCAGATGTATGTCTACGGGCTATGGAGATTCCTAAATGCAGCGAGCTCTGTCACACGTGAAAGCAGTGTCTACCAGCGGTGGAGAAGCCGTCGCAGGCTCGACGCCCTGGAATGCACCCGGCAGGTAAGCGTGTTGGGGACGCGCATTCTGCACGACGTGGGCAGCGTGTTCACAACGTGAGGGTGCACGAGCTCGAATCCCTGTCGTCACGTTGGATGCGGCCAATCGGCAGTGGCTGACTTAAGCTCCCTCCTTTCCACAATTTCCTCCCCGACGACTTTATCGGCGGAACCTCTCCACCGTGTCCCTTTTGACTCTGCTGTTGCTGCTTCGGCGGGATGCTCACTGCTGTCTCCTCGCCCGTGCCGACCAACCTCATGTCGCTCTTTTAGCCTCACCGCGCGTCTTTCCTTTTGTAGACCTAATTATATCGCGTCAACGTCACACCCACGCCCCAGCGCCCCCGTAGCCGGCCCGCACGCGTTCTCTGCTCCGCCAACTCCAGGACCCCCAGATTGCCCTCTGGCGTGACTGTCTGCCGATCCCTAGGCGCGTCTGCACCGGGAAAGTTCGCGTCTCGGGCTCCCGCGCTGCTCAACTGCCCGCTGAATGCTTCATCTGGCTCGACGAACCTCCTCGGTCTCGCTGCCTCCGCCATCGTCGCCGCCATCGGTGGTCTACGAACCGAACAGTGCTCCTGCAGCGCGTGAACCGCTCTCCCCAGCGCAGACTCTGTGGACCGCCCACCCCTCGCCGACCCAGACGCTTGGCCATTCCAGCCCGGAGCTCCCTACTCTTCCGAGTCTTTCTGCCCTAGGAGGCCATCCGCGTACCCCCTCAACCGCTGCGAGGCAGGACAGGACCGACACCTCCTACTACACCGCCAGCTGGGGAAGCCCGTACAGGCACCCGCCTCCGCCTTTCAACCGCCAGCGGCACCCTTCGACGCAGTTCGGCAGTGACGACTTGGACGGCGACTCTGGTCTTCAGTTCGGTCTCGAGCATCTTTTGCCCCCGACACTTGTCCAAGACAACTCGCCCAACCGGTTCAATCTCGAGCACCTTATTCCACGACTGCAAGACAACGCGTCACCTAATCAGTTCAACCTAGAGCACCTAATCCCATCTCGCCTACCTGTCACCCTCGATACGCCTACGCAGCCCAACTTCGATTCCGGTGCTACGCCACGAGTGTCCAAGTTCGATAATCAGCAAGCGACCGAAGAGTGGGTTCGTCAGTTTCTGGAAAGACGCTGGAACACCGAAACGAACGATTGGATCAGCGAAGAAGCTGCCGGTAGTGGACCGGAGAGCGAACCAACCTTCGACCAAGAGAACGGAGGATCTCCATCCATCAAGAAGCACAGGTCGAGGAGGAACAACAAGACGTTGAATCAGCAGGATTTTTGGTCGCACTTCAGCCAAGGCCAGAAAGAAGAACTCGGCAAGATGATGGCCTCAAGATATGCGAATCCTGACGCGGATTCCCATTCGCGGCAGGGTTCCGGAACGAGCCTTCGATCCGGCCTGGGTCTTAGTCGATGGGCTGCTCAACCCGCTTCTCCTGCCGAAAAACATTCTACAGAGGCCTCCCAGCCCTCAGAAGAATTGTCCAAGAAGCCGTTACCGAGCCCGCCTGCTCAACCTGCACCCCAGCCCGTCGCTCCACCGCGCACGCGGAAGAAGGTGCTGGTCAAGGGCAAAGGCGTTATCATTTCCATCGCTCGAGATATCCCGCGAGGTACACCCGGGTATCCACCCAAGCCGATGAGCCCAGAAGCAGTGGACGCGAAGCTGCAGCAGTATGAGGTCGAAGGGTACAACACGCAAGGCTTTCGTACCTGGCAAGATGTTGGTGTTGCAGGGGGAAAGCCATCAACACAGAATCGATCCATTTGGCCAGATGACGAGTACATTCGAACGACGCGGTCTTCGGCCCCTATTGTGCGAATTTCTAGGAAGGAGGACTGGGATGCATACATGAACCATCTTGTAGAAGTGAAACTTGCAGCACTCGGCGTCGGTCTTGGTGGCGAGGAAGATACACCGTCGCCAATGTCGAGGCAGGCTTCGGTACAATATCCGGGCCTTCCCTTTTCTCCACCGCTGCCAACACCCTCAGGTGGAAGTCACCGCGGGAGACAGGGAAGCATCGTCTCCGGCTCCTTCCCACTTGGTCCCTCACCTGGACACATGTCACGGCAATCAATTGCATCACCAGCAGCCTTTGCCAACCCTCGGGCGAGCATGCACATGCACAGGCATTCGACGTTCTCGCCTGCGAGCTTTCTCCAGCAGACAGCTTCGCCTACGGGTGCGTTCTCACCCGGCAACTACTTTGGCATGCAAGGTGCACGTGGAGGCTCGCCTGCTTTGCCTGCGTTGCCTTTAAGCAGGCCCGACCTTTCCGGACTTGCTTCGCCTAGCTCTCCATATGGCATGAGGCCTAATCAGCAGTTTCCTTTTCCGCAACCCCCCAAGGACGATCTCCTGGCTCAGATGCAACAGCAACAGCAGCAACTTCAAGCTCAACTCATGCAACAGCAGCAGCAACAGCTTATGGGTATTCGACCGTCATCGACGCTTGCTGAAGTCCCTGAAGCTGAGAGCGAAGACGACGAGCTACCTCTTATGAAGAATGCCACCAAGAATGGTTCAGAAATTGTCGTTCCGAGCCCACAACGTGGGCATCGTCACAACATCAGCGCGAATCTTGAACGAGGTGCCCGCGATGCTGAATACCATCTCGAGGAAGCGATCGACAAACAATTCAACGAAGGAGGCGACTTCAGCACTGAACCAGAATCTACCGAGGATCTTAGGCCATCCAAGCCTGTGGCTGAATCATCGTGGCAGGGTTCGCGTCCCATTCTGCATCAGCCGCAGCCGCATAGCAGAGCTCATTCGCTTGCTAAGCAGCAGTCTATGTTCTCATTTGGCGGCGCTGCACAGGAGAATCCTCGCGGCGACAGCGATGGTGCAAAGACCAACATTTCCGACGTGACGAACCCCAGTGTGGAAGAAGGCGAGATCCGGGAGACGGACAATAGTGCGCAGCATTCCAAGTCAGCGTCCCAAGTCAGCAACTCCTGGAGAGACGCGAAGTTCGCATTCGGGAAGCCTAGTTCCACGACGCACAGCAAACACACATCGCACTCTTCGATATCCAAACTCAACGTTGAAGCCAAGGAATTCAAGTTCAACCCCGCAGCCTCCTTCAGTCCTTCCATGTCTTCCAGCTTCTCGTCGTTCACGCCTGCTCTCAAAAGCCCTGCAGATGCTTCGGCGAGCAACAGGACGAGTCTCGATGGCATGTCCAACATGAGCGTGACTGCACCGTCTTTCAAGCCGGATGCGCCAGTCTTCAGGCCCGACGTCGCTCCTTTCAAACCGACCTTCGACGTACCGGCGTTCAAACCCGCTGTTAATGCTCCAACGTTCAAGCCGACAGTACCCGAATTTAAGCCTGCAGTCGAAGCTCCCGTCTTCAAGCCAACAGTGCCAGAGTTCACGCCCAGCAACTCGTTCATGCCCAAGAGCGGTTTCAGCTTCTCGTCCAAAGGACCAGGCATATTAACGCCTGACGCTCCTGCCTTTACTCCGGGTAGTGCGGAGTTCAATCCGAGCGTCTCTGTATCGAGCACTTCCTCTACCATCTTCGGAAACGTCAACATCACTGCCGATGATATTATCAAGCCGGCTAAGCGTTCCAAGGCTGTCCCTATTGTGCGCCCAGACGCCACACGTCAAAGAACGCCTGAGAAGGAAGCTGAAGAGGAAGAACGCGAAGACGAGGAGGGTCGCATTGCCAACCCTGGAGGACGCGAGAAGCGTGCGCGACGCGGTCGTGAGGAGGGAGACGATGTGCCTAGATTTGCACTGCAGCCTTTCCTTCCGTCGCAAGCTTTGGGTGAACTCCGACAAGGACGAGCACCAACACAGAGCCCTGAAATCGAGAAGGAAGACGTGCCGGCGGAGAAGGAGAACGTCTCTCCTGAAGCAAATTGTGCACAATCCAAGTCAAAGAGCGCTGAGCCTCTGTCTCTCCAGAACGACAAGACTCTGATCGAGCCCAGTGTACCTGTAGAGGAATCTTCCGACGAGAAGACCCCGATCGATGATTTCTCTGCTCATGAAAGCGATGCTGCTACGCCTACCGTTGAGGAAATTCCCAAGCCGAACCTTCGAAAGCACAAAAGTTCACTTTCAGCGACCGCTAAGCCGTTCGAGTTTCGACCATTTGCACCTTCTGGTGGTTATGACTTTGGTGGCATTCATATCACCAAACCATCGGTGTCTCAAGACAATGATCCTGACAAGTCGCAAGTGAGCCCGCCGCGCTTTGCAAGCCGTAGCCCTGCGACCACCTACCGACCAAGCGACGATGGGTCATTCAAGACTGCTTTGGAATCACGGAGGCATGTAACGTACCCTCAGAGTGAGAGCGTCGACTTTGACAACCTTTGCGATCCTTCATTCAACGACATTGATGCTGTGATGAAGCACATGAACGACGAGGGCTCGGACTTTGGAGTCGAACGCGACGAGAACTCATGGGTGCAGTCTTCTCCAAGGAGATCCGTCCATGATTTTGAACGTTCTGATCTGCCACCGAGCGCTAACAAGCTGCGTAGCGATGCACCTAGTCCTAGTCCCCGTAGACTATATGCGCCGCGTAACATGAATGCCTCGTCAGCATCTGGCATCACCGGAGATCCATTTGATGACGATCGCGCCGCGTATGAGTCTCCCGTGCATCGCTTGAACAACGCAGATGAAGTACCGATGAGTGATTGGGATGAAGGTATTTTGTCTGAAGGCGAAGATAAGATTCAAACACGCAGCAAATTCTTCGACACGCACGTCGATGATATCATCGGGCGTCTGCTACAAGACCGTCTGGGGCCAGTGGAAAAGAATCTGCAGGGCATTCAAGACGCCATTGCTATGATGTCGCAACGACCCGGCCGTGGCCGTCGCAGCATGTCGACTACTGAACGTCTCGACAGCGATGCTGACGACGAAGACGACGAATGGGGTACCGATTCACATTACCGCAACCGCTCTCCTGGAAAGAACCGGAAGATGGAAAAGTTCCGGGCTATTGTCAAGGAAGCGCTCGAGTCGCACCAACCGCCGGTCACATCCCTTCCAGTCCCGGTTCCAGAGCCCATTCTACCAGAGAAGATTCGCGATATTGTGACGGAGGCTCTCGCTGCACACCAGCCACATTCCGCACCCGCCGACCACATGAAACCCGAGAATGTGCGCGACGTAATCATGGAAGCGCTTGCTCACCACCAGCCTCAGTGGACGCCTCCCAAACATGAACCTGTGCCGGCCGATCAGATCCGTGCCATCGTTGAAGATGCTATTGTAGCGCACTATCCTGCTCCCACCGAATCTATCAAGCCTGAGGAGATCCGTTCTGTGGTTGCTGAAGCGATCGCTGCGCAGACTACTAAGCCTTCCACCGAGCATCTGCAACCGGATGACATCCGTCTCATCGTGATGGAAGCCTTCGAGATGCATGCTCCACCGCCGCCTCCTATGCCTGTTCCTGAGCAAATCTGGCCTGAAGACATCAAGTCGATCATCACGGAAGCTCTGGAGCAAAAGCCTGTTGCCGAGCCTCTGCAGCCAGACGCTATCCGCAGCATTGTCGAAGATGCGTTGGTAGCCCACAAGCAGCCAAGCGAGCCTTTGCAGCCCGAGACCATCCGTTCCATAGTCACCGAGGCACTAGAGTCTTACCAGCCTCTTGCACCGCCAGTCTTGCCAGTCATTCAAGAACCTGTGCAGCCTGATGCCATCCGTGCTATTGTCGCAGAAGCACTTGCTGCCCACAAGCCAGCTCCGACTCTGGAAGCTCCTATCGACATTCCCCAGCCACAAGTCGACATGTCTGAGATCTACCAAGTCATTGGCAGCTTGAAGGCGTCCATCGCGCAAACCACGAGCCATCACTTGCACGCCGAAGATGTTCGCGAACTCATTGACGATGCATTCAAGCGACAGAACATGGAGGTTGCCAAGCGGGAAGAAGTTCTAGCTATTCAGGAAAGAGATGCACGCATCGAAGAGCTGGAAGAAAGGCTCAAAGAAGCTACTCTCCGATCCGAGGCTGAAGCAGAGGCACGTAAGGAGCTCGAACTCCGCGAAGAGAACAGCGCACGCCTTCTCGAGGTCACCGAAAAAGAACTCGTGCTGCTCAAGGAGCAAGCTGCCGATGACGAGACCAAGATTCGTGTTCTCCAAGATGAACGCGAGGTCTCCCGCCGCAGTCTTGATTCCTTCCAAGCAGAGGAAGACGAGGTCCGCAGTAAATTTGCTAAGCTGCAGGTTGAGCACGACGAACTGCGACTTCGGACCGCCGCTATCGAAGGTGCTGAGTATGAGGCAAAGAAGAAGCTCGAAGCCGTTACTGCTGAAAACGAGGCTCTCACTTACACTCTTGAAGAACATCGTCTCTCAGCTAACAAATGGCGTGACGATCTCAAGCATGCTCACGACGAGGCCGAAAGGATGCGCATGGCTATCGAGCAGTCGCGCCTTCAGGCTGAGGAAGCCACAAGAGTTCGCGAATCTATGCGTGCCAAGTTCGAAAAGCTGCAGCAAGACATGACTGTTGCCTCCGGCCAGGCTGCTGCTGAGCGTGCTCAGTGGCAGAAGGGTGACGAAGAGCACATGAAGAAATACGAAATCTTGAGCGCTCGCATTGAAGCTGAGGGTCGCACGCGTGAACGCCTTGAACGCGAGCTCGAGCGACTTGAGGGCCAGGAACGCGAATTCATGAAGCTCAGGTTCACACTTGAGCAGACGCAAAAGCACAACGCCAGGCTTGAAGAGACGGTTGAGCAAACCAGGCAGGAGAGCATGGAATTCAAACGAGCCGCCGAGCGGTACGAACGCGAATTTCGAGAAGCCAGAGAAGCCGCCCACGCTGAGATTCGCCGCATGCGCACCCTGATGGAGGCCGACATCGACAAAGCCAACAATCAGGTCAACATTGTCCGACACGATCTTGAAAGCGAAGTCGCCCGAGTGCGCACTGAGCTTGACAATGTACGCATGGACGCCGACACCGCCAAGGAGAAGCACGAGCTCGATTTGGAGGCTGCTGCCGATGCGAGGAGGGCCGCCGTTGGAGAGGCATTGGAGAAGAACACTCTCGCCCTTGTCGAGCAACAGCAGACTTTCGAGCGCCGCTTAGAAACGATCAAGATGGAGCACGCTCGTGTAGTTGAGATTGCTCGCGAGGACGAAGAACGGGCAGTGTCTTTCCACAATGAGCGCATCGCGCTTGCGGACTCAAAGATGGACAACCTCCGTGACAAGATCGCTCTCCTCGAAGAAAAGCTTTCTGTGGCAAAGGAGGCTGCCAGTGCCGCCGCCGCTGCTGCTCAGAACTCCAAGCCACCGACCGCCGGCTCAACCTCTTACGCGTCGGGTGCCGAAAAGATCTCGCCGCAAGCTCTGCGGGAATCGATTGCCGTTCTCCAGGAACAACTGCAGGAACGCGAATCTCGCATCGAGTCACTGGAGCACAAGCTGGCTGCGGTCGACACCGATGCTCCTGCTAAATTGAAGGAGCGCGATACCGAGATCAACTGGCTCCGCGAGCTCCTTGGTGTCCGCATTGATGATCTGGGCGATCTTATCAACGCCCTGGCTCAGCCTGCTTTCGATCGCGAGAGCGTGCGCGACGCTGCTATTCGCATCCGCACCAACTTGCAAATGGAGCAGCAGGAGAAGGAGCGATTGATTACCGGTGGCCAGAAGTCACTGCCTACGCTGTCAACGCTGTCTAACTTTGCCTCGCCTAAAGCTGTACAGCTTGCTGCGGCCTTTGGCAACTGGCGCAGCAAAGGTCGCGAGAGCGCCGCTTCTGCCCTTGCTGGTAATTCGAGCAACCCAGTATCGCGCAACCAAACGCCTTCTCGCCCAACCCCGCCATCCGCCCAGTCCTTCCTATCAGGGCTCATGACCCCGCCTACGTCCAACCTTCGCCGGACGCCGGATCTCCCGTCCTCAGGCGTCCGCCCACAGCCATTGCTACGTACAAACTCGACGAGCTCGCGAGGCTCTGCCGCCGGCTTCCCCAGCTTGGGCAAGCAGCCGGTACCCAGCACCCCTCCGCTGATGCGCAAAGCATCGTACGACCAGGATGCAGAGGTCGAACGGTTTAGCGAAAGCGGATTCTACGACGATGAAAGCACTGTCGACGGGGACATGACACCCATCGGTCTTCACTTTGGACAGCCGCTCGACCGGTGACGTCCACTAGTACGATAAAACTTTTCCTTTGTACACATTTCCTTCACTTGTTGCTCACATACGAGCGTCCTGTCCTTGTGTGTATGCTATCTGTTCGCCGTACAAACGTCTCTCTTTCTTGTTCGTCTTGCTGCGTTTGGACTTTATCTGCTGTCATTAGCGATATGAGCATGGATGGATATACCCCCAGTGCGCTAGATTGGCCTTTCTCCCGTGTAATGGACAGGAACTAAATTGTACAAAACAACATTTTTTCTTGATTTTGTTTGGTGTCCTGCGGTGGGAGTGTGGAGATGTTGATGGGATGTTTTATATGGTAGGATTAAATTGTAATACTGGGATAGAATTAATTCGTGTAATCGCATTCAGACTGGCGTGGGAGTGAGTCAGTGAGTGAGTGGGTATCCTCAGATTTCCGTTGGCTTGATAGGAACAGCCTAAGAATTACTTGGTGATACGACAAGGCAAATAGGTAGTACCACGTAGCAGCTTTCTTCGGATATACACTCCGTTTTCTTTCTCACATTGCCCCTCGCATACACATTACACTCACAATTCTGCCAATCTCACCCAAGCTTCCCACCACAAACCTTCCAATGAGCTCACCAGCCAAGACCAACCGTCGTATTCCTGCCCACAAGAAGCTAGCACGAACCCGAGCTGGACTTCCATAGTGTACCAACCATCGAAGTAAGAAACCCACCAACACTCTGCTCAACATCCGTTCTCCAGCAATTACGTGCATGCCAACCTACCAACATGCCCCTCGACCACTTCTCCATCATCGTCCCCGAAAGCAGCCTCGAACCACTGGTATCCTGGCTTCTCGCCGCAAACGCCCTCTTCGGCTTCAAAGAAATCACGCGCCCTGTCACGCATGTCGTCGGACTAGGTGAAGCGCGCCCGTATTTCTGGGTCATTAGCGATCCCATGACGAAGGCGACGGAAGCGCAGGTGCGCGAATGGAGAAAGATGCATGTGGCGTTTACCGTGAATAGTACGTCGCCCTCTTCATGTTCGTGTTCTATGAGCGAAGGGTGGGACCTTGCTGACAGAGGGTTGGTTGGTTTGGATAGGTATAGAGCAGCTGTACGAATGGCACGCGGCAGCTGTGAGAGCTGGGGGTGAGGATAACGGCAAGCCCGGCCCGAGGGAGGAGTATCATGCCGGGTACCATGGGGCATTTGTGAGGGATCCCGTGTTGGGAGTTAATTTTGAGGTTGTGTATCGTGAGCCTAATGGAAAGAGTATAAGGTTAGGCGAGAGCACGGAGTGATCGGATGACTAGATACAAGCTACCTGTACGCTTTCTAGAGCAGTGAAGAAGACTATCATAGACCGCTATCCTGGTATTGTATATGGGGATATAGTTGTCTGGAGGCAGCCTGTTCAACATCAACAGCCCATATATAGCCAGTATGCATAGTTGGTAAGAGTATCTGCAAGATTTCGGTAGAATCCTCTAGTGGGAGACCATGCGTGCTGCTCCCGGCATCACTTTCTGAAAGAAAAACAATGGCCGCACTGAGAGGGAGAGTGGTCCAAGTTGTCATAAAGATTCGAGATCGAGCGAGGTTCGATCAATACTCCTACAGTCTCTCTGCACAGAGCATGGACAGGGCTTGTTGGATAGTGATAGTACAGTAAAACGGTGGAGTGGGCGTGGAGAGAGCCATTGTCTGGAAGTTGGCCAATCCATACGCATTAAAAGATGGCTCAGTGATGGTACAAAGCTTTCAATACTATTGGCGGATGTCCAGGATGTCGATTGGCGCATGTAAAGCTTCCATGTGCCGTTGGAGGGGCTACTGTATATAAGATATTGCTTACGAGTATCTTTCACATACGACCATAGGACACTGAAAACTAGGCTTCCCGTCCGCTCAGCCATATATAAGCAGTGTACCGGCGGATCAGTAGTTGCGTGGGTGACCAGCAGCGAATCCCCGCTGTTGTATGTTTTTTTAAGTACCACCTAAGGTGTCTAATTCGCTAGTTCGCAAAAACGTAGCATTCTAAAACAAAATTGCATCGCCCACGTGACCTATGGTATGACTCATTAATTTTCATATTAACGTGTTGGATCAGTAAGCTGGCCAGATCAGTAAGCTGGCCACCCCACCAAGCCGCGCGCGACGCGTCCATCTGCATCAATTATGAAGCCGCAACAACGCTCTCTACAGCTTGCAAAAGAAGGCAGGATTGATCTTGCTATTGCCTCCTATCAATCTAATCCTACTCGATCGCTTCGCCGCCTTGCACTATCCTTTGATGTACCGCGATCGACCCTGCAGACGCGCCTCCATGGTGTCAAGCCAAAACGCGAGATAGTATCAGTCAATCGAAAGTTATCCCCTAGCGAGGAGCAGTCTCTTGTTCAGTGGATCCTAGAGCTTGATCAACGAGGATTTCCACCCAAGATTATCGACGTACGACGGATGGCTGATCATCTACTCGCCGCGCGTGGCCAGGATCCTCCACCTCCGCCTGTAGGCTAGAAGTGGGCATCACGATTCATCAAGACTCAGCCAGAGCTGCAGACAAAGTGGGATAGGAAGCTACACAGTCAGCGCGCTCTATGTGAGGATCCTATCAAGATCTCTGCATGGTATACGCGCGTAGAGGAGACGCGCAGGACGTACGGCATACTAGATGAAGATACCTACAATTTCGACGAGACAGGATTCATGATGGGTGTAGGATCCTCCTCATCTAAGGTAGTGACTAGCGCAGACACTATGGGTAGAGCTGTACGCGTACAGCCAGGCAATAGAGGCTGGGTGACGACAATTGAGTGTATCTGCGCGTCTGGCTGGTCTATCCCACCCCTCATCATCCTGTCTGGTAAGGTCCATCAATCTACCTGGTACAACGACCTACCTGCAGGCTGGAAGCTCGCAGTCAGCGACAATGGCTGGACGACAGATCAGCTAGGACTTACCTGGCTAGAGCACTTCAATCAGCATACAGAGTCTCGTACTATAGGCTCATGGAGGCTCCTTATCCTAGATGGCCATAGTAGTCATGCTACTCTAGAGTTCACTCAGTACTGTGCAGAACACAGGATAGTCAGCCTCTGTATGCCTGCGCACACGAGCCATCTACTGCAGCCTCTAGATGTGAGCTGTTTCTCGCCACTCAAGGCTGCATATGGACGTGAGGTGACTGAGCTAGCACGACAAGGAGTCTTTCATGTGGACAAGGAGGAGTTTCTATCTATCTATCCGCGCGTACGCAGGATAGTCTTCATAGAGAAGAATATCTAGAGTGGTTTTCAAGCAACAGGACTTATCCCTCCCTGTCTAGATCGCGTTCTCTCGCACCTGACAGTAGTCAGGACCCCGTCACCACCAGGGGCAGCAGTAGATGCTGAGGCTACATGGACAGCTGAGACGCCTCATACTACTCAACAACTAGAGAAGCAGGCACGACTCCTACAGAATCGCCTTCAGAAGTCCTCACAGAGCTTTACAAGCGTTGCTTTTGCCCAGCTTGTTAAGGGTTGTCAGCTTGCAATGAACTCAGTAACGCTCCTTGTAGAAGAGAATAGGAGGCTACGGGTAACTAATTGTCGCCGGCGACAAAGGCAGGATAGGCGCAGACAGTATATTGCGACAGGAGGAGCTCTAGAAGCTGATCAGGGGCGAGCTCTAGCTGCTACAGCTCATCTAGCTCTCGCTGAGGCTGCTGATGCTGGATCGACGCCTGCACGCCAGCGCGCACCACCTACGTGCAGCAAGTGCCATGAGCAAGGACACAGAAGGACTCAGTGTAAGCAGCAATAGACTATCTATGTACAAAATCTCATAGAAAAATATCATGTTGTTGTAGAGATATCGCTGTTGAAGTGCTGCGCGGCTTGGTGGGGTGGCCAGCTTACTGATCTGGCCAGCTTACTGATCCAACACGTTAATAAGAACCTCATCCTATGCTTACCGCGGACTAACCCCACTCATCCTACGTTAGTACCATGCCATCTGATACATCTTTCCTAGCGTACGGTTGCTCAGAGTGGCGAAAGAGCAGCCAAATCGCATCTAATCTATACGAGGACGGTGTTAAGTTATGGTCAAAGGACAATCTTCAACATATCGAACAGCAACTTCTACAATCTATGGACCTTGAATACTTTACTGTTCGCTTGATTGACGGCACGGAAGCTTGCATAAAGAATCCCATGTTTGCGGAAAGACGCCCAATCTGGTAAGGAAGTGCTTGGTACCTATGCGGTGTGCAGAACAGCTGATTACCTTGTAGGCGGCCCCGCGTCACATACCGAGAGTACTGGCGACTAGTAACATCGCAGCCTGATGGCCCTTCTGAGACATACCGCTGCTCATATCTGGTCCACTGGGAGAACGTTTGCGCGAAACGATTTCAAGGCATAATTGAGAACGCCGACACCGTTTTCGAAGAGAATAGGCACACCTGGAGTCAGAGTGCCAGCTGCCGCTTACTGCGGTCTCGGCTTGAGGAGGTGTTCAGCGTGAGAAAGGTAGCCAAGATCATTTGCTTTGGACTGGGCGACATGTGTCGTGGACCTCCAGAGTGGTATAGGCGGCAAACGGGCTCGAGTGGGCAGGAGCTGGAAGCCGAATTCATCCGTCCTAGCACGATCCAGCATTCGGTCGCCTTGACCATGGCGGACATGTGCAGTGCGAACAACATCCAACTACTAGCTCAGGATCCTGGCTACACGGAAGAAGCAAAGGAGATGCTGAAAGGGAAAGGCTTCTCGATTGTCGGGCCTTTCGGGGCGGGAGGCTTTGCTGAGATCGAAGACGACTCTGTAATATTTTCGGCCTTTGTAGAAGCGCCTCTGAAACAGATTATCGCCGACCTTGCACGCCCCGCTCTTATTATCACTACCGACCGTACCACTTTTAACGATGCTGGGTAAGATGGCCGTCTTCCGATCCGTCTGCAGCTCCTCTAACCTAGGGTGGATAGGAAACCGTGGGCCGACCCAGAATCTCCTCGCACGAAAAAGATGTGGGATGAGTATGAAAGATGTGATTTTCCAGTCTCGCCTGAAGACGCAGAGCTACTAAAAAGCGTACGAAATCTATACATGTACGTAAGAAAGGTATCCCAAGTCACAAGCGAATGAATTGGGCACGGCACGGAGAATTAGCGCTAGAAGGAAAGAGTACACCAATCACGAATAGGAAAGATGTGTGCTTGCTACTTGTTGGATACAAATGCTGGTAAAGACTGTATATAGGGAAAGTCCAACCTTCCTCTCCCTGTCCGCTCCTAACCACATTCCTTCTCTTAGCCTTCTTGCCTTGAACCCGATGATCAGCCCTAATCCTTGGCGATCCCTGGAAAGCTACCTCGCGCATTCGCTCCCCAAGACACCCAGGTTGATTGGTAGCATCCAGTAATTGAGAACCTCTACATTACGCCAAAGCGTGATACATGAGACACAGTAGGTGAGATAGTGTCCATCACAATGCTAATCTGTCACCGCCATGATCCTGTTGGAATGTCTCATTCTTACGGGCGTTCGATACAGACATAGTTCAATCCGTGCTTCAATAACATGCATAGTCAAACTTGCCAAGAACTATAACCTGCGGAAACTAAAGAGTCTAGGAATGGCTGATCAGAAGACAGTCCCGTCACTCTCGATTAAAATCGGACTGCTCTTAGTATCAGGCCTCTTCTCCTTCGCCACCTCCCGACCACTCTTCCAGGTTCCCGCCTCCAGCAACTGCGCCATGCTCAGCTCCACGCCATTCATACGCTCCTTCACCATCGCATACAGCTTGTCGATCAGCACGAGCGTCATAGCACGCCACTCCACAACGGCATCGTCTCCGGCGCCGAACTGAGGCAGCGCTCCCCCCGACGAAGCCAAACCGCGTTTGAGAGTGTCAGGTTTTAGACTAAGCACGCCGAGGTCCACGAACAATCCACCGTTGCGATACTCAGGCAGAGCGGTCATGGAATCCATGTGTGTCCAGGTGAGTTTCAGAAGGCGGGTGAATGGGACGGTGAGAGAGTACGTGAGCCACTGCGTCAGCTTGTGGAACGGCTGGATGAAATCTGCGTCTGTGGTGTTGGGGACCGACGTCGATGAAGAAGCGGTCCTGAGCGTGCTGAGTGGCCAGGCATCGCCGATGGGGCATCCATGTACGACTGTGCGGTCACGGGGCCAGATGGGGATTAGCAGCTCCTGGAGGACGTCCCAGAAGCGGAGGATGTCGAGGCTTGAAGTATCGGTCGCCGTTTTGAGCATGTAGTCAACTATATTCCCCGGTCGGCCTTCGGGCCCGAAGACGTTGGAGTGAGCAAGTAGGGAGGTTCCTAGGCTTTTGAGAAGGTTGGTGCGTGAGTCTACGCCGAGCATGGGGTTGCGGTCTGAGATCTGGAAGCCGGTTGCGAGAGCGGAACTGGTTAGTTGTTCGAGGCCCTTCCCTGAATTTTGTGTTAGCACGAGGCTTGTGCATCATCCGCTATCATTTCTTACCATCTACAATCATCTTGTTGGCTTGTAACGAAGCGAATGCCCCCTCCTTGAACATGTACAGACTCGCTACCGCGATGCCCTCGCTGCGCTCAAACATCTGCTCTGTTCCCGGTTCTACGTACCGCCAGTGATCTCCCGCGCCTGAAAATCATGTGAGTCAACGCGGTAGATCACAAGGGGTCATCGATCACATACCCGCATCCAACAAAACGGAGACGAAAAATAGATCAATCAACCTCCGTGTGAGCTCCTTATCATCATGGCCTTCCGTCTTCCATTGCGAAAGGAGATCATCAATGCGCGGTTGATTTCCAACTTCGAAGTGCTGCCACCTCCCGTGCGGAGGGATTTGTCCATACTTATCCGGTCCGTAGTCGCGCTGTAGGTTGTAAGTACACGACACCAGCATCACTTCAACGAAGCAAGCTCGTAAATTATCAGGTAAGACTCACTTTGATGACAGCCGTAACGTAGTCAGCAACGGCGCCCAGCTTCTCATCATGCACGTTGAAGTGGCTCAGCTTCCCCGCTTTGGCAGCCTCGCCGACGATTTTGGCACGATCCCGGATGGCATCGAGAGACAGAAGATATTTGACCTGTGCATCCATCTCGAATACTGAGAGGAGAGTTGTTGTGGTGTACGTCGGAGGGCGCCGGTGTAGTTATATGCTAGGCACCTTCCTATCTTGGTGGGGTAGCTAGTGTGGGTCTACGTATCTACGTGGGACCAACCATCGGACATGGACGAAGCTGATTATTGACTTATACTTGTATTGCAAGGCTTATTTGCTCAGCCACAAATGATAATCATCGTGATGCCGAGGGGCGGGTTCTGCATGTCTCGTAACATGCCCGCAAGCTGCAGCGGCCTAATCACAATCTCACACGAACTCTGTAAACAACGAGCTGAGGCCAAGTCCCTCCGAGTAGTACAGGTCAATTCGTAATTCCAAACGCCGATCGGGTATATCCAAGCACGAGCGTCAGTCAGTAGCTTCCCAAACCCAAGATATCCAAAGACCCCCATTCATCGTACGTCGGATTCTTTACGTCTCCTCTTCTTATCCCCTTCGCTTCTCCTCCACCCCCGACTTCGTATCTTCCCTGTGCAACAACAGCAGCATGCCCGTATGGATGTACACGCACGTTGCTGACCGCATCGTCCCCCACGCTGATAACTTCATCTGCGTCCACAGCGCCTTCTTTCAGGTAAGCGTACCTCCACACTCTCACGCAACCATCCGTACCACCAGCCCATATTTCGTGATTCTCTCCGGCGTCCCTTTGTGCCCAAACATCAAAACCCATCTTCTGGCGGGTCTGTGCTTTGCGTCCAGCACAATGAGCCAACGCGAGCCCGAACTTGCGCACGTCGTATATCAGGAGAGCATTTGAGCTGCGCTCGGCGACGTAGAGATATGTTCCATCGGGGCTCCATTCCAACTGAGTAACGCCTTCGCCGATTACATCTTGCAGTTTCTCGTTATCGGATCTCTGGCCGTTGATCATGCCAGGTAGGGCAAAATGCGTGACTTCTTGAGACGAGACAACGTCGTAAAGACCGACATAGCGCGTTCGCGTGCCTGCCGCCAACACATTGCCACTCCCGGCTGAAGCAGCAAGTGCAGAGACGTCGCCCTTGAAGCCCCAGCCTCCACCCTTCAGCTTGTTTCTTGTTGAGGGAATCGTCCGGATCTTCGTTATAGGATCATCGGTGTAAGTGAGGTCAAATACAGCGATTTGGTTTTTGTGCCCGGCGTAGAAGTAGGCACCGCAGGGTGACCATAGTAGACTTTTTGGTGCAGTCACGGCCTCCGTTAGTTTATCGACAAGCTTGTAGCTAGTGAGTTTGGAGGAGATGTCTACAGGGCCTGTTCGATCAGGCTGTGCAACGTTTCCTTGGGTCTCGGATATGTCCCAGAGCGCATTATGCAGGCCAATGTACTGATCCCGACGGCTAACGAGAACGGTGGTGGTGTTGCGGTCATTCAGGTCAAAGTACGGATTGACTGTAAAAGCCCATATAGGGTCTGATGAAGAGAATTGTGCGTATCGTGTCAGTCTTTGTTGTTCTTCGTTGGCAGCGATATTCGAGGTCAATGGATAGACGGAAAAGTTACGCGAATAGTCTGTGGTAAAGATACACGTCCCATCTGGTGAAATCTGTGCATCAGAGATGCAGCTCACCGTATCATACGCATTCTCTCTGATGTCTTCTGACAAATTCGACTCTTCACCGTCTGCCGCTTCTCGTGCAAGGCTTTTCTTCGCCGTAGTGCTCGCGGCGCACCAAGTCCGTAAGCCTAGACCGTCACTCATGGCCCGAAAAAGCACACACTCCTTTGAGTGTCCTCCAAAACGTTATATATCGCCATGTGAGCGTAGCGGAAAGACAGCGTCGTGACGACGGGTATTCCAGGATCTTGGATGCCGCTAGCGCGTCATAAGGCTGGGAGCTTGGGCCATCAACATCGAACAAAAGTTCCAGGCGACATCGGGAAGATGCAGGTCACAGCGATATAGTCAACAATGCAACATGTTCTCGAGCCTCCACGCAGGCAAGCATGGGTTGAGTCGCCGTACCTGCGGTCGCTTATAGTACGTATTCATCTACCACCTGGGTGCCTCTCAATGGTGGTTCCGGCGCACGAAGCTTCGCCTGACGGTCGCGTGCAGCAGTAGTCACAGGCCTTTCTACTCATCGCTGCCCGATTATTGGGTTTTCACGAGGAACAGACAGAAGCTTATGATGCTAATTTTGGATAGGCCGGCGGCCTTGCAGGTACAACCGTAGACATGTCCCTCTTCCCCCTCGACACCCTCAAAACCCGCCTCCAGTCTTCAGCCGGCTTCGCCGCCAGCGGTGGCTTCACCGGCATCTACAAAGGCCTCGGCTCTGCTTTCGTCGGATCTGCACCTGGCGCAGCACTCTTCTTCATAACCTACGACTCCATTAAGCGGCATATGACCCCCTCGACGCCGAAGATCGCACACAATGTCGAAGGCAAACCGTATGCGCAAATAGAAGGGGGAAGAGGGAGGGAGGCAGGTGTACACATGCTTGCCGCCAGCTTAGGAGAGGTGGCTGCTTGTGCGGTCAGGGTGCCGACCGAGGTCATAAAGCAAAGGGCGCAGGCGAGCCAGCATCCATCGTCGCTATCTGCTTTGACGTATATCCTGAACCAAAGGCATACGCATGGAATAAGGCATGTATGGCTGGAGCTATACCGCGGATGGAGCATTACACTGCTCCGCGAAGTCCCCTTCACAGTCATTCAGTTCCCGCTCTGGGAAGCATTGAAACGGTGGCGCATGCACAACAGTGGAAAGAGCGAGATCAGCGGCTTGGAGGGCGGTCTCTTGGGTAGCGTAGCAGGCGCAGTCGCAGCTGGTATAACGACGCCACTGGATGTGCTGAAGACACGGATGATGCTGGCCAAGGAGAAGCAACCGATGATGAGCATGCTGAAGCAGATACTAGAGCAATCAGGCCCCAGAGCGTTCTTTGCGGGACTCGGACCGAGGGTCGGGTGGATCTCTACAGGAGGTGCGATCTTCTTGGGTAGCTACCAATGGGCGAGCAACGCGTTGGGCGGCTTGGAGGACCTATGAGATGTTCATTCAAGGAGTAGGCCGAATTATTATAGATTTCGAATTAGACGTATGTGATACTGTACCATATCTATACTTCACAAACGTCTGCCAGAGTCAACAAGGGCTATTGTACAAGCACTTGACAGGTTGCTGTTGCTACCTGTGTACCCAATTGATACCATTCAGGTATGTAATCCGTTGACAGAATGTCCCTGTGTGAAGCACAAAAAGATACCTTCAGGTGAGAAAAACAAAGGAATTCGATCCTTCACCAAACGGAACTTCTCACTCGTCAGCTCTTCGTAACGCATTTCAGTGCGCGCCCGCTCGCATTTGGCAATTATAACCATGGAAGGGACCAAAGCCGTCACGTGCTAGCGCGTTCCTTCTCAAACGATCACTATAGCTACGCTATCGACCCCGCCTCTTCGTCTCCGCTTCAACATGATTCTACAACCCAACTCAGGCGACATTCCCTCGAAATGTCGATGTCGCGAGATCACGGATTAATCGGTCTTTTCGCTGACAGTCCAATCGAACTCATTTCTGACGATGAGGAGATGCAAACGCGTGTTCAAGAACAGCCGGTGCGTTACAGCACACGAGCTATGACGCGTGCGCAAGCAGCTCAGAATCCGGTGATTTAAACTCATTCTTTACCTCTACGGGCGGGAACGAGCGTGATTACCGGCCCTCGACCGCACGCGCGCGCGGTGACGGGCAACACCGCAACACCAACTCCTTTGGAGTCCACAACTGAGCTCCAACTACAAACCCAGAACCAGGTGCCCCATACACGCAGCAAGAAGCGAAATGGAAACGAATCTGCAGTAGCGACAAGCCTGCGGCAATCGTCCCCAGTGCCAGCATCGAGCAATAGAAGGCTTGCTGCAGACGATGGAGATCGGCTAGTTCGCAGTCAGATGCCCACCCAGTCTGGAGTAACTCATAAGCCGGCAGATGCACTAGAAGTTTCCAGCCTGAATCCCCTCTCCAATGGGTTGTTGCATACGCGCAATGGCGCGAACAGCAAGGTGCATGCGCCAACGTCTGTTCCTCCACATGATCTGCTTGTGAAGAACTCGGCGATCGGAGCTCAGCAAATTTCAAGCAGCGGCGCACCAAATACCGTGGATCTTCTCCATCATAATACTCCATCGAGCGCTCGTTCAAATGGCAAAGAAGATCTGGCGAATGGTGGAGTTACAGCTACGCTGTTATCGCGGGACTCTATCCGTACACTGAGAACTGTAGGAAGTAGGGAACATTTTTCTATATCAGCGACCCGAGATTCGGGAGATAATTTCTTGACACCTCGTCCCCGTATGAGCATGAACTCGAACGATGGAGCAACCGCATCTCGGCATTCGATCGATCCACGCGACAGCAACCTAGTAGCTACCCTAGCAGAGACCCTGAATATGGTAGGCGCCCGATCGTCCAAGACCGTCGTCATCCCACGGTCGGCCTGGGCTTCTGGCTGGGGTCTACGCGACAATATATTTGACATGAAGACCGACAAGCGATCGGCAACATCGCCCTGGCAACCGATTGGAAACGCATTGACAGAATCCAAGAGGGATGAAATGTCCCCTACAAGCATGCAAAATCCCGAAGAGAATGGTTCAGCATTGCCACGAGCACTTCCCCAGCAATCGATCATCGAGAGAGCGGTCGTGACACTACACGAGGGAATCGCTGCCAGTCAGAGAATCGAGATTCCTCAAAATTTCTCGGACATATCTCGCACTCGGCCAACTTTTGACAGTATACTGCCTGCCGATCGCACTTTGGCCCGAGAAACAGACCTGGTAGATAGTCTGGAGCCAGCCTTCCTTGCGCGCAAGAGGATGGAGCGCACAGACCGTCGAGAGATCCAAAAGCAAAGAATGACCCACGCAAGGACGGAAAAGGGGGAAAGGGGGGGAAAGGGTGGGAAAGCTGGAAGCAGATCTGGTGGTGGTCAAGGGCAGTCACAGGAACTTCAATTTCTGGAAGAAAAAAGCTGCGAAAGAGCTACAGATCGGTGCAGAGATGGGACTGATAAGTGCTGCAGTCGCGATGTTTGACAAACGACAGATTCGGACTGTCATACCAAATCGCTACTTACGCACTAAAAGGAACCTCCGGCGGATTGTTACTTTCCCTGGCACAGTTGAGATGATGTTGAATGCTCCCATCACCGCTGTGAAGAATGCTTACAGGGAGCATACCGCCGAGGAGTTACATACCTCGAGAGTAGTCTTTTGGACTGATGGCTCAGCTGCCGGCAGTCGCCACTCGGGAAGACCGCGAGGGTTCGCGGTGACATGGCGTCGAAGCACAGCGACTGGTTGGGGACGCTGCGAGGCGATGGGGTTTCAAGGTGCGTTATACGGTCTACTAAGATGCCTTCGCTAATTGCGTGCAGTCCAAGGCGAGCTCCCAGATTCCGATTCTATGGAGACCTTAGCGGTCATGAAAGCAATTGCCAAAGCTTATGACTTAGCTCGCGAGATACCTGGCCAGCTGAAGGCGGTAGCAATCTATACGGACTCTACGAGTGCGATTCGTGTTGCGCGTAATCCGAATCATCCTCTTGGTCTGCATATCATCAGAAAAGCATGTATGCTTACGAAACTTGGCTTGAAACTGTCTTTGCATTGGTGTCCTGGCCATAGCGGTGTAAGTGACATGTTCTCGCTCGAGCATATCTTTTGCCAGGCTAAACAAAACAGGTTCCGGGCAACGAACTAGCCGACAAGATCGCTGTCATGGCACGGTATCACATCTATGGCCGAAACGCAGAGTTCGTGGGCCTCAGCGATGATGACTATGAAGACTGGGAGGATGTCTGAAACAGTAGCATGACAAAAGTCTGGGTATCGCTGTCTCTGTTGTTGCTGATCTTCAGTAACGCAAGGAGTTCAAGCTTTTGGCAGGGTGCTGTAGGATGGCGGTTAGGTGGAGAAAAGGGGCATTTCCAGGGAAGTCACACGGGGTTGTGGGGGGATACTATTTACATAAGATACCCATCTGCATTGGTCGTATCCGGGGCAAGCACTGCACTGTCCTGAGGAATCTGGAGCTCGACTCTAATCTCTTTGGGTGTTCCAGCCCACGAAGGCGATTTGGATGGGCCTCTGCTAAGTCCCTCCGGATTGGCCCCTTATCGTAACATGCGACGGATTACTGGACGGACTGTGGACGATGGCCAGGCCGTTCGCCGTTTCAGCGTTGTTCTGGGTAGCAATCTTCGCTGCCTTTGTATACGCAAGCCTGGTTTACGATTGCATGTCATTCACCAGCTGGATGAGGTGGACAGTTAGGAAAATTTCTTCATCCGTTTCTCTTTCCCATGTGCGGATCAGGTCCCACTGAACGTCGATGCAAGGAAAGTATCGCAGGTAAGTTCTTGCAGTAATATTGATTAGCAGTATCAAGCATTGCTACGGATGCGGAACATGTCCTGGTTGACTTGTTGCTGAACATGAGTCTACTCTTTAGTTGTAGCATTATCCAAGGTTTGGTCCCAGACTTCCCGTGTGCGTCCAAGATTCTCCCTTGCTCGGCCAAACTGCGTGTCCATGCGGCTAAAAATGGTTTAGGCTCAACCTCGTAACGAGCTTAGGATGTCAAAGTCAGCCCACAGCTGAATAGGGCAACCCACGAATACGAGTCAATTATCGCGGTGCGCTCCGCAACACGAGAAAGACACGCAACATAATAGAAATGCAAATAAAACGGCGTTCAGCTAGCTAGAAACCATGAGGACGCCCGTAGCCTCTACGAAACACAGCATAATCTCGATCATCCTTCTCTTCGCAGTGTACTGCATTCCAAAGATGCTCGCCCTCGCCCTCGTTCCCCTCATAGTATTGCCTCTTGCTCTCGCCCATCCTACGGCTACGACTGCATTCGAAGTCACCAACTTGTATACATTCGAGCCGTCGGGGAGGGACAACGTCTCAGTGTATCGCGTTGCGTTCAATGTTACGGATCCGAGTGATGGGTCTGCGACGGCTTGCGAGACGACGTGGCCGTATGCAGTGTGGGATACTGGATATCCTCATGACTTTGTCCGTGTGGGCCCTCCTATCTGCTTTAGCTCGCCGTGTTAACAGCTTTAGCTCGCAAATTGCACAGACAAAGCCTGGTCATTCAAATTTAGCGATTATCAGAATGTGTGGGACTTTGTGCTTGACGTGAAGCATGTGAGGTGAGCGGCTAATCCTGGGTTCACCTGATGAACAGAGATTGATGTGGAGTAGCAGAAAGACGAACGGAAAGAAAATTAAGCGCTTTGCGAAGGGCACTGTGGATCCTGAGAATGTCCTGTTGTGCACGCATGCAGGCTCGGGGTTTTCGATTTGTACGCAGAGGGAAGGGGTGGCATTTCCGTTGGTTGTGTACAAGGAGGTAAAAGTTTGAGGGGTTGTCGTGCAGGTTCAGATGGGTGAGGCAGTGAAAGTCTTCCGGATGTGCGAGTACAGGGATATTATTTGCTACATTTGTGTTCAGAAATACGTACAGAAACTGAAATTCTCCTTGCCACTATAATTGTATCTTCATCAGTAGGTAGAAAGCTATTCACGTGGGCTGAAAAGAAATCTCAACTATCCAAAGTCCTAGTCTAAAATTAAACTCAAAAACTGCTGGGCAGTCTGAACACGAATTCGAGTGTGAGTTCGCTTAAGATCCACCTGGTCACTGTACAATATAAAAGGAAATTCATAAGACTCCACTGTGAACCTCTGAGGATCATAAAACATGCTGAGATTACAAACGTATGGTAGAGCGAGTTGATATAGATAGAGTAAGGTGCGCAGCCACATTTGTGTCGGTCACTGCGGTCGGAAGGACAGCTCTAGACGATCAAGTAGCCTCATGACCTTGAGAGTGCATAAGTCGGTCCATTGGCTCTGTGACAAAAGGCAAAAAGCAGAGGGCCTGACAAATACCAAGAGTGCAGCGACACACGCAACTTGCTCATCGAGGCAGAACAGAAGCAAAAAAAGATTCCCGTAACCCGCTCGTATGAGCGGACGATGTTGATGAGAGTGGGACTCGAACCCACGCCACTTTCGTGACCAGGAAATGATGTTAAGATGCTCCTTAACCTGGCGCCATAACCAACTCGGCCATCTCACCGATCTCTGAGAGATGCTTGATGAGAAATATCTTCAATTTGAAATATATAATGCTAATCAATTAAGGCTTAGGAGGCCGTCAGATGCAGTGGTTGGGTGCTGTTCGATGGGGGACATGCAAAAATTTGGCTGGGTGCGGGGCAGATACACAGGACCATCCGCACCAGTGGCTCGGCTCCGAAGGCAGAAAATTTGCACGCGACACGACACACTTCAGTAACGAGCCACACAGTGTTCGATGATGATTGGAACCCCATAGGCGGACTCTACTATGAGCAATCTCGCTCATTCATCATACTATACGTTTACAAACGCATATTAAAGCAAGTCAATGCAGGACAAGGCAAGCGCCCAGTGTCTTATTTCTTGTATCGGTTGCAGCGCAAGTGTCATTCAAGTATGTGGGAAAGCTGTGTTGCTGTGCAGTTCTATTACTCCTGTCTCTTTTCACGAGATATTCTGAGCTAAAGGTAGCTTTGCTCACTTACCAATCGCTCTTCTTATACCATTTGCACCTCTATCGGCCCAGGGCCTTGCATTATATCAACCAAAGGATTGATTATGATTATTCTTTCACAAGCATGTTTGACTCAAGGACAGAGGATGTCCACGTGGGTACTTGACAAGCTCATCTACCAACGACGCTTAGGATTGAATTCACGTATATAGTGACACTGACTTCTCATTGGCTTGTTACCACACAGCTTTCTATCACAGCTTTCACGCATAGGATCGAGATCCAAGCCTAATCACAGGCATGGTAGTGACACTGACTGCAGCAATGTTGGTTTGATCTGGGTTAATATTCATATGGTTCCCGTAACCCATACCTCGCCATTCAAATCACGAGCGCAGAATATTTACCCAAGGAAATGCACTTGCAAGAGATTGCAACGCGGAACGTGCGTTGTCATGGATATCCCCGCAAATCTGTGTGGACTTGGAATGTACGCTATTCTTTACTTATATACGCACGAGGATTCGCCGAGGTGGTACATTCGGATAGCGGATAGCGGTGAGCGGCGAAGAGATGTTTCACAGCGAGAATCATATACTCTCAGAATTGTACGCACGGCAGACATGTATTGGGTCGCTACAGTCTGCTCGTTTTCCGGAAATGGCTAGGACGTCAACTCAGCTTTGGAATAGCGAGCTGGCAGCCCATGCGACCTTCTCAAAATGTTTATAACTCCTGCTCATTCTATTCCAACTCGGTCTATCAATCAGCCAAAAAAGCGTGACCGCAACATGCATCATCTCCGTGATACACTGCTCAGTCCTTCACCAAAAGGCCCACCTGAGCTCAGCATGGCAGGCGATACAGTTCGAGATCAACAAGACACGCGCGAATGCATCGCTCATGGCGAGCTCAAGGAGGTTCGAGGAGCAGCCTTCTATCATCGAACTTCGATCGTTACGGGGCGATACGCAATATCGGAGACGGAGTAGACGCCCTGGAAGACTATCTCCACTCCCTGTGATACATGTATCACCAGCTTGGTCGCCATACATCACACGAAACGACAGCTGACGATCGCTTGGTCCTCGACATCTCCGCATACAGGGACTTGGTCCGCTGACTAGGCCTGCGCGCGGAGTTTACGGACTCGACATAGCTCGCACGGTTGAGGGCACGCTTTGGAATGATTTGCTATTCCTGGTCACTGACATGACCGACTATTGGATCAACAATCGCGCGTCTATGTCGTGTGAACAGCGCTTGAATTTGGCGACCTTCTTAGTTAAACTGGCGTCAGCCCGTGTTAGCAAGGACAGAGTGTGCCAGATAGCTCTCCTTCTGTTCCGCTGGGCCTTTGGGGAGGGACGAGAACTGACCTCTGCAGAGGATTCCGACGGGAAAAATACGCATCGAAGCATTTCAATGCTCGTTGTCCAGCACCTGATACCTTCTGCTTGTGCGTGGATCAAGGAGGCCGGTTACAATCTGATACTACTCTCGGATGTCCCTTGGAACGATTGCCCAAGCACTATTAGTCGGGGTGGCCCGATGTTCGTAGAATCAGAGTTTGGAAAGCGATCGCCGACTGGTTTCACGCCATGGAGATGGATGTTCTAGCTCAAGCGTCTGCACGAGACTCAGGCACACCTTACCCCAAGTCTGCATGTGCTGCATGTGCTAGGCGGCGCTCCAGGGTGGTGGAATTTGTTGAGTGTGGCCGAGTTGACTGGGAGTCATAGTACATCAACAACGATTGCGCCTCATGTTGATTGTCCACGTATCTTGCAAGTCACTATGCTTCCAAGCAGAAAGAGCCCAATTGCTGAACAGCATTGTACCGATTGCCCATAGGCGCGATGAGTGACGGATGCCATTTACGCGCGTTCGCCCGGTTGCACCTGCCATTCCGAACATTCAATCCCGAGCCCCACCTTCCCCAACAACTCTAGCGTCTGAGCCCCTCGGTGACGTCACCCCTCACCACTTCGTCCGCCTCCCACGGTGCTCATACATAAACCAAGGCTCTTATCGGTCACGCGCAAGGGTGCATAAGTCTGCATAAATACCTCCCTACACCTGTGTTCATACTCACATCCAGATACCCCGGACCACGAACCATATACTACACCACGAATCCCCTACAAAGAACCCTTCTCAGGCGAACCTTCGCAAGCCAATCTACACGCAGCATGCCTCTCGTCGTCCCCGGAATTCAGAGCAAGGGTGGAGAGCAGATCGATGAGTGGACGAACAAGTTGATGGGCAAGAAGATCGGTGACAACCACGATGAAGTTGTACGTGCTCCCCCGAATGTATAGTTGGCATCCCCGCTCCTGCGTTCGCAGGCCTGTCTGTCGCCCCGTCTGGATATTATTACCAATGCTAACTGTCGTATTGGACAGACCTTCGCGAAGAAGGATCTCCCCTCGGAGCACCGTGTCCTCCAGCCCGACTCGATGAGCACCATGGACCACAAGCCCGACCGCCTCAACATTCACGTCGATGAGCAGGGCACCGTCAAGAACGTCCGATACGGTTAAGCATTCTCTATCACGATCGCAATGCGCATGATACTATGAGCTAGGAGTTAGGGTGGATTGCCTAAGCGTATTCATGGACGATGCACGCTTGGACCAGTGTTCACGGATATGCATCAGGCTCATACGAGTTAGTTTCTTGATGTGTATTCGTAGTATATCCGATGTAATGGAACCATGACTTGCTGAGATACTTGGCCCACCTTTTGTATTGCACAGGCACAGCTTTTCAAGCCAAATCCAAGAAGACGAATGATAAGAACCCTCGCTCACGCGTTTCCACCTGACAGTCAAGCATATTTGCTTCTCGCCACGGGACCGCAATTCTACACCTTGACAATACCTGCAATTATATCCCTCACCTTGATAATCATATGTTGATGGATTTTGCCTTGTGATTATTATTGGGTCTACGAATTTCTGTGCTGGCGTGAGAAAGCCATGGATGAGCCCCGAGAGTCTTAAAGCTTTGAGGCGAAACATCAGACATGACACCAAAAGAGTAATTGAATGATCATGTGACAATTCACCAAGAACAGGTTGCTGATCACGTGGCATTATATGTCAATGCCAAAGAGATCCATACGAGCAGACGAACGAGCCTTCCACTTAAATGATCTAGATAGGACGTTCGTTCCAATCTATGTACTATGAATCTGAAAGACTTCGCCTGTACACATTCAGACTGCAAATCAAAAATGAAACCATTCTTCTCACGACATCCGTTCGCACTCAATACAATGACCGCAGCTGCTAGCCGGCTGGCCGCAAAATGTCCAGCTATCCCTTCTGAGACAGTCAATTGCGTCAACAACTACGCTGCAGTTCTCCCTCTACCGTTACAACGTCCGTCCCCAATCAACCAAACATACAACCCTCTGGATCGTTTCAGCAACGCCTCCGTTCCCGACTCATCAGTCCCAGCTCGTTCGTGACGCAACCTTTATCATTTACGACGACGCCAGGGATCCCGAAATACTTGGCAAGTCACCAACTCTTGACATCTTGTTCACGGTGGACAATGTCTTCCACGAAGCTCCAGTCTATATGCCGGAGCTAAAGACAATTACTGCTTCGTCATCGGAGCAACACGCTCTATCCCAGACAATAATTGATCTGGACTGCACACCACCAACATCATCGCCTTTCGAACCGGAATAGCCAGTGTACGCTGTGAATGGGGGTCAATACTTCAGCGATACCGTATACTAGGCGGTCGTAGGTGGGTCGGTAACCCTAAATTCCTCGACCACGTTCGAGAAAGTTCCTGGCATTTACATGCTTGACCCGATCACCCGCAAGACCCAAACCATTTTGAACAACTACTTCGGACAGCGCTTCAACAACCCAGATGATACAGTATCCGACTCCACAGGCAATATCTTCTTCACGGATCCGTTGCACGAATCTAATCTGAATCTGACACAAAACACACCATTTTGCGCCAGCAGAAGTATCGCTTTCGTCCTTCCCCAGGTGCTATGGGTATTGCTGATGGCAATATCGGCATTTCAAAAGGTATTACGCTGTCACCCGATGTGCGCACGTTGTTTATCCCAGACACGTCTGTCACCAACTTCACAGGCTTGGATCCGAATGTCCTACCGTGTTACCCGTGGGGTACGACATCAGGAAAATCCTTGTACGCATTCGAAACTGTCGACTCGCCTGCTGAAAAGTACTTGGTCAACAAGCGGCCGATATGGTATCCTGAAGAGTTTGCAGTGGGCGGTCTGCACGTTGCCAGTAACGGGTATCTGGTCGGAGCATCGGGATTTGGCGTTGATGTGCTGAGTCAATGGTGAGAGCTTCTGGTCAGGGTGCAGACTGATTCAATCGCTAATAACGTGCAGGTGTAAAGAAGGACTTGTGTGTTTTCGGACAGGGCAAGATTGCTCGGGTTGAGTGGAAGTTGGAGGGTTTGGCGGAGCGAGAAGTTGCATTATCTTCGAGGAATAGGTTGTTAAGTTCTTAGTCCTTTTGCGATGTCCGCGAATGCCTGGACGCCTTTGCGCCCCAAAGCGGTTCCTACGCCCACGGCCGTTGCGCCTACGGCTCTCATCCTCTTATAACCCTCCGCATCTTCAACGCCACCTACGCCAATGATCTGAATTTGGCTCAGCTCGTCATGCTGGAATAATAAGCCTTTGATCGTGTAGACATTGCCTAAGGCAATGGGATGCAAAGGGGCGCCAGCCAAGCCTCCGATTCCAGTCCCGTTTGCGGAGTTGAGAACATGATGATAATACTCATGCGGTGCGGGGGAGGAAGCTGTGGGCTCAGCGATCGGATGTAGAAGTAGGGAGGAGCCGAGCGTGTTGGTGGCTGTTATGAACGATATTGGACAGGGAAGGTGAGCCGGCTCCGCTTTTGCGGATCCAAGCAAGGCATCGATCATTGCTTGGTATTGATCGTGATAAGTGTAAGGAGGTGTTTTGATGCCAATCTGTGGTAGTACCATAGTCAGTATAGCTTGCAACAAATGCACCCTGGCTTGCATACCGGGACATGAGTAGTGCCAACATGCGTATGCTTCCCTGGTAATACCGGCTCTACTTGCCGCGCAATCTCCTGCTTCAAAGCGGCAAGATAGGCTAAAAGAGCTTTCGAGCTATAAGCTGGTGGCGGCTTTCCTGGAATGTTCGGACAAGAGAGATTGACTTCCATCGCGAGCGCCATGCGGACATGATTCTGCTGTTCATGTATCTGCCTATAGCACTCAACAACCTCCTCCACCGCCCCTGTGACTGAAACAATGAAAGGCTTGATGCGGCTTGTGCTAGTCGATGTTCCTGTCATATGATCCGATATAGTCTTGATGAAGCCTAGATACTGTTTTAACGGTAGAGGGCTATAGCCGAGCGTGTTCAAACTGCCGCTTGCGTCTGCCGTCTCTTGCCCAGTCGGATTTGCGCTGCCAGCTTCATGTGTAGATGGGCTGAAGAATGCAAATTGGTGAATCTTCTCATCGTTGGGGAAACCTTCAAGTAACGACGTCCTGGTAGTTACGGCACCAGTGCTGGGGCAGTCGTAGAGCTCTTGCAGTTGCTCGAGCGTGGAACACCATGGATTTGCTGAGTTGAGTAACGGAGGCTCAATATGTAACGATTTCGAATGCGCGTCCATCCTAATTGGAAAGCAAAATCACGAATGCTTGTTCCCAGAATCGCTCGAAAGACGCCGCGTGACAGTTGGTAGCTTGAGGAGGGGATCGCTCAAGGGGCTGCGGTGAGAGATTCCTATTCTCCTCCTTCTTCTAGACAAATAAAGCTAATGTTTAGGTGTTTAATAGAAGTGATGCAAACCATTGGAAGATGCGTTGGTGGCCAGATAAGAGTTGACAGGAAGGTGGGGTGATGGTCACACGTGATCTCGCGCTATTGAGCACTAGCCCGGGATTCCTCTTTGAACCCTCCGAGCCGTGAACAGCACCTCTGCTGTACAACAACACTACCAATTCGACATGTACGAGTATTGCGAAAGTCAATGAGATCACAATCCTAGCTAGCGACCTCAAGATGAAGTATCCTTCGAGGGTAGAGAGATGAGATATCACGCAGTCCGAGGAGCAGCACCATGTCAGAGCTTGGAACGTCGAAGAGAAAGCGGCGCGGTGGGCCGCGCAGGAAAACAGGTATGTCGCTCGAGAATGATCAACTCCATTGCTAAACAGCGTGTAGGGTGGTATGTAATACTTCAAACCTCCAACGGTGGTCGATTGATTAGGTATCTGACCCAGTCTCCAGCCATACCTGCAAGGCTCGGCACAGTCGCTGTGACGAGAAGAAGCCTGTCTGCAGCAATTGCGAGCGACTGAATTTGGAGTGCAAACAGTCCGATTTCATCGCGCCGTCCTCATGGAACAATACACCTTCGGAGCCTACGCCTCCTGCTCCTACCCCAGCCCTGCAAGTGACTATGGATGAAATGCAATTACTTCCTGTTCAGGCGCAGGAATCCCCAGAGCGCACCCTATTTATGAATTTCGAACAACCAGCTTCTACATGGGACATCTTCAGAACCAGGATAGACGGCCTAGATCAGGTATCAGACGAATCACCGCCCAATGATGTGTTCACCCAGCTCAATCTCGCGGTCCCCCGGTCACCGATGTTGACCTCTCCTTCTTCTCTGTCTCCCGAGGCTCCAGTGTCTCTGACAGCTGAGACTGCTTTTCTATTACAAACGTATCTACGAACGGTTGCGAGGTGGATGGATCTCATGTGCCACAGTTCCACCTACCAACTCATAATTCCTAAGTTGACGCTAACGTCGCCCCTGCTCTTCCACTGCGTATGCGCTTGTAAGGTTCACGATCTGTGACTTGGAAAGCTCTATCTAACATATAATCCAGTCACGGCCAAGTACCTTGCCCTTTCCAACCGTCGCAGTACTAATTGGGATTCTACGGCCCGTCATCATTACGGCCTGGGACTTCACCACCTTATCCATGCACTGAACACGCCAAACCATCAACACGCTTTGACCGCGACTATTCTTCTTTCCAGCTATGAGATCATCGCTGGCATCGCTTCTGAACATCACCGCCGTCACATTCTCGGTCAGACTATGCTCATCAAACACCATAACATCAACGCGCAGTCCACCGGAATGGACAAGGCGAATTTCTGGATCCATGTGCGACACGAGATTGGATTTGCGCAGACGACAGGGCGACCGTTGATCCTGGACCCGGAAGAATGGAATGTCCATTGGGAGGAGGGCGAGACGCGAGAGGATGTGCTAGGAAATCACGTCCTCTGGATACTCGCGCGCGTTCTCTGCCTGATATACGGCGATGAAGGGTCCGCGGCATCCGGGAAGCGAAAACGTATCGCGTTCCTGCAAGAGCTTGAAGAGTGGCGCTCCAGCCTATCCGACACCTTCATCGGCATTCCTTACGGTGAAGCAGACGCCGAGGGTTTCCGTAAGGTGTATTTCACAGTCACGGCGGCCGCGGCTGCCGCATTCTGGTACCATGTCACACATATCCTGCTCTATGCCGAGCCTACGCTACAAGACGAGAGCTATACGCCTCTTATTCAAGACCAGGCAATGCGACTGACGAACATTGCGATTTCGGAGTTCCCAGACTCACTGAGGGTGTTTGCAACACATGGGCTGTTCTTCGCGGCCAAGCATATACAAGGCATAGCGCGGAAAGCACGCATCTGGAATATACTGAATGATGTCGAGGCTGAGCTTGGGTACCATACGCGTAGCATGGTTAAAAGGCTTCAAGATCTTGTGGAGCAGGGCTCGTGATTAGTCAACGCTCGGCCCTATTGCAGTAAATCTCGCGTCCAGATGCACGTACTTTTGAGGTCAGACGGGTAGGCTAGGAAAGCCACGTCTGTTTCAGATGCGAAACCCTTCGTAGCCATGCTTTGGTCGCTGAACGATGATCGATCACTTGATGTATTGTTGCTACTCGTAGCGACTCAAGTGGTCCAGAAGTTATGCAGAAACGTTGCGATGCAGATATAGGGATTCAGTCCAGGGATTTCAGGAAGGCTGAAGTCAATACTGGCGACAGGGTGGGCGTGTATTATACTTCAAAAATCATTCTGTATTGAGGCAGACCCCCGACCAAAAGCAATTTATCGGTTCGCCTGCCTATCCTTTAACGTACGCCAGATGTCCGTGCTCAGCAGATGCGACGCGGTGTGCACTTTGGCCCCCTTCCCAAACTCCTCGCTACTCCAGAATATACTTTGCCGGTTGAGCAGCGCAGCCATTCTAGGAAGGTGGTGGCTGTAACAGAAGTATTGTTTCGCTTACTAGGAAACTCTGACATCCTTGAGAGCAACGTGAATGACAAATCACGATGTGCGTAACTTAGCCAACTGTTTCGACAATCGAAGTATTCAAGTAGTTCCTTCGAAATGCATGTAGCACAGCAAGCAAGGTTTTATGTAGCAAAGAACGAAGAAATCCTAATGTAGTTTGATAACGCTCAAACGGATGGCCTTCATCAAGGCCTTTGAATTGAGCATTGTTGAAGAGGTTGCCTTGCCAGCTCAAGAATGCGATTCGGCAAACAGGCGGTCTGGCTGTTGCTACAACGGTCATGGCCCTGCAGGCACTCATGAAGCCACTTCAAGACGGTTTGAGTTGCATAGTCTGATGCAGTATCCTGTAGAAGCAAAGGTCGCTGGCCTATAGTGGCCCATAGAGGCTCGACAGGTATATCAGCTGATTAGTCGGGCATGTCAGCAAAACGAACAAGATTGTCGATACATTTGGCCTTCCAAGATGGGTACTTTCGCCTGTTTCGATGGAAACCCTTGTTAAGGGGTTCGTCATGCGTACCAGTAGATCTGAAAACTTCCAGGGCCCCTGAGCGAGATCTATCGTCTCCCTCGACACTCATATTTATCTGGAACTTGGGGAACCCGTCACCGCAAGATACGGCGTCGAAGTCCAAGTCCAAGACCCATGTTTCTTGCCCAATAGCGCGGAAGTTTTCGAATATATTGATAATCAAACTACAATCTCGGCAACCCACGTGTGCTGTTTCTCGAAGCCGCTCTACTTTTAAGTTTCTGACAAAGTAGATACTGCGCAATTCACCATATTGCTGTATGTTCGCACAGCAACGCGTAATGGCCGATTCGCATTCCTTGCAAGGCGTTGCTACAAAATCGTCGTCACTATCTGGAGAAGGGGCATTGTCGCTATTCATGTCTTCAATGGCCGTGGTATCGCAAACGTCGACGGTCTCCGATGCAACGCTCAAGTTCTTCATATTGAAGCTGCTTGTGGGTCGAAGGCCGTTGGTTGTTCAATCAGGCTGTGCTTCTCGAGGCAGCAGTAAGGCTGCCAAGCAAAGTGCATGCATGCTGCAAGCCACTATGCGCGTCAGCTGTGCGCAGTGCCTTTGCCCAATGATCTGGATTGAGTTATCGGGACCCAGGATAAGCAAGGATTCCAGAATGGCAGAGCATGCAGAGCGAGGAATGTTTGCGACCGAATCGAGGTGGAGACGCTAGGGCCCGAACTAAAGCTTAGTCATGCTAAACGCCCCCTCTAGGCGTAGTGTTGCTCCTCCGAGCCTGACCACGCAAGCAAGTCCTGCCTGCAGCGACGAGGACTATAACTGCCCACGATGCATTCAATGCGCCGGCTCTCTCCAGCTAACCCGCCACTGATCACAGCTGACTGTAGGCCATTTCCCAGCCGATCGCTCCAACCGAAACACTCAGCGTCGCCCACTATTTCCGTGCCTACTGTCCACGATGCCTGTCACCGAATACTCGCGCCTCACCCTCAAACAAGGGCTCAATAAAGAGCAGATAATTTTCGCAAAGCGGGGCCTTTCCCGCGCGAAGAAGCTTATGGAGGACTTTACAGGCCACGACTTCCACATCTTCCAAGAGGTCGAGGACCCGGACCACATATACATTGTTGGCCAGTGGGCGTCGGTGGAGCAGCATATGAAATCTTGGATACCGTCGGAAGCGAACCAGGGTCTGCTGAAGGACCTAGGGCCTCTTGTCGATGTGGATTACCTGTTTCACATCGTCGTGTCCTTTGGTTCGATCCCTCCTAGCGAAAAATCACCCGTGTTCAGCATTGGGAGGCATGTGATGGAGAGCGAAAAGCGTCCCGATTTTGAGAGCACGTTCGAGAGCCGCAGACACGGCTTAGAGATGCACGCCCCGGGTTCAATTAGTGGTGGATGGCGTATTGAGAAGGAGCCTGGCAGAGAAGAGTTCGTTCTCTTTACTCCCTGGAAGTACGTCTCTAGAAGTATTCACTAATACCCTGACTCCACTCACTTTTCGACTGCCGCTGACTCGTATCCGCTGTTGTAGGGAGGTGGACCAGCACAAGGCTTTCGCGAAGACTAAAGACTTTGAAGGATATGTCGAGATCAGCAATCACCTTCTGCTCGATGCTACCGAAATACGTCATGTAGCACTCATGGAACTGCCGCAATCATAGGGTAGGATGGGGTTGAGCTGACTTTTGGGCTCTAAGCATTTCATCAATGGTATCTTCATGAATGCCAGATTGCCCCTCATTTGCACTATTATGCGTGGCTACGTTGAGCATGAAGCTAACTATTCCTCCTTCAACGAGAGCGACTCTTCGCTTTCCGGTGCTCACTTGAATTCAAAGCAGCAGGTGCTTGGTTGCGTTCTTATCACGGTAATTTACGCAAGACCGCATGAGTCATACGTGTTGCTGTTGCCTGCTAATTGCATGCAGCCTAACCCAGGTACTGTACAGTGTGCGGTAGGATACATATAAAAATTATTTGTGAACCCGTTTTTTTCGCAATGCACTTAACAGACATCGCTCACATACAAATCGATACGTTGAAACCAGACACAGTGTCGTCTTCGCCATCACCTAATCACACAATTCTTCGTAGCATTCCCAACTCGCCTTCACCATTCCCAACTCGCCTTCACCATTCCCAACTCGCCTTCACCATTCCCAACTCGCCTTCACCATTCCACCGTCCCTGAAGTCTCTTTCTCTCCCACCCCAAACATGCCGCTCATCCTCTGCCCCCTGACCACCGCCGACACCCTCTCCTGGACCCGCATCCGCACCATCGCCTACCACGGCCCCCTCCACACCCTGACCCACACGCAGCCTCTCTCCAAATCCTCGATCCTTGCTCTAGCGCACGCCCGAAAGACCGAAATCGGCAAGCCAAATGCCTGGCACTGGAAAGTCGTCGACACGGAACTCTCACCCGGCGAGGACGACCCTATCGACAACAGGGGTCGTACGATCGCAATCGCCATATGGAGCGCGCACAATGTAGCTGGACCGAACGACACGTCAAAATCCAGTGGCGAAGAAAAAGACGCCTCCTTTGTCCCACCAGAACTCCGCCCCGACGTGCTCACCGCGGTGCTCACCCCGCTGCGTGCGGCGCAGGATGAGATCATGGGAGTCTCGACTCCTTACTTAAAGCTGGACAGTCTAGCGACGCATCCAGAGCACCATCAACGGGGTGCGGGCAAGATGTTGCTGGACTGGGGCGTTGAGAAGGCGGATGCGGAGGACTGGAAGACGTACTTGGATGCGACGCCTGTAGGGCTCAAAAGCTATGAGCGAGTTGGGTTCAAGATTGTGAGGGAGGTGAGGTTTGATCGGGGCGCATGGGGTGGTGAAGGGGAAGATTGGTGGGGGTGTATGGTTAGGGAGGTTGGTAGGAGTTAAGTTATGATGCAGGTTGCAATGACGTTTGCATGTGAAGCGCATTATATATTAAGCGACATGGGGATTAAATCTAATGCTGGGACTGGATCAGGTACACGCCATCTTACAATGGTCTCGCCGAATGCTATGCGCCAAACGCTGCCGCGCGCTGAATAACATAATGTTGAAAACGGTCAATCCCTCTATGCATCTAAAAGTCTTTCTTTGCGTGCTTGCTCCTCTTCCTTAGCCTCTCTCCGAAAATGTACAAGACAAACGGAATCGGTATGAACGCTATGCCCAAGAAAGCAAGCAGACTACTCGCCCAGTTCACACCCAATTTCCTATACATTGCACTCGCGAAGAGAGGGAAACCGGCGCCAAATGCGCTGCGGAAGAGATCATTACCCGCAAAGACACTCGCCGTATATGCCGGATACGCATCCGACAAATACGGCAGCACCGATTGAAACAGCAAGAATGCCGCAACACCGAACATACTGGACCCGACGATAGGCACCATCCAATGTATCGACTCGCGACTAGTCCAGCCGAACCAGAACAGACAAATGGGCACAAAGAAGCCGCCAAGCATAGCGGGCTGTAGACGAATCTCGGGCTTGATCTCGCCGTTTTCGTTGAACTGTTTTTCCTGGTAGAAGTAGAGGTAGAAGAATAGGCAGACCATGGCGACAAGGGAACCGACGAGGATGCCGAGGAAAGCGAGGCCTTCTTGGCCGAGGTTGAAGCCGTAGATCTCGACAAAGACGATGGGGAAGGACTCGAACCAAATGTAGAGTAGGCCGTAGATCTGCGGGGGTTAGCTTTGAGAAGAAAACAAGCAGTGGGGTCTTCATTGCATACCAGGGCGATATACAGGTTCAGGAGGAAAACCATCGGCTCGGTGAGTGTGAGGCTGATGGGACGGATGATTGTCATTTGAAAAATCTTGAAGCGCTGTCAGCACCGCTAACCGTGTATCGCTCAATGGTGAGGGCCTTACATCTTTGCCGGTCATTTGTTCGGCGACGAGTTCGGGCTCGCAGATGAACTTGTCATTGCCTGTGAGCTTCCGGAGTCTGCTCGTGCGGCGATAGAGAATATTCTGGGAACTTGTCTCGGGGAGCAGGAAAAACAAAAAGACCCAGCAGAAGCCGGACAGCCACATCAGTTCCCAGATGGGCCATGTCCAGCCTTCGGCTTGAACGGCAAAGCCTCCAACGAGAGGTCCCCTAAAGATCGAGTCAAGTCAGCATAGGTCACATGAAACAGACAGTTGCTCTTTCATGTCGCAGAAAGATGCATACACTTGGGATCTCCAGCATTACTTACAAGCAAGGCCCGCAGACGGCGCCGATACCCCAGATGCTAAGACCGTAGGCCTGCTTCGAGGGGCGGTACATATCAGCGATTGTGGCACCACCTGTGGCAAGTGCAGGAGAACCGAAGAATCCCGTGAGAAATCGGAAGGCAAGCAGCATGCCGAAGTTTGAGGCGAGTGCAGTGGGAATCTGGAAAAGCACGAACACCACTACGAAAGCATTAGTGGCGCCGAAAAAAATATCAAGGAATATCAAGGAACGCAACGTACGGAGTGTCGCTATGTAGATCGGATTGCGTCCGAATTGCGGAATCTCACTTAGAGGAGACCAAATAAGCGGACCGAGACCATACCCGGCAACGAACAAAGTGAGACCAAGTGTAGCAGCGACCTGGCTCACACCGAACTCCGCCATGACACCCATGAGGCCGGGAGTATAGATTGCAGAGCCGATGTAGATACTGAACGTCAATAGAACGATCTCTCCTGTTACAAAAAACTTCTTGGGTTTCGACCAGTTCCTGGGATGCTGGATGGTTATCAGTATTGTGACTGTGCTATGGTTGTGGTAAAGACGTACTTCAGGGTCGTTTGGCCCATACCAATCAACCAGATTCTTATCTTTTCCCTTCTCTTGATCGACCATGACCCCACTGGCTTCGTTCATAGTTGTGCTAGTTGCCATCGAGGCACGCGAGTCTGCCGGGCTGTCACCCTCAGCATCTCTTATGCGGACACCTCTAGCGTTCTGCAACTCATGCCGTGCCTTGTCGTCTTCTGGCGGCTCAGTTGTGCCGTGATGCGCGAGATAGGCAGACTTCTCCTGATTCAAGTACTGCTTCCAGTGCTCTGGGTCCTGTTCTTCCGGATACTGCAGTACACGGTTCTTAGTGATGAGCCGCAGGATCTGGCCAAATGCCGTGTCGCGGATGAGGTGCCCGACCGTCATGAGTGACTATGAAGCGCTGCTTCCGATATCTGACAGAAAAAAACGTTAATTAGAGTATCAACATCAATACAATTACGCGTCCGGGCGCGTAGCTTTTCATTAAGTCTCTCACACGCGGCATGTCGTCATATCCTACCCTTCACTGTTACCACATCACGCCTACTTCTTCCTCGGCCTCTGCTATCCGTGAGAGTATCGGTCCAGATCTGAAAATGTTCCGATGCATTCGAAGATTCAGGACTTGGCGAGACATCCATGACGCGGGTAAGGTACGGGCAAGATCGGCGCTAGTGCATGCTAATATCTGCTGCGCGTCTGTGATAGGACTCGCGCGGAGGCTCAAAAAGCTTGAGAGAGATTTGGCGTGCTTGTGTGCCGTGGTTGGATGCGCTTCTGGAAGTTCTGTTGACGAGATCAGTGAGGATGGGTAGGTGAGGAAGGGCTGCCGAAGAGCGCCGACGTATGACGTTGTTGTGTCGATGCAATTTGAACGACTTTCAAGCAGCCCGAACTTTGACCTTTAATCGAGCGATACATGCTTTTTCTAGTGGGAAAGACCAATCGAAGATCTCTTGACGTTTTCTAATCTAATCAATCATACCCGTCTGTGCGTGCTGCGGTGCAGTGCCGCAGGCCTATCCTTCACCGGCCTCCATTCTGTCGCGATCTTCCCCAACTCGACTAACCGCCGACGATAATCATCCTTCTTTAACTTATAATACATTTCTTCGAATGAGTATGTCTGCCCAGGTGGTTCCACGTGAAAACCCGTATCCCCTCATCCTTGATCGCTAGGCTATCCAACAGTGCTTTCTCCACGCCCGTGTGCATATATTTTCCATCCACATGCATCTCGTACGCGACGACTGCACCAGCATGATCCTGGGAATACCTTGAGGAACCAAGGCTTTGTTCTGTATGGGATGCGTAAATAATGAAGCCAAAGAGGTCACTATCTGCGAGCATGGCCGCTCGATACTGTTGAATCGGTGGTTCCGACAGTCCGTGGCAAGATCTTAGTAAGCTAGCACATGGATACGGTGAAACTTCCCGAAGGCTTGGTAGTAGTGCGTAGTTGCTGGCCTCTCCTTCACTGATGTAAAAGTCGAGCTTGTCGTGTTGGGTCGCTTGGTCTGGCGACTCGAGCTGTACGATGAGGGTGCCTTTTTGAAACCGATTTTACATCTTAATTTATATATTCGTTCGGCATGTCATTGGTCCTTTCTTGGTTTGCTTGTTCACTTATTAGTCGTTCGTTGGAATCCACTCACCAGCTTTCGTCCGTCATGACAATCGAATGATGAAGCGTTTGACCGCGCTCGTAGCTCTAACACAGTAGCTGTTAGATCCGGTACCACGCATTGTCCTCTCGCCAAAACACCATAACGTCAGCCTAGCCAGCGCTCACACTGTTTTTATACATGGCCTTCTATACTGTGGTACGTTGCGCATTCCACTCCCCGCCTTTGCTCTATGCCTTCCAAATCTATCATTCTATTTCATTACCTCGCGCCTCCTTCTTTCAAACCTTGCCGAAGACTCTCTCCAGCAACAACCCCGCAAACTTCTCAGCTCCAGGACTCTCCACCGCCCTCTGGATCCGATTGCCCCTCCTAGCATCTCTCCATCCTCCCGCGTCACCAACAACCTCTTCGTCCAAGCTTCCCGTCAATCCCTCCTTTACCTCTCTCTCACGGCGATCAACTATGCAACAGCCGCGCGTCCACTGTCCGGATGTCTCAACCTACACGCCATTCATCAGCTCCTCACCCATCCATAACTTCTAAAGGAACAAAGAACTCACCCGCAGATCCTCAGTCACAAACTTCCACCCCTCATCCTCGGCCGCCATCGCATACCACACCGTTAGCGGATCATGCAAGTGCAGTCCAATCGTGTCGGCATCCAGGTGGCTATCCAAACTCGCAATCTTCCTGAACGTGCTCAGCAGAAACAGGCTTGCCCACTCCGTCAGCGGGCTCCCCTTCAGTGCGTCCGCTTCGATGTACTTGCTGTACAGTGTGCGCGGGAGGAGGTGCTGCTCTGTGATATCGAGCGGGAAGAGCTTGACGGTGAGCCGGCGCGAGAGGTTCTCTGGGTATGGTGGTAGCGCCTTCTTGCCTACCACCGGAGGGAGGGTTGTTTTGGGGTTGGGGGAGGTCAGGGCGTAGACGCGGGCGGCGGCGATGGAGTCGGCGTAGGTATTGAATTCGGCGCCCGGGGTCATCTGGTTACGGAGGTTAAGCTGGTGGCGGAGTGGGGTGGGGGTTGCTTGATGAGGTTGAAAGGAGTGATGGGGATGGAGGTGATGAGGGTTGAGGACAGTATGGAAAGGGTTGGTGGATGTGGTGGATGGTTCAGCGGGGCACGGCTGTATTGCAGCATCTCCCTGACCAGTGATGAAATCTTCAAACCGAATGAATATAAGAACTTACGTTTCCGGGCCAGTTCACAGCACCACCCATGACCACGACCTCCTTGACTCTTAGGAAAGCTTCGGGATCCGTAGCCGCAGCGATCGCAAGGTTAGTCAGAGGACCAATGGCAACGATGGTAATAGTGTCCGGCTCGTTGTCTCGTAGCAACTGCAGAATCACCTCATGAGCAGGCTTCAGCGACGGCGTAAAGAGCGAGTGCGTCTCCTTGACCTTCTGCAAGTCCGCGGCTTCTTCAGGACTGATAGGCTCTGGTGTAGGCTTGAAGAGGGACTTCCATGTCTCTTCTGGCGACAAGTGAGGGTGCTGTATCATCGAGTCAGTCGCTTCGTACCTTTGTTGACTTTGCGGGTAAACTTGCGCTATGGTGTATGCCCCCCAAGCCGTCGACGCCATCTGTCTCCAATAAGTCTTCCTGCCCCTAATTAATCAGGATTCCACTCACGAAAGAAATCAGCAACCATCATATGCTCAGCAAGCGGCTCTTCCGCTCCGACCGCCACTGCATCCCAATTAGCATCAGCATCACCATCCGCAATGTCATTGCGACAAGAACTCACCAATCGGTTTCCTTGTTGTCAAACCCTCGAACCCCTCAGGTCTCCCATTCTCCCTCCGCCACGCCTTCTCCTTTTCGATATAGTGGAAAAGCGTGACAACGTTCCTCAGACAGCTATGTGTCGTATCAGCATTCACCTTCCGAAAAGCAGAGCAAACTCAACGAGAGTGGGGTGGTTTCCTACTTCTGCACCTCGACATTTCCAAACGTCAAACTCAGCATCAAAACCTCCAGCTCTTCCGGCTTCGCTGCGAAAGCAAGCAGCATGGCGAGTACATCGTCGACGCCCTGTTTTCCTCTTAGTAACGGCACAACCACAACACCCCACTTCCGCGTTCTCGGGTTCGAACATACCGGATCCGTGTCTATTATAATCTTGCTGGGTGCCATTGCGTTTGTGGAACGTGAAGAATGAACAGGAAAAAGCAACTGAAAACGAGGGTGTTCCCGTAACGTAACACACTACATGGGAAAGGGTAGGAGGTGGTGCTAGCTTAGCATCGGCGGACTCGACGGCGACCTCCGAAATGCTTAGATAAGGTGCATCGGAGGTCTTTGGGCAAGGGTCTGCGAGGTCGGTCGGTGAAAGCAGCGCCGGGCGCTCCACTTTTCGGGTATGTACATACAGCATGTTGATGCAATGACGCGTCGTTTACGGCTGCATCGCTCAGGTACAAGTGTCCACATCACATCCAATCGCCACACACTCATAGGTAGTGTTGATAGAATTCTCGGCCCACGGGCCGATGCATTTCATTTCAAAGAAATCCAAATCTCGCGCATATTGCTAACGCCATACTGCTGCTGGACAGTAGATTCTACACAAAGCCAACGCTACCACTGACTCCATGCTAGTAGCTTGACCCAAGTTTTTCCCAGATTCCTTCTTGCATCCTGTGCTTGCTCCTTGGGCGGTTATACCTGATTGCCGCCCTTGCTCGTATTGAATAGTTGTGATGAAATGAATTTCAGGTATCACATATGTCGTCCAAGCATGCCGTGACGCTGGTTCGTAAAACGTAGTGGAACGCGAGAGGTTGTCTAGTAGACCTTCTTCTTCTCGTCGACGGAGAATTGACCGGGGCCCATGTTGACCAGGAGGAGGAGACCACCGCTGTAAGATGATTAGTACTGAGATTCTCGAGAGGGGCGAGAGACTTACACAATAGAGAGGATCTGGAAGAAATCATACTTGGCGAAGTCCTTGTGGGGGTGGTGAGGGTGGAGGGTCCAGAAGTTGTTGACCAGAAGGTTGAAGATGCTGAGAATGACAACAAGCATGATGGCGCTGAACTTGGCCTTGAAACCAACGACGACCATGACACAAGCGACAAATCCGAGCAAGCTAACGCAGATCCTCCAGAAGCTCCAGTCGCCCCGGAAAACGAAGCCGACGAAGAGAAAGATGAGCAGGACACGTCCAGCGAGCTGGAAGTACATCTTGCGGTCCTTCTCGTCGAGCGTCGGGAGGCCAGCCGGGGCGAACTTCTTGCGGACCCACGAGTCGGAAAGCACCATCAAGAGGCCTCCCATGACGGACAAGTTGCGCAGGAAGAAGTTCAGGTCGAAGACCAGACCGTAACCGAGGCCCTGTAGAACCACCACGCCAATGAGGCCAAAAACGCCGTAATCCGAGTTCTTTCGTGCAATGATCATGACGGAGCAGACGGTCATGGCGATTACGTTTACGATGAGGAACAGGTGGGTGAGGCCGCTGGGGACTGCGAGGCACGCGTTAGCTGCATCCTAGACTTGCAGAGGGGCTGGCGGGGTGCGTACTGTGCCTGTAGTCATGCAGGTATGTGAGCTGGTCGTTCCACTGGGTCATTATGCGCAGCGCATCTTCGAGGAAGGTAACGACGATCAAAAATCGTCCAATCGCGGGCAGGTACCTTCGGTCTCGTCAGCGCTCTCTTCTCGTGCAAATGCGTCGCGCGGCACCGTCGTAGCTCCCTCGCGTCTGCAGGTGCACTCACGGCTTTACAGGCTCCGAAAGCGTGTCCAAGAAGTCCTCAATCTTGTTCGTCTGTTCGCGCAGCTGGTCGAGCGGACTGGGGTCGTTGGTGGTGCTGTCGCTGCGTCCCCCATTGCCGAAGGGGCTCTGGTTACCCAGGTGGTAGCCGGCGGTGCCGCGAATCTGCGCCATGGTGTATAGACAAAATGAAAGGAGAGTGGAAGTTGGGCAGACGAGACGTTGTGTGGGCGGGCCGGGGTATATAGTGCGTTTCTGAAGCTCCGCGTGCTTGAAGGGGACACCTATGGCTTTGCCAAGACACTGGAAGTCAGCCACACCTCGATGAGATGCCTTTTTGCATCCGCTTTCATACCTCTGTCGCGCGATTGGGAATGTGCACGCTACGTGTTTAGCTAGCTTTCCAATTCTCAGACTTGTGCTTTAGGCCGTGTGTCCTGAACACTCGATTTTGTTGTCGCCCAAACCACGGTTCAATATGGAAATGTTGGAGACACATGTTCTTTGTTCATCTACCCACCCCTGGCCTTCCACCTTCTGCATCGGACTGCGCAGGAGCTCCGCTAGCCATGTTTCCCGTACCGGATCGGAGAAACAAGCTACGCGCACGTGGTGGAAGCGGCCGTAGTCACAGTGCACTTGCCGGACATTTTATTTTTGGGGGCGCCACCACCGGTTCGAGGCTGTATAGCCCCAACGGCTACGCCAGGATTACATTTCAGAGCTGAGCCGCACCTATGCCATACTTCTATAAGCCAATCATGATGTCCCATATACACGTTGGTCCATCGAGGGACCTGTTCCGAGAAGCTTCGCACTATCGCGCCATATCGCCCCCGAAACATCTATGAGCCGTTCGCGGAGCTTATCCTGCCTCGAAATCTCGAAGAGGGATCTTTCTTGCCGTGAAAACCCTCAGAGGTAGATATCATTTGACGTAGAAGATCAGGATAGGGTTGGAGTGATCTTTGCCTCGGAAGACTGTAACGCTGTCAATTTTCCTGGAAAGCATCGTAGTCAGTGTTTGTCTTAACTAATCGTTGCGTATACCAATTGCGCTTATTCGAAGATAGACTTACTTAATACCAACGTCGTCCTTCCGTTGAGCAAGCAGATATCCAAATCGCTTTCCATTAGGAGAGCCTAGGAGAGCCTTTCCCTCAGCCGTTGAGATGTCGAAGTTATCTCCTGGCCACAAGGACGCTGTCACCTTGTTCTTGGCTTTCAGCGCACGCCGAATGATGCTCAGAGACTCCGAATTCGTGACAGAGAGCGAGATAAGGTACTTGAGGTTCTTCACATTTTCGTTGTTCGACGTGTCTGGCTGGCTCCCACGATACCAACCACCCCAGAGCAAATCTGAAAGAGATTGGAGAGCAGGCACTTCGCCGTCCTGAGGGTCGCGCTGTTTGTTCTTCTTGATCGCGGAGCTAGGCATGAGATTGTCCATGGCGAGAATGACTCCATCGTCGTCGTTGATGCCGAACTGAGCGTACGCACCGGTATACTGACTCTGTTAGCACCATATCGCATAGTGTGCTAGATTTAAGTCATACCGGATAGTCTTTATTATCGGCGTTGTACGTCTTGTCTGCCGCGACATCCCACAAAGTTCCATGCGAGAAGCGATAACACCAGATGTCCTTCCAGCCTTCGGTACCAATGTTGAGCTGCTTCGCAGCATCCACCCATCCCTTCCCCAGTGCGGACTCGTCGAACTCACACACGCTCTTCAGTAACGTATTCTGGGTCCAGCCCCACTTTTTGAGGCCGTCCTTGAGATCGCCCTTCCACTTGCTCTGCACTGAGTCCTTCTTTGGTGAGTACTCTTGGCCAGCGTCCTTGTCGCTCAAGGGGAAAGCCTTGAAAAATTGTCCACCGATGCACTTCGCCTTGTTCCAGACGTCATCCGAGGCGGGTTCGTCGTCGCGTCGGGCGAGGTGAATGGGCGGGTCTTGCGGAGAGAGCAAAGAGCGAACAACTTGTGGAGCGTAGAAGCCGCAGGCTGTGGAGGCCAGAAGAGCGAGGGTGGTCGTGGTAGTGAGCTTCATAGCGGTGGTCAGAAGCGGGCTGGGAGAAGGTTGGTGTCTCGAATGGCGAGCGTTGAGGCGAGCGTTGGAAACGTGGGAGAGTCACGGTCGGGAGTTTTATAAGAGCAGACATGAAGGCCGCACTAGTTGTAAGCGTAGCAATGCAGGCAGGTGTAAATTTGGCTTGAGCAGTGCGCTGAGTCGAGTTGAAAGTGGGTGACTAAACTGCGAATAGACGGCAGGTGCGACTACGGTCCGAACTCACTCGCCGCGGCTGCCACGCATTGCTGCTATTCTTTATACATAAGCAGGACTGATCAATGCGAATTCACTGATCTATTCTTTCGACGTTGCCGTACCCATGTTGCGTTTCGCCGTCACGGCGCACCAGTGCCCAAGAGAGAACATAGCGGCACCTGGAGTTACCTAGGGCCAACATAAGGAGTACCTTTACTACTCAAAGGGACATTAACCTTACATCAGTGGGATATTTCACGGACCGATGGCCAGATACTTTTCAAGCAATGATAACGTATGCTCAAACACACTACAGGTAGTGGATAGACACGACAATATGCAATCGCTGGTATCATGGCATGAACAAGCTAGGGTGATCAGACTACGCACTAAAAAGATCGAGCAATTGAGCACCAGAACGAGGGAACAGATGGCGCTTATATGTCGAAGAATGAACATACTTTGACTACGTGAACCAATATGATTGAACTCGTACAGTAGTGAGAGTACAGGGAACATACCAAGGCCTAGCGTCAGAGTCACTTGCTTTTGTGAACAACAAGGAAAACTGGGTTACTTGTACCCATGCAATACATCCGCTCCCTTTCCAAATTTGCTTCCATGCGTCGCAACCATTCCATACTGTTGTACACTCTGTCTGCCCCACCCAATTCACTGGCCTGTGCCAACCCACCATCCCACTGCAAGCCTTCGAGAAAGGACATTTGTTTACCATGCCAGTACTCCATACAAATCATCCAATTGTGAAACGATGAAGCAAAGTCCAGCCAAAATAAAATGTCAAGAATATTGGGCATATAGGGGCAAAGAAAGTGTGATGAGAATTGAGGCAGGGCGGAGTAGTCTGCTCAGACATAGAGCCACTACGATCATACAACAGGCCAGTCAGAGTCCCGAGGGTCGCTAAACTCGGTGATGGGCTGTGAAAGGACCTCGTAACGAGAGGCGGGCTTCACCTCCTTCTTACTCTCCTTTTTCGGGGCTGGGGCCGGGGTGGCCTTGACAGGCGCAGAAGCCGTCTCGGAACCGATGCCCGAGTCACTGCCTTCTCCCACAGCGGCCTCGGCCTTGGTCTTCTTCTTCTTGCCTTTGGGGACCTCAGTCCAGGCGGAGTCAGCCAGAGCCGCAGCGATCTGGTCTTCCTCCGAAGGAATATTATTGTAGGAGGCAGACTCGGAGGTCGGCGCAGTGCCGTTGGTAGCGGAACTGGCGGAGGATGGCGCCTCGAGGGTATCGAGAAGCAGGCCGCCCGCAGGCTTGGGGGCGGCAGGTGCCGCAGGGTTGTTCCAGGCGTTCGAAGCGGGCTGGCTGGACTGGTAACGAGCGCCAGGAGCCTCCCCACGCGCAAGGCGGGCTGTGCGCAGCTGCTGTTCCTGGAGCTTCTTGCGCTCGATTTCGGCCTCAGCCTTGGCGGCTTTTTCAGCTTCCCTTTTCTTCGCGTTCTGCGCCTGCTTCTTGGTCTGCTTCTGAGTCTCCGGCTTGGTCTGCTGCGGCTTCGCAGGGCGAGCGGGCTTTTCCGAGGCGCCAATCTTCAAGACGTTCGGGACGATTTTGGGGTCAAGCATGTCAGAGACATCCTTGCCACTTGGGATGGCGTTGGTGACCTTGGCGGCGAGCGATGGCGACTGGACCGGGGAAAGGTCATCGTCGGCATCGGCGCCCGTCGTGGAGGACACTCCGGAAAGAGCGGCCTCTGCCTTCGTGCCAACCTCCTGAACGGCCTTCTTGACCGACTTGCGAGGGCCCTGCTTCTTTGTGGCCTTGGTAGGCTTGGTCTTCGACTCCGACTCGAGCCATGCTGTGTCGTTTGATCGGCTGAGAGTGCGGCCCCTGGTGCCGCTCTGTTCAGGCTTCTTGCCGATCAGCTTGTCGAAAGCTCCATAGTGCCAGCAGACACCGCCAATGAGGGCCAGAAAGATGGTCCAGCTCACGAGAGGATCCATGTTGAATGATACCGACAAGGTTGAGGTATAGGGTCGGATGCGCGGCTGTGGTGGACGAGAAGAGTGTGCTCTTGTCACCTCAATTGGTGGTTGCTGAGGTTCGCGGTGGACAACGTGGACCGTAGGCCCAAGTGCAGAGTCCCAAGTAAGGAGAGCTCCTTGGGTGCGGAGTGCTTAGACCCTTGGTCGAGCGAATTGTGCAAGGTTCTTGTCTGCTCAATTCACCACGGGCGCCTTATCCCCGGAGGACAGAGCGTAGAGGCGCGGTGCAAGTGGCTCCGATGAGCGCTGCGTCGACTCGAGGACAGGTTGCGCAAGCTGCGGATCGGAGATGCGGCTTCCCGACGGGAGAGCACAGGCACCCAACTGGCAAGAGGGTTTGAGAGCTTGAAAAGCACACGACAAAGGAGAACAAGGTTGAGAAAAGGTAAAAGGAGGAGTAAAGGTTCAAGGAGGCGTGAGCGATGGTGGAGCTTATGGGAAGGTGCGCTCAACAGGGACGGCGCTTCCCCAATGTGTGCATAGCGCGGAATCGGCGGAGCACTGTCGCCAAGGGATCTCATGCTGCGCCCGCACGAACCAGCAACTGCACTACAGCAAGATCAAAGACACGCCTTTGCCTTACTCCGGCCTCGTCGCGGTCTTGGTTGAGCTTGCCAGCGAATCTGCAGTCGCCCATCCATCTCAAATGCCCTGCGCTGATGCGCGGTGCCAATGGTAGCCCAGGCGGGGCGGCAATTTGAAGATGCCACCTTGCTGAAGCTCGTTCCCCCAGACCCTGGGCCTGTGCCCCAAAACGGAGGTCCCGTCGGCCTAGCTCGAACGCTTCGGCTGTCAACAGTAACACTTGCGCCTCGAGAACCGTCATTCCTTCCGGCTACATTCCCAATCGACTGGTTCAATAAGCGATTTGACTGGCTGTACACAGTTCTTCGATTGTTGCGGCGGACGAAATCAGCGCAACTACACGCGACGCGACCCTGCATATGTAAGGAATGTGCACAAGATGAGGTCATTGTAACTACAGCTCTCATCTCCACGGAGAACACGTCCAAGACGCCAACGGCGACGCGAACATGGGTTCTAGTGACACGGATCGTGTCGCCCGTCATGGCACGAAAAGGAGCTTACAAGCTGCAGTATGAGCTTTCGCATACATGTCGTACAATCAACATCCTCAACCAGCGTGCATCTACATCGGATGACTACTGACTTCTATCGCTACACATGGCATAGAGATGGCCCTGACATGAGTAACAAGACCTCCGACATTACAATCGTATCATCCTTATATGCCAACGCCAGCCGATGCCCGCTGAATGCCAAAGAACACAAGCACCTTCTCGATAACCAATACCAACCAATCTACAGAAACTCGGATCCAAGCCGAAGACGCCATCATCAGTCGACCTTCCACACCAAGACTACCAATCACCAGCACATGCCTAGTGGAACTCTCACAACTGCTTCACATACATTTCTCCTTCTTCACAGGCATCTCCGTACGGCCCTCTTCGGCCTTCCTCTTCACCCCACCAGAGCCCTCACTCCCAAAGCTCGAGCTGCGACTCATAGGTGGCGTCACCAACGGAGCTTGAGTGGGAGCCGGAAATCCGAATACAGGGCGCGGTGGCTGCGCAGTCCGTGAGTCGAGTTTCGCTTGGTTTTGTTGTTGTTGTTGCTGCTGCTGCTGCTGCTGTTGCGCTTGCTGTCGCTGCTGCGCCAATTGCATGTGTCTCGCTATATCGCCCAGACCCGGCCCTACAATATTTCGATCCCCAATGACAGTAGCGCCGCAGTTGATGTTGATGTTGATCTTCGGAAGCTCTCTCCTCTCCTGCGCAGGTCTGTCTGTCATGCTAGGCGCAGGCGCATTCTCTTCTCGTCCCTGCACATTCGTCTGTGTCTGCGGCGGGATTCCCCCATGGATCAATATGGCAAGCAGATTCGCAACGCGCATGCTGTCCATCTGCGCGATGCTGATAATATTGCCGTGGCCTCTGATCTGCGTCGTCGCATTGATATTGATCTCTGGCATTTCTGTCTCCTTCACCTCCTCCTCTTCCGCATCGTACAGTCGGTGCATCATTTCGGGAAGCGACTCTGTCGGGTCTGCGACGGTGTGATATGCAGGTGGTGGTGGCATATCAATCTCGCTTTCACTCTCAGGGCTGGGGGCAGATTGTGACGTCTGCCAGTTGGACAAGATGATTTGCAGCTTTGCGTTGTGCAGGGCCAGGTTCCGCGACGGGTCCATACCATCTATATGGCTGCTGGACGCGTGTGTGGTGATCGTGGGTTTCGATTCCCGGAGTGGGCTGCCAGGCGCGCGATGTTGTGGCGTGATGCTGGGGTGAGGAACTTCGATTGTACGACGAGGCCGGGCACAGCCGTCGGGAGAAGTCTTCTAGGTCGCCTGAAGGGAAAGATGGGTACTTTCGGCAGTACGTTCGGCAGGTCGTGTGTGTGTATGGGGTGTTTGGTGGTGCGGTGTGCGCTCGTATGTGCAGGTTACGTTATCCACGATACTCAGTACGCTGTATAATGCTACCTTGGCCACAAGTCCTCCACACCAAGTCCCGATAGTGGAAATCTACAAACCCAAAAAAATATGAAAAGCACCAAAATCAGTAATACATACCTCGCAAAATTATCGCCTCATCAAAATATTGTGTAAGTGTCGTTTCGAGCTGCCGAATCCGTGATCTAGTCGCCTGGAGAAGAAGCCAGAAACCAACCCTCCTCCAGCAGATATAGATTTCAACCACGCAGCAGGCACCCACATTGTCCCATTGACCACTCCAAATCCGCAACACAATAACAAGCACTGCCTACATTTCCTGCGCTCCCAGCATCGGAGGTGCTATCCAGACCAATGGCAGCCCAGCGCCACACCCGTCCCCGATTCTTCCTATTGTGATCCTCTTGCGTACACATGGTACAATACCATCCTTTGCGCACGTGCTCGCGGTTCTTGCACCCGCGACTACGTCTACTGTGGAAGCAATGCAGGCACGCAACCAGATGGTATGGCCACCCTGAGTCACCGCCTCTACCGAAAAACATTTGACTCCATCGATCGCACATACTGCCGGCGGCGTTGTGGATACTGACCTCAGTCGCCGGCGAGACCACCGCACGCAGTGGCACGCAGCGCCAACCGCACGCGCGGGACTCCCGGCAAGCAGTCCGCCGTCTTCTGCGCGGACGTGTCGCACAAAGCCAGATGGAAGAAGAATAGGGTGTGAATAGCGGTGCGCGCCAAGCGCTCGGGATGGTGCTGCACAAAGAACAATAGCAACGGCAGTTACACGGCATGCAGATTAAGATGATCTGGCGCGGAGGTGAGACAGGAGCGGTGATCATGGTCGCGGCACTGATTAGGCAGTAGTGTTGTCTTGGGTTCGCGTAGCGGGAGTGGATGGATGGGAAGTGTTGTTAACATTCCTCGTTGGCAGACGCTGGTGGTCTGACTACGCTAAGTAGGCGTCACGATCCCCTATCTCTACGATGCGCGGTTTCAAGCTGCATGCATGTATTTGTCTCTCAAACGTAGAATTTACTTTCTCGACATTGCTTGTAATCCTAATGGGCGCTGCCTACAACCGCAGTCTCAGGATGCGTGCGCCCGAGTTGCTGCTACTCCTTGACACTCTATCGAAGGGTCCCTGACGGGCCCACAAACATCATGTATGTCTCAGAGCTGGGCTGGAATCAAGTTCTCGACGTTGTATTCGTCATGCACCCTGCTACAACCGCACATGCAGTTTTGGGACTTGGCCAAGTTGCTGTTCCTATCGTAGTCCCTTCCCTCCGGAACCAAACACCTGTCGAACCCGCCTGATCCAATGTGAAGGTTGAATCCAACCAGACGCCGCCGCTGATAAATGCTACAGTAAACGTACAGTCCCCAAGGAACACCGTGGCCCACACACCACGCCTGAAAGAGCCCTATGTGGATCGTCTTTAAGGCCGTTCCAAGAAGGGATGGTGAAAAGAAAAGCAAAAGGCTGCTCGCGGGCACTACCTTGTTGGGAACTTTGGTACGAAGTGCTTGGGCCAATCCCCATAGAAGAGATTGTGTGACCATGGGGGTAGTTTCTTGTCGCGCTCGTAGAGATAACCGCAATTTGCGCAGAGGGTTCGTGGACCGGACGGCCCATCGCGGACAGCCCAAACTGCATCGCCCCAGATCAGGCAGTGGGCACATTTCCAGTTTCCTCGTTCGCTAGTGCAAGCGTTAGCATTGTAGTCACACCGAGAAATGTAAACACATACGTTTCGGTCAAGCCTCCGCCTGATCCTCCGTATCCGGACCCTACGTCTGGTGTATCCCGTCCAGTTGGGCTGAGACTCCTGAACCGCCTCTTCTTCTTGCTACGTTCGCCGCGACCCATGTTCTCTGTCTGCTCAGGGTTTGCAAAGAAATCGTTCTGTGGTGTGCCCGTCATGTTTGCTGTGGATGAGAAACGTGCTGTTTCTCTTCTCAGCCTTCGGATTTGCCGCTCTCTATCACCTTCGCGCTTTTCGATCTCTTCCGGGGATAGGATCTCGACCTTCGGTTCCCACTCATCGCATAGATGCTCCGGGTCATATCTCCAACCTGCTCCAATGACTGGGTCCACTGCATCGTTGTCGATCTCGCCGTCTCCGACCAAGCCCCCGTTCTCGCAAGCTTCCTTCTTCAAACGGAGGACTGCCTCGTATATAGCATGGGCCATCGCGGGACCCCATTCTCCGGCCAGCCCTAGGTCAGCACACGTGACCTTGGCAAACATTTCCGCAAAGCCCGGTGGGTGCAGCAGAGACCACTCGAATTTGTCGCTGTACAACCTATTCAGCAAGTTCACGTTGAGCGTGACGATGCATCGGTATGTGTCGTCCGGGTTGTGCAAATCTTCTGAGGGCAAAGCCGTTGCGGATGCGCTGATGCCGTTGGGGATGGCAGCTGGTGTCGCTGTGCCATTGGTAGGGGCATTGCCGTTTACCACTGCTGTTGCTACACCGTTTGTGGTTGTCGCAGCCGGGGTTGACGTTCCATCGCGAGAAGGCAATGCTTGAGTCAGATCGGCCTGCGACGGTACAGCTGTAGTAGTGCCTTGTACCGTGGGCGATGCCGTCGAATGGAACAGGGGATGCAACGCAACGCCAGCGTATTCCTCAAGCTGCTGCCGTATTTGCGTGGCGATATTGAAGATGAGCTGTGGCTTGCGGTCGACTGGCAGGTCCATCTCATCTACGAAGATCTTGGCGAATTGGTCCGGGGTCATGAGCGCCTCGTGCAGATTCCAGAGAAACGTGTCTTTGAGGCGGTAGGCGGGCGTCATATCTGGTTGCCTATACGCAGGCAGAGTCTCGTCAATGCCGAATTCGCGCGCGTTCGAAGGTGTAGGCAAGGGGGCGTCTGGACGGAAAGCCTGGATGTCCATGTCGATTCGGATGGGGATGAGCGTGACTGGCAAAGCCGCCTGGACCTGCACCTGCTTTTCGGTGCGCGTGTATTTGGGCCTCCCCATCCAGTCGCGCCAGATGCCCTGAACGTCGACGGGTGCGTGGATCTCCTTGCCGAGTGCTGCGATCTGCGCCGTCTTGTCCAGCGTGGTCTCGTCCCGGCGCAAACTACGCAGTCCGGTCGCGCGTCGCGGATTGTCGCTGTCGTCCTCGAAGTTGTCGTCGTAGCCATCTTCCGCATAGCTGATGACGGCTGTTCCGCGCTTCGTCGTGCGCGGCACGGGCAGCGTGTTGGACGGCGGGACAATGGGCGATATGAGCGAGTTCCCATACGAGCGCAATCGCGGCGCATAGGTCGATATGAAGGCCTGTGGCGGCGCGGTTCTTCCCGTCGACGTGAACATGGTCGCGATGGCGCGCTGGCGGGTGCGAACTGAGGAAGCTCAACACAGGGCCAGACGCGTCGTGGGCGGGCTCGAGCGGCCTGTGCAAGGATGACTGACACGCACGGGGCGGGAAACCGCAGGTGTGGAATCGGCGACTGGCGGTCAGCGTCGCGATGGCTTTCCCCTCGATGGTCGTGAATGCTGTTGCGCGCGCTGCATCAATCTTTCGTGATGCTTCACGGCACGCACCGAATGGCCTTGGCACGCCGCCAGCCGCTAGAGCCGGTGAGGGCTAGGGTGGATCAATAGCCGCTAGAGCCAACATGGGCTAGTGCAAATTCTGCGGCGCACCGTGACTTCCCGTTCCTTCCCTCACCGTCGAGATGCGGCGCGCACGCAGGCACTCACGCTGTCAAGTGTCGCCTTCACCATCCCTTCTTTTCTGTGGGCACCCTGTTTCAAACACTTGGCCGGTCATCCACGCCATCGCCATGTCACTCGCATCGAGGAAACAGATCAGCTTGCCACCGACAGGGAGACGGGCTCAGACAGCTGCCTGGACTGGTCGAGAAGAGCTCCCTTCATGTACAACTCAGCCGTGAATCACCGGCCTGAAACGAAGTTCGGATAGCGTTCTGGAAATGCGTGTGATCAACGCGCAAGACCAAGGTTCCCCTGGGTGCTTCCGGCGTCTATTTTTTGCCCTGTTTCATGTTCCTGGCGCGCATAAACTCTCAGCCACTCATCGCACAGGGCATCCAGGTTCTCGAAACCTCGCTCGAATGAGCGCTCGAGTTATCGATAGACCACCGCCTCTCAAATGAAGCCTCCGCATTCAGGGACAGACTTCCGGCATGAAAACAATAGCCGATCACCTTGTTCATGCGGTGGCGGAGTGGGCGCGTAGGCGAAGATCCCTTTTCTAGCTCCCAAGCATGGAACTACAAAACATTGTGCGCCCACCAGTCATTCTAAATCCACCTTCACTTTCACTACCTTCTCTTGTCGCGTTGTTCACGCTGTCTATTCTTCCTTCTTTGACCTATTGTTCTATTGTGTGTCATCGCACTCATTGTAGATACACGACGATTCAGGCAATCCTCTTCACAACCCTCCCTATCACTACTTAAGGCTTCAGTCCTACGTTTCCCTTCTTTCTTAAAACCAAACACGCAAAGCTTTCTGGAAAAGTAACAGCAACTCCCAAACATACCAATAACCAACTACAACACTCTCTCTACGACGATTATCAATACTGCCAAGATGTTCACTTCGCAAGCACTCTCGACTCTGGCAGTTGCCATCCTCGCCATGGCTCCAGCTGTCCAGTCGCACATGATCATGGCCTCCCCAAAGCCGTTCGGATCGCCTGACAACTCGCCCCTCGATCCCTCTGGGTCCAACTACCCTTGCAAGATGACTTCCGCAACCGCGGGCGCCGGGCCCATGAACGACTTCGCAGTCGGTTCCAAGCAGCAATTGTCCTTCTCGGGCTCCGCAGTCCACGGTGGAGGTAGCTGCCAGATCTCCGTCACCACCGACAAGAACCCCACCAAGGACTCCGTGTTCAAGGTCATCCACTCCATCGAGGGTGGCTGCCCCGGTGTCAACGGCCCTGCTACATTTGACTTCACGGTTCCCGATGCCCTGCCTGACGGCGAGCTCGTCATGGCCTGGACCTGGTTCAACCACATTGGAAACCGTGAGATGTACATGAACTGCGCCAACATCCAGGTCAGCGGTGGTGCCTCAGACAACTCCAAGTTCGAGAAGCTCCCTGACATGGCTATCGCCAACATCAACGTCGGCAAGGGCGCCTCCTGCAAGACCGCCGAGAGCTCTGACTACACCTTCGCGGGCGTCGGCGAGAACGGCGACACTGTCGACCGCGTTGGCTCCGGCCCCTTCGTCGACCTCTGTGGTGGCGCAGCTACCCCTGGTACTGGCAGCGGCTCCGGCTCTGGCAGCTCTGGCTCCGGCTCCGGCTCCTCAGGCTCTGGCTCTGCCAACAATGGTCAATACACTCCAGGCGCCGGCGAGGGTGGTGCGCCCGCAACCTCCGCAGCTCCTGTCGCCTCCTCCGCGCCCGCGGCTTCTGCCACTGGCGGTGCTGGTGGTGTCTTTGCTCCCGGCGCTTCCTCTGCCCCCGTAGTATCTTCTGCACCTGCAGCCTCGCCCACTGACGCGGTCACTTCGACCATCAAGACTCTGGCCACCGTCACCGCTCCTTCAGCCGCTCCCACTGGCCCCGCGAACGGCACTGCCCCCGCGGCATCTGCTCCGGCAGCTGCTCCCACCGGTGGTGCTGCAGGCTCTAGCTGCTCCACCAACGGCGCAGTCATGTGCAACGGCGACTCCCAGTTCGGTCTCTGCGACAACGGCAAGGTCGTGTGGCAGGCCGTGGCCGCAGGCACCAAGTGCGAGAACGGCCAGATTGCGAAGCGCGACGCCAAGTTCACCCACCGCGTCCAGCGCTCTGCCATCTAGACGCCCTGTCGCTAGACAGCGCCTCAGTGACACAACGCTATCATGGCATATGCAAATCATGTCTGTTGTCTGAGCATTTGCTCGCATACCTACTTTATATGTAGCATTCTTGGCTGTCACTGGATGATGGTTCAATACCTTCGATTCTTTATCCCTTCTTTTTTGACTTGCTTTTGCTTTTGCATCAGCAATTTGGCATTTTTGTCTGGCGTTTATACCCTGAGTTTACCTGGATATATAAAATCTTGCATGGCTTGCGAACTTGGCATAGCTACATATTGCTACATAACGAAATACGATGTGCATACTTCCAACTTCTCTACTACTTTTCTCAGTGTATGCCTTGTACGTGAACTACGCAAATTCGGAATGAATCACTTTGTTGCTAATGTTTATCATGAAAATGCAAACGACACTCGACATCGCCACCTAGCAGTGGCGACCACCCTACGGTATAGCCGAGCAGATATAACGGACCCACCACAAAAGCAGTCCCATGCTGCGAGCCCCACCGTACTCCGCCACACTGAACACCCTCCTCCGTCGATGAGGCGGAGCCTAAGTTCTGAAACGCAGAACGCTCCACAGTCGCGCGACCTGGCTGCTACCTTCCGCATCCGGCGGCCCTTTCAATGCCATCTGCAGTGTGGATAGGGAAGAGGCTCTCCAGAATCCTAGTGGCGTCCTCTCCGCAGCACATGTGCAATGGTCCCTCAAGAAGCGGGCCATCTTGCAAGAAAGGAAAATTACCGCATCGAGCAGTTTTGGGCCGGGGTGTACATTGTAGGCAGAATTGCATCGAAAAATACTGTGGAATGAGTGTGGTTTGGATTGTCGGTCTTTCTAACAACTGGGACCTCGAGACGTGAACTACACTCAGAGAGGCCGTGTTCTAAAACAGCATTCTCTCATACACGGAAGCCACCTCAACGAGAACGGCTTCTGGAATTCATCTCTAGTGGGTTTGGCTGAACCTGGCGGATAAGGCACTACTTGTATGTCCATTGGCGGCAGTATTGAAAGGGAGGTTCTTTCTCCCTTCAAAAGAAATTCCCCCAACTATAATCCGGTCACGGCCCAGGCGTTGACCTTTCCATCTCCCAGTATCATTCCGCCCCTCAATACCCACTCTTTCCAGGCACTACATTATACAACGGCCCCTTCTTCCCAAACATATCCCTTAAATCCTTCGAAATGACATCTGGCCTCTCCCACGCCGCGAAATGCCCACCCCGCTCATTCACGCTCTCGTGCACAACGTTGCCCAGCGTCTTCCCCCACACCCGTGGCACAACCGTGATTTCCCTCGGGAAGTGTGCAAGCCCTAACTTCACTCGCCCAATCCACTCGCTCAGGCGTTCCCGGCTGGGAACCGCCGCCGTTGGGTTATGACTGGCCTCGTAGTAGATGCGTATGTGTGCGTTCGGGCCCGCGGTACTGAAGTAGTAGATTGAGACCCACGTCAGGATCTCGTCATCAGTCCAGGGATACCCGTCCGTCCAGTCGACCAGCTTCTCGTAGATCCAGGCGAGTAGCGCGACGGGGCTGGACGCGAAGGCGTAGGAGAGTGTTTGCGGCTTTGTGGCTTGCAGTTGGCGGTATGCCTGGCCCTCGCTCGTGAACCACTCGCTTCTCTCAAGGCCCTTCTTTTCGGCGTCTGAGTACGGGGTTAGGGCGTGTTGTAGCGCGAGAGCTGGTTGTGAGGCGAAGGAAGGCGCGTGTGCGCGGATCATGTTGATGTGGGAGGCGAGCACTGCGTTGGGGTAAAGCAGGCCCATTGTGCGCGTGATGTAGAAGCCCCAGTCGCCGCCTTGGGTGATGTATTTGGGGTATCCGAGGTCGAGCATCAGGCGATGGCACGTTTGTGCGTACTGCTCCAACGCAAAGCCTGGCTTGGTGATGCGTTGGGAGAAGCCGAAGTTTGGGAGTGAGGGAGCTACAATGTGGAAGGCGGGACTATCACCATCACCCTTCAGCAAGGGAAGGAGCTTCATTACTTCGAGGAATGATCCGGGCCCTTTGGTTTGTTAGGGTCTTGCATGTTGATTTTGGACCTGCGGTCCGCCAGGGAATTAAACTCACAACCATGGGAAAATAGCAGGGGAATCGCGCCCTCGACCTCGCTCTTCTGCCATACAAAGTGGAGATCTATGTCTCCGAAGCCGTCGACAGACACTTTCTTGCGGTAATTGGGCAGCTCGTTGATCTCGGCCTCTGTTTTGCGCCAGTCGAACCCGGTGCGCCAATGCTCTGCTAATCGCTTTACATCTGACGTGGGCGCTCCATAGCGCCACTGGTCGTCGATTTCAAGCTCATCTGGGTAGTCTGTGTCTTCAAGTCTGCGCTTTAGCTTTTCGATGCTGGCATCGGGCACGTGTATTTTGTAAGGTTCGGGTGACGACATATTGTTGGAGCCGTATGTAGTGTTGTAGTGGTATGATGTCGGGATGGACTCAATGTGAGGGCAGATATGTACAAATGGGTAACGTTAAAGAGCTCGTATTGTGAAGTGTGCCGCTCACGCCTTTATGACTCGGTGTTGCTGCTGTTGTATTTCAAAGCAAGGCGCCGGTACCCCTCATTTTTTGCAAGAAGGTTACCAGACATGTAAATACTTTACATCATCGCGCCCTATGTCTTTCAGTGCCTGTCAATGCCAACGTCGCCAACGCAGGTCTGCTGAATATTGTTGTGCCATCAAGGATTAGTAATTCGTATACCCGTCAATCTGCACGATCGATGGCAGGGTTCAATGTGACACATGCAAGGCATTTCGTCGAGCGACGTCCAGAAGGAGCAATATCATGTCGCATGGAAACCCCAGACCAGATGACAAACCAGATAATTCTGCACCGAGCTGCAGGTACGTACATCACCAACGCTGCAGTTAAGGTGAGGTTCCCATAGTGTGTGTGACGTCATTCGGTTGAAGCTCCGGCTTTTGCATCTTCAATCACCGCCGACTTCATATTGACCGTCAAAGCGGACAGTATGACATCTAACTACCATAGAAAAGTATGAAGTGTTACTTGCACTCTAGATGACTTAGCCTTTGATCATTTACATACGAATCTCTCAGGCTAAACTTCGACATTAATATTTTTCCTTTACTGTCCTGCCAGCTGTCGTAGGAGAAGATGCCCTTTAGAATACCGTGATGCGAGGTGCTGGTTGGGATTGAGCATCCCTCGATTGATCTGGAACCCGAGCGCTTGTTTTCTCATCTGCTTCTACACCTTACAAGAAGCTGACAAGGCCTCAATTTTTGCTTCGGTCAAAATGATCAAGGATTAGTAGAGGAAGCCTGCCCGCGAAATGTTATTCACTAGATCGAGTCAAGAACTGATGACGGTGTTGCGTCTTGATCATTATCATCCAAGGATGTCTCCCAGGCAGCGACTAGGACCCCGCATGTTGCGACAACGATAGAGTACCCATTAATATGATTGTGGTAGATTTCGCAAGATTTGACGATAGCCTTGAGGTTATTGCTTTAACGAAAACGTTGCTGTGAAATAGTTTCACAGAAGAGCGCTTCCTATGGCCCCGTAGCGCGTGGTGAAAACGGCCGTCACGAACGCTACATGAGCATTCTATTCATTGTGACCTGAGAAACATATTCCATCGCTAATGCCGTGATCACAGCTTTACTGTTATCCTCACTACACGTTTGGCTTCGAAGCACGTGTTCATGAGACTTCAATCCTCGCTTGTATTCCTGCGCTGGTTTCTGATTCATCGGCGTCTAGACAGGTGATGCCTATATCTGTCAACACTCCCGATTGAAAACCGGGAACTCCCTCCGTTTGAAATGCACAAACACAGTCGACCCGCAAGCCTAAAACCATACCACTCGTCATCCCAGTACTCGAGTAATCTTCGCCATACTTACAAACATGGGAATTGGGGCGTCTCTTGGCGAACTTCCCTGGAAATTGGCGTGAAGTAGCGTTGACACTGAGATGCTTGCTAAAAGCAATCTTGCCCGGCGCCGTACATGCGATATCTTAGGCGATATCTTTGATATGGCCTGGAAATGATTGCAAATTTTCTGAATTTTCTGAATTTCCATCCTCGCTGTCAGAAATAGACATGGTGTCTAACACATCCTATGCGAGCGGGCACCTAATTATGGCTTCTTTGAGGCATGGCATGTATCTTGTCGACTCAGCAAACGCAAGTGAGAAGAGTATCAAGTGGCGTCATCGGGCAGAAATCGTTACTTTCCCATGCATGTAACCGTAAAGTTGGCGTAGTCGAGATTCCCATCATCCTCTCCATCTTGAGCTGTCTGCTCAAGCGGAGGATAAGAATGTTCGGGATGTATCTTGTAGCCAGTATCACGCAAGGCGTTGCCGGGCCACGAAACTAGTAGGTTCCTGAATGATTTGCCATGTGGAACTCGATATTTGTGCTTTAAAGCTATGGCCACGACGGGAGCGAACCATCGTTGAGTAAAAAAAAAAAAGGTCGATTTATGACTGCGAAGAGACACATGCGACGGATCCTGTAGGACATAATCCGAAGGCTTGGACTACAGGGGTCATGTAATGCTGGCGCAGTAAGTTTAGGCATCTTCTCATAACAGAGAAGTATCCTGACGTGGTAGCTGGGCTCTATGAATTTCAGTTGAACTTTCACTCAGGGGCGGCAGGGATATCTCTTTAAGCGCATAGCAAAGTAATGTCATGAAATTGGCGTGGCCCATGTCACATACAACAGAGTGTGGCCGCCACCTCATCACCGAGGCGCGTTGGCTACTCATCCGCCTCAATGGCATGGGAAAGGACGTTGAGATTGGGAAGCATTTTTGCAACATCTAGAAGCACTCGCGGATCCAATTTCCGCAGGATCTTTCTGGTCTTGAGGAATCGACAGAAAGGTGCTCCGTAAATATTACTAAGGGAGCGGATAGTGCCAAGTACAGGCAGATCAAGAAGGTGTATAGGCTAGTTAACAACGGCGCGATGACGGCAGAACCGCTCGGGCTCAACGTGAATGACTGTGGCCTCGCACGCGCTCCTCGAGTTTCCGAAGTACAGCAAAGAATTCCATCTGCCTGGTGAACTCTACATGAAGAGCTTTAAGGTTGTCCTGAGACTCCCGACATGGTTGACGAACTGCATCATCGTCTTGCCTTGGAGTAGGAAGGACCGTTGCAAATTTGACTCGGCGGAGGTATCGGAAGCGCTGGATTTTTAATCTTTCCAGCGCCTGGTTGGCATTGGCATTGGCCTCAGTGATGTTGTACTCAAAAAGCTCACGAAAAGCGCGGCCTGGAACTTCTATTTCGCTGTGAGAGTCTGCTTCAGATGGTGGACATCTAGGTGACTGCTGATCCTCTCGATCAACTCTTGAGGCAAGTGCTCCATGGCGGAGTTGGATATGAGATGGAAATCGCTGAGGTGAGCCGAATCATGATATTGTGATTGATGTAATGTGGGGTGACGCGATCAGGCTAGTCCGAAGGCAGCTCAGCGCGGCTGACCTTATCCTCGGTTTCACCGTTTGATTGGCGGTAACGTTGAACTGAATCTTACTCCTACCATCAACGACTCTGGAAAATACTATATTGGGAAGTTTGAGCGGCGGTAACGTCCAGGTCGGATCTTTCGCAGACAACGAAGCTCAAAAAGTGCCACATCAGGAAGTTTCAGATCTGATATGATTGGCCGTAGTCTTGCAAGACCGATCACATCGAGTGAGACTCTCCTTCCTCTGCGCCTGCGTTGAACGATGTTTGCATAAAATAAACGAGCAGGGTCGATTTTAGCTGGTGTCTTGACTCCAGCTTGTTGCTTTCCATCAGCTATCACCTCGACTAGTCCTCTGCCCTCCTACTTCTATGGTACACCCCAACCCAGAAATGCCGCGTAAACCACCCCCAACACCAACTCAAGACCTGGATTCGACTCGCCGACCAAGCAACACCATACCCATCCCATGTCCACCACCGAGAGGCCCACCAAGCAGCACCCTCGCAAATCCGCGTCTGCGCCAAACAGCGGCGTCTCGTGGCCTCGCGCGCGCTAACGCTACCACCGTCCCGGAGCTCGGTGCTATCGATAGATCATGGGGCGCCTTGAGAAACGACGTCTGCATGCCAGACGCTAGAACGGTGTTTTCTTCATCGAGGTGGATATGTTCTACCGTCTGGCATGCCCAATCTCTAGATTGAGACATGCAGGCCTTTTTGGGATGCGGAAGTCAGCGGATTGGGTTAGCTAGGTGACAACAGACAGACTGAGGTCCGACGCGAAAGTCCGAGCAATAATCGGAGGCCTTTTTCTCTTCCTCGTCATGCGCGTTCTCGATATAGCGATCTGAGCCAATACCTCGGCCTCGGGACCTGAACGACAACCATGCCTGTGCCCGATTCCATAGTGTCAATAGACCAGGACCGCGCCCATCCCGCGATCTATCTATTCCGAGCGCCCAACCCGCGCGACCGCGTTCCAGAAAATATTGACAGTCCAAGTACATTTCTGACTCAAGGCTAGCGCTACAAGCACATACCCTCTCACATGCGGTCAGAACTATCGCCTTCGTATCTGCACGCACGCGCGAAGTCCGGTCGCTTGCGCAGTCAGCATTCTGTCCCATCGTCGTCTGGCAGCCTGGTCTGAGCGCAATGTCCGCCCGTCCTCGCCCATCCATCCTATCAAAACCTACTCCGGAACGAGAACCCCAAATTTCTCCCACGGCACGCAATATTTCTCACAAGAAATTGGCGACAGTCAGCCATAAACCTCCGCCCACGCGCCCCTGCAATTTACACTCCTCACCGCGCCCGGTACGCTAAGATAGCGGGCTGTTATCGCTGCGCGCCGGGTGGGCCAGGGCCAGCGCCAGAGGGTACCTACCGTGTGATGTAGAGTGTGTGCACGTGCGACAGGAGATGAGGCGGAAGATTTACGCCTGCATTGGAAGGCGTGGAGCTTACGAAGCAATGGGGTGGAATGCGATGGGGATGCTTGAGTGAAGGGTGGAGATGGCGGAAGTGACGTGTCGCTGACAGTGTTATTTTCGTTCGCGGGTTTATGCGGTGGGCTGGGGTGATGCTGGTGGGGAGGGCGACGTGGAGTGTACGTGGAGTGTGCGTGGACGGTGGCTTTGCCTTGCTTCGCTTTCTCCAGTGATGCCTGGGCGGGAGCCCTTGTCATACCAGGGATACACTAAGCTATCGAGATGCACGATGAAAGCGATGCGAACATGATTGTAACACCAAGTGGAAGAATCAGTGAATGTATTCAGGAATCCCTCAGCAAAAAGAATATAAATCCCCGCAAACCGTTGGCAGTCTGTTCCAATTCCAATCCGGGTATATATTGATCGAAGCACCCTTGATCCCCTCTCATCTCAGAGAGCGAAGATAAATGAAGAAAAAAAGCTCGCTCGGGGAAGCAGTCGCAGTTCTGCAACTCTCTCCCTCTTGCCATGTAGGCCGAGCCAGCCAGTGAAGAATCGTCTTTACATCGTTAACGGAAAGCAAACCCAAACGCCGAGTGAATGGCCGTGGAGACCTATCAGCCCAGTCCATAGAAACGCCACGTTCATCCCATCCCATCAACCTAGAACTTCCCATCCAGCACCTCGAAGATCCCGACCGTGGCCCCGGCCTCCCCCAGACTCGGACGAGGTTCCAAAACCTCGAGCTCGTGCTCAAACAGGTGCTTCTCCTCCTCCATCTCGAGGTCCAGCACTGACGGCTTGCGGCGCAGCATGAGCAGGTTGCGGATGCTCTCGATGGAGCCCGAGCTGCGGTGGCTGTCGGGGGAGCCGGTGCGGCCGCGGGCCAGCGGCGAGGTGGTGCCGGTGGACGAGGGCGAGATGCTGCGGGAAGAGCGCGTGGGCGAGAAGGCGGTGCGCAGGCGGCGGAGGGAGGTGCTGGGGGTGCGGACGGGGGAGCCGAAGGAAAAGCGGTTGGTGCGGGTGTTGGCCATTGTGGATGGTGAGGAAGGTTGAGATGAGGAGTGTTGGTGGTGTGTATTACTTTGTTGCTAAGTCAATTGGCGCGTGACAAGCAACTGGTCGTGTTTGGGACGGCTTGGTGTGGTTTGCTTTGGAGCAGCGAATGTGAGCGTTCAACAGGTCCAGCTGTCCAGCGTAAAGAGTGTAGGTCTTGTTGACAAGCAGATGAGATCAGATCCCTCGGGGCGTGCGGTGTAGCGTTACACGGCGTGGCGGTCTCAGTGTATGTATGCTATGGTGCTCAAGGTATGTATGTACGGAAACCAGCTCTCGGAGTCTCAGCCGAAAGAAGATGCTCAGCTGTGGGTGCGTCGAGCAGGAGAGAACAGAGAGCAGACAGAAACGAATGAAGGTCAGGAATGCAAAGAGTCCTCGGATGAAAAAGATGACACGGCAGCTCCAGCGGACGGACCTTTGTTTAAGCACTTTCGCTCGCAAGCTGCCCGCCCACGTCAAACGGGCGCTGCATGCTCATCATACGCCGTCCGGGCCAGCCTAGCGAACGCTAGTCTACCACACAAGACGAACCACGCACTCGAAACCAGCGGCCCCCCTGCGCACCACAGAACGAACTGCTTCCTTACAGACTCCCTGTTTGATCGCCCGGCAGGGTGCCTGCCTGCAGCTCCCGATCGGGCGACGGAACAAGCATCCTGCGTGCCTCCAACTGCGAGGGCATAATTTCCGCCGCCGGAGCCTGCTCGCTGGCACCTCAGTGACGGCCAGCGCTGCGTAATCGCTCCATCACGGCGTGGAGCGCGCCTTGCGGGTCCGTCCGGCCATTCCTGCAAGGACCGCGCTCTCCGGCTGACCACTGACGTCCTCATCGACGCGTCGCGCGCCTGGAGTGCTCACCACCAAGGGAGAAACATCTGGGCTGCCACCTTGCCTCCACCAGCCGTCTAGCGCAGCACCTCGCCGTTGCTCCTCCCGTCAGAAGCTCGCCAGCCGCGCACCTGAGCCGCTCCGTGTCTCTGACAGCCCATCTCGCCTGTCTCAAGTCCGGAGCGACGACTTCAGATGCGAGGCCCATGCGGCGGCCAAGCTGTCTGAGAGCCCCGCCAGATGCGCCAGCCGAGTTTCACCATGAGCGCAGCCCGTATAGACGCGTCCACAAACAAGCACGCCCGCCTGGCGTACCAAGTCAACACTTTTCGATGCCAGAAATTTGAATGCTTTGATGAAGCGCATGAGGCTACTCGAATGCTTGCCAACCAGCGCCGTCGCTATGCAGCCCCTGCGAGAAGAATTACAAAAAAGCTCCTCCGCCCGCCAATTACCTCGCCCAAACCCCTTCCCCACAACCCCAAACCGTCCATCACCTCTCACGCCAGCTCGTTGACACATATGTATGCGCTGAATATATGCACAAACGCAAAAGTAGAAGAAATTCCGAATGCGCCATAAATGCCTCTTCGTGGTAGCGCCATTCCCAGACAGGAGTTCCAAACGTCAATGCAACCGTGTTCGTGTGTGCGGGATGCCCCTGTACAGGCACCTGCGACCTGTTCTGAGGCCGACACAGGGCCTGCTTCCCGCGGCCCTGCACCATGCACCCCTCTCCATCGTCATATCGTAGATCATCCGCGTTCGAGACAACAAACGGGCACCTTTCCTGAGACCAATAGGAGATGTGCGAGCACATCGGCTCACCTCCCGCCCGACCGCCGCTGGGTGAAACTCCTGCGGATACTCTCGCCCCAGGCTGAGTTGTCGAGTACCTCCAAAACGTCGGCTGCACTGACAGCACTGTTTTGCCTGCTGCGGTTCCCCGTGGAGCTTGGTGCGGCTAGCTCTCCCTCGCCCTCAAGCGGACTAGGGGGTCGGCTGAGTGCTGATGCGAACTGCCACTCGCCGTCCGGTGGTGGGGAGAACGGCGACATTTGTGGCGACGTGCGTGTGGGCGAGAGAGGGTTCGGTCTCGTGGGTGAACCGAGTGGCGTGGTCTGTATTGAGTTGGCTCGGCTTCTCAATGTCATGTCGGCTGGTGGTGATGGAGCCCTCGCGTCGCTGCCTGAGGCTCGCCAGCCTCCTGTGTCTGTGTTTGAATGCACTGGTGACAGCATTGGACTGCCTGTGATAGACCGTTGTCCTCGCTCCGCATCCACAGCGTCTTCATCGTCGATGAAGATCTCTGGTACTGTAAACTGCGGTACAGCAGTCATACGGCCGTGCTCCTTTTGCTGCTGTACGCGGCGGAACCTTCGCGACCAGTATAGAGTGTCGAAGAATCCTATAACGACATTTCGCCGCACAGCCTCTTCCACGCGTTGAAGGCGGGCTCGACGTCGCAGGAACTCCTCTAGTCTGATATCGCATGTTAGCAGTGTGCATACTTGGGGGGCTCCATATTCTTACCTTAAGCTCTTATTATCATTAATAACCTTGTGATGAGCCAAAATCATGAGCAGTGAAGTGAATTGGATGCCGCGATCGGGATCACTCGACACGATTACTTCCTCGTAAAAGGTGTTCATGCGCATTCGCCGTCGCCGGATCTCGGCAATAGGAAGCTCAGCCAACCGCCGGTTGAGTTTCTTGATATCGATCTCGACAGGCTCCTTCTGGCCTTGCACGGGTAGTCCCGAGGTTCTTCTAGAGTTTGTGCTACATTCTTCGATCAGACTTCCTACGGTGAAATCGCCGTCGTAGATTCGCATTTCGAAGATGCCGGAGAGTTCTCCCAGCAATCGAGGGAATTGATCTTTGGTTATAAATCCAGTGCCGTTGGGATCAAACTCAGCCCAAGCCTGTTTGAAGCGACGAATCTCTTCTCGGCTAATGACCGACAGCCCACTGCTTCGCTGATACACGTAACTGAAACTTTCGTATATCAACGACACGAAGAGATTGACGAAGATATACATGCTCAGGATGTTCCAGGTGACGAACAAAGCACGGGCCCACTCCGGGCTGCCGCAATCGCTTTCAAAGTACCTTTCTCCATCAGTACAGTAGGGGTGATCGATCGACGCGAAGTCTTCCATCAGCTCATTCCATCCCTCACCCGTGCTTGTTCGGAAGAGCAGGATGAGGGCTTTCGGAACGCTTCGAAAGTTGATGTTTCCAGTCTCATTCTCGCCAAACCGCGTCAATCCGAAGGTCTGGGTGAGAGCGATGGCATACACCAAGAATAGTACGAACCAAGTCGCCAGAAGGTTCATGATGGACGCCAAACTTGCTGCGGCCGTCTTGAAGAGTTGATCCAGTTGGTTGTTCCTGGGAATGAGAAGCAGAGCAATCGACACCAATCCCAGCTTATGGAGTTGAGCAAAGACTCGTTCGCTGTTGTTAGTCAATCGAAGAATCGAAGTAACAAATGTACCCGATACTGCGAAAATCGAGAACACATCCCAGGAGCTTTTGCGGAATCGATGCCAGGATAGACCGATGATCCGAATGACCACATTGGCGATGAATATGATCGTGAAAAGGAGGAAGATATAGTCGCGAACTTGCTCCCATATACCATATCCGGGGTACCACTCCAGGCAAAGGAGGACCAGGTGAGCAAGAAGCAACCCAGTTATGAACCGTTGCCAACTACCAGTCTTGCGGACAGCACGTCTGTAACACCACTCTTCCCACGTCTCTCGCACCTTTGTTGAGGATGGTCGTTTCGACGGCGAAACTTGACGTAGCAACTTCCTCAGCTCAAGCCATGAACGCTGGTCTGTGGTGAGGAAAGCGACACCGGTCTGTTCTGTGTAATTGCGCATGAAGACAGATACAAAGAGTGTCAACACGAAGACAGCGCCAAGCAAGTTGAAAATGACAAAGTAGAGAGCATTCCCCTGGGAAGCAAACGGAGCAGGCTGGGTGAATACGCCGGTGATCTGTTCAGATGCCCACATAACGTCGATCCATCCTTCCTGTGACACAATCTGAAATAGGATAAACAGGGAGTTACCGAAGTTATCAAAATCGTAGTACGGGTTGGAAGCCCGGCGCGGGGCGAGGACGTTCCAGTCGTCGTTGAAAGGATTGCTGTCGTACTCGCTGACGCAGTCGTGCAAATCAAAGATATTTGAGCCATCGTCATTGCACGATTGCATACGTCCTACGAATAGGTTTAGCCCGTAGATGGCGAAAGGAATGAGCAAGCTCAGAGAGACAAAAGCGGCCTAGTAATGTTAGCGGTGCGGTATAAGGATGGTTAGTGATCATACCGAGATTAGTTTCCACCAGCCGCGGACGATAAGGGAGTGGAAGTGATTTCGTGCACTGTCACTGATGTTGAGGAGACGCAGGGCACGTAGGGCTTTGAATGCGCCTACGGTACGAGTGATCTGGCCCTCATTGAGCAACGAAGTTATGACGTTAATCCAGAGTGTGATGAGCACCACGCCATCAATAAAACCCCACGAGCCGCGGAAGTATGCGTTTGGTGTGAAAAGGAAGCCATCCGCGATGACTTTGATCAAAGCTTCTGCAGTGAACAAGACAGCAAAGCCCAGATCTGTCCACACGAACCAATTGCGAACGCTAAATTCGTGAGTCTTGAAATACTCTCTTTGATATAGCGGTGTCGTTATGCAAGCAAGAAGCACCATGGCGATGATGGCGGCATAGATGAAAGCCGAGAACGTGTACCAGATGGGCACCGACGGGGCAACACCTTCTATACGGTCTTTGCCACGTCCTGGACCTACGATATTTTGGCAGAACCTGCGGACCGGGTTGTAGGGCCTGAATATGAAAAGGGAGACATTGTAGTTTGGATGTTTCCGGAGATAGTCGCGTTGTGCTTTCTTTCTCTTCTCTGTCGCATCGACTACCTCTTTCGCCATCCTCCTGGGATCGAGATCTTCGTAGGCGCGTCCAAAATCAAGAGGAGCATAGAATGGATTCGGCTCTCGATTGCTGATTCGCCGCTTGAGACGTTGCCAAAATGTTGACATGGCTCCCGATCCTACAATTGTTGGTGCTGGTCGAATCCCAGGCTGCGGTTCTTCGTCATGTGGACTATCGTCTCCGTCGTCAAGAAAATCACGAACTACAGCATCTTTGAGAAGCATCTCTGTGGCAGCAGATCCGTAGTCCAGTGGGTCTTTCCGGCTGGCGTGGCCCAACTTGAAAATGGAAGATAGTGACAGATTTCCATCGGATGAGTTGAATCCCTGCTCTTTGTTCTGCAGAAATGCCTTGACCTGCTGCAGGCGCTTTTCATCTTCAGAGACATCGAAGTTTTCCTGAATGACAGCAATGAACATATTCAGGACGATAAAGTTCGCGAAGATGAACCAGATGATACAAAACGTGGCCCCGATCCAGGATGTTCCCCATGTTTCTGTAGAAGTGGTGACGCTGTACATTATAGTGGTCCAGTTCTCACTTGAGAGTATTTGGTACATCCCGAGGAAAGAGTTGTATATTGTGAAGAAGGATACCACGAGGGTGTCTCCATCTTGTTCGGGCGGGACCTCTCCACGAAAGAGTTGTGCCGCAAATATAGAGGCGAGGAAGGTCAGGAGAAACACGAACAAAATCAGGTTGAGCAAACCGCCAACATTGCCAAGAACGATCATCTATCAGAGTTAGTCATCGACGAGTATGAGGTGAGATGTGACTTACAATAAGATCACGCGTCATCGGTACGGCCAAGACGACTCGATAGATTCGAATGATCTGGAAGACGGAGAGCCAGGCGTATGCCCGCCCGCCATGTGACTCTTTGATTGCTGGAATCTGTATCACTACTGTGATGATTGCGATGAGCAGATCTGTGATGTTCTGCTTGCCCCTGAAGAAGTGTCTCCAATCAACGATGAACCGAATGATGATCTCAAGCAGTAACAGAAAAGTGACGCCAATCTCAGACCTGTCTATGAACTTGGCGCGTGAAGGCGACATGTTTGCGCTTTTCAAAGCCTGAGCGATGAGTCCATACGAAATGATCAGAATCCAAACCCAGGAAGTCCTCTCATAAAACTTTTTCAGGTTGCTCACGCGTTGTTTCGGGAGGTTGTCTTGATCTTCCTCTTCTATATGTTCTCCAGTGAAAGCACTTGTCTTGCTCTCTTCACGTATGATCTGGAACGACGACGTAATGACTGCGATCAGCAAAGATATAAGCCAGAGAGACAGAATGAGGATCCCGCCGGCAAAGAACAGCGCGCCTATGAGGTAATCGCTATCTGCAATGGTATAAAGCAGGTCGGAGTACGTGTTCGAAGACATAATGACAAAGACCAATTGCAGAGATTGCAGGATGTTGTCGAAGCTCTGTGTGCCGCTGTAAGGATTTGTACCCTCTATGCACAGCGATCCTTTCGGGCAAAGGAATCCTTTGTCCGTCCCTGCTGGCATTCCAGGAGCTGGGATATAAGGTTGGGGGTGAATGCCAGGGACGTTTTCGAGATGACCACCGCAGAACTGTTCTTCGTTCGTGAAGTTACTTTGGCCTTGAGGATCGATCCAGACACAATGCCTTCTGAAGCTCGATTTAAAGCTCTGAACACCAACGATGGCAAACAGAAGCCAGAAGAAGCTGATCAGGAAGGCAACGTTCACAAGTAAAGGCGCCGCTTTTTTCAGACTTCTCAAGATGACTGCAGTACCACTCGTCAAGTTGAGAAGGCGGATAATGCGCAGACAACTTAGCATCTTAAAGATGTAAATATGCTTGTCATGTTCAACGCCAGTGAGACCAAGAACAAATGAGATCCAGAATGAGACCACAGCTACAAAATCGGTCCTATTGAAAGAGTGACGTAAGTAAGCCCGATGCGCGAGACGGGCTCGTTGTTGGTCTCTCGAGTTTCCAGGGCCGATGGTTGGGTTGATTTGTGCGGTTGTGAAGGTCCGGAAGACCGAGGGAATCTGCTCGATGCTGGTTTCGGCACGCTTAATCGACGGCTGTCGCTGAGGCCCAAATAACTTGCGTGCATTTCCAAGAACGGCCTGCCTGAAGCCGACCTGCCTGTTAATGGTACTGTATTCCGGAGCATTGATGATGAAACCTGACACAATGATTCGAATGATCGTTTCAAGAGTGTAAACAACGAACAGCCCTAGTATTGCATAATCGATATCGTTGGAACCCCATTCCTTCGTCCTAGGGAAATTGTATACGTCTTTGCTTGCGTCTACGGCAAGCAGCACAGTTTGAACGACAATGAGCAGGAGTAGCAAAGGTTCAGTGACAGGGTGGACTAGGAGGTCACTGAGCTTCAAGCGCAGCTTGTTGTCGGGGCCAAATATGCCCAGCGACCTCCCGCGAAAAGGGTTCGACGGACGTTGCCACTGCGCGCTGGATTTTGCTTCTATTGGCGAGGGTGGCTTTTCGATCGGCGAGGCGAGGGGAGAAGAAGGTCCGTCATGAAGGTATGTTGGCAGTGCAGGGAACGAAGGTGGTTCCTGGAGGCGATCTTGAGGGTGGCGCACTGACGACTTCCTGCGCATCGTTCGCGCCGCAATCTCGGGTTCGTTACTGATGTTGACGACACGCTGGGACATGTTACGCATTATGGTCCCTGCGCGATGCAGCGGCGACTCAATGCTGCCGGGAGAGAGCGACCGCTTCCGGCCGGTCGACGTCCGCAGGCCACCCGGCGAATGCTGCTCGAGATCGTGTCCCAGGCTTGGTCCAGTGGTGGATCCTCCCGGTGTGAGAAATCGCACGCTCTGGAAGCTGGAACGGTTGCCTGGCGTGGAAGAAAGCGGTGCTGCGGCACCGCTCACAGGCTGGAGATTTTGCGCATCGGTCAGGTGTGCCGTGTCCCTGTCGTCGTAGGTGGATGCAGCGTAGAAGCTATGATCCTCCGAGGTGCTCCTGCCCAGATAAGGGTCGCTGCCGTATTGGGGGTACGACTGCGCGGGCGTCATGGGAGGGCCCAATGGCGGGGATGTCTCGCCCTGGAAGCCCAGGCCTGAGAAGCCGATTGCAGCTTGGAACGCGCCGATGTCCACAGGCGAAAAGTCGCCATCGTCCTCAACGTGCGTCGGGCGCCGCGATGCACCGGCTGCGGTGTCGAGCTGTGGGCGTCCGCCCGTGCGGGTGCGCGTTGGGCTGGGCGACGTTTCTGTTTCGGCGATGGGTGCGTACTGCGAGTTCCATGGCTGTCCCGAAGCCAGTTGTCCAGAGTGTCTCAGCAGCTGCCGTCCGCGGTCGCTCAGCGTCCTGCGGTGCTGGCGATGCTGCTGCGCCCCCTGGTGTCGCTCTCCATCGTGGTCGTCCGGCGGGCGGTGGAGGTCGCGCAAGGGTATCGACTGATGAGTCTGGCTTCGGCGGTGGATGTTGTTGTTGTGAGGGTCGGGGGAGGACATTGGAGCGGGTGGTGCTCGCGCGTGGTGCGCAATCTACATTGAGTCGCGCTTCTTCAGCTCATGCGCTGCGCAGAGGCAACATTAAGGATGGCGGGTGTGGTACGGAGGAGGGGCCTAGCAGCGCGGTGGAAAGCGAGTGTACGGGCAACGGCACAGCAGAGGCAGCGGTGCGAAGGAGGCGCGGTAGGGAATAGGGATGTGGTCACGGTGTAGGCGCAGGAAAAGTTACGAGCTGACAACCCTGAGGTCGATACCGTCTAGTACTAGACACACGGCACCAACGGCTGTGCCCTGGACGCGCACCCCCGATCCTGGCTGTTCATGGAGGCCGAGCGGGCCAGCCCTAATACCTGCAGATAACCGTCTCGGCACCGACACGCGTATTTTTAGCTACCGCAGCAGTGCGACCTGTGCCTGGCAACGTCGCAGCGTTCTTTCCATCTTGCTGTCATGGTAGAGAGACTGCATGCTGGATGAGCTGCCATCAACGGTCCTCGCAGAAATGGCTTACATCTCTAGGACGGTTTCGCAACACACCATGTCGCGAGTTGACACATTACCGACTGCACGACATGTTCAAGGTTGCTTGCTGGACATGTGACTATCAAAGCGAATGAAACCGCTCTTTGATTTGAATTGACAGTCTCTTACCATGCATAGAGTGCATATGTACTGTTGCCAAAGCTACATGTCGCTAACAGCACTCGTACGCAGGATGTCCCCGACCCCATCACTCCCACTGTCGCCGTGTTGGTAGACATCACCTACATGGATTGCGGCTTGAACGATAAGTCTGCAGCAAACATATGGTCAGCCATGGCAGCTGAGTATCCAATCCCTGCGTTCTCAAGAGGCACAGGCTGCATCGTCTGCATCGGGTCTGAGGCAGTCGCCGAACATCGTGGAAAACAGCTCAGGTGACCCTCGAGGATCTGATGCATCGTGTAGGATTCGGGTTCATCCAAAGAGGTTGTCGCGTGAAGACTTGAGGCTAAGGCGAGGCTGCCCACGTCCCACGCTCGATGATGCACGGTGGCCGAAAACGGACTAGCGCAATTAACGCCGCGGGAAAGTGCAACCATCCTCACGTTCCTGGCTGTCTCCCAAGGTCCCATTACACAAACCGCCCACCCAGCCCATTCGCTCGCGATATTTCTACTTTGCACGCGCCGCGCAGGTAGATATACACGCCACTTCCCCATCGACGTACACCGCTCGAACCGCCGGCCCTGCGAAACGCGTCGCCGCCTGGCTCGCACCGCGAAAATGGTCGCGAGAAAGCGCGGTCGGGATGAGATGGAGACGGAAGCGCCAGTCGAGGAGCCGACCACGCTGCAGAAGCTACGCAACATGTGGCAGTTCGCGAACCTGGCCCAATACATTTTCCTGTTCAAAGGGGCTCTGAAGATTGACGAAGACTTCGGGATTGAGGTACGCGTTTGCGCCCGGCGCGCTCACAGAGCACACCGGACATACACCGCGCAATGCATGCTGACCATTGCGCAGGAACTAGAGACAGAATGCCTCACGCCTCAGCCCTCGCAGATGCTGGCCGCTATCGGTCTTGCCCTGCTCAAGCATGTCTCGTCGCACAAAGGCCTCACGTACGTGCGTTTCCTCCCACTGACCCACGCGGACATTAACGCACGTTAGACCCGAGATTTTTGATGAATACACGCGACGCCAGTTCGTGGCGAAAGCCCCGGCGCGCAACCCTTTCGGCACTGAGGAGGTTCCCAATAGGTTTGACGACTTCGACGTCTTCACCAAGATCAGAGTACTTCAACAACTGTCTGTCTGGACGCTGAACAACCCAAACACCATCAGGGAACGGCTCAACCCGACTGAGGCGGAGCAAATAGATTGGGTAAGACTTCCTGTTGCGCCAGCACCGCCCACCGATAACTGACCGCACCAGCGCTTCAATCCCTTCGGATACGATTCAAAAGGCCGCACAATCTTCGTGCTTGATGACATGCGCATGTATCGCCGGACCGACGCGCCGCCCCCGCCGCCCCCCCAAAAAGCCAAGTCGAAAGCCAAAGCTCGCAAATCGCGCTCGTCACGGACTTCCAAGAGGAGGAAGACTTCCACACCAGAGCCTGAGGAGCCTGAAGAGGTGGACGAAGTCACTGAGGGGAACGATGCTGAAGCTGAGGACGATGGCTTCGGCGGCATGCAATGGGAATGTGTCTGCATCACATATGAAGATTACCAGGACTATCTGACCGGCATCCGCAAGAGCCGCCACCCCGATGAGAAGCAATTATATAAGGACCTAGAAGCAGACATCATACCGGAGCTTGCCAAGGTGGCAGAAGCCCAGGCCAGGAAAGAAGCCAAGAAGATGAGGGAGCTTGAGACCCTTCAGAAGCTTGCTACCGCCAAACGTTCGTCAAGAATCTCTGCGAAAATGGACAGGCAACGGGAGATCGAGGAGGCTGAAGAGGCAGCGCGGAAACGACAAGAAGAGATTGCCATGGCAAAAGCTGAACAAGAGAAGCAGCGTCATATGGAAGATGTGAGTGCCAGAGGATCTAATAATTGTTGCTTTGACTGACATCACTTAGGCACATGAGTCTCGCAGACAAACACGAGAGCAACGTATTCGCGAGCGCGAGGCCCAAAAGATCCTACAAGAAGAGAACCTCCGGAAATTGGAAGAAGATGAGAAGAAACTGGCTTCAGAGGAGGCAAGACTATCCGAACGCCATCTTACAGCACAGATGAAGAAGGCCAAGAGAGATCTAGAGAGACTGAAGGAGAAAGAGTACTGGCTTTTCGACTGTGAGAAGTGCGGGCTGAATGGAGAATGCATCGATGACGGCAAGCCCCAGATTCAGTGCGACGAGAAAGATGGATGTGGCGTATGGCAGCACTCGGCCTGTCACGGCATATCTGCAAAGCGGGCAGAGGCAGAGGATTTCAAATTTCTATGCGCTTCATGCACACGAAAGCAGCAAGCCGCAAAGGAACCTAAGCTTGCTCTTAAACTTAGACTAACATCTGCCTCACCCAACGCGCAACGCACTCTGCAGACGAATGGCACCGTGCCAAAGGAACCCTCTCAGCAGCTCAACGCCGTCGAAGTGCCCCCTCAACCGTTTCCTCAATCCCCCGAACGTCCGTTCAATCCTGGCCATTCTCTGATGAACGGTCCCAGTCTCTCGCCTCGAGGGCAAGCTCTTGGTCCTCCAGGTATCCAGCGATCAGAGGCAGCATACGGTTCGCCATTGATACCTGCCGGCAGCAGTTCACCGACTCGCCCTCGGCAGCCCAGTGTACACGGTGGCGCCAATGGATTTCCCGGTTCATCACCACCTAGGCTCCCTCCGCATGCCATCAGCTCCTTCAACAATGGCACGCCGGGGTCACGCCAGAATGGGAGTCCTTTCAACACCACAAACCCCTTTCAATCGAATTTCCACCCCACATACAACAGCAGCTTCAGTCGACCCACGTCTGCTGCCGGCACCACATCCTTTGGCTCTCCTGTAAAACATTCTTCACCTCGTCCTGTCAACGGTGTGCCGAACGGCTACAACTTCACGAATAGCCCTTACTCTTCCTTTCCCCCTAGCAATGTCCAAGCTTCGGCTATGTCCCCCATAAAGCACAGCTCACCGCCGCCACCGCTTCCTCAGATGTCATCGCCGGCGCCAGCTCCTGTTTCATTCATTGCGCCATCCCCAAGCCAGATGCCTGCACAGATATTGCCGGATCCAATCCCTGCGCCGTTAAAGCATGACGGCGCACGTCCGCCATCGAGTCACGAGGTGTCAGAGACCCACGTATTCCCGCCACTCAAGGCCTTATCGCCAATCGTTCCTCCTCAAAATCTCAGTCCGCCCACGAAGAAGTCGTCGCCGGCACCACTACGGACATACGACGCATCAACGAACGGGAACCCTTTTGACAGCTCCAACTAGGTGCGAGACGTATTATCGGGTTCGAGGATTTTCACTGCCGAAGAGCTAAAACACTTGATGACTATTGGGGCTTCTACATGATAGGGGAAATGTATTACTACAAACGCAGGTCGGCCAGCTTTGATATCATGGTAGGGCTCACTTAGTATTGCAGCTATTCGCTGCGAGTTTGGAACAGCATACGGCGTTATTGACATCTTGCGTTTGGATTACTAAAGTTGATGCACGTTTCTGGGCACAGGAGAGAGGTTACTGGATATTCATGTCTGATGTATTAGTGTACTTTTAACAGCGCGTTGCTGTACGCGAAGTAGTCAAACTATTGAGATGTTCATGTTGCAGTCATTCGGCGTCATTTGGTTCTATAATGAAAGTTGAACAACGTGGAGTGGGCGAAGATTAGGTATTGAGCTTTGCACGTGTTCAGGCGGCTTGCCCAGGTGCCCCAGAACGGGGCGCTTCGTCCCCGCAACCCGCGGATGCGGGGTAAGCTTAGTGAAATCGAGCACGCATGTGTGGATGGACTTGGCGACGAGCAGAAAGACATTGTTTCAATCATTCGTCTAATTCAAGGGTGTTTGCTCTTCTGCTAAACACGCCTACAGCGTGTTTGAAAGGGTCGGCTTTCTGGCATGTGGTTCAGCTTTCACACATGAGATGACGCCAGCATGCCCAGAGACTATGATCCGCTACCATCGCAGCGTAAACACTGTTGGTCCATCTCCTTTGATAGTAAGAAACGGGGGCCTTGACAATTGGTCGGTCGACATCCGATCAACACATGCAGGCCAGTCTTGGACAAATGGATGCATCAGCGGCTAGCATGCGATCATCACAGCTTACCACGTGCGACCATGCATCTAGTTGCGGAAACGGTGCGGGGGCTTTCCGTTCACGACGCGCATCGCTGCATAAAGAGCGTGGGAGCTTACTCGGCTGTCCCAGGCCATCCTGCGCTTGTGGTCGATACCAGCACTTAAGGTAGGTCTCATTTGTTGCTGCAGACTGCCGCAATCATGTCTCTTGAGCGTATTGATTCCGTCGATCCTTCGGATACTTACGATTATATTATATGCGGGTACGATTGCATGCATGTCTGTGGGTGTGCTCATAACTTCGGAACCTCACAGCTTCTACTTCCTTCAACGCAAGTAAAAGCTGACCGGTAAACAGAGGCGGTACATCCGGCTGCGTGATCGCCGGACGCTTAGCTGAGGATCTCAATGTCAAAGTCCTCGTGCTTGAGGCCGGGCCTGACAATGCAGACCTCGAGAATGTGCATATGGCTGGTGGATGGAGCAAGAATTTCGACAGTGAGACAGACTGGAATCTTGTCACTGAGCCTATGAAGACAATCGATGATAGGCAGGTCAAGGTTAGCCGGGGCCGGTTTCTCGGAGGGTCGAGTGGTGTCAATGGCACGTTGTGTATTCGTGGGACGAAGCAAGACTATGATGACTGGGGACTAGACGAATGGACAGGGGACAAGATGTTTGCTTATATGAAAAAGGTATGTTTGATTCTATTTTTCCGGTCGAAACGCTGACGATGTGCAGGCAGAGACGTTCCACGAGAAAGATTGGCACAAGGCGAATATGTCTGTCCACGGAACCAGCGGGCCTTTGCACATGGAGCCACATGATCTGGCGCCGATTTCAGAGCGTGTGAAAGAGAGTATGGTTGATCTGGGACTACCTTACCATCCCGATATGTTTTCCACAGGCGAGACGCCACATGGCTGCGGCGACGTACCACGCACTGTGCACCAGGGCATCAGGACCACGGCCGCAGACTTCATCACTAAGGATTACAAGCGAGAGAACATCAGCATCAAGACAGAGGTCACTGTAGACAGGGTTGTGTTCAGTCAGGATGCGGGTGAGCTGACTGCGTGTGGTGTTGCTACAATCTCGAAGGATGGCAGGAAAGTCGAGTACCAAGCACGGAAAGAAGTGATTGTCGCCGGGGGTGCGTATTGCAGTCCTCCGATCTTAATGCGCTCTGGCCTCGGGCCCAAAGAACACTTAGAGAAGCACGGCATCAAGTGTCTCGTCGACCTCCCCGGCGTGGGCGGAAATCTCATGGACCACGTCGTAAGTATCTCGCAGGGTGTCAATGAAACTTGCAGTTTCTTACAACCGTCAAGAAAATGCAGTTTTTATTGACAACCAGTGCGTACCTTGGTGCAGCCAAGAATTACTCCAAGCTAATTCCTCCCACAGCTCTGCTTCATCTTCTACGAAGTCTCAGAACCCAACCTCACGAATGACTACCTCGCCTACCACGACAACGCTCTTGCTTCAACTTACGCGCTCTACCAAGAGAAAAAAACTGGCATCCTGTCCACCTTCCCCTTCGGCATCTTCGGCTACGCGCGGCTAGACGAGCGTCTCAAAGACTCCGAACTCTGGCAAAACGCGAAACGCGAGCCAGGCAGAGACCCCATGGGCCTGGCTCCATCACAACCGAACATCGAGTTCTGGAACACGGAGCTGTACGGCGGACCGAAACAGTACACCGACTTCCCCGTCGACCATAAACACGTCTTCTCGCTGTGCGCGCTGCTGTTCAACCAGCACTCGCGTGGTTCAGTGACGCTGAAGTCGAAGGATCCGCTCGAGAACCCGGTCGTCGACCACAACTACCTCAGCGACCCGCTGGACATGCTAGTGCTCAGCGAGGGCTGCAGATTTGCGAATGAGATTGTGATGAAGGGGAAAGGGACGAGGAATGTGGTTAAGGGGAGCTGGCCGGCGGATTTGACGCATCATGAGAATAAGACAAGGGAGGATTGGGAAGAGCATGTGAGAAAGCATGCTACGACATGTGAGTCTTACTACTATATCTTTTTACCAAGGTTCTGACTATGGATCTAGGCTACCATGCATCAGGCACATGCGCGATGGGAAAGCCGGATGACAGGAATGCCGTGCTGGATGCACGCTTGAGGGTCCGTGGCGTGCGGAATCTGCGCGTCGCGGATGTTTCTTCGGTCCCGCAAGTCAACAATGGACATACGCAGATGGTGGCGTATGGTATTGGCGAGGGCGCAGCTGAGATGATCAAGGAGGATGCTCAGAGGTTGTTGCCGAAATTGGTGCATCAGGTAGCTAAGCTGGCTGTGTAGAGCATCACTTCCAGCCTTCGGTGCCTGCGCACCGTTCTCCTCTGGGCCTGCGGCTGAATAGTTTATTGTAGGTGTGACAGTACTGAGGTTGTTTGAGGTTGATAGGGAATACGCAAGCTGGCGTACGTAAGCCTCCGAGGCATTCGGGTCTCTAGGGCACCTATGAGCAAGTATAAAAGCAGTCTTAAGTATCAACTTTCATAGATCAATACGGTCCTTCATAGCTTCCTGCTACCGCTACAGTAGGAGCATATGACATGAACATCTCCGATTCCGACTAATTACTGGACGTTGTCTGCGGCCTGGAAGGTTCGTTCTTTGGCCTCCTGTAGATATCCCTCAGACTGAACTTCGACTTCGACGCCTCTCCCTTGTTCTCCTTCTCCATGTCTGGCAAAACTTCCTTCAGCTGCTCAAAGTGGGCCCTAGCATTCTGCAATTGACTCGAAAGGTATGCATTCTTTTCGTTCAGCTCTTTAGCCTCTCTTTCGAACACACGCTTGAGCTCCTCCTTAATTCCTTCGATGTGCTTGATCTGACTCAATAGCTCTAGATTCTTTTCCTTAAATTCTTTCCTATCTTTATCAGAGTCACGCCTGAGCTCTTCCTTGGCGACTTCAATCTGCCTGACCTGGCTTTCTAGCGTCGCATTCGTTATCTGAAGTCGCACACGCTCCTCCCTCATCTTCTCACAGTCTTTCTGCTGCTGTAGGGACTGCCGCTGAGATCTCTCCAGCTCCTGACGCAGATATTTCTCGAGCTTCGTCTCGGGCGGGTCTTCTGTCTTCGTCCCCAGCGCCATCCTCTCTTCGAGTCTAACCTCAAGCTCTCGGCGGCGGTTCTCCGTCTTGGTCAGCGCAGCTTGCGTTGCATCTAGTGAATCTTTAAATGTAATTGCTTTGGTCTCCGCCCTATCCAAATATGACTGCAGAGAGTCGATGTCTTTGCGAAGCGCCTCGGCGGTCTCTTGAGATTCTTTGTAGAGGTTCTTCGCATCCGAGAGGTCGCGCTGGGCGCGTTCCCTCTCTTTCTCGAATTCAATTTCGTTGGACTCTCTGGCTACTCTGAATGCCGTATTTTCCGACATGAGTATGGCGACTCGTTGTTCTAGAGCGGAGATCTTCTCTGGAACCTCTGTAAGACTGCTCTTAGGTGGGTCGTTCGATGGTACATTGGCCTGACTCTCGAGACTGGCGACCTTCTTCCGCAGCGAGTCTATTACTTTCTCCGACTCCATGTATCCTTTCTGCCCGACCTGATCTTGGACTAGCGCTCGGCGAACCTCAGCGGCCGCGAATTCTGCGCACAATTTTGGCCAGGTTGTACGGTCGACTGACCGAGATTTCTGTCGTTCCATCCAGTACTTTCGCGCAGGTTTGGTCAGATTCGCAAGCCGTATCCATTCCTGTGCAAGATTCTCTGACTGCGACGTGTGTTTGCCACACAGACTATACATCGCGAGAGCTTTGCCTTTGGATTCGCGTATGTTTTCTCCATTTGCGAGAGACATCTGTAAGAATCTGATGCCGAAGCTGTAGCTGCTTGGGACCTTGGATGTACACTGAGCTTGCTGTTCATCGAGACCTCGACATACGTGGTATGTTTGGTCGATTTCTTGAATCTTGAAGACTTCATTGAACAACAACTCATCGGAAAGGTTCAATGGAGGGCATTCGGGGAGAGGGAATTCGAAAGATGTGTTCCAAGCCTCTGATGGTTTGTCTTTCGTGCCTGCTGTATCGCCTTCCTCGACACCATTTGACCAAGTTCTTGTCGTGCCTTCCTTGTCGTCCAGTACAGGTGCAACTGCTCCTGGAAGAATGTCGGTCCGCGCCTCTTTCTGCGGGGTCCCACAAGGCACACAAGACTCCTTGGATTCCGGGGGAAGAGCGGTCACCTCTTCCTCCGGAATCTGTTCGTCCAATTCTTCTGCATCTCCATCGCTGAGCACTTCTCCATTATCGAAATCATCATCTCTCGGCTTCTTACGTTCGTTGTCACTTGACTGCAGCTCTTCGCTTTCACTTCCGACGAGATTCGAATCGTCGCCATCATCATCTTCGTCATTCTCAGATGTGTGTATAGACCAAGAAGATGGGCGTTGATTGCGAGCGTTCTCCAGTTTCTGGCGCTTCTCGTTTTTTGAAATGGTAGATATACCTACAATATGAGTTGAAGACGGTAATTTGACTCTAATGCGGCGGCCGTCCGATGTACGTTGGATGGTGGGCGCTGGACCTTGATCTGACCCAAAAAGGCCTGATCCGGACCAACTACTTGAGTTGAAAGTGAATGCCGGCTTTGAGTCCATTATAGCCACAAGCAGGGTATAGTGCTGGAACCAGACAGTGTTCAGTCAGTAGTGTAGATATTGACTTTCCGCCTTCTTTTCGCCTTCGACCGGCCGGGTCAAATAAGTATTTGAATGGCTGGGAACGCAACTGTGCCACGACGCAGGGGTCGGCTTATGAGACGGAAGCGCCCGCCAAGTGTGCGTGTTCGGCCAGGGTTGATGCATCTTGACCAATCGTATAGCTGCCTCCCTATCACGGTACCAATACATTCCGTGTTCAGAGCAATTTGTGTTCTGATTACGAAGATCTTGACTGGGCGTCAACTCCAATTATAAAAAACGGAGCATTCAATGGGAAAGTATTTCTGGCCCCCACGCTCGCGTGAATTGTACAATTGTTATACAACACCGTTTCGCGACACGGTTCACAGTGGGTGACAATAACAATTGGACTTTCTATAGCCAGGATACTCCGAGATACACTATCAAAGAACGCTATTATAACAGTATGAAATCGTAAGTTCCCACACGATAAGATATCAAGATTTCAGATTTTTCCGGGCAACACTGTGGTTCAGTCGTGCTCTCGGCCGAGCAGATCTCGTGACTTGGAAAGTCTACGGTCAAGCTGCCTGGCAGAAAATGCATAATCGAACACTGCAAATACCGCTGCGAAGCGTCAGACTCGAGCGAGGAAAGAGCACAACATCACGCCGTTCGACTTACACCTGAAGATATCCATTGGCGATTCTCACTGTCGAAAGCGTTTATACCTTGCAGGCCCTGTTACAGCTGGTGTACTCAAAGATGCCTTGGAGAGTCTCCACAGTGAATGCGAGGAAGACCACAAGCAGTACTGCCGCATGACATATCCACGCTACAATCAATGTTATATAGACAAGGCGTTGTACGTAACGGCGCAGATAATTTGTCGAGGCAATCAGGTCTAGAGCATCTTCAAGTATGAACAGGACCGAGCGTGTTTGACTTGCACAAAGAAGAAGCGAATTTGCGTACGATTAGAGCGTCTCCCTGGCCACACTGCGGTACTCGTCTTCTACCCACGCCCAGAAAACAACATCCCATCAGACGCCACGTGGGCCAACCCAGAGTACTGGCTCGAGCCATCATAAATTTACTATTCGGTACATGCGCATGTTGTTACCCTCGGGCATTTCATACAGTTTGAGCGTCTTTGCTGCTCTTATTGAGTATGTATTTGCAGGTACTCCATTGGAGATTCAAATGCATCATTACGGACGAACCCGCCGTGCTACGCCGTTTGGAATGCGCCGATTTCTTGCTTTGCCCTTTGGTCCGACACCGTATATGCTTCTCCTCTCACATACACTAACAGATCCTTCCAAACTCAGCGCTTCGAGACTTTCCCGGATCATACGCCGCGCCAGCGTTCCTCCAGGCGGAAGTGTCCTCATTACGAGCAGGGCCAAGGGACACTGTCACCGTCCTGAGGCCCTCTACGCGTTGAGAAAAGTATCCCGGGCTTGGAGAAACCATGGAGTCGCTTCAGAGAGCAAAGGAAGGCCGTCAACAAAAGTCTGCAAAACCTGCCGTGAAGACACTGGTAAGGTGCCCACTGTCGGTGCGTCGCTGAGGAATAGAGATGCCGAAGGGAAATCCCGACCGTGTTCTTTGCATATCGAGAGGACCCAGTGTCTTGATTCTCATTCGTGTTCACATCTTGACGTGTGATGATCGAACCGGTTCTCACTGTACATTTGGGATATTGGTGCTCTCCATAAGTTCTTGTTCCACTTTCCCATGGGTCAAAGGCACTTTTCTATCGATCCATGACTCCTTGATTGTTACTACATCTATCCCTATAGGTCAAATTCCTGCGGTACATTTATTTTAACCTTTTGTAACCCTGTTTTGGCCTATTTAGGGCACCAAACTGGAAGCTCCAAATCGGTGTTTAAGCCGCTTGGGGATTTTCTTGCTTGCTCGCCGTATCGCATTCCTTGCAGGCATTCGGAGGAATCTTTGGGACTGGCTTGTCTTTAAGATGTCCTACATCTGTTCTTTGCAGTGCGTCGTTCTGTACCCTTTCTGGCAAGTTTTGCAGGTCCACATAAGGCACGTTTATCTCCCTGGCTTCGAGCAGAAGAGGGGTCACTTCAGACTTAGAGATATCATCATTGTTGTTCTCATCGCTCGAATTCTCGCAACTGTCTCCACTTGACTGTAGCTCTTCGCTTTCACTTCCGATGAAATTCGAAGGCTAGGGGTGAAATAATGAAGCAGAAGCATTAATAGTGGAGGGGACCTTAGCGGATAGTGGCGCTCACGCAAGGATATACTGACCTTGGAGTAATGTGAACACTAATTTCCCTACCAAGGCTCCCTTCAAAGTCTCCGACGCCTACCCTTCGGGAATATAGCCTCGCCACGTTACATGTCCAGCGTACTCTGAATGGATGAATGGCAGGAGCTGGTGACGGATAGTCGAACGACCACCGTCGGCGCCTGTCAAGAGCAGCGCCGCTTCGATTGTTGTTTCTGTCTCATCGATATTGTTCTTACACGCAACTCTCACCGTGGTACCCCGCCCTTCGTATTCGAGTTGAGTCACTCTGACCCCGGTCCCATACACCCCGGCACACCCTGATCCATCTCCACCGACAGAATCCGCTATGAGCCGCTCAAACACCAGACCCCATAACGACGTAACAACCTCAAAGGCAAGAGGTACTTCCATCACAACAGTGCCAGGTAGACTCAAGATCTGCGACCTTGTTCCGCTGACAGCTTTCAGAGAACGTTCGACATCGAGATACTTGTTGACAAACTTCTGTGCGTGGGAGCCTATGCTCAGCCCAGCCGCTTCGGCTTGCAGCTCGCTGTGCTCGCAACATTGGAGGACGATGACGCTTCATCCGAGGGATTTGAGGACGACTGCATGCATCAAGCTTGCGATTGGACCTCCGACCTGCAAAGTGTTTTCAGTCATCATGGGATTTGATTGGTAAACTGGGTGGTACTTACAATGATCGCATCGAATGTTTCTGACGCCATGCCATCTACGGGTATAGACTGTGTCGACAAATTTCGCCGGCAATATGAGTACCTCGCCGCTAATTTTGAATTTCATGTGTATCTCTCCACTTCTAATATGGCCAGATTTTGGGCGACGCGGAATCTATGAGGTTGCTTGAGTACATAGTGCGATCACGCCCCTTGATAGGGATCCATGTAACCTTTCCTATTGCCGGCTTAAAGATCTCCCGTTCTCCAATGTCGATTGTGAATGTGTACGACGAGAACTCAATGCTACCTGTTACGGGTTTTGAGATTGTATCGGCAACTTTTCGTACTGCCGTTTGCCGTGGCCATGTAAACGAACGCGAAGAGTCGATATTGGCATTTTGTAAGGCTTGAACCAGCATATTGGGTTCTCTACAGTGTCAATCTGAGGAAGCATACATGAGAGGAAAATGACCGTCGATTATATTGAACTTGTCAAGTGTCTAATGCAGGATGCCGTCAAGTTGGTCCACGACCCGCTGAGTCGGTTTCAAGGTATCTACCACAAATCTCACATCTGCTCATCAGTATGGCCATACGGTGCTCCACTTATTGCTGATGTATGCATACATCACTCTACGTACACTCAAAATCACCAAAGCATATTGGATAAGCATTTCGTAGTAGAAGGCATTGCGCCAGTGATCATTGTTCGAGTGCCCATGTAGGTCATTCGTTTTCCGTGCCGCCAACTCCAGACCGGGTATCGTCCATAAAGAAGCAGCCATGAAATTTCCTTAATCGACATTCTTTCCATCAGCTTCCTTCAAACCTATCAACTGCATCCAGAAGGCCCTCAGCGAACGACCTTGAAATCGTGGTACATCCTACAAGTACTGCACTTGATGCTGAACTCGGCAACCATATGCTTGAACACCTCATCCGCAACCTCCTTCGTCTGCGCCTTGACATACTTGTACGCATTGTTATCCAGCGTGCTCTTGTCAAACGGCATGCGGTAGTCCTCCTCCGAGATCTTGAACAGACAGCACTCCACGTTCTCACCAATGTCGTGCTTGCCCTTGTGCAGCATCTGCTGGCGGATGAAGAGCTCTCCGGGGCGGATGTCGGTCAGAGCTTCGATTTGGGAGGCGAAGGCACCTCTGACCGCGGTGCTGAAGGCTGCGGCGAAGGAAGCGGTGGCTTCGCGGGTGAGTGGGCGCTCCGAGGTCTGGATGAGGCGCGCGGGGACGAGGGAGAAGTTGGAGCGCTTGAGTGCGGCGGTAAGCTCGTTCTCTCCGTCTATGCTCGCGATTAGAATATCGCAAAGAAGCACTAGAAGCGAGAAGAAGACTCACCAAGAAAGCCCGTGACATCGATGATGATGGTAGGCGTCTTGATGCCACCCATTCCCGAAAGCGCGTGCAGCAGGCCTGTGTGGAACGAGTCGCGGACAACGCGGTCGTAGACGTCAACGTTGTTGCGTCCCTGCATGAGTGCCACGTTGCCCGTGTATTGGTACGAGACGAGGGCGGCTTGCTCGAGCTGCTCCAGCATGTTGGCGGCGATGGAGGCGGCGGCGCGGTCGATCAGCAGCTGGGTCGCGGGATCGAGGCTGGAATCAAGGTTGGATGCCTCCGCAGAGGTGATGTACCGGGAGGGCTCCATCCAGATGGCGTTGTCCTTGGAGGTGGGAGAGGGAGGGATGGAAGTGGAGGGCTCTGGGTGAGCCTGAGTATACTCGTGGTCGCCGAGAAGCTCCAAATTGGAGCGGAAAGCCATTGCTGCTTGTTTGGCCTGACGGCTTGGCCAAAGCAATTGCAAGTATATCCACGATCACTATACGTCGAGTGACGGCAGCTCGAGCCTATAAAACCTCAATATGGACAGTGAGGAAGAAGAGACAGAACAGCAACGCTCGTTTATTTATATCTAGCTTATCGCGTGCCTTCCTATCATGATTCAGTCACCAGCACGAAATCTTAATGTAAACAATGGGCTCGTTGCGACAAACGGAGCGGCTGGTACGTGCGCAGTGAATGGCGGACTAACGCGACTCCATGTGCACGGAGGGTAATCGAAGCTGCTTCAAATGGACTCAGGATGCGCTAAGCTAGTAGTTCAACTTGCTTGAAGAGCGGCGACCGAAGCAGCTTCAAATTTACCCAGAATATGCTGAGGGATTGTGACTTAAAATTGACAAGAGTTGTTGCGTTGATACCAGAACACGAACTTCCTTTAATCAACGTCAATTCGAGCAAGTCTAAGCAAAATCGAGATGGACTAAGCGACTGCAAGCCAAACTTGCTGACAAGAATGGTGACCTGTCAAGATGGCCGATAGAAACCAGATCCAAGTGAACCTACGATGTGATGAGCGAAGGTTCGTGAACCGACCGTTTTCAAGGAGACTGTGTTAAAGAAGGCACTGTTTTACTCTGAGAGGAATCATAGCTCGATTGCTATCGTGAAAGTATGAGCAGACTTTGTTAGCCTGGAATGTCTACGGGCACTAAGTTGACCCGGGATAAGTTGCAGACACACTAGTACCTTAGGAATCTGACTGTACTATGTTATCCTAGGCTGGTCCTAGGATTCAATGGCTAGTTGAACATCTAGGTGGGCCATATTTACCAAGGATGAGCCATACGATGAGGGGACCGATATTGAAGGGACGGCGGAGATCTCAGGCTGATCTGTGGATGCATTAGTCATCTCGATACTTGAGACAGTGACGAGAAGCTGGTTATACCTTTGAAGCCCTAAATGTGTCCTGCTTGGCATGTGCCGAGTGTTCCAGCATCGACGCAGAGAGCTTCTAGTGCCGCTAATTGTACGACACCAGCACCCCCACAGTCACACCCAAAGATTCCAGCGCCGCAAATATATATCTCAGAAGTTAGCCTCTTCCACGCGTCCAGGTGCTACCAGCGTCTTCAACGGTCTACCGCACCGTGCCGGGTCTTTGCCGTCATCTCTGCACACGGACCCACAAGATGCTGGACAGACCGCAACGGAGAAGACACTGGACAATAAGAAACACCGGAGCCCCGTTAGGCTTCCAGAAAGAAGAATGTAACGCAAATTCTCATTCCCTGAGTTCCCCGAATTCTCGATCGGGTTGGAGCGTTTCTGCCTCGTGTTGGTGTTACGAGTTGTTGTCTGCTGTCTGTTGGACCCTCGCCGAGTTGGCCGTGAGCAAGCGTCGGATAAACATACGACGATTCGCCTGGGCTGTTTGCTATCAACTTCGCTCAGCAAATCATGAAAGCACCTAGAGCCGCTTAGACTTTTATAAAACAAGCGGATCAAGTTTCCGTCATTGCATCCTGAGTTCACTCGAGGCTGCTTCAATCCCCTTCGCCGGCATCAGATCTGGCGGGTTGCGTCTGATCAACCCACCAACCCACGAAAAGAAGACCCCAGAATCGAGCAGCCCGCCGATTTGCGCGTAAAAAGAGAATCGTGCACGTGCGCATCTCAGATTAGCTACGTCTCCGTGCTGGCAGCGTGAAAGAGGCATGTGAGGACGATCTGAGTAGCAACGCGCCGATTTGCGCTTAGACAAGAGATCGCACGTAGCTCTGTGCTGGTAGAGCGGATCGGCGGCAAGGTCAATGCGCGCCTGTAGGTTGTAATTTTCTTGGCAACAGTCGTGCTAGGTCTCGACCTCGGGACTGCCGTCGTTACGTTGGGTTACTTGCAAGTTGAGTCGAAATCCCCGGAAAGTATCACTATGCGGACAAAGTCACCAACGTTCAGGAGCTCCCCAGTCCTCCGCAATTTGCGGACAACTCAGTCATTTCTCTAGGAGACACTCAATTCTCCGAGGCGTGCATGCCGAAATGTCGAGCCGAACGCCATGTCTCCGAAAGATGAGGAAGAGAACCACATATTCGGAGAACTATGGTTTCCGGAGACGCTTCGCTGAAGTCCGGTAGCTACACGATATGTGCTCACACGGTAGGGTACGCGTGGCAATTGAGAAGAGCCTGGTGAGAAGCGCGAGAGGTCCAACAGCTCTTGGTGACGACAGACGTACGAGTGTGAAACCCGGCAGCTTGTTCCGTGCATTGCAAACACGCACAGCACCAGACGCGTAGGAAAGCTAATAGCATGACGACTACAAAAAGCTAGCTACCTAATGTCGTTCATGGCAAGTCAAGGAAACTCAGCATGATAATGCAAGATAAGTTGATCCACAACCATCGTCTCCGTAGAAGTTACACGTCGCCGTCCATAACGTCAGCCAGTGATTCTGGTTCTGAGGCCTCCTTCACATCTTCAAGGTCAGTAGACCCGGAGAGACAGGCAGACGAGTGATTTAGAGGCCGGGAACAGCGAGACCGAGGTTCTTCAGGCACAATACCGCCACCGCAGCCTTGAGGTTGGCAACGTTGCCCGGAAGCGAGAGGATGTTGTCAGTAAGCGTAGTAATAGTGGTAATGAGATTCGACGGATCAGCAGTCGAGGGGAGCGTCCTGATGAACGCGAGATCGCCAGAAGAAATGCCGTTCGCAGCCGTCGAGAGCGCAGCGAGGTTGGTGAGGTCAGCGAGTGAGCCAAACTTGGTTGGGTTGATGGAAGAGAGGAGCTGGAGGCAGCCGAAGGTCGGAACGGAGTCCTGGACGACGGGCAGCTTGAAGAGAAAGTTGGGGACGACGCCGTTGAGCACGCTGAGGATGTTGCCTGTGACGCTGCCGAGGCCCTTGCCGCCAGGGACGGCGATGTTCTTGGCGATGGAGCCGACGAGGAAGGAGATGTCTGGGGAGACGCCTGGGGGTGTGTTTAGCGATGTGCGCGCTGCGAGGTAGCATGAGATACGTACCAGGAACGCCGCTGAGGGGCAGGGCACCGACGCCAACACCTGGAACGCCAGTAGAAAGCGAAGGAAGTGACAGCTGGCGCTTCTTGTGTGCATGAGAGAGCGAACGCTTCTCGATCTCGAGTTGGTCGGCCAATGCTGGAAGGTCGCGCTTGATGAGACCACCGATGCCACCGAGGCCACCACCAAAGAGGGACAGAGGGTCCTTCTTCAAAAGACTAAGCAGAGTCGCAATGATGGAGACAGACAGTCCACCGACAGGGTCGGATCCGGGAACCTATGTCAGTACTTAGCAATCGTTGTCAGTGTGGAGTGGTGAATGCTTACTCCCTGGTTAAGGGGGTACGGGCCGAGCAGAGCGCTGTTGACAGCCTGTCCGACCGTATTTACAGCACCCTGGACAGCTCCACCGACGACGGGAACGCTACCAGCGACTTGACCAACAGTTCCTAGTGCACCAGATACAGCGCCTCCCACTGCACCGAGCGGGTTACCAGAGGTCGAGCCACCAACGGCACCTAAAACTGGGGCAACGGCACCTCCTACGACGGGCACTGAATCCGTTAGATTAGGATAAATTTTCGAGCGGATGCATGTTCTATTCACTTACCGCTTCCTACGGTGTTGGCAACAGTTCCAACCACACCACCGACGGCGCTCAAGGGGTCACTAGCACCGCCAGTGAGGCCGCCGGTAAGACCACCGACGACAGGAAGGCTGTTCGTAACACCGGAGACTGTGTTAAGTACGCCAGAGACGGGGGAGGATCCGCCAGTCAGGCCGCTCGTCAAGCCGCCGACGACGGGGAGGCTGCCGGTGACACCGGAGACCGTGTTAGTCACACCAGCGAGGGGCGAGGACCCGCCAGTCAAGCCGCTCGTCAAGCCGCCGACGAGGGGGAGGTTGCTCGTGAGGCCACTGGTAAGACCGCCGACGAGAGGGAGACCCACGGCAGGTGTCGCAGTGGCCGGTCTGGCCGACGAAGACACAGCAACCTGACGCTTCTTCAGAGCAGGAGCCGCAACAACGGGAAGAGTCGCGTTCTTGACAGGCACAGCCGGGACGGAGATGGCGGGGATCTCCAGGCCGGGGATCTTTGCCGCTTTCGCGCCTTGCCAAAGGAGGTTGAGGATGTTGGAGAGGACGATCTTGCCGACCTTGACGTAGGAGTCAACGGAGTCGGCATCCACGGGAGGAAGAGAAATGGGAAGAGCAGGGACATCACCTGGACCTGGCACCTTGGGTACGGCTGGGATGGGCAGGTCGACTACTGGGAGCTTGGGCAGAGGCGAGGGGAGGTTCGGAATGAGAAGGGGAACTGGTGGGAAACCAAGTGGCGCGGGTGCCGGGAGAGTCAGACCTAAAGTACAAATGCATGTTAGTGTCTGTAGAAAGCTCCGTCGTACCAATCAGACGACGAGACACGCAATCGACAATGATGCGTAGGAGACGCGACTTGAGTGACCAGCTTTTGGGAGATTTGATAGACTTTCGGAATTGTGGACTTCACGTACCGGGAGCGACAGGGGGTACACCAGGTAGACCAGGAATAGGAAGAGGTGGAAGTGGGATGCCAGGTACTAAGGGCTTCGCAACGGCGAGACCTCCTGGAACAACAGCGTCAGCAGAGGTCGGGCTAGCAGCTATATCACAATAAGCGCCATGTCCGTCGAGTAGAGCGAACTGACGTACCCGTACCAGAGGTCGTACCAGCAGCAAGAACGAGAGGCACGAGGCCGGGGACCTGGGGACGAGGCGCCGCGTCAACGGATTCGCACCAGGCCAAGATGGCCGTGGCGATCATCAGATTCATCTTCATGATGGGCGTGGAGTCGAATCAACCGACTAGCGAGCGTTGTAAGATAAAGAGTGTATGTAAAATGAGTGACCCTAGCGAAGGACTGCCCAACGATCAAGCACCGACAGGGACTGTATGCCTATAAGTACCAGCAGTTTGAGGCTGGCATATAAATGACGGATGTTTTCATCTGTTTAGACGCGTCGGCGACGCGAAGCATTTTTCCTTGAGGGGTCGTTGGACGTAAGGATGCTCTACATTCCGTGGTGCTGGTGCCTCCGAGGGCGATGGCTCTTTAAACCGGAGAGTGGAAGATCCCAAGCTGGATACTATCGTAGGAACATGCCGTTGCTTCCATGCTTGGTCATGGTAAGCCAACTCCTGCATTGCAATCGCTGGCGTCTATCGAGCAGACGATCTAATGGGGTATAATTTGGAGGACGGGATGCTTCCTCAAACATTACTCGTGATGAGCGGAACCATGGGCCGCTCTTCTCCAATGTGTTCCTGGCGATCGTCGGCCAATAGGCAAACTCTGTGCGAAAAGTAGGAATGTGGAGAGCTCCGCCGCCTCATGATGTTGGAAGAAGGCGTGATGGTAAAGTCAATTTTGACAGCCAATGAAAGCTGCGTATGCGGTTTTTGTTAGTCAACCGTTATTGTGAGGAGCGTGTGCCCGATCCTGGGGAGCGCTGGAATGAGGGGACAGCAATGCAGGAAGCTGTATTGAGAAAGCGCGGCACCGCGGAGCGATCACGACACAGTGCCGGTTCGATTGCCCCTAGGAGCGAATCCTCTTCCACCTCTGCCTGTTGCTTGGGGCCCACGGGGTTCGCGGACTGGCTTCTCCTGGTCGTTGGGCGTGCTTGGCCGGCTGGTGCTGCCATCCTGCCTCTGGACAAATTTCGATCCTGGTTTTGGAGAGTATGCTGGCTCGAACAATTGGCGCGAGGCCGAGGGCCTGGCTGGAGACTGCTCGTTGCTTGATCGCGGCTGACTGTCGCGTCCACCGCGACCTCCTCTGCCCTTCCCAGCTCGACGTGGTGAGGCGCCACGGGACTCGTCCGAGTTTGCGTCCTTGCCGAATATGCGATCGCGGGCCTCGGCATACCTTCGCTCTTTCTCTGCGCGCTCCTTCTGTGCGCGAGCTTTCCGCTCCTCGAACTCGGCCTCGCTTTTCTTCCGGCGCTCCTCTTCGCTATCGTCGTCGTCCAAGGTCAGGCCCGCCATGCCGGCGGGAGCTTTCGGTTTGCGGGCCAGCAGCGTCACTGCAGGCTTGAAGGTGGCCTGGGGAGCTACGGGTACGTTGTTGCGGGCATCGAGGAAAAGCATAGGCTCGGGGTTCTCTCTGGATGACATGGCGTCAGTTTCAGGACACATCCTCTGGGACCGGGCGTACCTACGCCGAGTCCCACAGCATTTTCTGCTGCTCTGCATGCTGCGCTCTGCGCTCCTTCTGGGACAATTTGACTTTGGGCGCGGGCTCGTTCTTCTGTTGGGCATCTACTTCCTTCTGCTCAGCGTCAGCTACATGCGCGCCAGACACTGCAATTCCGGACAGCGTACGTCGGCGAGCGACTCCCAGTCATCATCCCACGCGTCAGCCAATGCGCGTGGTTTGGGGGGCATTTTCGTGCAGCAGTCGCGAGTTCAGGCGGAGAGGAGAAGGGTATCGAAATTGCGGAGCGTCCAGTCGCACGCGTTCTATGTACGCTAGAGTATGCGGGGATCAGAGATAGCCGGCTCTGGTGTGTTGAGCGCGCAGGAATTGGCGTGAAGCGTGGACATCCAAAAGTCGACGAGGGGCAGCAGCAGGCCGACGTTGGATGCAGGGCCGGGAACTGTCGCTAATACCCGGAGCTACCAGGTAGCCCCAAGCTCCGTATCAATCACAGCTGCTGCCTCGACGCCCCACTGCCTGTTGCGCCAGCATCTTGCACGGGAACCCGCAACCCAAAGACACTGCACGCGCAGCATCAAGCTCTCACCATGTCAGGTAAACCACAACGCTGCCCCTCCTGCGCTCCCGCATGCCCTGCACCATGCATGCTCGCGTGCCCCGCAAACGCACCAAATGGACGTCTCTAACGCCGCCGCGCACCCACGCAGATGCAGACGGCGACTCGACGATGCACTCGTCGCCCGAGCTCGACGCTGCCGACGACGACCTCTTTCCCGGCGACGGCGACGCGCCCTCGACGCCGCGCAACGCCGCCTCGTACGCGCCGGGCCCCGCCTCCGAGCTATCCCCGCCCAACTCGCAGGGCCGCCTCCCCGAGGAGAGCCTCTCTGCGCTCGCTGGTGGTGCTCCCTCGATGATCAATGCAAACGGCAAGCGTGCTCACCCCTCTTCAGTTGCGAGTGCCGCGCCCGCCGGCGGCAGCGGCGACAAGAAGTCGGGCCCCGTGCAGACCGACTCGGCGACGGGCTACCAGTGGTCCAGTCCAGACGAGGCGCCGGGTTACGAGTGGAAGAGCAACCGCGCGAGGGAGGAGGAGGCGAGGGCGCTCGAGGCCGTCGTCGACAAGGGCTCCATGGTCAAGGGTAAGCTGTTTTCCCAGCGTCCTGGCGCCTCGCTGATATGTCTGTTCAGCTCGCTACGGCGACCCGCTCAAGCCCTCTGTGCCCATGAACCTGAACTCGAAGCGTTGAAGCGACTTCGCTTAGACCCGCGCGACACGACATGCATCCATGATGTGACGGAATGAGAGAAGACGCCTGTGCTCGACGAGCATCGAGGCGGCGTCGAAGGCCCAGGGAAGTGCTCCAAGCGAGCCTCAAGATCATGCCGAACATTGGCCGCATCATATAGGGACGTGAGGCCTAGCTACCACGTTGATGCAGACTCATAGATAGTCTGCAAAGGAGTGCCCTCCAAGAATGCAATGCCATGATCCAAACAATGCCTTCACTTGTGGATATTGTGACCTGTACCAAACACCAGCAAACGCCAGCCCATGCACCGTTCCTAGCCGCCCTCAGTCGCTCTCGTCTCCATCCGCCATGTCATCGTCTGATGCCTCTTTCTCCCTCTCTTCCAGCAGGTCCTCGGTGGGCTCCTCCTCGGGCGCTTCCTCGTCTACCTCGTCGTCCTCGACGTCCTCGTCCTCCTGCTCGACGTCTTCCACTGTCTCATCCACATCATCCTCATCCGACGGCGCGCCTGCGGCACCGTCCGACCTCCTCGCCCTCTTCGTGGGCGGCTGTTCGTCTTCGGCGGCCCCGTTGGTCGGCTCGCCCTTGGCTGCCTTCTTCTCCTCGCGCACCTTCTTCCGGTACGTATTGCGCTTGTCGGCCTGTATCGAGGTGAACTTGTGGACTTCGGCTTCGACCCGCTGCAGCATGAAGTCAAACTCCAGCTCTTGCAGTGCGTCGAAGACATCCTTAGGCATGACGGTCTTCTTGCCGCTGCGGGCGGCATGCTCGGCGGCGCTGCATGTCCTGTCAGTTTACAGGTACTTGCTTTCAAGAGAAGAAGTCGCATACGTCGACGTGAGGTAGTTCACGAATACGGTCGCGCCCTTGGACATGGCAAGCAGCGCATCTTTCTGGATCTGCGTGTTCGGCGGGAGAACGCCCTTTGCCAGCCGCTGCACAATCGACTTGGGGAGGTTAAGGTCCTGCAGTGCATGGTCAGCTTTTTTGCGGAGCAGCACGAGCGCGGGCGCATACCTCTACGCTGAGGCCGTCGTCTTCGTCTCTTGCTGCTTTGGGTGGAGGTTTCGGAGAGTCTTCTGCGGCTGCAGTCGAGACATTGCTCTTTCTGGGGGGCATCGTGGGTGTGGAGAGTCTGGTGAATTGTGATCTTGCGATCGATTGCGGTAGCGTCAAGGCTCTCCGCAGATCCACCCAGCCAGCACCCACCGAGTCGACGCGTGAGAGCGCGTCGGTGTCCTTGGCGATTTCGCGTCGCCACTCCCTGCACGTGCACATTCATCTCATTTCGAAGCTCGCAGATTCATTGATCAACATGCAAAATGCTTGTTGAGCCCGTCGCAGACGTGTAATTCACGTCGGCTGTTGCTGCCGATTGGTCGTCTTCTGCCATTTTCTACCCAGGCAGCATGCCGATGCCCTCAAACAAGCTTGAGTGACTGAAGTCATCCGATTCTCGCCTATACAGTACACATGATGTGGCCTTGTCTCCCTCCCCAATCAGGTCGCACTCATGCATGCCTACATGTCTGGCGCTTCGCGCGTGGCTTGGCCCGAGACTTTCTGCACCGGGTACATGTGCCCCCACCCTCGATAGTATCCCGCCCGCACACCATATGCGCGTCGTCGCTCAACTATGGGGCTATGGGGCTGCCTGCACCTTGAGCCACGCTTCCGGGCCCACCGCAGACATCCAGCATCTCCAGCTGCTGAATCTCAGAAGCATTAGCGGCCCTCGCCGAGAGCCATCAGTGCCCGCCGCCTACCTTCGGAGGGTCGCCAGCTGTGTGGCAGATCCAGGCCCTGGGCCAAGAGGTCACCCGCTTCTTGGCTGCAGCGTACTCAGCACCGATGGGGTGCGGTCGAGATAAACACAGGCTTCGTTCTACAACTATCGTAGTCATGAGGCATTTCGGACCGGCCCCGGCGCAACTGCCCAGTGTGACCGAAAGTACCCGCTGGGGACACCATGGTGAAGCACGTAGGACAACGCAGGACCTTCGATTGGATTACCATGGCTTTCCCAGTCACAATGAGGGCAAGCTGCCGTCATACCTCCCTCGCCCTCATGCACTTTAGGGGGGCGATTTGCCCGTTTCCTTTCCCTTGGGTGACTACGAGGCTGACCCAGTACCTGTCACGCCGCCTTCCAGGGTCCAGCTTCCGCCATTTAACTGCAGGTAAAAGTATCCAGGCCGCTTTCCAAGATTCGGGCGGCTTCTCACCTCCCTCATTCTGTTCCTTTTCCTGCGGCCCAAGAAATCCCACATTGCTTGGCGGGCTGAATGGTCCCGGTAAACGTTCTCCCTAGCCAGCCGACTATACCGATAAGGGCGTCCTATCGCATCAACCTCAAGGGTTTGGGGATTAGTGCTCGTTATTCATATACGGCTGAACCCTGCATATTCGCAGATCTGTGGACAACATGGTGCCTGACTTGCGTATCCTCGTCGATGGCGACGCAAGAGTGTACCGTCGCGGAGACAAAGTCACTGGAAGAGTTATACTGGGAGTTGAGCATGAGGAGGACGTTGTAGCACTCAAAATCAGCTTCTCGGGCGTCTGCATAACTACCACGAACCGGCCAGTCTACACTCCACACCGTGCTGACGCCACGGCGCCAATGCAGAGGTATCAAGAACGCGTTCAGTTGTTCAAGTTCGAACAAGACCTACTATCGGGAAGCGAACTTGCATCGAATAAGGAATCTCGGACCTTCGATTTCAAGTTTCCCGAATTGACGGTACCGCGATTTTCAAAATGGCAACATGGGCCAAAGTACCTCAAGAGCCCTCACCCACTGCCACCATCCTTCCAAACGGATACGTCCGGTGGTCAGGCGGTCGTAGCATACTGCCTTCGAGCGACACTTGTCAGGGGAGGAAGTCACAGACCACTAGAGACCCAAGAGATGCTTCCGTATCACCCAACTCCCGACAACATACAGTTGGAACCACAAGCCCACTCGCGTGTCCTCTACGCCCAGATCTGGAAGCCTCTTTCTGACAGCCGAACCGCCATGGACAAAGCCATGTCCAAGCTCTCCCGCCGCTCCTCGAGCGCCACTGGGCCCCGGATCGTCCCAACCCTCCACCACCCAGAGACAATCGCGCCCGGCCAAAATATCCCGCTCTACCTCTCTCTCGAAGACGCCTCACCCGCACCCAACTTTCAAGCCTCCCAATGCACCCTCGACTGCGTCACCGTGAAGATAAGCACCCACACAACGTCCATGTGCGGTCAGTCCGCCACGTCCCCTGAAGACATCGAGTGCAAGCGCGTAACCTGCCTCTCCAAATCCAACCTCGCGAAACCCCTGCCTTTCAACACCAAAGCCAAGCTCGCGCACAACTTTCGCCTTTTAGAGGACACAGAATGCGTCCCCAGCTTCAAGACGTACACCATCACGCGCCGGTATGACCTCTCCGTATCCGTGGGGCTCAAGTACGAAGGCAGGGAGTTCACGGTGCGGTGTACGACGCTGTTGGAAATCCTCCCGCGAGTGCCACGTGACCTGTTGCCTGGTGTGCTGGAAGAGGAGGAGGAAGACGAGCCCCTGCCACCGTATGCGCCGCGGGAGCCGTCGAGGGAGTTTGCACCGATGTATGAAAGTATCTTCATGCTAGAGCAAGAGTCTTCGAGCGAGACATCGCTGGCGTATACGACGAGTAGGGGATCTAGCACGACCTCCAACATGTCAACGCCTGCTTCGGAGGTCGAGGGTATGAGCTTTGGAGAGGCGGCGGTGAGTCGGTGATTGTCCAGGTTTGTAGCAGACGACGTGTGTCGAGTTACGATGTGTTGCACTACAGATGGAGTCGCTGTTGACCTGCCAATTTTGGTCCGTGGATGGACAGACATCACGCGAAGGCATCCTGAGCAAGAGCCTCAGAATAGCCACTTGCGAGGCTGGCATCCCGGGCGGGTCCGTCTTCTTCAACCGGAGCCCGCAGTCCGCGAGTCCACCAGACAAACATACCCGCGCTATGAAGGGAACAGAGGAAGGCCTGTGGCATATCGACAATTGGCCCAGGAAGGGGCACAGTAGGCGAGATTGGCTTTGATAAATTTCGGTGCCAGACGAAGAGGAGACGTCGACGCCGATGCCGCAGAGGCAAGCAGAGGGACTCACGCGCGGATCGAGGATGATGCTCGTGAAGACGCGCTGGAAGTCAACATGTACATTAAGTCCTTCTGTGACGTGTGGACACACAACCCCTGAAGGGCATTTCGTGAAGACGTACTGTGTTGAATAGACATTGCCAATCCAGACCAGGGTAGAGATAGCATGTATCAGTCAGACCCTCGAATTCAGACAAAAATTAACTCTAGACGAAACTGGTTATGTCTCCAATGTAATCACATGAACTTGTATGCCTCTTTAACATGGCGTACTTTGGGCTTCTCGTTTCTTCGCTAGCTTTTGTCCTGCCGTGTAGATCCATTCGTCTAAGAATATCCACAGCCAGAGGAGTATGAACCACAAAGAGATGATCGCCACTCCCACAAGACTGACCATGCTGAAGTATCGAGACACGTGCCACACTGCCTCCCAATGAGAGGCTTCTAGCTGGTCAGCTGCAAGTGCAACCTGCATCGAATTTAGAATCGTCGACACTATAGCGAACACGAAGAGCAAAGGCCCATACAGCCGTCCAAAGAAGTCTCCGTACTGTCCGTGCACCTGTTCGAAGTGGAACTTGCGAAGGAGCAGCGGCGCGTAGAAGTTGAGTCGTGTCAGCCTCAGTTCGCCGTAGCAGTAGCGCTGCGAAACGGCTGCATCGTCGACATGGCTGAGTTCTGAGATCAATCGGCAGAACGACAGCCAGTCTATGCCCTTGGGCACGAGGCGGAGGCCGGCTTGTTGGGCGATGCAGAAGTCAGACTCGTGCTGGATCAAGTAGCGGTACGTCCGCAGGAACCCAGTCGCCGCCTTGCACAGATCGCTCTGGCTATAGTCCGCTCGGTCCGAGCCTTCTTCCAGGAACGTTTTCCAGAATGCCTGCGACAGCAGATAGCGTGGCAGTGGCTTTACGAAGATGCGGTTGTGGATCCAAACTAGATGTAGTCGTGGTTCTTCCGTGACAACGATCTCACGACCCTTGACCCGCTGGCGGTGCAATGGGTTGATGTTGGCGCCAGAGAAGGTCGTCATCATCCAGAGACGCGGTGCCATCGCCTCGAGATCTCTACACCACAGTTCCTGCTCAAGGAACTTTCTTATTTGAGAGGGGTCGTTCAGCTTGACCAGTGGGTAGTCTGGTAAAGTCGCGGTTGTTGGTCTTTTGGCTGCGGGGTCGTAGTCGTGCACGAGCTCGGCTTCTTTCGAGAACGGAGGCATGTCTAATCGTGAGAAATATTTTTGTACAGGTCAAGTCTGCACGTTAGATTAATCATGAGGATGATACGTTTTTGTTCCCAGGGTCGTGTTTCCGCCTGAGGCCTCGCGAGGCGCTCACCTCCAGCTAGCAGCAGCCTGCTCAGCCCCAGCCTTGCTGCAGGCTGGCCAAGTCGATAGAGCGCGGGCTGTCTCAGCCTATCCTATCCTCATCGACTGCATGCGCGACTCTTTGCCGCTGTCTTCCAATTTACGCATTGGCACGTCTCACTTCTGTGTTGTATGCTGAAAGCAGACAATGGTAGGTACTGGTAACGCGATGGTCCCGCACGCTAAGGCTGATGTGGGGCTAGGGCCGGCTAGTGACCGAAGACGACATCGGGCTGAAGGTACTCCGCGAGGCACCAGCAGAGGCAGAAGCTGCCCAGATCATCGAGTACGTTCGCCACCAGTGTTCGACTGTGCATGCTTACAGGAGGTCGCCTAGCATCGTCGCGATTCACGGCCTTGGCGCGCATCCCGACGACAGCTGGTGCAAGAATGCGGGTACCAGGGAAAGCCCGCGATGGGTCAACTGGCTCGACGACGAAAACTTGCTACCGGCGGTCGCGCCGAACGCGCGCATCATGCGATATGGGTATGAGTCGCAGTGGTTCGGCAAGGAAGCGATGCAGCAGAGCGTGTCCACGGTGGCAGAGCGGTTACTGCTGAACCTGAAGCGGAAGAGAAAGGTAGCAATTACATTCAAGCAAGCTTTGTGTGTCCGCTGACTATGCCAGGATGTCCCATTCCGTCCACTGTTGTTCATAGCGCACTGCTTTGGCGGGCTGGTCGTGCTCAAGGTGAGATGCGAAGTGGACTGGGTAACGTGCTGGCAGCTAAGTTTCGTAGATGCTGCTGGAAGCCGAACAGTACCAGAGCGAGTGGCCTGGTGTATTCCGGTCAACTACCGGTCTCGTCTTCTTTGGCACGCCGTTTCGAGGCGCCGGCGGGATGAACCAGATGGAGATGCTCGAGGCGGCACGGCGCGAATACGACAACGATCAGGTGCAGCCCGCCGCTCTCGAGGTGCTGCAGCCAGGGAACGCGTACTTACAAGATGTGGTGGATGGCTTCCTGAAGAAGATGCGGAGCCAGATGAGCAAGACGCAGGTCGCATGCTTCTACGAGCTCAAGGCCAGCGACGTAGGGAGGATCGTAGGCGGACAAAGTCGGACGGTAAGTGTGAACGAGTGTTATACGATTTCGAGGCTGACTGCATGCACAGAGATTTGTGGTCACCGAAAGCTCTGGTTGTCTTGACCTGTCGGACGCGACGAGCAAGTACTCGCTCTCACGCACCCACTTCAATATGAACAAGTTTGGAAACGCAACGGAGGAAGACTTTGAGACGGTGGCAGAAGTGGTAGAGGGTATGGTCGACAAATCTCGTAAGCTCGTCTGGGCGCGATCGCAATGTAACTATGCATCCTAGCCATAGACGGTACCCAATAGAAGTTAACTGTTGTGGCAGACCACGGCAAGCACAAGGTCGATTTCCATCTTAAAGGTGTGCCAACTGTGGGCAAGTTCATCCAACGTGATGCAGAGATGAAGGCGCTAGAGCAGCTTCTCCTCGAAAACACAGCTACTGTCAGTCGACAGAAGGTTGTCGTGCTCCATGGCCTTGGTGGCATAGGTAAGACACAGCTGGCGGTCGAGTTCGCGCGGAAGCACCATCGCCGTTTTAGCAGCGTCTTCTGGCTGGACGGGGAGTCGGAGGTTAGCTTAAAAGAGTCGTTCACGAGCATGATGCAGAGGCTGCCGCAGGGTGAGCTGACAGCAGATGGTAAAGGGGTGCTGGGGTATCCTACCGTTGACGTCGATGTGGCTGTGCACGAGTGTCTTCGGTGGCTGTCTCTCGCGACCAATCAGCATTGGCTGCTAATCTTCGACAATGTCGACCGCGACCACCATGACAAAAATGACGCGCAGGCGTATAGTGTGAAAATGTACTTCCCCAGCACAGACAGTGGGTCGATTCTTGTCACTAGTCGGCTGGCTAGTCTGCAGAGGCTCGGATCGGGGCTCAAGGTAGGGGCGGTCGGGATGGAGCAGGCGAGAACCATTCTAGAGAGCAACGCTGGAAAGATGGTTGAGGGTAAGGTTGACGATTCCCGCCTGTTATTGAAGAACAGCAAGGCTCATTCTCACTCGATAGATGCAGACGTGATTCTCGAACGACTAAGCGGGCTTCCTCTAGCGCTGACCCAAGCTGGCTCGTACATGCAGGAGACTAACGTGTCCGCTTCAACCTACGTTAAGCATTACGACAAGACCTGGGAGAGACTGATGCATATACAAGGAAGATTCCCATTAGAGGAGTACGGCGACCGCAACATGTTGACGACGTGGACCATATCCTACGAACAAGTGAAGAAGGAAAGCGAGGACGCGGCGTGGCTGCTCAAGCTGTGGGGATTTCTGGACCACGGCGAGCTTTGGTACGAACTAGTTGCCGCTGTATCACGACTATCTGAAGAAATGGATGTGCCAAGGTGGCTATCTCAAGCTGCAGAGGACGAGCTAGCGTACGCTGAGGCGGTAGGTCTTTTGTCGCGCTACTCGCTCGTGGATGCAAGGGAGGGCAGCAACAGCCATTCAATGCATTCGGTGCTGCATCGATGGTGTGGGCGGCTAGTAGAAGGCCAAGAGAAGCACGTTCTTGGTTGCATTGCAGCTGGCATAGTGGCGTTGACTGTTCCGTTTAGATCAGAGGCGGAGTTCTGGGGGAAGAAGAAACGACTGTTAGGGCATGCTCTAGGCGTGAGTGGGTGGTTGATAAGGGTATACTTGTCTAAAGAGGAAGATACCGGTGTAGGCATGCTAAAAGAGGGGATATATCACAGTTTAGGCTACGTTCTTGCAGACGAAGATCGACAGAGGGCGGAGAAGATGTACCAGCGAGCGCTGCAGGGCTACGAGAAGGTATGGGGACCAGAGCACACATCAACACTCAACACGGTGAATAATTTGGGTACCCTCTATGCAGACCTAGGACGGCTAGACGAGGCAGGGAAGATGTACCAACGAGCGCTGCAGGGCTACGAGAAGGCATGGGGACCAGAGCACACATCAACACTCGACACAGTTCATAACTTAGGTTCCCT